TGGACTTCTACGGCAAAGAAGGTACGACACTCGGGTGTGACTTCATGGGCACCGTGATTGAAAAGGCTCCGGACGCTGGTTCGAGTGTCAAGGTTGGCGATCGCGTTGCAGGTACCGTCCACGGTGGCTGGGAAGTTGGCGTCGGAGGGTTCGCCCAGTACGTTGTGACGACGCCAGAGTACGTTGTGGCGGTGCCAGACTCGATGTCGGATGAGGAGGCATCTGGTCTCGGCGTAGCTGGCATAACAGCTCTTTTTGGACTGTTCCAGAACAAGCAACTCGGCTTGCCAGAGCCAAGTGGAACCGAACTTCCGCCGGTGGATCCGAAGCTGAAGGTGCTTGTGTGGTCGGGTGCCTCGTCGGTAGGCCAGTTTGTGATTCAGATGGCCCGTGCTATTGGTGCCTATGTGATTGTGACAGCGTCGGCGAAGCATCTCGATTGGCTGAAGTCGCTTGGTGCGTCGGAGCTGTATGAGTACTCGAACAGCGAGACGCCGAAGCGCATTGCCGAGGCGCACCCAGATCTCAAGTATGCGTTTGACACATACTCGATGAATGGGTCGCAAGCTGCATGCGCCGCTTCGATGAGCAAGACGGAGGCTGGTAAGATTGTGTCGCTTCTTCCATTTGACCATGGCACTGTGACGGAGGCCAACCCTATGGCCAAGTGCACGCTTTTTCTTCTTCCAAGCGTTTCTTGCATGGGAATTCGGACCTTTTCGGCTGAATTCAAACCGTACTACTGTCCGGATGACGCGAAATACATTGTTCACGTTTGCAGAGGAAAGGACGGTCTGTACTATCGCTTGCTGTCGTCTGGCCTGGTGAAGCCGAACCGCACAAGCCCTCAGACGGGTGGCCTGTCTGGTATTCTGAGCGGACTTGACCGCATGCGCCACAATAAAGTGTCAGGGGAAAAATTGGTGTATAAGATTGAATAGAATCATAATGGCGCTCAGCTTCATACTTACAACGTAAATATAATTTTTTCACATCTAAATATTGGCAAAGGCGAGAATTTATACCTTGTTATAAAGAATTTGAGAAATGGATATATTCGTGCTTGTGTTGGAGTTTTGCTAACCGAGCGTACGTGGCGCACGTACCACTATTTGGGCTGCATGCGTGCCACTTATTCAAAATTCCAGATTGGTTTCCACGTCGAGAAAATCCTGCAATCGATGCCAGGTTGCTGATTCTTACCACTATTACTGTGAGCCCGCTTCGATAACGGGCGAAATCAGTACTTGGGCTACTTGGGATGGTAATTTGCGCTGAATTTTTTTACTCATATAGAGGATGCACGCAAACATCGATGGGAAACCGTCTTCAGCACCCTACCTATTCGGATAAGACAATCAGAGTATTCACAACCATGTGATTTCCGATCGCTACGCTGGAGCTCCTTGATCGAGTAACACCATAAGGTCACCAATTTTTGGCGAATGTTTGAGCTGGTAATATTTATATCGTATTTTATTTATCTGAACAGTTAGTCGGGGTTAACCTGTTTGCCCAGGCATACTCCCATCGTTCCCTCGAAATACTGTGGCGGTGCTAGACTAGCCTGAGTCCTGGTCTCTATCGTTAATGACGCAGATTTATGTATCTTATTAAACTTTTATAGCTGGAGCAACTTGTTTCGCAGTAACATTTCTATACAAGTTCCACATTTGTGAACCTGAATTTCAAGGAATTTATGTAGTGGGGAACTTCCTCTGCCGAACAAAGGCGATCAACTTGGCGCATGGCACTGGCACGTGTGGCTGGCTGAAGGTCCCCCAGCATCCTACATGTTTTAGTTCGTTGGATGTGTGGTCTAGCTTCAGTCCTGCGTTAATTGCAAGAAATCGAGATGTCCTAAGCGAGCATCAGCGAAGTTCGCTCCATATTCTAACTAAAAAGGTTGCAGGCAGTGCATGTAACTTGGATGAGCCGAATAAAGCTGCGGTAAATCACATCGCTCCATCTATTCGATCACGGTAACATAGCGAAGTTATCTATACGTGCAAACATGCCTTGATATTTCATGTCGTTGATCACAAAAGGCAATCTTTCCCAAACTATTTGATCGATAGTACTACAAGTGAGATGGTTATAAAATGTCGAAGCTGCGCAAATATTTATGGTCTACGGATATATCGCTAACTGTCTCATGGCTACTTGAATCCGGACAATTTTACGAGCAGTTTGCTGTACATTCTGTAGTATCTCAAATGCATTTCTGACAAAACTCATTGCCTAATGCTATACCCGAGCCTGGATGTATGTAAAGAGCACATTGTGAACCTGCGAGTAACAAGTGCACTGCCATGTGCTAACATGTCGAGAAACGACAAGAGCCAAAGAAAGTGTGTGCTTATTTTTGATACAACACAATGTGACAATTCAAAAATACAACCATATGTATATATACCAAATGTACGAACTGAAAACACGAGCCCAATACTATACACGAAGAGAGAGTTAAATATCATGCTTGTTGCTGCTTTTCAACAGAATAATTCGCATCTTCCTGCGCCACCTCTTGGTTTAAATCATCCTGTGTCTCGAAACTAATTATACTTGAAAAAGAGTCCAAGTCTTGCCGGCGACCAATGTCAAGGTCAATTTCTCGCGCGCGCCAAAATCTTGTGCGGTACACAAATTTGTAAATAATATAACCAACCAGAGACACAGGGATCAAGATGTATGCGTCCACAAAGTCGCCAGTATCAAAAGGAGAAAATGTCGTCCACCCTTGAACAAGAGCCAGAAAAACGCTGAGTACGAAGCCAAATATAGCGATCCATGGAAACAATAGGGATTTGAATGGGAGCTCATCCAAGCTTCGATTTTGTACGCGCATAGCTCGGCGGAATCGTAAGTGCATAAATGAAATCGCCGCCCATACAATAAATGTCGATACACCGGACAAATTGACGATGTAGGAATACGCTTTGCTCGCGCCTGTGCTAACATTCATCATTGAAATAGCGCCCACAGCATTAATAAGAATCACGGCGAACACAGGTACGCCACGAGAATTCGTATAACCGAGGAATTTGAACGCTTTCTTATTCTGGGCCATGTACAAGACAGTTCGAGACCCAATATAAATTGAGCTGTTGACAGCGGACAAACATGTCACGAGGATAAATGAATTGATCAGATGAACGCCGCCGGTCCAGCCAGCGTGTTGAATAGCAATGGTCATAGGGCTCTGGAGTGCGCCATCTTGCGCTACAAGGCCCGGAGCGTTGGCGGGGCATGTAAGGCCGAAAAAAAATGCACTTCCGAGGTAGACGAAGAGAATTCGCCAGACCACCTGGCGAATGGCAGAAGGAACGGCCTTTTGTGGATTACGGGTCTCGGTGGCAGCAACAGAGACAGACTCAATCCCTGCGTAGAATGTAGCGCAGAAAATGAACACGGATGCGACACCACGGAATCCGTGTTCACCGAAAGCTCCAGGGTTATTCCAGTATCTGAAGCCAACTGCATCGCCATTGACACCACCCGACACGTACACGATGGAAAAGATAAAGTATGCGACAAGGCCGAGAATTTTGACGAGGGCAAGCCAGAATTCAGCCTCGCCAAAACTCTCGACACCAAGCATCTGGAAAGCCAAGAATGCGAACCAAAAAATCAAAAAGTAGCCCCACTGAGGCACTTTGTCACTCCAAAAAACAAGCACAGAGGTGATAACGTTGTACTCGTTAGCAAGGACAGCAGCCCATACAATAAAGTAATTCCAGCCGACAACGAAGCCGAATGCCCGGTCAACCATGCGATCGGCCAGCTGCAAAAAAGCACCACCATCAGGAAATATAGTCGTGAGTTCACCCAGAGATTGCATGACAGAATACGCGATGATCCCAACGACGCCGAACCCGATGATAATGGATGCAGGCCCACCTTTTGCTAAAGCACCTCCTGCACCGACAAGAAGACCAGGACCAATGATACCGGCCAAAGCCATCATGCTTAGATGGCGGTTTTTGAGACCACGCTTTACGCCAGACTTGGGGTCTATTTGCAGCGCATCGCTTTGGACGTCAGAATGCAACGGCTTCGATGACTGCATTGACTCGGGAAGATGTACTGACGCAAACGACGACAATGCCGGTGGCGGCTTTGTATCAGAAACCTCTTCAGCGATGATAGACATCAGTCGAAGGAGGTAATAAGGTGAAATATGTCGCTATTTGCCGACAGACACAAAATTCAGGCAGAAGGGGGTGGTGACTTGCGTGCTAGCAACAAGAACTGGGTCTACACTGTTCGTCACCGTCTTGCAGCACTTACAGCCATGAGGGACGCACTGTTTCACATACTCTATTTTCTTTCGCGTCTGAAAGGCACATGAAATGAAGGCGAAAACTAAGTCTGACCAACCAAAAATGAATCGATTAACTGCGCGCATATGTGTGCAATTAGACGACATCCAGCACGCCATATGCGCGCGGATTGCATTTATGCCATGCACCTAATGTGAGTGCCGGCCGGTCACGAAACTTTCCCCGCGGAAATGCACACGCGTCTAAAATCAGCCATTTAAAGCCACGACACATCACGACCCCACAATTCGCGTTTAATAAAATCACCTAATACAAGAGCACGTGTTCGAAGGGACACGAGTTCCGAAAGGTACACACTGCGCCAGGCGTACATGGCGACAATGCCACCGAAGAAGGTCTTGAAAGGCTCCGGTAGAGGCAAATCAAATGCCGCCGCATTACCCAAGTACGCAATGCTACCGAGATTGTGGAACTTGAACGGCTTATAGATCATGTCGTCGAGTGCGTCGGGCTTAACGTCTGGTAGTTTTTGTTGGGCTTTCAGCTTGCCATACACGTTCAACTTGCGGCCCAGATACCTGCCTTCCTGCGCAGCGATCTGAGCGGTGGGTGGATAAGAAGTCATGTGCTTGGTAGCATCCATAACAAGGTCGATCACTTCATGAGAGCTCATCACATGGTCGCGATTGTGGTCGTACTGAATAAACAGTTGGCGCACGTTCTTCAGCTGGTGACTCGCGATTGGGAATCGCTGGCGGAGCACCTTGATCAACTGGCCGAATTCCGCGACACTCAATTTTCCGTCGTGGTCCTTGTCAAACTTGGCGAAATTGTCCACGACGTAACCCCGAATGTCTCGATCGATCGTTGATGCATCGCCGACGGCGTAAATTGTGCCGGGCTCCGTTCCGAGCACACGCAACTGGGAGTCCACCTTGAGTGCATGTCGATGGCCCTGGTTCGGGAGTGTCGTCGAGAGTAAATGTGTGAAATCGTTCATCTTGACGCCAGCGGACCAGACTGTGCATCCAGTGGGCACGGTGCACTTCTCTTGTGTCTCTGTAAGTGGGTTCGTCAGCGTGTAAGTGACACTTGTTGGCGTGATTTCGTCAACATGCGCATTCGTCACGACGTTCAATTTTTCCTTGCGGAAGCGCTCCTCAGCAAACTCTGAGATCTTTTCTGAGTATGTATTCAGAATATGCGATGGGTGTTGCAGAAGATGCACGTTTGCCTCGTGAGGCAGGTATGATGGGAAATACTTGTGGATGTCCTCGTGGATCAAATCAAAGATTTCTGCCGCAACTTCCACACCGGTAGGACCACCACCACAAATCACGAACGACAGGAGACGCTTGCGCTCCTCTTCCGCTGTAGTGGGTAGCGAGGCGCGTTCAAAGTTCTCAAGGATGTGCTTTCGAAGTGACATGGCATCGCTCATGCATTTTAATCGGTGTGCATGTTCCAGACCCTTTGCGCCGAAATCATTAGTGACACAACCCACAGCGATAACCAGCTTGTCGTATGGCACATAGATCAGCGACTTCTCGTTTACTTTGTGCTTCGCCTGAACGTCGCCGTCCCATTGATCCGAGATCACTTCGACTTCCAGCAGACCACGCGCATTCTCAGCCAGCTGTAGGGTGTTTGCATCCAGCTTGTCGTGTGGGTGCACGTTCCTTGCAGCACCCTGTACAAACTGGCCATGGCACCGCTGTAGGATACGACGAAGCGATTCAACCACGGAACTTGTGCCTACGGTGCCGACCGTTACGGCAGGAAGAAGCGGTGTAAAGAGGAAGTAATTGGTCGGGCTGACTACCGTCACGTCATACGTGTCGGGATCCAGAGAGCGCAGCAATGAAACGGCCCCCCATCCACCGCCAACAATCACAAGTCGCTCTTTGGCTTGTTGTGTCTTCAACTCCTCGTGCGTTTCGGGATCAACAAAGCGCGGGAGAATCGGTCGGTTGTCCGGCCCGCCGCGAACGTGATCAAGAGGCATCGTCTGCACTGGCTCTTGAATCGACACTTTGTGGTACGTCATGGAGTCATACAAAAGCAGTCCAGAAACAGCAGCTGTGATCGTGAATATAATCGAGCCGACCGCATAGACCGGGTAGCGTACTGAACGGAACTGCCAGATCTTTTTTCCGATGGAGTCACGCCGAATAGAGCTGGAAAATCGATGACTTTTCATGAGGATGCCATGGCGGCCAGGCAAATACGGCTGCTTGAAAGAAGAGCGCAATGCTTGGTGCATCAAAGGAGGTACAACGGGCCGCATCATACCACTGAGTTGAGTATGTGTCGGTCCAAACTGGAAACTGTACCGAAATCTGGACCGTGCAACCTTCGAGTAGTCAGGCAGACCTGGCATTTCTATGCCGCGCTTATTTACACTCACCAAACTCGCATGCATCCGAGCTCTATGTCTAAATTTTGGTCATACGCAGGTTCACGTGGACCTGCCTCAAGGGGGTGGAGGAGGATTTGGACGTGGGGGAATCGGTGGAGCAGCAGCAACAGTAGCAGCAGAACGAGCAGGAATTGGTGGCGGGGACCGGCGAGATTTTGGTGGTGACAACGGGGTGTTTGCCGTCGGGCTCGTGCCAGAGGCAGCCACGTCCACTTCTTCCTTTTTTGAACATACTGGTGTGGTCGTAGGGGCTGCGGTCCCAGTCTGTGCGAGCAAGAAGGGATTTCCCCGCACTTTATCATCGCCGAGCGTTGAGGACAGCGGAGTATCAGTCGCCTTGTTCCACCATTGCTGTGTGTCAGTTGAGGGTGGTGGCAGAAGTGTGCGAGTTATTTCATCACCATGCTTTTCACTTTGTTCCTTCATATCGTTCACAAGCGATTCATAAATTTCATCGCGGTGAGCCGAATCCAGTGTACAGATGCCCAGTTCGAGGTGCACATAGACAGGGCGGTGGTCACTCACGCGGATTGGCGCACAATCGTAGCCATGTGTGCGCACATAAAGCGACGGAAGTTTGCACTTGAACAGGATGCGGTCTGTCCATGCGGGTGGTCGCAGCTTCTCAGACGTGTCGTATATGTCGGAGCCGATATCGTACTTGTACGTTGGAGGGAATTGGATGGGTGCCTCGTCATAGTTCGGAAACGCATCGCCCAGTTTGCGTGCATGTGTGAGCTGATCGCCCTCCAGCAGTGGTGCCAAAACCTTACGTGAAGCAAAGTCGCGCACATCCTCAGGGCTTAGATTTCCAATACGGTAGTTCAAGTCCCCCGCCCAAATGATGTGATCATGCGATTCGATGGTCCGGCCACGCATAAACACGAGGTTGCGCTCAATTGCCGCATAGTCAGCATTCCGATCCTCATAGTTGCTCGCGCCCGATGGCAGGTGCGAGCCGACGAAACACACACTCGTGTCAAACAAATCGAGCCGCACAGCGACGCCTCCCTTGTTCCCACTCATGCCTCGGAAGCCTGTCTTTTTGGTTGTACCCTCGACATTCTTAACGTGCGGCAACACATCGCTTTTCACAAGCACAAGCAACGCGGTGCCAAAAAGGAGCTCATGGCGAAGCAGTTCGTATTGGACGCCTGTACTTTCAAGTGTCCGGGTTACAGCCAACTTCCAGGATTCGAGCTCCTCTTTTGCTGACTGCAGGAGTTGCTGCGCATTGAGCGGCACGAGTTCTTCCAATACAATTGCAACAATATCGGCTGGTGCCTGATGATACGTCGAGGGGCACAGCCAAGAGCGCATATCCAGCCCTTGCGGTGCCCGTGTGCACACGTTGTATGTCCCAACAAACACGTTCATGCTGTGTACGCTTGCATACTCAGCCCAGCGTCGCTCTAAAGCCTCGGAGACTCGCGAGTACCGTGGATCGTATAGTTCAATACGTCTCTGACCGCTTCGTGCGCCCAGCAGCGTATCGATTGCCTCTTGTTTCGACTGGTCCTGAAAATTGTTGACGTACATGCGACTCGCACTTTTTGCTGCATCGCTCAAAAGACCCGTAAGGCCTTTGCGCGTGCCAGTGCGCATAAAGTTGGAATTGAGGGAGCCTGTGCCTGTGCTAATGACCGAGAGCGCGTCGCCGTTGTTAGCCCAAAGTTCTCGGTGTGCTTGCCAAATCGCATTAGGCATACTTGTCTCGGCGCTAATCTTTTCCAGTGTGGGGACCGATCGGTTGTTGTACTTGAGCTCGCGGAAAAAGTCGCGGAGCGCTGCATGTGATAGCATGCCTTCCACGACATTCGTGCGGTCTAGACAGTCGAAACAGTTGATGCGGAACACGCCCGTTTGTCTCTCCAAGACCTTGCCGTGGTATAGGAGTGCATACCGATTGTACTGGCGCTGTGTCTGGACATTGTTGAGCCGATCGAGCTCCGTCTTCACACCCTCGATCCCACCCATCGCTTTCGAGACGCCATGAAAGTCAAAGTTATGATACTTGACAGGACGTGTGTCGTAGATCGCACGCAAATGTTGGACGTATGCCTGAGCGAGTGTTGTTTCCACATCGCGGGTGCCGAGAAGGTCAAGCACAAATACGCGCCGATACTCATCAAACAGCTGATCCATGTGTGAGAGAAATCCTGGGAGCGAAGCGGCACCGGTGCGTGTGATTTGTATGCGTGTATTAAGGGCCTGTAGACCTTGCTGCTCCCAGAATACAGGCACGGAGCCACGCACCTGTGTAAAGGCAAACACGACGTCATCAGCAACCAGAACCGTTTCCGTCTCGACAAAGTTTGCGGCGTTTCCTTCATCATCAATCCCACGTGCATTGAACCGCGTACCAGCTCGACTTGAGCTGAGGCGACTTACGACCGCAAGTCGACATGGAATCACCGATGGAATTGTTTGCACGCCCACATACCCTTGGATTACGTACAGGAAAAAATGATCGCACTCCAGAGCTTCTTTTCGATGCGCCTCTAGTCGAGAGACAAACGTCTCGATCGGCTCCATCATGGACGCGTTCCACAGGAACTGGGCATGAAAGAGACCAGGCGTTGTTCCGTGTGTCTGCACACGCTGCGTGATATCGTACGGTCCACGTGAGAAATAAAAAGAGCCAGCCGTCATATACTTTCGAATTGCCGCACACGGGTCGTCAGTCGATGAGCTCGTCTCTGACGCATCGACCATGCCTTGAGCAAGTGCGATATCATTCGGAAGTCGGCGCGTCAGACAAAAAAACGAGACGTTCCGCACTCGCTGAATATGTTGTCCGGGCATGATCTCGCCCACATATTCCGCTGAAGAGACTGCAGCGAGAAAAATATCTTCACAGGTAAGTTTCATGTTTCCTTGGTCTTCACACCCGAACCTCCAGTTTTCGTTCTCATCGGTCCATACGTACCTTTTCCTATGGAAAGTAGACCAAGAATCCCATGAAGTGGCATCGAAGCGGGTGATAGCCGCCGCAGACTCGACCACTCAATCTTTTCAGCATCAATAAACGTCAATGTGCATCGTCCATCCGTCACCGAGAATGCCAGCACATCCGTGCTTTCATGTCCCTGCTCATATTTTCCCACTTCATACTTCGAAACAAGCAATGTTTGCTGCTGACCGCTTGCTTCTGCCAGCCAGACGTGCATTCTGGCAGTCGTGCGAGGTGGCGGTCGTTTCGCAAGCCAAGAAAGGAAGCTTGTGGCCCAGGTGGATTTGGGCTCGTGCGCCTTAACGACTAGGTGGAACAAGCGCTTACGTCATGTCACTCGCATACGCCCAGATGCTCAGACCCCTCCGCCCAAAGTCCTACAGCCCCTTTGGAGCGCCCAAAAGAAAAAATCCCACATCGTCGGGCGGCGCACGATGAGCACGTCGCAGCCGAATTCGCCTGTTACTGTATACCGTGCACCTTCGAGTCGTGCATACGGTACGTTGTGATGAAATCTTACCGATCATTCAGCGACACCGCCGCCTGAATCAGATGACTTCGAGCCGACACCAGCAGAACTGCGTGTAGCGTTTGCGGACGCAATATCAGGGCGGCATGGGCCTAATGCACCACTCATGACCAGTGCTATGCGTGCTAAATACGATAGAGATCATGGGAAGACAAAGAAGCAGTTCGAAACGATACGTATTCGTGTCCGATTTTCAGACCGCACGCAGATTGAAAGCGTGTTCCCCCACGCATCAACTATTCTGGATGTCTATGACTTTGTTGACAGTGTGTTGGCAGAAGGACAACATGGACCCTACTTGCTATTTCAGTCACCACCGCGACGCGACTTCCCTCGCGCACCGAGCTCAAAGTCACACACACTACGCGCTCTAGGCTTTGCACCAGCTGCCGTGCTGGGAATCCGATGGAGCGACCCGAGCAAAAATGGTAGGTTTGCAGTTGCATGGGACACGTCCAGAGATCTTACGTCCAGCCGAACATATACCAGCGCCCCTTAAGCTCGAGTATGCATCCAAGGCACGTGATATACCAACGCCGCAACCATACGCAGGCTCTCAAGTACCGTCTGTCCGTCCGCCGACTAGTAGCAATGCGTCATCTGATGTGCAGGATGCGCGTGCAAAGCGCAAATTCCCGAAGGTACGCTCAAGATCGTGTACACGTATACTGACCGCGCGACGTTACAGTGGTTCAAAAGCACTGGTGGCTCCTTGCACCAGGACTAGATCTGGCCAGCCCAGTGCCAGAAGCATGGGTCACGTGAGACACTTTCCGGACGGGTCCGGTGAGAGCCGTGGCGACTTGTAGTCGCCAAGCATCCTGAATTATCTATAGGACACCATGTCGCTTGCGAACTCATTGTACAACACCTTCGTGAAACGCAACTCGATCTAGTATGTCAGAAGAGACTAGGATAAAAGAATCATGTGCATACTAACATGTGTGCGTATGTGTGCTCGCGTGTCTGCCGCGGCGCACTTGGCACATTGGTTAATTCAGCGTGGGTACCATCTTCACAGCTGCCTTTGGCTTTGGTATCGGTTTCGACACGCTTGCGAATAAATGGTGGGACTACAATAACAGGGGAGTTCGTATCAATTAAGGCTTCGTTATGAGCGGATTTGTCTAACACTTCGAGCAGAGGCAATGGAAAGACATTCGTGATAGGGTATGTGGTTAATTTTTCGCCAAGCAACGCTTGTGGACCTGGACCTGATTTGGACAACAAATCCACACCACTTTCAGGTCTTGGTGCACCAATCCATGCTTCTAGAATTGAAGGCTAACCCTCGCTTTAGTACATGACGGAAGGTGGTGAAGACGAGGAGTAATTTCCGATTCCGCTTCCTCTTAAATCACTCTTTGTTTGGAATCTATATCCAACACTACATGCTGCGTTCATCGTAGCCCATGGTCGAGTCCATGCTCTCATATATACATGTATGATGGCCAAATTCAACCTGTTCTGATTTTTCTAAAACAAGAGATTTTATCAATATAGGTCGATGATGCTTGGCATAAGTGTTCTTCTGCTTGTGCACCTTTGTCTTCTCCTGGGTTCGAACCCATGTAGCATCATGGAAACAATTGTTCCCGCTCAAATGCGTCGGAAGAATTATACCGTGCCCGCCTCATGTCGCATACCATAACCATCCCCCTTTCCCTACTCCTACCCACCTGACCGCCGCCTGCGAGCCACCTCGAGCGAGGGGTTATGTCACGTGACCTAAGCGTGCTTGGGGCTTGACGCGTCTGAGCGAAAGGGCGCGTGTGTGTGTCTGTGTGTGTGGGTGTTGTAGTTCTTTGTGGCAGCTAAGCAACACGTCGGCGTGAGCCGATCGTCTTCAGGGATCCGTATCATGTCGCAAAGGCTCGCTGCACTCCAGGCATTGTTTGAGAGTGGTCAGCAGCATGCAGAGGATGCGTCAGTTGACCAGAGTGTCACGACATACCCTGCTGCAACCGATGCTGTGCGGGGCTTGGATTCGTCCACGTCGTTGGACGTGAGTCCCGCACCTACGTCATCCGCACAAGCCTTACTATCACCGGCAAATGGTATGCATACGTCTACCAACGGTGGTTCTCCGATGATTTCGGAGCAAATGCCTGAGCATAGTGGCGTGGATGGCAAAGCGGATGGCGTCAACGCAGATCAGGAGCCATCACACCGACACACGCCCAAACGCCATTCCCTGTCGCTATTGCTCTCAGAAAGCAACAATCAGGGAGCAACACCAAGAATGAAGGCAACAAAGTCAAATACCTTAATGCAGGAGAATGATGCAACAGCCCATTCTGTCACTGCCACACCTGTGGCTAACGACACGTCCGCGACACAGAACGAAGAGTCTTCCTTATCAGCGTCACTGGGCGCTAGTCAGCTAGGTCGCAGTCGGGGTGCGTTGGAGTTTCTCGATGAAGATGATGAAGTAGATGGACCAGCCAACGAATCTGCGTCAACAGGCCACTGGGGTGTGCAAGAAATGCGCCGTCGGACAGCCGCAGGCATTTCGATCAAGTCGACACTCCAAAAAATTGATCAGCTCACTGCTGAACGAGACGATTTGAAAATTGAAGTAGACTTTCATCGTCGGAATATGTCGCCTGAGGATGTGGGCGCTGAAGTGATCACTCTGCGTCAGGAGAAACTCGGCTACGTTCGCCGATTGCAGAAGATGAACGAGCTTGTCAAGAGCCAGGATCAGGCACTCAAGACCGTCAACCGCCAGGTCAAGTCTTGGGAGGCCAAAATGTCGGAGTTGGATGTCCTTCAAGAACAGCTGCGTACCGCTGAAGAGCGCGCGCGACAAGCCGAAGCGGCATGCGCGAACACAGGTCGACAGGTGTGTGCTGATCATGAGCACCAGATTCACCGGCTAGAGAGATTGCTACATGCAGCAAAGGAAGAACGTGATGCAATGCATGATGAGCTGGATGCTATGCGCTTGAACGAGTCGCCCGACTTGCACGAAGCCATCCAGCATCGAGACAACATGATCCAGGATCTTCGTGCAGAACTAGCGGACGCACAGGCACAACTGGAGCAAGGGATGCCCAGCGATAACCCACATCAGACGGCGCAATTTCAGCAGCAGCTGGAAGAACAACATGAGACGATTTGTTCACTCCAGGATGCTCTGGCGGCTGAACGGCTTGTCGTCGCGGAGAAGGAGGGCGAGATGGATCGGCTGGAGGGCCATGTGGAAGCAGCAGAAGCAACTGCAACGGATCTTCAGCGACAGCTTGAGATGCGTCGAGCCTCTGAGGAGGCGGCCTTGGCAGATGCGCAGCGCTTACACACACGTGTAGCGCAGCTGGCGCGCGAGCTGGAGGATGCACGCTCCGTTCAAGAGAGTCGCATAGCAGCCCTGCAGGATAAGCTAGCGATATCATCAGCTCAGGCAGAGGAGCTGCACGCGACGATGGAACAGCAAGCGACGCAACGAATGAACCTAGAGGATCTGAATGCGCGACTGAATGCGAAGCTAGTTGAGCTTGTAAAGGATCTGAAAGACGAAGAACATGCTCGTGAGCGAGCAGATACCAACTGGTCACAGCGCTATGATACGAACGAGGCACAGACACGCCGTGCGATTGCCACGAAAGACACACTGATTGAGTCACTGGAGTCGCAGCTTGTTCAGCTGCGGCAGGACAAGCAGCAGCACACAAAAGCCATGGAGCGACTACAGGAGACACTCAGGACGAGTGAGCAAGTCTCGCAACGGCAGATGGATGAAGTGAACACGCACCATAAGCGCGAGCTGGACAGGCTGACAGATGACTTGAATGAGAAGCTTAGTGCTTGGCACGATGCACAAGACGAAGTGACGCGCTTACGAGCAGAAATGCGTGAGATGGCGAACTCACTGCAGTCTGAGACTCGCGCACGTCTTGGTGCGCAAGATCGACTTGAATCTGTGCAGCGGGCACTAGACGGAGCGAAGCACGAGATGGAGAGGATGAGGGAGCAGCAGCAGCAGCAGCACAGGGGTTTGTCGTCGCCGCGCACAGGAAATGGTGGATCTTCAGTGCGTGGCTCAGACACAGGTGCACGTATTCAGCTTGCTGAACGGAACGCATTATTGATGGCCGTGTTCGATACATTGGCACGCGCATTGCAGGATGACATGGCGCCTGGCGAGTCGCGACTCGTGCATACAAACTTCCATGCCTTCCACGACAAGCTCACACAGCGATTGCGACGTCTGTCAAATGTGCAAGCATGGTTTGTACAGCGCTCGAGTGCCATGGAGAAAGAACATCTACATAAACTAGCGTACGTTGGATTACTGGGGCCGCCTCATGGTCATGTGAGTGAAGACTAACATGCCACATTAGCGATGTGAGACGACATCAGGAAGCGCGCTGGAGCCAGTTGGAGCGTATTGAGCGCTCGATTCGTGCAGCTACTGAGAAGCAAGCGCAATGGCGCCGGCGTGTGCTAGACAAGGAATATGAGCTGGCTGAGCTGCATCGGACGAACCGCGATCTTGAGCACCAGCTTGCTCGACTGAAAGAGGCGCCAGCCGCGACACCGACGCCTACGACACCAGCACAGCTGTCGGTGCGGATTCGTGAGCTGGAGCGGCGGTGCAAGGAGGCTGACGAGCGTGTTAAGCGGGAGCGAGCTGGCTCGAAAGAGCGCGCAGCGCGCGATGAAGCACGTATTCGACACCTGCAGACTACACTCGATCGCGTCTCGACGATGCCGCCGCCTACTACAGGCTCCTCGTCAGGTGCTTAGTTGCATGTCTGATATGTCCGCCTGTATTGCGAGAAATGCTCGAGAATGCCCATTCATCCTAACCTTACATTCGTTGGGGGAACGTGGCAGTGGGCGAGTTTTTTTTTTCTTCTACAATAGAGGGCACGGTAATGCCTCCACCCAGCCAACGAACCGAGTCAGCTTGGTAACCCAGCCAGGAATTTTGCCGACCGAGCTGTGCCGTGCTTCTTGCGCGCACGGAGGTGTGGTTCAAGATACCCACGATGACATAATTTGAGCCTCAATGCAAGGAGGACGTGTGGAGTTCACTTCGCGCGTTGCGCGTAGAGATTTGGGCATTCAATGGTTGGCTCGTTCCTCACATTGCCTGCTGGGAGCAGACAGGGCCGCACGCTCTACTCTGTGGTGAACCTGGCAGGCCCCCTTGTACATATAGGAACATCCAAATTTTTCGTGATTTCAGCCAGTGGTTTAGAACGCCTGTGTGTGTGTCTGTGTGTGCGTGTGGCACTGCGACAAAAGCTCTTGGCCTCCTACAGAGCCTCTTGGTTTTCTCTCGCACGGCAATCTTTGGCACCAGTCCACCGCCGAGCACAGGCAGTCATCGAACTAACACAGGTGTGAAAGCTGCCATGGCCACGGCCTCTTCACCATTAGCACCTTCACGACCTGTGCGAGGCCGTTCGTCGAGACGATCAAAATGCAGGATGTCCTTGTTGACGGAGGAGGCTGGAGCGGCAAAGACGACGTCACGTAGAAGTGATGTCGCCGTTCCTTGTAAGGAGAGGACAGCCTCGCTTGAGCTCCTTCCACCACAGCCCATATGTGCCCCAGCTTCGTCATCTGTCGCTGGTGTGAGCAGGTCTCGCCCAAAGCGCCGCCACCGGCCAAAAGTCGGCGCCAGTGTGTGCGGGCGTACTCAGTACGCGCTCCATGCATCTGCTTCGCATCACGCTTGCGTCGTCATGAAGAGCGGGCTTCCTGCTGCTTCGAAGCAAGCTCATGATAACGAGACCCAACCTCAGCCTGGTGACGTCGGGGCGCGCAAGCAAGGCACCTGCTCGATCGACAAGCTTCTGGCACCCTTCGCTCTGTCCGCAACGTCATCCGCGTCGCGTGTGCGGCCTGTCTGGGTTGAGGGCATGGGCCGCATTCTGGTGCCATGCAGCCAGCAGTTCCCTGCGCCGCCTGATACTCAAGCCCCCCACATGGCTTTGTCCCTCATGCCTTCCGCACCACAAGATGCACGACAGCTACAACAGCGACATGCACTTGTTGCTCAATGGCTTGCTCGCGATGATGATGGTGATGATGATGATAGCGTCGGCATCGTCAGCAGAGTCACTAGGGAGATCGCTCATGATGGCGTCAAACATAACACTGTCCATACGGACAATGCACCAGATCCGCCCCTCGGCGGCGTATGCACCAGCGCGAATTTTGCATCCCATGATGGCCAAATGCCTTCGTGAGCGAAGCAGGGGTCAACCCTATCCAAAGCGCGCATCGGCGCACTTCGATGACATGTGGATTGGCTTCGATGGGGCGCGTGTGCTTCGTGGGACGAAGCAAACAGCACAACGGCGCCGGCGCATCGCTTCAACCATGTATGCGCTCACAATTAGCGGCAGTACGCCGAGAATGGCATGTCGCTGTGGATTCACCGAGCTGCACATGGAAGTGGTTCAATGCGACGCTTGTGCACGATGGCTGCATCTCGCATGCGTGGGTGTTCGTCATGTGGATGAGCTGCCGATGCATGAGTGGGTATGTGATGACTGTTACAATGAGCGAGCCGTCATCGCGCACTCTCCTTCGGCACCTGTTTCTCAGAATCGTCGCATTCGCTCGCCCATGCATGGTCATCCTACTCATGATGGCTTGCATGCACACGCCAAGCTGCGCTCTTCGACCTTGTCATTGGCACCCAGTCCCATCCTAAGCCTGGATGATACCTTGGACTCTGTCCTTCCTGTGATGCAACCTCCGGAAGCGCCTCGGACGCCGTCGCCATCGCCGCGCCCAGCAGCGCTTGTTGATATGGTCACACCCAGCCGGCACTTTGCACCGTCCACACAGCCCGAGTGGTTATCCACACCTTCCAGCTTTCTCGCACAGTCGTCGCCTTGTTCCATGCTTGGCGCACCAAATGCGAGGTCCGCGCAGAACCACATGTGGGCGCCTGAATCGCCTACATTTGCGACACATGGCGCAGCACGCCACGCAGCTACCTCGTACTGGCCTGGTGCCACGACGCCCAGTGATGTCGCTGCCACGCCCTCGTTCCCCAGTGATCCGTTCTCTGATGGCCTAGGCCTAAGTAGTCCTATGCCCGAGACCCCCCCATCCGGTTCGACGCGTGGTCGCATGCTGGGCATGCTATTCCCTCCGCCATCACCCATCCCTGTGTCTACATCTTGCATGCCAGCTCCACCGGCAATGCCCACTCCGATGCCTGCGTCTATGTGTGCGCCGATTGCACCGCTGCCCCCTACACCGACCAAGGACCGGCCATCCGCATCACTCATGCCCCCCCCTGTCTCGTGGCACGGCGGCGAGCTATGACATTGTATAATATACCTATATAAATATTTGAGACATAGTGCGATCTATCCAACGGTCAACGATCATCATCATGATCTTGATAACAGCTAGAATATGCAGCCCGCGTCGCCGTTCCGTTTGTTTCATCGGATGTGACATGGTTCATGCAGCGTGACTACATGCCACGCGACGACAGTAGAGCGCGAATGTCGCCAAGGCCATCCAGCTCGCCTTGCACAACCACAGTGCTAGGCTTGCCATTCATAAGTACACGCCTCGCTACGCGATGAAGCGCAGCCAGATCCACACGGTCAATGGCCGCACACATCTCCTGCACGCTCACTTTCTTGCCATGGACAAGCACTTGACGTCCAAGATCCTCCACTTCCACTAGGCGGCTTTCTAGCGCCATCATGAGACTGCTCTTAAGCTGGTTCTTTGCACGCGCCAGCTCTGCCTTCGTCACACTGCCTCGGTAGTTGCCTGATGTACATAGCTCAAGCTCGCGTGCTATGACGTACGGAATCGTTGAGCTAAAGCTCGGATGCACACTCGCGGAAATGCCAAACAGACCAGAGTCTGCATAGCAATGGTGGAAGCTTGCACAATGATCCACGGCATGGAACTGATTCAGCACATTGGTATACAGACGACTGTACATGCCTTTACCAGGGCCTCCTGCACTAAAGCTGCCGCCACCACCGATCAACATTTGCATTGTCGCTAGCGTGTAGATGTCATCATCATGGATCGACATGCCTTCGTACGCAACGTAAACATGCGTGAACTCTGTCGAGGGATCGGGCATAAACAGCTCGCCACCTGTGTAACGTGCACGTTCCTTGCCAAGCATGTCAAGCACTGGGTCCTGCGGGGCAGCACGCATACCACCAAATAGCTCTGTCGCTTGTGCGACCATATCGGCATGCGACATGCCTACACCTGCGACGACGAGCCGCTCCGGTCGATACCACGCCCGCATAAAGTCACGCAGATTGTCCGTGGTCACGATATCAAGGTTCTCCATCGGACATAGCAATGGATGGCCAAGTGTGTTGTTTTGGTATGCAACTGCATGCACAATTTCGGGCAGTATCATCTCTGGCTTACTCCATATCTCCGACACTTCCCACGCCGTAGCTTCGCGCTGCACACCAAGTTCATTTGCGTCCATGACGGGATTCTGGATCGTGTCTGCGAATACGTCCAGCACTGTCCGGATATCTTGGTTGAAGACCGACGACTGGTACATAATGGTCTCTCGCGACGACGAGCACATCACGTTGCCACCGACTGCCTGAATCAGCTGCTCCATGTCTTCGGCCGTGCGGCCCTTTGTGCTTTTGAACGCCATGCGGTCTAGCAAATGACTTACACCACTCTCTCCCGGCACCCACGGCCGCTCGTATCGCGAGCCTGCATCGATATAGACACCCACCGCACTGAAATGCCCCGGCGTTGCTTCAGTCGCCACACGTACTTGGTTCGGCAGCGTCGTGATCTGCACCGGATCAGTAGCAGCAGCACCAGTTGCATATGCACGTTGCCGAACAAGTGGCAATGCAGCTTTGCGCAAGAATGAGCTGGCTCCTAGGCGATGATACGGCATCACAAGCTAGGGGCGCGTGAAAATATGGGAATGAAGATTCGTTCTCCAAGTCGAGAATCGGTGCCTCTAACCGGAAGATGTATCAGGTGGAGGAAGTGTCGATGATGACGTAGTAAGGCTACGCGCAACTCAGACGCTACGTTGCTGTGCTAATACGGTCAAAAATGGCCCAAATGGAACGTGACTACAGAGTCACTTTCTACCATGGCCCAATTCTCACACATCTCGCCCCCAAGCCTAACACAGCACATACCCTATACGAACCAGACCCAGGTATGCACGACAAAGAAAGACTAGTTCATTGAGTCTATGTCATTAACCATTTAAGCTGTTTATTGTGATTATTGTTCATTTTGGACACATCGTCAATGAGAAATGCATGGTAACGTAGCAGCTTCGGCAACAGGAACAGCACGCTCACCCAAGCTGCCGACCAGGCTGCCAAGAGTTTGATCAAATATTGGTAGCAAAATCACCCACGACCAACATCAATCGATCAAGATATCATATGGACGCATTTCCTGGGGCAACGTCCAATTTCCACGATACACACGATGCTCAACTGAATCATCAGGCCCAGAAACTGGCGTGATAGGCTGCTTTGCGGAGTCCTTTGCGAGACGGTTCGACAGCGACTGACTTGTGCTAGACGCATCATTGTCTACACCAGTTGACTTGGCGCCCTCTTGGTCAAAGGCGCCTAGTTTGTCTGTAAGAGATTGGATTGTGTCCTCCACAATGTTGGGTTGTCCCATAGAGCTTAAGGCTGCTTCACTAGGCGTCATCAGACCCGACGAAAAGCCTGAGTAAGCTAACGTACGCTGAGACGCATCCTTGCTCATGTCTGAGTGGTCAGACGAGAACGACACACCGCGCTCGATGTGGCCAATGCCTGGGCAACGGGCGTTCATCCAAGCCACATTATCCTCCAACACACATACACGGCCAGCCAAGTCTTCCTCCTCAGTCTTAGCCTTACGGTAAATGACGTGCTGACACACTGGGTACACGCTCATTTTAATGTCATCCGATCCAATCTTTTCGAGCCATGTCGTCGACGACGTCACCGACACCACACGGTCTTGCAAGCCATGCTGAATGTATACCGGAACAGTAAACTTGTCAGCCAGTTCCTGGACGTCCGCAATGCCTCTGCGCACACATAGCAGGTGCCCTACACGGAAAGCACCGCGGTGACTACGCATGTCCTGATCCACAAGCTGCTTATACACCTTGGGATCTTTGTCGACGGCCTGCTTATGTGGCACATACAGTTCAAGACGGCCTGCGTTCAAGAAACGAATGATTGTGACAATGAAGCGAACAACAGGACTGACTTTGACGTCCTTCGGATTAAAGTGCAGAATCGGTCCAACAGCCACAACACCATCAACCGGGATCTCATCCATGTCCGTCGTGTCGTTTCGAGCAGATGCCGGATAGTAGATCGGGTACAGCAGCGCTACGAGACCACCGAACGAAAGACCAAGGAGAAAGGTTCTGCGACGATTTTGTTTGGGAATCTTGCGGCCCTCCGCCTCGTCATCGCGGCGAGCCACGTCGTGAATTGCCTGGTACACACCATCAGTGTAACCCTTCATCGTCGGCTGATAGACGTGTCGGCCTGTTGAGTAGCCATGCGATGGAAGATCAGGTACAATCAATCGGTAGCCAGCATCCAGATATCGACGAGAATGGCTCGCGAGCGTGCCTGAGTGCACACCAGTGCCGTGACAGAACACCATGTCTGCCACACGTCCCGTCGAGCGCATTGCAAGCTTGTCTTCCCAAACCTGATACCAAACGAAATCCTTTCCGTTGGGCATCATCGCCTTGTAGAATGACACCGTCACATCTGGATTCTCGTGCAGGCGCTGCTCCATCTTGCTGAACGGCACCTCGCTACGTCCGTACGTCCTGTCCGCTGGTTCGTACACATGGATGAATTGCAGGAACGGCTCAATCCAGATTTCCCACAACACCTTCCAAAGTGCCACCACAAAATTCACCACGGGATTGGACTTTGTCGTGCTACTGTCACCTGCCATTCTACCCACAGAGGAATGACGCACAGTGGTGGACGTAAGACCTACTTGACGTGTCCGCACAGGCAAACTGCGGTATTCCTAAAGTGCATCGGGCTCTCGTCAATTTCCTATCCACGTCAGCATTGGCTAAGGCACAATCAAAGAGGCCCCTGCACGTCTGCAAATTTGGGTCTTGGGTTGGACACAGACGATCTCTACCTGCACCAGGCATCGAATAAAATTTTGCTACTGACAATTTTTTTTGGGCGATACCCTCTTTCGCTTCGTGGACGTGGTCCATGCTCCGCGACGCGCGACTCCGCCGACTTTTTGGAGTCTCGTGTATGCATGGTTACGAGATCATGTGCATATTATTCCAATGTCCAAAATTGTCTCGGCATTCTGTCAAGATCGGGAGGGGTTGCCCATGCGCTATGCTTAGTTTTACTTTTTGGATCGGGCACATGCAAATACCGAGAAAAAAATTGTTCAGACCCAGCCGACCAACCGAAAATCTTGGTTGGCCCACCCACAAAAAAAATGTACAGTTGCGAGGCAAAATGTGCCCGGACACTCCGCTCTGTTGCCACCGAACTATATAGCTGCAAAGTCACCAGACGTCTGCTCGATAATCGGCACCCACGCTCTTGAATCGCGTGCGCACGAATTAATACGTGGCGCGCGTCGATCAAAACATTGAGAGCGAGCGAGCAGGGCAGACTCCACGACAACACCAGCAGCTGGCTGATCCAAAGGAAGGCAGGCTTCGCTACGCCTTGGCCGAGCGTGGCGCGTAGCCCCGTGCCGCCTGCTGTTTATCCGCATGAACATTCAATCTGAGTCGTCGGCCAACGAGCCAACGACGCCTGTGGCGGTAAAGCGATCGCACTCGCCTGACCAAGTCGCGCTTTATGACCAAGCAGCTGAGCATGCAAAGCGCGCACGTATACATTCACGACCACATTTTGCTGACGCCTACCTCGAGTGCTTGTCATCGTCTGAACTGATTCGCATCATTCGTCAGATTGAACAGCTTCTTCAAGATACCCCACATGCTGCCGATGTGTATGCATTAATATACCCAAATAATATCGAAGAACGTGTGACTGCGAGCCGACGTGAGCTAGCTGCGTCGTCCATACAGACGGATCATTCTTTGCGTACTTCTTCAGAGCCACCACATTCATTTCCGTCATCATCAGCACATATTTCTCCGCCTTTATCCTCGGCACCACCATTATTATCTTCACATGTGCCGCATGTCCCATCTCCTCTCCATGCAGACACGACTACACATTCTACGACTGACAAGGAGCCGTTGCACCAGCCTCCGGGACTGACTGTGCCTCCTGACTCATCTGAACAAACATCTACACCGACCATACAGGTATCTGCGTCAGTTGCACCACCGTCTCCGCCTCCGCATACAGCGGCGGCCCCGTCGGCCTCATTTTTGACTGATTCTAGCGTTATTTCGCTGGGTGAGCCACCAGCTGGCACCGCCAGTCGATTGTATACCCCGATGATTCCTGCCTCAACAACCGACCTTGGCACATCTATGACGAGCACCTCTGAACCCTTTATATCATCGACATCGACAACTACCAATGTTACGGAGCCTGAGTCAGTCACAAACAATGGCAACATATCATCGCGTGTTGCTGCCATTCTCGAATCCATCCAAAACACCAATTCGTCTGGCCCGATGCTCGGTTTGCAAGGCCAACCACTTGCGCCGTCCAAACAAGGAGGATCTGGCTCTGGTATGACAAGTGGTCTTTCGTCTTTATTGAGCAATTCATTCCCAAATGCAAACCATCGCATGCCTGCAAACTCGGCACTGTCACGTTTGCTCGAGCAGACGACGCCTGATCCTGGGGGCATCTCTTCTCCGGCTTCTGCCATACCACCTGCTACGTCTACTGCTACTACCGCGTCGTCCTTACCCTCTGCGTCATCTCTTTTAAGCAGTCTAACGACACGACCCGGCTTTTCTACAGGCATCACTGCGACGGGCACGGGGCCTTCTGCATTAGATTATACAAGTCTGTCGCATGCAACAACACAATCGAATGCGGCAGCTACAAGTTCGGGGCTAACTTCGTCATTCACACCCACGTATGGGATTCATGACCCGCATACAACTGATGCAAATGACTCAACACGTGAGCCGCCTAGAATCACGAGCACCCTGCCGTCGTACGAAGACATGATCATTGAAGGTCTTCAGGCTATAGGTGACGTGAATGGTACTCCGCCGCGCATGCTTTTCCATTGGATGGAGGATACTTATCCGTTGATGAAAAACTTTCGGCCGTCGGCGAGTCAGGCCCTCCAGAAAGCATTTAAGCGTGGTCGTCTTCACAAGGCTGGCAGTCTGTATCGGATCAATCCTCATTGGGATGGTAGCAATGCAGGGCGTAAGCCCACCAGACGGCCGCAAATCGGAAAGGATCACCCCATGATGGTGAACGGTCCAAAAGGACCGGCGCCTGCCAGTCCGTTCAAAGCGCGTGCTCAATTTGAAGGAGCAGCTGCATACCGACAATCGTCTGTGCATTTGAACAGGCACAGAGGCTTGCGTCACCCATCGACCTTGCGGCCAGGGCCGAAGCCTTATGGTCAACCGGGTGCCGCTCCTTTGGATAACCCAGCCAGCAGTATTTTTCAGAACGGTGCCGCGGCTGCTGCGTTGTTGTTGGCGCACCAACAACGTTCGCGTGATCATAATGGGACGGTGCCATTGACATCCCAGGATCTTACCCCTACACTTACCTCTCTTGTTCGACAGCTGCGTGCTTCGCAAGGCACAGCATTGCAAGGGGCTGACGGTAGTACACAAAGCACGTCATCGCTTTCAAGTATTCTCGCGTCGGCTCTGTTGAAGCATGCGCAGCGTCCATCTGATGGTAGCGCGGCTATATCCGATCCTAGCTCCTTGACTCCTATGACGAACTCGCTGACGTCAACGTCTTCGCCAGTGCTGCAGTCTCTGTCGCGGCTTCTGGGCTCGGCACGATCAGGTACGGGTGCACCCGGTTCTGGCGCAGACGCAGGCTCCATCGACCATGGAACGGGGCTTGGCGCTGGATCCGCTCCTACACTTGGAATGAGTACAGGTCCAGATCCAAACCTAGGCTTGACCTCATCTGCGGAACCTGTGCCAGAGCACAAGTCTTATCTGCCGTTTAGCACGTCTTCCGTACCATCTCCTGCGCCGCTGCCCGCGTCTGGACCTGGCTCGCTCTCTGCATCGATTGAAACTCTTGTTCGGCAGGCAACACGTGCTGCTACACATCAAGTGTCTTCAGATGATTCTCTGACTATTTCTGACCCGGCAAACGAGCCAATAGAACCAGCACCTTCGGCGACACAGTCTGATTTGGATGCAGCCGTTTCAGAGACCTTGCAGGCAGCATTCCAAGAAATTGGACCGCAACACAAGCCAGCCTCCACAGATGTCGTACCTGACGCATCAATGCAAGACCTCGATACCAGTGAGCTCGACGGCATCAATTTGGAAGACTACAGCGATGCTTTGCGTACGCTTACCGCTGCATTGGCCGGTACACATGGCGACGATGGCGATGATGTCGACATGAGCGGTCGTGAAGGCCAGAGTCATGGTCACAACGGCGAGGACGATGATGAGGAAGCACAGCGACTCGCTGATGAAAAAGCCATTGCCGATGCTGAAGCTGATTTGTCAGATGCCGAGGGCGGTGACAGCGACGGACATGAGTCGGTGCCTGATCATGACAGACCTTATGAGTCAGTGGGATCGAATCGCATGGAATCGCTCCTCAGGTCGTATGGTATTGACGTGTCAACAGAGGCCATTCAGCATTTGACCGAGACGCTGCGTGACCCAAACATGTCGGTCTCTGATCTGACAGACAACAAAGCGATGCAGTCTGGAGCGACAGGTGCCTCTACGACTTGTGCAAGTGTATCATCAGCATCCGAAGAGCCAACATCTTCGTCGACAAATACGCATGTGCCACAGCCGTCTGCGTCGTCAGCGAATGATAGACACGTTCAGCCTCCACCCAGCGATTCAGCGCCGTCTCTAAAACCCGAGGAATCATTTTCTCATCACGAGTCTACTGTACCTAGACAAGATCAGTCTATCGCCACGGGGCTCAAAGAAGAAGCACATACATCCAATTCAGCCGCGCCTACGACAACTTCGGCGACATCTGCCTCTGATTCACCTACCATGCCGCTCCTTGATCCGGAAGCCAGCGACGAAGCACATAACCAATCGATCCAGTCCCAATTGGAGGCACTTATTGCAAGTCTGGCTGCTGACAGTGAGGGTTAATGCATGGACCGAATTCGTTTCGTCGTTTCTTATATTTTCTCTTGTTTTGCAAAAAAAAAATGATTCATCAGTCGTTCGTTTCGTTCATGCTTCCATCATTCCTATGCACATGTACAAATAGCTAGATAGTTGTTTGAGTTATGACAATTCCAAAATGTCGCGTGCTTCATTCAGTTTCGGTCGGACCCAAGAACTTCCGCTCAGCTCGATGGATGTGTCCAGGGCTTTCTTGACGGTCTCCCACATGCCTGCATTGGCTGGATCATGAAGTAACTCGTGTGCCAATTCAACACCAAAGCGCTCGTTGCGTTCGTACGGCGATGGCGCAACGCAGTGCGCCAGGATGTACTGCAACAGTTTTGGCGCCCGACAAGCAAATATTCGCAGTACACGCGCTGGATTAAGGTAGATTGGCGTCGTTTCAGTATCAGCAGCGAGCAAGAGAGGCACGAGATTCACATTGTAATGCACAGGTGGGGCATCAGGCATACTCGCAGAGGATGTGAGGAGTGTGTTTCGGAATGAGATGAAAATACCGAGGCCATCGCCCATGAGCATGTCACGAACTGTCTTGTCCGTGATGCCATCACGCAAAGCAAAGCCTCGAATGATGTTGCTTCCTAAGGCAAACAAGTCGCCCGTAGGGCCCATTCGGCGACCCAGAGGGCTGATTTCCAGTTCGGGTGGAGTCCAGTCGAAGCTTAGTAGCTGGATCAGGCCGTCATGCTGAGCCGATCCACGGAACGGTGACGCATTTTCAAAATCAATGATATATAAAACGCCTTTCTGGTTGAACATAAGGTTCTCCAGTTTAATATCACCGTGCATCCAACCATGACAATGCATGCGCCAGAGAAGCAAGATAGCGTCGGCAAATACGCGCGCCATAACAGGCATAATTTCATGATCTTGGCATCCAGCGATCACGAAGAAAGCTTCTTCAGGAAAGTCTTCTTCCAGTCGAACAATCTTGTTATCTTCTGTTCTGAGCACGTGCGGCTTGACTGCGCTTTGCACCGGCGTAAGAGTCTCGGCCTTTTGGAGCTCGTCAAGAATGTCGTCGATGTAATGTCGCCGAAGATCAGCCTCATACTCTCGTGCATACAAGGGGTCGACTGTCTCGTTCTTCGCCACACGGAGCTTCGACTCGACACTCTTGATTTCCATCGCCGCAAAAAAGTTGCCATACTGGTCCATGGCCCATCTCCGCCGCTTTGCCGCAGAAAACACGCGGTTGTCCGGCGTCGTGATGAGGAAACTGATACCTTCGCCGCTGGGTCCAGGTGCGTAAAACAAGCGTACACTTAGACTGTCACTTGTGGCGCCCTCGCGAAAGGGCCCGTCTTCATCGTACAAAGTACCTTCCACATGTTCGATAGAACGTCGCGGGACTAAAGACAGTATGTCCTTCTTGTCGTACATCTGGTCAAGAAGCTGAAGCTCTGACTGGACATTGGGTTCAGGCGAACCAGTACGTGGGGTTGGCACATAGTCCTTGAGGGCGGAGCGAAGGAGCTTCGAGCGCCGGTCTCGTCGCGCTTCGAGTGTCGGCTCGTACTGGCACCAAGCCGCGGAGGCCTTCTCCATGAAGCGCGACGCAGACGATGCAGCTGACACATTGCGCGTTGTTGTCTTCACCACGGCATCGTCAGGATACACGTCGAGGCTGGCTTTTTCTAGCAGTATACTTGACAAAGAGTCGGACAAGATGGGATGCGACATATCCATTCGACTTGGCGAGCCTCTAGGCAAGAGCGAAGCATCATTTTTGGCGGTGAGCGATGTAGGTGAAAGCAAGGCAGATGCTTGTGGTGCAACCGTACGATCACCACATTGCCGAAAAGGGTGCACCGCTGATGTCCCGGTCGATGGTGTGGGTATGGGCCTGTAATCTGATGAGACAAATGCACTTGCAGGCACTTCCTCATCATGCGCTGGCATGAGTGATGATTCAATATCATGCACGTTTCGGGTCTGCGCAGACGCAGGGGCGATACCAAGAGAGCTTGCAAACTTGTGCGTAATGGGATCATGGTTTTCCCACGTCCGCGGCGGCGATACCATTACACTTTTGATCACTTTCCATGGCGAATCAGATGCAGGATCAGCTATCATATGAGCCCAGCGCTCCTCGTCCTTGCCAAGAAACAGTGATGCTCTGCGCCGATCAAGTGGCGGGCGTGTGAGCGATGTCCCTGACCTTGCTCTCTGAACCGACATGTTGGAATGAAATGTGATCACACGGAAGCAAGGAGGTGGGTGCCTTGTCTGTAAGAGAGGCGACGTCGACAAGCAAGGCAATCGATACTTTTTACAACTAGTAAGGGGCGCTTGGCTTGTGTCCAGCTGATGAGTACGAACAGGAAGTGCTAATTGTGCCAAGACTTGAAAATGTGGCGAATTCCATCAATTAGTACTAAGATACTAAGAAATAAAACAGCTATTCGTAAGGGTCATCGGTCTGTCGTCGTCACTTGCATCCCGCCACATGTGGAGGTGAGCGTCGTTGGTTAGCGCACGCTACGTGCACTTGACTCGAGGGCCGGGGTCGGAGGCATTATGTAGATATATACCCTGACAAAGAGCCGGAGGCATGATAGTCACCAAAGAGCTGTAAGAAGATCTCGCCACCCGGAACCTGTAATGGGCCTATATCAGCAGTGCGAAGCGACGACAAACGGTCTTCTGCGGTGGCATGCTCGTGAAGGGAGGCCAATGAAGCATCAAGGCGTCTTTTCCGCTCTCGGTCCCAAATCTCGTGCAAGGCCAAGGACAAACATCGTAGTCCCCATAGGTAACCAGCATCTGGCTTGTCGCGATGTGCAGGGGGGTGTCGAGATACAGGAAGCATCGTTTCGTCGGGCCGTGTGGGCGGCCGCCCGCCATGGTCTTCAGGGAAGTAGAAATCTTTGCCTGTCGTGCAATGAGCAAAATCAATTATCCGAATATTCATGTTGCCTCTGCGCCAGAAACGTCGACCGCCTCCATGACCTGGCAAAGAAAGCGGCGGTTCTTCTTTTGGTGACGTTTCCGCCGAAAAAACTGGGGACGGAAGAGTGATAGTGGTAGATGATACACTGGAAGGCGCCTGGGGCGACGTGATAGTCGTCGAGGGGCTCGCCTCGTACGGCGGTGTTACAAGGAACGGCTGACTGCTGATATCGGTATCGGTAGTGCTCGTTTCTCTTGTATCAACGCACGAATCTGGGGGAGTATGGGCGTCGGCGCCCATCATATTGGCCACGTTGATGACGCGAATCACCCAAAACGTCAGCCTCAAAGCCTTGCAAAAGTGCCCGCTGCCGACGGACATCGCCGTCATAAATCAGAAGCAGGCTGCTAGCATAGAAGCGGTAGCCCGCGAGCTTACATGCATGCTGAGCCAGGCAGTAGAGCTTCTCAACGAGCACTGGTATATGGTGAATAAGCACTTGATAACCATTGTGAAAGAATGTCTCGAGCACCGATGTAAACTCATCTGGTTTCACGTTGCGGCCATAGTATTTGTCCTGAAAGACAAACTTGTCCTGGCGCGCATCATACATCTGCATACCGCAGATCCGCACACCATGTGTCCGACTGGTTGTCTTGATGCACTTGTTTGTCTGGCTCTTTTTCTTCGCATCTGTCGAGTCCAGACCGTACTGTCGAGTGCCCATTTTCAGATCCAGGACACATGGGGCCTTGAGTCCTCCCGTTAAATCTTCTAGGAGAATGAATTGCTCTTGCCGTGCGCTTGACTTTACGGGCGACGCTGTTGTAGGCGACGGACGTGCTCTTGAAACAGGCCGCGGGGTCGCTCCAACTTCCGCTCTGTCTCCTGTTCCCGTGCTGTCAGGCCCTGTTTCCAGAGGCACCTCTGGTTCCACATTCATTCTCATTCCCACACTTGACATTGCGCAATCTTCATGACTCCGCGGCCGGCTTTGATTCCATGTGCTATCAGTGTAATCCAAACTCGAAAATGCAGTCATACTACTGCCCTGTTTCTTCTGGTCCCAAGACCTAGCCAGTCGATCACCTGGACCTGCATGCCCACTTACTGACCGCTTGTTGCGGTGCCGTGGCTTGCGTTGACGGAACACTTCGCGGATCACTTGTTCCTGCAAGCGCCGATTCACCGATGTGCAACCCTTTCCCAAGATCGTATTCTCACTTGAAACCGCATTACCAGCGGCATCAAACTCTTCATTTCCACGCAGTGACCGCCTCACAAGCCAGTCTGGCATTATGTGCTGGTTTCGATCGATAGCCACTTCTGGCACCTCATTTTCATCCTCGTCTTGGCCGTGGAAAATGCGGCGCCTTGGCTCCGGTGCACTTGTGGTCATAGACACCTGATTGCTCGCCTTGTCAGCAGAATGCATCACAGGCTCACGGTGTACGTGTCGGTATGTTACATTCAATACACCCAGATACTGCGGCACAAACGCCAGCATGTCTGGGTGATCACGCTCCAACGCTTCGTAGAATTGGTTCTCACGCGAAGTGAGTGGTTTGCACACAGCACGCCGCGAGAATTGAAAAATATGACTGTGGCCACCAACCTGATGATTAAATGGCTGCAATTGTACGACACTTGGTGGCGGCTCTGTTGAGTCTTGGACATGGTGGTGCTGATGCAGGCGGGCTGTATGCGGCGTTCGTACATCTGAATTTGCACTGAAGTGCGGGGACGGAATAGTAAGTGGATTCGTGTAGCTTCCATACCCATCCATTTGCCTTGGTGGCTCTGCTGCAGAGGCCTTTTCCACGTCAGTCTCCTGCTCACTGGCTGTATCGCTTTCCTCAGAAGACTCATCTGAGCTTGTATCGATCCAGCTTGCACCTTGCGCCTTATCGCCATCATCGTCATACATCGTGGAGTTCGTCAAAACATCATGTGGTTGTGAGGAAGGCGGAGTCGACTCATTCCACGATGACATGGAACGCTGTAACAAGCTTTGAGGCCTGAGCGGTTGCGATGGTGAGGGCGATGCTGTCATAGCTGTTGCTGGACTCCGACACAAGTAAGCTTGATGCATAGAATCCATTGAAGATGGACTTGAATCCTGGCGCTTCGGGTTTGTTAGATGCTCTGTCTGGTTCGGTGTCGTTCCTGAAGATTGTGCGGCCATGAACAGATGCAATGAGGCAGCGGCTTTCCGCCCACTCCCTACTCGTTGCGATACTCCTTTCTCGTCTACATTCTCATCCACAGTCTCATCCAAATGGTTCTTTCCCGATGAAGAAGTCGCCATAACTGGCGGCGGTGGCGCACGAATCGCTTGAGTGTGGCGGGGTTGAGGAACTCGACGGCGATGCTACCGGACTGCGTGCGTGCTCATTTCTAGACGAGCTGCTACCCATACCTTGTTGCACAATATGGGATTGCATTGCCCTCCAGAACGTTTTACAGCAGGTATACCTCCCGCTAACTGACAAACGAGTACGATGAGTGATAACCCCGCACTGCACACGCTAAGTAACGACTCCAAAAATTTGTGGATTTAGCAGGCGCTACGGGTCGGTTTCAAACGTGCGGGTGTGCTCGTGCGCGGTGGAGGGACGCGCACGCCTCCCGCTCACTCTTTCTCCCGCACGTGGACCAACCCTCCACGAACACGCTTCTTGTCCACGTGGAGCCCTGCATCCTTGAATCGACCATGGGGGTAGAACTATATGCATCACGTGCATTTGACTAGCTGCTGGGAGGCGAGGAGGGGGGCTGGCCTTCGGCGGTGCCCAGTACTCCAGCTCGCTACCCTTTCATCCTAGCGTGGTTATCAAGTCGTCATGGGCAATCAACGTGTGTCTTTCAAGCGCTACGTCGAGGTGGGCCGTGTTGTCCTCGTTTCGAACGACGAGTCAAAGAACAATCTCGCTACGATCGTCGAGATCGTGGACCAGAACAGGGTATGTATTCTTGGCTTGAGCCAGTCAAAGGCGCGAACAGCGTTCAGAGAAAGATAAGCGCGCATTAGGACCAAGGTGATGATGTCGAAAGCACCTGCACATAAGTACTATCGGTCTTGATGGACATCCGCTTTTTTCTCTGATGCTTTCGATTTCTATGGCCTCCGCGCACATAACGGTATCTTGTGTGACGAATACTAACTTTTTGTAGGGTGTGATTGATGGCCCATCAACTGGCGTGCCCCGTCAGGTTATGGCCTTCCGCAACATGAATCTGACCGGCTTCGTCATCAAGGTCCCCCGCGGTGCTGGCACACCTGTTGTGAAGAAGGCATTCGAGGCCTCTGGTGTCAAGGAGAAGTGGGAGAGCAGCAAGTGGGCTAAGACTCTCAAGGCTCGTGAAGCCCGCAAGAACACATCTGACTGTACGTTGATGGCCTTGTATTTCGCCTGGGACACTTGTGCTGACAGATTACTAGTTGACCGCTTCCGGATTCAGGTCTTGAAGAAGCAGCGCCGCAGCATTATCGGCGCTGCTGCCAAGAAGGTCCAGGCCTAAGCATGTTATGATCTGTGTGAGAGTTGGATCTCACCCTCCTATTTGCCAAAATGTAGCAGCGGTTCTAAGCGCAGCGAACTCGGTTCTTCTCAGCGCCGCTTCACCTTGTGCTATTATTCCCTTGAGAACGGCGCGCATCTTGCGCCCGGCATAGCTAGAAATATATTCTATGTCCGGTAACTTGTGTGTGAGCAGTAATACTGCATCGACTTGGTGTATGAGTGGCGATCAGCGGCGTTAAGATGTACTTGGATTAGACTCTTCTTTTAGATCATGCCGGCCGGCCCATTGAAAAGGGTGTTGTTGTTTTACATAATTTTTTACACTATGGATCCGCACGTTATGTTTTGCTGTCATGACAGCATAAGATACCTCGTGGGATAGCTCAACTACGACCTCGTGTTAAAAGTTGCGCTTCATGATACTGGCTCTGTACTGACGCAAGCGCAAGGTAGCTATCCTCTTTTCTTTATTTTTCGTGATAAACGTTTATATGAGTGTCCTATGAATACAAAGATTTGGCTATCTGCTCGTACCACTCGTGCTGTTGTCAAGTGTGCACTTATTTGGAACAGTTCAATTCATACCGAAATTCCTTGTAGCACTCATCAAAAGGTTCTCATTGCAGAGTGGAGAGGAAAGAGCACTAGTTCGTTAGACGTCGAGTCGGCAAGCCTTTTGTCGATCGAACTCTCTCCACACTTGATCCAGTTACTGAGATTAAATATAGACTCGCTTGGTTTAGCCAGATGAGCATGAGTAAGGAAGGGTCAGGTTCAAGTAATGTGGCACCACTTAATGGTCAACAGCAAGGTATGTGTATAGGAAATGGATCTGACCCAGAAAGATGACGTGCTGAAGGCTCGTCTGGCTTCGGATGAAAAGTTCGTGCGCCGGATAAGCAAACGCATCGCGTTGTTGGCACAGGCACGCACACTGACTGACCGGTACGTGCTTCCTGTGATCCATCCGCTAATCGTACAGTGAAGCAACTGTTGCGCTGTTAAAGCTTGACCTGCAAATGTTTTGCGAACACATGAGTCGCCTTCAACATATGACTACCACAACCTCGGCTGCGGAAATTCGTGTATTTGAGGACCAAACGGCAGAACTACGTACGTACTTCGATTGAAAAAGCTGAGGTTTGGGATGAAAGCACTCTCTTGGTTTGGTCCACATTGATTTCTTACATGTATCAGATAAAAGGAGTGAAGAAAGGCGTGCTGATATTGAGGTGATGAAGAAACGGCTTGAGGATGCCAAGCAACACCGAGCGCACGTTGCAGAATATAATTCTTTGGCGAAAAAGATTCTCGTATACCCGAAGCGTGATGAAATGATAGCGTACGTCATCAAGTCAGCTAACCTTAAAGTTCTTCACAGCAACTTTGTGAACGCATTGAGCAGCTCCAGAAAGAAATCCAGAAATATGACGATGCTAGCGCTACTACGCGACAAGGTCTGGATAACGTCTCGGCTACCTTAAAGCAGATTCAACAGGATGTGCGTCACTCTCTAGGATACAAGCCATTGCCTGAAGACAAGACGACACACTCGACAATGTCAACAACAACTTCATCCAAATTAAATCCACAAGCGCGTGCATTTCAACAAGATCCCATCCGAGCACCAACGTCGAAACGGTCACATTCGGATGCTTCCTCAACCGAGGATTCACACACAACGTCGCCTAATGAAGCCAAGCGAGTCAAAACCGAGACTTGGACGATGCACGCTGATACTGTAGCAAATCAGCAGGTGTCAGCTCATCATTCCAAAGAGGAATAATAGAATCTGAAGGCGCTCAAGTCATCAGGATCCCTTTAATCTCACACAAAACTCTATACTTTTGTAGGCATATATCTCGTTGCACAAGGGCTACGACTCGCAGCTATCACGTAGAAGTTCTACAACAGTACAATCCGCGACAAGGAAAAAGTATGGAGGGAAAGCATGCCGCGGTAGCTGCGAGGTTTTGAAAGTTGCTCACCAAAAAGGATGCACTGGTGCGCATACAAAGCCATTTCCTCGAGTCCGCATGTAGGAGTCTGCGACATACTTAGTAGAAGTAGCCGAGGATCTTGCCAGCGACGTGTTTCCGATGCGCCTCTTCATGGTCCATAATGCCCGATGACGTCGTGAGAACCACGAAACCGAAAGAACGAGCAGGAAGCATGGCTGAAACCCAGCGCTCCATCTCCGTCAGGGGCACAGGGTAGCGAGGGGAAATCACACCGCACTTGTTGATGCGGCCGATGAGCTGAACAACAATCTTACCAGCGCGGTGGTCATCAATGATCTCGAAGTCTCCGATATAGCCTAATATCGCGTTAGTATACACCATTCATTGTCCAAAGAAAGACCGCATTGAATCAGAGAAGAGGGCAAGAGGTGGGGGCGCAACGTTGCACAAAGTGTTGCATGCCTAGGCTTTATAACCTATTACGCAAAAGAACAGGTCGCAAGAGGAAAGCATATCCTGTTCAGTGCGAGCTGCGTTGATTTCTCGGAACCTTAAAGAAGAACTCTGGTGGAAGCAAGACCCAGGAGCCCAACAGTTATAATCCCGAGTAGGAAGGCCTGGCGGCAGAGTATGCGCATATACACGAAGACATTTTCTATCACCCCTTGCTCTCCCTCTGCGGGTTGTATCCGTGCGGTCAGTGAGATACATACCATGCTTCTGCATAACGCTCAGGAACTTCACCACAACCTTGGACGATGGGCGGATAAGAACCTGGCGCTTTCCGCGACGCTCAGCATTCACAATGCTCACAAGGGCGTCGTTCTATTCATGTGGATTAGTTTTGTTGCCTGCTTGCCTGTATACGACGTACCAGTACCGAGATCCTGACCATGTTGGACTTGAAGGTTACGAGAAGAAAATTAGCGCCTACCCAAAGCGTGTGAATTCGCCTCGGGGCCAGATGGGCATTTTTGCAATACTTGTGGACTCACTCTGCCGCGCCGCCGCCCCTCCGCCTCAGAGTAATAGATGAGCACGTGACATCTTCAAAACTGCATATTGCGCGCGTGCCGGAGGAAGGAAGCTCAAGTGAGGGCGATAGTGCGTAGGACTTCGTCGGCCGGACGGTATTCTCCTGTTTCCCTAACACCAAAGGCAAGACAAGATGGTGCGTAGACTGAGACACGCTAGTCGCATGGTCTCTCGTCGTCTGTACGAGTGTTACCACACATGCACATGAGTACTGCTGGGATGTGAAGTCCGAGAAAGCTGCAGGCGTCCTGGGATGGAAAGCGCAAAGTTGCGAACTTTGCGTGCATGTTTGCTGTGTGCAGCGTGCGGTGCCGCGACGATGGGATGCATGCTGTAATGTTGAGCTAGCGTGATTACATTGTAGAGAGCTTGTTAGTACTAACACTATGACAGGGTCGCGTCCGCACTAAGACCACCAAGCGCGCTTCTCGTGTTCTCATTGAGAAGTACTACCCCCGTCTGAACCCCGTTGACTTCCACACCAACAAGAAGGTGATTGATGAGGTGGCCATTGTCCCTTCAAAGCGTCTGCGCAACAAGATCGCTGGTTTCACGACGCACTTGATGAGGCGTATCCAGCGTGGCCCTGTCCGTGGTATCTCGTTCAAGCTCCAAGAAGAAGAGCGCGAGCGCAAGGACCAATACGTTCCGGAGGTGTCGGCTCTTGACCCGTCGGTTGCTCCTCTTGAGATTGACCCCGACACGGAGGAGATGATTCACAGTCTTGGCTTTGACAACCTTCCAGTGACTGTTACAGCTCCTGTGACGTCGCAGCAAATGCCTGAGCGTAAGGGCCGCCACGTCCCAGGTGCCGGCCGCCGCTAAGCGCATATTTGGTCCATACACACTATTTATCACAGGCAGGTTTTGCTTTGTGACTCGAAAAATACATCATGTAATGCATGTTGCTTTAGCCCCTATTCTGGCTGTATCAACCGAGGCGATTCTTTGCTAGAACGGTTTGTAGCTAGGCTGTGTAAGATGCGGAATGCTCGAATGAGCGTGGGTGCATTGTTTCTATATGATTCCCATATTCTGCGGGATGTGCAGTCTCTATCGGGTGCATGGTGGTAAGGGTTGGCATCGGCGCAGGTGGCCGTGCAGATTACGCGGGCATCTCGAGATGGATGTGGCCACATTTGGCCCCCTGTTCACAGAGCTCCCCTGTGCGAGAAAATCCACGTGCAAAAATTTCTTTCTTGACACCTGTCCGGCCAATCTAATGACTCCATAGACGCAGTGGCCATGCTAGGGCGTCGACGTACAAAGCGTGCCTGAGAATAGGACAGTGTAGGCGCTCACGATTCTGGCTCTGTCCATCACCATCATCATGGAGGCGAAGTATCGACAGTGGTGTAGTACATACATGCGATCGAGTCCGTCTGTACGTGAAAGTGCATACGGCATTCTTACTAATGATAGGGCTTGTATTGCTTTTACAATGGCTCGGTATGCAGGCATTAGGAGGTTCTGCGTCGCGTGCAGCTACTAACGTGCAGGGTGACAACGGTGATGCTGTAACATGCTCTGAAGCACATGGTGCGTAAAGAATGGGTGCTAATATGCCAGGTTATGCTATGTTGATTGCTGTACTTCATGGCAACCAAGTTGACTTCGACGGTTTACTGACATTTTTTCTGAATTTCCGCAACGAACATGGTCTGATGATGTGGCAAGTTCGGATGAACCAATCTGGCGCACTCTATGTGGAGGAAGATGCTCGCGATTGTGCGACAGATGGTGATATCGATATTGCAACAGCCTTGTTCCAGGCCCAGAGAGTTTGGCCGAATGGCTCGTCGAACTTTCCAGCGGGTGCTTATGGCTACGAGGCAGCCGCGCTGAGTGACGCTCTGTTGGCACATTGTGTTCATCCAGAGCTTCATGTTCCTTTACTTGGCGACTGGTGCTGCACTGACAGCAAGGAAAACCGCCGTCTGCATGACTCGACGCGCAGCTCTGACTTTATTCTGTCGTCCTTTTTGCTTTTTCACATGAAACATCCAAACCCCGAATCACGTCAGCGGTGGCAGCAAGTGCTTGAGGCGACGCTGCAAGTGGCCATTTCGCAGCTGGATGTGAATCCGCGCACTGGTCTCATTGCAGATTTCCTCGTGCATGACAAACGGCATGGATGGCATCCATCAAAAGGTAAGCATCTGGAATCTAAGTACGATGGTGAGATGAGTTGGAATGCTTGCCGTACGCCTTGGCGTCTGGCTCATTACTATGCTGTCAGCGGAGATCAGCGCATTTTGCCTTTGTTGCAGACTATGTTGAAGACGCTACTTAACGCCAACTTCCCTGCCGTTCCTGCGGGAATCCGTATACGTGATGGAAAAGGTCTTGCTGATTACTCGTCGCGCGCATTTATCGCTCCTGTTGGCTACTTAGCCTATGCATTGGGCGATGGCGCCTCGCACATGACGGCTATCCGCGCTCTCGATGACGAGGAAGACGAGTACTTTGGCGACTCGATCGATCTCGTCATTGCTGAAGAGGCTATGGCAGCCCCTATGTGGCTGGCTTAGATGCATGCTGCCAGTGATGTTGCCTGTAGCTATCGTGATGAATCAAAATCGTTGTAGACGTGAGAGCCTCCACTCTGCGTGCTCGCCAGGCCACGTGGCATCTGCATTTTCGGTTCGGCGCTTGGACCAACATTCACATCTTTTTTGTGGGCAGGGCGAGTACAAAATCTCGAGATCCCACGTATTCGGACGTTCCTGAGATGGCGCGTTCTCGGCACGCAGGTGTCCTGAGCCATTCCGTTTGCAATGCAAGTCTCCTCTCATCTCTCAGATGTTTTCATTCATCCACGCGTTATGTCAGTGATCATGCACGCGTCGTCGATGATCTGGCCGCGTCTTTCGCAGACGCATATCCATCTGCATCAACAACATCTGCATCTGTGCCTGCATCGTCAGCATCATCATCCATGCCGCAGTATACATATAAGAGACCACACGGAGTTGTTCAGCGTGCTATCCAGACAATACTGAAGCAGTCACCGTATACACATGCAATTCCCACAATGCATTATGTGACCAAGTCACACTTAGTCGATAAACTTTTACCACCTGCTTTGGCCCATACAAACACGCTGGGCGGCATTGTTGGTCTAGATCTCGAGTGGAATTTTGGTCTTCGTATGGGGAAAACGGCCGTTGCCCAACTTGCGACTGCGAATGACATATTTGTCATTCATCTTTCGCAGATGAAGCGCCTTCCTGATACCCTAGTGGCTATGCTTCAAGATCCACACATTCTAAAATCCGGTGTTGCAGTTCGACAGGATCTTAGCAAGCTGCAGCGCGACTTTGGGATTGAGACATGTGGCGCGTTGGAGCTCAGCCGTATTGCGTGGAAGCTCGATCCTGAGCGATGGAATGGTCGCCGCGCACTTATTAGCCTACGGGACTTGTGCGCTGCATACCTTGGCTGCGACTTGGCCAAAGGACCAACGCGCACAAGCTCATGGACACAAGTACCGCTCACCAACGAGCAAATCACGTACGCCGCATCAGATGCATATGTCTCGTTGGAACTAGCGCATGCCATGCTTCTTGATGCGCATGCCAAGCGACCCATGTCTTCCGAAGATGCGCAGAAGCTGTTGACTGAAGTATCGCAAGCCAAAGGCCGGCGCGTGGCTGCGCGGCCAAGTACGTCTGTGCCATTGGCTCACAATCGCGCATGGGATGCTTGGGTCCAGGGCCAGAATGTCCACGAACTCGCTGAAGCGAAAGGCATCCGCATATCCACGGCTGGTACCTATGTGGCGAGAGCGCTTGCAGAATCGATTACCCCGGTAAAGCAGGGCTCGCAAACCTGGCATCGGCTACGAACAGAGTTCTCTCACCCATCCATGCACTACATTGTTGTGCGCTATGCATACGGCTTCGTAAAGCAGGGTGTGTTTACATATCCTGAACTGCATCAGTTTCTGCAGTCCCTGCGAGCTATGTCTCCTGCTACCTCGTCATAACCCATTGACACCTACGCAAATGCATCGCCCAGACCCTTGTCCTCACAGGCCTTGTGCAGTGCGGCCTTAGCCTCAGCGTGTCCTTTTTCACATGACTCGCGCAGGGCCACCACTTGTTCAGGCTCCAATGCACCGCACAGGGCGTCCAGAGCACCAAGCTGCTTCTCAAGCACAGTCGCTGAGGGCGACACGCCTTCAGGCTGGAAGTAGTTTGCACCGGTGATGATGTTCCGGATGCTTTTCTTTTCCTTCTTGAGGTTCTTCTTCGCAGCTTCGCGCACTTTTTTAGCGGCTTCGCGTTCCGCCTTCTCGGCCTCTTCCTTCGCAGCGGCTTCCTTGGCGGCTTTTTCGGCCTCTTCCTTCTTGCGCTGCTCTTCCGCGGCCACCTCTGCAGCACTCTTACCGCTAGGTGCTCCCGGACGGCCCTTGTTCTTTTTGGCTTCACGAGCAGCACGCTCAGCGGCACGGAATGCCTTGATACGTGGGTCCAAAGAGAGCGCCTTGTCGACCAAGTTACGCAGACGAGCATTGTCTTCCTTCTTGCGACGCGCACGCTCGTTGCGGTTCTTCTTTTCCGTGTAGCGCTTTTCGTCACGGTTGTCACTGCCATCATTTACCTCCTTGTCCAAGTATTCGAAGCTGCGCCAACTGTCAAAGTCATAGAAGAAGTTGTAAAAGTCGTCAACTTCGTCCTTTGTGCTGTCCTTTGTGCCGAGCGAAGGCACAGGCGTCCGTTTCGAGAACCGGGCTTCCCGCTCAAACACAGGCCCCCACAGCTCATAGAACCTATCCGGGCTCTCTTTGCCGGTCGGTACGTCGTCGTCATCCACGCCCTCATCTACACTGTCAAACTGACGGCGTTTTTCAGGGTTCGAGAGGATCTCAAACGACTTTGCGACGCACTTGAAGAATGCGTCGTCACTCAGGCCTGTAGCACCCACTTTCTTGTCTGGGTGATGCTTGAGGACCTTTTTGCGGTGCGCAATCTTGATTTCATAGTCTGTGGCCTTGTAGCGACGGGACGAGAGACCCAGTACTGCGTAGTGGTCAAGAGACTTCCATTCCTTTGGATCACTTTCGAGCAGTTCTCTACTTTCCGGCTCCTCACCGATGTCATTATCAAGCTCATTGACTTCCGTGTTAGCAGCGGCATGCTCGTCCAGGCGCTGCTTCATGAGAGCGTCGTCATCTTCAAACGTGCTCTTATGCAGTTGCCTACGCATGTGACCAAGGAATGCATCGCCCACTGGCGCCACTTCCACACTCGTTAGAGACAAAGCAGAAGTAGACGCCTGCGTAGGCGCATAGTTTTTTGGCGCAGCAGGCAGTGCGAATGGAAAGTCGATCACTGCGGCCATAATGGACGGATGTCGTAAGTGAAGAAAATGCAAACGCTGTGCGGGAATGAAAACGTACGAATGTGTGGCGCGAATACGCGCATATTTCCCAGCTCGTACTGAGCGACCCCGTCGACGGTCCTGAAAACCTTGGCACATCTTGCCCTGACGCAGCGGAGACTGCGAGTTATTGTTGTCGTCTCACGTGATGCAAATCCATGTGCCTGCCTGCTGTAGGAGTCATGGAGCGTGAACCCACACTGCACGCTCGATTCGTTGACGACGACGAGGCATGATTGATTTGCAGCTTCTGCAGGTAGAGAAAGGCGGCAACCCAGACCTAGTGCGCGAGTCGCAGCGCAAGCGCAATGCACCCGTAGAACTTGTCGACGAGGTATTGTCGATGTACAAGCACTGGGTGGGTTTGGAGTTCCAATTGAACACCATGCAACAGGAAGTGAATGCTACACAGAAAGCCATCACGGCGAAGAAGAAAGCCAAGGAAGACGCAGATGCCGAGCTTGCGAAGAAGAAGGAACTCGATGCCAAGATCATTGAGTTCAAGCCTCAGGTCGCTGAGGCTGAGCGTGCGATGCGTGCGAAGGCAGTGACGATCGGTAATATTGTTGGCGATAAGGTGCCGGTGTCAAACACAGAAGATGACAATCTAACTGTGCGTACGTGGCATCCTGAGGGACCCAATGCACAGTTTGAGAAGAGAATCGACTTTGTTTCGCACCACGAGGTCATGTACCGCCTTGAACTGTTCGACACGGAGCGAGGTGCGAAGATCTCTGGGCATCGTGGCTTTTTCCTCACAGGCGATGGTGTTGACCTGAACCAGGCATTGATCAACTATGGCTTAGACTTTTTGCGGAAGAAAAACTACAAGAAGATGATGACTCCCTTTATGATGCGGAGGGAACACATGGCCAAGACGGCTCAGCTCGAGCAGTTTGACGAAGAATTGTACAAAGTGACGGGTGATGAGGATGACAAATATCTGATTGCTACGTCTGAGCAGCCCATCTCTGCATTCCACTCGAATGAGTGGTTCGATCGCCCGGCCGAGCAGCTGCCAATCAAGTATGCAGGGTACTCGACGTGCTTCCGGAAAGAAGCTGGCTCGCACGGCAAGGATACATGGGGCATTTTCCGCGTGCATCAATTTGAAAAAATTGAGCAGTTCTGCATCACGGATCCTGCTAGTTCATGGGAGATGCTGGACCACATGCTCGCCAACTCGGAAGAATTTTACCAGAGTCTACAAATCCCGTACCGGGTTGTCGCTATTGTTTCAGGCGCTTTGAACAACGCCGCAGCAATGAAGTATGACCTCGAGGCTTGGTTCCCCTTCCAGGGTGAGCACAAGGAGCTTGTCTCTTGTTCGAACTGCACAGACTACCAGAGCCGGCGTCTTGAGGTCCGGTGCGGTATGAAGAAGCAGGGAGATACGAAAAAGCAATACTGTCACATGCTGAACGGCACGCTGTGTGCGACGGAACGTGCTCTATGCTGCTTGGTTGAGAACTGGCAGACGAGTGAGGGCTTGCGGATTCCACCCGTTCTCCAGCCGTACATGCAAGGCCGAGACTTCTTGCCATTTACGAAGGTACGTGCGACATTGGTGTAGAAAAGCTGGTCCAGCGTTGGTGGAGACCGACTGCGGGCTGCCGTTTCTTTCTCTCTGCGAACATACTAACACGACACACAGGACCTTCCCAAGGGCTCCACGAGCCAGAAGCGCAAGTAATGGTAATTAGAGAGAGAGTGTGTGAAAAAAAGAGTTGCTTGTTAAGTATAAGTGCTTAGTAGCTACGGCCAAACATGGTCCAGGTCTTTGACGGCCTGCCACACTGTGGACACGTGTGGCCCTCAATCGGGGGATACGGCGTCTGGTCGAACGGAATGCACAGCGATTTGGCGCCCATAGATGGAGCGCGCTCATCTTGCGCCTCTCCTGCCAGTGCAATGCGGGCACTGCGATCCTTGATCTGGTCCTCACACTCCTCGACTTGGCACCAAGGAATGATCACGTGGTTCTTTTCATTCAGTGTTGGAGTAAATTCTTCCCATGTCAGGACGACCTTGCGGTGGTCACGGAACTCAGCATCCGCCTTGCGGAACATGTCGTTGTGGATCTGGTCCAGCAACATAGGCACACTCTGGTCGAGCGAGTTCAGTGCAAGTGACTCCTTCGCTCCCGTATCGCGACGGACAGCAATCAGCGACTGGTTGCTGAGGTCCTTAGGTCCCACTTCCAAACGCAACGGCACACCACGCAGCTCCCAGTCGTTGAATTTAAAGCCTGGGTTGTAGTTGTCTCGCAGGTCGGCATGCGCACGAATTCCACGAGTACGTAGCTGTTCGGCCACGTCATCGCATGTCTTGTTCACCGCATCTTTCACGTCCTGCGAAACCTTGACGCCCAAACCGCATGGCACAAGCACAACCTGCACTTGCGATACGCGAGGCGGCATGACAAGACCCTTATCATCACCGTGCACCATGACCATCACACCAATGGTACGTGTGGACAGGCCCCAGGAGTTCTGCCACACAAAGAGCCGGCCCTCTGGCTTACCCCGCGTTTCATCCGTCGCCTTAGGATCCTGCACGGTGATATCAAACATACGGCTGAAGTTCTGGCCCAGCGAGTGTGATGTGCCACCCTGGACACCACGGCCTGTGGTCGGCACGTAGCCCTCGACGGTCGTCGTGTACAGGCCACCAGCAAATTTCTCCTTCTCGGACTTGACACCCGGCACGACTGGCAGGGCCAGCAGTTCTTCGTACACGCGCCTGTATAGGTCGAGGATGTAGCGAACTTCTTCGTCTGCCTGCTCCTTGTGCAAATGCGCCGTATGTCCCTCTTGCCAGAGGAACTCGCGTGTGCGTAAGAACGGCTGCGGGTGCTTGAACTCCCAGCGCACCACACTGTTCCACTGGTTCAGACGCAGTGGCAGGTCGCGATGACTTTGGATCCACTTCGCATAGTACGGGTACATTACAGTCTCGGAGGTTGGTCGTATGGCCACAGGCTTCTCAAGGTCCGACTTACCGGCCTTTGTGACCCAGGCAACTTCTGGTGCAAAGCCCTCGACGTGGTCCTTCTCGCGCTCTAGTACATCTGACGATACAAACATAGGAAATGAGCAGTTCTGCACACCGATCTTTTTGATTTCAGCGTCAAAGAAGCGCTGGATCGATTCCCACACGTAGTAACTCCATGGCTTGAGAATATAGCAACCGCTCACGTCATAATAGTCCAACATGTCTCCTTTGCGCAGCACCTGCTGATACCATTCTGGGAAATCGAGGTTCTTGCGCACAGTAATGCCAATGAGCTCAGCATCCTGAATCTTGGCGTCCTGCTTCGATTTGGACTCAGGTTTCGCGCCCCCGGCTGCACGAGATCCTGCACTTGCCTCAGCATTAGGCACACTCAATGTACTAAAAGCCACAGTCTCTATCGATGCTCCCACGCCCGAAAGGTACGCTGCAAGGACGGATCCCGTCACGAAGACCGTCTCAGACGACGAGCGCGCATGCACAGCGTACATCACACCTGATTCGACCATATCCTGGTCTACTAGTACACGCAGCTTACCTGCATTTTCCTTGGTTACTGAAAAGGGCGACACGTCGTCTTTCGTCGCACCGAGCGTTGCTTGCAGCAGCTCTGGCACAGCGAGACGCAGCTCTTTCAATTTCAAATGCGATCCAATTGCCGACGTGTTACACTGAGTTGCTTCATCTGTTACGACCATGACGGGAACAGGCGTCTCAGACTTGGCCGTCTTGGGCTTGAACACGAGCGTCTTCAGTAGGCGGTAGTTTGCTGGCTTTGTTGACTCTGGCAAGGCGGCAAGCACATCAGTCCACTCGCCCTGTGAAGATGCAGCCGCATGAGATGCAGTGCGTGGCTCGCCAGCCTGGATCGACAACGAAGACAGCGCAGCAAGGATCGACTCGCTCATCAGGGAGAGAGGAAAAACTGTCAGGCTTCTTGCTCAGTGACAAGACTGTTCAAGAATTCTGCGATGTGGATGGGTTCCCTTGTTCTTTTTCTTCGCTCACGTGGCATCTCGTCCTCCATTGGCACCTCCAATTTTCAAGCCGCAACCCCACCGCGAAATCTCTCCAGTCTGTTGCAGCCAAGTGCCGCTTTGGTGTTTCGAAGCTGTGTGAGCACGAGCGAAGAAACAGCACAGCGCAGTGTACGGACATTCTCACTTAGTTCGGATACTTTCTGAACACGCGAAATTACTTTTTTTCTCACCCGTCGATATGGCGAACTATGAGTTTGATGATGACACAGAGGTATGTCCGCTTTTTTCATGAATGTACTCATCATGCGGCAGTTTGACTTGCCCGAATCACCAGCACCGATCAATGCGACGAACGGCATACCACCTGATCAAATGAAGATGATGCAGAGTATGATGCAGCAAATGAATGGTCTGCAAAGTGTTTCTTCGACATCGTCTACGCCGACAGAGTCACACGTGGCCTTAGATGGTCAAGAGGATGGGCCACATAAGAACTGGACATGCGTATATCCAATCTATCTGGATGCAAAGCGACGATACAGACATGGCTGCCGTCGCGTTCCGTACGAAAAAGCGCTGCTTTTCCCGAATAGTCAGCTGATTGCAAACGCAGCCAGGAAATTGCAGCTAGAATACATGCATGAGGTATGTCCTCGTCTCGGCACACCGAAATTGAAAAGCTCGTACACGCATACTCACACCCACAGCCATACCGGAAACATCCACAAGATTGGGAAAACCCAGGTCGCGTCAAAGTGCATCTTTTTGATGATCATGGGGCTCCTATTCGTCCCGAATTTCCTACAAGTACGTATACGTGTCCGATGCCCGTCCTCCTCACACTCTTTGTGCAGAACAGTCTCTCCTAGACACCATCGCAAATTTATTGCAACCACTTGTGGGTGGCAAACCACCGCCACTCGGACCACGTGCACAAGCGTCCAAGCGCTCATCGTGTACAGCTCTCCGAAGTCGACAGCGGCTGATTCGTAAAGCATCTATCTCTGACCAAATTCCTCCGCACAGCCCAGCTGCCCCATCTGGTCTACTGAATATCAATATGAGCCAAATGCCTGGCGCAGAAGCGCTCAAAAATATGGGTCCTATTGGAAACATGATGAGCTCACTTGGTCTAGATGATGATGAAGATGGGAATGACGCAGCGTCGTCTTCTTCACAGCCGCCAGTGAACCGCCAGTTCCCTGCACTAGGCCGGCGCCAACGCAAGCGAGTGGTTAGGATCGGCCGCTGACATACATACTTCCACCCATGCACCCTACACTCATAGGATCGAACCAATTAGCATCCGCATAAGCACGTGTCACGCGACATTCTCGGCGGGCGAGAGAGACGACACACGACCACCGAACGGGGCGGCACAGAAGAACCGACGCCGTTTTCTACCAAATCGAGAGACGATGTCGTACATGAGGAGCTGTTACAAGTGTGTGTTGGTTGCTGAGAAGGCACGCATGTGAGGAGCCGTGCTGATGAGGTGTATTTATGTTATTCTATTTATGATTATGATTGCTTTGGCATGAATTTTTTTTTGGTATTTTGAATTTGCAGCTGTGGACGCCCTGGACATACCATTGCCGCTTGCCCGTCGGCTGGGAACCCAACTTGGTACGTTTCATCATTATATGAGCATTAATAGCCAGTTACAACTGTGGACAACAGGGTCATGTCTCGGTAGACTGCACGAACCAGCCAGTGCCCAAGACTTGCTTCCGTTGCAACGAGGCTGGTCATGTGTCTCGTGAGTGCCCGCACGCTGAAGCGCGTGGCGATGCCGCAGCTGGCGAATGCTATCGCTGTGGAGAGACAGGTCACATTGCCCGCATGTGCCCTGTGAGTGGCGGCTCGGGAGCGCCACGCAACCCGCGTGCTTGCTACAACTGTGGTGGCGTTGGCCATTTGTCGCGTGACTGCTCGTCGGCTCCTGGTGCTGCCGCCACTGCTAGCATGAAGTGCTACAACTGCGGTAACATGGGTCATCTCTCGCGTGAGTGCCCCCGCCCCTCTCAGCGTTCATGCTACACTTGCGGCTCGAGTGATCACTTGGCTGCTCAGTGCCCGCAAGCCGCAGTCTAATCGAAACAATCTCACGCTCACGGGGCTACAAATGCTGAATGGGTGGGACTTGTATGAGTGTGCTTATGATTATGTGTGAACGTATTTGTTTGCACACTGCGGTGTGGTTTTGTAAAAGCGCGTGTGACTTTTTGGTTCGCTTCTACATTAGCTTGCCTATATTTAATGTCCGTAGTAAGAAGTACTATGTGCATTGTCCCAGCATGACATTACCGGGGAATGAGTGGTTGTAGCCACCTTTTTCGGGTGGCTCGGTCCATGTTGTCAGGTGCGGATTGGTATATACTTCCTTGTGTCGTTCAATGTATTCGAAAGTTGGGTACTTGCTTGGACTGCACGACAGGCTGTCTTCACTGATTTCGTCTTCGTTTTGGTATACTCGAATATAGTCCACATACATCGCATAATTATTGCTGTCCTCCTGCCAGCCCCTCATGATCTCGTCCCAGTTGATCCAGCTGAAGGACGCTGAAATGCCCAAATTCATGATCAAGTACATCGGTTCCACAGGAATCTGACGTGCACCAATTTCTGTTTTGTTGTTTGGCCCTAGCGCCTTGGCGTCAATCTGAAACACTTGGTCGCCAGACATAAACCACCTGATATAGGAGTCATCCTCAACACCTGGGTTGTATTCAAACGCGTAGGTATCCCACTCATTCTCCGTCATAGTGTATGCGCCGTCGGACGTGTTGACTTTCGCCGAGACTGCTTGTTGGAATACGGCACCGGTGTAATCGTTGATGATGGCCCCATGCTTGTCGCTGGAAGTTGCATGAAGACCACTTGGATCTGACACGTTGTATGCGGCATCAAACGGTGCTATCTGGAGCGACATGGACGTCTGACCATGCTCTTCAGGCCCATTGTTGCCCAGTGCCTCAATCAAGTCAATTTCTGGAGCTGAGCGGCCGACCCAAGTCCCATCTTCATGCCGCGGCCCTGGATGGTCGTCGCTGTCGAGACAAGTACATCTGCTCAGACGTTGGCCTGGTGAATAGCTAAGTCCGGGGCCAAAGTCTTCCACATAACGCCCTGTTGTTTCCGCAGCGAGAGGACCTCCGCCCTGGCTCGCCAAGTACGTTTGATTCGGAAGAGTGCCAACATCACATACATCGTACGAGTATGGCCATAATCCATAGGTAGAAGCACCGTACCCAGCTCGACCCAAGTTGCCCATCGCCCACACAGCTGGCCAAAGTCCTGACACGTTGTTGCGGCCGGGCAATTTCAGTTTCGTTTCGACGAAGCCGCCTGTAAAGCAGAACTTGTTCCATGATGTTAAGAGCCCACCACGAAAATTGAGCCCTTCCATAGCATATTGCGACAACTTGATCATAAGACTGCCATTCACAGTTGTGATCGCCGATGGATGGTACCATTCGTAGTTCTTTGTCTGCCAGTAGTGCAAGCTCTCGGCTTCCCAGAATGGATCTTCACCAGCATAGAAACTCCGACCAGGCGTTTCGAACTCGTCACTAAAGACGAGTCGCATCGTTTTGTTGTTATATGTGTTCTGGCGGGTCAGTGCATCGTGCGGTGTAGAAGGATCAATTCGAGACCTTGGTAGTGCAGAAATCGCTTCTAGGTTTGTGTCCACTGGCGTCTGTCGAGCTTCGTTGTGTCTGTGCTCAGTATAAGCATGCAACACAGGATATCCGAGAAACAACATCAAAGTGCTCAAAAGAAGCAGGATAAGCATCGTCATATTCACACATCCTCGCATCGAAAACGTCTGATGCAGCTTCGGCGTCTTTTCATCCCACTCACGATCAGCTTCCATGAGTTCATCGACGCGTGCGGCATCGGCGAGTGTGAGTGAGTTGTAGTCATTTTGCATCAGAAGCTGGTCACTAGACTGGTCAGCTAACGAGACCACGGAACGGTCAGCAGCAGTGCCTGCATACATGTCCGGCACTGGCAGTATACGGGTAGAGCGCGCTGAACCACTTCGCTTTGCGAGCGATTCGTCTGAATCAAATCCTGAATGGTTACCAAATGAACTTAGGCTGTCCCTGTCGGCATCTCTATCGCGTGCGCGACTGAGAAGACGCTGTCGCCGCAGACCTTGCCGGTCGTAGGTGGGTGTCGATGGCTCTGTCGGGCGCCGGCGCACGAGGGATGGCTTGGGTGAATCGATGTACTGACTTATGATGTGGTCTTGATCCGAGGAAGAAGCTGAAGCAGTACTTGCTGGACGCGATGTTTTGTTATCAATGACTGAATCGATATATCCGTCGTCCTGATCATCCTTGATGGAACAATCAGACTTTGACAAAACATAAGAGAACGTATCATCATACGCTGACTCTGTATTACCAGAACTTCGAAATAAGTTCACGCCAGACGTCGTACTTTCAGATTGACGAAGCAAGTTCAGATTCGTATGATTCATTGACAAGGAACGGGTCACAGGCTCGAATGTCTCGATGTCTTGCGACACCAGAGGCGAATAGGGTCGATCTGTGCGCTCTATTGTGGGTGCGTCTAAGAGTCTCGTTTGTTTATGCGGCACTTGTGGTGGTTTTAGCTGCTGTTGCTGCTCCTGCGCAGGGGACGTCATCGGTCTCGGTTCGCGCACGTTAATTGCGTCTTCCAAAGCTTCCCCCATCATCATGTACGTCACGGGAGTGTCTGAGCGCTCTACGTACGCATTCATGATCGAATCCACGCCAGACAAATCGGAGCGCGGCCGCTCGCGGCGTTGGTTCCACGCCTGCGGATCCATCGTCTCCAGCAAATCCAGCGGAGCAACGCAGATTACTAGACAGGTCCGTGGCGTCAAGAGCTAGTCAACCTACGCGCATGTGAGCGTTGTTTCCATGCATCCCCGTTCATAACGACGTGCTATATAAACAATTACATAATCTAACACTTGCCTTGGGCGTAGCGCCTTTGGACACCTGCATACGAGATGGAAAAAAATAAATAAAACGAGGGTTCATGCATCTAATTCCACTGACGCGAATGCTGGGGCGATTAGCAGTACGCCGAGGAACTCCTTGGCGTCGCTGCCAGTTTGCACCGACATTATGGTATCGCTTGCATACAACAGATACAAATGCTGCATCTAGCAAATTTCAAGTACGTGCGCATGCGGCGTCCAACTGACACTCTCCTAGCGACTGGGCCTCCCAACGAACTTGTGCCAGCAGCTGCATGCTGCACTTCCACATGTCGTAGAGCCTACAAGCGTACAGAATGCGCTGATTCCCGCTATGCTATCTTCGAAGGACGTTGTTCTGCGTGCGCATACAGGGTCCGGCAAGAGCTTTGCTGTGCTACTAGCGCTTCTGGCACGCCCACGCTTGCTATTCCAAAGTCGAAGTGGTGCAGAGCCGCCGGTCCCGGGCATATCCGCGCTTGTAATTGTGCCTTCAAATGAGCTTGCGTATCAATATATGCGCTGGGCACATGAACTAATGCCTGCACAGCTGAGCGCACACATGGACGCTGTGATTCAGTGCGTCGTGCGTGGCGAAGCTACGATGGACGCGCAAATGACGCGGCTCCGTGAGACTCCTCCACATGTCTTGATCGGCACTCCAACGCGGCTGCAGGAATGTTTTGCTATGGCACAAGGTGCGCACCTTTTGGGCCTACACACATGGAGGACGCTGGTTCTTGACGAGGCAGACGCACTGTTGAATTTGCCGGGCCGCTTTCCAAGCGAAAAGCAACGCTGGAAGCACCTCACACATCCATCTCCCGGCCTCCATGTCTTGGATACCATCATGCGGTCACGAGCAACGTTCTCAGGAGGCGAGCGCTTGCCAAATGCTGGCATGGAGTCATACGGGCCTAAACGCGGAGCAGATCGGCGTCCTCCTGAGCCGATTCGGCGTACGCAATACAAGGGTGTCGAGAACACGACGGACCATGCCCCCGCATTGGCTCGAGGCATTGGCATTGTGCCTTTGCAGCTTGTCTGTACCAGTGCTACGGCAAACTCGGTGCTGCGACATTTTCTCAGCGCAAGAACTGGATGGCTGCGTACGAACACGCGCGAGACACGAGACTCTGCTCAATGGATCGATCTAACTGGACAGAGCGGGCAGCTCAGCGCCGTAGGTGCGCCGTATCGTGGCAGCATGCCACGTGAACTAACGCATTCTTGCGTTGTCGTTGATGAAGTCCATGGATCGCCACAGCCACGCCTCCTCGATACCACGCGTGGCACGGCTGTCCCACCGGCTCTTCGTAAACCTGCATCCACGAGCACAACACCCGCAATTCAGGAGCACGTGGTAGACTTGCCCCTGTTAGAAATGCTCGCTTATTTGTACGCGTCTGAGCATGTGCGACGTGGACTAGCATTGGTCCCTGCCCGCTGGAGCGTGCAGCGCGTGCATGATGAACTTGCGGCTCTCGGTGTGCCGGTCAAGATAGTGGCTTCCGGCCAAATCATGTCTTCCTCGGAAGATGCTATGTACGTGCTGCAAAGTACCAGTGCCCGTGGTCTAGATATTCCGAACATGTCTCATGTATTTTTGGTTGGACTCCAAGCCGTGCGCGATTCTTTGCACTATACACATGCAGCAGGGCGCGTCGCGCGCATTGGACCAGACGGTCAGCGGCCCCGCGGACACGTCGTTACACTTATTCGAGGCAACTCGGCTGCCGAACAAAAAATGTCCCAGATATACAAACGCGTAGGCGTGGAGCTCCGTCCGTTACAACTACGAAGCCTATCGTTGTAAGCGAGATGGTGGGTCATCGTCGCCTATGCAAGGGCGGCGGGACTTCTTGCGTACATGTTCAAGCATGCACCACTTATGTTGATGTGATCGTCTCGTGACAATGTCACGCTTACGAACATGGCAATCGATGCACTCACATATTCATGAAGAGAAACTTAATGTCCCCCTTTCGCACCATCAACGTACATGTTGCGCGTGGCTGCCGGGAGCTGTACAGTCATACCATCGAGATCTCGCGTCACGTGTACTTGACACCCGAGGCGCGATGTCTCTGTGAGACCAAATGCAAGGTCTAGCATGTCATTTTCATCATCGCATGGCTCTTCAAGTTGATAGAACACGTCTTCCTCTAGAATCACATGGCATGTTGAGCAGGCTATGGAGCCTTCGCATGCGCCCTCCAGATCAATGTCGTATTCGTGTGCAATGGACAAGATATCATCACCTTCATTTGCCTCGACAGTCTTGAGGTCATTTCCCTGTGAATCGCGGAAAGTCACTTTGATTCTGCCGATGCATGTAAGCAACTAAAGTCCTCCCATGCGCCCTCTTGATGACGTACCCTGTCCCTGGCGTGGGCCGCGTGATTCCTCCGTGTGAAACCACTGCATCAAGTTAGCCGTTGATCTCTCAAGTATCCCTATGCCGTCCCACGTCCAAGATTCTGGCCCTGTATACGTACGTGGTGTGACTGAGATTGGACGGTAGCTACCGCCAGTCCGCCATGGCTGAACAAGTGACGAGTGAGCCAGGGATGGGGTATAAAGGCTTGTACGTGGTGCGAGCAATGCCATCGACGAGATTCGTGCCGCTGCAGACCTGAGCAACGACATCCCTTACGTTATCCCTACTTCTACTGCTGCTGCTGCTGCCACTTCCACTGCCACTGCTAGTATAAGACTGTGGACAAGTAATGGCCAGTAGCAACTTCCTGCGACCTTTCCACGCACTCTCGCCCACCAGACGCTTGGAATTTCTTTGCGGCTTGTGTTGTCAGAGTCCTTGATTACTCAGCAATCCCCGCCCTCACGCTGCCAGACGCCCCTGCCTGTGAGGTGAAAGGCAGGCGCCAACCCAAAAAGGGTTTGAACTCTCTGATTCCCCGCATACGTACTCTGTTGAGCCAGCGTGGTCTTGTCCGTAAATACATCACTTGACATACGTTTGGCTCGTGACAGAAAATGCGTGCCATGCCTCCATTATCTTCTGTGAACATGCCGCCCGGATGGGCGCGCATGGTCGCTTGGGTTGTCCTAGCGCCCTTCCAGTTTGGTTTTGGCATTTCTGAGCTCAATGCACTCCAGTCAGTGTGGGTGTGTCAGCCAAAGAGTGATACCTGCTTAGGAATGACAGAAGATCAGTTTGGCGTTGTAACTGCTATGTTTACAATCGGTGGCACAATCTCGTCACTTGCATGTGCTCCTATCGCTCGATATACACGCGCTGGACGAAAAACGTCGCTCCTGTTTGCCGCGGCGCTTGCATTGGGCGGAGGATGCTTGCTTTCCATGTCATCGAGCATGTCCATGATGTCACTGGCACGATTCATCCAAGGGCTATGTGCAGGCATTGCAATTGTACAGACGCCGCTGTACCTAAAAGAACTTGCTCCTGCCTCCATGGTTGGTTCCATTGGCACGCTGAATCAACTTGCGGTTGTGACTGGTATTTTTGTCGCGCAGCTTGTTGGTACATGGGTTGTCACTTGGCGTCATGCATGGCAGCGAGTGCCGCAGGTTAGTGCTTGCGTAGCTGGGATCCAGCTGCTTGTTGGACACATGTGGGCGGAAGAGAGTCCGGGCTGGCTTGAGAGTGATGGTGTCGCGTTGGGAGTCGGTTCTGCAGATGCGGCAGAAAGCGTGCGTACACGACTAGGATGTTCTTCCTACAGCACATTGCATGCTCAAGACACGGGCGACACGCCGATCCTGGGTAGCGATGCCCAGACACGAACGCAGTCGAGATCGTTTACAGACGGAATGAAGATCGTCGCACTCACACAAGCAGCGCAACAACTGAGTGGTGTGAATGCTATCATGTACTACAGCACAGGCATCATGTCGAAGGTGCTGCCGAATGTGGCAGCTTTTGTTGGCCTGCTAATTACGTTGGTCAATGCGGTCATGACTCTTCCTCCACTTTGGCTCATTGATGAAGCTCGCTTTGGCCGACGCAAACTCTTGCTGCTATCAGCCACGGGAATGGGTGTGTCTTGCTTCGTATTAGCATTGGGTCTGGTATCCTCCTACGCGATGCTGAGCTCACTAGCCATCTTGCTAGTTATTGCCTTCTTTTCCGTGGGCTTGGGACCTGTCCCATTCGTCATCCTGCCCGAAGTACTACCGCCTTCTCATGTGTCGATCGGCTCGTCGCTAGGCCTTGGCATCAACTGGATTACGAACATATGTACGGCGCTAGCATTTCAGCCATTGCGCCGGATGCTTGGCAGCTGGGACGGTCAGACAGGTGGTCTTGTCTTTGTACTTTTCGGTGGAGTCAACTTGGGCTTTGCCTCATTAATTCAACGTATGTACACATAGCTAACACGAACTCTATGGAGAATGTGAAAACAAGAGCAAAAAAGTCATCTATCACATCCCTTGCTTTCAGCGCAACGCACGCGTCGGTGGCGCTGAACGTGCAAGGCCTTTGTAAGACGTCAGCACAGATCGCTGCGCTTTGCTCACGTCCTGCGCTTGTTCAAACACGCGCCAAAACTTGAGGCTCTCGTCACTACCGACCGTCGCGAGTGTCTGGCCATCGGGGCTCAGACTCGTATGAAGTACACGACCATCGTGGGCTCCTGGCACATCGGCGATCTTCTGGCCGGAGGGATGTGCCCACACACACAGTGCGCCCGCCTCTGACTCGGATGTGCCAACACCATGCGACGACACGAGCTCGCGGTAATGTGGCGCCCACTGCAGCGAGGTTACTTGCGCGCTTGTCTGGATCGTCTGCACGCGGGTATTCTGTGTCGTGTTCCAAAAGTGGATGCATCTGTCCGCACTGCCGCCACCTGTCGCCAAAAGACTGCTGTTGTGTGGCGACCAAGCGAGGGCTTTCACAGCTGCCCGGTGATTCTCCTTGCGCATCTTGGCTACATTGGTTCGTCGGTCCCATACTTTTACGACGTTGTCGTTTCCTCCACTTGCCAACAAGGCACTGTCATCGCGCCAGCTCAAGCCACATACCTGCGCCGCATGTGCATGTTCTAAGGAGCGTGTTTCGCTAGATCGCTGTCGCACATCATGTTCACGAATCAAACCACTTGCGTAACCGACACTCAGTGTGCCGTCGACGGCCCATGCAGCTGCATTGACCGCTGACGCATCTGCGCCGCCATCGGCACTGGGTCGCAGTGTACGCAGCCGCGCACCGCGTGCGACATCCCAGATTTGTGTATAACCTCGGTCCGTACCCACAGCGAGGATATTGCCATGCGCGTCCCAGCGAAGACTCGTGACCAAGCCGCCACCACCGACGCGTTCGCTCTCTTCTTCCAAATCCAGCAGAAAATTGGCTTCTCCTGTCTCGCTGTTCCATGTGTGGACGGCTGACTGCAACGCAATAGCAATGACGTTCTGACTCGACCAGTGCAAGAGGTTGACATAAAAGTCAGGCACAATCGCAGGTGCATCGAGCACGCGTTCTGGCGCTGTCGGAATGCGGCGTCTTCCAGCGGCCACAAGACTGCTGGGCAACGTACTCTTTGGCTTAGATGCATACCGCGTGTGCAAGTCTTTTGCACTGGAAGACGATGCGCTTGGAGGAGCTGCTGAAAAGGAAAGAATTCGCTGTCCCAGATCGACCTGACATGCACCCTCTAAGGCGGGTGGGCTGTCCAGTTCCGCCGCCGCCGCCGCTGCGGCGGCGTCAGATGCAAGAGAATCACTCCCGGCACTGCTGCTACTATTGTGGTGTGAAAGTGCATCGCCTGCGCTGTCCTCAAGGAATGGTGTGGTGCCGCGACGAAGAAGCTCACGGTTTGGGATGTATCGATCACCTCGTGACACCATGGTGGACCCACGCCGACGAGGCACTGTGCCGTCGGGACCGTCCCAGTCCTTGGCAACGACGCCTCGTGCATCAGGTCCATCCATAGAATGCACAAGCAAGCAGTCTTCCTTATCGCGACGGCCACCAGCAGCGATGCCGCTGACGACGCCGCCACCGGCAGGGCCAAGCGTCCGTGCAGACTTTATGGATGGGTGGCGAATAGGAGATGCGTGAAATCGCGATCGAAGATTTGTTGGGCGATCTGACAGGGGCGAGTCCAGGGACATCATGCCCAAGCCGCGCGTTAATGCGGCAGTCGATCCTTTTGCACGCGTTGGCGTTGAAGGGCCCATGTCAAACTCGTCGACGAAGAGCGTACGCGAAGATACAATATGATGGGGTTGTGAGAGGAGCTTTAAGTAGCTAGCAAGGTCCGTCCGTGCCGTAGAGAGAAAGACAAGATAGGTGAAAAAGTAGCTGATTGTAGCCCCTAAGTCTTGTGTTCAACAGGCGCATGTTCGTCGAACATCTACAGGATGGAGAGGAATATACGTGTATGTGGCGAAAAAATGTCAGGGATTCGTGAATGGAACGGGCACAGAATGGAGGTCAAATGATGTAGAAGCGCCAGTGGAGAGAAGTTTCTTCTCCTATCCCATGAACGCAAGACGTTTCCGTGTGCAGTAGAATCCGTAGGGGACCTTCGAGGCCAAAGCTATGGACAAGCAAGACTCACACACACTAAGGCAGTTCATGCGAACAAGGGATTGATAACCGAGAGACGCGTAGAAATGAAGGGCAGCAGGTGGTGGTGGGGAGGGGCATACCAGAGAGTATTTGGGATTGCTACGGTCATGCGCGAAATGACAATAGAGGAGAGCAAACACACGCGCACACAATATTACATGGCTTTGGCTTCTTGTTTAGCATACATGTCCGAGACACTTGCGTCAACAGCAGCAGACGTTGGCGCATACGCGTGAGAGACGGCATGACTCGTTGTAAAGTACGGGTGGCGCAGTGCATCGTCAGCAGTGATGCGCTGTGATGGATCAAATTGTAGAAGCTTTTCGAGCAGATCAATAGCAAGGGGGTGTACTTTCGGAAACAGGTTCTGGAATGGGACTTTCGGCAGGCGGGGGAGTGGGCGGTATTGGATTTCGGGCGACTCATGAAGGATGCGCTTGATGGTATGCTCGTCCGGTGTGCCCAGAACGCGGATGATCTGCATGAGCTGGTCATTGTTGTCGCGGCCGCGGAAAAGTGGGATTCCGCTGATCATTTCCGCCATAATGCATCCAGCCGACCATACGTCAATGCTCGTTGAGTATGTACGACTGCCCAAAAGCACATCCGGCGCTCGGTACCAGAGCGTCACGACCTCGTTGCTGAACGTATTCACGGGAATGCCAAAAGCGCGCGCAAGACCAAAGTCAGCGAGCTTCAGCTCACCGCGCTTGTTGATCAAAAGATTCTGTGGTTTCAGGTCCCGGTGCAAAACTCGATTTTCGTGGCAAAAAGCGGTTCCCTTCAATAGCTGAAACATGAAGCTGCGCACCGTGACGGGGTCAAGTGCTCCCCTATTTCCATGCATATCCATATATCTTTTCAGATCCTGCTCCATGAACTCGAACACTAGCATGAGCTTGGACTCGGTATGGATCACATCGTACAAACGCACGACGTTCGTGTGCCTAAGCTCTTTCATCAGTGAAATCTCACGGATCGCCGTGGAAGGTGTACCCTCTTCTGCATCGAGGTGAATGTCTTTTAAGGCGACAACTTCATTCGTGAGTCGAGAGCGCCCCTATCGTCGGCGTTAGCAAACAAGTTTGACCCGGTCGTCGCACCACACACACACACCTTGTACACAGTGGCATAGGTTCCCTCGCCTCGGATAGAGTCAGCTTCCCACTACTGCAGTACACACCAAGCTTTTCAAGTTCTGCGCGCGTGAGTTGTGCTTGTACGTACGAACATAGTTCATTGTGCCAGCAACGCTGTTTGTCTGCGGCTGATCCACGCCTGAGGAGCAACAACAGGAACAATCAGCAACGCACTCGGTCGTGTTGACGCACACGCTCCGTGTGTTTGTCCTCGTGCACATGTTGACTAACTATCACGTCATCTCCACCAGGGCTTGCTAGGCCCCAGTGAGTCCGCGCTGTCAAGGCCGGCGCCGCCCTTTTAGCCGCGCTTTAGATGCGCCGTGTGCCCTGATTGTGTCGTGCCCTCGGTCGAGTCGCCTTTCCGTCATAAGCAAGCAAGCAGGCAGGCAAAACGCAACAATTTTTTTATATTTTTCTGGTCCTCCGCTTTTAGCAGTGCTGCTTTGTGGGTCGTAGGTGGTCAGGATGGCGAAGAGCAAAGGCACGAAGCCTCCCAAGTCGCGTCCTGCTTCGACCTCATCTCTGTCACAGCCGCAAATGGCTGATCAAAATGTACAAATCACTGCCTTCTCGCCTGATGCCACTCTATTTGCACAACTCTCACAGGCTGTCGATCGTGCTCGTCTCCGAGTGTACGCGTCACATAAGGCTGGCGTGATGGCGGACTTTCTTCTTCCTGAAGCTCAAACATGTCGTGCGATTGCATGGATTCTTCTGGGAGCGCAGTCGGAGTCTGACCTGTCACCATCGTCCTCATCGACGTCGGCGTCTTCAAAGAAACGCAAGGCTTTGGCGAGAGCTGCGGCTGAGCAGCATACAAGCGACTCAACGGCGCCTACTCCGCATGTGGCACTAGGCATGTCAGACGGCACAGTTCTGGTATATTCGCCGGTCACAGCCCGTGTAATGCGTGTACTTGTTGTGTCTTCCCAGGATAGCTCAACTGCTGCTCTTGTATCATTATCGTACCGCGACAACCATCTCTGGGGTGTCACTGCGAATGGTTGGGTGCACGGCTGGGTTGTGTCAGGGCTTGCAAGTGCATCTGTGCACGAGCGCGTGCCACCCACACGACATTTCTTGCCCGATAGCAAGATGCCCATGTCGCTCTTGACATGTGGTCCATCACACCGCATGCTTACGGCGCATCATGCATTGGCTTTGTACGACGTGAGCACGGAGCGCATTGCTGCACCACTAAGGCAATTCACAGGCCATGCAACGCCCATCACGCACGCTGCCTGGGCGGGTGAAGATGCGTTTGTCAGTGCTGCAGCGGAAGACCGTCATTTGTACTACTGGTTCACGCACCTGAGTCATGCAGGAGCGATGCTAACACTGGACGCACCTGCACATCGCTTGGTCACCTGGGCTGAGGCGGATGGCACAGCGATGCTTCTTGTCATTTCCCAGCTGGGTACCGCCAACGTATACAGACTACCTAGGGAGGTGCCTAAAGCCAAAGGGCTCGCTACATTGACGCCGGTGTCTGTCGTGTCGACAGCGTTTGAAGGCACGGAGCTTCTCGATGCCATCTGCACGCCTGACGGCACGCTCCGATATGCACGCATTGTTAAGGGTTTCAAAGTCGTGTTGGATGAGGCGCCCTTGTACGAGGACGACAATGCGCTTCGATCTGTTGTCACACTGGCAGCCAGCTCTGCGCCGAAGCCCGAGGTTGCTTTGCGCGACACACAGCGTTACAAAGAAGCTCGCGGTGCTGCGGGCACACGTGCAGAACTGCCTGGCCATACAGCAGCAGCAGCAGCGCTCCTCGGCACGGAGGGGGGACTGCTGCCGGATGCCGCTAGCTCGTCAGTGGATTTACATGACGATGCTCTCCAAGATGGCGACGTCAATGAGCCAACACTTGCGCAGCGTCTCAAGGCTTTGAAGGTTCAGCGTGGCGATGCACGTGCTAGTACGGTCAACGAGCGTGAAGAGGAGGACGAAGATGATGGTGACGTTGACGGAGCCGCGCCCGACCCGGGTGCAGAAGTGCCGGTCGGCGGCGCCTCCCTGGCGTCGTCTTTGACGCAGGCGCTGCATTCTGGTGATCATGCATTACTCACGTCGTGCCTTGTGCACTCAGATGTGACGCTGATCCGTGCTACTGTGCGGCGTATTTCGGGGCCTTTGGCTGTGCGGCTGTTGGAAGCCTGTGTGGACCGACTGAATCGGGGTGGTGTGAAAAGCAAGGGCGCGCTTGGTAGTGGACGTGCGCGCGGCATTGTTGAATGGATTCACCAATCACTGACGTTCCATGCAGCGTACTTGATGTCACTGCCGAATCTTGTGGCACGTCTCTCGCAGCTGCATCACAGCCTGGCAGCGCGGCTTGCTTCCCATGAGCGTCTTCTGGCACTGAAGGGACGCATGGAGCTTGTCATGAGCCAGATCGATATGCACATGTCGTACACGGCAGACGAGGCACAGATGCCCGTGCAAGGCCAAAAGCTTGGGAAGCGGTCATCTGCAACTGAGCTTGAGAAGAAGCAGCAGGCATCTCAGCTTCAGCAACAGGGCCAAACTTGGGTCGAGCCAGACGAAGATGACGACGTGGAGGATATTGGCTTGACAGCTGGCAATGACGTATCCATGAATGCGGACGAGGACGATTACGAAGATGGTATTCCCGAGGACATGGATGAAGATGAGCTGGTGAATGAAGATGCTCTGGAAGAGACCGAAGAAAATAGCGATTTGTCTCTGGAGGAAGATGAGGAGAATGAATTGGGTTTGGATGAGGATGATATGGCATCTGACGATGAAGATGAAGACGACGGTGACGACGACAACGACAACGACACCGACAACGAGTCCTAGACACCTATACCAAGCGATGCATCTCTTTCTCTCTAACGCGCAGGCCATTATGTGACCATATACCCATCGGTGGGCCATCGAGCTTGACTATGAGGGACGTGGGAGGGTAGAGGGCGAGCGCTTGCGTGTCCATCGTAGCCTGTCATTACATATTGTCTACTAGCTTCTATTGCCATTTATCGATCCATGTATCCCGAGGCCCATGCTAGTGGGGGAAGCGTACACCAATGGTCGTTGTACTGCGGCCGCTGTCGCGGGGTATGATGGTACAGGCCGTGGCTGCACCATAGCATTTCGCACAGCAGCCGCTGGTGAGCCTGAGTATTGTTCATAGGCGTGCATGAATGCGGGTCTCTTGCCAGGCTCTGGCTCGGCTGTCGTATTATCAGCGACGACTCCAGGACGAACGAGTGGAGCCCATGCCATGAGACTAGGAGTCGAGCCTGGCACGGCCACATTCGTTTGAGTTTTCGCGCCGTGATATGTATCGGGCAAAGTGCCCCAGTACCCATGCGACAATATATCGTGGTTAGCTCGTGTGGACAAAGACGTCATCAGCACGACATGCGACATGAGAATGAGAGGGCCAGCTGCTTGAGCAGTGTGGCCCAGCGCGGATGGTGGTACGCGGCGCACTAGGTCAACAAGAGAATGCAGTGCGTCCTCGGCGAGCCGCTGCTCGCGCTCTATCATAGCAAGTGGAATAGGTGTATGGTCGTTGTCCATACGCACGCGAAGCCACTGAAGCTCTTGGAGCTCATCTAGCCGCTCCTGATTCTGAGCTAGGATCTCATCCGTATCTAGAATATGCAGGGCACTTTCCATTAAGGCAGGATCCAAGGTCGGTTCTAGTTCCACGGCTCTCTGCGCAAGACGAGAACAAGACAAGGAAGAAAGAGACGTTTCTTGCACATCATGTATCGAATGCGCTTGTGCTGGTACTGGCGTTGGCAATGTCGGTGATAGCTCATCCGTGGCAATATCCATTGCCTGCTGAGTGTAGGCTGACTCGACTTGCTGGGCCAGAGAAGCGCCCCAACGACGACGCAAGTACCGCGATACGCGCTGACGCTCAGTCCACACCAGTTGCGTTGCCTCTGGCCCAAAAAGGCACCCAGAAGAGTCGAATGAAGGTCCAAGTGATGAGCCAAACGGACCGTATGACAAGAATGCTGACGCACGTCCTCCTCCGCCTCCTCCATGCATGCGTTTCGATCGAGCACCTGGCATTGGTGGGAGCCGTTCGCCTAATGTAGCTTTACGTGTGTCTTGCATACGCGGCGCAATCGACACAAGATCAGCTGCACCAGTATCTAGCGCCTGTGCTTTGGCCTCTTCTAAGCTCACGCCATTCGTGAAATAGTCACCAGACGGCAGGCGCATATGCAGTGCGTACGTAGAAAAAGGAGCAAGACGATGTGTATGCCGACGCTCAACCTCATCGACATTCATGCGTTCGCGCGCATCTACGTCTTTCTGCTGGTCTTCAACCGCCTTCGACGGCGGCGTCGTAATGCTCCATCCAGTGAGTTGTGCTATGATATGCAGCACAATAAGCGCACCCGCATGTCCGCGCGCATCCTGTCGAACTGCGTGCCCACTCTCCGATGCGACACAGTCCCACACCTCGTGGGCATTTACTTTCGGTTGCTCAAGCAATGCACGCAGCGGTGGCTTGCCAGGGGCAGCGACATCAAGCATAGTGGGAGCAAGACTTTGACACTTGTCAGGAAGATTTGAAATACGTACGCATGGAGAATGTGTTGGAGACGTTTTGCATCAGACGCGGAGATTTCCAGCTGCGTGTCAAACCCCTCGTTATCGTGCTTCAGTACATCTTGCTCAGGCATAGCAGCATGCGATGGGCTATCGGATGCCGGCATCGCACGCGCAGCCGTTCGTCCCGAAATGAAATATGAGTTGTAGTTGAGTACTTATGTAGCGACTCTCGTAACACCAGCAGTGTAATCACAGCGACGACGCGTGATTCTAGCAGGTGCTAGCTTTAGTGAAACTAGACACGCGCCAGGTGCCTCTGCTCGCGGCAGTCTGGCATCAACGCACCAGACATAACGTTTAGTCAGCCGAGGCTTGGCTGTCTAGCGTCAAGCGGTGCTCAGACGTTACTGCTGCGGGTGTGTGTGTGTGCGCGCCCATCGATGATGGATCACGACACTTCTGACTCCACCTAGATATATCCAATAGCAGGCCACAGGTGCAGGTGACTTCTCCAAGGATTTTTTTCAAGTGAATATATAACTAACTGGACAAGCACGGATGTGAGCAGTTTGTCAGAGAGATTTTGTCTTCCTTCGACGACGCTCCAGAAGCGAACATGTCCTCGACGCCATTACTGCCGCCACAGCGGCCACATCATCCTACATCATGGCGCATGTCTGACAATCCATCGACAGCCGCAACAGTATCTGCGCCACTGTCTTCATCTTCTCCCTCATTCTCGACCGTTCAAGCTCCGCCTCCGCCGCCCACGATCCCCTTCAACTCCGCCTCTAGTACATTCCAAGTATCTCCTGCCTTGTCATTCGGGTTTGGCTGCGGGATTTCTTCTATGAATTCATCCCCGTCAGATCATTCAGGCTCACACGCATCTGCTCTTCGGCATGTCGGAGCGCCGATGGCGGCGCCACCTGAGCAGTCGTCGTCTTCGCATGCCGCCGGGGAATCCCCTGTTCGTCTGGTCAGCTCTTTTGGAGAGCATCGCCATGGAGCAAACAAGCGCAGGCGCAGTTTCTCGTCGGACGACGACACTCTCGACAAGGCAGGTGCTGATACACAAGACGAGTTGACGAAACGTCGACGTGGCTCGGTGTATGAACGTGGGCTCCTGAACGATGTCGATGCAGGGCCCTCGACCGCGAAGGACGCACTCAAGTCGCGTGATCTCGGGCGTCTTCTTGCTTCGTTTGACAAGCAAGCACTTCTCTCACTTCTCCTCGATCTTGCCAAGCAGGACGGCATGGCCGACCGCATTTATACCCTTTTGCCGACACCATCCGTGGATCATGCCGTGTCAGCCTTACAGGCCTACGAGGCTCGCATTCGTACCGCGCTTCCCACATCCACGTCAGTGACTGTACGAGATCAGTACGTGTGGAGCCGTGTACGCACTGTGCTTTCAGAGCTAGTTTCAGAGCTGGCGTGTTTAGTTCCGCTCTTTTCGATTTTACCACGCCGCGATGATGCAGAGCCCCCACACCCAAGCACGACCTTTGCATTTTTGCAAGGCGCTACGAGCTGCATGCTTCGAATTGCACGCATGCTGCCCCCCGATCCGGTGTCCTTCAAACATGTGCGTGCGTCGTCATTGCTTAAAACATATCAACAATCTCTCTCATCTGCTCCTGATGTGCGTGACCTGCTTGCACATACTATTTTTCCGATGCTTCTTCGTGAATGGCAGGCATGGCTAGATGCCATTGATGTGGCCGTGAATGAACATGCTCGAATGTTTGGACAGGAAGCTATTCTGGCATGGGAACGCGGGATGGCATCTCTAGGTTCTAGCACATCCCCCTCTCATGGCTCGACAGAGCAAGCGATGCGAGCTGTGATGGATGATGCAGCTGCACATATGCACTCGTCCATTGGATGGCTCGCTGCTTCGGCACACCGAACCTCATGGCTCTATACTCCTTCATCCTCTTCCTTACCGGCTTATGGTGCAAGTAACATGAGTGCAATGGATATGGGTGATGAATAATTAGTCCTGCAAACTGTGTACATTCCCTTGATGATGGATTTCTTTTCTTCGTTCTGGTTGTGTGTGTATATGTGTGTCTAGCGACCCACACTCAAACTTCCGAACATGCATGCACAATCTTAACGTATTTTCTGTAAGCTACACTTACAATCGCATTCATCCTTGCGCCATGTTCCTTCGACACATCCCCTCCGCAAGATTATGTATAGTTTATAAAAGAGAAACTTTCACTATATCGATGCTAGAGGTACTAGTACAAAATTAGGATGGAGTTATGGTGGGGAGGGCGCCGCGTCCTCCAAGTCAGTTCGCGCTTGGTGTAGCTATGTGCGCAAACTGAGCTAGCGCAGGACCGAACATAGCTTGAAGCACATGCGTAAAGCCGGAACGCCCACGCTCGGCATTTTCACGAAATCTATGAAGAGTAAACTCCTCGAGTCGCGCGGCCGCCGAGTCAAAAACGCCGTGTGCGACATGTGTGAGCCCTGGGCACTCAATATGCGCATTCTGAATATATCGTGTGCGGCCGTTATCGGGCATGTACGATATATGTTCTTTGACTTGAATAAAGTCACTGTAAGAGAGACTAGACATCAATAGCTGTTCACACTCGCATTGAATGAAATGACTGACTGAACGTACTTTACAGTGTGCATATGCACACAAGGATGGTGTGGATTGAACTGGATTCGTTCTAAAGCGTATGAGCGATCGCGAACTCCGACCAACTGAAGTGAGGAAAACAGGGTGTAAGAGCATGTTCACATGTATGGTGGTTGACGGGATATGAACGCCATGAGAGTAATGGCGTATATAAGAAAAAAAAATACGTACCAAACGGACCCAGGCAGGTATATTTTGTTTCACACCAATAAGCCGCTCCATATAGACCATGCCTGTCGTCGGACACACGTACTGGTCCAGCACGTCGATCGAACGCACATGCTCAGCAAAAGGATTCGGATATTTATACCATATAGCATGTGCTGTCTGCGAAAACGCATATGGAAATACCACAAAAATAGAGAATGAGCGTGTCATTTACAAGCCTAGCCGCATGTCACGTAGCAGTGACTGAGAAGCTGCTGACACGACACGGGCTTCACGATGTATTTGGAAGTCAATCGTCCGTTTCGTGAGAACAGCCGAGTCGCTTGTTCCTTGCTCGCCAAATGATTAATCGTTTATTTCCATAATTATTTTTTTTCTTGCTTCACAATCGGGGATGGCAGCAAAAATCTTGCCTGCGCATGTGGACTCTATTTCTTGACACATCGGATATCAGACAGATAACTGTTCTCCACTCCAAGTCAAAAAGACCGTCTATGTGTGAAAAAGCTAGGATTGCTATGCGTTCACATGAGCTGCAATAGTTTAGGTCCGCCGCTTGCCGACTTTTCGCACATCAGCACACAAAGGCATGACTGGAAGCGAGCTGCGCAAAAGACATTCAGTTATGGCCTCAGGCGGTATAGGTGGGCCATCATATGTATATGCATTTGGCAGAAGGCTCATAAAGTAGAGGATAGCATCAGGTATCATCGGGGGTGGCGGCGGCGTATCACGAGAGCCGCCTTTTCGCGTATGAGACTGTGCATCAGGACCGCCTCTAGCCTTCTTTGCTAACTTATCCGTCTCGTTTTTCCCGCGCGTGCGTTTTACAGGATCCGAAGCGGTCGACGTTAGTGAGCGCCGGATATCCTCCATTGTTTGTCGGCCACTGCCACTGCTATTGTTTGGCACATCCGTCTTGGTCGCCGAAGCAGGATTCGAAGAAGTGCATGCTTCTGTAGATAACAAGTCTGGTGCAGTTGTTACAGCGCCTGGAAGTGCCACCAGGCCCGCGGCATCAGCCACAGCATTGGCTACTGTGGATGGTGCAGCAGCTGTATTAGCGCCGCTCACTGCGGCTTTTATACTCTCAAGCGCATTTATGTCCCTGCCTGGCATGCGTGCAATAGAAGTCGCTCCCACATACGGTACTGATGCAGCCAAGCCAATGTCCCGGAGCCGAACCCAATCGAGACTGCCATACCTGAGTCGGTCTGCAGCCGATTGTGCTGCAGACCGATCGGGATACATGTCAGCCATGCGTGCTTCTAGACGTGCAATTCCATTGGCATCGCCATAGCTGTATTCGTAATCGGACCAGCGGTCCCAAATGATTCGGGCACGCTCGGGTGGCATGCTGCTAACGGTCCGCTCAAGCACCGCCCGTGCATTTGCATCATCATTTATCGAGAGCAAAAAGTCCAAGTATCTCACGACGAGTTCCTCGTTCGCCCCGTATGTTTTGAGTGCCAGTTCAAACACCTTTGTAGCAACAAGAGGCTCTTTTGAGCAGTGATATTCGAGCATGGCATTCGCCTCATAGACCTGCCAGGAACAATGCGCTGATTTCCGTGCGCGCGAAAATACTTGCCTGGTGGGTCGGATGCCTTCCGTACGCCGAACAAACTGCATGTACTTGATCCATACCTGACTCACAGCTGCGCGCCACACCTCCAGCTCGCCTTGCGCATCGCGCTCAAGCTGCTGATGTTGTGACATACGCTCCTCTTGCAATCGTCGCTCAATATCTGCGAGCTCAACCTTGTCCCCATCGTCCTCGTCAGGCGCCGAATCTACTTGGGCGTGCTTTTCGAGCCGCTGTTTACGTTGACGCGATATCTCGGCATCCACACGAGCCTTTAACTCTGCCAAAGCATTCAATCGCATATCCACTTGGTGCTGCGTGTATAGGACAAGGTCGTCAAGCGCAGCAGTCGCGTCGGCGAGGCGACCAAGGGATGTACTTGCATCCGCATACGAAAAACGAAGAAGCAGACTCCAAGGACACGCTTCAATCCCATCTCGCAGCCATACAAGCATCTCGTTCTCTCGCTGCGACATACGGCAGAAGCTTGCTGCCATGTACCATATCACAGCGTCGAATCGAACGCACATCGTTGCTTTCTTGTAGGCAGCAAGCACTCGTGACTGCAGAGTCACTGGATCATCATAAGCAAGTGGATTTGCCTGCTCCCATGACAAATATGCACGCCATGCTGCATAAGATTCCTGTTCTTGGCCGGCACTTGTATTCCTCTTGGTCTGAGGTGCGATCCATACCGGCGGCGATGGGACGGCCGGTCGCGACAATGACTCTGTGAGTCGGCGCATTTCACGCAGAACAGTGCGCGCTTGCATATATGCTGGCGAATGCTCGCCTAGAAATTTCTTAGCCGTAAGCTTATTGAGTGAGTTTTCAAAAGCATCGTAGTCTTTCCAAATAACTTCAACATGATCCAGCGGAATGGATACAGCTCGTTGATATACGCGACGCAGCTGATCCATTCGTTGGCCTTCTTGCCATGCACCACGCACTTCTCGTTCGCGGATTAACTGAATATACTCCTGCCATATAGGGCCACTTTCGCGATCCCAGCCGATATACTTGAGAGCAAACTCGTATGCATCTTCGAGGACCTGCCTCGTCTGATCGCGCGGACTATTTTCCTCTGCCGTAAAGGGTGGCAATGGATTCACCCGTCGTGTGTATGCCAAATACACTTTCCACAAATCCACGGAGAGGGTCGTGCGCAAGCAGCGCACAAATATCGCATCGACTTCACTAAAGTTCGATTGAGACAGTTCCCAGTTTACATATTCAATCCATTGTACAGCTGCTTGAGGAAAGAACTCAAAGAAACGGTCATACACATCACGAATGTCGTCAGTTGATCCACCTCGACGCACATGAGCTATCAACTCCAACCATGGCCCCGGCATGCGTGGATCTTTCGACACCTCTCGTTCATAGTCCTGCCGCTCTGTGATTTGCACAGGCTGTACACTTTGTGTGCCTGACATGTCAAACATGGATCCAACAAACACTCGTCCAAACACTCCCCACTTGTTTTGGGGAGGCTTGTGCCTTGCTTCTTATGCTAGGACAAGCACACATATCCTCATTACGCACACTATTGCTTGCGCACAAGCACTCTCGAGCACGTGATGCCATTACGACGCCGCACGATTGCAAGGTCCACCCACCCAATATATGGAGGCGTGTATACGAGTATCTACCCCTTCGCTATATTCTCGCGAGTCATTCAGCAAGCAGCTACGAGAAGTGTGGAAAGCCAAGGCCAGACAATAATTGTATCAACTGCGCGCATCTATTTCGCGCTTGTCATTGCTATCGCCAATCGTAACAGCGTTTAGGTCATGGTCGACGAACGTGCGCTACTTCGTGAGGCAGCTTCACATCGCACCGGCACAATGCATACAGTCCAAGACCGATGGGCATCATACCACCCTAAAACCGGTGCTCTACGTTGCATTGCATGTAGTTATGCAGTTATAACGCACGAGCGACTATGGCCGGCACATACTCTCACGAGATCACATCGTGAAAACGTGCGCAAATGGGATACCCAAGAAGTCGGAACCATGAATGACGGAATTGGTACAGCCAAGACTCATCAGGCCGACGAGGCTGGTCCAATGGAAAAGACACATCCCAAGTCGATACCGGTCGGCGATGCTGGAGCACGGCACCTTGCCGCTTCTGAAGCGCTAGACTCGTCTGAAAGCTCTACACTTAACGCAAAGACTCTGATACCCAAACTTCTCAGTCCAAGCGCGCTCGACAGGATACCCACAACTTCGATGACGAGTGGGCGGAGTTCCAGCGCACTGTTCTTGCGCCTTCGAAAGAGTCGGCCCAAGCCTCCACCTACGAATATGCGATCATTTCTGCTGGACCTGAATTGCACCCTGACGAGTCTGTTGCATTGAAGGAGCCGGACAACACTGACGCTCGGCACCAACGAGCTCATATGGAACAAATAGCTCGGGAAGAGATCCTCGCTCGCATTGAAGAGGAGCAGCGTGCGCAAGAGGAAGCGAATGAACGGTACGCATTTATCTACTTACATTTCCGCAGAGTTCGATCGCTTCGTGCACGGTTTGCGAGAATCAAGCAGATACGACACCCGCCACGAATCGAGAGCCGCAGTCCTAAGCATGGCTAAGGCTGGGGACATACATCGCGAGCGGAGCCATGTGGATCCAGTGTGCCCGTGAGCTTGGCCAATGCGCTCGGCCGATAGAATGTGCTGGAAAAGTATGTCGTTCACGCGTATATAGCAAGCCGACACTGTTCAATGGTGGGTATTCGTGGTGTCGATTTTCTCTCAACGCACAAATATGTCGGTGGCTGAGCTGAAAGCGCAGGGTAATGCAAGCTTTGCTGCGAAGGACTATGAGAAAGCCATTCAGCACTACACGGCTGCCATCGAGGCTGCCAAGCAAAGCGGCGAATCTGACGCTGTGCATGTTCTCTACTCGAACCGCAGTGCCAGCTACGCTGGCATGAAAAACTGGGACGCTGCATTGAGTGATGCCGAGGAGACAATCCGGCTAAATTCATCTTTCGCCAAAGGCTATGGCCGCAAGGGTAGTGCACTCCATGGCGCTCGTCGCTATGAAGATGCTATTGCCGCTTACAAGACGGGTCTTGAGAGATGCCCCGACGACACTGCTCTTAAAAAGGGTCTTGCCGATGTCGAGCGTGCGTCGGCGGATGGATTGCGTGGAGACCCCTCTGCGTCCATTGGAAACTTATTTCGCGACCCGCAGCTCTTTGACAAGCTTTCGCGAAATCCTATGACTGAAAGCATGTTGCAAGATCCAAGCTTTGTACAGAAGCTCAAAGATCTCCAAAGCGGCAAATCCAATCCTATGGCGGCGCTGCAGGATCAGCGTATGATCCAGGTTATGGGTGCGCTTATTGGCGTGGACATGAAGGCATTTGAGCGCCCATCGTCAGAGGGTGCGCAACCTATGGAAGAGGAGTCAATGCCAAAACCAACGTCAGCCTCGCGCAAGGAGGAAACCAAGAAGGAATCACAGTCAGAGGCAAAGTCAGAGGCTGAGACGAAGCCTCTTGACCCTAATGTTGCTGAAGCGGAAAAAGAAAAGAAATTGGGCAACGAACATTACATGAAGCGTGACTTCGACGTGGCCGCACAGCATTACCAAAAGGCATGGGAGTTGCACCAAGATATTACATACTTGAACAACTTGGGTGCCGTGTATTTCGAGAAAGGGGAGCTTGATGAGTGCATCAAGACATGTGAAAAGGCTGTGGAAGAAGGTCGCTCTATGCTTGCCGACTACAAGCTCGTGGCGAAGGCATTTGGACGCATTGGCTCTGCGTACCTGAAGAAAGACGACTTAGAGCACGCTATAACATTTTTTGAAAAGTCGCTTACGGAGCATCGCACCCCTGAAATTTTGAACAAGCTCCGTCAGACAGAGAAAGAGCAGAAAGAACGTGCGCGTCAGGCGTACATTGATCCAGCCAAGGCCGAAGAGGAACGGAATCGTGGCAACACTTTGTACAAGGAAGGTGATTTTCCGGGATCCGTTCAGGCATACACAGAGTCAATCAAGCGGAACCCGTCTGACCCTCGTGGCTACACAAACCGCGCATCTGCATATACGAAGCTTGCAGCATTGCCTGAGGCACTCAAGGATGCCGAGGAAGCAATCAAAGTGGACCCGAAGTTTGTGAAAGCATACATCCGCAAGAGCAATGTGCTCTTTTCCATGAAAGAGTTCACGAAGGCTCTGGAAGCAGCTAACGCAGCGAATGAAGTCGACGAGACAATTGAGGGTGGACCTCAACACAAGCGAGAAATTCAGCCGCTTCTAACGAAGTGTATGCAGGCGCTCTACGACCAGCGCTCAGGTGAGTCCGACGAACAGACGCTTGAGCGGGCGATGCGCGATCCTGAAGTCGTTGGTATCATGCAGGACCCTGTGATGCAGACTATCTTGCAACAAGCGCAGTCAAACCCTGCTGCTTTACAAGACCACATGAAGAACCCTGGCATCCGTGCCAAGATCCAAAAGCTCATCGCTGCTGGTATCATCCGCACTCGCTAAAGGATCAATCATACCCATTCATAGGCTTGTACGCATGTTTTATTTTTTCTTGTGTCTTTTGTTTTAGAGATCTGTCTGAATAGTTCTTGAGAAGGTGGAAGCTGCAGTTCGCCCGTTGTCGGTACGCATGTGATTACGGGCAGTTGGGCGGGGCTGTTAGGACTGTCACGGTGGCAGAGGCGTCCATCTACCCACACGTGGCACTCACGTGAGCCCATATGAAAGGCTGCATCATAATATGAAGCATAAGGAACGCCTGCCTAGCGTGAGGAAGCGCACAGCTGCTTTTGCTGCACCGGGGAGGTGATAGTGCATGGCAAGTGGTGGACGTGGTGGCCGCGGTGGTGGTGCGGGAGCGCTCAAACCGATCGGTCTGACATACATTGAAGGTGCACAGCTGGATGAAGTGTATACACAGTCGGACATCAGCGCGGCGCCCGTGTTTGAGCCACCTACAGAGGAAGAGCGCGAAATTGCTGCTCTCCAGCTGGATGTGATTCGACGTCAATGGGACTCACCATATTGGACACAGTATACTTCGAAGCATTCTGGTGATGAGCCGCTCTTGCGCTATACGGATCGGTACCAACCTGACCGCCGTGGAGCTGCTTCCACTGCTTCGTTCCTACAACAGGTGCGGCTACAACAAGCAGTATTCCCACCACATCTGTGGGATAGTTTCACGAGTAGCGAAACGCGTCGAATGACGCGCCAGATGGCGCCGACGTCGGTGCGTGCTGCCAACATTGACTGGGACAATCTGCATTTGGAAGAAAAGAAAACAGGTGGTGAGGGCGAAGATGAATTGCCTCCTGACTCGGATGAAGATGATTTGGGTAACTATGAGGACGAGGAAGATGATGATTATGCACAAAATTACTTTGATAATGGCGAAGATGACGATGATATGGGCGGCGATGGCGGCGGCGATGGCGATGAGGCGGCGTTCGACTAGGCGTACAGACCTGTTTACACCGATGCATCGACACATGTGTTTTCTTATAAAATCACTCAACTCTGCTATTTCCTTCTTTCTCTCATCCGTTCGTTTCTCATTCCAACCATTGATACTATCGGGACCCTGCAAGTCGCACTATTATACGTGTATACAAAGAAACCAAACCTGCGTGCATTTGTGCAAATATCACCCTATAGGTAGTAGCCCAAAGTAAGCGGTTATATCGGCGCAGGCGGGCCGAATTCGTACGCAGCCATTCACGGTAAAAGGGTGACATTAGTTCAAGTGACGCAGGGGTTTCTGGTGATACATAAGCACTGTATTCTTGCTTAGCACGCATAAACCGTGCATTGTTGTCAGACCAAAATCGATGATTCATTTGATCGAGTGAAATAGTTTGCAAACGCGCATGAAGTTGAAGAGACTCCAAATTACTTAGCATCTGTTCGGAGTGATGCGCAAGAAAACCGCTTCTCCGAGACAAAGATGGCGGCGTAGAGAACTCAGAAAGCGAATACGGATGGTTTTTGATGTTTTTCGGCCGTTTTACGTGCTGTGCCACATTATCGTAGACGACAGGGCGCATGTGGGAGATGGGATCTGGAGGCCCCACGTACATACGAGCAAGGAATCGCGAAGGACTCGCTAGACGAGCGTTGCTTAATTGCATGATTAATTTAGGCAAAAAGAAGTCAAAATATGTGAGTCTAAGATATATGTATGCCTTTAGACTTCGATACGTGTCTGGCCAGTTCGCATGGTAAGGGAGTCCGTCGTTGACTCCGAGTGAGCTCAAGCCTTCGATGGATGTACGTGACACGCCCTCGTTACATTCGCGCACCAATCACAGTGTTTGTCAAATGCCTCCACTCACTGAGTGTTGTAACCTTTGCCCACACAGATCTAGTACAATCACTGTTCCCTTGGACTCATTCCCCCTACCGCTCGGTTGGCATGACGGACACTCCTTATCAATACCCAACCCTACTCCATAATGTAGTGGTACAAGATGAAAATAATGAAGAAAAACATGAAAATTGTGCTGAAATGAATGGTCGATTGCCGTCCTTGTCTTTGTTGAACAATGCACCTGTGACGCCGGTGCCAGCGGAGTCGCTTCCGTCATACAATGGCAACGAACTCAAAAACCAGACACAATCCAGTGAAGGACTTGGCGCCAACAAATTGCAGAAGCAAGGTCCTTCTAGGCGGCAGGGGAAAACATGTGCGGAGTGCCGACGCCAACACTTGCGGTGCGACTTTTCACAGCAAGAGCAGTTGCTGATCCAGTCAGGGTTGGCTGGACCTGTTCGCTGTTCCCGCTGTGAGCAAAGGAATTCTAACTGCGTGCAGGTATTTATGCCACAATCGAAATTTTGTCCGCGGCCCACACGCACAGGTCGGCGCATCGAGTTGGGCCGCCAGCTGCACGGCTCTACTGCGTATGGGGACGAGTCTAATCACACTTCAGATGCCGATCGGGAGCAAGCGAAGCAGCAGATTGAACTATCTTGGCCCAGGATTTACTTACGGCTCATTAACTGTTACTTCAGCTATGCCTTCACGACTGTGCCTGTGCCTGAGTATGAGCGATTCGCTCATGCGTTCAACTGTTCATTTGGGGACCCAACTCTTATGGCGAAATACCTGAATGGGCAAGAAGGTGACGAGGCTACCTGTTCATACTTTCATGAATGTCTTGCGGATTTGAATCCAAAGGATCCAGCTTCTTTCGTATATGCCACACCAGAGACGATTGAAGTGCTCCTGACAGTAATTTGTGCATGGGGTGCGCATTTCATCCTACTGCCTTTTGAGCAGATTGATTTACACTGTTTTTCTCACATGGGACACAAATCACTTGCTCAAGCGGCCGAAATGGATCCAGGGCTTGGCTTTCGCCGCTCCGACCCGGCAGGCTTATCATGCAATGGCGCATCAGGCGAAGGGATGAAACGGCGGCAGAAGCGGCGTCAAGGCGTTGCTTGTGACACATGCCGTCTTCGGCGTGTGCGATGTGACTTGATGGAACAACCACCTGGCACTAAAGCTTGCACACGATGCCGGGTGAAGCGTATAGTGTGTACCGACCGGTACATCAAATGGAAACGCGAGCGAGATATGCTAAAAAACCCAAGTGGTACTCATGCGTTACCTGACGTGCAACTACTTCCGAAACGTGAGGAATTTTTGATGATGGAAGAGCAACCTTTGCCTGTGCAGAAACTATCGCAACAAGAGCTGCTTGAGCACGGTACGACTCGCGAAGCTGCATGCAATTTTTTTATCAACAGGTCCCTGATGCTTGTGCACAAGTATGATCTTGTAAACAAGTGTGTTGTACAGAGTGTTATAGCGCTACTGATGCTTAGCTCTCTTCTTGACTATGTTCGACCAGATTTATCAATGGATTCACACCGTGTGGCGGTGCAGCATCTCAAGAAACTCTTTGGTGGAACTGAGTTTGACTTGAGCATTTTCTTGCAATCGGGACCATTTTTTGAGCAGATTAAGCTTCTGTCGCCTTCCGTGTACAGCACATGGTCTGGGTGCGTGACGCCGTACTTTGTGTGACATACCATCGAAAGCCCATGTTTCCTCGGGATTGGTACGCCGTTGGATTCCGCACCGAAACCAATGGCCCAATCCGGATACAGCCCGTGTCGCAGCTTCTGCAGTTTTGTGAACAACTGTCACCTGAAATGTCCCTTGCCATGGTGATGTTTCTGACGCATCAGCTAGCCCTTGTGGGCCATACCCTGTATGATGAAATCATTGTGCCAACCACGAGCGATAAGATACCACCATCTATGCCGGCATTCAAATCATTGTATGATGCATGCAGGCGAGTATGGGACGACCTATACACTGTTGAAAGGGCATTGCATGTCTTACTCAGAAATGCGGCTCCTCATGTGACTTGTCTACGACCGATGAACATGTTGGTGTGTGCTATCATGGTGTATTCGGTTCTCTTTTTGCTATATCAGATCATCTCCAAGCGCATCAACGACTGGGCAAGTTCGAGCCAATCTATACTATCGTTTAGTGACCCATCTGATGAAAAAGAGGAACTCATCAGTGGGATTCGCGAACTCATGCGAGAAAGTCAGGAACATACGCTGAAAATCTGCCGCACTATTGCCATGTATATTCACAAACTTCTACCCACAGGTCTTGTATGCCGTGGAACTACTCTGATCCGTTTAACATTTCGAATTGCCCAGGTTCTATCCAGGGCGACTCCTGTGTCGGAGGAGATGAATGAGCCATCTGAGACACCGGGCCAGAACGATCAAACCATTCACTCAACACCGCTTTTCGACGAATTGTTAAATCCGTCGGGTGACGCTACGGATAATGTTTCGGCATTTGCTGGTGCTTTACCTCGTTTTGCTACTGGTACTGCCACTTTTGTGCCAGATAATGAAAAGAGTGCATTGGCGAGCACCAAACCCTGGTCGTCCGCACCCTCAGGCATAAGGCAGGGGTCTTCGGAAATGCGGCATGGCAGCACAAAGTATGCAGAAGCCGACCCTGACAACATCAACATCTTACTCACAACGCCACTTTCGCGTACGCTAGGTCCATTTACACGAAATGCTAAGATCAAAGAAACTGATTGGTGTATCGAAGCTCTTGGACATATCGGATTTTCATACCCGAACTTGGGCGTTGAGATCCGCCGAATTGTTGACACAATGCAAGCCATCACATAAATTGACCCAAGAAAGTACTATCGTTTGGGCGTATAACACTGTGCTATTCTACTTGCCAAAAAGTCACGACATAATGGTCGGCTAATGATGTATTACAGCTCAACACCTTACGCTTACCACCTGGATTTGAACGATGATGCATTCCGACATCGTATGAATGGTTTCATTCCTTTAACGAATCTATGTTTTTAGAGGAGGGAGTTACCTACCACGAGTTTTATGTAGCAAAATGATGATCATCCCTTTACGCTAGCCCCTATCCCTTACGTCCTTGTTGTTTTGTTTTGCGAAGCACATGTTGAAGTTGTATGAAAATGAGGATGACGAATAACGTCGACCTACGAGCCACTCAGAAGAGCTAGTCATTCATAACCCCAGCTCCAGGAGTGATACTTTCCAGAGCCTCTTGTTCAAAAGCAAAGCGGCATAGAAGCCATTTTAAGCACTACGGTTTACAAAGGTGATGTTTCTAAGAGACGCTCGGCTACACGACGCGCACTGATATGAAGGAATGTGACGTGTTCATCAGCAGAAGGCACAAGATGGGACGGCACCGTCAAGTACGCAAGTTGGTCGTCTAGAATCGGGAGAAGCGCTGCGTTAGCACTTGAACGCAAGGCTGCTGCATCGAAAGAGGCACGCGAGGCGCCACCGATCCGCATAAACAGGTCTAGGTGGCGTACGAGCATCACAAGCCAGCGTTCGATCATGTCGAGTTTTGCTAACACTGTCGCAGTGAGATCCTTCGACACACAGTCTAGTGCTTTTTCACACGCTGCACGGCATTGCATTGTAAGGGCTGAAGAAGCTGAGAGTGACAGAAGTCCTGCATCTTGTGCCATGTCAGTCCACTCGTCAGCATGCACGGACTCGGGATCACGGAGAAGCGCGTTGACCCGATCCAAGCTCGAGAGTGCAAGTGCGACTGATGCACACTGCTCTCCCAGGGCGGCGATTGCAACGCCTAAGGACGGCGCAGCAACAATTCGCGCGGCGGACGATGCATGGTCTGACACACGAGCGACATGCATTGACGGCACAAGAATGGCGCGTGCCTCGCCGTGACTGCTTGCCAGCTCCATGTACTGCACGAGTGCACGTGCGAGGCGGTCTACAACACGCCGTGCCGATGCATCAAACAAGGTCAGACGCGCATCTGGTGCTGTCTGCACTAAGCCATTATAAGTCGGAGCAAAGATGGATGCGTCTTCTCGCTCCGCTAGTGTCAGTGGCTTGAGAGCCTCGTGCGCATTCGGCACCAAGTAGGTTGCGGCCAAAGCAAGACATGCAGCATGAAATGGTGGCGGCGTCGGTAGCAGCGGAGGCGTCATGAATGTAAGGATCTGCACGAGCAGGGCTGCCTGCTCAACATCGCCTGTGCCGGCAGACGAATGAGTGGCAGCGTGCAGTGCGGCCAGGAAAGCATCCTGGTGAGCGACCAGAACAGCATGCACGCTCTCGCGCGCCTGCGGCACGGACATGAGGAGCGTAACAAGCAGCTGGAGAAGTGGCATCAGCAAGCTAGCGTACCGCTCAGCCACAGGCGGTAGGAATCCATCCATATCATCAAGCGTGTGCTCAGGCCGCAGTGAAGGAAAGTCAACGCGCGCCAGAACGTCAACGATGCGCGCTTCTAGCAACAGAGATGCCTTGCTTCGCGCTAGACGGCCCAATACACTCAGTAATGCCTCATAGACATACAGAGCATTCAGCGAGGGCGGATCGGGCGTGAGTGTTGCTTGCAGCGGCACATCAAGCTCGTGGATACGGAGGGCAAGACTCTTCAAGAAGCCAGCTGATGCAAGCTTCTCACCAATGTGCAGTGCAGGCAACACGGACGCGCTTGCTGGCGATGGGGACGATGCCGTGGACGACGCACCATCCCAGGCCACAAGATGACTCAGCGTCGTGAGAGATACGGTCTGTGCTACGTCCGAGCCATCTAGCGCATCGCGTGCGAGAACATTCACAAGATGAGCGGCATGGGTCGCAAAAAGAGAGTAAACGCGATGAGCGGCAGCTGCACGGCCACCATGGCTGACTGAGGAGCGACTGCACACAAGTTGTTGTGCACAAACCAAACTCAGGTACAAGTCGCAGCGAGTACTTGCCTGTGTGCCGAAACTCAAAACGTCCAGAATAGCACGGACGATCAATACAAGTCGTTCAGCCGGCACATCCTCATGCTCACGTACAGCATGCAGGAGCGACAGGATAGTACTGGCCGCAATACTTGGGACCAACGCATCGTCTTGGTCCTGCAACCGAGGAAGTAGCGCATTCGCACAGTCTAGCAAGATCGGCACACGAACGTCGGCTCGAACAACGGTTGTGAGTGCCTGCCCAACGAGGACTTCCATGACTTGTCGCCACGCAATAAATGCTTCCCTGCGTGCGTAAGCGAATGCGCGACGAGTGTTCTGCGCAGCGGCCCATAGCAAGATGCGGCGTGCCTGCTCAAACCAAACCGTGTGCTCCTGCGTGCCACGTTCTTCCAGGAGAAGGGCAGCTACCTCGTGGATGTCGTATACACGGGCCGCAGAGGCGGTATCAGGGACGAGGGCTGGGGCGAGACGAGCAGCTACCCACTTCGGCTCCGAAACGCTGTCCTCCGCTGCGTTCTCCCAGGTCACGTGCGTCGCTTCTAGCAAAGGGCGCCACCGGCCACTGCCACCGCCTGTGCCGTGCATCACCGGCTCGCCCAGGAGAAGCGTCATGAGCGGCACAGCACGCTGCAGCTGGCCATGTGCAGCAAGAGTATGCAGCTCCAAAGCTACAAGCGAAAGGATGTGTGCGTGTGTGCGGAGCAAGGCAAGCGCCCACTCCGTGCGCGTGCTAACCGTCTCGCCTGAAGCATACATGAGTGTGCCAAACGAAGGGCCAGTCGCCGAAGAAGACGACGTGACCGACAATGGCACCAGTGGCAGCGACCGCAGCTGTGTCGCCACAAAGTCATGCGTTCGTAGGAAGCGCAGCATGGACGCACTAGTGTACGGGTGGACACATGCTCGCTGAAGCACAGCATAGCACCGTTCCGCCAGCGTGGGCGGCCACGTACAGGGTGGTGTTACTCGCTGCACTAGAGTAAGGAGGATGGCGTCCCGCGATTCATGCACGAGACGATCCGGATCGCTTGCGTCCATGTCGAAGCCAAGAAGCAGATGCGCGACGTTGGGCGCAGGTGCGTCAGGTACGAGTTGCTCGAGAAACAGGTCTAAGAGCTCCTTCTGAATCTTGGCCGGCAGGATGCCTGTGGCTGTATCGTTAAGACTGGCGACTCCATCTGCGTCGCTGAGCGACGAGCTCATATCCATGTGGGCTGTTGTGCCGGGAGCATGGTAGTTTCCATTCACGTCCGCGTCATAGTTAAGATTATCAGAATCAGCGTCCATGCCAGTGTCCGCCTCAAGCCATGCAAGAACGCCACTCGTGACGCGCGCTGTCTCACCTGCCATGTCAAGAAGGCCGGCCAAACGGTTGCGGGAGGTACGTGCGCGAAGCGGTCCAAAAGCATCTGTGGCTTGGAACGTTGATGTCCGAGCGAGAGCGCCGAGTAAGCGCACAGCAAGCCAAGCAATCTCTGTATCGACACACAGGATGTACAGCGCTATCTGTACAACGACCTGGTGCGCTTGCAACAGGTGAACGTCCAACGCCAAGAAGAGTGCACGATCCTTCACTGCAGCGTGGTCGTTGATAGAGGGGACATTGTGGAGCACATCGTTCTGGACCTCGAGCATGCGGAGGAGAATCCGTAATGCTGCTCGTACAGCTCGAGAAAAGTCGGGTGTTTGTGCGCGGTTCATATTGATGACTTCATACCCTGCACACGAGGGATCTGGATGCACGAAAAAGAACAGTTCCCGCAAGAGAGGCGTGCCACTCAACAGACGCCGCAGCACATCAAAGCCTGGGTGCGCTGTGTCAACAGGCGCAACAGGAAGCGTCGCAAGGCACTTTTCGGCGAATTCCAAACATGACGCAGAGATGGCCCAACGTTCTGCCGGTCGTGCATAGGTGCGATTGGACGCTGGCAGAAGCACATGGTCCAGGACGTATGCCACATACATTGAAGTGGACATGGAGTTGCCGCTACCATGACTGGTGCTCGCGGTGGTGCTGGAGGCGGTGGTTGAGTTGCGTCCTGAATGCCACCACGGAAGCGATGCGTCACGCATATAGGCGACAAGCGTGTCAGCCTGAGATGCAGGCGCAACATGTGGCACAATGGCGCTCAGCAGATCGACGAGGGCATGCGTGCTTGGAAAGCGCCCATGCACGCATTCCACGTTCTCAAGCTCGTACAAGGCACGCGGCGGCTCACCACGAACGCTGCGGACAGCACCGCTCAGATTCAGGCGCTCCCACAGCACGGTTACAATGCGTGCAGATGTGCTGGTGCCAGATTGGACAGCAAACGCGCCAATAGCACGAAGAATTGCTGCTTTCAAGTCCATTGGCACGGCACATGCGTATAGCGAGAACAGGCGATCGACCGGCATGTACTCCTTGTGCCAGAACAAAGCATCGCGCGTGGCTGCGCTGTACCGCACGACAGTAGCAAGTACGTTGAGAAACGCACGCAACAACACCAACTCATCCGGTGGCATGACAGCGACAGCGTGCCGCTGGAACGCCTCTATGTAGTGAGCCATCCACTCAAAGAGGCGTGTCCACGTCACGAGACGGCGCTCGCTGCCGGCAGGAGCTCCTGCATCATGTTCGAGAAGGGCGTGCGCATAGGCAGCACACTGCTCGCCCTCAGCGAGCGACGCTAGCATGCCCAGAAAAGCCCGTTGCTGTCCCAGCTCGCGAGTATCCACAGCCCAAAGGAGGAAGCGAGATATACGTCGGTCAGGTCCCTGCCAGAAAGCAAGTCCCGATTCTGGTCGCCCTCGGCACAAAAGAGCCACGAGGTCGAAGAACGCCTCGATGTCGTAGCGCCGAGCAAGTGGCGCGCCACCCGCACCGGTTCCACTGCTTCCCAGGCTACCAGCGCTAACACCAGCTCCTGTGACAGGGCGTGAGGATGCACGCAATACCGAGATCGCTGCGTCCTCTTCTGCACGCTGCAGCTTGCGAAGCAGCGGAAAACACGTCGTAGTGAGACCCAAAACAAGATGCTCCACTTGTTGAAGCACATATTCTTGAAACTCGACATCCATCGCGGCAGGTGCTACTTCGTCCACATCCAACTCATCTTCAGGCGCACGGCGGAACGACAGCACACGTAGCAAGAGGAACAAGAGTGCGGATGCATCGCCATCGGCTGTGATGGCCCGCGATGCCAGGAGCTGTACGTCGTCCGCGGACTGACCCAACGCAGGCGCGAGAGTGGTATGTGAGGTTAGCGCGTCAGTGAGAAACAAAGCCAGCTGGAGTTGGACCACATGTTGGAGTCCAGGCGTCGCCCACGCCGACTGAGACACGCTGCGCAAAAGCGCCTGCAGACAGCGAACATCGCCGCACAAAGCCTCTGCCGTGCACAACGGCGCTGTGCTGTGCTGTGCGAGCCATTCACCCGCTTCGTCCGGGACTGTGTCGAAGACGGCAAGCACAGCCGTCATCAAGTATACACTTGTCGTAGGCACCGATGCCGCAGACTCGACCGGAGGCAGTGTGGCCTTGCTCAGGAATGTCATGACGGCCTCGATGGCACTAGGCACTAGTCGTCGCGCTAGCGCTAACAGGTATGCAACATGACCAAGCTCTTGCTCAGCCTGACTGATCCACGTCAAGCGCTCCATCTGAACCTCGTCACTAAGTCGTGCATTGGCCGATGGTGGCTTTTGCATCGACGTACGCACGCGCTCGCGCTCTGCACGGAGCGTATCCAGCTCCACGAGCAGGTTCTGCACGAGCACATCGCCAGATACAAGATCGTCAAGAAGACGGCTCATCCGAATGCCTGTTCGCAGATCACCACCGACACACAGGGTATATGTGCCACGAGCGAGTTCCTTCAGGCATGCAAGGAGCGCCAGACGCTCACGGTAGTATAATAGACACGCAACTTCTGATGGTGAGCGGCCCCAGCGCGCACGCGCGGCGATTCCCTCCTGCAGAAGGGATGCAGCATACGTCTCCGACACATGCAATTCATCAGACAAGAGAAGCGTCTGAGCAACAAAATCAGCATTCAGCGTCTGTGACTGCCCACCCAGCACAATCACACCCTTCGAGATATCTCGACGCTCTGCCTCATTTGGCGCACGCACACGTCCTAGATTGGTGAGAGGACTCCGATTCCGCTCAACATTCAAGTACCAGTCATGTACACAAGCATCTGGCACCGTTGTCACAGTGTGTATGGTGTCATAGAGCGATTCGAAGCGCGCTGGTTCAAACACATTCACGTCGCCGGCCACCGACGCCATGAGCGTGTAGGTTAGTGGATCTGATCCCAACAGCAGCACGCGCAGCGAACAAATCAGCCCGCGTCTTCGTCGTTCGCAAGTAAGTCGACGTCAGCGACAATGGCTCACTTTCGTCAACGCTCGTCGCCCGGCCGTGTTCGTTGCCAGTCTGCCGCCAGACTTGCCAGACCTGAATGTCTTGTCGTACGTCATCATCCGTCCACCGCCTCGCCGTCTACATCACGTGTCTCGGCCGAGATTGTTTGTCGCGCGCGCGCATCGGCCAACGTGATCGGCCACTTTCACACCCATCAAGCTGAACGGTGCAATCAATCCATAGCGGTAGCGACGTCCGCGTGGACGAGCTGTGACTGCGATACCGTTTCAAGCACTAGCATGGATACCGAGAGGTAGGTGTGCACGCGCATGTTGTACATTCACTCAGCTTTCGTAAAGCAGCGCATCAAGCTGTTGACAGAATATGTGACTACTTCACAGACCTCGAGACGCGCCCCGTGACGGCACAAGTCGAGCGCGGATACCTTGCATCGCGCCTGCCGAATTCTGCTCCTGTGCTAGGAGAGTCGTGGGATGTGATTATGCGCGACTATGAACAGCATATTCTGCAAGGCATCACGCATTGGCAGCATCCGATGTTTTTCGGGTTCTTCCCTGCGAACACGACGTACGAGGGCATTCTCGCCGACATGTTCGCAGCGATGACGTCGAACCCAGGATTCAATTGGAATGCATCGCCTGCGGTCACCGAGCTGGAGTTTATTGTCGTGGATTGGGTTGCCCAGATGCTTGGGCTCTCGACAGCCTTCCACGTGGCTGATCCCACGCACGATGGCGGCGGGATCTTGTTCGGCTCGGCTAGTGAGTCCACACTGACAATGGCAATTGCAGCTCGCGAGCGTGCGCTTCATGCTCTTTGTCGAAGCACGGGCAACAGTGTCGAGTCTGTTCGTGACACTTGGCTCCCCAAGCTTGTCATGTACTGTTCGGATCAGGCGCATTCCTCTGGCGTCAAGACAGCGCACGTTCTAGGCTTACGATGCCACACGCTTCGCGTGAAACGCGAGGATGATTACGCTTTGCGTGGCGCTACGCTTCGCGAAGCTATCGAGTCTGATTTGCAAGCCGGTTACTACCCATTCTACCTCGTTTCTACGTATGGCACCACGAATTCATGCGCCGTTGACCGACTCGACGAAATCGCCGCCGTTGGTCACGACTACCCGCAGCTGTGGCTGCACGTCGATGCCGCTTACGGCGGTGTCACGCTCGCGCTGCCGGAGATGCGTGAAGCTACCTTGCTTAATGCTATCAACGAACACTTTGATTCCTTCTCGACCAATTTGCATAAGTGGGGTTTGGTGCCCTTTGAATCCTCGCCGGCCTTTGCACGCCATCGCATGCATTTGGCCGCCGCTCTCACTCTCACTCCCGAATACCTCAAGACGCAAGGTGGCGGAATGCACCCACTTTCGGACCTACGCAACATGCAAATTTCACTTGGCCGTCGCTTCCGTGCGCTGAAAGTCTGGTTTGTCCTCCGAAGCTATGGCATAGCGGGCTTCCAGGCACATTTGCGCACCCATATCTCTCTTGCCCAATCTTTTGCAAAGCAAATCGTCGCGCACAACGTGTTTGAAACGGTCTGCCCCCCACGCTGGGGTCTCGTGGTGTTTCGTATAGTGCGTCCAGACAAAGCAGACGATGAACTCGACCGTCTCAATCGTGCGTTTCAGCGCATCCTTTCTTTGCATACAGCCGACATATTCATCACTCCTACAGTCATTCCGGGCGTGGGATTCTGTTTTCGATGGGCGCTCGGAGCTCCTGGTGTTCAGTCGCATCATGTAGATCGAGCTGTGCACCTCCTACATCAATACGCGACTGAACTGGACTAACTAATACTTCTACGATACAGGAACTAGCGTCTCTTGAGAATCGACGTCATTAGCGTGAAGAAATAATGTTCAGAATGCTTCCACAAGTCGTCTAAGAATATCGAATTGCAGCTGTTCATGCCCAGTACAAGCTTTCTTTCCGCAACATACGGTTAGCAAAACCTGTTTCACCTGAGCAGGCATTCCTTGATGTGAACTGGGCACTGGGTAAGTGCGTAATCAATGAAAGCCATGACATCATGTCAGTTCCCTGGCAATATAACATATACGCTTTACATGATACTGTGTAGAGACTGTGAGTTGCAATAACTAAGGTATCAATGTAGTTTAGTTGTGGCGACAGGGTCATCAATGAATCATAGCAAAATGACGCTACACATGGAGTCTGCTACTCCAAGAAATTTTCTACCTGCGCTCGCACCAATGCTGATATTGGTTGGCATGAATTTGTTCGCTCGTTTGATTCGGTGCGCCAGGGTGTGCGGCCGTGACAAGAGTCGCATGTGTACACCAAGCGCCACGCGTTTGATCCTTTCCGTTCCGTTTCGCGAGAGATTTCCAAGTCTGTGAATTTTGCCTGCGATTCACCCGGCGCCCTCGCCGATACCCTCAGGCAGGTACTCTAAACTCACTCGGCCGAAAATGATCGCCTCCGCTGCTGTTCTCAGCATTGTCGCCGTCATTACCGTCGTCGACGCCCTCTATGCAGGATGGACGACACAGAGGCTACAGAAGAAGTGCCTGCATGTCGTATATGCCGGAGTGAAGAAGAACCGGATGCCCCCCTATACCATCCGTGCAAGTGCACGGGCAGTATCCGGTATTGTCACCAAGATTGTCTTGTACAATGGCTGCAGCACAGTCAGAAAAAACATTGTGAGCTATGCGGCTTCCATTTCGTATTTCACAAACACTATACCCAGGATATGCCACAGGGTATACTTTCCACATGGCTCTACTTTCGTTACTTCGCTTGGCATCTGGTCGTTGCTGCCTCATGGCTCATACGCGTCGCTGTCGTGTCAGTATCGTGGCTCATTTTTGTGCCTTACGCAACACTGCGCATCTGGACCTCCTATATTCATTCCTGCGACTGGTTTGCCGAACTAGTGCTTCAGCAGCCCGTTGCATCGATGAAGCTAAAGCAGACGGATATTGCAGCGCATTCCACCGACTCGGCTATCGCGGTCGTCAGCCGATACATCGTTCGTGAGCTTACGAAGGACTGGCCCATGGCTGCTGGACTTACGATCTTTGTTATTTCCGCATTTGTCGGTGTTTTTATCCTGCGCGAGTATATCGTAAATGCAGAAATTGGTCTAAATGACCGGGAAAATGACGTGGTGATCGAGCGCGCGCATGAGGATGAAATGCAACAGATCGGCCAAGAAGCCCTTGCGCTAGCTCGTGAGCGTGCGCAACGGATGCGTGAAGTCGATGTTGATGAGATCGTGCGCCAGGATGAAGCGCAGCATGGTCACGGGAACGTGGCTAGCCCCACCAACGCGCCCGTATCTTCGGCACAAAGTGACGATGACGAGTGGGAAGACGAGCAAGACGATGCGATTGAGCGCAACCACGAACCGATGGTGTGGGAGACGCGCATGCACTTAGAGCCTCGGCGCAGGTCGCCGGGCTCATTGACGCCTGCAGCACCCCCTAACGAGGACAACGACGAATGGATCGATGAAGCCGAGTCGAGCCACGAGCAGGAACACCATGGACATGAGTCAGAGGAGCAAGACCAACAGCTGGCACCACTTCCTGCGCCAGCTGATCCTGATGACGAAGCTGATGAAAATGCTGAAGGCGACGAGCAGGACGATGAGATTGATGACAATCCTGAACATATGGCCGAAGACATTGATACTTTATTGCATGCTATTGGACTACGTGGGACCTGGATCAGCCTGGGCCAAAACTTGGTTCTGGTTCAAATGCTAATTATCATGACGATGTCGGTATGTGTAGCTGTGCCGTATGGCATAGGCCGTGTACTGGGCTTCCGCGTGTACGATATGCTGCTTCTACCAGCGAGAGCACTGCGCATCGTGACAGATCCTGTGTTTGAGCTTATGATTGACAGCATGTTTCGGCTACTCCCAGCAGAAAATATGTCTGCGCCGCCCGCGCCTAGTGTGTCGACGGTGCAGTTTGCGTATCTGAGCCCTGTTAGGCAATTGGTCACGCAGGCGACCAGTGCTGTCGATGCATGCACTCGTGGCGGCTATTTCTGGGAACGTGCTCTTTGTGTTATTCTAGGCCATCTGTACATTTTGGCGGGTCTGAAGCTGGAGGCACGCTTCGGCTCGCTCCTTCACGGCGGTTCAACGGAACTTGTGGGCGTCGTTGTTAAGTACTATGGAACTGTACTCAAGTGCCTGTTTCTCATGCTGCTTGACCTCGTCGGCTGCCCGCTGTTCTACGGTATTTTCATTGACTGGTGTCTCATGCCTCTGTTTGAAGGTGCATCACTCGCGACGCTCATTGGCTATGCACAAACAGCGCCCGTATCGTTCACCTTCTCTCATTGGCTCTCAGGGACTTTGTTCATGTTTCTCTTTGCACAGTTTCTCAGTGCGATCCGCTCTGTTGTGCGTCCTGGCGTGATGTGCTGGATCCGCGACAATAGCGATCCTGACTTCCAGCCAGTTCCCGAGGCTGTGGAAGATAAAATGTTCCACCCAGCTACGCAAAATGGCCGAGTCCCAGTGTGATTTGTAGTTTCTACGCAATGTTGGTGCTTGGCTTATCAAGCTCCGTCTCCTTGCAGCAGGTCCCGGGCCCTGCTTCCACTGCACTGGGCGCCACTCACACCACGTATACTTGCACCCGTCGATCTTATTCTCTTGCACTTTGGTCTGCGGATCTTTGTCAAGTACACTCGCATGCCACGCTATTCCCGCCGCCTTCTGCGTGTATTTTGGATATGGACAGCCAAATGCATGCGCATGAGCGCTTACATTATGGGGGATGACCAGCCGGCGGAACGTGAACATCCTGTTTACGGCTCGTGGACAGCTTGGGCACGTTCTTTTGTCCAACATGTCGACTCGACGACAGTGGCGGATGGTGGGTTTGTGCGCGTACCAGCCAATGACCGCCCAGCGCCTCGGACCCCGATGATCATTCGCACAGATGCGCAAGGTCATCCTGTGGATGAGCATCAACGCGAGCTACTAGATAAGCAGCGCGCCGTCATCGATACCATGACGGAAAAGCCGCCTTATACCATTGTGTATGTGCCACCGAACCTGAGACTTCGAACTCTTGGCATTGTTGGCTTCGTGTGGGCACTCAGCTTGACATTCATCACTTTGGGTATCGGAATCCCCCTTGCGATCGGGCGGATCTTGTCATACTGGAATTCTTGGCTGCGCGTGCATGATGTATATACCTGGTCCGGCGGCTTTTTGGTACTTGCTGTGTTGAGTGCTGTGATCCGAGCGTATTTCTACGTGACGAAAGAGCCACGACGTGCACGCCCGACGAGCCAAGCATCCAAAGTCATGTCGCTTCTGCGCAGCGTTGCGCGCGTCACGTATAATCTAGCGACGCTCGGCGGTGTTGTGCCGCTTTTAACTGGCATCGTCTTGTTCCAGTACTTGACTTTCCCCAGTGCAGATGGCCAGGTACCCAAGTTTTCAGCATGGTATGCATGGTCGTATGGAGCGCTGGTACTGAATGCGATTATCGTTCCGGCAGTGATATGGTTGCCTCACGTCGAGAATGTCCAGTGGTATATTCAAACCCTAGTGAGTATTATCTGATGCAATGCCCCCACTTCAATACTAACAAATGCAGTCGCAAGTTGGTCCATGGAACGAAAACGTTGGTCCTTTGTCTAGGCACATTCTTGCTCCCGTCGTCGGTGGACTTTTGGCCTTGCTGTTGACTCCGTACCTACTAGCACTTGTTGGTCTGTGGGGAACGTGTGGACTGGACGTACCGGCGACAACACAACTCCAAGCGGTTCGCACTGCTCAAAACACCATTCTAGTTTGCCTGGGCTCTACGGCCATATGGTACTATGTCCGAGCCCGACGAACAGCATGGACAATCGCACTGCGTGATCAGATGTATCTTGACTCGACGGAGCTATGTAATTACAACCCGGATCGTCGTGAGCTGGACAAGTCTGACGACTCCCATTTGGAATATGGGCCTCTGCCGGACTCATTCATGCGCACATAGTGATTTTTTTTGAAAAAAAAAAAAAAAAAAAAAAAGGCACGAACATTTGTCTTGTTTGCTGGAGATCGGAGCGAGAGTGGCAACGTGCCGCTGTTACACGCTAGCTCAACTTTCTGGTGTACAGCATTTGTGGATGCCTACGGACATTTCTCTATCGGGATCACATCTCATAATATACTTGGCTTCTCGCTCAAAAATGTAGCGCATAGACAGGTTGATTCTGTCTGTGGATTGTATTCTACCCAAGTCTGCTTGCCCCCTGTGTCGGCGTCTAAACTGGCGGTCGTATGTGCCGCCAACAAAGCCGGCGTGAGAGAAACACTGCCCAATTCATCTCCACTCATTTGACCCCGCTAGATTTGGATCTTTACATGACACAGGCTCTGCACGATTCAGGGCCAGATATCGACGATTCGCGTGGCCGGTCGCGATTCAAATCGCCAAAATCATTCTGGATATCAGCTTCTGCAGCCACATTTGTGCTAGGCGCTGTAGGTGCTGTGGCCTACGGCTTTCGGCGCAAGCCTCTTGATGCAAGCCGTATAGACCTTCCGGTTGTCTCAAGACAGACTACGCGATCTGCACGCTCTCTGCGACCGGCGTCAGCATCGAATAGACTGCCACCACCAGGAAGTGATGCAGAGCTTGAAAAAAATGCGTGGGAAGTATTCCGCGACGTGCATAAGGCTATGTTTTCCTCCATTTCATTAAAACGCACGTCATCACGTCCAGCAGCAAAAGCTGTGCTTGTCTCTTCCCATACAAGTCCGTCAGCTAAAACAATTGGTGCTCTCACGCGATCTTCTCCTAATCCAGCTTCAGGTGCATCCCATGCAACGAATGTGACGCCTTCAGTTCTGAGTAAGAAAACAAGTGCGACGACTCAAGCAAACGCGCGCCAGATACCTGAGACCAATGGTGCCGATGGTCCCCTCTTAGCGCTGGGCGCGTTCGGTCTGGCCACGGCAATTGTCGGAGCGGGTGCTCTCGCCGTCACTTGGGCTGTGCAATATGCACTCGGCGTTGATACCGTCGAGGAGTTTGCCGACAAGATGCACACCATCATGCCCCCATTGAGTCGACATGCACGCATGGCGCAGTATATTCCGGCTGTGCCTGTAACAAAGTACCAGGAACTACCGGTTTCCACACCACAGCCTTCCCCTTTTCATCACCGTGAAGCAGAAGCTGACGAAACTCCTGTCACGATGCTTTCACAGGCAGAACTCACTCACAAACTCGAGCACACTGACGATATACCTGAATGGCTCACCTACGCCCGTATGCAGCTGGACGCCGAATATGCCGCGCATGAAGCTGCAAAGAGCGATCGACGTCGTCAACGTGATATATCTACAATCTAGGGGGTGGTGGCGGTGGCACGCGGCGTTTTACAGGCACATGGGCTGATGTAGCTGGTGTTGCTGGGGCTGCGAATGGGTTTGAGGATCCACTGTTAATCTTATCGGCATCCACACTACCCACAGACGACAAACCCGGTTTTTCTCTCACGTCCGTGCCTGACACATGCGTTGCCTTTTGCTCCGCGTCCTGCACAATGGGAGATAGCTCGCCTCGCTGAAACATGTGCTGCCGCTTTTCCAAATCATGAGCCCACATTGCAGCGCCGATTTGGTTCGATATAGAAAAGATTAGCCCGAAGAGCGGAAGGCGTTCTAAAAGTAGGGCAAAGAAGCCGAATACCATGTAATCATAACGTCTCTCGGCCACCCAAAGTTTGATTTCCTGATCTTGCATCTGCTTGGCCTCGAAAAATGGCTGGTGGATGCGACGGCCAAAGCCTAGGGCGCCATATGCTGCAGAAAGAATGGCACCAAACACTGCGTGAGGTTAGTTATTCGAGAGGTGAGCACATACATGGAATGGAACCAAACAGAACGAATACGGCTTTGCGGACCACCATCTCTGATATGCGCTCCTTGATGCCCTCATTCGATTTTGCATTTAGATCAGGTGGATGCTGATACTCTTCCGTATACGGCGTCCAAAAGCTCGCAGACTTGCCACGCGATTCGACTGTCTTTTGATAGGCTGTATTCCGGAATTGACGCAGCTGTGGACCGAGGAACATGTCAAATACAATATTTACCTGATTCAGCACCAAGAGCAATGTCGTCAAGGTTCCAAAAGACAGCATCGGCACTCCCAATTGCTTGGCACCAGCTTCGATGAGCTCATACGCCCACTTGGCGCCACTCGCACGGCCAATCTTGCCAAGCACGAGACCTGAAACCAAGCGTTGCCCAGGCATAGAGATAAAAGACCATGCCACTGTCGTTGCACCGGCCTGTGTTACCTTTGCATAACATGCATTCCACATGGGTCGCCATAACTTGTCGTCATGTACGAGGCGGTACATGCCTACGATCGGATAAACAACGGGGAACTGGAGTGTGACCTGTGGCATGTTTTACAGCACAAGTCAGTTAGCGGAATGGGCTACGATATACTATTACTGGCAACTGCTAGGCCAAGCCAATCGCAGTAACAATCGAGCAGGCTACGCTGCCAGTTTCCCCCACCTGTCGTGGACTCGGAGGTAGGCAGTTGGGACAAGAACCACGTGGCTCTCAAAATCTGCACGATCTCCACGTCGATGAGAAAGGGTGGGGAGTGTACATCGAGCCTCCACTATCCGTCGAGACCGACGTCGGCAATGAGTAATACCAGAAGATAGGCACACTGTCATTTCATGTCAATTAGTTGCATGTCATAGTTAGTCCCAATCATCGTCAGACGCCATGGCATTTTGGGAGGATTGTGGAACGCCAAAACCTAAAATGGGATTGTTTGGCTTTTGCTGTGGTACAATAACGCCTGTCGTGTGAGGAGGACCAGTGCGCTTATGCTTACCTGTTTGTCCTAGTCGCCACTCTAACGCTGCCGTAGTAAATACATCGCTATTTCCAAATTCCTGGAACCCAATAAGCTTGTCCTTGCATACACCATTTTTGAATACAAAGAGGCATGGCAATACACGAATCTCGAGCTTATTGACAAGAAAAGGCGTTCTCTCAACATCAGCCTTGAGGAAAAGCGTGGATGGATGCTGTCGAGCCATGTGCTGCGCGTGGTCAGAGCATATTCGATGTGTTCCATTGAGAGGTCAAATAGGCAAACTCACTTCAAGATGTCGATCAAGTATCCGACATCGACGGAACTCAGGCTTGGCAAAATGAATAACCACATTCGGCTCGCGCACGCTCATGCTAAGCAATTCCTTTTCATCGCGCACTTCTTTGTACTTGCCGCTGTCCGGATCACTTGCATCTGCGCCGGCGCGAGCAGCCACTCTGGTCATGTAAGTCGAATTGAACGCACTCTGTGTGAATTTCAGCGAGCCTTTGAGCACGATATTCTTGAAAAGCCTTGGAAAGATCACCGTCAGTACTGCGTCCTGAGCTGTTTCCAGTAATGTGTGCCGCCTCGTCTGCATCTGCCTCATTGAGTGCCTCGACCTCTCTTTCAAGCTCCGCAAATACCTCATCATCTTCATCATCGTGAGCGCCTGGCTGCGTATGCGAAGTGTAGGCACCCAAATCAGGCACTTCGGCTGACGATGCCGACATATTTCGCAAGAGGTGACAGGGAAATTATACAGACTCTTGCGACCTTGACCCCTCTCTATAGCTCTTGATGGCGATGCGGATTATGCACTTGCGCGTATGTGCGTGTCATTTAGGGGTGTGCCTTTGCATAGACGCGTGACGCGTCGTCCGCCCGATCGATCGATCGGTCGATCTACATGCACTTGCACACTAGCCATTCACTTACACCGACAGATCTCAAGTTTGTAAGCGAGAGCTCTTCACTATGGCTAATGCTGATGTCCAGTTACAGCATATGCAAGTGTCAGCAATCGGAGACATAGAGCCATTACATGTTGGATTACTACTAGAAGCACTCACCCGCATGGTGCACACCCCTCCAGAAGCGTTTGTTGAGCGCGAGACGCTTTTGCACAGAAGCGATGACGAAGCATCGCGCACAATCGAACTCTCCGATACACAATGGAGCAATGTGCGTAGGGCTCGCGATCAGATACGCTTATTGGTGCGCACTGAGCATGGAATGACGCAGCTCGTGCTGCCCCAGCCGCCGTCACCACCTGGTGCGGCGCCGACAGTCGCAGTTCGCACCGTCGTGATGGTTGATGTACTTACGCCTGTTGCCGAGTCGACGTCTATATCGCCTTCGATACATGCACCTGGAGAGCATCTTGACCCTAGTACGATCTTTGCGATGTCTATGGAAGAGCTAGGCCATCATTCGCAGCATCGGTCCGGATGGGACGAGCTTATACAATTGTTGCAATGGTTGCCTTCACGAGAAGTTATGCGGTACGGATTGCGGTTCGTATTGCCATCGGATAATGCGCTAGTGCTCCATGAGCTTCGCGTTTTTCGTGCTATCGAGGTGCGTACTTATTTGATTCTATACATACATGCCTACAGAAAGAAATGCTAACCCAAAAAAATACAGTGGTCGACGGACGGAACCAACTGCCCTGTTGAACGCACACCGAGTTCGCTAATGCATGTTCGAGCCGTTTCAACTCTTCGATCAGATGTCGGTCCGCGCATCCCGAAAACTAGGCAGGATGAGACGGCTCGTGCCTTACAGTATGCAATTCAACACACACAACGCGTACAGAAATCGCTTGATTCCATCGTGCCGCTCCGACGCGACGCACCTTAGTCACATCGTTGCATGTGCTGCAGGATCATTCTTTCCCATTCGCGCAGCCCTTGATCGCCAACTGTTTGCGCATTGGTCGGTGCTGCAAGTTCTTCAAGCCCACGCTCAAAGACGGACCAAGGGATGCAATTGCCCGTATGAAAGGCTCCTTGCCGCGTCCGTACAAGTTTTACAACATGCGCAGCACTCCCACATGCGGTCCCTAGGTCATGTACGATCGATCGTACGTACGTGCCGGAGGACACAGTCATTTTGAGTGAGAACGCTGGCGGGCCCAGTGATGTGTTTCTTATATCGGCACAGTTCTCAGAGTCTGCTGGTGCGGCTACATTTTCCGGGTTAATGGGATCTTTCGAGTCTGCAGCTGGTGCATGAGCCTGTGTGTTTGTCGAGCCATTCGCATGAGAAATCGCATTCGGACCCGCCGGGTCAGTGCACATCTTATCTGCATTTTGATCAGAGCGCATCGTATCGAGCCCATTCGCTTCGCTGCCAGCTAATTCTCTAACATGTGATACGAGAACTTTTTCATCATCCGACACTTCCCTGTCTGGAGGCATGTAAGAATGTGACGCGCCTGGAAGCCATGCCACAAGTTCCAGCTCCTCTACTGTTACATTTCGCGGCTCAATCGGGCGTGGAAGTGGAAGACCCTCTCGCGCGTATTCAAAGAGCCGCTTGCCGTCCATACGAAGTGCACTAAACAGCGGCGGCAGCTGCTGAACAGAGCCCCGGAATAAATGCAACTTGGCACGCAGCATATCTTCTGTTACATGCGCATACGGAGCGCGTTTCATGACCGGATCTTTGCAGTCATAGGAAGTAGTTGCTGTTCCAAGGAGTCCTGTCGTTTCGTATTCTTTCGTACAGTGTAAAAACTGCTGCAGTTGCTTCGTTCCATGGTGGATGCCGATTACAAGTACACCTTCTGCTAACGGATCTAAAGTTCCGCCTTGACCTATTTTTGGTGGAAGTCTCCCACACCGTTGAAGCAATTCACGTTCCCATGGCTTCAAGCGCTTCGATGGCTTCGCCTGCTTCGGTGTATGAGGTGCATAGAATAGGTCGGACGATGCCAAGAGCGGCTTCAGTCGATCCAGCAACTCCATTGACGTCGGTCCACTTGGTTTTAATATGCCGAAAAGACACGACAATGGCCTATCTGGTTCTCCTCTCATACCCAAGCGCCGTCCTGTTGAGAAAAAACACTTGGATCCTAATGGCATCCAGTGTTCGAAGGACGACTAATCCACCTTTTTGCTGTTGCCAACACAAACCCAGTTTTGTGGAGAAGTGATAATAGAATTACCACTTTAGACGACACGAATGGATGTGGATCAATAATTTCGTCGCCCAGACTTTTACGTAATCACTACTCACGAGTCATGCACATCATCTTGTCACCCTATGTGTCATTTGAGCGTCATCGCTAGCGTTTGTGTTGACGGCGCCCGGATCTCGCGAATGTGATGACAGCATTGCTTAGATTGAGGAGTACTTTTACGTCTTGGAATCTAGCAGACAACATTTACAACTATAGCAAACGGCGATACTGCACTAGCTCTTTTGCTCCACCAAGTGCACCGCCGTATGATGTGCTGTTCTGCGGCTCCGACGCATTTGCGTGTGCGGCATTAGAACGACTTCTTGGTAGTACGGGCGTTTGTCGATCAATACATGTACTAACACCGCCTGATGTCCTGCATGCGTGGGGTGCACGGCGAATGCGCGTCTCACCTGTAAAACAACTCGCTGAGCAAAAGCATGTACCTGTTTCGACTGTGCCAAAAGAAGGACTCGAGGCATTTACTCTCCCACCATCTATTTGTGAATCAAAATCACCTCTGCTCATAACAGCTTCATTTGGACATCGAATTCCAACTTCTATGTTGTCTCACTTCCCGTCGACATCACTTGCGATCAATTTGCATCCATCCATGCTTCCTGATCTTAGAGGTGCAGCACCACTTCAATGGGCAATCGCACGACAGTATACCCAGACAGGTATTACTGTACAGCAATTGCACCCAACACACTTTGATCGTGGTGGTATACTGAAACAAGTGATCGTGAACATACCAACTAGTTGCACATACCCCGCACTTGTTGAGGAACTCGCGCCACGCGGTGCTGAGCTTCTGGTTGACGTTGTAGCAAGACTACCGGAATGCCATGCCCGTTTGATCCCACAAGACTCAACACATGCAACCCGAGCACCGAAACTAGCGCCACGTTTCTCACAGATCCGATGGGATGCATGGAATGCGGCCATGATAGACGCGCGTATGCGAGCGTTCGGATATACGCAGCCATTAACAACGACGCTTATACCTGCAACTTCTCAATTTAGCCCTGCACCATGCATTATTCATGAAGGACATGTGTTGTTGGAGACACCATCGGAAGCGAAGAGCCTGGAGAAGCCTGGACAGGGCGTCTACGTCAGCCACGGAGGATTCTTGGCGTTCAAAACTATATCAGGCATGTATGGCATCACACGCATACAGACACGAGGAAAACCAGCGCGCTTATCACAGGATTGGTGGCGCGGTTTCCGAGACCGAGCTGATGACCAAGGCAGAATTCAGTTTGCCTAATAAGCCAATCATGTGCTCGATAATGATGGTAGTGACGAAATTCAAGATCGTTTTATGGCAGCCGCGATAGTGCCGGGCCGGATTGGTATGTAGCTGCCTGCGATGCGTCGTAAGATGGAGGTGGTAGTCCTGATGTTGAGGATGCATTGTTTTGGGCTTCAGCACGCGCCTCAGCCTCCTTGGCTTGTCTTGCCTCTGCTGCCTTGGACGATGCTCCTGGCACACGGCGCGGCGGTGGCAAGATGGGCGCATTACTAGGTGGTGGCACAGCTGTGCGGTTTCCGGCACCTCCGACGGGGCCAGAAGCGCCAGGAGTGCTATCAGCACCAGCTGAGCTAGCCGTGCTAGCGCCGGAAGTCCGGAATGCCTCCTCATTTCTCTTCAGTGCCGCAATGTCTTCGTCAGTCGCCTCATAGCTACCTGGAGAAGGACCGGTTGGAATGGCACTTGTGCCCATGTATTCTGGTCGGTCCTCTGCCTGGTAAAGTGCTTGCCAAATGGGCATGCACGTGTGAGGGATCTGGTGCTTAGGGAGTTTATTGTCTAGGATCGTGTCAATGGGAATATCTGGATAGTTGTAGAAGCGAGAGTTTTCATCAGACCGCGTTAGGAAAATGGAGCCATCGAGCTGTGCGCCCGCATAAAATCCTTTCGATTTCACATACGAAAGACACGGTGACGCTTCTATGCCGGAGTCAACAATAGCACCGTTCCCGACTGGTCCTGCCGCAAGAGACAGTTCGCCACCCACACTGACTTTGGGGCGCTTGAAAGCATCCACAGCCTCCTGCGTGCGAAGCACAAGTACCACGTCGTATACGTCCACACCAATGACGAGACCCCAACCCACAGTATGAACCAAGATACCAGAAGGACAGCCCCAGTCGCCATTCTCATCACGAGAGAGTACAATACCTGAACCACCAGCGCCAGACCACACGAGGCCTGAGCGAAATACGGTAAAGATGGCTACGCCTTTCGCACCGCGAAGCACGTTCGGAGGTATGTTGTACAGGACTTTCTGGGTTTTCCGATGCGCATACTCGTCCGTAACTTGCCCGTCCTTGTATGGTGTATTAGGTGCGTCGCCCTCTTTTACCTCAGCACCACCCTGTGAGAATGTCGACACAATACGCGCACATTTGTCAATTTCACCCTCTAAAGCAGTTGGATAGAATGCCTCTAGTCCAAATCGACCGAGTTGTCGATTGGTCCAATGACCAATAGGGTCGAAAGTGCGCCATGCACTAGTCTCGACTTTCTTTGCTGCACATCATGAGCTGATAGCCATTAGCACGAACCTGTCGAGTATGCCTTTTCTTTCCAATTATCCCACGAGGATGACGATGAGGATGACATACTCCTCGAGAATTGGCGCCGACTTGCGTTATCAAGTTATGAGGGAGGGATTGGACGGTGAGCCACGAAACTCTAATGGAAAGGGAATTTCTGCTCGCGACAGCCGAGCACGAATGAGGGCGCGTGCGTTCCGGGCTGTGTCACAAGGGTGGGTGTGTGAGGATTGGCGCTGGGACTAGGAAATATGCACGGCCAGATGCTCTCAATGACTCTCCACATCAGGTTCTTCCGCTCGCACGGTGCGCATCCCGCTCTTGACGGAGCCGCAGCTTCATGTTGCCTCCGAACCTCCACGACCACGGTTAACATGAGCTTGACGATCCAATCGCAAAACAAGGTGTTTGAGGGTGTACTGACCAAATACTCATTCCGTTCAAAGGTGTTGGGTGGACTTGAGGCCAAAATGAATGTATTTTTGCCTGAGAGTGCCAATGCCGGACACAAGGTGCCGGTTCTCTATTTCCTGTCTGGCTTGACGTGCACGGAGGACAACGCGGCCCAGAAGGGCCACTTTTTTGAGGCTGCAGCAAAGGAGCAGCTAGCCATTGTGTTCCCAGATACAAGTCCACGAGGTGCAAACATTCCAGGTGAGGAAGATAGCTGGGACTTCGGCACGGGCGCTGGCTTCTATGTGAATGCGACCAAAGAGCCATGGAATAAATACTACAACATGTACGATCATGTGCTGAAAGAAATCCCTCAATTGATTGCATCGGAACAAATCCCAATCGACGTGAGTCGAGCATCTATTTTCGGGCATTCCATGGGCGGACATGGTGCTCTAGTCATGTACCTCCGCGAACAAGCCCATTTCCGCTCGGTCTCTGCATTTGCTCCAATTTGTCATCCAACAAACTGCGAAACAGGCAAGAAGCTGTTTGAGGGCTACCTGGCTGGTGGTATTGATGATGGAAAGCAGTATGACGCGGCGGTCCTGCTAAGCAAGCTGGAGAGCTCACGTCAAGTCGATGTGTTAGTGGACTGCGGGCTGAACGACAACTTTTACAAACAAAAACAACTGCAGCCAGAATCACTTGTTGAGGCTGGTAAGAAGAGTGGTATCGACACGGCACGCATCCAAGTGCGTTTGCATGATGGATACGATCACAGCTGTACGTCCATCGCGAATAAACTTTAAGCTAACACACACACAGACTACTTTGTGAGCACATTTGCTGCTGAGCACGTGCATTGGCACGCTAAGTTTTTGCGTTCATAGACAAAACAAGTCGCTAGCTTAGTTCTGTTGTGCTTTGTTATTACGCTTGCGGCGTTTGCCAGCAGACTTCTTGGGCTCTTTGGCTGAAGTAAACCCAGTCGTCTCTTGCTCTGGCGATATGACGCTCTCGGATGGAATATCCTGGCGATGTTCGTCCTTGTCATCATTTTTATCCATCACCTCAGGCGCCGTTTCCTTTGATGCACCGGCAAGGGAATGGAATAATTGGAAAGGCCAGGTCGATTTGAGCGTGGGAGATTCGGATTCGGGCAACGGCTCAACGGGAACGAGCTCGCCAGACTTCGCATCATTTACAACCATGCTCCCATCAGCGAAGACAATCACTTCCACAATTGTCGGAGCTTCATCTGTCGCGGGCATAGGCGCGTTCATGGCCTCACGGACCTTGTTTGCTTCAGCATCCCAGTCGACCTTACCGGAAATGATGTCACATTGAGCCGGCGCAGGCGGCATTTCGCCGAAGCCATGGATCGGGACTTGGACCTTCTTCTGCTGTGGATGTGGCCTAGACTTCAAGGTCTTTGATGCCGATGCAGGAGTCTGGAACGCAGCACCCCAGGCAACCGCCAGCGCACTGCGACGCAAGTTTTCAATCTGCTTTTGGTTTCTACGCCAGGACGATATTTGGATCAAATACTGCACACCCACGGACAAGGAGAGGACCAGTGAAAGGACCATGAGCAATCCGGGGCGGAAGCGCGAGTAAAAGTAGCCAGTTCCGCGCCATTTTGGAAAGCCATTCGAGAGGAAGTGATTGTAGCGATCACGACGCTCGTCACGCAAAATACGATGAATCAGACCCAACTGCTCAAATCGTCGATGTACTTCGGGCGTATTGGGGTTTTTGTCAGGACTGCAGAACGGTATTAGCAAACACTGCAACAACGGTAGACAGGCGCATAAACACGCTAGCATGTAACTCATACATACTGCCACTCTAAGCTCCTTTCTCGGTAAGCTTTTCGGATGTCGGACAAGGAAGCGGACGGACTCAGGCCCATGAACGAATAAAAGTTTACACCTTCGCCCTCCGACTTTTCCAGAGCGTTCTGAAGCTCAAAAATCTGGCTGTTATTACGCGCAGTCTTTGCACGAACATACTTCAACATCACTCTTGTCCCAATCTCCAGCAGCCAATGCACCGAGTATGCTTATGGCAAAGACCGCCAGTAGCAGGAGAACGCGCTTCATTTGCATGATGTGGTTCGTCGTCGAATATTAGTCCCAGACCCGATGAATAACGAACAGCCTGAATTTATCCCGATCTATCTTACATTGTGTCGCTACTTCTTTGTCAGCCAGTGTGCGAAAGAATTCCAACACTCGTATATAGTCACGACACGGCGTCTGTCTCGTATTGAATTTTGGCTAGGGTACAAATAGCAAACAAGCGACCGATCCTAGAAGACATGTATCATAGTTTGTCGATTCTTGCTTGTTCGTCATACACATGTGTGTATGTGGGTTCATTATATACTTTGCCACGTCTCTTTGCGTGGTGCCGTAAACGCCCGTTGGAAAAGCACAGATATCGCGACAATCCACACGTCATCATCGAGCGACTCGCTTCGGCGTGTACAGCGACAATTATAAACCTTATTGCCACAGCCACCCTGTTAAGGAGATGCGACGTACTTCCCGAACAGCAGCCATTTCGAACATTGCACACTCTTCGTCTGCTAGGTCTCCCCATGCCAGAACCGACGTTTCTGACATCCCAGTTCTTCCCCTTCAACCCATCAGTAGGTGTGTTTCTCGGGCGCATCGGCTGGATATGTGCACAATCTCTCATGTTAACATCGTGCCTGTATATCGGGACATTTTTTGCCAAGCTGCTCGACCACTTGTCATCCCAACGCGAGTCTAAATCGCCCGAACCTAGGGACACCTGGCTTCAATGCCTACGAAACTACATCATTGTATGTACGCAGCTGATGCGAATGCTTACGTGCAGGGTCCGTGCACAGAGGAATTGGTGTTTCGTTCATGTATGCTGACTAGCATTCAACACTTGAATCCACATGTTTCAAAAGCTACACTCATGTTGACACCGCCGCTGTACTTCGGCATCGCCCATATACATCATGCGTGGGAATCGCTGAAGCAAGGTGGATTCACAAAACGCGCAGGGCGACTGGCATTCCAGAGTAGTGGTATGTATAATACCGGACACGACTTAATGACTCAACCCCGCAGCCTTGCAGTTCACTTACACATCCGTGTTTGGATGGTATGCGGACTTTTTATTCATGCGCACTGGCACGGTATGGGCACCGCTAACCGCACACATCCTTTGTAATGTCATGGGACTCCCAAAGTTTTCAACGCATCGTAACGGGAGCCCTATGAAGTATATTCAAGTATGTGCCCATTTAACAGGCTTCGCTCTTTTTATAATTTCACTCATGCCCCTGACTTCCACGTCTGCTCCTGGCTCATTGAAGGCATAATAATCCACCTCAGCCTGCTAGCGACTGCTAGCAATACAAATCAGCAACATCTTACACCAAGCCCTCGAATACATGTACTAGTTCCATGTGCCTAAAATGTATCTACAGCAAGATATCTCGACACACAGTCGATAGGTTGAGGAGGGGATACTAGGAATTTACTTGCCGCCGAACTGGTTGCTCAGGTTGTTAACCTGGTCCTGGGCCTGCTTGCCCAGGTTACCGGCCTGCTCCTGGGCTTGCTTGCCAAAGTTGCCTGCCTGTTCCTTGGCCTGGCCAGCATACTCTCCGGCCTGCTGCGAGATGCTCTGGCCACCCTGGCCACCTTGACCAAAGTTGCTGATCTGGTCCTTGGCTTGACCAGCGAGTTCCTGGGCCTTGCTGCCAGCCTGCGATACAGCTAAACTGTTAGACTAGCTCATTCAGCGGAACAACATGCAACGTACCGTCTTGAGCCTGATTCATGAAGTTCGACATTATAATACGTTGTTGGTAAGGATGTAGGTGGTACAGAACAACGGTATTTATGTGTTTCAAGCCTGCCCACGCGCCAAGGTTCGGCGGTGCAACTGCGGGACTTCGCAGGTTGTTCCCGATTGATACAGCCCCATCTGTGCGTCCACGCGTAGATCGAGTGCCCTTGTGAACCAATAGAACCACCTGATGTTATGTCAGCACGGGGATTTGGTGAAAAGATGTCATTCTTGAAACATCCGAAGGATGTTCCATGAAACCATGATTGGTCCTTTCATGTGATCGATGCACCCCACGTCGCAATAGTTCATTTCGATTGGCTCATTTGAGTCGGGGAGAATGCCGGTTTGTCGCGATTGTCAATGCGCAGGGTCCATCTGCAAATCACTGGGTTTAAACGCGCCTAACTGAAATACTCCACTCCATGAGGACTCGCTGGGCGAAGAAGAAAATTCCCCACGGCTGATTCGACCAATATTATGTCTGTATCTACTTAGCTCATACGTAGTGCACTAAAAAGGAAGCATGAATTCGTGTTAGTTGGTGGCGAGCAAAGATGGCAGTGTCCCGAATTGTCGGTGTGAGCAAGTATAGTGGTGAAGGCTGTGTGAAAGAAAAGGAGTGTGAAAATGAGATGAGTACAGTTTCAGAAAGAACACGTTTCGGCTTGACGCGTGCAATTCCCGCACGAAGGAGATAGCCAAATTTGCTGCTGGATAATATAGTTATCTCAACTCAATCTGCACTGCCACGTATGCGCACCTATACGGCTCTAGGCTTTCAAATTGCTGATGGCCGACAAATTATGCGGGCACAGAACCAAATTTCAGCTTAGTCATCACAGACGACGACTCGTTTAGCACGTCCATGACCAGGCGATAGATGCTGACGAGAGTTTTCCGAATCACTACAGCATCTTGGCGACTTGAACAGCTAAGTCCAAAACATTGTTGGCCTCGATTCAAGTGTACGATGGAATCTTACCTCGTTGATGAGCGGAACACGTCAATGGCGGCCGTGCGTACGGCATGCTCCATCACGACAAAAGTGTTTAAAACACTTACGACTGCCGAATCTGTCACAAAGAAAGACAAGTCTCCAGTAACTATCGGCGACTTTAGTGCACAAGCAACGATCAACTACATTTTAAATAAGAAGTTCCCGCACGACGGCATCGTCGCTGAAGAGACCTCGTCCGATCTTCAGGGAGAGGCCGGGAAGACGAACAGAGACAAAGTGTGTGCACTAGTGAACGAAGCTCTGCAGGCATCAGGGGAAATTCAAGCCCCCTTATCTGATGATGATATTCTTGCAACAATAGACAAGGGCGCATTTCAGGGTGGACGCCAGTCACGTTTCTGGACACTTGATCCCATCGACGGGACCAAAGGCTTTTTGCGCGGTGGACAATATGCTGTATGTCTTGCACTTATTGTCGATGGAAATGTTGAGCTGGGTGTGATGGGATGTCCGAACCTGCCTTGTGACAAGAGCAAGCCGAAGCCTGCCGATGGTGAAATACGCACATCGTCCATGGAAGGTCTTGGTGTAATGTTCGTTGCCTTGCGAGGGCATGGCGCATATTCTGTGCCTATTGATGATGTTCATGCACCACTAGTGCCTGTCTGTATGCGAGACTTGCAAGGCGATATCCGGCAAGCGACGTTCTGTGAGTCAGTAGACGCGGGACATTCGTCTCTTGGCACAAATGCACGCATTGCCGAGTTACTAGGTATGGGCGATCGGCACGTGCGTATGGACAGTCAGGCCAAGTATGGAAGTATCTCAAGGGGTGATGGAGATGTCTACTTACGTCTGCCTGTCGGAGATGGCAGCTACCAAGAAAAAATCTGGGACCATGCTTCGGGTTCCCTGCTTGTTGAAGAAGCCGGCGGTAAAGTCACGGACATTGCAGCACGACCCTTGAACTTTGGTCTTGGCCGTTTGCTGTCCGCCAATAAGGGTGTGGTGGCGTGTCAAGCTAATATGCACGCCAAGGTCATTGATGCTGTGGCCCAGGCACTTGAGGAAGAGGGCCGTGCGTCGCTACTGAAATAGATGTGTAAAATAGGTCACATTTATCTCATGGAGAACATGTGTGGAGATGTCGTTCACTGTCATGATCTTGGAATACGTTCTTGCCGACAGCCTCTACTCTTAGTTCGCCCATGCATCAACAACGAATTAGCAACCTAAATTGACACTCACCGTTCACCTGCGATTATAAGACAATAAAAGCTAACCAGGATAAACTGAAAATCCCACGCTCTTTTTTTGACTGAGCCAGCCTCGACGTGAAAGATGCACTAGGCGCAGGAAAGCTATGTCGCCAATCCAAGACGACCATGCTTTTCCTCTGATAGGTACTAGGACACATATTGCAACTTGCTGAAAATAAATTCATATGTGCATGTAGGAAAAAGAACATAGATGATTCACAGAATACATTGTCAGTGAGTCTATCATGGAATCCGAGTCACTACAATTTCGGCATGTGCATACTACGTGATGTTGACATTCCCCTATCACCCGAAGATCAGGGTTCGTATGAAAAAGGTCCCAATATGCATACATCATATATCAAAGCTTGACTGGGGCCCAGGCTTCGAGAAGATGTTTATCAACCAAATGGGTGAACTTTTCGACAGCTCATTGCATGCGCAGATGCGTCGCTCTCTATCCACCCCGACGCTGCTGGGCTATACTGCATACAAGAATGAAATTGACCCGTCGTTTCGGCTCCTTCGTAGTATTCAACATATCTGTTGCGACATGCAAGATTTCAAGCATTATTGCAGCGGTGTGGAAAGCAACTCTTTAGGTTCAGTCTATTTAATTAGTGCGGACGCATTAGCGATACGAATCAACATCATTTAAACCTAGGAATCGCAGCCGCGCTCAAAAGTATTCACGTAGGAAGACACAGCGTATCACTTTGACCCTTGCTACTAAGCGCAAATGCCGGGGCTTCTGAGCGAAATCATAAAGAAATGCGTGCCTGTGACAAGCTATGTCGGTTTATTCGGACTGGCGTTGATCGCATAGCGCTATATAAGGTCTTTCCGACAGCGGAGTTCTTGTGATGACTACCAAATTACAGAATTACCGCGAAAGACATCACGCTCAACTGAATGGCCGTACTTATGGCAGTGCATGTATAAAGCTACGTCGGTCGCCGGAGCAAGCGACGCAGAGCTCTGGACATTGTCGCAATAACGCGTATACATATAACACATCCATGTACACAGTGCATCAACGTCAGCATAAAACTAGTACTACGTCTAGCGCATCAACGAAGTAAGAATATCAGATAAAACACGTGGAATATCTTTCGTGTCTTCTGCGACAAAAGCGCGGCCTGGCAAGGCCTTGGCGATATGGCCTGCTTCGGCGCCGCCCTTGTCAATAAAGATGACCGCCGCCTTAACTTTCTCATCTCGTTTCAATGCGGAACCGAGAACCTGGGGCGTGATGGCATAGCGGCCCAGATTCGCATCCGATAGTGCAATAACAAAGTAATCATCAGCATCTTGCGACCGAACATCCTTGATTGACTGTGTGATGCACTCGACCGTGTTGTCGCCAGTCATGCAGTACTGTGTGTAGGCGACGATATCACGCAGAATCCGGAAGCGATCTCCATCAGTTTTAGGCATCGATCCCAACTTGACTAGCGGGATGACCACCTGATCACCGGAGTGGGCAACGATGTCGAACTCAAAACGCGTAGGGTCAACACGCTGCATGGCTTCCATCACCATTAGGCATGTCTCGAGCTCGCGTGTGAGACGACCGTCAAATTGCATGTGATACATCGACGCTGAAGCATCCAAGATAATGCGGATGCGCTTCGGCTTCATCTGTGGTGCGCCAATTTCAGGAGGGGCTTCACTACGACGTTTGAAGATGGCGCGCTCACCAACCAGGCCCTCACCGAGGCGACGCTCGTCGAGCTGGCCTTCTTGCTGGCGAACAAGCCACCGGCGCTCGTGCTCGTTGGCCGTAAGTCCATTCAGCACGTTTGCCAGATGCAAGACCTGACCTTCGACATTGGCCTTGACCGACTGCATGAACCGAGCCTCGTCACGGTCTAGGCGGTCTTCAGCCAATTTCTCAGCAAGTGCTTTCTTTGCCATTTCGCGCGCCTCAGCCTGAATGTGCTCGGGCACATCCTCTTTCAGCTCCTTGGGGATTTGGTGAATTTTATGGCCCTTGTACAGCCGCTCAAAGCCGCCACGTCCGCCGAGTCCCGCAGTGTCACGGCCGCCCGTGCCCCCACGCCATGTGTTGCCGCCGACATGCGGGTCATTGTTCGGGTCGTCCTTGCCCTTCTTAGGCTTGTCGAGACTCGTATCACCCTTAGGCCTGTACTCGACGCGCAGCTGCTTCTTTTTCGCCTGCACTTCGAGCTTCCTCTGTACCTGCTCAAGTGTGATACCACCGAGTTTCAGCCCATGGTTCGCAAACACACGCGCGATGATTTTGAGCGACTCGGGCTTGTGCAAGTCAAAGGCAAGTGCATTCAGCATGACATCGCCGAGTGTCTCATCGTCATAGCGACTCAAGTGGCGGACAATATGAATCAGCTCACGTAATGAGTATGGGTGGCTTATCTGGTCCTGATCAAATGCCTCGCGCAAATCGTGGAATGACAACACAAGCGAGCGAATTAACTCCTTATCAACATTGGGAGCCATTCGGCCAAGCAGCTGCACCTCGGACTCGACATCTGGATTGGAAACAGCATACGAGCTGAAGCCTTCTCCGACAACGTCCGTGAACGTATTACCCAGGAACGGCCACCCAGGTCGATTCGCCAGGAGAACAAGACGGAAGTCAGGGTGCACAGTGATAGCATCTGCATCAGCGACGGTGCCCTGTGGCACGACCCGACGACCATCTGGAAGCGTCAATTCACCGCGCTCAGCAAGCGACTTGAATACGGCCGACACAGACGCCGAACACTTGTCGACTTCGTCAACCACAATCACTCGGCCCAGCTTAATTGCACGCACGAGTGGTGAGTCCGAGTATTTGAGCTGGCCATCCTCTAAGTACGCACGCTGCAGCAGCTCACCCACTGTTGAATCGCGGTTCATTTGAATGTATTCGCGCGGCCGATCAAGAAGCTCAAGTACCTGGTCGATCGTTTTATTCTTGCCTGTCCCCTGCGCTCCCATCAACAGGAGGTGCTCGCCAAGAATTTCAAGATCCTGCGCAAATGAGTACATCAGACCTGTCTGCTGCGTGTTGTGGAAGAAGGAGCCGTGTGCGTTCGGAATCAACGACGCGCCTTCGGGATCATGCTCCCGCCAGTGGAACCTGCGCAGAGCCAGTTGCTCTGTCCCATTTTCGTCGACGAATCGCAGCATGTCACCATCGACGATTGGCGGCATTAGGCGCAGCGGTGGCTTATACTGGAATGCGCCTTCAAAGCCATGCGGTACAATCTTCGCTTGCAAAAGCGTTTGATGCACGACATCACGCACAGTTCGCGGTAGGAAGTCACACAACTGGTTCCGGAAAATCAAGTTGTACAGGTCCTCATCAGGCCACTTGGAAAGTCGCCGAGCAATTCGAATAAGCTGTCGTGTACCAAAGCGGCGCGCCTTGTGAAGTCCCACGTTTGTGTCTGTTGCCTGCGCGCGGTATTCATGCACGAATGCAAAGAGTGCATCCAGACTGGCACTAGGGGCTGCACCTGCTTGCTTCATTACAACCGCACGTTCTTCGGCATCCGACATGGGTGGCGCAGCGAGCGTGGCAAACATAGTAGCTGCGCTTTCTGTGAGCCAATTTCCCACTTTCGGGGCCGTCGCAATGATGCGCAGGCTTGGCGACATGTGGCACACTTGGCCACTGACCAACTGGCTCGACACTGGTACGTCCGCCTCTGTTGTGAGACGCGTGCCTTCCCACAGCTCCATCTCTCGGTCCTGCGTCAGGCGGGAAAGGCTTTCGAGCGTAGAGCCCAGTACGTCAGCGCCTGCAAGATGCACAAGCGAGCCACGGAGTGCTGCAGACGTCAGCGGCGCTGGATGCCAGACAGTTGCGCCATCAGGTGTAGTTGCACGTCGCATCAATAGCTCTGTTCCACTAATGTCTTTCCAGAGCCATATCGTCTCCACAGGGTATCCCAGTAAGGCACCGAACAAATGAATGCAGGTCGATTTAGACGAAGATGCTTGCGTATGTAACTCATTATCGAGAGAGCTTGGTACCAGAGCAATATCACGGCCGATGCTATGCAGCTGCAACATCGCTGACAGGAGCGAGCGCACTCGGGGCGTTAGAGAAACATGCATCTCCTCAAGCGCCGTTAGTGGCACGAGGGGGAGGGGACCACATGGGACCTCTGTTGTCACAGATGCAGCACTCTCATGGCGGAACGTTAAGCGCGCCGTGCTCGGAGACGTGCGTTCATTATGATGGATTGTGTAGCCAGATAACCCCAGTCCTGACGAGAACATGTGTGAGGTACCGACGCCTTTGTGTAGTGCAACGCGCGTGAGCATTTCGTGAAGAGAAGAGCGTTTCTTTTTGTCAAACGACAAAAGCGCAGGATACGCCGTGCTGAGCAAGGCTAGGGTTGATTCTGCGACAGGTGTATCAGCGTCTGCTGGTCCAGCGGGCTTGGGCATATTCTTGGATGGTGGGTACAAACAGGCCATATCTCGCAGCAGAGGCATCGCCGTGGTCGGAACGTGAGGAAGCAGCTCTGTTGATGGCAAAATGCCCTCTTGAAGACTAGCTTCCGCATTCATGTGAAGGAGAGTAAGCCATTCATTCCAGCGCTCGAGTAGGGAGGAGCCCTGTTTTGTAGAATCAGAGATAGGTGGTGGTGCGAAAACGGCTCCCTCGACCCAACGTGCTTGAAACCGCGAGCGGAATGGGGGATCAAGGGGATGTCCACGATACGGAGGCACAGGCAGACCCAAACAGAACACACGAAAGTCTGGATGCACGGGAATAAAGCGAGCATGCGCGTTACCACTATCCTGTTGAAGCTGATGATTAGCAGCAGTGAGTCGTTCAGCCGGTACCAGCTGCGTGCCATCCGCCAGATTCTGCTCACGATTCTCGAGAATATTGTTGAGAATCGGCATGACTCCACGCTCTGCACGCTCAATGCCGTCGAGAATCAGGATGCGACCATGTTTCATAGCTCGAACGACAGGGCCATCATCGTAGCGCAGATTGCCGCCCGCTTCGAGAGAGCGCTGCTGGAGCAGCTCGGCCTCACCTATATCGCGGTGCAGCGACACGTATTCGACAGGCACTTGGATGAGTGCAGCGAAGGTCTGACACAATCGGCGTGTGTAGGGGCCAGGCGGTGAGGATAGAAACACATCCTGGCGCAGCTGCCATTTTTTTCCAAGAAACTCTAAGTGTTCGAGCACGATTGGGTCCTCTAAATCAAGGAGGAGTCTTTCCGGGGGAATGCGTTCAGGTGCATCCGCGGCATGCACGGGAATGGCGACGTGTGGACCAAGGCGGAACGTGCCAAGTTCATTAGCGGCTGAGAGAGATTTCGCCGGATATTGCAAGCTAGCGTGGAAGTGCCGGGTCACAGCATCAAGCCGCCGGCGCGACGTGTCTTGGACCATTTTGAGCGGACGAGTGAGACTTGCCAATGTTCCTCTTGGGTGACGACGCATCCACAAGCACAAGAGAATGAACAATGGTGGCAGTGGTGAAGAGGCGTTCTTGGCGTGAGAACAAGTAGTAGGGGAATGTCGACTATGGAATATGTGGAGAACTCAACCAGGTGGTGGCGTAGATTGGTTTCAGCGTATCAAAGAATTCCAGCTGCAACTTTACCAAAGGGCGGAGGTGACAAGCTACGTGTGGGGGGCCGCGTCATCGAAATGGAAACATGGAACCGTCAGTGGAGGCAACGCGTCGCAGCCCAAAGAGGTCGGGAGTGGCGCAAAAGGCTGATGGCGGTGGCTTGGTTCTGAGATCGTGTGGAGGATGAAGGGCAGGAAGATGGTGTGGTGGTCGGCCGAGCGCACGGGGCGCCCGTCGTCAAACACGCCGGCGGCGCATGTTGGTCGTGGCGCGCGAATCCTCAGGGAATACTTGGTGACGTTCTTCGTGAATAGCTTGGCTGGGGCCATTCAACGACGGGAGCCGTTGGGTGGGCAGAACGCATGACGGACCCGGAGCATGCGCCGGGACCGTTGACCATGGAAAACGTGAAAAGGTTAGAGAGGGAGCAAGAGGCAGCGGCGTCAGAGGCGTGGGACGCCAACGTGAATGCCAACGCGAACGCCAATGTGTCAAGTGTGACTATGGACACGGCTGACATGCTTGGCGAAGGCCCGCGCCATGGAGCTTTGCTTCAGGCTGAAGCTGAGGATTGGGTGTTGCTTGAGTCTCCGTACATGACGCATTGGAATAATAAGCGACACAATACGAATGGGATTCCGCGTGCACGACGAGCATCAGATATGCCGGACTGGCGCATGCGTGAGCGGTTGCGGACGGTGACGGCGGCGCTGGTGATGTGCCTAAACATTGGTGTGGATCCGCCGGATGTAAGCAAGACAAACCCATGCTCAAAGCTCATCTGCTGGATGGATCCCGAGTCTCTGGACGCGTCGAAAGCGCTCCCGGCGATAGGACGCAACTTGCAGGTCCAGTTCGAGACGCTGAGTATGAAGACGCGCTACAAGCAGTATTTGGATCCGATTGTTGAAGAGACGAAGCGCTTTTGTACGAATTTGCGGCGTACTGCGAAGGACGAGCGAGTGCTGTTTTACTATAATGGCTACGGGGTGCCGAAGCCGACGCCAGGCGGCGAGATCTGGGTGTTTAACAAGGCGTACACGCAGTATATTCCTCTGACGCTGTACGACTTGCAGACATGGCTCGGGCAGCCGTGCATCTATGTGTGGGATACAAGCGCCGCGGGCCACATTGTCGCGAACTTCCGGCGTCTTGCAGAAGCTCGTGCAGAAGATGAAATCAAGGCGGCGTTGGCCGAAGGACGTGAGCCGCCGCCGATGCCTAGTCCAGATGGTATCACGATTGATGCGACAGGAGAGCCGCAGTTCCCACTGCGTGATTCGATCCATCTCGCGGCATGCGGCGCAGACGAAGTGCTGCCGATGAATCCGGATCTCCCTGCGGACCTATTTACTTGTTGCCTAACATCGCCGATTGAGATCTCTCTTCGCTGGTTCGTGCTGCAGAATCCGCTGCCGAGTCCACTGAATGTCGACATGGTGATGAATATCCCAGGCCGGCTCCAGGACCGGCGCACGCCGTTGGGCGAGCTAAACTGGACACTCACTGCGGTCACTGACACCATCGCTTGGACTGTGCTTCCACGAGCGCTCTTTCGTCGCTTCTTCCGCGACGATCTCATGGTCGCTGCGCTCCTGCGCAACTACTTGCTGGCAGAACGAATCATGCGGTTCTACCACTGCACGCCTGTGAGTCATCCGCGACTGCCTCCGACGCACAATCACCCGCTATGGGACAGCTGGGACCTTGCTGTTGACCAGTGTCTTTCGCAGTTGCCGACTCTGCTGGCCAAGGAGCAAGCACGCGCGGATGCCGAGAATCTCGGCATCCCTATGCCGCCGCATCTCGCCTCGTTCGAATACCGGCACTCGACGTTCTTCAGCGAGCAGTTGAAAGCATTTGAAGTGTGGCTTTCGCAGGGCGATGTGAGCCGGCATCCGCCGCGTCGACGAGTGCAGCGGCATCCGGTCGTGCGGGTGAATGGCAGCTCCATGTCAGACGTGTCAACATCGTTGTCGGCGACGTCGTCACTAGCAGCCAAAGCCGTAGCCTCAGCAGCGGCCTCGGCCACGGGAACGACCACAGTGGCTCCGTCGTCCGCGGTCCCGGACTTGGCGTCGTCGACCTCTGGGCTGGGAGTGGTATCGATGCATCGACGTCAGAGCGCTGGCCCTGGCTCCATGACGGGTGTAGCTTCCGGCACGGTTGAGGACTCAGACTCGGACACCGATTCGGTCGCCGACGATCCTGACGCGAAGGCGACCCTGAGCCGTGAACACGATCCCCCATCGCAACTACCCATCGTTCTCCAGGTTCTTCTGTCGCAGGTGCATCGCTTGCGAGCCCTGATTCTTCTGAGCCAGTTCTTGGACCTGGGGCCCTGGGCTGTCAACCTGGCCCTGAGTATTGGGATTTTCCCGTATGTGCTCAAGCTTCTGCAGAGTCCAGCTGCTGATCTCAAGCCAGTACTGATCTATATCTGGGCAAGGATCCTGGCTGTCGATCATAGCTGTCAAGTCGACCTGCTCCGTGATAATGGCTACCTGTACTTTGCAGCGGTTTTAAGCCCGTTCCAGCCAGGGCAGATGCCAGGCCACGGTGTAGCAGCGGTACCAACGACTGCCGTCCCCAGCACTGCCGCACCCGCGGTGGCGACCGATGCCCATCCCATGGCACATGCGCACGGTGGTGCGGCCGCTGGCTCTGTACCCAATGTGGGTGGAGCAGGCGCAGGGCAGACGCTGCCGATTCCGAATGTAAGTGAGCACCGGGCAATGTGCGCGTTTATTCTCGCTGTCTTTTGCCAGGACTTTTCACTGGGTCAGGATGCATGTCTCGAAACTGACGTGATGGACGCCTGCCTTGAGCATTTGGAGGATGACGATTATTTACTCCGCCAGTGGTCTGCACTGTGCCTGGCTCAGCTCTGGGACAACAATGACGTGGGAAAGGCACGTGCGATTGCCAAAGATGCGCATGGTAAGCTATGCTGCCTGCTGAGCGATGCGTCTCCTGAAGTTCGTGCGGCCATTCTGTATGCGCTGGGTGTGCTGCTCGGCACAAGTGGCGGTGCCTTGTGTGATGCATCGGATGGGGCGACGTCGAGCGATAGGCGGCGTGAGCGGGCGCGTGGCGCCGGCCGACCGCCGTGCATATGTACGGGGGCACTGACAGGTCTTACGCCCGCGCGGCAGCGGAACATGGAAGTTGGCATCGCGATGGCCATCCTTGCCTCAGGAAGCGACTGCAGTCCGTTGGTGCGCAAGGAGCTGGTCATTGCTCTGAGTGCGCTCGTGCACCACTACCATGGGTTCTTTGTGCTTGCAGCGTACCTATGCTATATGCGCGATACGGCTGTGTACGGTGAAGAAACACCGACGCAGCACGCAGCTGCTGCGCCGGCTGATATGAATGCAGATATCGAGGAGCGCCTCACACAGGAAGAGCGGCTTCTTACCGGCATTGTGAGGGGCATCATCCAGCATGGTGAGTCCGTTGAGACGAGTGATATCGCGAATGTGCCTGCATTTGTCACTTTGTTTGTGGCTCTGCTGGACCTGAGTGTCGATGCGCATCCGGAAGTGGCTAATCTGGCCAGCACTGTCGTTGACCAGATCATGGCGGCTCTCGTGGAGCATGGCGCGTTATATGCGGACAATTCGACCATGCGTCAAAAGAGTCTTGAGCAACTATCTCAGCCCCACATCATGCCGACGGCCGCAGAGCCCCTGTCTGCTGCTGCGAACCATACTAGCTCGCTCGCAGGTGCCGCGGGGGCCTTGGGCGCTACTGCGACAAAGTCTCGTGGGTCTGTCTCCTCGCTCCCTAGTGGTATGAATACCCGGGCCAGTGCCAGTGCCAGTGCCAATGCCAGTGCCACTGACAGTCGAGCGCGTCCAAATGCCGCCTCGCATGGTGTTGGGGTAGGAGCGGGTGTAGGATCAGGAGCAGGCTATGCCGCAGCTCCACCTGCAGCCGCCACGGTAGGACTGCCGGGCTATCCATCGGACCGTGGCTTTGTCGACCCAAGTGGTGACGAACCTGCAGGGCGCGGCTCGACGATTGCGCGTACGATCCGGGCAATCTCATCCATTGCGGGGACACCCGCTCCCTCGCATGCGCCGGCCAAAGTGGCGCCTGTCTTGACGAGTGTCGCGGCACCTACGCGAGCGGCAGCGGCCTCGGCTGATGGTACACCCATCGCGACGTACAAGGCGCCCTACGGCGGTGGCAGTCAGCAGCCTGTGTGCATGACAAGCCAGGATTCATTTAGTGCGGGCATGCCGACAGCACGTTCGCGACGCGAAGTCCACATTGAAGATGCGTTAGCCGAGTGCATTGCCGCTGATTTACACCGTCTCAGTGTGCGTGGTCGCGACGACACGCCGCCCACCACCTGGCTTGGCCGTGTGCAGGAGCAGCTGCCGCTCAAGAGTCGCCTGTTCGAGTGGTGCAGCGAGTACTACACAGAGCCGCAGATGAAGTCTGCCGAGGCCGATGAGCCAGGCAGCTCGCAGTACAACCGGCAGATGTGGCGCAGGCAACGGTGTGAGCAGCACATGGCCGAGGCGATGGAGCAGGTCGGCGATGCGGGCTCGGTGCGATGGAGCGAACGCGTGGGCATGCTCACTATGCCATCGGCTGTGCAGATGCTGTGCTTCCACGAGTACGATCCACATGTCGTGAGTGTGACGGACCAGGACACACTATGTGTGTGGGACTGGCAGGAACAGCGCCTCCTTTCGTCGTTCTGCAATGGCCACCGGCCACACGGGCCTGTCACGTCGCTCGCGTTCATCAACGAAGAAGTGGATGCGTTGCTCCTGACCGGTGCTGCGGATGGGCACGTCCACATCTACCGGCAATATGCGCGTGGCTGCGGCTCCAAACACGGGCCCGAGCTTGTGAGTGCATTCCGTGTGCTGCCGGATCTCCTTCGCAGTCGCTACCCCAGTGGTGTGAGAGTCACATGGCAGCAGGTCAGCGGCCGTCTGCTGGCAGGCGGTGACAGTCGTCTTGTGCGACTATGGGACGCTCATCGCGAGCTTTGTATATCGGATGTGCCGACACACGTAAACTCGTGTGCCACGTCGCTGACGAGCGACACCGACATAGGCCATCTGTTCATGGCCGGCTTTGGCGACGGCTCCATCGGCGTATACGACCAGCGCAATCCACCCACATCCAGCCTTGTGCAGCTGTGGGAAGAACACAATGCGTGGGTGCAGACTGTGCATCTGCAAAGGCATGGCGCTCGCGAGCTTGTGTCAGCCAGTGTTGATGGCCAGGTCCGCGTGTGGGACATCCGAGCGAGATCATCTGTGCTCCAGTGCTCAGCTGCTTGGGACCACGCGTCTACGCTTTCTGACATGGCCGTGCACGACCGCATTCCCGTGCTCGCTGCCACGAGCTCGCCGCGTCCTGGCGGCTCGTCGCATATCCACACTACCCAGATGTACAGCCTCGCTGACCTCTCGCCCTTGGGACGCCCGTATCAGCGTCCTTTGCAGGCTCCCTCGCTACTCTCGAGTGGTCCTGCTCGGTCTCTGCGCGATCGATTCACTCCGCCATCGCGCTACTCGCCCAGCACGAGCATCGTCGCTTTCCATCCACACCATCCTGTCCTGGCGTTTGGTGGACCTGATCATCTAGTGGAGATCTTCCGCTACGTATAGCGACTGTAGACATGATTTTTCTGTCTCGTTCAAGTGCATCGCTCCTGTGCACATAGGCGCTGCGCGCTCTTGCAGCTGCGTTTGTAAGAATCGTTTGAGCGAATAGGTCAGGATCGCCCTTTCGACCTCGGGCTTCGTCCGCAACGAGCTCGTCACCTCTATGTCACCCAGCCCCGCAGCTGCGAACGAACGAGCCACGTCGGCCGCATCCATCGTCCAGTCGTTCTCGTCAATGCCCTCGCCGTCTTCGCCGAACTGCTCCCAATCCACGTCGGCGCCCAGGTCCACGCCAAGATCCACACCCAAATCAAAGCCATCTTCATCCTCTTCCTCGTCGACCCAGTCCTGCTCGATGCGCTCTTCCAACGGCGCATTCGCCCTCACGTGTCTTGTGTGATTCGCCTCCATCTTCATCTGGCCCTGTCTGTACTCATCAAGTAGGATTTTCAATACCTTAGTCGACGCTGGAACCTGTGCGTACTGTTTGCCTGCAAGCAAGTTAGCATCTCGAGAAGAGGAAGAAAGAGGGATAGAAAAAGAAAGAGACAGAGAGAATAAGGAAGAGAAGAAAACAGCGAATCACTTCCTGGTTTCGTTGCCCCATTACTTCACGTTGTCTCTAAGCATACTTACGAGATTTGGCACGCGATCGTGTCATAATCCGATCATCTGGTGCAGGAAGTACATCCCCGTCCACGTACAAGGCTTCTAGGCTCGGCGTCCAATGCATAAATAACTGAACAAGGCCCTGGATGTGTACACGCATCACGTCCGGCGTCGTCACATATCCCACATCTGCAAGCCACCGCCTCACAAATAGCACAAGTGCGGACTCGCCGCGGTCCATGTCCGTCGAGTCAAGTTGCTTCACGACTGCATCGGCGTGATGCGCCATCAGGAATGCCAGTGCATACAATAGTGTCCATGCACATTCCGACGTCGTCGCATGCGCGAGTTTTGCGACAAGCGCATGCAGCAAGGCCGCCATAACAGGAGCAAGCTGTTGCCCTGCTTGTACAAAGATTGTTACAAGGAATTTGCCCAGTGCATTACCACACATCTGCTCGTCCATACACAGAACCCGCTCGATGATATGCAGCATGACTTGAATGGCTGCCACACCGCGTTCATCGCTGCATGCCAACACGGTCTCCGGGCACTTGTCTAGGATCATCACGAGACTCTGGATCAAGTTCTGCATCGCCTCCACGTCATCTGCCACTAGCATATAAGCGGCAACGCGCGGGAACAGCGTCGGAACCACAGGCGAAAGTGACGCGGCATCAGCTACTTGGAGCACGCTGCGGATCATCGCTGCTGCACTAGGTGCAAGACTCACCTCTTCTTGCTCCACTGCCAAGCATGGTGCAAGAGCTTCCAAGCAGACCCTGACTGTATGTTCACGGCATCCTGCAATAGGACACTGTACAAGCGTCTGCAGCACATACGACACAGACAGCTCTACACTGGGGTCCATCGTGTGCGAGTACCACACTTTCAGCACGGCATGCACCGTGTGTATGAGCGTCGCTAGATCTAGGTCGCTCGTCGTTGTACGTTGGGGAATGAATGCCTCGATGGTTTCAAGGATCAACACGAGCGTCGAATGCGTGGCATTTGGAAGCAAGCCGCCAAACTGCTTCAGCACAGTGCCTCCATCATGCTTTGTCACCTCTGGCTTCTCCCGTTGAATATTGCAAATCGCTCTCACTGCCGACAGTTTCACCTGCAGGCTCACAAGCTCATCAGGCGCATGGATCGTCTCCATCGCAGCTAGAAAAATCTTGCGTGCTACGTCCTCAGGCAGTGCCTCCACATACTGCGACGAAACAATAAAACATCGTCCACACAGGTACGCTGGCGCGTGCATCGACACATTCGGCAGGACGAGTCGTTCGAGCATGTTAGGAATCGAAAGAAAGTCCGGCTCTTCCCGATCTAGAAGAACCTCACTAACGGCCTCATGCGTCGATCCCAGTAGCCAAAGCTTGGCTTCTAGCGGAACCCATGCTGTCTCAACGTCCATCTCGTCTACACGCACAGAGTCATTCCCGTTCAATAACGGTTCATCGACCCACGCGCGACAAAGTCGGAGTACTGGCAGCGGAAAAGTATCGAGCATTGACTCCATCAGATCAGCCGTAGTTGGCCGAAGTCCCGCTTGGACATTGTCGGCATCATCCTGCTCCACATACACATCAACGTCTGAATCCCACGTCTCGATATCCTCGCGTGTAGCTTGTGCATATGTTCGCATCAGCAACAGAATTTCATTCAACATGTCGGTGGCGATCCCATCGCCACCAATGCCGTCGCGCACACAGATTTGTCGCATCGTCTTGGAACGAAGCTGCCGCATCAAGAAGAGGAGGCAGCTTTCGGCCAAAGCAGGCACTGTGCACAATACGTCCGAATCGCCATCTAGCATTAATGGCGGCAAGACACTGCGTTGTAGTTCTGATGCAATAAACAACGGAACGTATGCTCGTAAGTTCGACACAACCAACTGCACGAGTGCTGGCGCATATGCTTGAAAAATCGAAGTAAAGTGTGACGCTGTGCCGAGGAAGCTGACGATCTGGTGCTTGAGGCCCACCTCTTCCCACACGAATCGTTCCAACGCCGCTTCAGCACTAGCATTGTATATGAAGGCCTCCAGAAGCACTTGCATGCCTTGCAGCCATGTCGGTAGGTAGTGTGCTGTAATTTTCTCGACAGTTTCGGTATACGTGTCTTTCGCCATGTACATCGACGTGAGAACATTGGTGGAATACGTTAATACATCGCGCCTTGGTATGTGGCGTAATACGCCCATCAACGCCAGTGAGAAGGTCCTGCAGCACTGGCACAAGCTCTTGAGCAACCATCAGAAGCTGGTTCTCATCGAGCTCCACATGTACGAGATCAGTGAGGAACTTCATGGCGCCATGTACTTTGTCTGGGGCGCGCGGGTCGTCGAGCGCATACGAGCGAAGATACGCATGCAACGTTGGCAATAGTTCAGGAAACTGATCTGGAAAGTCGCAACTGCATATAATCGAAAGGAGATCAGAGGCCTGACATCGCACTTTTCTTTCAGCGTCATAGAGGGCGACAAGAAGCATTGCTCGGATCCGCTGTTTCGCCTCTAGGGGTGCGGCATCCGCTGCACGTTGTGCTCCATTCTCATCTGCATGACTAGACAGGAATGTGTCGAAATAGAGTGACCAACGCTTTCTCACGTACTTTTTGAGTGCAATCGCAGCTGCCTGGCGTGTAGAGACCGAGATGGTGGCGGTAGGCACACACAGGATCTGCGCCAGCATCGTGCCAAAAGAACCATCCACATCATTCTGCGGCCATGTCCCCTGCTCCAAATACTGTTCTGCCGAGGCGCGCTCGTCTCGATCACTCGAAAATGTGTGATCAAGATACGTCGCCAGCACGTCCATGGTGGTAAGACACACAGTCACGTGGGTGTGCACGTCAGTACAACATGTCTTTTGTCGTCTTTCTTAATGGCTTTGAGCCAGTGTTGCGTCGAGATTCGCCTTTCGTGTTTCGAACTCACGCTGCCAACAAATACAGGCTTAGACGTGTACTCTACTTATGATCGAGGCGCTTCGTGAAGACGGGGTGCATGGTTCGGCCTTGCTTCGTGCGACTCTAGCAGAGGCTCTATTTACTTCTCCATGTAACCAGCGTGCATCTTCCATACTCACCCAGTCCCATCCGCACTCTTAATATAGGAACTTGACCCATTGGGACATTTTTTTTTCCAATGCGGCCACCAGCGACGTACTCGATCCAGTTGGTAAAGAAAGTGTGTTTCCACACCAATGGTGACAAAATCTTCTTTCCACGGGATGTCCGCTGCAATGCGTAATCAGTGGTCTATGTAACATGTTCTGCTTGCCAACCAGACTGCTTCTCATGCCCCAAGAAGCACGACAAGTGTGCACACGTTCAATACAAGCCCTAACCAACACGATATGCTTTGCCAAGCGAACAACCGCTACGCGGACTCCATCTTCCAACACCCACCCACTTGGAGACAGTGACATAGTCTGTCACGTGCCTAAGTTGTACGAGTAGCCCAAAAGAAAAAAATTTCAGCCCCCTAGGATTACAACTAGCCTTTTACATCCAAGTAACCCTGTCTTGGACCCCTGCCTGCTTTTGTGCACAAGTCGGTGACGTTGACAGAGTCACAATCGTAGTAGCACAGAAATTTCGGGGAGATACTCTGAGGATCTTTTAGGAAACTTTTTGTTTATTGTCTCTACTTCCTTGTTATGACTCTCGACATCTTCCAGGCGTGTGAGCGCGGCGATACACACGCGGTCCGAACCATTCTCGACGGAGAGCCTTCCCTCGTTCACGCTACCGATGCCTCTAACCGCACTTTGCTCACGCAGGTTCTCCAGAAGGGAAACGTCGAGATAGTTCGCGAACTTCTTGCCCGGAATGCTGACCCTCGTGTTGCACAAGCTGTTGCGACGCCGAACGAACAAAATGCCGAGGCATTTGCGATTGTTCGCGAGGCTTCTTTGCACGCCGACACTCGCATGGCTAATAGCCAGTCATCCTCTCGTACGGGTTCTGCGCATTCGCCGACATCAGGTGAAAATGCTAATGCGCCGCCAGCCAACCTGCCACCGCCGGAAATCGCTCGTTTGATTCCATGCAAGTTTTTCCCCAACTGCCGGTATGGTGACCGATGCATGTTCCAGCATCCAATCGGCATAGCATTGAACCCAGCAGACGGCTCTTTTCTTCCGCCACCACCTGGCTCTCAGCCTATGTTCTATCCAGGTCCGAACGGCATGCCTCTTCAACCCCCTCCAAATCCATATGGGGTGCCTCCGCCATACATGGACATGAATCCTCCTGTGTTTCAGATGCCTTTCGGACCTAACGGAGCGGTCCCTATGTATGCCCCTCCTGTGAATGCATTGCCCAACAACTCAGACTCGAACATCACGAATTCGGCAACTGACTCTCAGCAACACAATGCATCGGTGACTGAAGATTCTCAGTCTTCGACCAATACCACGAGCTCTAACATTGCCCAAAGTACTGCTCCCCAAACTTCCGGGTCTGCAGCTCCCGGCTCGGCGCCTCCTTCTAATCAGGCCAGGCCAGCGAACAAGAAGACTGCCAAACCTTCGCGCTCGGATATGAATCAGCGGAATCGTATGAATGGCGGTCGTCCTTCTTGCGCATTCTTCGCTCGCTCTGCCTGTCGATATGCAAATGAATGCCGGTTCCCGCACGTCCTGCCTGACGGCACGGATGCTCGTCACTTGCCTAATGATCAAGAGGCGAAGTTGAACAAAAACCCGACGAGACGCACGAATCAAGCATCAGACCGCCGTGGCTCCGATGTTGAAGCTGGTTCTAACGGCAGCTCATCGGTCCAGGCAAATGGCAAAAAAGGCAGTGGTAATGCCCGTCGCTCCAGCAATGCCAACAACGGACGTGGAAAAGGCTCACGTCGCGGCCAGACGACATCTTCTCACGCAAATCGTAAGACAGTGCAGCGTGTACCAAACAGCGACGAATTTCCGGCCTTGCCAGGCGGAACGACTACAGAACCTCCAGCGCTCCAACAACAGTCTGGCAAGGCAAACTTTTCGGCTATTTTGAGTGCCCCTGCCCCACCAAAGCCAGCTAAGACGTCACCTTCAAACAGCGAAACAGCGGCCAAGTCTGCAGCAGCAAAATCACCTACTTCTTCCTCGTCCCCAACTGCTCCGGAGGAGCAGACCGAACCCATAACTGAATCTGGCAACAACAACTCGCAAGCCAATGCCCAGGCCCCATCGCGTGACTTTGCCGCTGTTGCGGCTACTCAGCCCAATGCTGTTACTGCGTAACTCAACTAAGTCGCGACTCGGTCAGCCCGTTGAGCTTTACGTATTTTCATTTCTTTTTTTGCCCCGAAAATGACGACGCAGACTTAGTCGCTCGTCCAACATTGCTTCTTGGCTTCTTTGACTTTGGTTTTGTGTCTCTTGGCTTTTTTGTACTATACGATGATTTCTGCCGTTTTCTTTTTCGGCCACTTGGAAGCAGTGCTTCTTCGACCTCACTCGATTTAGAAAAAAAGAAATTAAGACAAATTGGTAATCACTGAACTTTGTGCCTAACTATAATTTTGAAGAAAATGGATGAAACTTGTTGTCATTTATTGAGAATGCAGAGTGCGTAGGCCCCATTCGATAAGTGCAAGTGCGATAAACTGTTCTGCTATTCATAAAATTAGTAGGTAAGACTATTTTGTCACATTGCTTACCGAGTGACCATGGTCTGCAACTCGGTCCTACACAAATTATTTGCAGTTTCAAGCAAAGTATTTCCGTAAGTTGAAGCATGGCAAGATTCTCGTTTTTGCATTGAAGTGCGTACTTTCATGTCCACTATATCGAGCTTCATCATGAGCATGAGAATGAACTAATTGTTTGTTACGTGTCATGATTTAGCTGCTAATACTCATATCTGCAACCCACGAAAACCTGCTTTTTTCTGATGAGTATGACTATCGCGTGGATGTATGATCGGTCTTGAATTGCATCATCATATATATATGTATTAGCGTTTTTCAAGCAGAACTTGGGAAAATAGTTTTGCTACCGAGTAACCGATCGCAGAGATCCTACTCTAGCTATGTCGATGTCCGAGTCCAGAGTTCTTCATCAGATTAATGCCTAAATGCGCTGAATTCATCGCAAGTATCCAACTGTATGGGCTTTTCAAGACACTATATATACAAGTGCGCATGCATTTGGAGGTCACCCATGTGCATTGTGACTGCTCACGGAACGAAGCAAAAAGAGAAAGCTTCATTTTTTGGGCGATTACTTTTGTTCTGACTACGTTTTTATAACCTTTACCGCTCTTTTGAACATAAGTCGCCTTTACTAGTTTTTTTTTTCCGGGAGAGAACGAATGCAGATACTTAGATTAAGACTTTCGACCTGAATTAACAGAAAAGTCCGTTCGTCTCAGTCATTTTTTTATACAAAGCAAACGCGTTAATACTCGCCGCGACGTTATCTTATATGCGGTGGGAGGGTTCGTTATTACCCCCTACTCTATAGTCTGGAGGTGTCGCTAAGTTTTCTAGATCGCGTTTGCTAGATCGTAGCGATGGTGGAACTTCGTCGAAAATAGGTGCTTTGGTTCCTGTCGTGTGATACGCAAATGCATTGGCGAAATTACCAACGCCTATTGATTCTGTTTCTTCTCCACAAACAAATGGTAGGCATGCATCGAAAGTCTGCAAATGACTTCGGTCACATAGCGTCACTTGAAACCAAGTCGCAAACATTTTCAGCAGGAAATAGTCCCTTAGCACATTGAATGATCAAATTCTCATACTGGAACAACACGGGCTTTTCAATGCCCCACTCCCTGATTACGGCACAGGTTGTACTAGTCACGTTGGAATATATGACTTGTATTAAACGGTTAGTTATAACATATGTTAGTCCCCTTATCAAAATCCTAGCTGTAGAATACTTCATTGATACTTGCACTGGCTTCTATAAGTGCATGATTAATAGGATCCATTTTTGGGGAGCAAATTCAAACAAGGTAAACCTGCTTTGATGGTATTTACAGAGCGCCAGTAATGCCTTTCCTCAGCAGTAAACGGATCTATCGAACTATTACGCGAAGAGGCACCATATCTCACGCTCCATGAATGTATGCACAAGTCAAAATAGGCTCTAGTGTCACGTCTGTACTTGGCAGAGGGTTTATAACATGAAAGCTACATGCCCTTAACTTGGGCCTTAACTCGAACCAGCGACTGTCTTAAGCTACATCGCAACATGTTAGAGAATCTAATAAACACAAGTCCATATCAACGCGCACACATACCTGGAGACCATGTATGTCTTGTATGACGTCTTTGATTTCCTTGTTAACCATTCTGTGAGCTTGAATAGTTGACTTCCCATCGAATGCCTTGGATTTCAGCATAATAGCAAAAAAAGAGCCACATCCACCTGGCAATTATAAGGTGACAAGTTTGTACATACCGCTAATGTCTTGCACCTGAAGATCAGAAGGTTCGAATTTTTCAGACAAGATCTGGATGATTTTGCCTTGTTTCTCTGCCGGAGAGGCGGTATCGAAGCGCGCAATAGTCGAGCTTATCGGCCTGATCTGCCTGATATTCGGCAAACACCAAGGTGATTGACTTGCGAGAATGCGTGAGCCCGTGCTCATACGCCACAAGCTCATAATAGAAGACATACGTGGTGGCTATGAATTTGAGCGAGTGACGAGATAATCCAAGCGCAGCTGTTCTGACCAACCAACAGGGACCGATTAGATCGGTCCTTGTTGGGTTGCAACAAAACTGCTATGAACAGGAAATTCTCCACATACTGACTAAAATATTATGTCCAAATCGAGTCCAAAAGACCTGCGCTAGATGGCTTCACGAATAAGATGGGTATATTGATGCCATAATAAGCTATCGATCAGCCTAGAGAGGGTTATTAGAGCGTGACACGTCAAGTTCGTATATAGGTGCAACGGGACTTGGTTGTCGTAACTTCTCGCCAGCCGCAGCCGAGGGAAAACTCCCAAATGTGTCTGGATGGGCAGGTGCAGGAGACTCATCGAAGTACGCATGCTGCAGAGCATCGTGGGCAGATATTCGCTTGGATGAATCATAGCACAGAAATGACTGCAAGAGATCAACTGTAGCGTCAGAGAAGAGGCGAAAATGATGCCGAAGTTGGCTCCTTACGTGTGTTGTATGCTTGAATCGTGATTTTAGCAATGATGCAAACTCGGGCCAAGTCGTTTCCGTGGGCGACCCCAGCAATCGAAGAATACGAGAAAGCTGGTCTGTCTCATTCTTTCCGGGAAAAAGTGGTTCTTTCATCAAGAGTTCGGCAAAAATACATCCCACAGACCACATATCTATCGCTGTGTCATAACGCTTTTTGCCAAGCAAAAGCTCAGGCGCACGATACCATAGAGTTACAACAAGACTTGTCATGTCCGTCAATGGATCACCAAACAAACGAGCAAGCCCAAAATCAGCTATTTTGATCTGCCCACGGTTTGACAACAGCAAATTCGACGCCTTCAGATCACGATGCACAATCCAGCGCGAATGCATCAACGCAACAGCCGAGAGTAGTTGCTTCATCAGCGTTTTAATTTCGGACAAAAGAAATGGAGTCCGCATTGTTGTAAGCAGTGTCTTGAGATCATGCTCTACAAATTCCATGACCAGGTACACGTGGTTTATGGTATCACCCACCACCATCTCTTTCAGTTCAACAATGTGTGGATGGCGCGCTTCCATGAGCACTTGGACTTCTCTTAAGCTTGTGATGGGAAAACCAAGGCCTTCTTTTTCGAATTTAAGCTGTTTTAGCGCAACAATCTCGCCGGTTTGCTTGTGACGAGCGCGTGATACAACTCCATAGGAGCCTTCCTCGATCCTATTCAAAATTTCATACGAAGAAACCGATCCACATCCTTCAATGGGAAGATGCTGTGATCTTGAAGGTGCTGCAAAGGTATACGATGCATGAGCAAGAGACTCTGTCGGAACTGTCCGACGTCGCTTCGCGGCAAACGACGCACGAGCCGCTTCCCTCGCGCGCATCTCGTATTCATTGATGCACCGTCGCTTGTTTTCTGAGTATTGCTTTGAATTTGTTCGAGAATCCCATCCATTGAGCAAGTGCGCAGTGTCTTGGGATGCTTTCTCGTTATCTCGCATACTGCTGCAATCGACAGTCCAGCTCGCTCCCTAGATCTTCGACTCTGCCATAACATAACAGGTTTGCAACAGACTGCGAGGCAAAGCCGTGAACTTTCACGTGATGTGCCATTCGAAATCAACAAGACGGAAGAATTAGACAGGTCATTTGTGCTGCTACATACTCAGGTTTACGGATAAAGCCCCTTGTCATGATGTTGCTTGCGGCGCTTACTTATTTTTGGCAGTCTCTCCAGGGAGCGACTTGGCGGGCGGATGCAGGCTTTTCCACCAATCAACACTGCGTTTGATTGAATCCTCAAGACCGTAGATTGGTTCGTACCCCAAGATGCGGCGAGCCTTCTCGATGTTGTAGTAACGATCGCATGCAGTATAGGTAACCCGGTATCTAGTAAACTGTACAGGACGACCCGTGAGTTTAGAGAAGAGCTCGGCTAAACATGCAAGAATGAGCGCAAATGTCAGACTCAATACCACGATGCTCTCGGGGCTGTCAACATGACCGTTATAATGGTACCAGAGCGCGCGTGGGAAGTCCCAGAATGGGATTGGTTGACCATTGGTGATAAAGAAAGCCTCTCCATCAGCTTGTAGCTCTGATTTGGCAAAAGACTTGAGCTTCGGCTGCGGGTTTCCACCACAAGCCAAGCGAGGGTTTACATGGTGGAAGAATGGGTCGAATCGATTCCTGAACACTGGCCGAATATCGACCATATCAACCCCACTAAGGTCAATCAAGGGCTTGACGCTTCGGCAGTAGTCTGTTGCTGGCTTGGCTACATCTTGACGTTTAATGGAGGTCGGCACGGCACGAGCGTGATCTTCGTCCGTCATGCCCATCTTCAGCGGCAGGTGCTTGTCTATAAGCTCTTTCGTCTGGAACTTATAAGCAGGCCTAGGCATTGGAGAGTTTACGCCCAGGCAGTCAGAGGCAAGGAGGTGTGCATGAGCCACATTTCCAACATAAGTCCAGTCAAAAAGGTTGTTATTCTGTCCAATCTGCCATTTGGTGCGCTTGTTTTCCAGCACTTTAAAGAAACCAGGTAATGCTTGGCGATCACCGGGTCCAAATATGCCTGCGGGCCGCAAAGCAATAGTCTTGAGCCCGTTCGGGTCGTTGGCTTTGAGAACCATTTCTTCGGCACGCGCCTTCGTATCGTTATACGCATCCAACGGTTGTTCAGGATACCCGACACGCTCGTCAACGAACTTAAGATCATATCCATTAAACACAACGCCCGCACTTGAGGTAAAGATTAGCTTTGAAATACCAAACTCTGGATTTTTGCATACTTCAATCACATTCTCTGTGCCCAGCACATTAACTCGTTCATACACATCCGGGCCGAGGCCAGCGACCGGACTTGCGGTGTGGTACACAACGACAGAGCGGCTTTCTGGATCTAAGTCACGCGTATCTTGCTTTGCATCTGCAATAGCTTTACCCAAGGATTCGACTTTCGTAAGATCCCCTTCGTAATAGTGCACGTTCATGACAGGCTCTTGTGGCTCTCGGATGTCGCATGATGCCACTGCAGACTCACCACGTGCCACAAGAGCACGCAGGATATGTGATCCCAGGAATCCAGCACCACCAATCACAAAGTGAAGCTCTTGCGTAGGCGCACTTGTCGACATGGTCGCAGAGCAACAACGGTAAGACGTTCCAGGTTGCAACGCCCACAAGTCTCGTAGGCTTCGCGCTTTTTTCTTTCCACTCAGCACATTTACTGTCCTTGCCGTGTTGCTTGATTGTGCAGGTTATAGCCTAATAGACTATCTAACATGTTTCTTATGCACCGCGCGCCTGACACAGCTCTATTTAACGGTATGCACGTCGGATCGGTAGGAAGGCTGATCAAATACGTGTTCGATAGCTAGCTTGATCGCTCTCTGTGATTGTTATGTGGTATGCGATCGAGAGGCTAACGGACGCAGCAAACATATTTTGAATGCACAAGTAGCAATACGTGCTCCTTGCTGCCGGAAATTCTTTGATGTATGTGCGCACGATATACCTGATGACGCAGTGTCCTGAATGCCATGCCGAAACACAAACACACCCGCTGGCAAAAACAACAGAGTTGGCATTTTTGTGCAAAAAATGCAGACGAGCATTCCGGAAAGATATGGCCGTGTATGAACAAGCAGACGAATACTGCCCACACTGCGACAATCACTATGTACGTTGTTTGCGGGTCTTACACATACAGGTGATTGAAGCCAAAACGCCGCAGCTAATGCTTTCAGTTGAAGGAGATGACGGCCGTGTAGACCCAAGTATCATACGTGACGATCGGATCAGTAGCAAGGGTGTTGAATCGTCCCATGTGAACAAAATTGACGAAGGAGGGTATCAGGCAGCGGCTATTGAGTTCCAGCGTCAGCTTGCTCAAGGTCGTCGAAATGGTGCAGAACTATCGTCATCTTCGAGGACGTCTGATATACCGAGTATGACAGACTTCCGTGATGACGAACTCGACTGGGACTAAGCGGTTGAATAGACAAGCCCTGCGATGGGGCAAGAGAGACGAGTGTCGGAGAGTATAATGAGGCTTGCGTAGCAAGTAGTGAGCAGACTGGCATGGACAGTACTCAAGATATTCTGACAAGAAGAACGATATGCCTTGCAGCACGCAGTCGGGCAGCGCGAGTGCATGTCGGCAAAGTAACGAACGAGATGAGAATGTGGTCAAGTGCGTGCACATGTATAGCAAAGAAATGAATCATTGCGATATCACTGATAGTAATGGGATTTAGAATCTACGGCCAAGGGAACCACAAGCGGTTTAAGCGACATTCTTGATTTCTTCGAAGTACTTGGCAAACTCAGCGTCGTCTGCAAGGTCAGCATACACTATGAAGCATCTAATTCACGTACCCTTAAGGGGCTCGAAGACCTGCAAAGAGTGTGAGTACATTGATCACGCGTCATAGTGAGGGTAGCAAGCTCTCGTACTTACCTCGAAGAACGTGTCCACGTACTCCTTCTTAGCCTGCTCACCCGACATGCCTTTGACCTTGTTCCAGGCATCCCTGTTATTTGTTAGTGCAAAAGCTCGTGCAGTCAAACGCACCACTTAGCGCGGCCCGTCAGGTCCAGCATACCAGGGCGCTGCGTGTTGCAGTCGCCCTCGGTGGCCTGCTTGTACAAGCTGTAGAACTTGAGCTGCTGAGCCTGTGTCACCTTGGCGGGGCTGTTCTTGGGCAGATTGCGGATGATCTCGACAGCCTTTTGGAACTGAGCGTCACTCATGATGATGAGGTGGGTAGTAGAATAGGGAAGCCAAACTCAAACGATGCATTTGTTCCGGATTCCATGCCAACACATACATTGTCCAATGCGTCGAATCTTGGACCAGAATCCCGGTCTGCCCAATCGAATACTGCAATTCGTAATACCCTAGCAAGCGTGTAAGACCAGCCTTGTAGGTTACGATTTGCTCGTTTATGTCGTACATGTGGCATCGCCCGGCACTTGAACTCGCTAGCGAGACCAGTCTCGTTCGCGGTGGTCGAGAGTTCTGTGTGTCACTCGCGCCTGATCGTCCAGACGGCCTGTTGCTCGATTGCTGCTCGCTGAGCATTTCATCGATCGTCTGACCGGCAATTGATCGTAGGGGGGTCGCGTCTAAGTGCGTAGTCCCTTTTGTCTTTCCGGGTCTGTTCTGCTATTCATTGTCCATGCGTGCCATCCACACTCTTACGGGCAGCGGCACTCTGCGTGCTTTGGGCCTGTGGTTATTTATGGCTGCGATGAGCATGACTGTCTCCGCGCTTTCGTATGGTATGAGTGATGTGCGATTGAGCGTGTCGTCCTTTGATGGCGCATCACGGCTTAAGAAGTCTTTAGAGTCCGCCAACGACCTGCCAGCGCAGCCGGAGACGTTGACTATGGAGCCTGACGATGTCGTCAAGCTTACCTTTTATGCTACACTGTCCTCTGGCGAGAAGGCTGCAAGAGAGCTGCTTCCACATCAAGCGTGGGTCGTCATGCACGATGTGGAAACGAACAATGCCTCGTATACATCTATCTGGCCTCTTCAAGTCCGGGGCTCGTCGTCCTCAGTGTCTTGGAGCATGCGAATTGACCGGCTCAGCACAGCACTAAAGAACAAACTGGTAGAGGCTGGACCTGACCACACGTTCCGTCTATCGCTCTTGCTCGCTTCTTTCGCTAAGGACGATAGTACAACCGTTGAGCCTCTTGTGCAACCCTTTTTGGATGTGCAGTTCGCCCATGCCATGCTGGACCGATTTGCCTCTTCGAAGCCACTCATCTCGCGGCGTCGCGAGGCTGAACAAGAGGAAGGCTTTTTCCCAATCCCGCTGCACGAACACATGTTCCGTGTCGAGCCTTGGCAGACCATGCCGCCATCGTCATTGAGCCTTGGCGTTGCACTCATTGTGTTTGGCTTGCCCTGGGCTTTGCTCTTACACATGTGGCGCCCATTGATCCAAAAACGCGCCAAGCTAAGCACTTCCGCTGCTGTGCTTCTTTCGTGTGTCTGGGCTATGGAAGTTCTAGCCTTCCTACACTGGGTCGGAACCCCTGTGAGAATTGTCTTTCCTATAACAGGCGTTGCGATGCTCGTTGCACTCATCGGTGGACGTGCCTCGCTTTCTGAGACATGGATTTACCGCGGCAGCAACACCTCCTCAGATAGCGCCAAGTAAGATTCAGGATCCTTGCACGTATAGTGGACAGCTGTCCCGTGCCGGCGAACTTTGACCGCGACGGCGATAGCAACCCACGTGATGGCGATCGTATCCGTCGTAGAGCTTGGCTGGCGCCGTGTTGAAACAACCTACGTTCCGCCCCCCCCAATGTGGAGAGGCAGGCAAATAACATGTGTCGTTCTTCGCTAGCAACTGCCTCAACTGTCGAGTGAAGCGAAAGATCGGGCGCACAGTTAGTTGTCGCTGTTGTTCTCGGCACATTTGTTCCTGCCATTGGGTGTGCGCAAGCCTTCTTTGTGTCGCAACCACTATGGACCCTTCATTCTCTGGAGTGGAAGAGGTGTCTGGGACAGAGCCAGCAACCCATCATCACCATTTCGATCAGGACGGTAAATCAACATTTTTGCCCATACATACACTAAATGACTACATTGAAGCGGTGAGGCGACGTCGTGCCATGTTTCATCCACCGGAGCAAGCAAGATCAACCAGAAAGGGCTATACAATTGTTCCTGTAGGTGCAGCGTTGCATGGCGCCCAGATTCATGCGTTGTCACTTTCGATGGACTCGTCGATTCTTCTCTCTGCTGGGAGCGATGGATATGTACGATGGTACGATCTTTTCGCCAGCATGAACGGAAAAAACATGCTTACACAAAACCTGCGAAACTCTTTTGTCGAGGGAATTACAAAAGGTGGCGTGCTAATGACATGGTGGGGTCATGCCCATCTAAACCGAGGTGCGAACCTTTCTACAGATGTGGCAGATGCACCACTAAGTGCTGTTCACAGCCTGGCTTGCCAGCGAGATGCACTTTGGGGTGTGAGTGGCGGCGAGTCTGGAACGATCAATTTATGGAGTTTGCGACATCGGCCCGGGTCGACCAGGCACGTGTTCCACAAGCACACGGGAGCCGTGTCTGTGCTTGCGCTGGATCCTTCGGAGGAACACCTTGTGAGCGGCGGATGGGATCGCGGCGTCCATGTGCGTATAGCGGTAAACAAAGATATCACTAACTTTAGCAATGGGATCTCAACACGGGCCAAGTTGTGCGTTCATATGGCGGACATGCTGGCCAGGTGTCGAGTATTGCATTTCGGCCCTTGTACGTGCCGGGCGTGGATCCGATGCCTGATGTGATGGTACATGCTTCGGCAACGGAACCAATGGATATGGAGCTGGCTGAATCGAGCACAAAAATGGAGCTCGAACCCAAGGTGGAGTCGTCTCTGCTGGCAGATGACGACTTGGAGATGGAGTTGAATCGCACGCTCAATGAGCAGATGTCTGATGATAAGCCTGAGTCGTCCCGAATGATGGATGAGCCAGATGCTGAAGGTGAGAATGAGGGTGACAACGACTCGTTGTTTGGTGGCGAAAATGATGACTTGGGTGAGCAACAAGACATTACTGCAGACGGCGATGCAGATGGTGATATGGACGCAGATGGTGAAGCGGATATTGAAAATGTCGCGAATGCTTTTGGCGAAACGGATGCAGATGCAGATGCAGATACGGATAGCGATGGTGGCGTTGGCACTTCAAACGGCTACGGACGTGCAGACCCAAAAACAGCGCAGCCTCAACGCTCAGCCGAGCATGATACCCCCCCTGTGCCGTCGGAACGCAGTGCATCGCCTTCCAAGACAGCAGAACGCCCTGGAGGTGCCATTTCATTGCCAGGAAGGCAGGTGAACAAGCAGGACGACAAAAAGACGATCACACCGCAAATACCGAAGCAGGCAACTCCCGAGGCACCGCATCCTGTGCATCAGAACAGCGGACGCAAAACCCTTCCGAAACCCATGTTCGGCTCGATGAACATGGCATGGCAATACGACGCTGACGTATCTCGCTTTAGTCATGATATCATGCTGACCAGCACATTGTCGGGCCAAGTGATGATATGGGATCGGCGTGTTGATCCAAAGTCCTCTAAACACGGAGTCCGTGCACTTGCGTTGCCGGCAGGCACACCTCCTTGGTGCACGGATGCATGCTGGAACCACACTGGCGACAAGATCTATGTGGGTCGCCGGAACGAACTTGTCGAAGAGTGGGACGTTCGTATGCTGCCTGACATTTCGACCAGTGCGTCGCATCAGAACCGGTCACAATATGGCACGGTCCCATCCCTCGCACGTACGTTGCGGATGCCACGTGGCAGTGGCCCTGTCAGCTCCGTCGCTGTATTGCCGAACAATCGACACATCGTATGGTGCGTATGCCTGCCTGTCTGTCAGGTTTGCATTCTCGCATACTAACACACATCGTGCAGCGGTTCCTTCGACAATATCCGTTTGTGGGACATTGAGGCGGCAGATTCGGCGCATGTGCCGTTCAAAATCGTCGCTGGACATCATGGTGGCACCATCTCTCGCATGCGTACGTTCACTTGCGCACCGCATTTAAGCGCAGACATGCTTACTCCGACCATCTTTATTACTGTCTGACTTTAGTAATAGATCCTTGTGCGCGATTCTTGCTAACAAGCTCCGGCGATCGTGGCTGGTTTGCCTCCAGCACAGAAACGCTTCTCATGCATGAGATTATCACATTGTGAAGTAGCATGCCCTTTTCATCATGACGAGGCTGTTTTTAAGAATTTGGCTTGCATCCATACGCGGAACATTTGTTTGCGCTCCTTGCGATTAACGAGTAAGCGGCGATCGATGGCCATCTGCTGGGCTTCGAATCGCTCTTGCTTGTGTTGTCCTCGTGGTGCCACATTGAATATACTCATGAGCTCTTCGGGTGTGAAGAAATAGACCCGTGTTCCGTCGCCACGGACGTAAAAGTTGTCGTCCAATAGGCGGTTTTTTTTAAAGCGCAGCTGTGGCAAGTCATGCCTTCCGTAATCGCGGAGGAGGACGAGTCCTGTGCGAGGTTTCAGCATTCGATACACATTTTCTGCTGCTGCTTTCCATTCATTAGGATGTAGTGCGGACAAGACAAAAATCAACACGACAATATCGACAGATTCTGGCTCAATGTTGGGCGGCAGCCGCTCAGCTTCCGTAGCAGTAGAACGTGCATGCTGTGTGCCCGCACTCAGATCATATACATAGGCTTCGCAAGTTGATTGATTTTGGTATAATGGATGATTTTGAACCACTTGCACGGCTTGTGGAGCATAGTCACAGGCGACAAGACGTAAGTTGGCATTCTTATTCATGCTGAGAAGTGGGAAGACCGTGTTGCCTGCCCCACACCCAAGTTCAACGATCGTCGTGGGAGGAGCGTCTGCTCTGGTAGCAGCAATAAGCTCAGGAAACTCTATGCGAAGCCACTGACGGTCCTTAAAGAATCGGTTTTCATGACGCGAATAGAATGAATCCCAGTATTCGGATGCATGCGCGTGGTAGCGAGCAGCATCATCATCACACACACGAGACTCTGCCTGCTTATTGAGAAGCTCTTCCACCATGTCCGTGTGTTCTTGGGGTGGAACAACATGATCCCATGCGTTGTGACTCCATACATCATCACCCTCATCCAATGTGCGTGACCCAAATGTATGGTCGTATGCTGATGATTCAGCCCCATCGACAGGTGCGACAGACGATGCAGTTTTGGACGGGTTCATAAGCAATGTCTCGCCGAAATGTGCGATGTTTAGGTTTTTTATTTTTTATTTTTTCGAGCACACACTCTCTGGTCTCTTTCGCCTTGGAATGCTTGCCCAAAGCGCGAGGCTCTTCTACTAAAGGAAGCGGTTACGTTCCTATCACATGTTCCGTTTCACCCAGGGGCAGGACTTTCCACCCACACCCGTCTTCCTGTTATCTGTCTCCACATGAATACTCTATCTCCACAAGCTAATCTTGCTGACTGACTAATATTTCGAAACACATTTGAACGCATCATCCTATCCTCCTTTCAGCCAAACCCGTAAGACCCTCATGTCGAGAGTTATCACGTTTGTGACAGGTAACCAAAATAAGCTGCGCGAGGTGCAAGCTATTATTGAGAGCTCACCATCGATGAACTGGAAGCTTGAATCGCGTGCTTTGGATGGTGCGTTGGCATACCTGCACTGACGTTTTGGAAGTTCCAGAAGTCCAAGGAAGTACGCAGGAAGTGGCGCTTGCGAAGTGTCGCTCGGCTGCCAAGCAGCTTCAGGGACCTTGTCTTACAGAGGACACAGCACTTTTGTTCCACGCACTTAATGGTCTGCCTGGACCTTACATTAAAGACTTTCTTGGCCATGTGGGTCATGACGGTCTGAACCGCATGCTCGCTGGCTTCGACGACAAAAGCGCAACTGCCTTGTGCACCTTTGCATTCTGCGCAGGTCCAGAGGCAGAGCCGATTTTATTCGAGGGAAAAACGCTCGGGCGCATCGTACCTGCACGAGGACCAGCGAACTTTGGCTGGGACCCGATTTTCGAGGTTGACGGCACGCACAAAACGTACGTACATGTATTTATTCTCTGCTTTCTAACGTCCTGATAAGATTTGCTGAGATGACACCTGAGGAAAAAAATGCCGTATGTTTTGAAGCGAAAGCCCCACACTCACACCCCGTCCCTTTTCTACTACCGATCTTGACAGGTATCTCATCGTGGACGTGCATTGAGCCAGTGCAGGGCTTATCTCGAGTCTATGTAGAAGGGAATATAATATATGCGAACCAGTACCGCATGGTAAATGCAATCATGGAGCCAACTATTTGCACGGCCATCACATGGTACCATAGCAGGTGTTCCGTGACGTGCAAAGTCGTACGGATGGGTGCAGGCCGTAATGTTGGATCCTGATTCGCAAGCGATGCCTGTATATCGGCGACCGTTGCTGGAGCGACACGAGAGCCACGCAATACAAGCAACGCATTTAGCATAGTTAAATTGGTAACGCCCACGATGTGGCCGTTGTCGTCCCGAATCCGTTGCACGAATCGGCACGTTTCGAGAATGGCAAGGACACAATGCACGTAGGCATTTGTCTCTTCATGAAGACGCACGCATGAGGGGAACAACATGCGGGTGTCTGGATCGACGAACGGCACCCGGTGACGCGGACACGGCACTACACCGAAGAGCTGTAGACAGCTGAGCAGGAAGTTGAAGATTTGCGGGAGAAAGAAAAGCAAAAGTGTTTTGGAATAGTGACCTAATACGCCGCATGACACCAGCACCATACCAGCAAAGTAACAGTATGTATCGCCGACAAATACACGCGCAGGGTATCTATTCCACATAAATAGCGCGAGACTCGTGCCGATAAAAGGAAGAAGCATGTGCAGACTGAACAAGTGACGCACAACAAGGTCTTTGCTCCCATGATAACCCAAAAGAAGACTATCATGCTGCGGCAAGTACGTTTTGTTCATCACTGCCGTGCGTATGACGGCAGGAAGATTCAGGTAGAGCAAATCGTTTATGCAAATGCTGCAAGCAATCACAAGCGCTTGACCAACTTCGACACCATTAATGCCAGCAAGAATATTGATGCAGTTCGTACAAAAAGTGGCAAGAAGCATCATATACGCATAGTACCCCATTCCAAGTTCAAGTGGGTTCTGCCCTAAGACAGTGCGGAACGCAGGTGGCCATGCAGGCACAATGATACTTGTAGAGCCACCACCGGCCATATATACGACGAGCATAGGTATGCTGCTCAGCAAAGGAATCGGGAGCTTGTATCGCCAGCGGATGTCGAGTACATCGTCGACAAAGCCGAGGAGCGTGCCAGAATAGATCGACAAAAGCGCCGACAAGAACGACGCAAGGTCTTGATGCAAGCCTGGCGCGCTGTGCGCATGGCCCACGAGAAGTTTGGGTAGGCCGTACATGCTGGAGCCAAAATACCTAAAAGGAATAAACACGACGAGAACAAGAAGATACACGGCTGCACATGGAAGCCCTTGGGTCTCTGGCACAATGGGTGGTATGACTTCCTTGGGCCACAGATCGCGCTTGAGCAGATCGATGCCATTCAGGCCTTGCTGTGCAAATGCATCTTTCGAATACTTAATGGACATGTAGGCAACGAAATATGCTATCACGCTCAGGACAAGAGATATCACAAGAGCTGGAAATGCCATGTCCACTTGGTATGCAACGCGGATCCATGTGCGCACTGGCTCTGTCACGTACCACCACATGTGCTTCGCACAAGCCTCCGTAGATATACATGTCATTGGTGTGACAAAAGCGGTATATATATAGACACCCAAAAGGCCCGCTATGCCCGCATAGACAACCGACATGGCAGCGGAGGACAGTCCAGCCTGGAAGAAGCAGCCGCTCACACAGACACTCGCACTCTCAGGCGTAGAGATGCAGGGACGTTAATCTTTGGTTGTCGTGTAATGATGACGACGGGATGGGGCGAGAGGCACGTTGTTGTACGCTGGAAAGCAAAATAATAATAATAATAATAATAGGAAGAAACGTGTACAGCGTCGTCGCACGTCCCAATAGCCAGCGGCACTGACTTGACTGAGACGGCAAGAAGTGAGCGCGTTTGTGTTCCTGAGTGTGTATGTATGACTAAATAAGTTACATGCATGCAGGCACACAGACTACATTGGACGCAAATTCACGTGCGGTGGAGGCGATAAAGTCGGATGTGATGGCTTTACGACACGACCGTGGGCTTTTTGTCTGAAGGAGCCGCTGATGCAACGCGTAACGCATTCCATGCTTCCTGGCTCCATGGCGCGAGGTGCACGGCCTTTGCACTGTGACGCTGTGCGGCAACTGAAGAAGGAGCTGGGTCTACCGTCGTCTGTGTCGCATGTTCGGTGCACATCAGTTCGGCCAGTCCGACGACCCACTGCATCGTCGACCAGTGCGTGAGGCCTTCTGTGCTTGCACGCTGTTCAACAGTCGAGAGCACCTGCCGTGCAAGAGGAAGAAGATTTCCGTCTTGACCCTCTGGCAGTGGCAGTGCAGGCAGCGGCTTCCCTTGCACGGCGCAGCCAGCCGCTACACGGAGATGCGTGTGTGCGACAAACACGAGCGTGTCGGTCGTGTTATCAGCACGAGTGTAAGACGAGGCGAGATGCTGTAACAGTGTGGGCGTGTCGAAAGAGGCAGCGAGATGCAACATACTGAGCATGGCAGTCTTGTGGGCATTGCGCAACGAAGTTTGTGCAGCAGGAGGCAGGGGCGCAACAAGTTTCGCGAGGACCATGTTGTACTGGGACACATCACCCACGACCGATGCCAGCGCAGCCCGAGTTGTGATCAGCAAAGGATCCTGCGGTGCGACATCTAACGCAGCATCGAGACCTGCCGCAATCTCAGCAACAGGTACCTGCAAGCGCCACTGGAAGCGGGCAAGCAAGACCGCCGCACTGGCATGAATACGTTGTGGCATATCTTCTTCAGCAAAGGACAACGAAGGTAAAGTGGCCAGCACTTGCTGGAGGCCAGCCATGCCGGACGCTGTATCGCCAACGAGGCATTGCGCCCATCCCAGACCAATGGCGCTCCACGCACGTGTGGCAGGGATCGGGTGCTCGTCACCCGCATCCTCGAGGAGCGACAGAGCCGCCTCAAACGCATCAATCGCGCCCTGTGTATCTGCCTTGCCGAGGCGAATGCGACCTAGATTAAGGGATGCCATCCCGTAGCGGACTGCATTTGCGACACTCTCAGTCGCCTCAAACTCACTCTCAATCAGCACCGACGCACGCTCAATCTGGCGAGCAGCGAGCAGCGAGCTGCCTAGCTGCTCAGCCAGGAGTGCATTGAGGTGCAGCGCAGCATCATCATTCGGAATGCGAGCTAGGTACCTCTTCAGCGCAAGGAACGGTGCCATAGCACGCATGGGCTGAATCGACATGCTCTGCTTCGTGGACTTCCACGCGGCTTCCGCAAGGCCGTAATCAGCGTCAAGAAGAGAGCCATTGGACAGCACACACGCCTGCTGGAACAAGCGCGTCGACGCGCTTGCATCCTTGAGGTGCAAACGGTGGATCAGAGCAGACCCAAGCCAGCTACCGGGCCAGTCAGGAGCAAGCGTCTTGGCACGCGCAAAAGCCTCTTCGGCCAGTGCATCTTCACGCACGCTCAAATACAAGAAGCCGAGATTGGACCACGGCACTGGGCTCTTTCGATTCGCCTCGATTGCAACGATGTAAGCGTGCTGTGCCATGCTAACGTTATGGGTAAAGTTCAAGTTGCCGAGCAGAATCCATAGCCGCACGTGCGACTGAATGTTCAGCGCGAGATTTACACACTCCATGCCCTGAGAACGAGCAGCATCTGCCTGGCTTTTCGCCGCCTCGATGTTCGGATTCAAATGGCGTGACATGGCGGTGGACGTCGTGACGACCCACGAGTAGCGGCACAGGGCCGTCGCCAAGTCGGCCCAAGCAAACACACGCGCACGTTCCTCCATCGCATGGACGATCGCAAGATACTTGTACACCAGAATTGCAAGCTCCAAGAACTCATGTGTATACATGTGATTGTGTGTATGGCGAAGCATTTTAGAAGCGCTCACGACAGAAATGGCTGGAAGACGTTGATCGACATTCTGACGGCTCAGGAGCAAGGTTAGCTGCTGAAGCACGTCACCAATCTCATTGGCCTCTGGCAAATCAATCTGCGACAGCAAATAGCACGCGTCTCCCACGACCTTCCAAGCCGTCCGCAGCTTCGCATCCGCGTTCAATACCCTGTGCCGCATTCACAATCGCAAGTTGCAGCATCTCAACCGCACGATACGTGTAGCCGGACGACAGCAAGTGTCGTGCTTGCACGAGCCGCGTCTGTGCCAAGACGACACGCACGCCCTGCTGCGTTGGGACGGCACGCAAGATCCGCTCAAGCAACTCAATCGATAGCTCAAGCCGCCCAAGATGCCGCTGCGCTTCTGCGATATTGTATTCGATGTGCCATGCATCTTTCAGATCCACATCGCCGAGCAAGCTGCGTGCCCGAGCATAGGCTTTGAGCCCTGGCACTGGGCGGCCAGATGCCACGTATGCCTCACCGAGACGTGCCCAAGCATCAGCGTCATCAGGCGCGGCGCGAATTGCCACTTGCAGTGCAGAGATCGCGGGCTCCATTCGCGCATTCATAGCATGCACCATGCCCATGGCCTTCCAAGCCCATGGATTCGTCGTCACATGCACGGCTGGCGTCGCGCCTGTGAGCACATCGATACCGCCTTCAGCTTCGATCACGCGCCGCGCAATCGCATCAACAAGCTCCCAGGATCGCTCGTCTGCATACTGGTTCAGCATGCGCTCAGCAGCGACAAATTGGCGCGCATCCAACTCAAATGCTCGCTGTAAACACTTGAACGCTCGTACCGTATCTGGTGGCGACAGCGCGTCCAAATAGTACAGGCCCAGCGACGTGAACACGGGCGCATATGTTGCACAGCGCTGGATACTCGTGACGAAGCAGTGATAAGCATGATCCGAATCCGTGCGGAACGAGCCACCACGTGCCCAGAGACACCGACCCAGTTCGTGCCAGAGACGTGCACGGAACTCGTCGCCAAACACGTTCCCTGCATCATCGTGCTTCTGAAGCAGGGTGTCGAGCGCTTGCTGAGCCGCATCGATATCACCCAGTTCTATCAGCACATGCGCATGCTCAGCTTCCGCCTCTAATTGATAGTCGACACTCAAATGAAGCGCTCCAAGGAAGCGACCCTGCACATTGATTGGGCCAGGTGCCTGCGTCATGACGTGATGAAAGTCTTCGCGCGCATCCGCCCATGCATGCGCAGCTGCCCGCACGTACGCACGGGCGAGAAGAGCATCGATCTGGTGCACATCGTAAGACAGCACCTGTTCAGCGAGCTCCAATGACGCCTTATGGTGTTTCGGTGCATGCAGATGGGCATACACAGTTGCAAGGTGCGCAGCCAGTTCCATCGACACATGTGTAAGTGGCAGCTGGAAAGACACTGACGTGCGCTGAAGCAGGTCCTTGGCGACTAGCAGCACATCCAATGCGGAGCTATAGTCCTTGTCGAGCAGGTAGAAAAGGGCTGTGATGCGTGCACATAGCAACGACTCGGGACATAGCTCGAAACCATCGAGAGCGAGCTGCAGAAGATCTTGAGTCTCCTGGGCGTCTGCGCTCCCTTCCAAGTCGGCCATGTACATAGGATCGTGGACAAGCATCAGGAATGCACGAAACGATGCCGCGCGCCCTGAGCTGGGGAACAAGCGGATGTACGTATGGAGTTCATCAAACGGCAGACGAGCGAGTGGCTCGTCCACACACCCAAGATGCATGTGCCATGCCAAATCATCAGGTATGCGAAGAATCACAAGGCCATGAGCAAGCTCCTGCGCCTTTTCTCGCAGCTGCGCGCGAAGATCTTGGTCTGCATGCGGGCCTTGCTTCGGCATCCTGGTCGCCATGGATGTATAGAGCCGCAGCTGTTGACCCTGAATATCACGACGTGTCTTGTCATCTGTATAAGGATGAGCAAGAATGTAGTCATAAAGCTCAGGCAATCGGGACCGGAGTTTTGTCTGCACATACAAATGGTCCTCAAATACCTTGGCGCCCATTTTCAGTGCTTCCATGGACTGCTTTTGCCGCTGGAGCGTGGAGTGAAACACGTCATTGTCCTTTTTCACGCACAATTGCAGCAGCTCGAGCGCATTCGCAAGGCTTTGGCCATGCATAAGCATTTGCGCGACATAGCACGGAGATGACTCAGGCGCCGCTTGGTTCGGTGCCGGTAGAGTATACAAGATTTCATAAAATCGAGAGCTTGGAAGAAACAAGCACAGCACATCAATGAGCTGCGTTGGCAAATGTGTTAGTACCACGAATACAGGATCAGACGAAGCGACCTCCCGAACAAGCTCAAAAGAATCATGCAAAGGTCGACAAGAACATACCTCATCTGTCGCACCATGCGTGCGTGCTACATTGACTAGCTTAGATAGCGCCGTCGCACAAGCCTCTGCTTGATTTCTGTCATGGTCAGACGATCTCGGCTCTTACGTACTCTCTTCGAGCCAAGTCCGCGACTTCTTCCAGCATCTGCATAAGCTTCAACCAGTTCTTCTGTGATTCATATGCCTTTTCGAGTCCCTGCCAAGCGAGCATCTGGATAGGATCGATGCGTGTAGCCTTGGAATACGCCGCCTCAGACTCCGCGTATTGTCCCAAGTGCAATAGAGCAAGTCCTTTAAACACGAGTCTGTTCATCACGTTAGCAGACGCGTAAAGGCAGAATTTTCGTTTCTTCTCTGACATACGCATGATAATTCTCATGATGAAACTCAAGAATAGCATTCCTGTGAAGAGTGTAAGTACACTCTGACCCATCGACATATACGCACGCTTTGGATAATGCCGGTTCCCACTGGTTTTGTAAAATCAGTTCCCGGCATTGCTTGAGCATCTGCCTGTCGACATTCGAAGACGACATGGCGGTCTGATGATCTCTGCGGAATGCCTCTCGGTACAATCGGCTTTGGCCTCGTCACAGTGTGAAATCGGATCCGTTCTCTGACTCACAGACCGACAGTCCACTAATACCCACTCAATCTAAATGTCCCTGGCGCCGCCAACCCAAGGCCAAGGTAGGTGGCGAGGGGATGAAGCAAGCAGGTATTGCTGACTCAGCACGGAATCGACTCCGCTCAGGCGGCGTGTCGCTCAAGCTGAGGATACGAGCGGAGGACACACTAGCCCTCGTGTTGCAAGCAGGCCACAAATCCCAGTCGCACAAGTACGCCAGACCATCTTTCGACCAAGCGACCCAAAAGAACGTGAGAAATATGCGCATGGTATGTTCATACCCGTATGCGCAGCTAAGACAAACTACAGCTGGGTGAGAAGGAGGAGAACGATGTCGAAGTGACATGGGACGACCAGAAAAACATCAACAAATTCAGTCGATTGCATGCTACATTCACGGATTTAGAAGAAGAAATTCATGTTCTGCGGAGAGAGCGCGAAGATCTGGATGATTTAAATGTTGAGTTGGAACTTATGGACGATGAGACGATCATGTACGTGTCACATGGCTGGACAGACGGATTGACAACCCAACACCAGGTACCAAATTGGCGATACATATGTGAACATGACGCAGAGCGAGGCGTTGGAACAGCTAGAAAAAGACTCAAAACGGGCGGACGAAGAGCTTGAAAGGCTTCAGTCGCGTATGTCTGAGTGTGAAAAGGGCATGAGTGAGCTGAAAGTCACGCTCTATGCGCGCTTCGGCAGCAATATCAGTATGTGTGCGCTGCAGCTCTGCATGAACTAACAGCACTACTTGACAGATCTCGAGCGCTAATCTCGCAGGCAGACAAATGCATTTATACATTCATACACATATACATTTATACACATATATGCCAGAGCAGACCTATTCGAGACAGCAAGTTCAATATCAGAATGCTTATGCTACGAAGTCGCTCACCATGGTAGGAGACACACAATGCTTATAAGTACCTATATGGGGAGAGGACTTTTTCGAGATACAGTAGTGCATGACTACATCATCATCCATCAATTAGAGCTTGTCGTAGTACACGCTCAGGTCAGGCACATCCTCCTTAAGACCCTTGCGCGTGCGGATAGACTTGACAAGGTCATAGAGCTTGCCATCCTTGTCACTAGCCACACCGCTCATGAGCGCCCAGTGGTCAAACACACTCTGAGGGAAGGCCTGACCACCCGTGGCCTGACGCAAGTCGGCGTTGAAGCCGAATGACTCGCTAACTGGCAAGTACGCCTTGGCTGTGACCATAGGCGTACCCACACGAGGCTCCTCGCTGAACACTTGGCCACGGCGTCGGCTGAGCGTCGAGTAGATACCACCCATGCACGAGTCAGGGCACTGAATCTCGACCAAGTACATTGGCTCCTGCAAACCTGGCTGAGCCAGCAGGGCAGCCGCGTTACACACACGACGCGTGGTCGGGATGATCTGACCACCACCACGGTGGATGGCATCTGTGTGCAGAGTCACATCCATAATATTGTAGCGCACACCACGGACACTCTCTTCACAGCACACACCCTCCTTCGTGGCCCACTGGAAGGCAGCCACACACGAGTCCTTGATTTCGTTCAGGTACTGCACACCCTTCGTCACATCGACCAGCAGGTTAGGGCCAGTTGTCTCTGGACCAAAGCACCAAATCTTACGAGCGTCGGCCACATCCCAACCATACGTGTCGGCCAGGTGACGCGCACGAATCTTGAAATCGTCACGTGGGTTCACCTTGCCGGTCTCAATTTCCCTGCACAGCTCCTCATCAATGGGCTGGGCCGTCACGTAGAGACGGTTGTGCTTGTTCTGCGACTTGGACAGAGCAACCATAGAAGACTCAGTCTGCACAGTCTCACGGTAACCGACGACAGGCTCCGAGATACGCAGAGGAATACCAGCGTGGTCCTCCTCGAGATCCTTCAAGCAGATCTCCAGATGCAGCTCACCAGCACCGGCAACAATGTGTTCACCAGACTCGGCGATCCATGACTGCACACACGGGTCCGACTTCGAGAGACGCTTCAGACCCTCGACAAGCTTCGGCAGGTCGTTGGCATTCTTCACCTCGACGGCAACCTGCACGACGGGTGACACGGAGAACTTCATGACCCTCATGTTGTGCGCAGTCTCCGACGACGTCAACGTACCGCTCTTGAGCAGGAACTGGTCCACACCAACCAGACCCAAGATGTTACCAGCAGGGCAATCCTCGATGGGCTCGATGTAGCGACCCATCATCAACACTGTGCGCTGAATCGACTTGACAAACAGGTCCTCCTTCTTGCCTGGCACATAGTTAGGGCCTTGGATACGGATCTTTGGACCCGAGCGAACAGTACCCGAGAAGATACGACCAAACGCGTAGAAGCGGCCCTTGTCAGATGTCGGCACCATCTTCGAGACATAAAGCATGAGAGGACCGTTGGGGTCACAGTCACGGATACCGATGGCCGATTCGTCGTCCATAGGACCTTCGTACAGCGTCTCAACACGGTAGCGCTGAGCAGTCACAGGCGATGGGAGGTTAATAACAACCATCTCCAGGAGAGCATCACCAGCTGGCAGGAACTTGCGCATGACAACCTTCAGAAGCGCCTTACCCTCGAGCTCCTGCTCGTCCGATGTCAGCACGACCTCTAGCTTTTCAAGCAGCTTGAAAGTCTCCTCCTTCTTGAAGTTCATGATCGAGTCGAAGATACGGTAGATCGGGTCCAGCACGAACATGCTGAAAGCGCGCTCGAGCTTGTTGCCCTCGGCATCAACCTCCTTCGACGACCACTTCTTTGTCTTGGGGTTGAAGAAGTTCTCACCCCACAGCTTGTCCATCATCTTCGCCTTGTCCACACCGAACTTCTTAGCGTATCGGCTGGCAAACTGACGCAGAGTGAAAGCCCATCCGTGAAGACCAGAACCGAAGGCAACAGTACCCTTCTCTGGGTAGACTTGCGACTCACCGAGGACTGGGTCGTTGTAGGTGGCAATGACCACGTTCACAGACTCAATCGTGCGCTGGAACGACTGGTACAGATCCTCCTTGTCGACCTGGAGCTCAAGAAGAGCACGGTCCATCTTGTTCAGACAGACAACAGGCTTAATACGCTCGCTAAGGGCTTGGCGCAGCACAGTCTCGGTCTGCACACACACACCCTCAATACAGTCGACAACGACCAACGCACCGTCAGTGACACGCAGAGCAGCGGTGACTTCTGACGAGAAGTCAACGTGACCAGGCGAGTCAATAAGGTTGATCAAGAATTCGTTGCCATCCTTTGGCTGCTTCACCGCCTCAAGCTCGTCCTTGCTGAGAGGGAAGTACATCGAAATGGCGGTCGACTTGATCGTGATACCGCGCTCCTTCTCATCATCACGGGTGTCCATGAAGCGCATGTCACCGGCCTTGGCATGAGCAATAATACCAGCCTTCGACACCAGCGAGTCCGTCAAAGTGGACTTGCCGTGGTCCACATGCGCAATAACGCACATGTTACGAATGTTGGTAGGGCGGTCCATAAGACCGCGAATCTCTTCAACGGTGAAGTTCACCATCTTTGGATATCACACGAGTTCAGCAGTTGAACAGAAAGATGCAAATGAATTCGTGTGGGATAAGGGTGCGCAAGTTTGCGCCGCACCAATCTTTTTGCAAAAAAGGTGGTGGGAGGGGTAAGGAAGAAAAAAGGGGCGGAAGCGGCAAATTTTCCTTTCGTGAAACCACGGACCTAATTCATAGGTTCTGACGCTGTCCTCGGCCGACACTTTTAGAGTCGCTCACACGGACTCGCGCACGCTTTGGTGCACGTGCATCCCTGCTCAGGTGGAGATACAGGCACACAATGGCGCATCGTTGGACGAAGAGCATGTGTGCAAAGCGAACCTAGCCTCACGGAGCTCTACTGAAGGAGGCTTCCCCGTAAAGTCAAAGGGTTTTTCACGTCTATTGTGTCTGTGTATTTGACTGTACCGAGACATCGCACTAGAGCATACGGGCGAAATATATCTTTTTCTCACTCATGTACAAGCTCAGATCCCATCATTCGGCGCTCATCTCGACTGAGTAGATCTGGAGACGAATAAATGGCAAAAACATAGTATATTTTTGATGCTATCTATGATGTTGCGCATGTACGGTTTTGGCACGACCAAGTAATCTTACGTGGGTTAGTTGATCCAAGGTCCAAAGTCGAGGTCCACACCCGGAGTGGGCGTGAGCGCGTTTGGAGGACAAGCATGTGCGCGATTTGGTGTCACGTGATGTAGCAGTCCCTGGGTTCGAACAAGTGGGTGAGCGCGTATGCGAAACCTTCCAGGCTTCATCTGAACACGGGGATCACGACGTTGGTTGATGCCGCCAAAAAAGGTGCTGCTGAGCACGCGGGAACGTGCCTTATTCTCACGGCTAATTCAGGAGTATGAGAACCGAAAGTATAAGCAAGCCCTCAAGACGGCAGATGCTATTCTTGAAAAGGTGCCTACTCATGGAGAGACTGTAGCGATCAAGGGGTTGGTTTTGTTCTCGATTCATCAGCGTGACGAGGGACTAGCACTCGCGAAGCTTGGTGTTCGATACGACCTCACGAGCTTTATTTGCTGGCATGCACTTGGCATTGTGTATCGGATGGACCGGAACTACCAAGAATCGCTGAAGTGCTACGCACAGGCGCTGCGTATTGAAGGTGGGAATCTGAACTTGATCCGTGAATCAGGATTCATGCAGCTGCAGATGCGCAACTACCAGCCTTTTATTGATGCACGCCTTGTGATTCTTCGTACTCAACCACACTTGCGGCCGAACTGGGTTGCGCTTGCACTCGCCCACGACTTGGCTGACAACAAGGTGCAGGCCGTGCGCGTATTGGCCGGATTCGAGGACGTGTATCGCGATATTCCCAAGCACAACTATGAGTACTCAGAGGTGGTTCTATACCATGCGAGTCTACTTGAACAAATGGGTGATGCCGAGGGCGTGCTGAAATTGCTAAACGCACAAAGAGACCACATCGTCGACGAGCCAAGCGCATGCGTCCTGCGTGTCCAAGCATTGAAAAGCCTTGGAAGAAAGCAAGAAGCTACAGACGTCTGTGACTCGCTGCTTCAGTGGAATGCGGAGAACAAGGAATGGATCTCAATGTACCTTGACGTTGCATGTCCGGTTAAGGACAGTGACGAGTCGCGTCTAGCCATCTTACTGCAACTGAAGGCCCTGTTTCCGAAATCTGCAGCCATCCGCCGCATGATATTGCATCTCGCGCAGGGCAGCGAGTTTGAAACACATGCGCGTGAGTACTTGGAGCATGCACTTGTCAAGAATGTGCCATCTTTGTTCCTCGACGTCAAATCCCTTTACAAGCAGCAGGGAAAGCAGGACGTCGTTGAGGCGCTCGTGGAAGAATACCGCATGCTTTGGGATCCGCACAACCCTGCTTCGGCGCACGAGCCGCCGTCGTCGTACCTTTACGCGATGTACTTCCTTGCTCACCACTATTCATACACGGGTCGGACGTCTCGTGCACTACACTATATTGACGCAATTATCGAGCACACGCCGAGCATGCCGGAGCTTCACATGACGCGCGCGCGCGTTTTGAAACGGGCAGGTGCGTACGAGGCAGCGGCAGATGCTATGGAAGATGCTCGTCTGTTGGATGGGCAAGACCGTTATCTCAACACCAAAGCTGCCAAGTATCTATTGCGTGTCAACAAAATCGCACAAGCTGCTCAAAAACTCAAGCTATTTACGCGGCCAGATGTGCCAGAACCGCTGGCCGATCTGGTTGACATGCAGGCACTGAGCCACCTAGTTGAAGACGCTGAAGCTCATGAGCGTTGTGGTGAGAATGCGATGGCTCTCAAGCGTTTCCACCAAATGCATAAGATCGTCCAGGATATTTACGATGATCAGCTGGACTTTCACTCCTACTGCATGCGAAAGATGACTCTGCGCGCCTATGTGCGTACACTGCGATTCGAGGATTGCGTGTTCAGGCATCCTGCTTACATTCGGGCGGCGAATGATGCCGCAATGCTCTATGCGAAACTGCACGATGAGCCACAACTGCGTGAGGCTGCGGAACAGAAGAAAGGCGATGAAACGAAAAAGCCTGCTGCTTTGAATGAGTCCATCGATGAACTAATGGCGCCCCCTGATCCGGACCCGCATGGTATCGCACTTGCATCGACGACAACTCCACTCAAAGACGCACACATGTTTGTCACAAAGCTCCAAACATATGCACCGAATGATCAGCGCACGTGGCTCACGACGTTCGAAATCGCTCTTCGTGAGCGCAGCTGGCTCTTGGCTCTTCGTGCATTGTCTCTTGCATTCCGACTGGACCCATCAGATCCACGTCTGGCCCGGCAGTTTGCGCACTTCCGTCAAGCGATACAGAGCGTGGATCGTCTCCCAGACATGGTGCAGAAAGTGCTGAATGGACTCAAGGAAGAAGTGCCGCCGCTCAGCATACCACTCGAGCACATGTACACAGAATATGTCCAACATTACGGGAATAATTCAGCACTACATGCCCTTGGATCTGCAGAGCTCTTGTATGTGCTGAAAGGTTCTGCAGAGGCGACAGATGTGGTCGAGCTCGTATTTGCCCTTTTCAAGCGTGATGACACGTCATTGTTCGTTCTGCAAGCGGCGTCTGAATTTCTCCGACGCATTGAAGCAGAGACGAAAAACTCGCTTCCTCCTGCCATGTCGCGCGCCTCCTTTCTGTCGCGTGCTCGCGAGCAGTGGCCACACGCCGATGCATTCTGCCCTGATGAACACAAGCAGCAGCTTGCCAAGACCCGCTATGAATCACGCCGTACATGGCTCCCTGAGGGCGTGTAGTTGTCCATAGTAAGCGTGAGCTATGACATTGATGTACTACAACTCGCTTCCACGTATCACCCGCACATACTAGCGGAGAATAGCAAGATGCCTGCCTGAGTGTAAAAGGAAAGAGCTGTCTAGCTCAAAGAGTACGATTGGGGAAGTGTACATACGTTTTCAGCTTGCGCAGCAAGCTTTTCACTTCGCGGACGACGTCTTACCAATGACACACCAACCCACGTGCTTTATTGTTCGACTGATGTGCATATTCTGCTCAAGACTCACCGCACAGATACACAAACACAGCTTAAGGAACCACAACTTGCTCCACACAAATAGGAAACGCGTTACAACCCCTTTGAAATTGTGTGGATACTAATGTGTCCAATGATGTGCAAGTGCTGCACGTGGCGCAAAGCCAAAAGTGCAACATGTTGGGCGCACGCGTGCATGGCCTGGCCATAGGGCTGGGCGATGCAGCAAAGCCAAGCCAAAATTTGGCGGTTCATTGACCGCTCGCATAGCCCTTGGCTACTAAGCATCTGATTCTTGTGTGACGAAAGAGTGCCTGCCGCGCAAGACGTCTTCGTCATGCGTAGCACACTTGAAGAGTCAGGCATGCCTGCCCATGATGATCAAGTACGTATTCTGCCAAGTGTAGCGGGGCTGCCTCAGCCGGCCTGGTGCGGTCGGCCACACCTTCAGGCGTCAGAGTGGCTGTGTGGCAATGTTACGAGATGCCGATCGAGAGGATGCAGACAACTAACCATGCGTGTGTGTACAGATGACGCCTAAAGCTCGGGCTGTAGATCAGAATCCATTTGATCTGCTGCAGGAACGGATAACTAGCTCACGCGCAGGAGCTATGGGTCTCATCGGATCGGATCGGTCGGTTGATCGTGCCAGTGTGCCCAGTGTTCTCATAACGCCCGGCCATGCACAAGGGCAGATGTCGACACTGGCATGTGCCAATGAGCCGACGATATCGAAGGAAACATCAGACTTTCTCATTAAACTTCCGCCACCGAAGCCGAGAGCTGAGCCGAAAGATGTAACGCGCAACACGGGCTCGGCCCGCGGCTGTCTCAGAGTACAGGTAATAGAGGGACGCAATCTCACGGTGGCATCACAAACATTGTCTCATCCCTATGCAGTGCTGCAGTTCGACAAAAACGAATACATTGGCAAACACATCTCAAAAATGGCCGTGGGTGCCCACCCCGTATGGAACGAAACAGCCGCCTTTGACGTTACTATAGAGAACCAGAGTCTGCATCTAAGCGTGTATGATCGAATCGGTGACACAGAAGAGCTTGTGGGGGCTTGCGAAGTATTTCCTCGCCTATTTCACCGTTCAACAACCAAGCGCTGGTACACACTTTACCTGCTGAAGGACGATGGTGAAGAGCAGCTTGTGCGCGGCGATGTGCAGATTCAAATGGAATATGAGCGTTTGCCCCTACGCAAGCTTTCGCCAAGAGACTTTGAGTTTCTCAAACTCATTGGACGTGGCACATTTGGGCGTGTGTTCCAGGTGCGTAAGAAAGACACGAAGCGAATCTATGCGATGAAGGTGCTATCGAAGCGTGAGATTGCGCTTAAGAAGGAAGTCACACATACCATGGGCGAACGCAAGATCCTAGAAAAGAGTCAGGACTGTCCCTTCCTTGTCGGCCTCAAGTTCAGCTTCCAGTCTGAGACGGAACTGTTTTTTGTCACGGACTACAAGTCGGGTGGCGAGCTGTTTTGGCACCTGCAGCGTGAAGGGCGCTTTACAGAAGCACGAGCGAAGTTTTATGTCGCCGAACTCATTCTTGCATTGGAGCATCTACACAAATACGGCATTATATACCGGGATCTGAAGCCGGAGAATATCCTGCTGGACGCCACAGGTCATGTTGCGCTGTGTGACTTTGGGCTTAGCAAAGCAGATCTTGGCGCGGGACAGCTGACCAATACGTTTTGCGGCACGACGGAATACCTTGCGCCAGAGATCTTGCTTGACGAAATGGGCTACAGCAAACTAGTAGATTTCTGGTCGCTCGGCGTGCTCTTGTTTGAAATGTGCTGTGGCTGGTCTCCATTTTATGCTGAAGACACACAACAAATGTACCGGAATATCTGCTTTGGAAAAATCAAGTTTCCAAGAGGTGCTATCACTGACGATGGCAAGCAGTTTGTCAAAGGTCTTCTAAACCGAAATCCGAAACATCGTCTTGGAGCTCAAAACGATGCACAAGATCTGAAAGATCATGCGTTTTTCCGTGATATGGACTGGGATGCGCTTGCACACAAGCGGATCCCACCCGTGTTCAAGCCGCTCGTCGATTCGAATGAGAGTGTGGCTAACTTTGATCCTGAATTTACGAATGCTAACATCAGCGAAGTCGCTCGATTTGCTTTTCAAAACGAAGAGCCACTGGATGAAGAGCTCGATGATGCCATGAAGAAAAAGATGCACTTGACGTCCTCGGCAAAGAATGGGGTCGATATACAAAAGCATGAGCGAGGCAAAACCGACGAACTTCTGTCGAGCAGTGTACAGGAAAAGTTCCGCGGGTTCAGCTACACTGGATCCTACGAAGACTCGTCAAGCATAATGGAGCAAGGTGTACATGCAATTGACTGGGGCCGGGAGCCTCGTGATGTATAGGCGTGTAATGGATGTGCCTAGCTTTGGCGCATTTCTTGTTGTTCTTTTTCCCATACCATCTAGACTGCCAATCGTATCTGTCACGACCGACACACATCCCAGTACTGGCTCGCCCATCTACTTTCGCAAGCCCTGTCATATCCAGCTAATCACTTGCTTTCAGGTTGTTTGCTTTGTGGAATAATCCCATTTCTCCGTGGCCAGGAGCGTACTAACTATCTGAAGTATGGAGGCATGGAAATGACAAGCAGATAGCAGAACAAGATTCATGCCAATGCTTAGATAGCTACATGGGTTTATCGGGTCAGTCTTTACTCCATCGTAGCCATACATACCATCTGGCGTGTTAGAAATGTAGTTGATGGCCTCCTGGACCGACGTGATGGCGTCCGCATCAGCATCGGGAATCTCAATGTTGAACTCTTCCTCAATGGCCATGACCACTTCCACGGCATCCAAACTGTCGAGGCCGAGATCATCTGTGAACTTGGCCTCCGGCTTCACCATGTTAGGGTCGACCTTTTCGAACGACTTGATCACATCAGTGATGCGTGTCTTGATGTCCTCAAGCGAGAGACCACCGCCACTCGCATAGCCACGGGCCAGCATAGCCGGCATGGCTACTGGCACTCGGGCAAACGACACACGCGCAGCTGTGGGCACAGCAGTGCGGGCAAGCATGGGAGTGAAGCGCACAGCGCGTGGGATCATCGACGACATGGCAGCAGCACTCAGCATGGTGATGCACAGCACAAACTCAATGAGTTAGAGAAAAACCGTTTGTCAGCCCACACTTCCATCCACCCCTCCCCCATCGGGGCGCGGCTAGGACGGCGACGCCCACCCAGTCGGTCACGAGCCGCCGGCCGCTTCCAGACACACACGCTTTCCTCGTTGTGCAGGTGCGAGAATGGAATGTCGGCCGAGTGTATCCTTTCACCTCCCCTTCTCTCGGCCTGTTCCCTCCACAAGACGACACCCACTAAAGCGTTCGTCCAATCGAAGAAAACAGACCAGAAGCCAAGCAAGCCGACAGAAAGACGTGTGTCACGACCGCAACTACTTGCTGTCGTATTGAGACAGACACACTCAGTACCAAAGTCGACGCCACTATCTACGCAAGAATTTAGCGACGAGTGGCGACGATGAAACGACTTGCATTCAGAAAGCTTAGCAGATCACGTACGTGTGCGACACCTGCACTGACGCATTTCTACAGCCTCACATCGGAACCACTTACTTCGAAATCTCGTCTCATCCTTACTGACGCATGAACGCATCGTGACGACTGTGGCAAAAGCAAAAGAGGCATCGCGTGTAGCTGATCAGGTCATAACTCTCGGAAAGCGTGGAACACCTACCGCATGGTCAGGTGCACAATCGTTCCTGTTCGCGCATCGTACCACCTTGCCACGCCTGGCAGATATGGCGAAACGTTACGAAGACCGACCCGGTGGGTATACGCGCGTGCATTTGATGGGTCATCGTAAGGGCGACCATGCGCCGCGAGCGATTTTGGAGCTGGTTGACAATCCGACTGATGTGAAGCTAGACATGACTGCGCGGTCTATGGCGCGTGAGACGTATGTGCTTCTGCATCGCGCCCAAAAAACCATTGATTGGCCCACACTTCAAGAGCTAATCAAGGCACAATCGTCCATACCACTTGAGCAAGACACACGATTCCACGAACTGACGCGGAAGAACATCCGCAAGCTTGTCCGGTTCCGTGGTGATGAAGCTCGCAATGCCCTTGCACAAAAGGCCGCTACTTATTTGGAGCGCATGTGGGCTCAAGATACGCTGGAAGGACCGCGTCGCCCTGACATGAAGCTGTGGGATGCCATGGAAATCTCCCGACCAAGTCGCGGCCGCACACTCACTCGTCCTATGACTGGAGCCCGTTTGTATGCTGGACAGCTCTCGGTTCAGCAAGCTGCGCGTGTCGGCACTGAGTTTGAGCAGGCTAAGCCTATGCGTCGTCGTGATCAGACGGTTGCTCCAACTCGGACTGTGCGTTACCAAAAGCCAAGTGTCATTCGTCTGGCAAAGGGTTCATTTGCCAAGCGACACGTCCGCGGTGCATCTACGCCTGCGTCCTAAGCAAAACTTATTCTTATATCTTAGCCAAGGACTTTGCTTTATATGATAAAATACTGGGGATATTCAGCGATGACCAAGATTGTAGTGTCTGTATTTCGAGCTTGTGTCTATGAAAAATGCCCATCGTTTTTTTTTTCTGTACAGCTACAGACGGAGCTGATTTTAGCACCAGTCGTGCAGTTCACATAAATTGAGCGAGGCTGATGTGGTGTTTTTGGTTGTTCAATTACGTCTGACACAGCGGTAACGCTTACAATACGGTTGTGCGCACGTCGCAGCCAAAGTCCATTTGTCGATCGTAGGATGTACCGAGCCATCAACCTTGGTACAATAGGCAACTACTATGATAGTTCGCTTAGCTAGACCCTTTAGATTCTCTGTAAAAGCTAGGCATCTCGTCATGCCATCGATTTGGAATGGTTGAGAATCGAGCACAACGTACGTTCACGATAGACATAGAGGTAGCATTCATTCACGTAAACCCCTCATTAAGTTATTTTGTCGCAAGGACAGCATCACAAAAAAACAGCTGTTGGGTATCGTGTCGTTCTATGTAGCAGACGATGGTGAAAGATCCGCACCAGCCATAGAAGGTGCCGCTATACGAGATGCAGGACCAGGAGCTGTAGAGGTCATGCTAGGCATTGGTCTTGGTATCGGAGTGGACGCAGCAGAAAACCCTGAGATAGGAGCGGCTTCATTATCAGAGCCTAGCCACAATTTGTGGCCTGCATCTCGGTCTGTGCCCGGCACTACGCCTTTGGCAGGCCGTCTGGACGCTAAGTCTGAATCTGCTTGCATTTGTGCTTTGTCAGATGACGAGCGCGAATCTAGGGCAGACAAGGCCATAGTTCGGCGACGCTCTGCCTCCGTTCGTGCATCCACCAGAGGCACGTTTGCAATACTAAGCTCCAGATCCGTGTACCTGGCAGCTGATGGCAGAAGGCCCCATGCTGATACGATACGATGGACAGAATGCATCACCGGCGACAAAAATGGCCGAATAAATGAAGGGAAATACTCAACAAAGGCAAATGATTCGCTTGCATCACCACGCTGTCCCGCTGCGCCATACTGATAAAAACGCAAGTATACCCAGGCGACGATCCAAGCTACTTGGACTTGGAGAAAGGGCGCAACAATGCCCAATAATATGGGAATGTTCGTAAGACCGATCAGTAACATCAGAAGGTCTCGAATTCGGTACGAGTACACCCAAAAAACACTTTGATCTTGCATGAGCTGCGCATATGCTACAAGGAAACCAGTCAAGATAATGTGCATTCCATCAAAATGGGAGTGAAGCATACTAAGTTTCCCTGACGATATTCCCACGGCCATTTGGACAGTGGAAATGAGCAACGCAAGAATCCATGTTATAATATTCGTCACAATAGTGACAATGGTTGAGAACAAGAGAAGCTCCTTCGTGCCCCATTGTTGTTCAAGATACGGTGCACTCAGAGGCACAACCGTCACGTAAAAGAGAAACTGTCTTAGCATACCCGCATATACGTGAAGATACCACGTACCTCGACCCATGATGTCGTGCAAATACTAGATGTCAGTAAAGTCCAAGGAAAGAGCCAGCTCCGTGATGGCACCAACACGACATATGCATAATCGATGACCCTAACGCCGGACACTTGCCACCAACGCAAAGCTGCAAGTACGCTCGTGCCACAAATCAGCGCGCACGTCAAGATACGCGCGCCCAAAGGCAACATCAGTGCAGCTGTCCAGAGTCGTCGTACTTGAGCCTGGATTGCCACCGACGCCATATTCAAATTGCCTTTGCGACTGAGTGTTGATTCAAGTAGTTAGCCTTCGACCAATCCTCTTTATCGCGCCTACTGCCTGATCGTTTGAACCTTTCTAACTCCACATGTATTCACTCAGACGCACTCGAGCACTTGCAGACACCGAGGCACTCATGCATCTGCACCGGTGAAAGAATTGTAAGTGCGTTGAGGAATTATGTTCATTTGTCAAAAATCTGGGTTCGCGGCCGATCGCCGTCGCCATACGCGATTGCTGACACGCCGTTGCCTCATTGCTACGACAACGGCTTGCTTGTATCTAGGCGTTTTGCTTGCCGATACCATCTTGATTCCCATTGCAGCGTGTGTACTGTGGCGGCTTGCCCATACGCGTGTGCGTGATGCCAGATGAGAATGCGTCGACGCAATTTTCTGCGTCTGAAGTCAATTTGCTCATTTACCACTACTTGAAAGAATCCGGTTTTCTTCATACATGCTTTACGCTTCGCTATGAAGCTCGGTTAGATGATGTGACTGCTGCACATCAGCCGATTGTACAACCTGGTCAATTACTTCACTTCTTACATCGCGGTCTTCTTTATACGGAAGCGGAGCGCCATGTCCAGAAATTAAGAAGCATCACAGAGGCAAGTCCCTCGGGCGCAAACGACAATCCTTCCCCATCGGCATCGTTACCTAAACCAGAAGCGCTTGTTGCTCCCACGTGTCTCACGCCTTCGATCGAAGTGCAACCAGAAAAGGTTGAGAAGTATGTAAACGCATCATCACAAACATCGGCGTTACCCTGCCAGCCATCGGCGATGTCTCCTCCCATTGAGCAGCCTGGATCAGCTTCGACGCCTTCCATTAGTGTGGGAAGCACTTCGGCCAAGCGCCGGTTGGACTGGGATGTGCGTGCCTCGGATAAGCGGTCCAGGAACGAGGCTGTGGCCATGGATGTGTCGCCACCCTCAGGAGAACTCCAGTCGGAGGGGTCGGCGCGCCGATCCAAATCAAAGGCGAAAAACGACCATGCTCGCCGCTCAAGTTCTAATGAGCAGCCATTGCCCACAACCTCTTCTTCACGCAGTCCCAAAATCACGCCATCACAGCCTGCATCCATTGATCCGGACGCCATTGTTTTGTCCGGACATACGGCCGAAGTGTTTGTCTCTGCATGGAATCCCACAGTGCCTGATCTCCTTGCTAGTGGTGCGGGTGATGGCACTGTGCGGATTTGGGACATGGCCTCTCCTCATGATCCCCCTGTCGTATGCAAGCACTTACCCCCTACGCAGGCCAAGAATGTCTCGTCCGTTGCTTGGAATCCCGATGGCACACTACTCGCGTCTGGATCCTACGACGGCATTCTACGATTATGGACTCCGCAAGGTGACTTGCATTTGGTCATGTCGATGCACCAGGGACCAATTTTTTCCGTGCGCTGGAATCGTAAAGGTAACTTGTTGCTGACAGGCAGTGCGGATGGCTCCGCAATTGTGTGGGACGTTAGCAGCGGACGCACTCGGCAGCAATTCAGCCTGCACGCTGACAATGTGCTGGATGTGCAATGGCTCACCGGCCGGACCGATGAGAAAGTTGCACACCCGAATCAGGCTCTAGCCGATAGTCTGTTTGCGACGTGTTCCGCCGATAACACTGTGCACGTATGCAAACTTGGTGAACCGAAACCTATCAAGACATATTCGAGACATAAGGATGAAGTCAATGCGATTCGTTTTGACCCATCGCAGACGCTCTTGGCCTCTGCGTCTGATGACGGCTCCGTTCACATATGGGCCCTATGTGTGAGTGGTCTAGCAATGGCCACATCAGTTGTACAGAATGATGCTGATCCGCTCCATGTGCTTCGCGGACACACTCAGGAAGTGTATGCGCTTGCATGGAATTCCACAGGGCCTGGTTCATCGCACGTTGACCAGCCTCGAATGCTTGCCACGGCCAGTTTCGACCATACTGCTAGAATTTGGCATGGTGATACTGGTGCATGTCTTCGCATCATTGATGGACATGAAATGAGCGTGTATGCGATTTGTTTCAGTCCATGCGCACGCTATCTGGCTACAGGCGGTATCGACCACCGCGTTCTTATCACACGCATACTAGTACGTAAATGGGTGAACTACAACGCCTCCGATCGCTGTCTCTAGCTTCACCTACTAACACATTCCAGGATGCACACAGCAAATACACATATATGGGAGATGGCGCCGTAATGGATCTATCGTGGAATAAACAGAACTGTACGGCCGAGAAAACAGAGCATGGTGAACGGTCCGTTTCGGCTTCGTCATCAACGCATGCAACGTCCTTACCACGGATTTCTGTCGCACTGACGGACAAGCACTTGGTGATATTAGAACCACGTGGCCTCACGTGAGTAGGTACATAGTTTTATGGATATCACGTGAACTCAAGTGGACACTCTCACAGCGTAGCGAGTGTGCGAGCTTAGGGCAATCGACCGTCATCTGGTGTCTTTCATCGCACATCACCACCTCAAGTCCCTGACTGACTGGCTCTCTACACCAGCTCAGTCTTTTGTTCTGGAACTTACAGCAAGACAATCTCTGTACTGTTCCTGCAACTGCCTTTGTGCACCGTAACTTGAAATTCAATATGGCTAAGGTTGGAATCCCTAGTACGTATCTGGTGCCTCATTGATGAGAGCAAAGCTAAGCGCGTGTGAGCGCGCACCCCCTTCACAAACTGAGAGTATGAGCTAACAACTTTGCAGAGGACGTTGCCGCTCTCGCTGTCCCAGAGACTGGCTCTGTTCGCCTTTTCGGCAAGTGGGAGTACGTACAGTTCGCGCAGTAGGATGTTGTTGTATACTAACCACTGTTTAGCGCTCAAGATGTTGAGGTCAAGGACATTTCTCTGACGGATTACATTTCGCTCCGTAACAATGTGTTCACGCCTCACACGGCTGGCCGTTACGCCGTGAAGCAGTTCCGCAAGGCTCAAATGCCAATTGTCGAGCGTCTTGTTAATGCTCTCATGTTCCACGGCCGCAACAATGGCAAGAAGCTCATGGCTGTCCGCATTGTTGCCCACGCCTTCGAGATCATTCATCTTCTTACTGACGCCAACCCTATCCAGATTCTCGTGGATGCTATCATCAACACAGGCCCTCGCGAGGACTCGACCCGTATCGGCTCGCAGGGTACTGTGCGCCGTCAGGCTGTTGATGTGTCGCCCCTGCGCCGTGTGAACCAGTCGCTCTATCTCCTCACCACGGGCACCCGTGAGTCGGCTTTCCGTAATGTGAAGAGCATTGCTGAGTGCTTGGCCGATGAGTTGATCAACGCCGCGAAGGGTTCGTCGAACTCGTTCGCCATCAAGAAGAAGGATGAGCTTGAGCGTGTCGCCAAGTCCAACCGTTAAAATTCTTTCCCTCCTTGGGTCAGAGTGCACGCTTGGCTCGAGCTTGTTGTCCACTCGCCGTTTGCACTCTGGGAGTGTAGAGGTCTGTCGACGATCGGGAGAGCAGGTGCAATTCACGTGCTTGCTTGCTCTGTGTATATCCACGAGAGATGGCTAGGCTTTCATTGGGGTTGGGTATGTTGCGATGCTTCTCTCTATTTTCTCTACTTGGAGTTCATGCCCTTTCTCAGCCAAAGCTGAGGATAAGGCGGTTCCTAATCGGAGCGGCTATCTCTTGCTTTATGCCTGTGGTGTCTACCCCTCTATACTCGTACTTTTAAATTAGCCATGTCAATTTAGGATGACGCAAAATGAATCGTACCAGGGAAAGGTAACTCAGTGTGTTTCAACGTAGAATAGCTGGATCTGTACTATGGCTATGGAGCGATGTTCGTATCCACAGTTGTTGTGGGGTCTATGGCCTGAGATACCTGAGTAAGGAAACCATCAAGAAGGCCGGCTCGATTTCCTTCACGTCGTTGGCTCAAAACCTGTTCCAAGTTGGGCTTCGATGTGTGTAGTGGCGTACATATCACGTGGAGTCCGTCAGAATTTGTGGGTGTATGGAACGACTCCCTCTTACAATTATAGAACGCTTTGGCCCAGCCTAGAAAGAGGTTTGACAGCACAGTCGTGCCATTTTGAAGTGCTAAATATGATGAGACAGCTCATTCGATACCCTGCTCTGTTACGAGCATCATCAATGTCTGCTTTGAGGCCGTCATATATGTTACCTGGGACTCTATGTGCGAGAGAAACATGGCATGTGGGTGGGTACCACCAGAAGCGGTGCATATCATCGAATAAGCCCAACCCAACATTTCATGTCAAACAACGAGAGGCACAGGAGACTATTCGACGCCAGAGAAACATAAGTGCAGCAATGTATGCTGCAGCAGGAGTACGTGAGCATGCTGGACGACCATCGAGGAACTCACTCACGCCAAGCTTGTTGCTGCTTTGGGCCTAACCTATGCGGCTGTGCCACTGTATCGGGCATTCTGTGCAGCGACAGGATACAGTGGCACTCCTATGACCGATTCATCACGCTATTCTGAGCCTTCACGTCTAGTTCCCTCGTACACGGACCCATACAATGCGGCACATGCCACGGAACGGATTCGAGTCTCTTTTAATGCAAGTACCTCGAACCAAATTCCCTGGTCATTTGTTCCTGAGCAACGTGAAATCTTCGTGTTGCCAGGAGAGACAGCGCTTACGTTTTTCAAAGCTCACAACAAATCAGACCAAGATATCATTGGAATTGCCACCTACAACGTGATTCCCGATCGGATCGCACCCTACTTCAACAAGATCGAATGTTTCTGCTTCGAAGAACAGAAAATCCGCGCCGGCGAGGAAATTGATCTACCAGTATTCTTCTTCCTCGATAAGGAAATGCTCGAAGACAAGGAAAGTCGTGATGTGAAGGATATAATTCTCGCATACACGTTCTTCAGTGCACGACGGAACCCAGTGAATGGTCAACTCGAGTATGTGACCCAGAAAATAAAAACACACACACGAAACACTAACACATTGCAGACCCGATACCGACCTGTCCCGCTACACTGTTGGAAAGGATGCATTGTAAACGAAGGCGTAGAATTACAATATACGGATGTTGTAGACACAGAAAGATTGACACAGACAGGTTCTATGACTTTAGTCCTTCCTCTTCTCCTTCTTTTCTTTTTTTTCTTTCTTGTCCTTCTTCTCTTTCTTCTCGCTCGTCTCGCCCGCTGCTTCAAGTGCTTTCTTGGCTGCCTTCTTCTCCTTCTTCCGACGCTTACGCTCCTCTTCTGTTTCTTCCCTGTCCTCACTATCCGCATCAGCCTTGCGTTTCTTAGCCTTCTCACTGGAAGACGCATCGCCAGCCTCAGGTTCGATGTCAGCTTCGTCTTCAGCTTCGGTCTCGTTTGCTTCATCGTCGTCATCATCAGCTGCTTCGCTCTTCGACATCATCGAGGTATCAGGCCCTGTTGTGGGCTCGTCGGCAGCTCTATCAGCGTCAGGCTTTGAGTAATCGACATATTCTTTCGACCACTTCTCGGGTGTGACGCCCTCGATCTCATGACCATGTTTGTCGAGCTTGCCTTCTTTAACAAGCTTTTTCTTTTCCAAAGCCTTCGGACCCAGACCCCAGCGGCGTGGATAGGTGTCGCGCTCCATAATACAGCGCTTGACCTTCGCGACAATACCATGATCACATGTCGACAGATCAACGGTAGTCATCTGAGCAATGCCGATGGCAATGGCTTCACCTTTAGTGGTGATCAAGACCACCTCGTCATTCAGTTCAATATTCGACTCAAAGCGCAACAAGCCAGGAATCATGAGCTTTGCGCCGTAGCAAACAGCATTTACAGCACTGTCCTTCACGACAATACGCTTGTAGCCGACCAGGAGTGATTCGAGTGGGCGGATCACATGTCGAAGGTACGATTCATCTCGTTGGTTATCATACAACCATTGCGCGTCCAGAACGTCATGCATTGTCACCATATTGTCGTCTTCACTCAATGCACCGCTGCGAACACGACGCAGCTCTTGCATGTGGCCACCGACACCCAGCAAAAGTCCAAGATGCACACACAAAGTACGAATGTAAGTGCCTGCCTCACAGCTGACCCAGAATACTGCCAAGTGACGATCATTGTCGAATTCGAGTAATTTAGATTCGTAAATCGTTCGGATACGAAGCTGGCGCTTCACAGCCGAAATCAAAGGTGGGCGTTGAAACAGAGCGCCCGTAAGTGTCTCAAGCACGCGAGGCAACTTGCTCACATCGTCGAGTTTGTCGTGCAAGCGAAGAACAGCCACATACTCCTTGCCTGCACCCTGCTGAGACTTGACCAGGCGCGTTGCTCGGTCGATACATACAATTAAACACCCCGTTACCTTCGGGTCAAGCGTACCGGAATGACCTGTCTTTTCCACACGCAGAATACGACGAAGCCAAGCAACTACTTCGTGCGACGAAGGGTTGGATGGCTTGTCCAAATTGATCACACCACTGCTCACATACGTCAGGATATCGCGCTTCAGTGGCGTGCAGCCGTGCGGAATTGGTGTGAAATGGCTGCTGCGCACAAGTAGCTTATCATAGTCCTTCAAGAGTAAAGGCCATTCAGAAAATCGGAGACTTGGGCCCGAGTTGTCGGGCTTGATCATGAAATCAGAAGTGTCATTCATGCTGCAACACTAACAAGCCCCCTGCTGGTTGTCGCTACTGATGCAATGACACAATGCACACGACTTTCTCTCACCAGTGAGACCCACCGATTTTTTTTCTCGGACTGAGTTGTGCGCCACGAAATGACAAACCAAGCGGGTAATGTTCTAAAGGGTGACAGGAAGTTGCATCGAGCATGTGGGGCCACGTGGAATCTTAGGACAAATTGATCACGTGTTAGAAGACATAGTGGATTTGTAGTTCTGCAGCCTCCCAATATTGCTTCTTCTTCTTACGCTTTGCTGATCCAAACCAGTAGGCCGCATACATTCAAAAAAAAAATGGCTGTCACGAAGACAAACAAGGTTGTTGGCGCTGGCGCCTCAAAGGCTTCTGCCAAGGGCAACAGCTTCTTCATTGACTTCTCGGGTCCTGCCAACGACAAGGTGCTGGACGGTGATGCTTTCGAGAAGTTCCTGCACGACCGCATCAAGGTTGACGGCAAAGCTGGTCAGCTTGGTGATGTTGTGCAGATTTCGCGCGAGGGTGAGGGCAAGATCTGGGTCAAGACGACGATTCCTTTCTCGAAGCGCTACCTCAAGTACTTGACAAAGAAGTTCCTGAAGCGTGCTGAGCTTCGTGACTGGCTGCGTGTTGTTGCGACATCTAAGGCTGGCTTCGAAGTCAAGTTCTTCAACGTGTCGTACGACCAGGAAGAAGAGGAGGAGGGTGATGAGGAGTAAATTGTTATCTCCCCGTAATCGTGGCATATGGACGTGGGCGTTGGATTTGTGCGTGGTTGTCCGGGTAGCCGAGGATCTTTCTGCATTTGACCTGTGTTGCAAGTAGAAAGTATCACGTTGCACACTTGTTTCATTCGTTCCGTTTCCACGCGTCCCTGATGATATTTTCTCCCTCCAAAAATTACATAGTGATACAGCTCGCATTGCTATGGTGATTTACTATGTATTCTTTCCATTCTGGATGTGCTGGTTTTCAGTCGCTCATTTGTCGCGCTAAAACGATAGTTAGTACCCCTTGGGGATCTGACGTTTCCGATGAGAGGAGCTACGCTTTTTCCCGTTACGCTTATCAATACGTTCTGTTTGGTCAATACGCTATTCGCATTTTTTAGACTTACTCTGCGCACGTAGTTCCTTTTTCATACGTCGGTCAACCATCCGGTATCGGCCTTTCGTCCCTGCAGGTCGTCCTTTAATACCGCGGTTTGGACCACGAGCAACAACAAGCTGAGGAGCCTTCTTTTCAGTCTTTTGGCCTGAGCGGGCAATAATCTTGCTAATGTTTTCTGCCTTCTCACGCTCGGACAAGTCGGCATTCTCATTGATAGCTTCTGCTTTCTTTTGTGCACGCTCAAGTCGCATGGCAGCACGATGCTTCTTTCGCGCTTTGGCTTCAGCAACCTTTTTAATCGGCCGTGCATCCAAGGCACGCTGTCGTGCACGGAGTGCTTCAACAGCCTCCTTCGATAGTGGGATATTTGTCTTGTAGTGTTTGTTTTCATCCTCTAGGAACCATTCCGGTAAGCCAGACTTGTCGTTGAAACTGTGACGATTAAAGCCTTGGTTTACGAGATCCGTCTTGGTCATTTGACGGTTCACAAGAGCATGCGCCATAGATACTGCCTCAGCTGTTTGCAAACCGTGCTTTCTGATACGTTCTTGATTCCTTGCAACCTGGTCTTCATCATCCACATTCCAGTCGTCATCGGGGATAGAATCAAGTTCATTAGATGGCACAAGTTCCATAGTGTCGTCATCTTCGTCCATATCATGCTGGTCATCAAGTTCTTCTGAATCATTTTCTTCTTCATCTTCTTCCTCGCCTTCTTCTTCCAGTTCAGGCGTTGGTTCGCGCGACACTTTCTTCGACATAGGGGCAAGCATTTCCAACGGCACCATGTCCTGAAACACAGGATTGTCAAACCACAGTGCTGAGGCTGCGCTTTGTTGCTGATCCACACTCTTAAAGGGCTCAAGAGGTCTCAGGGAAATGTCGCCACTCTGTGACAACTTAGGCGTGCTCTTTGCAGCTGCATGAGGCTTGCGCAGCTGTGACCGGTCACTGGACACCTCAAGTTCACGCGAATTATCTCTCTCGTCCTCATCGTCCTCAGCATCATCCGAGTCATATGTTTCCTCATGGAATTTCCGCTTATTCATTGCATCGTACCCCATGGCCTTCGGCCCATCTTCGTCACTGTCTCCTTGATCTGTACCATCGTCTGACTTGGACGATATACCATCCCATTCCTCGTACTTTCCGGACTTGCGTCTAGCTTCCTTCGCGAGGTACTTGGTGTCACGTCTTTGAAGCTGCTGCTGGTACTGCTCATAGAGTGTGTCCATGCCTGACTCCAGCTCACGAATACGACGCTCACGATCGTCGTCGACGTCCAAATCATCATCATCGTCGTCATCCTCTTCGTTCCCTTGTTCGTGGTGAACGTCATCATTATTATCAGAACTTTGGGCTTCATCAGCATCGAGTAAATCGACAGAGTTCGCACCCCTCTCCAGTGCTGGCCGCCTATTCACCGAATCAAGAGAAAACATGTCTTCGCCCTGAAGTGCGCGATCCTGCCAGTCTTCACCGGCGTCGGCAGGTAGAGTCATATTAAGCTGTAGTTTTTGGAGACTCTTGGCGCGTGCTTCATTGCGTCTGCGTCGTTCCTTCCGCGCCCGTCTCGAGGCTTCTTCATTAAGCCGTGCCAGTTCCTCGTCCATCGCATCCTCTTCGTTCAGCGGCTCCATTTCCACCGTGACATTATGTGATTCGGTTTTATCGGGACGGGCATCGAGATTCATCGATTGGCGCACGGCTTTGCGCCACTTCATCAGCGACGAGAAGTCGCGCCGACCAAGGACTTTCAGATCCTCACAATTCGCCTTGATATCATCATTTGTCGCCGGATGCTGGAGATATGTCTTGTCAACGTCAGTGTCAAAAGTAATGCGGTTGTAGGTACCGAGCATGGCAACTGCATCAGCACCGCGAATATAGGCATCAGCACCGATGGTTTTATACAGGGTATAATTGCCTTCTTCGTAACCTTCACGTTTGCGCCGGCTCTTCTCAGGATTGAGGACATTTTCTAGCAAATTTTGCGAGCTTGTTCCCAGAAGATCCTTCCCAGACGGATCCAACTCTTTGAATACGTAGCGAGGGTCAAGGAACTTGGGATCAATACGCGACAGGTTCTTAAAGCGCTGGCATACAACAAAAATCTCTGCAGATACGTTTCGAGATGACGGCGGCTTCGTTGCTTCCACGTGGTGAAAAAGCTGCTGGAAAACCCACATTAGATTATTATAGTCTTTCGAGCGGAAAACCTTTGTCACAAATGTACCGCCAGGAACAAGGAACTCGACTGCGAGTCTAAGGGACTGCAGTGTAAGTTCATTCTGTGCGTACGCATCCTGAACCCAAGCCGTACCGACGTTCGGTGCGCCATCATGAAGAACAACATCAGCTTTCCAATCCTTCATGTGTTCTTGTAGTTGTTCTCGACACCGGTACGAGTTGATGTCCTCGGCAAAAGTTATGCATCGAGGAATGGGTTTGATGGCCACAAGATCTACGCCCAGAATAAGGCTGTTCGGTGGCATGTGTTTGCTTGCAACCTGAAGCCATCCACCTGGTGCAGCGCACAAATCAATGCAGCAGTGTGCGTTCTCTAAGAAATTGTATTTCTTGTTCAATTGTACAAGCTTGAAAGCAGCACGCGATCGATATCCCTGCTCCTTCGCAAGCCAGTAGAACTTATCCAGACGGCCCTTTCCGGCCTTTTTCTCGTGCTTTCCCATTCTATACGAATGACGCAGCAGCTGCGAGGAAGGGACGGCACCGTATCGTCAAGGAAAGAGCAAGAAATACCAAAAATGTGGTCCTATGCCCTCACTCACTTTGATGACGCACACAAACTTTCCTATGGAGTCAAAAGATTGAAAAAAAATTGGCCCAACCCCTCTCCGCACAGTAGACTTCTTATTAAAGATGCACTCCACGTGACACGTTCGCGGTGGTGAGCAGAGGTGAGACAAGAGGGCGAAAAGCGAAAAATGCCGGGCGATCCGAAAGAACCCACTCATAGAAAATCACAAAGGATTCTTCTTTATGGCTGACGCCTCGACCTCGACGTCCACCGCGCAGCAGCAACAGCAGCAGCACAGGATGGATCCTACATCTTCGGTTGAAGATATTGATTTCTCGGATATCGAGGCAAAATATGAAGTGCACATGGATGAGGGGCTGGACAATGACATTGTAATCAACGGCGTACCAATTGTGACGTCTGCTAAGGAGCAGCGTCTGTTTGAGGCAATCCAGAAACGATTCCGCACACAGGCCAACATTGATGTGAGCCTGGATGCGATGCACATCCCATACAAAGAGGATGGCGAGTCAAAAGGCTATATTATCATGGAACTCGCCAACAATGAAGAGGCGACGCAAGCGATCCGTGCTATGAATGGATATGCGTTTGACAAGAGGCACCGCTTCGTGCTGAACCGTCTTACAGATGTAGAACGTCTTGCAAACATGGACGAAGCGTACAAGGACCCTGAAGAGGAGCCATTCCACCAGCGTGGACATCTTCGTTCATGGCTGATGGACCAGGCCGGACGCGATCAGGTCGTGATGTGTGCGCGCGACGATGTGCTTGTGTCGTGGCACAGCCGGACTGCCCAGCCCGATGAAGCTCACAAACGCACGCGCTGGACTGAGTCGTATGTGCAATGGTCGCCACTTGGTACATACTTGGCTACATTTCATATGCAGGGTATCGCTCTGTGGGGCGGCCCAACGTGGGAACGAATCATGCGATACCCACACCCTGGTGTGCGTCTTGTTGATTTTAGTCCGAATGAGAAGTACATGGTGACATGGTCGCCGGAACCGATACAAGTGTCCGATAATGCGCCGCAAGGACCCCAGTTCTTTGCGCCAGAAGACGAGGGCAATCGTGTCGCTGTGTGGGACGTAAGAACAGGTCACCTTTTGCGCACGTTCCCAATCTTACAAGAGGACACGACAGGACCCACAGGTCCCGCGATCAAGGGCTTTAGCTGGCCATTCCTGAAATGGAGTGGGGACAGCAAGTACTGTGCAAAGGTGACACCAGGCAAAGGCATAAGCGTGTATCAATTGCCATCGATGGGTCTACTTGACCAGAAGAGTATCAAGATTGAAGGCGTGGTCGATTTTGAGTGGTGCCCGCTCGGCGACAAGGATAAGGACGCGTTAGAAATCTGGAATGACGGCAAGAACAAAGACCTGCCTAAGGGCTTCAAAAAGCCTCGCGACAATATGCTTGTGTACTGGCAACCAGAAGTCCAAAACCAGCCTGCGCGTGTGACTGTGATCAGTGTGCCGAAGCGAGAGATCTTACGCTCAAAGAACTTGTTTAATGTCGCAGACTGCAAGTTGCATTGGCACCCACAAGGAGACTTTTTGTGCGTCAAAGTCGACCGACAGACGAAGACGAAAAAAACTGTGTTTTGCAACTTTGAGCTTTTCCGCATGAGGGAAAAGGACTTCCCGGTCGAAGTTGTCGAGCTGAAGGACCCTGTGGTGGCATTTGCGTGGGAACCACAAGGCACGCATTTCGCTGTAATCTCCAGCAACGACCCGAATCTAGGTGTTGTGGCCCCTAGTATCACCCTCAAGACGCAGTTACACTTCTACCATCTACACCCTCGTGGCGATTTCCGGCTCCTGAAAACACTGGACAACAAGACCTGCAATGCGTTGTTCTGGTCGCCACGTGGTCGTCACTTGCTCACAGCAACGCTCGGCTCGTCGAGCAAATTTGATCTCGAATGGTACGACGTTGACTTTAACAACGATGCGCGACAGAACTCGTCAGGCGAAGTGCTGGAGGAAGTGAAGCTGATTGGATCTGGCGAGCACTATAGCATCACGGATGTGGAATGGGACCCTAGTGGCCGTTTTGTAACTACTTCCTCCAGCCTTTGGCGCCACTCAATGGAACAAGGCTATGCGATCTGGGACTTCCGTGGTAACGAACTGCAAAAGAATATCATTGAGCAATTCAAGCAAATTCTGTGGCGGCCCCGCCCACGATCTTTGCTTAGCAAGGACGAGATGAAACGCGTGCGCAGGAACCTCAAAGAATTCTCGAAAGTATTCGACCAGGAAGACCAAGAGGCCGAGAGCAGCCAGGCTCTTGCGCACCGCGAAGAGTACAAGCGCATGCTCGAAGAATGGAAGAGTTGGCGTGCATACAACCGCGAGGCGCTCCAGAAGGCTCAAGAAGAGGGCAAAGAGCCGACAGCTATATCCAGTGCCTCGCAGCTTGAGAAGGAGAGCACAGAGGAAATCCAGGAGTGGGTCGAGGAGGTATTGGAGGAGAAAGAGGAAGTCGTCGGGTAGTCTTTTTGCATGTTGTAGATGAACAACGGTTCAAGGAGATTTCAGCGATAGAATGGGTACTTCCATCACAAAATCCAAGAAGGGCTCTCTTTCTCTCTCTCTGGACGGCCCGAAGACGGTGCCGACGATGAGCGACGAGGGTCGATGTCAGATTAATCCTCTAGTGATCGATGCTACGCATATAAAATCTGCTTACGTTTGCTATTTACACACACACACACACACACATTGGAGTAAAGGCAATTCTCAGTCCTTAACCCGTTTTGAGCAAGCTCTTTGTATAGACATGTGTGAAAGTAGCAACACCATGTGGCCAACATCTACTGAAATGCATGAAATGATCACCATTACTTTTTAGTGCCATTGACCTTAATCCATTGCGAACGAGCACCAAGACACGAAGACACAAAGCCAGCAAGACCCACCATACCATCATTGGCATTGATCCAGCCCGTCGACGAGCCTGGGTTGATCCAGTCACAAAGGTCCTGAAGCATCTGCAGACGTACAGCCCTGGTTTCGACGGCAATCTGGTTAAGCTCCACGCGGCGCTCAGCTTCCTTTTCAGCCGTCGCTTTCGGACGTTGCGCCATCTTGTTACGTTGGATCAGGTTGTACGACTTGTACGTGCCGCTAATAAGCGAGAACGTCAGACCAGCGAGCCAAAAGCGCGCGGCATTCTTGGCGATTTTCTGGTATGTTTCCTTCTCGAAGACATATGCCTTTGAGCCATGCGCCCATTGGAGAGCATCAAGAATCAGGTACAAAGCATATCCAAGCTGACGTCCAACAGCGGTCACCTTAAGCACAATGTCCGGCGTAGACAAAGCTTTCATTGCAGCTTGGAAGTGTTCCAAAAACTTGCCGATACGAAACACTGGCATGACGGTTAGTATGTGCATAGAAATAAGGGGGGAATACTAAGGCACAAAGAACGGCATTGCAAAATACGAATACGTACGCTTACGACTCAGGCCGATGTTCGACTTGATTGAAGAGAAGCGCGTCACCGTCTCCTTTGGTGCACCCATGGTCAAGTAGTACCATGCAAGGAACCGCGAAAGGTACTGAACGGCACGCGATGTCTTGTCACGACCAACAGTCGTGCTCCAGAACTTAAGCACTTGCGATACGTATGGATGCATCACGATCTGCTGCACAGAAGCCATGATGTAGTGGGCTAGGCTGGTTTGGTGGGCAAAAGGCACGTAATGTGGGGGACAGGTGGGGAAAAACGACTCAACAAGGGCCGGTAGGCAATCGGCGCTTGGTGTGCACACATTTTCCTAGTTCGACGTCCCACACTGCGCCGTCGGCTGCACATGCATGATTTGGTAATGACTAATTCGTCTGGCAACCTTGTTCTGGGGGTGCCAACCGTTCGTGCAGACGACACGTGGGACGTGCATGATTGCATGTTTGGCCCCATAAAGTGTTCCCAGCTACAGATGCTCCTACATGATAGTACAGTTGGAAGAAAGCCAATGAGATGAACCGCCTCTTTGAGGACTAGCTTCCAAAGACGAGGCAGCGGCCGAAGATGATGATGGCGTGCCGGTCGGTGACGAAAGAAGTTGCTTATCAAGGATCTTGAGCGCTGCACGAGCGGTCTCCATCATATGCCGTGCTGTGGCAGACGTGTCATGGTCAGGTTTCACGGCGGCAGACACTCCCCTTAGTGTAGCGGACGATGAGCGTTCCTGTTGTTGCTGCTCGATCTTCTGACAGAGTTTCACAGCTCGAGTGTATACGAGTCTGGCCTCTTCCAAGTCAGAAGCAGGCGTGTCAGTGTCATCTCTACCGCGGCCTTCCATGAGGATCGCGCCGTAGTTCATCATGGCAGGAAGAAACAGCCTTGACGCTGCTGCTGCAAACCATTCTCGTGCGCTTCGATTGTCTGGTAAGACACCTTGCCGGGCTTTATGCTCCTTTTCCGACATAGATGTTCGCATGTACAGCAAGCCCATGTTGTAGGCACTCGCCGCATGTCCCTTTTGTGCTGCTTGCAAAAAATAGCGAGCAGCCAAAGCAGATGAATTTGCTGCGTTTGCCATTTCAGCACGATCTGCCTGGGTGCGCGCACGCGTGAGATAGATAGTGCCTAGGGCGTGACTTGCTTGCGCACTTCCACCACGTGCACCATGTTCAAAGCACGTAAGTGCTCGCAACTTGTCTTGGGGAACAAACTGACCACCGTGGTACAGTTGCCCAAGTTCATACCACGCTTCCGCATACCCATTCCTTCCAGCCCGCTGCCATAAATCCACTGCCATCTGCACCTGTTTGTCTGCTGCATCGGCACCTGTCTTGCTCAGTACTTTCGCCAGTACAAGACGCCCCATACCAAATTGGGCCCGAGCGTGACCTTTGCGCGCAAGTTGTGAGTACGCTGCCGTGGCTGCTTCGGCCTGAAGTACATCCAATTGCTTCGAATGCGTGGATAGAAGTCCCTCCATAACCATTGTGGCCCATGAATACCTAGCGTCTTCGTCCCCACGTCGCGAAGCGATTCCGTACATCACGCCAACTATGGCCAGGCGTTGTGGCTCATAGTTCATTTGAAGCACGGCTGATGCAAGTTTTCGCAATGCAGATACAGGAACATTCCCTCGCTCAAGTATTCCCAAAACGTCCATCTCACATTGTTTTGAACACACCCGGAATGAATCAACCGAGTGGCCTGACGGTCCCTCGCCGTGCGCCAGCGCACGAGCGATGAACTCTAAGATGGATAGTGCCTCTTCTCGCGGGATTGGGTACTTTTTCATAGGTGGGAGAAATCCTTTTGTCAATAGCAACGGGCCTCGTACGTACTTGTGCCGTTTGCGTTGTCCCTTGGACTCGCATCTGCCTCGTTTACCGTCGCTGCTACGGCGCCGGGCAGCTCCGCTTGAGTGAGCAGAAGAGGCGCACTATGAATGGCACGGTTGTCAGGATATACGACTACGTGTTTCCATGTTCCATTCCATAATAGGGAGGCACGGAGCCCATTCGCCATGACCCTTGTCGTTGCTCTCACATCCGTTGCTGCATGTCGGAGCATGGTAGCGGGGAGTGATTGTGTTGCTCCACAACCGTTCACGAAATTTGGCCCATATTTCTAACAAAAACACGTTTTAGCGCCGCGAAATCGGCCTCCATGCAAGCATTGAGTGGATAATGGATTCAAGCCACAGACGCCATGGTCGACGTCACTGGCGAGCATCATTTCTAAAAGAAACTACAATCATTGAAGTCAGCTATGCCCATCGAACAAACGTGGAATTTGAAACAGAAAAATCCATTTGGTAGCAAGTCGATAGGATATTTCCATATGCATGATTTCGTTGAAAGATGAAAACTTGTAAGTCTTCGCAGGGCATGAGAAGTACAAGGAAAGAGGACGATGTTTAACTACGGAAGAGACGACTTGTTTACTTGTTTTAAGCTTCTTGCCAGATCTCCATAGCAATGCTCACACAGATGATGCTGAAGCTTCGGTCGGGCACATCCAGGGCAGTGAACAAAATCTACAGGCGCGTGTGAATCAGACAAGAATACTTGTTTACGTACCAACACGATCTTTCAGTCCCTTGTTCGCTGCACGCATCGCTTTACGTGAATGTGAAACTTTCTTTTTTGGTGCAGCCAGAACTAGACCGTCCCAAAGCAATGGTGATGCGTCCGCCAGCGGTAAGGACGGCGAGGCAGCGGAAGGATTGCCAGCGATGGAGAGACGAGAAGTACAAGATCCGGGCGGATCAAATACATTATCTTGAAAGTATGACCGAAGCTGATCTGAGCAATGTGTCCAAATGCGAGAAGTGGTAGTCCAAATGGGCATCGCAGATAGCCCGAGGGCCGTGGTCACTGGAGCCGTCGGCGCACACGCCGAGCCAACGACCGCCTGGACCAGCGTGCGCACACGCAAAATACCAACGATTGCGTGCATGAAAATTGCTCAAGGTACTTGTACGGCGTTGTCAAAAAACACGAAGTTATGGCCACGTAAGGCGCGTGGGTTCGTCGCCAGCAAGCACGTTCGTGCAATGTTCTTGAAACTGTGATCTGACGCAGACGTACTGACATAAGCAGTCTTTTCTTACCTCCCCCCACCTAGTGGAGGAAAGACCGTACCCGTTCGAAGGCAAAACTAAAGTACTAAATCTGCGTCGCTGTCTTGGCAAAGCGGACATGAGAGACACCTAAAGCGCCGAGGCACGCACGCTCTTGTGCTCACACCTAAGCCAGTGTCCCCATACTTTTCTACATCAAATAGAATAGAGCTGTTGCATTGAGTATCTCAATATTTACTCGGACTTTGATCCAGCATTCTACAATATAGGACAATTACTTGCTGAACTGAGTCTCAGTGACACCCTTGCCCATAGCGGCTGTCGACGAAACACCACCCGTCACGGTCTTGAGTAGGTTGTCGATGAAATCGGCACCACTCCACTTTTGGTGCGTCAGAACGTCGCAGCCAATCTCACGCTCACGGCGCTGCACAAGCGACACATAAGCCTTCATACCTTCCTTGGCGAAACCTTTGGCGAACAAGTCGGTGATGTAAGCTGTCGAATGCAGTCCACCGAGAGTGATGAACTGCCACACAAAGCCGAGCTTGCCCAGATCCCACACATAATCCTTCATCTGCTGCTCCGACAGCTTTGCGGCATCCCAGTTGAACGAAGGCGAGAGGTTATAGGCGAGCCATTGGTTTGGGTACACGGCATGCACTCCGTCAGCAAACTCTTTGGCCTGCGCAAGGATAGGCGACTTGGTCTCCATCCACAGAAGGTCAGCATAAGGGGCGAATGCCACCGCACGGTTCACAGCACATTGCGTGCCGCCACGGTACTGGTAGAAGCCCTCGCGAGTACGAGGCGCATCCCAGTCCCAGAAGAAACCACTGCTAGCGTCGATGCCATATTTAGCCGCAAGATCACGGGCGGCCTTGTTCGATAGCTTCGAAGCGGCGTCCTTGAACTCCTTCTGTGTCTTCGACGACATGCCCTTCTTGGCCATGGCTTGCACGACCGCGTCCGAAAACAAGCAGAGACCAGCCTTGTTCGTCCAATCATCCTCTACCGCATGAAGGGCGTCGCCCCTGCTTACCACTGCGCTCAGCAGCGGTCATCACTTCTACGAGTGGCTGCAGGTCACGGTTCGTCGTGCCGAGGATGAATGGATGATCCCGCTCGTCAACGTTGGTGGTGATAAGCGTCGCAGCCTCCGAGTCGGTGCGGGCCACGACAAGGTTCTCCACACCCATGATGTCGTACTGAAGACGGATAGCAATCAAACGGTTGATATGCTCGGAGATGGGCACGAGTACTTTTCCGGCCATGTGCCCGCACTTCTTCGTACCGGGCGCCTGATCCTCAATGTGAATACCAGCAGCACCCTTCTCGACGAACATTTTCGCCAACTTCATAACGGCTGTAAGACCACCATGGCCTGTGTCAGCATCAGCCACAATGGGCCGCATGTAGTCCACGTAGGGCGTCTTTGCACGCTGCTCGGCGGTCATACTGCGACGGGCATCCTGCTGCTTGCGATCGTGGAAAAGCTGTGCCATAAACAAGTGCTCAACCTTATTGGGCACCGTATTCGATGGGTAGTCAGCCAGGTCGGGACCAGGCTCGTTCGTCGAGCTGGCTGTGCTAGAGCTCTGCCACCCTGACACATACACAGTCTCAAGGTACTTGGCCATCTGCGACACTTGAACAGGGTCCAATGCGCCAAATGTGTGTGATGTCGTCTTGTTCTTCGCATGATGCTCCAGCAGGCCCCACATTTTCTTAGCCTGCTCGTTCGACAAGTAGTGCTGGCGCATTGTGCCACGCTTGCTGACCACAGCTTCGGCTGTATATGGACGCGTCACGCCCACGAAGCGCGGCGACTTCCACCACTGCTTTACATCTTCCACTTCTTTTTGGAATAGAGCGTCTTCGTTTTTGGGGTCGTATGGCATACTAAACGATAGGGAAGCTCGCCAAGACTCGGCGCCCCGTGAGTTTTATACCTAATCCACTCCGGCGTTCCGGTTGGTACGGTGCTGAGTCAATGGCACCTGCATCCTCCGCGATACAATACTTTAATTCCGCCAATCGTCTGGCGTTTGTCTCCGCATCACGTTAATGTTGGCCCCAACCTCACGTGATTACCGGTAAGGTCGTCCCGATCCAATCTATCCGTTTTCAGTGCATACAGCCTGCAGGTGTGGCGGCCAACGAACGCGTGCTGGTTCATTCATTTTGCATGGTTCGTGCACGCGGTCGTGGTCGTGGTCGTGGTCGTGGCCAAGTACGAGAATGGGAACCAGAAGACGGAGCTGATTGTTTGGGTTCGTCTGTTTGGAATGATAAGGATACGTCTGGATCGCCGCGTGCATATTTGAAGAGCGACAGCGAAGATGAAGATGTAGACGATGAAGAGTATGAAGGTGGACACGCGGATGCGGAGGATGAAGAGGACACAGATCAGGAAGATGCTGATGATGACGATGACGAGGAGGAGGAAGATGAGTTAGGGTCAGCATCTGACCTAGCGACGCCTGTGCCTGTTGCCATGTGGGACTTTCAACATTGTGATCCGCGTCGGTGTAGCGGTAAAAAGCTGGCGAGGCATGGCTTGATCAAAGAGCTTCGTGTAGGCCAAAAGTTCCGTGGCATTGTACTGACGCCACATGCAACACAAGTGCTCTCTCCCTCTGATACACCGATACTGCGTGAGTTTGGTGTGGCCGTTGTTGAATGCAGCTGGGCACGCCTCGATGAAGTCCCATTTGGCAAGATTAAAAGTCCTCATGAACGTCTATTACCACGACTTATGGCGACAAATCCAGTCAACTATGGCAAACCATTCAAGCTGAATTGTGTTGAGGCCATAGCAGCAGCTTTTTATGTCTGTCACGCGCGACCACTGGGCGATCAGCTCTTGTCCAAATTCGCATGGGGCTGCAACTTTCCAGCACTGAATCATGCATACCTTGCGCGTTACCGCGCATGTCGAAGCAGCCAGGAGATCGCGCAGGCTGCAGACCAGTTTGCCATGGAAGAGGAGCAAGAGCGTATAGAACGGCAACTAGCAAAAACGGAGCTTGGCGGCTATGGCTCTATACCACTTCCACCTGTCGAAGACAGTGAGGATGAAGTCAAGCTTGATAATCGTGACGACTGAGGCAGCAATGATTGACAAAAGCGCATTGGTTCTTTCGCTCACATCACCCAAAGCGCAGCCATCATAGGATACCCGTACAGCGTAAACTACACTTTTGTGCGTTTGCGAACGAGAAAGACTGACTGTATGACGCGGTTATGGTGGGTTAAGCCAAGGAAAGAAAAAGATGTTGGACAGATGCTGATTTCGCACGCACTGGGCGTCATGTCGTTCGAGCTTGAAGCCACTATCTGGACATAGTGTTGACAATGCATCCCGCCCTCATCATTTGCATTAGGCGCAGGCGCGTGCGCCTTGGTAAACACGGAATGACATAATCTCGATGTGCATGCATATTTCCGTGCTCAACGAATTCGCTTGAATGTTGCGACTGCCGCGGAACGTGCGTGTACAAACAATCAAATGGGATTTACGCGTTCCATGCGGTAACACAGATAGTTGCGAATCCAGTTTTCTGCATTCGAATCTCACGGAGACTACGCACTCCTTTCCACAATAAGCCTTTGTCGAGACGCTGTACCTTTGTGCGCATAGAGACGCGCGCGCTCGCACTTCTTTCGCATCTTGTCAATTTCAATACAGCATATTTCGCATACCGAATTTCACGCTCGTTCTCTGATTCTTGTTTGTTGACAGCTTGTGTAATTACACCCAGCACATTCTACACGTTCTTTGCTTGTCTGAGATCGTGTTTGCACCATGTCTACTAAAGTGTCGCAGCCTGGCCAAGGTGTGTCTGCTGGACCTGCTGCGTTTGCAAAAAACTCAAGCCAAACGTCTCGGCCTGGTGGTTTTCGCTTGTCGACGCAGTTTGGCAAGTCGGCTTCGCAAGTCTCGCTGAGTCCTGAAATGAGCAGAGGGCGCAACTTTTCCACACCGGCTACTGCACGAGGCCGGGCTCGACAAGGTCGCAGTGCTTCCACGGCCAATGTCAGCTCGAGTATGACACCGACGCCGGGTCAGCGCCGTCGCCGCTTCAACGATACCCGTGAGATCGACGTTCTGATTAGCGAGATATCAGCGCATTCACGTGCCGCTCAGCGCAGCAACCCAGCGAGCCCGTATGGGGCTGGCGCTATGTCGCCCATGTTATTTTCGCCATCGACGGACTCGCTTGCTTACGGTGCAGGGATCGGTAGTGGACCGCAGTCACCATACATCCCGGGCTCTCCAACCAACATGAGTCAATCCAGTCTTTTGCGTGGACGTCCAAGGATGGGACGGCCTGGCGCTCTGAGCTCATTGTCTCAGCTAGATGTTACAGGCATTTCACAGAGTGAGTCGGGCCTTTGCCGTGTTGCTATTCCAGAGGGTATGGGCGTTGGTGTGACAGACAGCCCTTACCCCGCATTCCTTCGTAATGACTCGGATCCCATGTCGGAGGGCAATGGTCTTCGTGGTCCTGCAATGACTAGTAGCTCAGACATGCTTCAAGACCCAGACATGCTCTCCATCGGACGTCCACAGCCATTCAAGTCGGTGAATTCGGGCGTAAGTTCTGGAAGTCCGAAGCAGCCAGAATTTTCTCAAGATGGTGGTCATGCCTGGGGCGGCATCAATTCTGCTCCTCGTATCACCCGTGATCCAGCGTCTGTTGGCGGTGCAACTGGCTCTCCGGCCACATCGACTGTGCCGAACATGACGATACGACCTACAGTTGCGCCAGCAACACCTACGGAGCCAACCAAGCCCGATACTCCCACTGGCCAACGTCCTACTCAGACGCAGCCCAAGCCTTCAGCCCCTAGCTCAAGTACTAGCGCGACTCCAGTGACGACTACACCAACTAAGCAAGCGACAGCGTCTTCATCAATGCTAAATCATCGACGCTCGATCGGTACACCGACTCTTACACCCCGCCGACTCTTTTCACGTCGCCACGCATCGCAGCCTACACCGAAAGAATCCATTGATAAGATACCTCGGTCCGAGCAGAATGATCAAAAGCGGAGGGGGCTGTTTGGCAGCTTTTTCAAGAAGTTCAAGACGCCATCTAAGTCGAAACCAACCTCGCATGCGGCAAGCACAGGTCCGGCAACAGGTCCTGTAAAGAAGCCGCAAGCGCTCTCTCCCTCAAATGCGGTGAAGAATTCGACTGGACCTGCTGGCAAGAGAGACGCACAAACTCCCTCGTCAGTGAATAATTCTACTGCGGCTCCAATGGTGCCAGCACCTGCTGGGCCTGCTAAGCCCACATCATCAGTGCCTGCTGATAATGTTGGAGGGAATCATGCGACTGGATCTGTTTCGGATACGGTACAGTCCAAGTCGCCGCCAGCGTCGCCACCGCCATCGTCGACACCACCCGTACAGGAGTTTATCACGACGACGCCGGCAACAGCAACATTACCTTCAACTGAAGCACAAAAGTCATCGCCTTCATCTTCGGCCATGACTGTCGGACCACAGGTTTCCCAAGTTGATGCCAACCATGTGCCAGAACCAGCGGCTGAGAACTCGACGGAGCTACGAAGCCGATCTCAACACAACGAAGTTCCCGCACCCTCGGTCGGTGCACATGCGGATGCTGATGGCTTCCTGAATACTACGCGCCCGATGTCACCATTCAATGTACCTCCATCCGTTTTGTCGTCGCTCAATTTGAGCGCAGAACATCCTGCTCCCCAGGGTGAGTCGTCGAGGACGCCTACACCTAAGCTTCATAAGCCCGGCACGCCTGAGCCCAGTGCTCAGCCGCCAGTTCCTCTATCGAGCAGCGCAGCCTATGTACCGGGCTCTTCGACGCCAGTGGCGGCTAGGCCCGTGTCACAAAGCTATGAAACGTGGATCCCATCATCACAGTCCGTGGCCTCGTCTCTGTACCAGCCATACACTGAAAGTGCATTGCCTTACATTCAATCCACGAACGATACTGCTCCTCCCGTTGCCACTCACTTATCGACGTCCAGGGCCGAGGGCACGTCACCTGTGGCTGTACCACCTATTACGTTGGGTAGCACCTCTGAGGACGATGCGTCAGACGCGCGCCCGTTGTTAGGCTACGCAGGAACATCTGCTTCGCATGCGTACGGATCTAACAAGGATGCACATGCACCGGTATCATCAACATTTTCTCCAACACCTGCACCAGCTCCTCTGACGGCAGAGCACCCATCGTCGCCTGTATCACCTGAGCTGAAGCCACAGGCTGCGATGCATGAGGCATACCATCTTAGACCTACTAGTCCTGAGTCTAATTCGCGCAATCCTACTGCTTCGAGGTATTCGGTGCTGCAGCCTGCGGCTTCAAGTCGACCGACGAGTCCTTTGTTATACGAGTCTAACGCTCCTGGTCAAGGAACGTCCGCGCATGGCTCTGACTTCTCGCATGCGGCTCCTTCGTTTACTTCGCCAAGTATTTCGACGCTCGACGCCCAACGCCCTGTCGTTACATCTCAAGCACAGCGTGCTCAATCACCAGAGATGGCCCCTGTGTCACACACGTCGGGACTGCCTTCATACCTCTTCGCGTCGACAGAACAGTCAGTCATGCCGTCAGCGACATCTGCATCTTATTTGACGAGTGAACCAGCTCCTCCCACGACCCAAATCTACGCAGCTCCTTCATCGCAATCTTATGCGTCATCGTACTCACCTTTCAGAGGCTCGAACGAATCGCCTGTTTATACCACAACGGTGCCTTCGACATCGGTGTCAGCTTCTAAGAATTCACCATTTGAGCCTCTGGATAAGCCGTCATCTCATGCATCATCCTCTTACATGCCGACTTCATCCTCGCATATGTGGCGATCGAGTGACGAAGTTCTGCGGTCTGTTATTCATTATGATTCTGTCGACGATGACAAGGAAGATAGCTCAGGTGCTGCATCACGGCCCGTCTCACCAGGCCATAACCTATGGCGCACATCATTTGGCTCGAATGGAAATGCTACATTCGATTACGATCCACGCACAAGTCCTATCGTGTCGCCACGTCGCGAGCCGGTTGAGTCCATGACACCCAAGTCTCTTTCTGGAAATGATTCATTTAGCGCCGCTGCGATGTACTCGTGGCAGACGACGCCACCAACCACGGTGCATCACTTAACGTCCGACACGCCTTCGTCGTTGTACCGGGCACCCGCGCCTGCCTTGCCATCAGAGACTCCGACTAAACCGGTGGTCACCCCGAACCATCATCTGCAAAAGCAACAATCTCGTGTAATGTCGCAGCGGCCTTTGCGTCCTCAAGAATCAAAGGAAGGCTTGCGGACGTCTGAGTCCAGTGAAAACGAAGGTTCTCGAGGCTTGCAGCTTTCTCCGTCTATGCAAGATCTTGTTAAGCTTTCTCTTATGGACTCATCCACTCTGAATGCGGATGTGGATGTTTTAGGTTGAAGTCGTCGGCATTTCATGTTGCCTTATAATGGACTCGTCAAGTGAGTTCGAAAGGCTCTTTTTTCCTAGGTTTTCATTTTTTTTTCCAAGTTTCATTCTTTTCGCTATTTAGCTGGTGTAAAACTAATCGGCTCTTTCCGTACGCAATAGACGTTGCACGAACGGCGCTGTGATGAGATAAACACTAGACAACTTGAATTCACATGCATCTACCCATCTATTGAACAGATTTTTTTCTGCCCAATTGCTTGTATTGAACCCTTTCTTCATGCCGTGTTGGTACAAGCTAACCATTCCACACTTTTTTTGTAGCTGCAGGCATTGATTGTGTGGACGGTATCCCCTCACGAAAGCGAGTTTTTAGGTAGTTTGTCTTTCTGATAGACCATGACTTCAAGCCATACCGGCAGACCCGCCTCCGTCTTTGCTGCCATCCGCGTCGCAGCTTTACATTAGCACAAATAGGCATCCATCCAAAAGGCATTGCAACTCAAATCTCATTCATGTCCAAGTGACCACCGAGCTCTTATATACATATCTGTCATGCTTATGGTCGACTTTGAAAGGGACGCTGAATGCCCAAGGCTTTTGTGATGTGGCAGGGCATACAGTACGTTGGATCGACACGCTGTAGCCCCGAATAGCCAAGAAGCGAGAGTCCAGCAACGCCAAACTGCGTGTGAAACACATCTGTTACATTGTCCGGCCTATCGGCAATGCCACCTCGCTCTGGATCCTGCGCTGATAGGATAAATGCACACAGTCTTTCAGAGTCGATCCAGTGCAAACGATGCAGCAGACTCAGTGACGAGAGCACCCACCAACTATAGCAGACATCCTCGAGTTTCTGCGGCCGTCCATTGAGGCCACCGCCCGGAACTTGACGCTCCACGAGCCACCATGCTAATGTGTCTTGGTCGATCCGGTCCAATGCGTGCAGGATCGACAGCGCTCCAACGCATGTGAAAACTTGTGCCGCGTGACTCTCTGCACCCTCTGTGAGCCCGAATCCACCGTCAAAATTGGAGCATCGCAAGACCCACTGAATCGTCTTTTCATGGTCTAGTTCGTCGAGCGCGCCGAGATGTGCCAGCACATTCGTAGCACAATACAGGAATCTTGTGTCTGTTTCGCCCCATTTGTCACCTTGGAATGACCCATTACATTGCTGGAGTCCTAGTACAACTAAGCCATGCGTGTCAGCTGCACATCCACCCACTTTCCAGTACAAAATGCACGAATTACCTACACTGAACAACACGTTGGCGCCTTTCATCTCCCAGCGCATCTAGCGCATGCTTTAGTGCCAAAATCTGGATCGCACTGAGTGTACTTAGTATATGAGCGTCATGCGCTGGGTAGGAGCCAAATCCACCTACCCATGTGTCAGTCCGCCCGCAGAACGCCAAGCTTCATGCTCACTTTCACCACGCACCTGTTGTTTCGTCATAGCAACTCAGCACGAAATCTACCAGCGCATTTCGATCCAGTGCGTCACTAGCCCCCATAAGCTCTAGCGCGCACACCCCCCAATAGACGCCGTTCATTCGAAGATGAGCCGTCATGTGGTACGCAAGGCTACTGTCTCGTTTTCGCTCGAGTTTCTGGATGAACTGTACATGTTTTTCGACTAACAGAGTTGATGCCATCTTCGACCAAGACACCAACAATCTAGGCACGTTAGCGAACTAGAAGCCTGACAGTTACTGTGGTGGTGTTGGTATTCGTACCACGTGACACCTGTGGTTATGAGATGCGAGTTGGTTGTATAGGAAACTCATCTACGCGACTCTGGATTCAACATTGGCGGGCAAGTTGGCCCAGGAGGCCATGCAAAGTAGTCTTCATGCGGCCAGGAGCGCATCGTCAAAGACAGAAATGAGGTCGACATCACAAGAGCCATTTTCTAGGCCGTCACTGAAGCGCAGAAAAATTGGGAAGAACACCAACGACATGAACGGAGCAGATGATATGCCAACGTTACGCGTATCACTTGCCGCGTCGTCAAACTCTCAGCCATCGTATACGCCGCTTGAGAAGCAAATCCTAAGCCTAAAATCACAAAATCCAGACACGATCCTGCTTGTCGAGGTCGGCTACAAATTAAAGTTTTTTGGCGACGATGCCATCGTTGCAAGTCGGGTACTCAATATAGTATGTATGTGATTTCCTTTCGCATTAACACAGGCATGTTTTTCAGAAAAACATTTCGTAACAGCCATGGTACCTGCAACTCATCTTGAGGTTTATGTAAAACGTCTCATTGCGCATGGGTATAAGGTAGGCGTGTGCCGCCAGACTGAAACACGTGCTCTCAAAGCAGTGACGGAGAATGCAAACAGACCCTTTGAACGCAAACTCTCAGGCGTTTATACTGCCAGTACATGGATCGATCATGTTTCCTGCTGCGAAAAGTCTGACGAACAAGTGATTTGTGCCATTGTTGACCGCCCAACGTCTCGGACGTGCACTGCACTTGCGTTTGTCTCCATCGATATGGCGACGTCCTCCATCACGTACGATGAATGGCTCGACGATTCAACACGTGAAGGGCTCTATACACGTATTATGCACCTTGTGCCGCGCGAGGTCGTTTTGCTTTCCAGTCTGAGTGATGGAACGCGAAGGGCCGTGTCAATGTATGCGGCTGCATCTGCCACCTACAACGTCCGCATGGAGACACGCGAAGCATTCGAGCCGCTTGCCTCATTCTTGCAAGGCGATGTGCTTGCGTGGGCACTAGCTGCCTGCCCGGTTGAGGTTCAGCGTGCCTTGGCACTTTTGCTCACTTATCTGGCTACGTACGATTTGACATCCGCGTTTCACTATGTCGATCATTATGCGACTTTCACCTCACGCTCGTCCATGGTCTTAAGTGGATCCACTTTGTCGCATCTGGAACTGCTGCGTAACGCGACAGATCATGGTGGGGATGGGAGTTTGTTTTGGCTTCTTGATGAATGTGCTACAAGTATGGGCCGTCGGCTTCTTCGGCAGTGGATCCGACGGCCCCTTGTTGATCCTGTGGCTATTCAGGCTCGTGCGGATGCTGTCAGTCTGCTTCGTGAGCGCCGTGATCGAATTCTGCATCGTGTCGTCTCTTTGCTCACCCACCTACCGGATCTCACGCGCGGACTAACGCGGATTCTGTACACACTTGTTGACCCCGCCGAACTTGTATCAATCCTTCTTACATTGTATCGTGTCACGCACGAAATAGAGGCTCATGATTCCACGCGCAGCACACTTCTCAATACTGCTCTTCAAGATCTGCGTGCACCCAAGTCGGAGGTGAGCGCATTTGTGTCCGCGTTACATATTCCCAACGCACGCAGCAATTCGAAGGTGTCACTTTACACGGATTCCTCAAGATACCCAGCGATTCAAAAGTGGAAGCAACAGCTAGAAGATGATGAGCTCGCGGCACAGTTGCAACTCGTTGACATCCGCCGCATCCTTCGTCGTCCAGCACTGCAATTCATCAGTATCGCCGGCATTGATCATCTTATCGAGGTTCGTGCATCCGATGCAGGGCGCGTACCTGCCGATTGGGTGCGGATCAATTCGACGAAGCGCGCCGTACGCTTCCACACACCGGCTATTGTCGAACTGCAGCGCCAGCGTGATCGGCACCGCGAAATGCTTACCGCGGTCGCAAATGAGGCATTTCGCGATTTTGTTCGACATGTAGCTCAGGCATACATGCCACTTCGACGAGCTGTGCATGCGCTTGCAACGATCGATGTGCTGACTAGTCTTGCACGTGTTGCCTCGCGACCTGGCTATGTCCGACCCCATGTCCATGACCAAGGTAACTTGATTCAGTTGCGTCAATGTCGGCACCCCGTGACAGAGGCACGGACAAATGGGTACATCCCCAACGATATTGCGTTAGGAAGCCTGAAACAAACTGAAGCACCGCGTGGGATGCTCTTAACCGGCTCGAATATGGGTGGAAAATCCAGCATGATGCGCGCCATCGCATTGACAATAATTATGGCCCAGATTGGCTCTTTTGTTCCATGTCAATCAGCAGAGATTACATGCCGTGATGCGATTGCTTCTCGCATGGGTGCTCGAGACGACATTCTGCGCGGCGAATCAACGTTCCTTGTTGAAGCGCGTGAAACCGCATTCATCCTGCGCACGTCAACGCCCCGAACACTGGTGTTGCTGGACGAGTTTGGCCGTGGAACTTCTACCTTTGACGGGATGGCTCTAGCATACGCAGTGCTCCGCTCATTTCTCGAGCGTGGACCAGCCATGCCGACTCTCCTGTTTATTACTCACTATGTCCCACTTACACGCCTGGCACACTTGTTCCCTCAACAGCTGATGAATGTGCATATGCAAGTGCAAATCATGCGTCACCAGGGCAAAGAAGACGAAGTGGTTTTTCTACATCGGGTTCTGCCAGGTGCTGCATCCAGGTCATTCGGCATCCACGCTGCAGCACTGTCTGGCATTCCAACCACCATCATCGAGCGCGCCAAGAGTAAAGCCCTTGAACTTGAAGAGGCTGAGCGTTTGATACATTACGCACACGTGGTCAAGCTTCTAGGCCAAGGCGATGCAGAGGCCGCTTTGGAGTCTATACAATCCATAACACTTGAAGCATAGTCTATCAGCTATGACACTTTTTTAGTCCATATTCACGTCAGAAAGCAGCTGAGCAATACTAGGAAGAGCACCGGTCTGCGACTCGCGATGTGATCGAATACAAGGAGATAGTGAATGAGGAGGGGGTAGGACCCTATGCTGTGATTTGGAGGATGACATCAATCGCCACGCGCATGATGCAGAAGACGCCATTCCTGTAGATGTCGTAGATGTTGGTACGCCGGAGAAAGGTGGTGAGGAAGCTGATGATGGCGTTGACAACGCCAAGGATGGCCATGGGCGTCCATCACTTCGTCGATGAACAGGCATCCTGCCAATGGTCACCACATTCCCTGTACCTGGATGAATGCACTTATTCTTGTTCAGCGCCATAAGAAGATTCAGAACCAGCTTCATATGCCGTTCTCGTATACGGACATCCTTAGCAAGATGCCTAGGCGTGCTAGAAGAACTGTGATCTCTCGCAGGACTGAGGATATTCGGATACATGTTGCAATGACTTTGGTTTCGTGTACGAAGACGTGTCGGAGGCGGTACAGTCGAGCAAGAGCTTGAAGCAGCGACTGGTGATGACCTCACACCATCATCTTCATCCATAGCACTAGCACAAGGTGGCGACCGGGTCAGTGGCTGGACTTGCCTGTATACAGGATACAGTCCCTTTTCTTGCGAGGGGATAGTTGAGGTGGGTGTGGTCCATGGATATGGCTGGTAATCGGCTGCCCCCGAAGAAACATTGGTGGGCGAATTACTTGATAGTGAAATAGCTTCAGCGCCTGGAATGTTCGTTAAGCCCAACAGCGATAAAGACTGTGCAAAGTTCGTCGGCATCATAGACGTGCCTGCAGGCGGGCGCGACATGCTGTCGCCGAGCTGAAGCAGCCAAGCATTTATATCCGAAATTTGTTGGTGGTCGCCGTTCAACGGAGGCATGGTAGAAGGTCCTGAAGCTGACCGTTGATCCGTTGTAGACATGCCATAATTAATCGCATTCATAGACTCGTTTAGAAATGCGTCAAGATCACCAATAGTATGCGAGTCAGGCAACCAGAACTGGTCAAGACGCTCCATCATGCCAGTATCATACGTAGGAGCGAGCTTCTTTCGCTGTACATCGTCCCAAAAGTTGTCGATAGATGACCGAGGCCGTTTTAGTGACTCCCCGCCACTAAAACTACCATTTCGCATAGCATGAGTCATGTCCAGGCTCGCTGGTTCCTCGTATGTACTAAGGAAGTGAGGCGCTTCATCTTCTCGAGCCAACGGTGCCAACGATGGGTACATCGTTGATGAGGATGGTAGATTTGAATGCATCGATAGACGCGGGTACATCGACCCACCCTCCAACGGTCGGAAGGCGTTGGGCGATGAAGTGGGAGAAGAAGAATCGCGAGACGACTGTGAAGAGAAAGCCGGCGTAGGCATGTTCTCCGTCAACTCTGAAGGCGAGGACATTGCCCTAAAAGGCGGCAGCGGCGGCGGTAGCGAAGGACCATAACCAGAACTGGGACGAAATTCATCTGGTGACTTGCTCAGTGCCTCGCGTGCGCCCTTTTCAGCTGCAGAGCTGGACGAGCTGATATGGGTACGGCCATGTTTCTTGAGATCCTGCGATCGCTTGAAACTTTTGCCACAGATAGTGCAAGAGAATGGTTTTAACGGCGTATGAATCCGTATGTGACTTGTGATGTGATCGCGCTTTCCATAGCTGGCCCCGCATCCATCCCAGTGACACGTAAGACAGAGGTTGTTTTTGCTGATGCGTCCCACATGATCATCGCAGAGATGGAGGTACAACACTTCAGCATTTTCGCACGACACGCCACAGCCTTTCCACATGCAAGTAAGTGCAGACTCCTTCAATGATGACGAGCCATGCTTGGCAGGCTCACTCACTGAGTTATTTTCACTCATGCTTGGCAATGCTATCCGAAGTTCTTAGTCGCAAATCGCTATTCGTTGATAAGAAAATGAGATGATGTTGGGCTTTGCCAAGACCTTGGTCTCCGGTGTGCGTGTGTGTAGCAGAGATAGGGTACAAAAGGGTAATTAAGGCAGTGCAATCGCTCACTGGGCTACCCTATGAGAAATGACCAAAATGCTTCATGTGCCCACCGGCCGAGCGACATTCCTTTCTTGGCACGTCTTGGCAGAAGACCGCAGTCAGAGACACAGGCCACGTGCTAGACATCCTCAGGGCTTGGTCAGGTATTTTCCGAAAGCGGGCGCTTAGAGTCATGGCCCATATCCTAAGTTCAACAGATATATATGCCTGTCACACATCGCATCTGCATGGATTCCCCCCAAGGCGCACATGTGCAGGTATTGGCCTGCAGGCAAAAAGTATCCTTATGTTTGTTAATACATACAATATAAGAAAATAGTGAAAAAACTAGGGCAAACAGATCTAGGCCGCTTAATCCGTGATAATGAGTTCGGACACACTCCAGTCCTCAAAAGTACCATCTGGTAGGTACCGCCGCACGAGAAGAGGAATCTTTTTGGCCAAAAGCTCTTTCTGTGCAATAGCTAACGGATCCATCTCTCCTTCTGTAGGCACTAGAACTGGTGCGTTCATACTGAGAGATTGTTAGTTCGCCCGCCAAGCGAACGCGAGCATAGACGCCCGTACATACCTGATTTGCAGCGCACGCGTACCCAAAATACGCGCTTTTTCATATTTGGTCATATACGGTGTCGTGATCCGCTCCGAATTAGCTTTTCCTGACGTATCCATATTCATGGGAATATTGCCGTCGGCACTAGAATGCACCACTTCATTGTCGCCAAAGTGATCTTCATCATCTCCAGCGCCTGCCTCTTCGTTCAATGGCTCGTCCATCTCTGCCGCATCGAAATCAACTCCCTCGTCAAAATAGCTAATTTTCATCAGCGCATGTATATCACGTACTCGGCTTCATTTTCGTCACCCGCTTCAAAACTCATAGTAGACAATCGTGGTGCCTGCAAGTTGTCGCCAGATATTTTTCGTTGACGCGACGAAGAACCGGCCCATGGCACGTGACAATCAATCCACATCGCGTTCCCATCAGGCACTCTCCAACGAGCTTTTCATGCTGATGTGTCGGGCGCATCCGCGTATCCTGACGCGCGCTCCTTCAGGAGACAACATTATTCCCGCAGTCATTCGTGTTTCTCCCGTCTTCAAACTAAGTTGTCCGCTAACACAGGCACGTAATTTTATTCACAATCATGTTTCTACGACGAGTCAACGCATATGTACATTTAACTGGAAGTGTAAATTGATTACACTTTCTACGACCAATAAGGCGTGACCCACCTTGCCTACGCCTTGGGCGGTTGTGCTTGACGCAAATTCAAGCGGCGAGCAGGCCATCCTCCATACACCGCCCAACTTTCCGTAATTTCACCAGATGCAACGAGCGTATGCTCCAATAACATCGACTGAGACTCCATGCTGGCACCGGACAACAGACGACTTCCTGTGCGCATAGCACAGCCATCTCCAAGGCGAAGTCGGTTCAAGCTGAACTGACCACGAGAATTAATATGCGCAACAACTGAGCAATCATCAATCGAAACCCGATCACCCATCGTCACAAGATCCGGTTCAGTCAGGGTCAATGTTGGCTTACCGCCAGCCCAGATAGCACAGTCTTTACCAATCCGAGCACCAAGACAGCGCAGATACCATACCGCAAACACTGTGCCAGACAAATTGTTGAAGATGTGGCCACCAAAGCCTTGCATGGCTGGCTTTTGCAACGTAAGATGGACTTGCCAACGCTGACAGTAGCTGCTCATATCCCAATTATACTTTCCTTCGCGACGACGGCCAATGATAGCCCACTTCGTTGCCACCACCCAAGCTAGCGATATAATAGCTTGCCCTGGCAGAATCACAGCAAAGAAGATGATGATAGCCAAGTACAAGAATGCTGGGCGATACCAATGGTCATAGAAGAGCCAATGCGAACGCGAGTGATACACCTCAACGATCCTATTAATGGCGACCACCGTTGCAGCAAATCCACATGCCCAGTAGGCGGCGGCAATAGCTTGCAAAAAGACATTCAATGCCACGATCATCAAATACGGCATCACGAAGTAGTTGGCCTGTCGTTTGTAGTATGCACGACCAAAAGGAGTGATTGTATCGTCTTCACCAAGCTCGCTAGGTCCTTGCGACTTACCGAAGCTGACCGCTTCACCGTTCTTTGAACCCATCCATACAGAGCGGTCCTCATAGTTGCCATTCCGGCGAGCGAGAGCACCAGAGCCCATAACACACTGCGTACCAATGGTCGCGCCCGGCAAAATCACGACTCGGTCGGCAATCATGGCACCACGATTGATCCGAATCGGATCGAAGCTGATAGAGTCTGACGTGAGGATCTCCGAACGCGAACCAAACACCACATCGTCACCAATTTCCAGCAACTCAGGATCTGGGCAGTTGATACCCGAGCCCGGCCAGTACACCCGTTTGCCAATCTTCGCACCCATCGCACGAAACACGACGGATGTCATTTCGTAGTGTGTGCCGATGATTTCGAACGCACGCTTGAGGCGGTACTGGCTCAAAAGCTGCGCCGTCATCCAACGACGGAATAACGCGAGCTGACTCGCATTGCGCATGGAACCCGGTGAGTTCAGACCCAAAATGCGCTTCACGATGATGCCAAGAACCAAGTTGATCATCGGCGGGAAGATTTTTCGGATAATACGCGCAAAAATGTGGTATCCAATACGATGAGGGTACGCGTACCAAGCCAAGATAGTCTGCAGGGAGTCGCTCGAATCACTGTCGGCCACAGAGAATGGCTGAGACAACAGAAGGAACAGCGCAGCATACCATGGCACATACGAAACGATGCGGATGAGAATGATAATAGGCCAGCCAATTAAGAAACGCAGCAGGAAGTGAGGAGCTCGCACTGAAGCGTCGTTGAATGCAGCATAGGAATCCGGAGAGGGAGCCTCATGCGACGAAGACTGTGGTCCCCACACAGTGCCATCGACCAAACGAGCACCGGGGGAAATATAAGTGTAGGTATTCACAACACAGTCACGACCAATAACAACTGGCTCCAAACGGAAGTATCCATCACGCTCCACACAGAATCCACGCACCAAACAGCGGTCGAGCTGTGCACGGTCATGCACAGTGATCAAGTCATGTTCATAAAGTTTGGTCTTCGAGTCAATGTAGACCCCGCTTCCGATTTTCATGCCCAAGAGACGGAAGTACATCTTGAGAAGCAAAGGCGACAAAGCAAAAACACCACGACCACTTGTACGAATTGACTGGTTCACGATCCACCACCGCAGATGGTAATTACTCCACATTGGATACTTGCCCGGCCGGAACCGACCAATCACCACCCATTTGAACAGGATTGCACCAATGGGACAAATAACACGACTCGACACACGTGCAATAGCGATTGAGCACAACAGAGCACCAATCCGTTGCCAGAACGAGTCCTCAATGTAGTATGCAAAGAAGGCCAAACCATGCAGAATGATCGTCCAAGTCCAAGCAGCCTTCAGCGGGTAAAAGAACAAGAAAGGAAGAAGCTGCACAAAGATAACCAGAGGATGGGTTTGGCTGCGACCTTTGTAACCGTGAGAAGAAAACGCCGGGTCTGAGTCGTCGTAGGTGTGCGCAAGATTGAAAGACGAATACAGACCAGCACCTTTCTCGTCTAACTTGTAGAAATCGTCCGGGTCCGAGCCCCCACCAGACCCACTTTGCTCATCAATGAGGGCGGCGATCTTTGCCACGGTCGAATTAACAAACAACGACGACACCTCCAGGCTCACACCGGTTTCTTTTCGGATCATGAAGATGAGACGACCAAGCAGCAAACTGTTACCACCCAGGAGGAAAAAGTCCGACTCATCTGTGATAGAACTGGGATCAAGATCCAAAAGATTTCCAATGATCTGGCTGACCAAGATCGAAGTCTGCGACATCGAAGCGGCATTTTGCTCGCGCACTATACTTTCCATAGCCGCAAAGTCGTACTCGCCGTTCGTTTTTATAAGTGGCTGACGGAATACATGCAATGGATTCGGCACAGCGTAGCCATGCAGAATTTGACTCAGTGCACGGTCAATATCAGCTGCATCAAATTCAGCATCCTCCGAAACCTGAATATAGGCCATAAGCGACCGGTCACGTTGTTGAGCAACCGCTGCATCGAGCACACCAGGAATTCGATAGCACGCACGCTGTACGGCACGAGAATCAACAGTCACACGGGAGCACGCAATCGGGCGCGACAAAGGCGTTTCCTTTGACGGCGCCTTTGACTCAAAGTGCCTGTCCAAAGCTGGCACATCGTCTGACATGCCCGTAATGCCCAGACGAGAGCCGAGCTTGATACGCAGAGGTTTACCAGCCTGATTCTTTGGAAGATCATCCATGTAAACAATGACGAATGGCCACTTAGATGGGTGCAAGTAATTGCGAAGCAAATTCTGCAGTTCAACTAAACCGATACGTGGTTGTCCCGGCTTGGGTACAATTACCACACCGATTGTTTCTTGGAGTACTTTGTGCTCAACCGAAAAAGCTAAAGTCTGCTTTACACGTTCCTTGCAGGCTTGTGAAATAGCCTCTTCCACCTCGAAGGGCGATACAACTTCACCACCCTTGTTGATAATTTCTTTTGAACGACCTGTGATGTACAAGTAGCCGTCTTGGTCCATGTGACCACAATCACCAGAATCAAACCAGCCATCCTTCGAGAAGACAGACGTATCAAGTTCGCCATTTTCCATTTCATAGCCACTAAACGTTGGAACTCCACGAACACAGATCGCGCCGGTTTGTCCGCGTTCCAACTCCTTATTGATGTCAAGCTGGTCACGAATACTCAAATCCGGTCCGCATGCAACACCCGAGCAACCAGGTCGCTCGAGTTTGTATGTGACAGGTGGAGATGCAATAGGCATGCATTCTGTCATGCCGTAAGAAGGCAACACGGCACAGTTGAACGTAGCGCGAAGTTCATTGGCAAGCGAAGGCAAAAGACCACCAGCAGCATTGCAAATCATACCGATCTGGAGCTGCGTAGAAGGGTCAACATCTGCAGGCTTCGAAGCCAGAATAGCATGATGCATAGTGGGTGCAGCGTAGTACCACGTAGCACCCAACTGCATTGTTAACGTCCACCAAGCATTCGGATCGAAGCCGGCACAAAGAATTGTACTACCGCCCGAGAGCACGGGCGCCCATAGGTTCCGAACGATACCACCAACGTGGAAAAGAGGCATCATGTTCATGTCTACTTGCTTTGAGTGAAGGTTCCAACTTTGAATAACACAGCAAGCGCCGACAATTAGGTGCCGCAACGTGTACGGCACAACCTTCTTTTTCCCGGACGTGCCGGATGTGTGCAAAACCAAAGCTTGATTCATTAGACCATTTGGCTTCGGCGGGCCACGTTGACGCGAGCCAGGTTGTTCATCGCCCATCAAAGAAATGTCGAAAAGACCAGCCGGGCCCGAGGGACGCGGTTCGACGAGGAGAATCTCGATCCCATATTGACTGTACAAGCGATCCAATTCAAGACGCTGAATGGAATCCGCGGTCGAGATAACGGCACGCGCACCGAGTCGCAATGCATCATCACGCAGCTCCTCAGCCGTACAGCTGGCATTAACAGGTGCACAGTTAAAATAACAAGCAATACAAAGGAGGGCAAGCGCATTTTCAGGCCCGGTGGGAAGAGCCATCATAACACGGTTGTTTTCAGCGAGAGGCTTGAGATGCGCACTGTTTGGTACTGTGAAAGACGCAACGAATTGCTTAAGCATTCGATGCGTCAAAGGCGGACGCGAGAGATCTGGAGATATGAGGGCTCGCTTGTTTGTCGAAGGCAAACAATCCAGAAGTGTCTTCACACGACCATTGTCGGTCACCTGGGATGCCATATACTCACCGAGGGAAGCACCAGCCGGCGGACCTGGCAGATCCAGCAGGAATGACAATGGATGTTCCATGCTGGCGATGGTGAAGAGCTTGACTTGCTGCCAAGCGTTAACAAATGCGTATGACGATAAGCCTGGTACGGCGTGAACCAAGAGGTACCGACCGACTTGTACCCAACCTGCAACGACGAGCGCACGTAGCCTTGCTTATGTCATATTGCACAGGGATCCTGGGCGATAGAACGCATGTAGGTGTATGTGATTCAGATGATTGGCCGTATTCGCACGGGTGAGTGACCAATGCACCAATCAACCGTTTGAACTGCGCACTGGACGACCCAATTTATTAGAACGCGTGCGCATAGGTGCGGCAGTACTCTTCACAACTCATTCTGTTTCGTCACATCTTTTTTTAGCTCAAACTCATTTTGCTTAGTCGCCGAAGATGCCGGTTTGCTGCAAGCGTGCACCCTACACAAGGCCGAGACCTGTAAACATTAGGTCTTTCAAAATGCCAAGAAACAATTGGATTCAATTCATCACGCAATCTGACTGACTATATAGAGAGAAATATATCATAACAAACTTGTCAAGTGGTGGCTAAAATAACTTGACAAGCCAAATTAGTGACTAGTTAGCGACCAATCTGACAATGCAACGCTCTTCGGTGGATTTTTGTCCGCATCGATCGCTTCGGCGTACTCAGGCTGCCACCAAACTTGGATGTTCGTGTCGACATCGCCCGGCAAAGTTATAGAAAGCACAGTCACTTCCAAATCAGGGACTTCTGGATTAATGGCATGTCCATTGTCGTCCGTCCCTTGCTTGGGAATAGCGTCGGCACCATAGTAATAGTTAGGCATCTTGGACTTCTTATCATAAGCCGGACCGGCTTCAAATTGGGCATTATCGGGTGAAAGAATCGTCGCCTTCATCTTTACTGGCGGAATGCTCGCTGTGAACTGTTTGATCGAAGCATTCGGGTCAATCACTTTATTGATCTCGAGTGTTGCAGTCTTCTTGTCATCAGACAGCGTCACAGTTGCATTAGTTTGAACACGCCATTGGATTTCTTTATCTTGCTTTTTCACTTCGTCTTGGACAAGAACCTGGCGGCGGCCATTAACAAATCGAATGCCACGTTGAACAGCGCCGTTGTCCTGCTTGCCGTAGCAAGAGCTCAGATCAGCGACAGTGTAAACTGTGGAATCACCACCAGGCGTGAAGCCCAAATCACCGTTCTGCTTTGTATTCGAAGATTCAAATTTAATATTTGGCTTGCAGCTGGAATTTTGGTTTTGTTTGCCAATAACCAGCGTGTTCTGACCTTGTGTGCCCTTACGGAAGTACTTCCAACGAGTAGCTCCATCTTCTTCAGACGCGAAGTAATCCTTAGCCAGGTAGTTGTCACTACCGTACTCACCCACGAACCGAGTGCCAAGAGAGTCAATGACAAAGTCACCTGCGTCCAAATCACCATGTGTCTGATGACCTGTCATGTTTGATGCCTTCATCGCGACGTAGTTGCCCGACATATCTGTCCACGTGCTACGCATAGAAACCCAGCTGCCCTGGTCATTGTCAAAAAAGCGGTCAAGTGGCAAGCCATTGAAGAAGCCACCGCGAGGAGTTGAGTCGTACCAAAACATACTAAGTGGATCGGAGGCAGCGTCCGCACGGTCACGTTGGAATAGAGCATACATCGGCTGCTTAGCCAGTTGGCTGTACAAGAATAGCTGATTGGCTGTGGTCGAGAACTTGTTCGGACCGTTGTCGCCGTAGGCAAACATGCCTGCATTGCCAGTCACGTACATGTGGAACTCGGACGTCTTAGCCCAGTTCTTGTTCTGATCCATCAGGCCTTGATCAGAACCAGTTGCGGTAATCAGGGCAGATACCATGCGAGCCTGAGCATTAGTTCCAAAGTACCAATAATTGGGTGTTTCAGACCAAGTACCATCCTCATACACTGCACGCATGCAATTATTCTTCGCATTGTCCAGCGCTTTTGAAAGAATCTGGTCAGTGGTCGACTTTAGGTCTCCTTGCACATCATTCTGAATGGCCAGAGCACTGAAAACCAAGCCACCGTTGCACACACAGTTCCAGTTGCCGTTACCACTGCTTGACTGTGACCACCATGCCGATCCTTTGTTATACATGTCAAGGCCTTGGGCAAGACCGAAACGAACAATCCAGTCTATGATGTATGATTTTTGCTGATCATTCCACGCATCATACATCCAGTCGTAGGCAAATGCATAGGCAGAAGCCATCTCTGCCGTATCAAGGAAATGATCTGGATTCCAACGCTTGTCACCATCACCAAATGGCTGTGACGTATTGCCCGCAGCCACTTGCATTTCCTTGTAGGCTCGGTCGCTGAATTTTTTGTCATGGGTCATGCGCCAAGCATACGCCCATGCTTTGATGCGCTGCTGTACAATACGTGACACATCCAAAATACCCGACAGTGTAAGACCGCCATCGACGTCATACTTGACCGGGTCCTCATCGACGTAGTTAGTTGCGTTCTGCATAATCGTGTAATTCCAGGCCGTTAAATATGCATCGTTGTGGATCCGGTCTTCCAAACAGTCCCACATATGCTTCGGAGCAATCAGTCGTGGGTGACCTGGACGGCCATTGTTGAGGTTGTTTGAGGCTTTCCAGGGATCCTTCCCACATTTGCCTGCCGGATCGCCGAATGAAGGCACCGCAGTGTTAGACTCTGCGATGAACATTGGATTACCGTACGGATCTGTTGCACGGTAAGACAATGGATCCGTGTTACCTTGGCTAGCGGCTTTTGATGCATCATCGAACACGTTTTGCGGGAACGTACCCACCACATTCGTTTGCACGTTGCCGCTACCAATTTTGCTCCTCGGCACGGATTGGTTGTTCTTATCGTCATCATCGTCGTTAGCACGAGATCCTAGAACACCGCCAAGAACAGCAGCAAGGATGATAATGATGGCAATGATCGCTGCCAAAAGAGCCATTAGCCATTTGAATTTGCTAGAGCGATGCTTCTTTGGTGGTTTCTCGTTCAGGTCTAAAGCCCGTCCATACGGCTGGTCACGAGTTGCCGAGTTCACGGTTGTGCCTCCAAGTGTACCGTTTCTCATAGCAGCATCGGAGTTTTCCTCCCGCGTTAGGAATGGGTCACTCTGCAGATGACTCTCTGAGTTTGGCAGCAAATGCTGGCGACTCTGGCTATAAGCCGCATTTCCAACATGGAAATTGTAATCGCCCATTGGCGCATTTGTAGCAAAGTCCTGACCTGTAGCCGCATCGCCAGTCACGTTGTTGTGCACAGCAGCCGCACGCGAAGGGTCATACTGGGACTGCGGGGCATTGAGTGTGTACTGCTCAAATGGATCGACCACGTAAGACTGGCCTCTTTGCACCATGGCATCGGTGCCGCTCATGGTGTAATCTTCTTAAGCAGAGACGAGTGTGCCTCTAATACTACTGTGGACAGGCACAAGTCCTGACGCGTGAAGAATGAAGTTATGGGGCAAAAAAACCTTTGAATATACGTGGCGACAACCTTGGCTCGTGAGTACTGACATTTCTTGTCAGCTGGTGCACAGCCCACTCGCATGCGAAAGCGCTCGTTAGAATGTTATTGATCAGGCATGTGCACAATCCGAAACGTGCATGGGCTACTCACACCCAATAATGATGACGCTTGAAGAATTGTGCATGCCTATGAGTGAGAGTAAGCATGTGGAGTTCTGAAGGCGTCTAAGCACTATTCTCTACGTGGGAAGAGTCGGCGCTTGGGTTCTTGAACAGAATGCTGTGATACGTGCATATGGTTTGGTGGGGGACGAATCGGGGGTTTATCGAAAATGTCGTCCGTTGATCGAAAGCCCATATCTGCAAAACAGTTTTCGTCTGTCAAAAGCGGCGACCCTTGCCTAGGAACGGGGGTGCTGCTGGTCGATGGCGCTAACGTAAATGCCGAAGAAGATGACTGCAGTTCATTCGTGTGGGAAATCCAGTGCGAGCATGTATTGATGCTTTTAAGCCAGTCATCGCCAAAGTCTTCATCATCTTCGAATTCATCCACGTATGGCTCCATTGTGCCGTATGGCAAAAGTCTGTGGGGTTGTTCGGAGATACCCTTTATGCCTGAGGCATCGACGGGCCTAGCATCAGGAGACATTTGTTCAGCAGACTCTGCAACCTGTTGTTGCTGTTGTTGTTGCGCATAAACAGTGGCCGAAATAGCACTATCAGGTGCACCATAGCGACGGCCACGCAGCAGATCACCGATCGTTGCACGTTTCGATGGATCTAGCATCAACATGCGAGATAAACATGACCTCGAACGTAGAGGCAAAATGCGGAATATGCTATCCGCTGCACGTGGCTGAGGGTCTTCATTAAAATCAGTAGGACCTTTCTCCTTGAAAGCACCATTGTCAGGAGGAGAATGAGCCACGCTCATGCTCGGGGATTCACTTTCGTACACCACACTGCTTGAAAGGGACGGAATTTCGTACCCTTCATCACTCGTATGCTGACGATACGGGTTTAAAGACTGCGATGAATGAGATGGTTGCGGCATCTCACGAGATATAGTACCCTCGCGGGTGGCCACAGGCGTCACACTTGAAGAGTTACTGGTGGAAGCAGCAGAAATGTCATAACCGGCCTCGTAAGCTGTCCGAATTTGAGCGGTGCCAGTTTCATCAGAGAATTGTCTAAGTAGTTTCTCTGCACCTGAAGTCTCGAGAACAGGGCCATAGCGAGATTTGGGGGACATCTCCCCGGTGATATGAGAGGTTTCGTGGTCGGCATCGACGATTTCGTCTTCATCGTCAAGAAGGCTCGCGGGCTCTATCCCGCCTAATTCTGGATGAGCAAGGAGGAAGAGCTTGAAACTAGGGTCTGCGTCAGGATCCGGAATCTTCCAAGGGAACCGTTTCAGCACCATGCACATGTACACAATCGCAAGACTCCAGATGTCAGTCATGCGAGCATCGTATGTTTGGCGCGTGAGCACTTCTGGTGCCAGGTAAGGGTCGGAGCCAACGATGCCCGTGGCAGATAGAGCACTTTTCCCTGGCACCTGAAACACGGTTGCGGTCCCAAAATCGATAATCTTCACAATACCATCAGAGGTCATGACACAATTGTCGATCTTGAGATCACGATGCGCAAGACCCAACCCGTGCAGATAGTCGACACCATCGACTATCTGTCGGAAAACGCAATTGATTTCATTGAACCCCATCTTGCCGCTCATAACAACAGCAAAAAGTTCAATTGGTGCATATTCCATAACCTGGTAATAATGGTTATTGTCTCGGATAATGTCCAAAGTCGAGATTATGTTAATATGATGCAGCGTACTTCCGATGCAGAATTCAGCAGTGACTTTCTTGATATAATCTTTCTCCCGTTCATCAGGACAACGTGCGCGAAACTCCTTTACGGCCAATGGTACATGGTCCTTCGAGCGCTTGATAACACGCACCGTTCCACCTGCGCCAACTCCTAGCGTTTTTCCAAACTTGCCATATTTCTTTGTAAGACCCGCATTTGTGGATGACCAGGCGGTGAGTCAGTCCCACGACGCGAGTTGGATTGTGTCGGGCGAGGACGCTCATTCTTTTGTGTGCTCTCTTTCTTGCTGCTGGTTCGACCGGCTTCCGCTGCCTAGATGATTGTGTAAGAATCGGCGCAGGTCGCTCAGAGGATTTGAGAACTCGCTCTTCCAACGCCCGTCTCGCGAACGGGAGGTCGGCTGGCTTGATCCTTCGACGATTTCGGCAGCCCCTCCCTGAACGATTGATTCGTCTGGCATTTGACTATGCGAACTGAATTCACTTGAACAAACCTATCAAGAGCGTGGCTGTCCCTTGTGGTGTTTGCGCACGCACGCACTTGATTTCACTTTCTCTGTCTCAGGGGAGTTTAATGCGTGTTAAGGGGTGAGATGACCGGCTGAAATGTGAGTGGCTTGACAAAAGGCCCAAAATCCGATGCCAATAAATTTTCCCCCATGCGATAGGCAAAACTGATGATTTCTTCTGTGGCTGGGCGTCCAATAAATTCAAACGCTTGAGTGGAGAGTAGGATGTGTTTGCAGTGCGGTTGTGCACGGGACTACTACATCAAGCACAACTAAGCGATTAAATTTTCAACGCCGCTTACGTTGTGGGTGACGAAAGAGTTTCGCGTGTACATAGGCGGATGTTTGGACAGCAAAATGACAGGCGAAGGGCGTGTCATTGTTTCGGATATGTGAAGAGTGTTGCTATTGATCCTGAATTCAACGTTACACTTGATACGCTGTTAATCGCGAGAGACACAAAACTAACAGCGCTAGGACGTGACACCTTCGCGACGATTATCACCAGTTAGCAATGATCGAATGGGAATGACATGAACATACGGTTAGTATATATACAATACCAGCGAACAAGATCGGACCTAGCCTGAACGAATCGTCGAAACGAAATCATCGAATGCATCTGTGCGTATCTACATGCGAACTAATAAACGAAAACACCGCACAATTTGTTTCCCTCTCGACCACAAACGCATCAGCTCTAGGAACGCAGCCGAAGTGGCGCATAAGCTTCAGTTGCGCACCGTCCAAATACCAAGAAGTTGAAAAAATGCGACTTGGAGCATGATAAGGTGGCCAACGAACGCCTTGATGTTCACGATGACAGTGTCGAAACCGCCGGGTAAGATGGTTTCCGCCTCCTCCTGGATCGAATACAGATCTTGTTGTCGCGAAACGTAGTACTTTCCATCGTCCAACTTACGAAGATCCAAAAGGACGACAAGTCTTGCAGTTCTGTCATACAGGTACTTGCGTACGAAGGGAATATAGCTGCGCAGATGCTGCGTGGCTTCGAGGTAGACACGGTTGTTCTCCTCGTCAAAGCACGACGAATGAATCTTGATTTCAGTGTCCATGAAGAGGATGCGCAGGAACTGATAGATCTGCAAAACACCGGCATCACGCGAGTGGCGAGAGCGCGTCACAGAGCACATCGGGTGGTCAAACGATGCGCTCGGCAGGTAATAGCGCTGCAAAACATCACGCTGCTTGTCTGCATTTTCGGCACGGACCAATCCATAGACAACATCGTGGACTTCGTTGCGCGGGTCTTCCATGATGTATGTGGCGACGGACGCAAGTGCTAGAGTGTGAGTAGAAAAGTTGGAAAGTGGCTAGGCAGCACAAGTCTAGCACTGGTAAAGAAGCGGCGCAGATTGCGTCCGAAACCGTCGGTCCGCGCCTCGCCTGCCTCGCTGCAGCGCCTATGTCTTCTTTCGGATGCTGCCACGTGCATGTTCATTCTCGTGTCTTGCTCCACAAATTGAGCCCATGTCAACACTCGCAAGCCCACCTCATTCGTCTAGAATTGCAGTGCTTTGGAACTTTTGATTTCTTGAAGTTTTTATTTTTGCTCCAGACTATCACATCTCGTTCCGAAAACCCCATCTCGGTTGGCCCAACCTGACATCGCTTATTCATCAACTAGCGCTCAAGGCACAATATCGGGGTTAGGTGCGAAAAGTTACGAAGAGCAGCAAGCGAGTCCATTACCCTCGGGACCTTCCACATCGACTCGAACTAACACACAGGCTCCCTCGGGGTTCGTCTTATGGACGCGCGCGTCAAATTTGTTCAATCCGCGTCAACCTTTGCAACGAGTCGCGCCCTGATCAATTCGACTTTCAACATCGGATTTCGACACAGTATGCGAGCCTCATCAACTGCAGCTGCGACGAAGCCGACGTACTCTGGCCAAGCATCTCTGCCCCAGCTCCCGGTCCCACCACTTGAGCAGACATTAAGCAAGTATCTCAAATCGACAATGCCACTGCAGGCATCAGCGGAGTCAGCAGCTGTAACTGAGGCTGCCGTCGACTCAGCGCTGAACGGCCCCAGACGCGTTGCTCATGAAGACGCTTCAGGAGCGTCTCGTCAAGCGCGCCACCGCTGAGGGCCGTGAGAGCTGGCTTTCGGACTGGTGGCTTTCAGCCTCGTACATGTCGTACCGGGATCCCGTGGTGCCATTCTCGAGCTACTTTTATCTGCACAAGTCAGTGCCGAAGACGACCTCTGGCATCACGCGCAGCGCTCACCTGCTTAAGGCGATGATGGCGTTCCGCCACCTGCTCGTGACGGAGCAACTTGCGCCTGAAAAGACAAAGACAGGATATCTTTGCATGGAGCCATACAAGTGGATGTTCAACTCGTGTCGAATCCCCGTCGCGGGAGAAGATGTGTCGACGTCATTTGACCCGGCGGCTCACCAACATGTGATTGTGGTTCGGAATGGCCACTTTTTCGCTGTCGATCTTGTGAACAAAATGACCGGCAAGGAGCTTAGCGTCGCTGAGATTGAGGTCCAGCTAGACCGCATCATGAACGACTCACGTACACAGAAGATGGCCAGCGCACCAGTCGGTGCGTTCACGGCGGCAAACCGCGATGCATGGCTTAAGAACCGCGAGGCTCTTCTGTCTGGACCAAGTGCTGAGCAGAACCGCAAGGCTCTGGAGAAAATTGAAAGCGGCATCATCGTGCTAGCGCTCGATAGTGGGAAGCCTGTGACATTTGACGAGCGTGGCGTTGCTGTGTATGGCGGCGATGCGCGCAATCGTTTCTTTGACAAGCAGCAGATCGTCGTATCGGAAAATGGCGCATCGGGCTACATCGGCGAGCACTCGATGATGGATGGCTCGCAGACGCTGCGCCTCAACAACTTTATGGTTAGTGCCCTTGAGGCTGGGAAAATTGAGCTTGGCGGTCCTTCGTCGGGATCCGTGCTGGACGATCCTGAATTCCTATCGTTTGACGTCAATGCGGACTTGTCGAATGCGTCAAACGCAGCAGGCCAAGACTTTGCGTCGCTTATGGATGAACAGGACATGTCTGTGCTGGACTTTACCGCATATGGCAAGGAGGCCATTAAGCAATACAAGTGTTCCCCCGATGCATGGGCACAGATGTGTATTCAGTTGGCCTTCTATAAAATGTTTGGTCATCCGTGTGCCACATACGAGGCTGCACAGACGCGCAAGTTCAAGCTGGGCCGCACGGAGACGATCCGCAGCTGCAGCCTTGAGAGCCTGGCCTTTTGCCAAGCGATGCAGGATACGAATGCGACGGATGCAGAACGCTACGAAAAATTCCAAGCTGCTGTGACTCGGCATGTCAAGAACGCAAAGGAGGCAGCGGAAGGCGCAGGCGTCGATCGTCATCTCTTTGGATTGAAGCGTTTGATTCAGCAGGGCGAGGAGCCTCCTGCTTTGTTCAGAGACCCAATGAATGCGCAGAGTGGCACATGGATCTTGAGTACGTCACAGATTAGCTCTGAGGTGTTCGATGCGTGGGGCTTTGGTGAAGTAACACCAAAAGGCTTTGGCGTTGCCTATGCGATCAAGAACAATGCTCTCACGTTCACGATCATGTGCTTGAAGAAGGTGCATAGTGCCTCTCGCTTCACCTTCTTCTTAAACGAAGCTGGTATTGAGCTTCGTGCTATGCATGACCGTCTGAACCAAGCGAAATCGGCGTCGCCCAAACTTTAGACTTTGGTGAGTGGATGTGTGTGTGTGCTTGGCCTCGTCAAATAGATTGTGCGTTCTAGTGCTGGGTCTGGTTTCGGTTTTGAAAGAGTAGCCAGTTCTAGGCGAATGCTTCAATAGAGTGCGAGCACTAATGTTGGTTTTGTTCGTCTTGTTCCTGCGAAATTTGGATCGATGCTCTAATCCCAGGACATGCGCCAAAAAAAAAAAAAAAGACATAAAATGGACCCAATTTCAGCCACGCGACTGATCAAGCATACTTGGCGGTCTGGTCGCCCAATCCAGTACTGTCCGCTGTCGCACTCAGGGACGAGCTTATTCACGAGTAATATTTCCCCATACGCACGTGCACACAGGGGAGCTTGGTGCGGCAGAGCACATGGGCCTTTATTCACTCCGCTGTGCCGTTTGGACTTGGAAACGCATCGTACACGCCAGAAACATGGGAGTGTCGTCCGTGACCGCCTGGTACATACGCGAGCTGTACTTCGTGTTTCTTGAGCCATGGCTTGTCAGGCTCGGTTTAGTCAAATTAGGATTTGGGGATGCAACATATGGACGTGAGGCTATTCCGTACTCGCCTAGCGAGCTTGACTATATCTACGACAACCCCGATGTTAAAGTGACAAGGCGCCGTGTGTTCTTCAGTGGAAACGAACCGATTCTCGATCTCAAGCTACAGGGACATGGGCTGACGCTGCCATTCGCCCACGTGGGCAAGCCTGTGACGTCATGGGTCAACTATTACGCGTGGGAAAGGCCCGAATCGATCAAAAAGGCACAACGTACGTACTGACACCAGGTACACGAACGAGTGCGCGCCAATACTCACGCACACGCTCTATGACCAGTAAATGCTGACGTCTACATGGCACACGGGATCAACGAGTACTCTGGACGCACGGTCATAGCTGCCGATGTGCACTTGAAGAACGGATTTCGCGTGATTGGGATTGACATGCCAAGTTTCGGCCGCTCCTCAGGCTTACATGGATATTTACCGACATTGCGCTGGCTCGAAGGCAGCATGAATGCTGTCATGCTCCACGTACGCATGTGGGACGAATACAATGGCATGCCTGGACTCGAGACTCGTAAGCGCTTCGCACAGGGTGCCTCCATGTACGTATGCAACCCCCTCGTTTCTCGCGCGTCTCTTGCTCGGTGGATAGGCTCACTCATTCGTTTTTACAGGGGCGGATTTACGTGCGCATATCATGCTGCCTTGCATCCGCCGCCTTCAACGGCAGTATCGCTCGCCCTCGATGGCATTGGTATGTCGGCGCCTATGCTCCAGATCTCGCCTGTGACTCGACCAAACAAGTATATTGAGGCTGCAGGTCGTCTGTTGTCCATGTTCGCTGGGCGGCTTGGTCTGATTCAGGCGATTCGCGGTCATTTGTCAGAAGACCCCAAGTACGTCCCCCCACCTGATTGTATGTGCATTGCACGGCTAACCACCCTTCTACTCTCGCATCCAGTGTTGAATTCTATGCTCGAAAAGACCCGCAAGGCTATCTGGGCCGCTTGCGTATTAACATGGGACTGGCTATCGCAGATGGTCTTGATCATTTTAACGAAATTGTCGACAACATTCAATGCCCGGTGCTTATCTATCATGGGACAGCAGACAGAGTGACAGATCCCCATGGTTCTCAACTCTTCTACGATCGACTACATGTAAAGGACAAGACAATCCGATTTTGGCCCGGCTGGGAGCATGGTACGTGAGAAGGCGCTTGGAGTGCGGACCCGTGCCTTTCGTGACTAATGCAGCGCCACAGTGATGATTAAAAACTATCCTGGGATGTCCCAGCAGGACTTGGCTGCGCGCACGAAGCTGTTATCCGAGATCGTACGTATTCACGTCTACCATGATGACTTATAACACACGTACTCTAGTCGCAATGGTTTATGGACCATGCGCGGTCGAAGGAAGCCAACCAAGATGCCACTCCTACCGGTGCATCTACGGCTCCAAACGCTTAGGGTCACGAGGGAACAAGCTTACTCGGCGAATGTTGCCCAAGCCAAGGTATAGCATCAAGACACGCTCGAGACCGATGCCACCACCGGCATGCGGTGGAGCGCCAAGGCGGAAGGCATCCACATAATGCTTCATAGCAGAAACTGGAATCTGCGCCTGAGCCAGACGCTCTTCAAGGAACTTGGCATCATGCACACGCTGGGCGCCAGAAAGAATTTCTTGACCACGCATGAAGAAATCGTACGAGTTCGAGTAGCGCTTGTCGTTCGCATCAGGCATGGTGTAGAACGGACGGATGTCCAATGGGAATTTGTCGACAGCATAAAAGTCTGTCTTGTACTTGTCACGCACAATCTTGCCCAGTGCACGCTCCGTCTCTGTGCTGAGGTCATCCAGATCGTTTACTTCGTAGCCGGCGTCGCGGAGCATTTGGATGGCCTCGCGGAAATCAAGTCGCACAGGCGCTTCTGGCACTAAGAAGTCGTCCGCAGGGTACTGGCGCCGCACAGTGGCAATCTCCGCCGAATAGCGCTTCGGCAGCTCGCTAAAGATGTACATAAAGAGTTGGTTCAACAGGTCAACGACTTCGTGGTAGTGTTCCTGGAACGCCATCTCCAGATCAAGACCCGTGAATTCGGTCATGTGCCGGTTTGTGTTACTGTCTTCGGCGCGGAACACCGGCCCAATCTCGTACACACGGCCAAAGTCAGCGGCAATCGCCATCTGCTTTGCAAGCTGTGGACTCTGCGCGAGGAACGCATTGCCTTTGAAGTAGTCAACCTTGAACACGGATGCACCACTCTCGGTCGCTGCTCCCTGCAGCTTGGGTGTATGGATCTCGATGAATCCATTGTTCTCGAGGAATTCGCGGAATAAACGGCAAATCCCGTGGTTCAGCCGGAAAATGGCCTGGTTCGTCGTAGTCCGAAGGTCCAGCACGCGGTTGTCCAGGCGCGTATCAAGAGCAATGGGCGGCAGCGGACGCGGGGTGTCTTGCGATGCCTCAATCTCGGCATCAGATCGAGTTGCATCGTCGACATAGAAAGGAATCTGTCCCTCCCACGTCACCGGCACGGCAACGAAAATCCGTGAGATCTTGATTTCTGCTTCCTTGACGGTGACAGACGGCGACTCGACGGGCTTCGGCACCTTTGTGATGGTACCTTCCACACGCACGATCGACTCTGGCGTAATGGATGCGGCCCATTTCGTCATCTGCCGCGATACCTTCTCTGGCGTCACAGCCAGGGTCGCTTGCACACAGTGCATTGTCTGTCGGAACGTCAGGAACACGAGTTTTGCCGAGGGCGAGCGACTCGTCTGTAGACGTGCGAGCATCGTAATGGGCTGTCCGTCCTTGTCGGGGTGAATATCCTCGATAGCCATCAGCTGCTCATTCGTTTTCTCTTGCGACTGGTTCATTGGGAGTACACCATAGTTGTCAGCTGCATAATCGACTTCCGCTGCCTGCCGCGCCTCCTGCTCAGCTGCAAGGCGCGCTGCCTTCTCAGCCTTGACACGCTCTTTTTCAGCCTTTTCCGCTCGTTTGCGACGCTGCTTGTCTGACAACGGGGTGCCGTCAGGGTTCAATTCCTCTTTGCCCTGTGTCGACGCCTCACTCGCGGATGCCTGCTGCACTGATGCATTTCCTGGAACGGCAGGAGCAACATCTCCTGGCACGTTTACTTGCTTCGTCTCTTCGCTCGCCATGTCACGTACGTACGCACGTTCCTATCGGCACAAGAGTTCGGCGTTACGACCGTGCGTCTACTGAATTACACGCCACTCCCTGCCCCTGCCTCCGCCCTCGGACTCTTCGCGTGTCCACTTGAGTCCATGCTTCTGGCTATCCGGCCGAACCATCCCACTAGATCGTGCACAATAGGGTCCTCCACTACGATGATCAAACGCTGACGCGGCAGAACTGCATATCACGTGACTATTTCCAAGCAGACACAAGGGTATATTGCGTTCGAAGATCAGTCACCTATCTTGTTCCTCACCGTTTATCGTTTTCAGTCGGTATTGGTATGTTTTGGTTGACGGCATCGACGTAACGCTCATTGCTAACACACTGCTAGATTGGAAATGAGAGCTAAGTGGAGAAAGAAGCGTATGCGCCGTCTTCGCCGCAAGCGCAGAAAGATGCGCGCTCGCTCGAAGTAATGAGCTCGCAAAACGGCAGCAGTTGTGAGGAGTGGCCATAAGGGCAATCCGACCTGTGAAGCGCTCCTGACGTCAGCGGAACTATCGGATGTGCTAGCGTCCGAGGTGCCCTGATCCTGCCCTACTATGTCTGCACTGTCTGGTGATGACTACTGGTCAAGATCATCGTATCGGACCCGTCGAGGCTTCAAGTTGTTTTGTAGAAGTGCTTCTGGTGCGCAAGAAGCGTTTTTACGAGATAGCGCGCAATTTATTTGGCCTTAAAAAGGTCTTCATCAGCCATGTGAAGTACGAGTGTGATGAATGCATGGTTAAGACTGGTCTTTTAGGTAGGGATATGTGCTGCTGTGCAGCCTATGGGTCGTTTGGCTTGCTTGGGCTAATTATCATGACAAGTTCTGTGGCCGTGGTCGTTGATACCGTGCGCATGGTGGCACTAATGCCTGTTTTGGACAGTGTGTAGGGATCGTTTCAATTTTGACTCTACCTAATTAACCATATTGTTGCATCCTCGTGTGGGAACTACTCGTCCTATGGATATGATTTAAGTCGTTGTAAGCATGTCTTCGTTCGCTGGTCGAACAAACTAGATTGAACTTTTCGCCGCACACGTGGACTTGGTAGATTCAGGTACGCATGCATGCATACATGATATGGGGCATCTACGGTTTATTACACGACCCATGCATGTCCATAATTCGAGTCAAGGCGTTAATGTGGTGCCCAATACTAGCACAAGCACCAGTCTAACCATGTACACGTCAGTAGCTGTCGACATTCGAAGGCTCGTTCCCAATACGGTCGTCCGTCTACAGCCATCACAAGAACCATAGCGTGCCTCTAGTATGCCCAGCATATACTTTGCTATCATTGTGATCTACTTGTAGCGTCGTATGTTACACGCGTAGCCCCCACCCATGCCAAAAAAAAACTTCTTGTTCGTGTACTGAATCATTGACTCTTCATGTCAGATAGCGACGATCCTAGTCTTACTCAATTTTTTTTCTAGTACTCTTGGGCGAACTCGCCTTGTTCATCGTACGGTTCTTCCACGTACTCGCCCTCATACACTTCATCATCGTCGATACCAGCTGCTTCGTACTGCTCGTATTCAGCAACCAAGTCGAGCAAATTTGATTCCGCCTCTGTGAATTCCATCTCGTCCATGCCTTCATTCGTGTACCAATGCAAGAAGGCTTTGCGGCGGAACATGGCACCGAACTGACTGTGAGTACGCTTGAAGAGCTCCTGGATAGATGTCGTGTTGCCGATGAAAGTGGCACTGAGCTTGACTTTCGGCGGTGGTACATCACAAAGCGACGTAAGTACGTTCTGAGGAATCCACTCGACAAACCCGCCCGTCGACTTGGTCTGAATCTTGTGCATCTCCGATTCCACCTCCTCACTGGAAATGCAGCCGCGGAAAATCGCTGCTACCGTCAGATACTTGCCAGTGCGCGGGTCGATCGCAGCCATGTTGTTGTGCGGACTAAAGCCCTGCTGCACAAGCTGCGGCACATTCAATGCTTGGTATGCCTGCAGCGACGATGCAACAAGCGGTGCATAGCCACATGTGAAGAAGTGTAAACGAGGGAATGGTACCATATTCACGCCGAGCTTCCGGAGATCTGAGTTCAGCTGGCCAGAGAACCGTAGCGTGGTTGAGCAGCCAGACATGGCGTACGAAATCAGCATGTTGAGATCATCGTACTAGGTGACTCGCTCCGCAGCGTCCTCTGGCAAATGTCATAGAGCGCTTGGTTATCCAAGCAGAACGACAGGTCGGCATTTTCCACGAGCTGATGGAACGACAGCGTCGCATTGTACGGCTCTACAACCGTATCGGACACTTTGGGCGACGGAAGAACAGACCAAGTAGCAAGCATCCGGTCCGGGTACTCCTCACGCAGCTTGCTTAAGAGGTTTGTTCCCAGACCCGATCCAGTACCACCGCCCAACGAGTGCACGAGTTGGAAGCCCTGAAACATGTCAGCGCGTTCCGTCTCATGTCGAGCTACTTCCAACACAGCATCCAACAGCTCTGCACCTTCAGTGTAGTAACCTTTGGCAAAATTGTTACCTGCACCCGACTCACCGTGCACATAATTGTCTGGACGGAACAGTCGTCCTAGAGGACCCGCACGCAGGTGATCAATGGTGCCAGGTTCAAGGTCTACATTCACGGATCGCGGAACATATTTTCCCTCTTGGTTTGAGTCTTCAAAAAATACGTTGATCTTGGACAACTGGAGCGGGTCATTGCCGACATATTCCTGCTTGGTGAGCATGCATTTTTCTCCATGTCGGATGCACACTTGTGCTGCCACGTACACCATCCTTATTGAGTCCATGCTCTTCTAAGATTGTTTCCCAGAATGCCGTAGAGATCTGATTGCCTGCTTGCCCAACAGCGAATGTGATCAACTCTCTCATCACGCCGTACTATACGAAAGTTGAACCGCTTAACGGATGGATGAATGGACGAGTCTTGTGGCTTTGGGCGCACAAACGACCGCACGCATGTTGATCTTTTTTCCACGTGGCATAAGGGGCCGTCCGTCCATTCATAGCAGTTAGCGCGGGGCCTCCACAATGACCTGCGTCCCTAACAAGCATGACCGATCCAAGAAGGTTCATTTATTTTGTTCTACTTTGTCTGTTTGCATGCAAGAAAAAAAGGGCTTTCAGTTTCCAAGGTTGTGTGATCCATGTCGGCGTTGGAGTTGCTGACCTATTCATCACATCCGTTGGGCCTGCGCCCGCTTGGAAATGCATATTTGGAGGGTGCCAAAGATTTCCGGACTCAAAGTCTGGGAATGCTTGCATGCTTTGAAGATGCTTTTCTCCTGCAATTCCTAGTTGAATGGATGGATGTTCAATCCCTTCTATGTCTGAGCGCAACCAGTCGATCATTTTATGCGCTCGTAAACGCACCCTTGGTATGGCGCGAAAAGTTTATTCGCGATTATGGCGGTAGGATGAGTGGCGGATGGCCAGGAAGTTGGCGGGGTGCCTACGCCGCGGCCGCCTGCACGGATCATGCGAAGGTGAAGGCGTTTGTCGCCTGCCATATTTCCCTGGCGCATGTATACTCGGATGCAGTTTTCCATGATTTTGTCACCGCGTCCTTTGATCCACGTCCATTTATCGAGCATCACACAAGTCGTGAGATCCGGAAACTGTTGCGTAAACGGAAAATGGCTACGGCCGCCACAGACGACGTGCCGGAACGTCCTCGGATACCCGATCATATCGACCGCGTCGATGCACGGGCTTTTGATACATTAAAGTTTGTCACTCGCTTCGCACATGCGAGCTGGCCTTGCATTCTGACTCATGCTACCGACGACTGGCCCTGTCATGCATGGAACCTGGACTACATCCGTGATGTTTGGGCCGACCGACTCTTTCAGGCAGAGGCATTGCAGGTCAATGGCCGCACCTATGTTGAATATGCGCACTCGGCCGGAGGTGGTGGTATGCCTGTCGCAGATCTAGGTGTCGTGCCGGACACATCGCCCTTTTATCTGTTTGATGCAGATGTGGCCGCGGGGGAAGACGATGCAGCGCGTGGATGGCGTGTGCCCTCTCTCATTGCCCGTTATCCTATAGGAGCAAAAGGCGAGGGTGATGCGCGAGAAGCCGATGAACGCACGCGTGCTGACTTGTTTTCACTTCTGGGCGAAATCCGGCCAGACTATCGTTGGCTCATTGCCGGACCAGCACGCAGCGGAAGCTGCTGGCACAAAGACCCGAATTTGACATCCGCATGGAATGCCGTCACGCAGGGGTCCAAGTATTGGATGCTGCTACCGCCAAAGACAGTGCCACCAGGTGTGTACGTAACAGAGGATGAGTCAGAGGTGACAGCACCTGCCAGTTTGAGTGAATGGATGCTTGACTTCTACGCCGAGACAAAGGCGAAGCACGGACGTCGTGAATGTGGTGGTGATGGTCAGCTGATCGAAGGTGTGTGCCATGCCGGTGAAGTCATGTATATACCCAGTGGTTGGTGGCATCTTGTGATCAACTTGGACGACTCTGTGGCATTAACGCAAAACTTTGTGAGTGTGACTGAGCTCCCATCGGTCCTATCGTTCATGAAGTATACACCAGAGCAAATCAGCGGATTCCGCGCAGGGACATCCAAGACGTCAGTATTTGACCAATTTGTCGAGAGATTACGCGCGTATGATGCGGAGATGACAGACGAAGCTCTGGCTTGCATGCCCAAACGTAAGAGTTGTCGTGCTCCTACGCTGGCGAACGAAGGTTCTGACTGGCGAGTACGCTTGAGCTGTGGCGTGACAGATGAGTCCAATACAACATGCACGCTAAGTTCGCTTGTCGCCGACGAAGAGTTGGGAGACACGCCTTGGTGAGCGAGACCAATGGCATGTCACTAGTCACGAGGACGACCATGGTAATGCCATGCATTTGTATAGAAACGCTAGTGTGTGTGTGGCCTTCCTAGCTTCTCGCGCCATGTTGCATATCGCTTTGATGCTTGCACATCGTTCATGGCGCCCGTAATCCACTGCAATGTTCCAAGTACATTGGCGTTGAGCTGCGTTTGGTCCGGCGAGGGGGGAGCTGTTGGGTTAGGTCTCAAGATCTTGGCAAGCGATTCAAGTTCTGTCCTGGCTAAGCGCAGCTCATATTGCAGAATATGGCACCCACATAATTGGTACTGCATATTGTAGAGTTCGCGTTTTGCATTCCCCGATATAGCGTTGCTCTCATTCACAAGGCTCGCACGGTACATGGAAATAGCTTGGATTGCATGTTTCACAGCCTCTCGAGCAGGCGCACTCAAGACGGGAATAGGCGCGTCGCATCCATCTGCATGCCAAGCAACATGTATTTGATTTTGGGGGTAATCCGGTGCATTCAAAGCAGCAGCAGCTATTCGACCCAACACACTCGCGTTAAGCGAAAACGCCATGGGGAAGGCGTCTGACAACACTGACCCGGACATCAATTACCGCACATGCACACCAAACCAGTGGAGGCGTGTCATTCTATCCCTACAGCCCAAACCTCTAAACCTATGCATGAAAAGCGTTTTGTTTCTGACATGTTTGCCTGTGATTCCACTTGATTCTGGGTCTCGTCTACGGGGCCCAGCAGGTCTGCTGGTGGTTTTGGTGCATTATCGGCAGCATGGCTCGCATTACTTTCGTGTGGATCACACAACACCTCATTATGGAATGCAGGGCACCGTCCAGACAAGCCATTCGTCAATGTATCGTCGAGCCACAAGCCGTAACGACCATCCCCCCCACCCACAGACAGGTAATCAGATTCAGATAAGACCATATAGTCGTTTTCGCCTGACCAGCGAAAGTACTCAATGGCTCGGTCAGGATGCAAGTCGTCGTGCTTGCTTGCATCACCATCTGTTATTTCTGGTACTGCAGGCAAACGCCGCTGCACGGTCTTCCACAGGAAACATTGTCCGTTTCCGTAATAGTGCGAAGCCACATGAAAAGGTTCATTGACAAACGCGCCAAATATATTGTCATCTGCATCTCTAACGGCAAGTACGACGGCACAGTCCATCATAGAATTAGTTGCACTGGCAGTTAAGCTTGTGCACGCGGCAGGAGCTGAGGTTCCTAGGGCGGCAGATCGTGCGGCTGCAGAGGATCCACGCAGCCACGCCTCGCTAGGACCACTTGTCATTGACGTCATGTCACTAGAAAGTCGTCCAACGCGGCTGTACAATGTCGACAAACTTGCACCGTGTTGATCTAAAGAGTAAAGCAATGACCATGTCTTCCCAAGACGGAGTCGACGCGGAAAGAGTGCTTGAATACGAGCTGCATGCCATGGCTCAATAACAGGGTCTGTGTCATAGCGTCTTTGCTTGAGTTCGACAGGAATCGGAAGCCTATCGCGCTCATGCTCTTGATCTGCATGCATAGACCAATGCCCGTGATTCCAACGAGCAGATGCATCGGGATCAAAGCCCGGTGCACCAGAAATTGGTCCTGACATCGTCTGTCGACGAACTACAGATGGTCGGCGCTGTTTCTTTGTCTTTGAAGACGATGACGAAGAATCTCTGAATGCACTGAGGGCTGCGAGCTTGTTCCATATCGCATCGGACCAGTGAGATGATGTTGATGGTGAAGACGTCGATAATGTGGGCAAAGACGAAGACTGCGTAGATGTATGACTCGAAATTGGTTTTTCTTCCTCTTGAATCATCGCAGCTGGTTCTTGAGTGATGGCTCCAGACATGCTTGGACAAGTCGGCTCTGTGGCAATAGTCTCAGCTATTAGGGTTTGGCGCTGGTCGTCCAGTTTTTGTTCAATGTGGCGCAAGTCTTTCACTTCGTCAGATGTCGGCACATGTAATGGCTTTGCTTCTTGAAATTCCCCAAATGAATCTGATCGCTGATGCCCTATGACCTTTTCGCCACTCATACTGGCCATCGTACCCCCCAACAACACACGCCAGTCTAGTTTGTCGGACAAGCGTTGAGCACGGTTCAGGCTGGCTTGACTAGGTTCCTCACAACCCCAGCCACATAGACCACGTGGCCAGCGTTTCTAGTAACACTCAGTTCGATCTGGTAGGAGAAAGGACACCCCACCCAGCTACCCTTTCATTAGAGTACGATCACTGCGAGTTGGACAAAATGAATCCCGGAGTAGCAAAAGCAAATGCATCAGCAACCTATGACCATGGCAATTAGTATTTATGTGTCAGTAACGTGAGTAGCGTGCTATGTACTTGTGATACATCAAAACGACTGGGCATTAATTAACGACTGCCATCGGAAAGCTTCTTTGTACGAGGGTGTGACAAAGTAGTAAATGTATTTGGCATCAACGATGCGTAGATACAGTTGGCCAACAATAGATGCTGGAGGAATTGTGACATTTTTGTTCATACTTGGAGGAAATGAGTGGACTTGAGGCCTTAACACAGCGAGCAAGTCAACCATGCCGAAATCGGACGAGGCAAGGCCGCTTGGAGATGACGCTGTGGCTGTGGCGTGCTGCTTTGCACTATGCGGAGATGCTTCCTCGGACGTCAAATTCGATAACACCACTGCAAGATCATTGCAAAGCAGCATTGTCACAGGCAAATCAAGTGTCATTTGCTCAAGCACTTCGTCGTCGAAGCCGGCTATGCATCCGCTCGGAGCCTGAATAGACCGTTTCGATACACGACGGAGTCGAAGCGGACCATCACAAATAAGGCGACGATGCGGCTGCACGAGAGGCGCAGAAAACGTGCCGCGTAATTTCGTCTGCCACTGCAAGAGGCGCTTTCCCTGCTCAGATTGCCGCTTGCCCTCGTTGACCCAGGAAGCGACAAGTGAGATGTGAGCAAGCGCTCGAGCGAGCGCCTCTTGGTCTGTATCAGGCAAAACACCGTGCGATGTGCACTTGATGAGCTGCTCCAGAAGCAGGCGATAACGAGGTATTCGCTGGATTGGTAGCAATAGGTATCCTTCGAGATTGATTTGGGAATGGCGTGGGTCATCTCGGCACCGTTTTAGGAACTGTTGCATCTTTTTGTGTTCGCTGTACGACATAGGAGATGAATCGCCAGACGCCTTGTCGTCAGAAGACAAAGCCGTGTCGAGGTTCAAAAAGCGCTGGCCAAACGACGCCAATGATGAACTAGAATTCTTGATGGCAGATCGTACGCGAGGCGAGATAGGTTCGTACCACTGAGCAATAACCCGCAGAGCTGTTTCGTACTGATTTACGTAGTTCATATACATTTTGAAATAGGCCGCATACTCGGAAAATACGTTCGCCACATCGGCAGCAACTTTTGCACTGAGAAGCGCGTGCCGTTCCTCCTCCAATTCAGGGATTACCAAAAGCATACGAGTCTTTTCTTCAAGCGCTGGCAGAAAAGCGCCAATGTGGAACTGGATAATAACTTCAATATGACCGAAGATGAGGCGCTCTTTTTCCACCGATAGCACACGGTCATCTGAGACGCCGTCCAATGGCTGGCGCGCACGTTTCAAATATATTTCCATAAGCTCTGTCAAACCGGCGACATAAGTGCGCTCTGTTTCCACGATTTCTCGCAGAACACGATACCGCTTGATAGCATTCTCCTTTACATTGCTAGGGGCGGCTACGGCAGCGACCGCCTCGCCAGCCTCATCCAAGATTCCATTTCGCATTGAGACATCGCCAGGTGTCCCAACTGGTGTCGAGTCCGACGCGCCGGTGGACGAGAATGCAGAGAATGACATAGTGGGACTGCCCAACCCACTGCTTCCCGTCGATGAAAAAGCCACTGTCGCTAATTCGCGCTGCCTGTCAGGCAAGAGCTCATCCATATCGCGCAAATATGCACGCAAGTTGCGTACATGGCAAGTACCGATACGGGCGAACCAATCAAGCACATCCTCTGGGTTGCTATTTTTATCGTACACAGGAAGAAAGCACTCAATGGGTTTTAGATCAGGTGGTGGGTTGACGCGAGGCTGGTTAGTGACAGGAACAGGCACAATGGACATTTTTGTTGGGGTCTGTTGAGGTACCACCAAGCTGCTTTGCGAAGATGACGAGGACGAAGACCGCACGGCTGAAGGAATACGGCTAGGTGGCGTGCTGAGCTTATCGTTACTGACACCGCCTTGAGTCTCATTCATTCGCAGGTAATGTCTGTGGGGGGTACGGTCCAGCGGTGAGCCTGATCGGTTAGGATGCTTGAACTTGCTCAGGAGTCCACTCAGCTTGCGTGTCTCTGAGGGACTTGCCACTGTAGGCGAAGATGCAGACATAATTGGGTTCGAAGTGACGAACGGAGGACTGTATGATTCAGCCTGGTCCATGTGAAGTAATGGATGCAGGATCGTTTTCCATGCAGGTTTGAAATATATGTTACCTTCGAGGAGCAAGCAGTCCAGATATTCGAGCACGTACAGCCAACTTGGCAAACATGTTAGACGGTTTCGCCGCACACCAAGGATCTGGAGCTGAGACATCACGATGAGTTCTTGCGGAATGGACGGTAATTCGCAATCGTCAGCCAGTAGTACTCGTAAGTGTTCTAAAGAACGCAAGCTCGCCAAAGGCGCGGCCAATTCAGATCTGCCGAACGGGTTTCCAGAAATATTGAGCTCTTCTAGCGAGGTACAAGACGAGAGTGAGAAAGGCAGCATCTCGAGCTGGGAGCCAGAGATATCGAGTACGACAAGCATGGTAGGAATCGATAAGATATTGTAATCGGAGAGAGGGCAGTTCTTCATTGATAGATGTGTTGTGGATGTCGAGACTTGATCATGAGCCTTATCTTCAGAATGAACGACGCCCAGAACGCCTTTCCCCGTCTGAGCCAGCTGCTTGGCTAGCGAAGTTGTAAGTTGAGGCCGAAATGTATCACGCAAGGGAGTAGAAGGTGCCGAGTCACATACATCCCAAGAACCACCGTCTTCAGAGTCGGATCTGGCGGTCGAGGTGCTAGTTCTGACACTTTCGGCATGGAAGGAGCCGTTGGCAGTGGGCGGCGTCACTTCCAGTTCATGTAGGGAAGGGACCTTTACGGCGAGGGACACGGGCGTATTACGTCCCGATGCAGACATGGATGCACGAAGTGGCGACTTCGGACCTCTGCGTCGCTCAGTGGGTGAAGGTGATTTTTCAGGCCCCACAGTTGGTGAGGAGGCAGTGCGAATATCAAGAAGAGGTGGCGGGAGAGGCTTGAGGCTCCGAGGAGGAAACGGTTTAGGTGGGTCCATTGTGTTCGTGGATGCGGCATCAGACGAAGTGTCGAACGAGGGAGGAGAGTCTTGAAGAAGAAAATTTATTTGCTGCTGTAAAGCATTGGGCGTATTAGGTCCCATCCCAATCGGTGGCGATTGGGGGGGCGTGTTGATGTTTGATACAGATGATGATGGGTTGCCTCCTCGTGAAGCAGATCGATATGTGTTACGCGGAATGTCTCCGAATGGCTTGAATTGTGACATGAAGGTATATGTTGCCATGCCTGCTGAATAGAATGTTAGTACGGCACGGATACATGAGATAGTGACACAGGTAGTGCCCAACCAGATCGCGCCCAGTTGAAGCAACACCATCCTGCAGAGCCGGACATGCGCTATCATGCACACCAGCAGTCGTGCATGAGTGTGTCAGGGACTAATCAAAAACATGGCGCATAGAATGCACTTCAACCGGGAGACATCTGAGGGCAAGGCGGAGCAAGGGGTGAGAGCACATACCTGGAGGAGAACCTGGGGCATTTCTGTATATAGCGTGATGCGATGGGGAGCGTCCCATGCTATTTGTGCGCGACAAGTTTGCTTGATGAGACGGCGATGGAGTCACCGCAATAGATGTCCTTCGCTTCGGCTTATTTTGTGAAAGTTTCAAATTTTGAAGCATGTTGTCGATTTGCAATGAGGAACTAGTCGACGACGCCGTGTCGCCAGGTAACCTGCCCACATGCAGTGGTGAAGAAATAGACCGCCGCTCTCCTGTCGAGAAGACGTCACCTAAAGGACTGCCACGCGACGCCGACTTGGACGGCAAAAGGCGGGGTTTGCGTCCCGACAAACCATGTGAGTCAGTCGGTTCCATCGAGAGAGTGCGTGCACTCGCGTATGTGGGTGATTCGTATCAAAGGCCAAGAGCGTGCAGTTATTCTATTCTTGCCAAGTAATACAGGAAAGCTCGTGGACTAGAAGCACAAAATTAACAAGAACGACAAAGAAAATCGGCAGCAAGCGCTGCCCGACCACAATCTGTGCCGGGGCGCGCGTCGCTCTACCAAGCTATCCTGACTTTGCTGAACCCTAATCGCGCGAGTTTAATTGTTGGCGCACACGGTTCCACTTACGCGATCATTAGTCATAACATGCATGCATTGACATACTATATGAGGTTAGGCACAGGAGACATGGAACGTGGAACTCCGCGAATGCAGATAATGACGTTCAATTGACAGGAAATTTGTGGAAGGAAAAGAAGGACTATGAGAGCAGGAAATCTCCATGGAGGGTAGAGCAGAGGTCATTGCAATGTGCCAAGCTGTCCTGTATCTTTTTTGGAGGAAGGGGAAAGAGAGGGAGGAAAAAGATATGTAGAGAGAGAGAAAGGAAGGGGAAAAAATCAAGGCGATAGTTTGAACGTGAGCTCTTAACGATTACAATTCTGTCGTCGATTCACGCATATAAGCAAGTTTCTTAGCGATATCTGCTGGTGTGCGATCAAGTTCATCGGCAATGCTCTCCTGCTTCTCGTGTGGTAGCGCCGTATACAATTCACACAAGTCTGCATCTACCACAGCCTTAACAGGGGTATAATGTCCGCGATAAGCGAGATGATCGCGCCCCGTTAGGCTCAGGTTCTCCTGTCGCATGTGCATCTCAAGGGTGGTGAAAAGACGTACGTCTTCCCGACTGATAAACGGAACAAGCGCACCTATTGTCCCATTCACGCACGTATAAAGAACCACGGGCCGACCACCAGGTACAAGACTCTCCATCGAGAGACTAGTGATTATATCACCCACGTGATAATGTGCTAGAAGCTGCGCACGATGTGCCGCACCCATCAAATACGACCGCTCATTTTGCAGCATGAGTCCTGTTGGATCTTCATCGGCACTTAATGAGGCGCTGGAGTCAATACGTAGTACAAACACGTTGCCGAACTTGTCGCCAGCCATAACAGTGTCGTAGTCGAGCATAAGCAGCGCAGAGGTGGTCCAGCGAGGCATGATGTCGTCTGCAAATGCCACGAGAGTGTTCGTCGCTGGTTTGTAAACGGAATAATGCACTGACTCTTGCATGTCGCCCACTATCACACGATAGCCTTGTACTTGCAAGCTGACGACTTTGGACGGAAAGGGCCGGCTTTGACACTTTCTCAGCAGTTTCTTGGTCCCCATGTCAAAAATACGCACATAGGGCCCCGTTCCTGCAAGCAAGCGTCCATGGAAGGCACGGAGTGCCAGCGGCACATGATCCACTTCAGTCTTGTGCACAAGGGCCAAGCCGCAGCCATTGTCCGTTAGGCGATACGTGGATAAGAAAGCAGCGCGCCACGTGAGTGGTGCATGGGTGACGCCCAGAGCGGAGCCAACGACCAGGAATAGCTCATTTCCACACGCTGCGAAGGGCACAAGAGCCATACTAAGGGCCGCCTCGTCCTTTTCTAACGCATATTCAGCACAGGTCTGCATTGTTGTGCCATCGACCACACGCAAACAACTTGCCCAATGACCAGCGCTTGCACGTACGTGGCCGAACTGGACAGGATCCCAAGCTGTCCGTGCTTGAGACACTACATCGGTTGGCGGGACAACTCGGTGGTCGGATTCAATCACGTAAAAGAGCGAAGCCTGCTGTGGATGGACGGCAAGTTTGCGTGGTGTGTACGTCAAGCGAAGAGAGTCCATCTTGAGTTCGCTGCCCAGGCGAGGCACAGTGAGGATCCGTAGTGCATTGCCTTCAATGCCCAGCAAACCATCAGGACATAGTTCTGTATGGAAGGTCGAGACGTGGGTAAGCGCCTCGAGCATGAGCGGCGTAAAATGCAAGTGACTATGCAATGTATAAGCAAGCCAACTGCGTGTACTCAATGCCATCATCGCCGTGTCGCCATGGACTTGCGTGCGGACGAGCCTGACAGGCCGACCACCAAGGAACCGTGTGCGAGTATCGGTGAGCTGCCCTGTTGAGGGATCGAGGACTGTGCGGATGTAGACGCCGTTGGCCAGGCCAATGCACACAAACATCGTGAGATGGTGTCGATCTAGCGATGCGTCAAGCATCTCACATACGGATATACTTGATGGCGGTGCTGTCAGTGCCTGTAAGCTCATAGGAGCAAGTGTGGAATCGGGATCCAGTGAAACAATTCGCACGGTTTGATCTGCACACGCAATGGCCACGTAAGGTGTCCGCTGACTGCCTTCAGGGCACGCGCTGATGCTGAGGGCCACAATATCGGCTTCGATATCGCGGCGTTCTTGGAACTCATTCAGCTGGCCGTCCATGTCGAGCTCAAAATACACAATCTCTTGGCTGTCGAGGGCAAGGACGACCTGGCGCTCATTTGTCGTCGCAGCAACGATCTGTGTCGGTGATCCGTCTTGACACGAGGGAGTGGTCCACTCGTTGACCTGCTTGTTCGACAAGATGTGCCGAATGCCGCGAGGATGTACCTGCAAAAGCGCATCCGTGCCCAGTTGCTGCACCGCAAGAGTTCGCTCCGTCGTGAGAAAGCCGCTATCTTCCACCTCCTCGATTGTTTCGCCGATACTGAGAACGAGTGTTCCATTCACAAAGCTCAGCACGATGTACCCATCGTATTGGTCTGAACTGCGCAGCTTTGTGGACCATACGGCCTCCGGCACGCCTGGCAAGTCGCTACTGACAACTTCGCTCACTTCTAGGCCATGGCGAAGTCGTTTGAACGAGCTGCGTGCGCCACGGCCACACGCCGCGTAGATTTGCGGGACATCGCTGTGAAGAGGGTTACTAACCTTCGCATCCAAGAGCGGATCAAGTGCGTCAAGTTCGTAGGCTAGCGCCAGGTTATCGAGTGGCCGTGGGCAAAATGTCGGCAGTGATGGCAGCGGCGACGGTCCGGCGTCAGAGCTGCCATAGTCCGTCGAAATATACTCCGGGAACCGCTCGTCGTCATCGTCGCCGAGCTTTTGAAATGCATACAGCTGCTGTGCACCCGTTTCTGAAGCGACAAGGAGAAAACCCGAGCGCAAAATACACAACGTGGCAGCAACAGGAACGGTGTCAAAATAGCGAATACGCAGAGCCTCGACCTGCTCGTCCTCATGGTCCACCGACACCTTGAACAGATCCCCATCTTCATTCTGGACCAGGAGAAAGAAAGACGTCTTCATCTTGTGTAACACACTAGCGACAATCATCGAGCCACGACTTTGGCCAAAGCCGTGCTGCTCGCGGACGGGAATCGGAACTCGGTGCTCAGGCTGGCCTGGGTGCTTGTACACGATATAGTCATCCATACACACGAGCACACCACTGGGTCCATCCCAGCGCTCCGTAGCATGGTTGTAGCCGCCCGGCACGGGAATGAGATGATGCGCACTTGATGCCACGGGCTCCGTCCAGCGGCGCACGACGTGGTTCAGTCCGAGATCCAGCTCGTAGTAGGTAAGCATTTGCTCGGTCCGAGCATATGCCTCGCCGGTTGGATCGGCATCTGCATCAGCGTAATCTGTTTCCAGCGATGCAAAGAGTGGATTTTCATAGCCGACATCAACGCCAACAATGCACTGAACAATCGCCGAATGACGATGCGCTTCAAGTGGACTAGATATAGTGAGATGTGCATCGGTATCGCGGTTCAGGATGTAAATCAACTTGCTCTTTTCTACTGCGCCGATCAGCACGGCACGGCCTTTCGGGTCCGTGGCCAGGTACTGGCCGGGCACAATGCGGCGATTTCCAGATCGCCCGAACGTCTCTTCATGTACTTTTTCAAACTGATTCAACGAACCATTGTACTCGAGCACAACAATACGCCCTGCATCGCTGCCCAGAATCAAGTAGTCTTTCGAGCCGCCCATCAGCCGGAAGCTCGCGGCACTTCGAATATTGCTGAATGTATGTTGCGCCAACGACCGCGTCATTTGGCCCGAATTGGTATCTATATGGTACATTTCCAGACGACTCCCACGGACAAGGAGCACTTGTTGCTCACGCGTGCCTGCGAACTGCCCTACAACGGCCGTCGTCACATTCGACGACGGCTGCAACGTCAAGTTGTACAGCTGCATCTTCCCAACTCAACACACACACACACACACACACACAAATGCACCTTGTTGTATGTGATGCAGCACCCCTACACTGAGCGCGTGCGCTGTTCCCAAGCTTCTGGCGGCTTGTGTGAGAGTTCGCGTAGACAGAAAATCGTCCGTCTCACCACTTTGTCTACCAAATTGACCGATGGCGAATTTTTATCGCCCAGCGCACTACCAGGGCTTAGTCAGCAATTCGGTCTTAGCGTCATTCAATGGCCAAGTCCCCCCAACTTTGGCCAAGGCGGCAGCTTGGTTTCGAGTGAGTGTGCGTGTGTTTGTCGTAGCTAGCGCGCCATGAAAAGTAGCAGCTAGCCGGGACAGGATGGTGACAACGACGAATACAGACACCGTGTCGGCATCGTTGCCAAATAGTGCGCGATCCTTGTTCAGCCCGTCATGGTGTACACAGGATAGTACTGCACATACAGGGCCGTGGGCATGGACGCCGATTATTGCGGCCCCCGCATATTTTTCCTACGATAACTGGCTCGCCACAATGCATGCCTGGATTGAGCATCCTGAACGAAATAGCTCCACGATTTTGCGCGGCGAAATATGGGCATCCGAGACTTGCTCATGCCATGACGTCCACAATGAACTAGACGATGATGGTGATGCATTGCACACCACTTTGCAGTCGCGGTGCATTCGACGCTTGTTGCCACGAAGAACGCGACTCGATCGAGGCATGTTGCAGGAATGTGCTATTTATACCTGTGCGCCCAATCATGGCCTTGTCGTGTACACAACACTCCGTCCATCGGATCCTGCAGACGAGCGACCGAATCCCAACTTTTTCTCCCAGGCTACATCCGATGACCTGTGTGCTGAGGCAGCTGATGTGCCTTACTATCATCCAGCGGTCCGCGGCGTTGCCTTTCACTACATTCCTGCGCACGATAGCGAAAACTTGGGTGAAAATACATCTGTGACTTCTCAAGGCACAGTTCGGATTGATTTCGCTTTGTTTCCCGCCGAGCCCCATCCCATATCACCATCGTCCAGACTCGGTCGCACTGCACTTTCTCTCTTACGAATGATGCATCAGCACGCGTACGGTCATGCGACTTCGTACGTGAAGCGCGTGATTCACGACATGCTTGTCCCGCGCGATGCATATCAAGATCTTTACGTCACACTCCGCTCAAAGTATGCTCACACTCTTATCGGCACATGGGCTGAGGTCACAGATCCCCGGAAGCATGTGTTTGAGGATCTTGGCATTGCGGCATGGCTCATACTCTTGTGGCGCGACATGTTTCCTGCGTGCGAGCCTGTTTCAGAACCTCGGCATCAGCTCCGTTGTGCCGACGTGTGGGGCCAACCGCCTGGTGGATTCGTCGACATCGGATGTGGGAATGGCCTGCTCGTTCACATCTTGACATGCGAGGGTTATGTGGGATCTGGATGGGACGCACGAGCTCGCAAGTCTTGGCACAATTATAAGCAACAAGGCACTGTGTTGTTAGAGGCCCGTCTTGAATTGCTGCATAGCGAGCAATTGCCCACCACTGCATGGATTCCAGCTGGTGCATTCCTTATAGGGAATCATGCTGATGAACTCACGCCGTGGATCCCATTTCTTGCTGCATCAACACCTGCCTGCTCGGGCTTCGTGAATATTCCCTGCTGTGCGTGGACCTTGGAGGGCTCTCCATTCACACCGACCAACCAGACGCTCAGCGAGAATGACATCGCTTCGTGGTTCCGCGTGCCTCCAGCGTCGCTGCCCAAGCCATCTATGCCCACAGCACCTGTGAAGGCACCGTCGTCATCGTATTCTTGGACGGACCGACTGGCTCATTCACGTTGGTTCATTGAACGGACTATCATGCCGTCAGACTGCCTCAGCACCAGCCACAAAACTTCCCACTCGAAGCACCTTGCCTACTATGTGTACCTTGTGGCGCTGCACTTACAAGCAGGCTGGCTCTTTGAGTCGGAGGCTTTGCGTATACCTAGTACAAAGAATTGGGCTATGGTGGGTCGGTATCGCATGTCGGAAGGAGATTGAGGGTCGGGAACAAGGTGCTGCACTGAAGCATGCTCTTCAAGTTGGGCACTTACCAGCCATAATCACTAAATGTCATCTTAATGTGTTACTCCATTCACGTCGATCGACAATCAGTTTGTGTGCGACTCGTACACATTTGCTGACTAGATATGTCAGTTCATCTCTCGCATTTCGTTTTTACTATGTGGTAAATACAAAAAATGATGATATCTAGCTTCTAAGAGGGACACTCATCTAAGCGGGCTGCAATAGCCCATATATGTATGCGTTTACAAGATGACTAGAAGCGGAAGCAGGATAACCATTGGGCCCATGAGTTGCATGATCCACAGAGGACGAGATCCACTACTGCGCGCGTAGAACTGGCCATCGCCAGCCGAACGCTGGGAACCAGAGTCAGATGCAGAATTCGGGCCCTGTTCCTTGTTTGAGTCCTTTCTGACATGTGCATTGGAGTGGGTCATGTTCGACGAGCCTGAAGAACCGGACGAACCAGACGAACTAGACCAATTCGAGTGCTCGGTGTACTTGGCCTTGGGCTCATGGTATGACCATCCATCAGGACGCCAGCCCATCTCAACATCGTAGCGGCTGAACAAGGCTGAACGACCATGCTTACCACCAAATACGGCCGAAGCATCGTGGGAGGCATCCGGCACCACGGTCAGACGCGTCATAATGATGCCATTCGAGTCGTCTGACCAGTCAGGCAAATCGCTAAAATCGCCAGGGAAGCCGTGCAGATTCTCATTCGTGCCACCAATCATGTTGATGTAGCGCCACCAGCTCAGGTTTCGGTCTCGACGCTTGTGGCCTCCTTGCAGCAATGCCATGCACTTCTGATCACCATTGTGCGCTACATCTTTGTAGCCAACAATATTCACCACGTCGCGGTTGATGTAGCGCTTATAGTACGCACGGGGATGTTCGTTGCTCGACAAGGTGCCGGGGAAGTGGTCAAAGCCATAGCGCCAATTGTTGTAGCTTGGACAGTCATCGATTGAGGCAATGCTCTTGTCATTGAGAGGACGATGGTGTGTGAAGTATGCAGAGCTACTGGGATCACCCACAATGTAGCGGATATATAAACCCTTGCGACTCGCATCCTTGCCGACTGTCGCGTAACGGTTCATCAACTGACCACCACCTCCATGGCCCACCAACGTGAGGTTCTTCATCTTCGGATATTTGGACGAGTCTGAGAAATGATCGACAATGGCATCCACAGCATCCACCGACGACACTGCTGTACCATGCGGATGGACAGCCACACTCCCTGACTGCCAAGAATTCACGTCATCCCATGCTAGCGTCGAGTCATTATACTGGCCCAGGTTGAGCTTATGAGAGTAAAACTGCGGCGCCACAACGATCGCATGCTTAGGCACGCCATCGAAGTTGTCTTTCTGCGCGCTTTCTAACGCATGATTCATCACAGACCAGTAGCGATCACCATCGCGCAAACGGCCATGGAACATAACAAATGCGTGCGTAGCTTTGTGGTTCTCTGGCTTCGATGTCCAGTACGCCGGGATCTGCGTGCCCGTATCGCCAACATCCAGCGATGTCAGGATGGCGCCATCCGGCACATTTGGCGACCCATGCTTCTCGCCTTCCATCCACTTTTTGTTTGCTTTCTTATCTATGATTGAGGAGACATCGATCACCTTAGATGGTACAATAAACTTGCTTTGCATATTCGATCCACGACCGTGCAGACGCACTGGGTGGTAATTCATATCAGCATGCACACGAAGCACGCAGCCCAACAATGCCAGGACAACCGCCACTGCGCACGCAGTGGTCGTCATTTGCCGCATGTTTTCTGTTGACGGTGATGTGCGTGAGGCACAATTAAGAGAAGCTTACGGTCTTGGGTGTGACGAGTGGACTTGAAAATTAGCAGGCGCACGAAGGTCGATGTTGTCGAACTTGGCGTCCAATCGAACTGCGTGCCACATGCCAAGGTGGGGGCACATAAGCGAGTCCATTGTGTTCAGCCACACACATTTGCGCCAATCGCGCGAAATGTCATTTAGTGGAGGTCTCGGAGAAATTTGTGTGACATGCATAGATGTTATATTGGGGACATTCCTTGCATCGAACACGTACCTCAATGCAGCAGGCGTTATATTTCGGTATTGACACATTAAGCATCATTCCGTGGCGCGCACATGTCAGCCTTTTGGAGCCATTGGGTCGCTAGCACGGCCACAGCATTGTCCTGTTTCACGTGGCGCTGAAGCTTAGATACGCGTTTGGCATCCAAGTCAACCACTGATACTGGTCGCCGACTCGCTGCATTCGGTTTCAAAGGAACAAAGAGTGTCACGTCTTTGAGTGTAGCTGCTAGCAGATATGCTGCTAGTACATATCGAAGCGTTCTTGGCTCGCATATCATGCGATGTTCCGTAGCATTCGCATCACCCACCTCGGCATCCCCGGAGCTGGATCTAGGCAATATGACACTTGGTACGGCGTGCAAAGCAATCCACATGTAGTCTGACAAGGCCACCTTGGGAAGCACGTTGAGTGGCACCGTGGCCAGATCCGTGCCCGTGACATGGCGCCATATTGCTGCAATACCTTCGATATCGTAGGGGTCCAGGCGCTCTTGCTGCCATTTCAATTCCGTCAGTAATGCTTGGTTTTCACTCTCCATCAAGGTATTGGTTACCCGTCGCGCAAACATGCGAAGCCCTTCGTCGGTGTCAATATGTGGTACATGCTTTTTTGCTTGAGTGTAGGTCACGCATTTGCCGTCAATAAACACGCGCATGTGTCCCGCATCATGTGTCCAATCTGCAGTGAGGGCTTGCACGGCCTTCTCTATTCGCTTGGCGTCCGCACTGAACAGATCCAATGGATTGTACCACTTACCCACATCTGCGGGCGTGATGCGTAAATGCGCGTGTGTGCCATGATTGCCTTCATACCTCAGCTCCTTGTACAGACGTTGCATATGATAACGAGGCATCAATCGCTTACATGCATACTGCGAGTTGGGAAGATTGGGCATGAAGCCACATTTCGGCTTCAGTTAGTTCGTAGAGCATAGTGTTGCGTACCTTAATTTCTACAACAAAGTTTGCTCCTGTGTCTGAGGCAGCGTTTGGGTATGGCCGACTATCGTCCCGCATTACCCAGATATATGGCGTGTAGACGTCCATCCTTCCTTGACGTTGCCTAGCCACAGGCCTGTGCGGCTCACATCCGAGTGCAAGTTGCTGGAGAAGCGCGTGCCAAGCTGCGTCATTCGTTTGAATTCGTCGCAAACATGGCAAATGTGAGCGTGGCAATACTTTACTCAGGACATGCTCAACAAATTCATCTGCCAAGGGTGTGTCACGAGCGTCAGGCGCATCGATTACTTTCGGTATGCGCAGTATGCAAACTTCTCCCCCACCTTGTGTATTACAAAATGGCCATACTCTTGGCCCCTTGTAGCGAAAGAGTATGTTGGCGGCTCCTTCTGCATGATACTCCCAATGAGCAGGATTTACCGATGCACTGTTGAGGAAAGGCGGCCAATCTTTGTCGTCCATGCTCAGAGTATGATCCGGCAGACATTAGTGGAGTTATGCGCAACCGTGGAGAAACCGGCCCAAGGTGTGTGTGCCTTCCCAAACAGGCTCCGGGTGTGCGTCGCACACACCTCTCCCCTAGGCCTACGCGTATTAATTTGAGTGCAATACACCTCAATCATGTGCTGTGCCCTCAATTGTGAAATGATACTCAGCAAAGTTTCTCCTATGGCCTGCGTAGACTCTCTCCGATTGTTCGACGTGCGACACAGAACTTTGAATATCTTGCCTTGATCGACCTATGATTGCCTGATAAATCAGTAGGGTACAATCTTGAATTTCTATAGTATACTATTGTTTATACAACATACTCGTTCATGTTGTGAGGGGGTTATGCGAGTGCGAAATGGACCATCTTGGGTAGAGCAGGCTGGCTTAAGCGTGTGTGTATTCGGCGCCATCTGCCCAGCCCAAGGTGGAGGATCCGACCAGGTCAATAGAACACAACGAGCATGCGCCTAATTTGTCTTTCTTTCCTATTCAAGATGCCGTCGGCACTGGTCAACGCATTATCGGCGCTATTCTTTGACGTCTCTTCGCCAAATTATTCATTGCTGGCACTACCAGCCATGTACATGATTACGATTTTGCCACATTGGTACTCGATTGCTCTGTCCATGTTTTATAATGGTGAATGGGCCAACGAGAATCCCCGGGCGTTTGTCACACGACTTGCGGCACGCCCTATTCTTGGAGACAAAAAAAGTCAACATACGCCATTAGAGCGAAAAATCCTGCGTTGCCAGGCATGTCAGCAAAATGGATTTGAGAATATGCCGATATTCGGTCTTGCATTGTTATGCGGAATCTTAGCTGATCTGCCTGGCTACCTGATGAACATGATGGCAACACTATTTATTTTGTCGCGTGTTTTGTATACGTTGGCGTATGTTCTTTCGGACTCACGAAGCATGTCATATATTCGGACGATCTGTTTTGTGGGCCAAGTCGCATTGTATATGCGATTCTTTATGCAAGCTGCCTGGTCTGTGGCTGGACGAGATCAAACTCACCGCTGGGGTTTCTAATGTTTTCCCCACCCTTTTTTTTTTTTTTTCGACATTGTTGCCTGCACAATTTTGAAATCTTTTTGTATAGAGTCACGATATACAAACTTGTATTCTATGGAACTGAAGTTAGTCTTGGTCTGTAGGGACCAAGACGTTGCTCTGAGCAGACACTACTTACGACGCCCACCCATTGCCAACATGACATGACATTGTTCGGTCATGAATTGCGATCACTGGGCGATAGTAAAGGTGTAACTCAAGGAAATTCGGCTAGTTTTGATAGCAAAAAAATGCAAGATGTTCAAGGCTATGACTGGGGACGGCTAGTTGGACCACATTGTAATGCGCTCGTATCTCTCGTTCGCCCACGACGTCAACCATGCAGCTCCTGAGCAAATTCGAGAGCCACGACCGAGGCTCGGTTGTTATGACGCGCCCAATCAGAAGTGTTGAGGGTAAATTTTTTGGGTACGCGGGTCGGACAGCGAAAATAGAAAAAAAAATGCAACACAACTTACGTTTGCTGTTCTAGCGTTGTCGTCATGGGGGGCAAGAAAGTATGTGCACAATGGTATTAAGAACGCCCAAAACTTACTCATAAAGCATACGTCGAAAACACTCATCCAAAAAGATGCGATGCATCCCAATTCTCGACATGCGTATCAGAAAGCACGCGTCATGCTACGTCAGCGACGTCTATCAGAGGCCAAGTTAGCTCGACAGCGGCAGCGGTCAGCGAAGGGCACGTATTCTTTTATGCTATCAGACCATTCTAACAAATACAGTGGACCGAATTATGGCATTTGTTCTCTTGCTGTCAGAAGATAAGACACACCTACCAGATCTGTATTCATTCCACGACTTTATGACGACCTTCTTTCTTGCACGACATGACCAAGAACTTGCAGCACTGCAAAAAGAGCATCGTCCCGGACGTGCCAAAAGCAAGCGTCTAGCGGAATTGGAAAACTTGATAGCCTCAGAGAAGCGCGAATATCATGATGGGATAGATGTGCCGGATCTGTGTGATGAAATCAATGTTGGTCTCCTACGCCAGTGGGAGGGCGATCCGCAAGCTTTGCCACTCTTCCGATTTGTTCGAATTAGTGGACAGTATCGTGATACGTGCCGCGTTATACAGCATGGGACTCACAAGCTCCTGCAAAATGATAAAGGCAAATCCAGTAACGATGAAAGTCATTAATTGCGCGCTAGTATCGAAACTGGCGACGGTGCATCGTCACATACACGAATTACGACTTTGCCTCCGGAGCGTTTCTCAGCATCTGCAAGAAGTGTGAGGCCTTTTTCTGTCTCTTCTAGTCCATTAAGAACAGTATCAATGACCGGCACAATCTTGTGGTGCTCGAGAAAACGGATGCTTTGTGCAAACTCATACGCGGACCCAAGAGTCGTTCCTTGTAGGTCGACATTCTTAAGCACCTCGCGCATGGTAAATGCAACTTTCGGTACAGCGGTCATTCCAAATACCACGACGCGGCCGCCGTCGCGTAGTCCGGCGCGGATAGCCTGACCGGCGATATCGCCGCCCGCTGAATCGATCACAGCATCGAGATATGGCCGCGTTGTTGGAAGGCTTTTACGGAGTTTATCGGGCCAAGCCTCGTCTTTGTATAGCAGGCCTTTGCACGCATGCAATGTTTTTGCATTCCGAAGTTTGGCGTCTGATCCTCCCGTCACAAATACATTTGCGCCGGCTGCGACGGCCATTTGCAACGCAAGCATGGCAACGCCCCCGCCAATGCCGGTAATCAACACATTATGGCCTGCTTGGACGTGTCCTTTGGTGAATAGAGCTCGGTAGGCCGTCACTGCGGCACACGGAAGCGATGCACTTTGCACGGCTGTGAGATGAGAGGGAGCGCGAACCAGTTGTGTCCTATCAACCGCGATGTACTCACAGAATGTGCCCGTGCCGCATACTTGTCGTGTCGCGCCCAGGATACCGAAACCGTGCCCGCCGAACTCGTTCGTTGCAATGTCAGCTGGCGCATTCGGCAAAGCAGCTTCTGGTCCTGCTTCGTCGCGAAGCCAGCCGCGGGACGGAACGAGTAAGTACAGGTCTTCAGACAGTGGCTGGAGTGTGCTTGGATCGACGATGATGCCACACCCATCACAACCCAATGTAGAGTTCTCGAATACAAGTCCTGGGTAAAGGCCGAGGGCAGACCAATGATCGCGTCTGTTCATTCCTGCAGCAAGGATCTTTAGGAGGACCATATTGTCTCTGAATATCGACGGAAGACTTACATGACGAACAGCGATGACATGACGCTCGCCTTTTTTCGCGCCGTGAGGAGGAATTTCAAGCTGTACCGCACGCATGTACCTGTTTTGTTAATTGGTATATTCAATATTTCTTGAAGCACCCTCACTTGCTGCACTTGGGGCGGCTGGCTAATTTTGACAGCCCAGCCACCCCACTAAGGTAAATTTTTGTCCGTGCACGAAATATTCACAGTTCTGGCCCTTGCCACTGCTATGTCTGTGCTAGTGAAGGGGCGCGCAGACAAATTGAGTCGCACGTGGAGTAAAACGAGCAAAAGAGGTTAAGGGCGAGCGTTAGTGAAACAAGAGTGGGGGAATTGGCCAGAGGTGAGTGGCTGTGTTTATTGATGTGTAGGCAGCTGTGACAAAAGAATTGTTGTGGCCTAGATGCGTATACCAAGCACAGTCGTTGATCGACCTCCATCGTCATCACCATGAAACGGCGAGGAACACAGTTTTGTTGCTGTGTACGTAGTGTATACATGACGCTGGGTATCGAACTAACACCCTCATAGGCATTTCCCCTTGTCAAATTTGGCGCATATATGCTCGTGATTGAGACGGCGTTCGTTGCGCTGTGCTTGGGTATTCTTGCACTTGCGCCACCGCCCATCGTTGGTGGTATGGGAGCCATTCCATCATGGGGGAAGTATGTGATTGCTGTCATTGCTTTTGTGTTGGCTGCATGGCAGATTCTTGGTCTCATTTCCGTGATATCCGATTGGCCGTGGCTTTACAGACTATACTCGCGAATCAACTTTCTCGCAACGATTGTGCTTCTGTGTTTCACAATTGCATTCACTGTAACAGCAGCGGCAAAGCATAACGATACAGTGAACGAATGCATGGACAAATTCGAGGGTCCGCTAGCGCAAGATGCCATGGGGGTCCAAGCTATCCAGAGCCGTTTGGACCAAGGTCGCCATGACCTGTGTAACTATCTCAGTTGGGCCGATGTTGGCCTGATGGGTGGCCTGGTCGTTGTCGTTGGACTGACGCAACTGTACATGTGCTACATGCAGGGCCAGTATGGGAAGCGCCAGCGTGCTGCGCAGAAAGAGTCCCTTTCGCAACCCGACGCGGCTGCATACCCAATGCGAAATGCGAGCATGTGGAATGAAGCGAATCGATACAAACCTGTGATGACGCATGAGAATATAACACGCAATGAGCCGCTATATAATACTTATTCACAAACTCATTGACCTGGCGCATTCGCATTGCTGACACAAAGGTCATCAGACCGACGTGTATATGCAACACAACCTGAAGAAAACCGGAAGCTGGAGAGAGGAATGAGTGACACATGAAGATGTATATAGATCCATGTGTGTGTATCTGTAGACGTAAGCAAAGTAGATCTTTCTATTCCTATTGTACATTCGAGTCTTCCTCTATGACCTCCTCGTTCACATCAGCTTTTGTCTCAGTGCGTGGCGTAATGACCGGCGGTGGCCCACTAAGGTCGACACCTGCCGCCTGTCCATATGCATTTAGGTCGACGGCCGTCCGGCGTTGGAACGCATCATCCAAACGCTGTGGATTCTGGCGAGACTCTCTTGTCCACTTAGCCTTGATCTCACGACGTGTGCGCCGAGGAAATAGACGAGTGATCATTTCGAAGTCTGTGCCCCATTGGGAAATGGCATGAAAGAACCGCTCTGTCTCTTCACCCGTCCAGCGTTGTGTTCGTCGCTGTTTCCCTCGTGTTGCGCTGTTGATGAACTGATCACTTTCGCGCTCGTCGATGACCTCCCAGTTCCGCTGCTCTCGCTCTTGCTGTTCGTCATCACGGTAGTTTGCAAACAAAGATTGCTCATCCAGCACAATCTTACCATCCACAATACGTGTTTGTACAGCAAATCGATTTTCTCCAAACTGTGGCTCGACGTCGGGCGCTGGCGTTTCGCGTGGTGTGTCGGAAGGTGTTGGTGTCTCCGATGATTTCATGGACTCGTTTCCGTGGGTTTGGCCCTCCGCTGACTGAGACATGGTCCTCTCTCCGTCTTGGATCTGCTGCTGTCCCAACGCCTCATCACGTCGCTTTTTGAGCTGTCGGGCCCGGATACGCTCAAGTTCAAAGGTTCGACTGCTTGCACGGCCACTCCGCCAGTTTGTTACTGCGATCGACTCCATACGTGTGGTGCCGATATCAACACGCATGGGCGGCAAATCAGCATCCATGGACATTGTGCCAGATTCATCTTGTGCGCATTGACGCTGATATTCTGCCTCGTCATCGGATATACTATTGTTTGTTCGTTTCCGAGGACCACGAATGCGTGTTTGAGTCGTTGAAGCAGTTGATTCTAGCGTCGTTCCAGGTGCGCCGTAATCAGCACGAACTGCCGGGTCTAAACACTGCCAAGCCTCAGCTGCTTTCTCAGCAATAGCACTCGGGTCAGAGTCCACGTCCATTTGAAGAATGCGCAGTGGATCTGCCTGAGCAGCATGCAGAAACCGCTCATATGGTGATAGAGTCGACGCACCACGATTTAACGCTCGCTTAGAACTTTCAGAAGGCGATGAATCACGAACCTGCCTTCTTGGTTGTATTGGGACGCGTATCTTAGGGGGCTGTGATGAAAATGCATAGCTGCGCGCAGTACCTGAGGAGGGGATGCCAGATGATGTTGATGGCGCTGACTGTGATGATGGCTGCTGGACCTGCGTCGGTGTTCGCGTTGAAATAGACTGAATGTTGCTGGAACTGCCAGCCCCACTGTTTGATCCAGACGCTATTGTGCCGGCGGTTTCTCTTCGCTGACCAGGTAAAATACGCATCGACGATGCGCTTCGTGACGGGGTATCGATACGTGTGCGTGACGGCACATTAATTGGCGCAGGTCGAGGCGCTGCTGAATCGTTTGCCTTCTCAGTCTGCGATGAGCGCTTTCCAATGGCTACAGCAGGTCTGAATCGCTGCGTTCCCTTTTCAATGCGTGACATGAGTCATGTAGGGTGGATGCTTGGATGGAACACTTGAGCAGTGAATTTGTACGGTGGCTCACACTGACAGATAGGAACTTGTGGAGATAGAGCGCGTCGCTTGTCCGGATACACATTGGACCGACATCCATCTCCTGACATAAGCAAGAGGTGGATGTCTCCACCTCAATCACGCACATGTGTGGATTCAGGGGTCGACAGCCTGTTCTATGTGCACGTCCAGGACAGCGAGTGTGTCATGAGCCATGCCTGATGAGCGACTGCAGCAGTATCTAGAGACGCGCTATGGATCAGGAGGTCATACCACGAGGAACAAAAATAATGAAGATGGAGGATCGCGAAAAAAGAAAGTCTCGAATCGAAGGCATCTTCACGCCACGCTCAGTCAGAATGACATGGTGATTCGTGATGAAGAGAACGTGTGGTTTGGTCAAGACAATGATCATCAAATTGATGAAGAAGTAAATGCGTTGTACAAAAAAAAAGCTTCAGCTAACGAGTCATTGCGTGTGCCCCAACTGCAAAAAAGCACTGCGACGCAGTCATCTGGATGGACAGCGGTGCGCCCGCCTTCAACCGAAACTAGCAACATGTCACCTAAGGAAAGAGTCCTGGATGTTGACCCAAATTCATCTTCGTACATTTACCCCGATATCAATTCTCAATCGATGTCAGATGCAATAGCGAGCGATGACCGAGCGACCGTTCAGTCGAGTGTTTCTGAAGCGCGACCTCAAGCTGGTCTTATGTCGCGTGAGCAGCTGCGAGCACAGCGAGAGGCACGGAAAGCTGCCGAGAAAGCGGCTGTGGAGTTGCAGGGCGGCGTGACTGAACAGCCTATTGCCTCCGATCCACAAGAGACTGTGTATCGGGATGCTCTTGGCCGTCGCATCAATCCTGCAGAGGAAGAAGCTCAATGGCGAGCAGAGGAGGACTCGCGCAAAAGAAAAGCCGCGGAGCGCGCTCAATGGAATCGTGGTCTCGTACAGCGTCGACAGGAAGCCGAGCAGCGGGCCGATCTTGCGCAGATCAGCACGGAGCGAGTTGCAAGGTACGTGTGCTGGCAGATAAGACAGTCAGTATACATGCATATGAGTTAGAATCTTGATGCATACATGTAACTGGTGCTCCAGCATCCTGCATTTTCTTCGAATCTTGCTAACTCTCTTTAGGTACGCAGATGACGCACGCTGGAATGCATCTCGGCGTGAGCAAATGCACTGGGACGATCCTGCGCGTGTATTTCTCACGCGGCGCCGCTCAGGACGCCGCATCATCCGTCCAGAATATGAGGGACCAGTGCCTCCGCCCAACCGCTATGGAATCCGACCTGGCTTTCGTTGGGATGGCGTTGATCGAAGCAATGGCTTTGAACGCAAGTTCCTTATGTCGATCAACCAAGCACAACGTTCTAAAGCTGAACATCATGGTACGTATGGCTATGCACAGGCTATATGCTCACTGTCCATGTAGCATGGTCCATGGAGGATATGTAGATCATTTTCGTTACCCTGCCCCCTTTGTGCTCTTTTTGTAGGTGCATCCCTGTCGAAAATTTCGCGTCCAGCTGCACTGCAACCTTTGACATTGTGGTGGTCATTAAGTGGAGATGTTAGTCGCGTGAGTGAGGATGTGTTTTGCTTCTTTCCTCTGTAACACTCTCTGCCTCTCTCCACTTCCGTGGTTGGCCCATTCTGTGGTTGTGGGACAAACGCACGCACAGAACTTTTTCTTGGAATTGACGGCGAGACGCAACTCGTCCCGACCCATATAGTCGGTGGTTCAACTTGCTGTTTGTTCCGCACAATTGGAAAGGATTGTACCAAGTACAAACGTGCTGGTTGCTACTGTGTAAATTTTCTGCAGTGACGGCATGTCGACGATACCATCTTCCATTCCACTTGTCTCGCCCTTAGCTACACGTGTTCTAGAACTCCATGGTTTCTCCCCTGCCATCCGCACTCGCGACTTGCACATGGTTCTAGAGCCCTGGAGCTATGGAGACCCGCCTGCCTATCGCATCAAGTGGCAAGACGATGCCACGGCTTATATTCTTTTCCAAGATGCGAGCGTGGCTAAACAAGTGTACTTATCGCTACTATGTGCACCGCCCGACGTGCTTCGGGTAGACTTTAATGGCACTGAACTGTATGATACATCACGGAAAACATGTGGGCGCATGTTTGGCGTAAAGTATGCCCAGATTCGTCCATTTCATGGACCTGAAGCGCAGGCTCTGCTATCGAATGCAAATATGCTCGCAAGCGACTCGACACCACTGCTGTCGCCTTTGCCATGGGCATCTCCTCCCATGGGAAGGGGTACGAGCATGGGCATAGGTGTTGGTGCTGGCGCAAATCCCACATTGGGCAATGCTGGAGCACATGCATTACAAGGGGCAGGTCCCTCAAGAGCGCATCGGCGCATCGCCAGCAGCACGGCGCTCCCTAGTTCGTCTGGAGATGCGCCTGCTTTACGTGTCCCAAGAGACAATTACCGCGGCGCAGGTCGCCGCGCAGTTTCGGCGTCGATATCGGGCGATCTTGGAAATGGAGGTGGAATGACTAGTGGCGTCTTTCATCACCGAAGCATGTCGCGCCAAGCGCGTTCATAAGTATACAGGTGCATAATGCGAGCGGTTACTTGGTATTTGCGTATGGGTATCATGTGCACCGGGCCATGGGCCGGAGAAAACATACTTCGAGCGCGGAAACGCCAAATTTAATCGAGCACAGCCGTTGCTTCCTGTTGTTCTCGGCGCAGCTCCTCCCGGCGCAGAAGTTGCCGCTCGTAACGAGCGACACGACGTTTCAAACTTGGCGCTTCATGAATCGCTGATCGCATGAGCACATGTTGACAGCCCGCCGCAGGGCACCGAACAGAGCCGTGCCGGCCTGGTGCTTGAGCCATGTAAGATGCGAGAGCTTCCCGAGAGTATGCATGCTGACAAGGAGCATGAATGACTGGATCACGAAGAATATCAGCGGTGATAGGACATCGGAACTGCCGAACAGTACCACCCATTACGATTTCGTCGTCATCTTCGTTATCGATAGTGACTCCACGCGCAAGGCCATCAGCGTCATGATCATCATGACGTCTAATGCCTGACACATCCACTTCTTGATCGCCATGCTCAGCCGGCAGCAGATCCACAAGAGGCGGCATAGCACCTTCATGTTCTACTTCCCAGATGCGTGACTTGAATTCAATGTACGCAGGGTGCTTTGAGTATCGTTTGCGCAATGTCTGGGCACGATACGCGTTCATGCGCGTGTGTACACGCTCCTTATAAACACAATCCAGCGACGATGTGGTCTTATTTTTCCGCGCATGAATCAGCAAAAGCACGAGAAAAAGTGCACAGAATTCTGATATACTTACATTGTCAACATGGCCTGATTGGATCAAGGTCTCTAGCTCCTCAAGCACAGCAATCCGCGTCTCGGATTCAGTAACGAGATCAATGAGGTCTCTGGTCATTTGGTCAAGACGATCAACACGCTGCTTGTTTAAGTATACATATGTTCAAGCTCATTGCTCACATACATTGTGTTCAGAAGCGTACTCTTGCAATTCAGCCGCGATGTCAGGAAGTAGTTCCAGCTGCACCCGCAAGCTAACTAGAGATGCGCGATGTTGCGCAATGAGCTGTCGAATACGCGGTGAAAGACCTGCATCGACAGATGACATTAAAAAATGCACGTTGCATACAAGCAAAAGAAAGATTCGAAGAGCCGTTCTTCTGTCCTTCCACGCTCTTTGTGAAATGCAAGTTAACGATGACGCGTCTGTGCCCAACGATCTACACACTCTAAGCGACTTGCGTCGCGATCATTATGCATTAGTCAGCACACGTTCATCAGACTCAAAATGCACGCGCATGCAGGGCTGGAGTTGGTCTAAATATGGACCACCTCCACAATCGCTAGTTTCTGGCTGGTCAAGTGAGCAAGACTGGGGCGGAATACCGGTGGCGGTCCATGCGAGATGAGAACCCTAGGATTAAACCAATAAATTGTGCTTGCACGTGCAAATTGTTGTCTGGCCGGTAGGTCTCGGCAGAGGCGTGTCAAGAGGGAGAGAGGGAAGGGCATACGTCAAGTCCGTCTGCTACGTGAACGAGTGACCAACGCCCTCACGAACATGACGTGCTCATGTACGGCGATCAAGCAGCGCGCTCTGCTGGCGATCATTTCATGTATATCGGTGATTGTTGGCTACTTTATTTGGTTCAAGGCCGTGTCTGAACAGCCCAAGCCCCAGCTGAATGAGTTTGGCCGATTGAACTTGGCACAGGCTCGCAAGGCGTTTGGATTCCCAGACCGTAGCTTGTTGATGTGCCAGGGGCCAAAGTGCTTGCGATTTGAGCGCTTTCTAATGACGCTCGTATTCGTGTTCAAGGACATGGTGGATGGCGATGCAGGTCGTGGCGGTTTCATGCTCGTGCTTTCTATGTTGCTACCAATTGTGCTATTTATGTGTGTTCAGGCTGTGAAACCGGAGACGCACATTTTGCAGCGTGGCTTCATTGTCACACTTGTTATGATGCTAGGCCAGGGAATTTGCATTGGTGCGTCGGTGCCACTTGTGTATGTTCCCCTGTTTGCACTTGTGCGTGGTTTGACTTTGCACAAGACGTATCCGGAGCGGCCGTTCGGACGTTATGCGCCCTCTGTGATTACACCGCTCGTGTCGAGTATAACGATTCTGTCATTGATCACCGTGTTCTTCCCACGCGACCACTGGATGTGGCCCCATGTAAATGTGGTGTTCCAGTTCTCCCCTATGTTACTCCTAGGATTGTCGCTTTATTTGGTCGTTATTGGCCGCCAAAAGTCTGTGACGACAACCAAGATCTCAGAGATGTATGAAAATAACCTCATTTTCTCGATGCTCATGTACTGGGTGGGCCTATACCTATTAAAGCCCACGATCGGCCGGGTCTTCCGCGGCGAGGACACAGGCCTTACAGATGGTCAGAAACTCATTCTCTGGGACTCTATCGGCTTGCTCCTTACAATGATCTTGCTTGTCGCTCTTGATGCCGTTGCCGACTACCAGCTTAAGTTCGAGCAGACTCGCGCGTTGCACAATGGTTCGCTGAAGAAGTGGATTGTCGGCACTATTCGCAGCATCTTTATGGGTCTTCTCTTCGGTCCAGGTGCTGTGTTGGACCTGTACTATGCGGGTCGCGAGGATGTCGTCACTCCGGTGCACTCCTTCATTCCACAGGACATTGACAAGAAGAAGAAACGTACGTAGTGGCGAACATGGGGGAGTCCAAAGTCTACAAGTGTGAACGCTGGTGGAGAGGTAGGTGGCTTGTGCACGTGATGAATCTGCCGTCTTCGTCAGCGATGAGACGTGCCATTTTGGGAACCAGAAAACATTTTTTTTTGGTGCGTCCCTTAACATCGAGTCCGTTCGCCGTCGCCGTCAACTTTGCGTTGCAACAACGCAGAGCGCATCATCCAGCCGAGCCAAAGCTAATCAGTTCCCACACCTGTGTGTGTGATTGGATTCCCATTTTTTGCCTGCGACGGTGAGCGATTGTGTGCCCACGATGAAATACATTGTCGTGAGTGGTGGTGTTATATCCGGCATCGGTAAGGGCGTGATTGCTTCGTCAACAGGTCTGCTACTGCGCACGCTGGGCTTGCGCGTGACCTCGATCAAGATTGATCCTTATATGAATATTGATGCTGGTACCATGGCTCCTACTGAGCATGGCGAGGTGTTTGTGCTGAACGACGGTGGTGAAGTCGACCTGGACCTTGGAAACTACGAACGATACCTGAATGTGACGCTGACGCGCGATAATAATATCACCACAGGCAAGATTTACCGTGAAGTCATCGAGAAGGAGCGTCGTGGTGACTACCTGGGTAAGACGGTGCAGATTGTGCCGCACCTGACGGACGCGATCCAGGATTGGATCGCACGCGTCGCTGCGCTGCCTGTGGACGAGAGTGGTGAGGTGCACTGACGTGTGCATTGTCGAATTGGGAGGAACTGTTGGTGATATTGAGTCAGCACCTTTCGTCGAGGCGCTGCGCCAATTCCAATTCCGCGTTGGGAAGGAAAACTTTGCTTTAATTCATGTGTCGCTCATCCCAGTGATTGGCGGGGAACAGAAGACAAAGCCGACTCAAGCGGCAATTCGCGACCTGCGTGGCTTGGGTCTTGTGCCTGACCTTATCGCAGCGCGATGTGCGGCGCCGCTGGAACGCCATGTTATCAACAAGTTGTCGCTCTTTTGTCAGGTGGGTCCAGACCAAGTGCTGGGCGTACACGACGTGAGCTCGACGTATCATGTGCCGCTCCTGATGGAGGCGCAAGGTATGATCCGCTTCTTTGAGCAACGCCTGCACTTGGATTTGAGGCGAGATGTGCCGTCATCCCGTGTGTCGGATGGAAAGGAGCTGCGGAGACGCTGGAAGGAGCTTACCATGAGCCGCGAGCGCGTCTTTGACACGGTGGAGATTGTGCTTGTCGGCAAGTACACTGCCTTACAAGATTCGTACCTGTCCGTGACCAAGGCACTAGAACATGCGTCGATGCAATGCCAGCGCAGGCTGTTGATCAAATGGGTCGAGTCTGGTGATTTGGAATCCCACACCGAGCATGAAGATCCGGTCAAGTACCATCAGGCCTGGCAGCATCTGTGCTCGTCCCAAGGCATCATTGTGCCAGGTGGCTTCGGTCTCCGCGGCACAGAGGGCATGATTCTGGCTGTGCGCTGGGCACGCGAGAAGAATGTGCCATTCTTAGGTATTTGCCTAGGATTCCAGTTGGCTGTGGTCGAGTTTGCTCGTCACGTCTGCGGCCGCAAGCATGCGCATTCCGCTGAGCTTCACCCTGAATGCAAAGACCCTGTGATTGTGTATATGCCTGAGATTAGTCGCACTCACATGGGTGGTACGATGCGTTTGGGTCTGCGACCAACTCTGCTTTCCGATGCTTCTGCGTCATGGAGCAAGATCCGCCGGTTGTATGGCGGCCAGTCGATTGTCTGGGAGCGCCACCGTCATCGTTACGAAGTGAATCCTGAAGTTGTGGAGGCAATCGAGGCGGGTACATGCAGCTCAGGTGCACGCCTCTCGTTTATTGGCAAGAATGAGCAAGGAAATCGCATGCAGATGGCGGAGCTACAGGGTCATCCATACTTTGTCGGCATGCAAGCCCATCCGGAGCTGGCGTCGCGCCCGCTGAATCCATCGCCGCCATTCCTTGGTCTCGTTGCCGCGGCTGCTGGCATTCTTGACGAGCAAATGAAGCACCAGATGCATGGCTACAAGCCGCCCCACCCTAGTTCAGCGATGGTATTGGAGTCGCAATCAGATCAGCTGGCAGAACAAGCCACTGTTGCAGAAGCTGGCCAGTCAGGCACAAGCCAACAAACCAAGTAGGCGGGCAGAAAAGCCCAGGTGAAGGGGCCCAGAAGGCCTCTTTATGTAGCAAGCAACGAACCATAGTCCCAACGGTACGCGTTAAGCAGGCATTGCCGGAAGGAGGAGGCGTGGCTGCTACTTGCCACAAAGTGGAGGGTGCATGCTTTATATATCTTGGATGTTGCGTCCGTTCGCACTTTGCCCATGTACGATGAGGTGCTGCGGTGCATGCAAGCGGTGGCGCTGATGCTCCCATGCATAGGCTGTTTTTTAGATGCACCATTTGGAAAGTTTGGACTTCCGAGTGCGTGGAATGTAAATGGAAATGTGGGATGGATGTTGATGGAAAGTGTTGCGCCCTTAGCTGTCTGTGTTAGTTTCTATGGACAGGTACAAGCTGTAATACACGCATGGGCTCGTATCATGTTGTGGCTCTTTGTGGCACACTATGTGAATCGTGCATGGATCCAGCCATGGATGAATCCGCCACGCACGCCCCTTCACATCTCAGTGATTTTGAGCGCGATGGCCTTCAATGCCGCGAACGGGTACCTGATAGGCACATGGCTCGCACGCGGCGGTCCCATCCAGCACGTAAGCGCGTGGATATATGTTGGTCTGATGGCTTTCGCACTGGGCTTTGTAGGCAATGTGTACCATGATACACTTTTACGCCGGCTTCGTACGTCGCCCCCACGGACCAAAGAAGAGTTGCTTCGCACGCCGTCTAGTACGTATCGAGTACCACATGGAGGCCTGTTTCATTGGATCAGCTACCCGAATTATACCTGTGAATGTACGTATATGTGTGCATGATACTGATGCCGAAGGGGTTGAATGGATCGGCTTTGCATCTATGTGTATATTGGCTGTACCACATGAGCGTGCACCGATCTTGTCGCATCCGCCGGCTCTCTTTGTGGCGCTCGAATTGGGCGCTATGATGCCGCGTGCCATTCGTGGCCACGCATGGTACAAGCGCCGGTTTCGAACGTATCCAAAAGATCGTCTTGCTGTAATTCCTTTTATAGTGTGATGAAGCATGGTGTCAGGACACACATATACACATACACACACACACCTGTGCCGAGAGTGTGCAAAGGGCCTATCTGTGCGTGCCTCCACCTGTGATGAAGTCGAACAGACCGGACTTGGAACACCTGTTCCTGCAAGCTCCTTCGCCCCGTTTGCTTCACGTGCCGGTCGGCCGGAGGTGTGTCGCAGCCAGTCGGATCGGCCCGTTGTGCTCGCGCGCGCTTTTTGCACATTCGAACTAGACGCGCGGCCTTTGTCCACCCTCCACTGTTCTTGATATGGTACGTAAGGGCTGTGATGAGACACCACCAAGCGATGCGTTGAGCTTACACGAGTCGGCAGTCTGAGCTGCGATACTGGGGAAATCCACAACTTGAGCACTGTACGTATAAAATGATACGTTTTCTTACTCAGTGCATGCACGGTACACCGGCACGATTCATCCAGATACAACGAAACAGTAAGTTGAGGTAGCTCAGCCTTGCTTTGTCTCGATGAGCTAACGAGTCAGTGAGTGGGCGACCCACCAACACCGAGACACAGCTGCGGCCATCGTGGCAAATGGTGCGCTTCTCACGTACAATTCGATCGCTGATGGCGAGTCGCGTGCGCGGACCAAGTTCCGTGTGTGTGAGCGAATGATCCAACCGTGTGGTCCACCACCCAAGCAGCAGGAGATGATCTAAGATGGGAAAACGAAAGATTTTTGGCAAAAGTCCATCGCGGTGTAACAGGCATGAATCGTCATCATATACACATCTATGAAGGGAGTGAAGAAGAAGTAGTAGAAGAAGAAGAAGGTGGTGGTGGTGGAGAGAATGGAGTGGAAGAGGAAGGCGCAACGGTGGCACTACGGGTGTCTTCTTTTTTGCGTCGCTTTGGATCTGACTCACGCTTGGCAGCGCGCTTGCGCGGTTTGGCAGGTGCTTTACGTGGAGCTTCCTCCGACTCTTCTTTCGGTGGCGGTGGCTTAGCCCCGAAGAAGTCATCTTCGTCATCATCGAGCGACCAATTAACGCCCTGTGGCTCGTCTGCCTTGTTGCCGTTGCCATCTGCACTGGAAGCCGTAGCTTCTTTGGCATTCTTGTTTTGGCGTCGGCGCGCATGCATAGCACGGGCGTTTTCGGCTTTGCCCTGTGCAAGCTGCGCCTCGTCTGCTTGCTTCCGCCGCAGCATCGAGTCAGCGAGCTCGTCGTCGTCGAGGAGAAGCGACACGATTTCCTGTGGCTTCGCCATGCCTGATTCAGAGTACGCTTTGTTGCCAACCACAATATCTTGTACCTCTTTCTTGTTGCGTGCAAGCTTGACGATTCGTTCATCGATAGTGCCTTTCGTGATAAGACGGTACACGGTGACTTGCTTTGTCTGGCCCAGACGGTGAGCACGGTCCATAGCCTGGGAATCATTCGATGGATTCCAATCGTGGTCGTAGAAAATAACGGTATCAGCCGCCGTCAAATTAATACCGAGACCGCCTGCTCGTGTCGACAGGAGGAAGACGAACAATTCAGGCCGGGTCTGCCAGTCTGTGACCATATCACGACGATCCGAGATCTTGGATGCACCGTCTAACCGCAAGTACTTATACTGCCGGTGGATCAGATACTCTTCCATCAAGTCAATCATGCGAGTCATCTGGAAGTAGATGAGGACTCGGTGGCCGCCAGCCTTAAGCTCGCGCAGCAGGGTATCCAGCCTAGCCAGCTTGCTCGAGTCCACAATGAGCTTGTCCATTCTCGGCACCTGCATCGACGGTCCCCATAGCTGAACGGGCGGGGTCGTCGACACCAAGCCTGTAGGCGGCACGCCAGGCAGGCGGGCTTCCAGCCTGTTAACTTCGTCGATGTCCTCACGCGCATGCGGCGGCAAGCCAAACAGCGTCTGCTCGAGGGCCACGTCGGACTGCCAGCGTTCCTGACGCTCGCAGAATGGCCGGTTGTTCGCGTACAGCTGCGGTGGTGGTGCCACAGCCGCAGGGATGGCAGCACGAGTGAGTGTGGCGACTCGCTCGTCCATGACTCGCTCTACGACTTGGCCAAGCGGCACCAAGCCATATGTCGGCTCCTCCGATGACCACGGCATGCGGTTGCGAACGATACCTCGTGGCAGCTGTGTATGCTGGAGCACAGGACGGTCCTGTGCCCATTGCCGCTGCGTGGCTGCATTGGTTACGAGTCGTGTGAGCAAAGGCGCGTGGAACGCAGCCTCGGCATCACTCGCTGTCATGTTCAGCAATGCGAGGAAATCAAAGGTGCGAGGGCTGTTGTTGTTCTTGTACAAGGTGTCATGGATGTGCGGCTTTTGCCAGATGTTGAGCAGATGATCCAGGTAACGGGTGTCGAATCCGACACGGTTGCCAGGCGTCGGCACATGCTGAATCGTGTCATGCACAAGCAAACGTGGGAGTTGCATGTCGAGCAAAGAGTGAGCGGCATTGCAGCACAAGCCCATTTCGTTGTCGCGCAAAGGTGCAGCCGAGGCTGAGTAGCGTGATACGGCGAGCGGCGCGCGCACATCAGCACGTTCAAACAGCTCGGGGTGATTGCACACCTTGCGGAACTGCATTACGAGGTTCATAAGACTCTTGAGTCCGCTCTCGTCATTGGCATTCGCCTTGTCGACAAGCTCTGCGACACTGACGTGCGAGCGTAGGCTCTGGTACAGGAGCTTTTGTCGCGCTGACAAGTCACAGTACACGTCGACCTCAATCTTCTCGCCCAGCTCGTTCTGTACGTGTTTCTTTACCCGTCGGAGCATGAAGGGCTTCAGGATCATGTGCAAACGACGGAGCTGGTGCTCGTTGAGTGTGCCTTTGTTCTCTGCATGATTCTCAATGTCTTTGGAGAACCATTCACTAAATTCGTCGTGCGAATCGAACAGGCTGGGCATGATAAAGTGCAAAAGCGCCCAGAGTTCCTGCATCGAGTTTTGCACCGGCGTACCGGTCAGGAGCAAACGATTCCGGCAGTGGAAGCCCAGGAGCGTCTTCCATCGGTTCGATGAGCTTGACTTGATGGCTTGTGCCTCGTCCAGCACCATGTACTGCCACTTGACGCGCTGGAAGTACTTTTCGTCACTGACCACGAGCTGGTACGATGTCACAAGCACATGGAACGGAGCATCACGATCGTACGAAATCTGCTTCCGGTTCCAGAATTTGCGCAGGATCGCCCGGTCTTTCACGTTGCCCCAATATGGCAGTGCTTTCAGCGCAGGCACAAACTTGGTGATTTCCTGCTGCCAGTTGTGCAGTGTCGAGGCAGGTGCAATGACCAAGAAGGGACCCCAGATATCGTGCACCTCCGCCAGATATGCCATGAGCGAGATACTTTGCACCGTCTTTCCCAGACCCATCTCGTCGGCCAAGATGCCATTGATGCCTTGCTCATACAGATTTGCAAGCCACGAAAGACCCTTGAGTTGATACGGCTTCAGCGTGCACGTAAGCATCTTGGGCTGTTGCACCTCGGTGATGCCCATGGATGTCGGGTTCACAAAGTCCAAATCGTCGGCGGAAAATGGCTGCGGCGCGGCAGCGGATTCGCGTGCCTCCTCGGCTGCCAAGGCCTGTTGCTGCTTCCGCTCCAAGGCAACGGCCGCGTCGAAGGCTTGCGCCTTGTCGCGCGCGGCGCGCACAGCCTCTGTCGCATTGCGTGCCGCGTGCGCACGAAGGTTCGACTCATCGTCGTCATCAAAGTCAATGTCCTCCAGATTGACATCAGTGTTCGCGGCTGACGCAGCGGCAGCATCACTGCCAGGCGCTGTGCTTGTGTGGCTGTCAGCAGATGGGGCTTGGACGTTGGAACCTGCGCTTGCGCCTGGTGTCGAGGTATCGGCAGCCGTGTCCTCCGACTCTTCCGCCTCAGCGGTCTTGAGCTTATTGCCGACAAAGTGACTGTACAGCTCCGTTTGCGTGATAAGGAAGTTGAGTTTGCGGGCCTGGCGCTTGGCCTCGCGCATTTCCTCTTCTTTGCGTGCCTTTTCCAGCGCTTCTTTTTCGGCCTTTTTGCGCAGATCGCGCTCTTCGCGCTCGTTGCGCTTCCAATACAACAAAAGCTCACGCATCACCTTGCGTGCACGCAGTTGGATATCCTTCGTCGACTTGTTGTTCCGTGCCGCACCGCGACGAGCTTCTCGCTGCACCACAGACGACAAGCGGCGCCAATACAGGGCCTTGTTGGCCGCGCTGGCCACAACTGTCCGATACACTTTCGGAATGTCGCGCTTGGCAATGGTCGTCCAAACACGATCGTGTGCCTCGCTTAGCAAAGCGGCACGGCGTGCGCCGATGGGAATGATATCACGCACCGCGCCAGAGGTCGGGTCAATGAGCTCGGGAATAGGCTCCGACTCCGGCAGCTCAGGTGCTGCATGCTCGTCATCTGCGAGCCCGACGTCGGCAGCAAGCTCTTCGAGGTAGTCAGACCGATCAGCTGGCGCCTCTGTCGGCTTAGCAGCCGGTCGATCGGCCAGTGTATCGAGCAGTTCCATATCGATATCTTCTTCCTGCTTCTCATCTGAAGCACTTCGTTGGGCTCGTGTGCGTGCTTGTGCATTTACGAGGCGTCTTTCGTATGCATTGCAAAGCCGCTTAGTCGTGTACTGCTGTGTCTGGCGCATCCACAACGAGAATGCATCGACCATGTGCGCTTCATGCGCAGTTCGTTGTTGCTTGTACGCAGCAAGCTCATCTGTCCACAATGGGACATTTTCATCTGCCGACAGGTCGCTATCCCAAGCAAGGGCGTCGTCGAATCGGCGTGCCGAGCTTGGCGTTCGAGGCGTACGCGACGAAGACGCTGTGTGGGAGCGTCTAGACGCTCGCGGATGGGACGCCCGGCGACGTGACGAGCGCGATGTCTTCGACACGTCTTCTACATCGTGAGCGGATGGTTTAGCATGCTGCAGACGCGGTGAGGATGGCAGCGATAGCGACGGCGATGGCGATGGCGATGGCGATGGCGATGGCGATGGTGATGGTGATGGTGATGGTGATGGCGATGGTGATGGCGATGAAGCAGCAGCAGAATTAGACGCCTCCGATCCAGATAATGATCCAACAGAAGACTCATAGGCCGACGTGGATTTGACAAGAGGTGCCTGGATGACCGAATCGTGCGTAGATGACGAGGGTGGTTCATTCAAGATATTGGATATAGACATAGCAGGACGTCGAGATTGAGCCCATTCAGCATCAGTCCAGTCTTCGGAAGGTGAAGCAATAGGCGACTTCGGCGTGAGTGATGTGTATTCCTTCGCTTGAGAACGTACTGATTCCGCTGCATACGGAGGCGAGAACGCGTCACCCGACATGACTCGCACTGACTCGGCTGGCGGCGCTTGAGCGGAGCGCAAGTCCATATCGATGGTGACGACGCGATGCACGAGACTGGATGGGGAAGAGCGTCCCTTTTTTTTTTTCCTCAACTCCCGTGCAAGGACGGATGGAATGGATGCGTGAATGGGAGCGGTCACACGCTCGTTCGTTGGCTAACGGCGGCAGCGGCCCGGGAGGACGGGGGTTGTTTTAAAAACGCAGCTCAGATTTTCCTCCGCACAGTGCCCCTGGCCGCGGCCCAACCATGAAGAGCACACATCACGCCCCCTCGACCTTCCCTGCCACTCGTTTTTTTTTCCCACCCAGTCGCCGACCACTTTGCTCGTACACAGCACTCTGACCACACACGTTCTTTTCCAACGCATGTCTCGAGGCACCTGATCTGAAAGACCTTGTAGGCACGGTTGTGTTACACAGTGTGCTTAGTCATCGATGGAGAAACGACGTTGAGACCTTGCTCGTTTGCTTGTGTCGAGGACGGGCGGCGCTGCCGAGCAAGAGCAGCACTGCCGACCGATGACGTAAGGCCTCAGCAGCGCGGCGAACAGCCATAGAGCAACGAACACATCCTGTCACACACAACGCGCTTGTTCGCCGTCGCTGAAGGAAACGATCCATTGCTGTCAACCATCCGACTGCTTCATGATGCCACTGTGAACGTTGCACATACTATACATGGATATCTACGCACAAAGCAGGCAGGCCAGGGCGACATCGTCACAAAGAACACGCATCTATGAAGACGAGGTGGCGGTTGAGCTGGGTAGTGACGACGTTGCACGAGCTGAGCGCATGAACGAGGGAAAGTTTCGGCGACTGAGCAGTAGGCCTTTAAGACTGCGAATGTCTGCTTTCATCTGCATGATTTCAACAGCTGGGCCTGAGGTGGGTCGAGACGATGACGCTTGTGTATATGCGCTAAATCGATGACTGGCCAGGCTCATGGGCTCATCATCGGATAAGACCGACGCGCGCAGCTCATTACGTACTTGATCCAAGGTCTTCCGAAATGCACGTATGCCAGCAGAGGGACCATCTGAATGGGGCAGTGATTGTCCCGATGACGCTGCGTCAGCCTCTGGAATGGGCGTGAGATCCAAGAGGCCATGTTCATCCGTATCGCTGGGTATAGTGTCATAGGTGCTTGACCTATGCGCATTTCGGAGCGTCTGTGCGAGCCGACTCAGTGATTCGCGTAAAGGATGAGTGATGTCGATCGGCTCCAGCACACGTCGCCGCGTTGGACGTATACGTGCAGATACATGTGCGTTTTCACCCTCCGACGTCTCGTCATCGTTGACAGAAGAGACATGCCATTGAGACGGCTCCTCAGGCTCAGACTTGGGCCTGTTGGCACAGAAAGAGAGAGCGCTATCTTGTTTGTTAGAAGAGGAGTTGACCATAGCGCCATCGCTAGACTCATGCTTCGTATGCTCCCTTTGCTTCTCATCTTGTACAGAATGATCATCTTGGTTGTTCCCGAGATTCGACCCGCACTCCTGCCCGGATTCGGATTTCTGGACCTGTTTTGAATCCAGCTCTTGTTCTGTCCATGTAGGTTTGTAATCCTCAGGCAGGAGACGAGCCAACTTGGTGGATCTTAGACAAGTCAAGGACTCTAGCATCTTGCCGAAGTTCTCCAACTGCAGAGACAGCAGACTCGTGCGTGCCTCAATCATGGCAGCAATTTTCGGCATCAGGAACTTTCGATACATAGCCACAACGATGGCTGCTCCACCACCCGTCAACATGAGTAACAAATGCAATAGGCGGAAATAGGACACAAGCGTGTCATACCGTGGCCGTGCCATAGAAGCTGCAAAGTCCGAAAGAATCTGGGTTGCATCGCGCCGCGGCACTGGTGCATCGGCGGCTGAATACAAAACCAAAGGTGACCTGGGATAAGATGCGGCAGGAGGAATAGGCGGTGCATCAGAAGTAGTGGTCAAGCCCAGAAGCGGCGCACGAAACGAATCGGCGGCTTGTTCAAATGCAGCACTATCGCCTGACGCATGGATCCGCGCTTGGTCATCGTCGAATATATGCATCATGTTCGTATAATCAGGGCGCTCAGCATCTTGCCGCGCGCGTTCAATCTCGTCGTCGCTCATGCCTTTCGAATGCAGAAAGTCCACATGCTTCGGTGTCAAATGAATGCGAGTGTCCTTCGAAGACGAGCGGAGTGACGTCAGGAAACGCACTGCTTGAGCATGTCGCACATGCGCATCTTCGTCTCCAGCATGCATACTGAGTCGTTACCGCGACAAATGAGACTGGTCGGCCGTGCGTGCGTGCGTGCGTGCGTGCGTGCGTGCGTGCGTGCGCGATTGATACTGGCTGATGTCGAACGATGGTCTGCGGAGGGACGACGCGCAAGGTCTCGACCACGTGGTCTCGTAGGCTGCGGGGTGAGGCGCCCGCGTGGCTGTATGTCTGTACGTACCGGCATCCAACCCATGCAGCCAAAAGCCTACACCCCCCATCCGCAGAAAAGCTCACGTCCGCGGCTTCCACCCTCCACCCTCGTCCATCCCACTCACGTCTGCGCCGTGGAAGCACGTGCGTGTCTGCTTTTAGTCACGTGAGTGTCTGCAAAACTACATCGTAGGAGTGTGCATGCTGCGTGGCCTACGAGGCGGTTACGGGCACGCTGGTCGGAAAAAGGTGCCACGCTGCGTGAACAAGTCGTTTTCCCACCGAAACGAACGTATCATCATTATGGACGCCGCTTCCCAGAAGGCCCCTGTCAAGCTTGCGCGCGTACGTATTCTGCATGGATGGTACTAGGTACTGTCGTGCGACCGGGCGTGATACTAACCGAGAATAGGTTACCAAGGTGCTTGGTCGTACTGGCTCGCGTGGTGGCGTGATCCAGGTCCGTGTTGAATTCATGGACGACACGTCGCGTAGCATCATCCGCAACGTCAAGGGCCCTGTCCGCGAAAACGATATCCTTGCTCTGCTCGAGTCGGAGCGCGAGGCCCGTCGCCTGCGTTAAACGCATCATATATTGTCGACGACGTCGTTTGTATGTCATGGGCGCTCATTTAGGCCCGCCAAAAATATATACTCTATGGAACATGCCCCTTTCCAGCTGCTCTTGATATTGTGTGTGTGTGTGTGTGTATGTGTGTGTGTGTATGTGCGTATGTGTGTCATCTTATGACACTTGAGTGTATGAGTATGCGCTCGAATCCAATCCGTCAGTGTTAGCTACATGGCTATGCAATCGCAGACAGTATGAACAGACAAGCCTCGTCGCTCGGCGCGCGCACCGACAGCTCCATTGTGACGCCTTCGGATGGCTGGTGCATCATGCGTACGCGCGCAAGAACGGTCTCGAGACCACCTGGGCATGCAAGGAGTCCAGCCAGCATCATGGTATGCACACTAGGGTTAGCTGGCACGTCTGTCCCGCCGAGCGCTTGCATGCCCAAGAGCTCAACGAGCGTCGAGCATGATGCATCGAGGCTCTCGAGCGCTGTCAGTGCGAATGTCTCGCTGGCTGAGGCCGGTAGTGTGTCCCATGTCATAGCAAAGTCGAGTTCCACAGGCTGCAGGAAGTCAGCGACACCAACGTCAAGCTCTTCCGTCTGGTACTCGTCCTGGTATCCTTCAGGCTCGGGCTCGCCACTGGACGGGTCCACCTCTTTCGACACGAAGCGAAGCGTGTTGGTGAGTGTCGCGAGTGGGAACGGCAGGCTAGGGTCACGTCGGATCGACACATACACCTTGCCACTGGGCGTCGCGCTCGAGAGACATGGGATGGGCAAAATAAACTCTTCTTCGAGGCCTGCTTCCATCAGTCCCCCGACGACCACAACGACATCCTCCAGTACAATCTCGGCAAGCGTATTTGTGACATTGTACTGCAGAACGATGTGCTCAGCAAACACATGCTTGTATGCTGTGACAATGTACTCCGTCTCACTTTCGGTCAGTTGCACAGGTGCATTGACTGGCGAGGTTGTCAGAAGTTTGCCGTATGACGCGAACTCTGCGATACTGGCAAGCTCTGTAGCGTGGTCTGCATAGGCATCAAGACCAGATGCCTCAGCTCCCATAGTATTCGCTGCTGATAAGCCAGCCCCTTCGCCACCGATGCCAGCCATGACACCCCCCGTGCCACCTTCAACGCCCATCATAGCACCAGCAGTGCCCGGAGCCCCGCCGGTCGGAAGAAGCGGGTCAGATGCAGGCCCACTCTCTGTCTCTGGCCCATCAAGCGCGCGAGGCACACTCTCATAATCAAACGGTGCAGACGTGGCCATAGAATCCACGTATGACTGCAGGCTTTGCTCAAGCACTTGCAAATTTGGCGTGTCGTCCAACGTGATGACAGGCATGGACGGAGGCTCGAGCGTGTGCAACGCATATGTCGCACGATCCCGTACTTCATCATCAACATCTTCAAGGCAGCGACGCAGGAGTACACGGATTCGCGCGGTCAGGTGCTCGTTGTACGCGCCAAATTTAGCGAGACTGTTAACCGCCGCGGCTCGCACGATGGCATTTTCCAGAATGACCCGGTTGTAAATAAAACGGATGTATTTGTGCGGCTCAGGCATACGAGGACCCTCGGCACCGAGCAAGTGAAGGATGCGCACATTCAGCTTTGTGAACTCGCAGTCCTCGATAAATTCACACAAGTGACTTAGCGCTGCTTCCTTACAACCCCTGACGTAGCGAGCCATGGCGAAGATGGCTTCCACGACACAGCGCTTGAATTCATAGCCACCTTCGTCACGCAAAATACCAGCAAGGAAGCCGAGCATGGCCGCTTGTTTCGAAGGGAACTTGAACGACAGGCTGCGAATAGCGTCGACGACTATGACCTTGAACTCGTCACTGATGTCCGACATGAATCCACTGATCTGTTTGATCAGCCGATCAACACTCGACTCATTGCCAGTTTTGAGCAGTGTCGCGATGGCATACGTTGCTACGCCGCGGTTTGAATCAGTGATGAGGCTTTCCATGTCCACGTTGCAACTTTGTACGGCCGCAGGTCGCAGCTGTGCAAGCTCGGCAAGTGTGCGCACAGCCGCAAACTTGAGCACAGAGCGTGGCGAGGACAAAAACATCTGCAGAACCGAGATCGCTTTCGTCTGCGGCTCAGCTGGTACACCAGGCATCGTGCAGAGCGCACGCGCCGCTTCATAGTTGACCATATCGCTCTTGTGGCGCAGCCAGCCTTCAAGCAGCTGAATGAGCGACGCGCGCATATTCGGATCTTCTTCGGCAATTCTCGCAGTGTATCGCACCAGCATGCAGAGCGCGTATGGATTCCGCAGGACAACGCCCTGCCTCGGCTGGCCCAGCTGTTGAACCATTTTTGTGACGGCAATCCGGTCGTTCTGACGCATCAGATATAGTAAGCCGAGCGCATGGTATTGCATCAAGTAGCTCATACTTGGGACATTCGTCTGCTCGACAGCATGACTTGCACTGTCGCTGCCGCCGCCGCCGAAACGGAGGGTAATGCCAGAGTGCAATCCACCGAATCCACTGAATGAGCTTGTATTCTGTGTGACAGCCGGGCGCATATTGATAGCCTCTTGCACCTCATTGCCCCAGCGCTTGACAACATCGCGCGACTCCACGAACAAATGGTACGATGATACGAGCGCCGCGCAGGACACGCTTGGATTTCGATCGACAATAGCCGACTTGAGATATCGCTCAATACCCTGGACCATGCTGGGATCGATCACACGCATCAAAGCGCGAATCGCATTGGGTCGATACACGACTTCGGTATTTGGCTGCATATCTTTCATGATCGAGGCCGTTACCATAATGACATCCTGGGCACACGGGGCAAGCTCTTTGATGGCAAGATACACCATCTGACGAAGGCCAGCATCCTTGTTTTGAAACAGCTTGGTCGCACCAAAGAACAGGTCCGTCGCTTCTTGCTGAGAAAACTTCTCCCCCGTGTACAAAAGGTACAGGATCTTGGTGAGCAAGATCCGGCATCGCCGTGGACTAATGCTCGACTGGTTGAACACACGAGCCTCCTGAATCACAGCTGTTTTATCGTGCCGATACGACATTTCATCCTCCTTCTTGAACGACATGGCTGCCGTCGCACGTCCGACGTCCAAGCGTCCCGGGCTAGTAACAGGATCAAGGTGCGACGCACGCTAGTCTCGCCGTTTTCCACATCACACGCGCAACAGCCCATGACTTGCGGCCGGGCGTATTGGTAGTCTGCCTAACAGGCATACTTCAATGTCCCCTACTAGGTGTGTTTTATGAATACATAACATGACGCGCTCCTCTGTAGCACAACATGCCACAGGCCTTGTAGGACTATGGACCGACTAGCGCACGCATTCGGCCGGGACGTGAAGACACCGGCCAAGACCACGCGCGACGGCAAAGCTGGGGAATTGTGTCACCCATTACTACCTTTTTTGGCAGATTCTTATTTGCTTATTGGCCACCAATCTAGCTGCAGTGAGAGAGATTCTCTGCGTGTCCCAGCGGAGACTTTATCACAAAGTCTCCCATCTCCCTTAAATCGATTGACTCAGCCGGCTCCCAAGCTACTTTAGCATCCGCGTTAAATTTTTATTTTTGGATTACCGGCAATACGTCCATCGCAGCACTGAATTGATTGCGCATATCCATCTGCGCTCCTGAAATTGTCCTCATCAAAGAGACGAGACTATGTCGAGTGATCAAGGCAACTCGATCGCGTTCTTGCTAGGACTCAACCAAGTGCATGACACTCCAAGCCATCAAACCCAGCTTCATCAGACGACACCGAGTCACAGTCATGCGATCTCGTCATCATCAGACACACTCCTAGCAAGTCTAAACTCTATCTCTTCGCCGTCAGCACAACAAATGACACAGAGTTCGGCCGGCTCCTCAGCTTCAGATGATGTCATGAACAGTTTCGCGAATCAGCTGGCTATGTGGACAAATGCCAACTTTTCTTTCGATGGACCTATGGGGCACGCGCTCATTGCTGACGATGAGAAAGACAGCCATCCAGAGAAAGATCAGGATGAACGCGATCGACAAGACGATAGTGAGCGTCAGCGGCAAATGGCAGCCTCCGGCGCTCACTCCAGTGCTGCCCGCGACAAACTTCGTGCACTTGATCGTGAGCCGACGCAACCAGTATCAGCGCGTCCGTCCTTGCAAGTCCCAAGTCCGTCACCTGACTTAACGTCACCCTCGTCCATGAGAACAGGGGTAGATGCACTCTCATCATCATACCAGCAACTTCCTCTCACCCGTGACAACGCAAATCCACTCTTGGCGCCACATGTGTCTCAATCATGGACGAGTGCTGGTCATATGGATGCTTTCTCAAGCGCACCTTCTGCTTCTTCCTCATCCATCACACCACCACCACCACCACCGCAGCAGCAGCAACAGCAGCAACAGCAACAACAACAACGTCGACAGCAGCAGCCAGTGCATTCAGCTTCTTCATCGTCGCCAAGCCAAGAGTGGGATCTAACGTCCACACTTGCTCTTCAACATCTTCTGAACAAAAATCCTGATATGCTTGCGAGTTTATGGCAAGCACGCACGTCCAACGCTTCACATCCGGGATTACCCTCTTGGCAACCCCCTAATCAAACATCGCATTCATCATCCTCGTCTTCTGCTCCTTCAACAGGAGCCATGGCTGCATCTCAAGCCACAAACCGCAGTTCCGCTGCGGCGGCGGCTACATCGGTGTCACCAACCTCGACAGCGTCGTCCTCATGCGCATCTCGCTCTGTAATACATTCACATCCTCTCCCTCAGGAATCCAATATATCCCCACCATTGTCATCTACACCAGCCGCAACCCAAAAGCGGAGTGCATCTATATCCCTGGATCCTGCAGGGGACGATGTTTCGCATCTTGGTACGGCATTGGATGACAATACACAGTCTCATCGGGGCCGCCCCTCATCCTCTACGCTGGCGGATCGTGTCAAACTCGTTGATACAGGCAATCCCGAGGCAGATGCAGAAACAAATCGCCTTGCAATCGAAGAGGATAAACGAAGGAGAAATACAGCGGCAAGTGCACGTTTCCGCATCAAGAAAAAACAACGTGAGGCCGCACTAGAGCTGTCGGCAAGAGAGTTGGAATCCCAGGTCAACGAGCTGAAACACGAAAATGACCGTCTTCGTGCTGAGAACGACTGGCTTCGTCGGCTTATTATGGCTCGACCTGAGGTGCTTCCCCATATATTTTCGTCGCAGCCACTGCCGACAGCCACCGCACCACCCAACCCTTCTTTAGATGCCGCTCTACAGGCGTTGCTGCCCCAGAATTTACCAGGTCGACACTAATGCGAAACATCCGTTGACCAGCTGGCTCTTTTTTTCGTCTTCTTTTTCTGTCTCGCCCCTATCGGATTTCTTTCTGTGTTTCACCACCGCCCGTCGGCTTTCGCTAACTTGTAAGATGTCCACGTCGTTTGTGCGATGCCCGCGTGCATCTCCAGTTGCTGCTATAGATCTAGTATTTTTGGGTATATACTGTCACAATTGTATGGTTACGAACATTCACATGAATCATAACAAAAGAAAACTAACCTAGCACGGTGATGTGCTAGGTGCCTTCACGTAGGGTATATCCAAGGAGCTCTTGGACAAAGAAATACCAGCCTCTTCCCACGTTGCTGGGTCATTTGAGCGCCGAATATCCTCAAGTGACTTTTCCACACCATCTACGACGACCTCACGGCACACAGCATGCAATTCGGCATGTAAATCATAATCCTGGCTAATGATTTGAATAGGATAGTTGTCTGGATCACGAATGACAATCAATTGGCTTGAAGAGTTAATGGCATCTTCCCTGATTACACGTACTTTGGTGAGACTCCGAGTTCATCCATTGCAACACCAAGCTTTTCAAAGCGCTGGCGTGCAGAGATAATATCAGGGACAGTACATGTGATATGATGAAAGCCCTTCGTTACGTTAATTTGTTGGCAAACCTACACCTGCATTTGCTTGGACATCAAAGTGATCGTCCCATTCCGTGCCACTTTCAGCTTTAGCCCGTGTGCCCCAAATACAAAACTTACTGCTTTTGGACAAGTTCAATCAAAGAGCTTGCAAGTCCAAATCCGCGACCAGACTTGTTCGACGGGAACTGGAGCCAGACTTTACTCAGATGTCTGGCCAGGTGAGCGAAACAAACGCCACATACCCTAAGTTTGCCTCGCGGACAACGCTCATTCCCAAAACTTCTTCGTAGAATGTAGCACTCAAACTGATGTCTTTTACATGAAAGCATATAGAATGAAACGAGTAGCCCTTTGTCTCACGCCATGGATTCGACATGGTTCTCGGTGTTGATGGACTCGGAACAATCGGACGCACTTCTCTTGTGGAGGAAAGCACGGTCAGTGTACCTTGTCACGCGTCCCTGATCAATTTACTTACGGGGAATTTCAGGGAGCAGGAACAAACCCGTTTGAACTCATTACCAAAGTCGCTTAGGGCTGCAGATTTCAGGCACAGATCGTGGTAGGAGATTATAACTACATGAAATGTCCATATTTTACCGTATGAATACGAGACGACTCAGGCTAGCTAATGATTTGCAATTGGGAGTCCGTAAAGCAGAGTCTCGACTGCTATTCATAAGTGTTCCGAATTGTATCTCGGTATCATTCCGCATGAAAAGTTTATGATTAGGCCCGAGAATGAGCATGCGCCAAGTATATTAAGACCGTACGCATGAAGCTCACGACCCAAGATTGATTGCATGGATCCATCTATGCAAAGTTGTGTACATTGCTATGCATATTGGTGAAGCACCTGTATCTATCCAAGACGGATGGAAGTTGCACTGACAAAGAAACCTGTTTCATTAGTAGCAAGTCATGAAGAAACTATCTGGGAGATGAAGAACGGCCCGAAGCCTTACAAATTGGTCTTCCCCCTGTGATAACGGCAAGGACACAATTCTTCGCTCCAACCAATAATCTCATATTTGCAGTGCGAGAGTCGATCAGAAGATATTATTAATCTCTGCGTAACTTCCAGCATGCCTGTGCCGAAAATTTACGGAAGACGCGTCTCTATTACAACTCCGATTCATCTCATCAGACTATGCACTTAAAATTAGACAACCACAGATTAGATTCAGACAGTCTACTTTTCCTTCCTGACTAACGAAAAGCCTATGGGCTCGAATTCACGTCATGAAGGAAGCATCGCTCCGCCCATCTGAGCTGTTCACATAATTGCATAGCAAACAAACGGCGACAAAGATGAGGTTCAATAACATGGCTGCTACGGCGGCTAGATTGGATGTTGGCGACTCGGGAAACGCGGAATGCATCAAGAAAGAAACTTTTAATCGCAAAGGCGATGACATTACACGATTCGGTGCATTGGTCATAAGTCAAATAGTGCCTAGCCACTCGCATTTCACTATAAGCTTTTCATCGTAGGTCGTGATCTTGTCACAATAGGAAAAAAGTCTGTGGGCAACTATAGCAAAAACTGTTATTGGGTGTTGACCTGAGACGGTTGGAGATACTTTTGGATCTCGATGCACTTCGCAATTTTCAACACGAATTCTTCGCCGCAGGAGATTCGTGTAGTTTTCATACTTCGAGCGTCCAGAACAGCCAACACAAAGAGACCCGATAAGTATCATGCCCAATCTGCATCTCCTGATGTTCACAATTTGTCCAAAAATTCTTTATACATTTGCCTGAGCCTTCGATCCTCAAACCTTGTCAGTTTGCGAATACTGACACGGCTAGTACAGAAACATCGGCATGTCATCGACTTATTCCTCCCACCCATTTCGCCGTTTTAGCTCGAATATGTCAACCACTTTTAACCTCATGCCAAAGTTCGTTAACTACGTTCTCATGTTAACTCAAAGGGAGACAAAATCATGTGGCCAGAAGCAGGGGTATAGACCTGGGGTCTTAAACGTAGCCCTATCATATTTGACGAATGAAAAACCAAACCGCAGTTGGGATCGCCAAAAATGGAAAATTGCGCACTCACCACAAAAGTTGCGGCAGCGCGAACTCAAAAATCATTGGATATGTTTGCAAGTTCGCACACTTTGCGGTTCTATGGGGGCCCGCACCCGACTCCCATCGGTACGAATATTGGAATTATTTCTCTCAAATAGCTTCTAGCTCGAGACTCCATCGTCCAACCATACTACAGTTTGTATAATTAGTAATTTGTGCTATGGCTTTCGAGGAACGTGTCTGGGCCCGGGCCAGAATCCGAAATGAGTCAAATTCCTGTTGGCTCATTGGTGACCCATGATCCCAGCAATTGCGCAATAGTTACGGCCTCGGTCACAGTTCGTATAAATATCGCTTGCCTGCGTATGCGGCTCGCTCAATAGACATGTCCCGGCCCCTGCCTATCCCGCGAATACCTGGAGATCGTATCCTTGGTAGCGAAATTTCGCGTGACCTAGAACATCGGCTTTGCGATGTATGTGGGTTAAAGTCGAAAAGATTCACACCATCGCTTCCTGTCGCTTTTAGATTGCAATCTCTTAAATCGATTTTGAACGAGGATTATTGGGTATGCGAGAAATCAGATGGAGTGCGCGTGGTCGTGTTTCTTACCACGTCGCTTACGTCGCACGAGCAAGAATTGTATCTAGTGGATCGCAAAAATACCTTCTTCCGTGTCGACCTGCGCATGAGCGATGAAATTGACCGTCAGAGCAACGATCTTCACGATACAGTCTTGGATGGTGAGCTCGTATATGAGACAAGCGAGGAGGGTGTCAATAAAACCAAGTTGCTGTTATTTGATTGCTTGGCAATCAACAACGAAAATGTGACGAAGCTCCCTTTTCAATGGCGCTATGCGTGTCTTCAAAATCAAGTACTTCCCATCATTGAAGCATTTCTTCGAAGACGTACGGACATTCGTTCGACCTTGGGTTTTGAACCTTTACTCAAACCCATGTCGCGTGCATATGACGTTGCCATTGTACTGCAAAAAATGCCTAATCTACAGCACCGCACGGACGGCTTGATTTTCACGTGTCTCCACAGCCCCTATACATTCGGGTCTAATTTCAAGATACTGAAATGGAAACCGCCTGGGTATGTGACCATTGATTTTCTTCTTCGATTCAAACAAAATATGTCAGAAAAATCTACCTGCCGGAATACAATGGATAAAATGATCGAGAAGCCTTCACTAGAGCTTCATTTACGAACAAATGACAACTCACACGTATATTTTGATGATATTGCAATTGATGACGATGAATGGACGAGATGGAAACAATGCGGCACTTGTCTTGATGGTCGAATTGTTGAATGTGCGCCAATTTTTGTCACTTCTTGCACCGGCAAAATCCGTGAGAATTGGAAAATAATCCGTCTTCGTGAAGACAAAATTGTCGCAAATCACTACTCTATCATAACTCGGACCCTTGAAAGTATTCATCATGGTGTATCAGAGAGCAAGCTGGTCAAATCTGTTCCTGGTATAGCTCGGAACTGGTTTCATCCTAAACGTCGTGCTAAAAGAATCCGATTTGAAAGCACCATGCCCTCTATCCTCCCATCCAAATAATTCATGTGTACTATATTTTGCAGTCTTTCCGTTACGGATCACATCCCTTAATGACACACTACTCAAATCTCCTATATGTAGAGAAACTGACTGTGTTACACTTATTCGAGATAGCGAACGCAAAATTATTTTTCACAGCTGGGTGATCAGAATAAATTCGACATGCACGGCGCACATTAACAAACCGCAGATAGATAGTGAGCTAAAAAAAGTGGAGCCCCGCGTAGAAACATTTGTTTTCACTAAGCTCACGATCATTTCAGACTCTGTGTGTTTTCGGGTGAGCGAATCAACCGCAGAATGGTAGAAGCGTCACATAAAATTTATATACTGTTATTTTAAGTTTAACGCGACTAGATCTTATCTTGTTCCTGCAAAGAGAGAAAACAGGTTGGCATGAATAATCTATGGACCTAGTAGGTCGCTTGAGCTCCGTTGAAGACTGCATGGTTTGGCGACATACATAGCACATCAAATTATGCCGCAAGCTTGATGTTCAACTTGTTTCTTGTCTCGAGGAATTACAGGCCTGTGTTTTCATAAATTTAGTACATGCTGAATTCTATGTGGGATTTTGGTACTTCGTTCGCACTGAATGTATCAGGCCACATTCGCTAAATGTATAAGCAAGATCTTATCTGAGAAGAATTATCCATCATTTTCGAAGTTTTCTTTACATTCTATGTGATGTAATGTCTTTCTCGTACGATCGTAGCTCGCTTCCTCTTCACAGATATCGGGTTTACCGCGTCTATCCCCAAGCGACTCCACCACAAGGCCTTAATATTCCCCTTAAACGGCACTAACATGAGTATATTACATTCATTAAAAGCATAAACCAGGTTTGATCATGTTTGCCGCAAAAACAAATCGAGTTCAAGTGATCAGGCATTGAAAAAGTCTTGCTTCTGTCGTAAATAGGGATCAGATGCACACACGCGGGCCTCTTTGCAAGTCCTTTCAGAAATCTTCATGAATCGCGTAGTTGATAATCAGTAGTAGACTTTTGAGGCATGTTTCAATGAATATTGTCCCTCAATTTTGTGAAGCAGCTTACAGGAATATGATGCCGTCCCTTTGACATCAAGGCCTTGATAATAGGTTCTTGGTGAAATCCATATGTCGAATTTGAGCACATATTCGCGTAATAGATAATTCGCTAGTAACAACAACATATTAATCTGTCAAGAAATTTGAGATCGAGTTTTCTAACTTTTTAGCTAGTATGATCTCATAGCTTCTCAAAGAGATAGTGGCTTCGCTCGACTTAATTGAAAAAGCTTGATTGCGCCCATTTCCCTACAACCATATCGAAGATAGTTTTCAGTTGGCTCATGACTTGGACGCCAATATGACATGAAAATATTTGAAAAAATCACATTAGAGTCCTTGCACTAGATTCAATACCATAAATCACCCTAAGTATACATTAAAAGAATCCCCAGACAACCTATACGTCTTCTGGAGCCACTGCAGGAGGAGGGCACGGTCAAAGTACTTTGTCACGCGTCCCTGAACAATTTATGGATGGGGAATTTCATGGAGCAGGATCGATCACGTTGGAGGCCAACAAACATTTCGCCCGAGTCGTAAAACCCTGGACACATTCATGGCATGAAACTGGAACTTTAGAGTGTTGCCTTTCTTGGATATGCGTAGTTTTGGTACTCCAATTCTATAGCATGCAAGTGATAGTACGCAAAGTCTGGTCTGCTATCCACATGACCTCCAAATTCGAGCTCTATTGTTTCTCGGATGAAAGTTGTCAGAATTACTAACACATCATACATTGTACACCATTTGAGAGTCATAATTTACAGATTAAGCACATAGGCAAAAATGTATGCTAGTAGTCTGGTGTGCAAGGTACCTCATGCAGGTTTGTGAAAATTGGCATCTGTCCAAGCAAGATGCAACTTGTGTCAACACAAACGTTTCACTGATGGTGATGATGCATGACAAAATTCCGTTTGGAGAGACAGTGACGAATTCGAACTCACAGAAATGATTTACTTTGGGTAATGCTTGTGTTAACGTAACTCATTATGGAGATCGCACATTAAGCATTCAAAAAACCCATGCGGTTGCCAAAATACATGCGCATGTGGGAAGTTTTGATAATCGTACCTCTCACAAGACTATAGTTCATTTCTTCAGGTTGAGCTTTACGAAATACACAGCTGCAAAGTTGATTCGTGCTTTGTTTTCGATCTCTATGGAGAAGCTGGGAGACGAATTCCTTCGTTGCCAACAGATTAACTACTTGTTGGCTTCGCGAATACATGGTATCAAATATAGGGATGATTTGATTTCACATTTATACAACATGTAGAACCGGTATGGGCTACGTTGAAGAGAACGCAAAGTATGTGTAAGAGAACATGTCCGAGACATGTAACAACTAAGATCGAATTGATACGCTATCCATGCGTTATGAATTGTTGAATAGCGTACATCTTGACGCTAGCCCTTCATCTCAGGCACACCCTTCTTCCAGCCATCTTGACTCAACGTTTTTCAGGTTCATGGCCAATCATAGAGCAAAAGTGAATGAACGCGAACTTGTCGTGATCTATACCCCTGCTTCGGAGAGGAGCATTGTCCTATCCCCGGGACAGATTCTTTGCCAAAAGGTTCCTGGGGGTCTCGCTAGTTCGAATGTACGGAGTCATTGTTACAAAGACAATGCCGTTCATCAAAAACAACTTCGACCCCTTCCCCTCGAAACTCATACAACACCGCGAAGATCCCCTTTAGCCATTCGCCTAACCCTAACAACTTCATGATAGTCAGCAAATCCCACAGTGATTTGCACACGAGCAGTAAAAATTCATCACTTTCCACCCCGATCGATTTTGACACTGAGCTAACACTAACAACCAATCACCCATATCCTCGACCAAGCCATTTAACTACGTTCGTAATTCTTGGAGGGTGGCCGAATCGTACGATTGAGAAGCTTGAGCGGAAATCCGAAGCCTAAACCAACACGAGATTTGTACCAGCAAATCGAAATAGAACGTGCAACATGCTATGTCATATTCGGAAAGACGTTAGTTCACTGTAATGCTTGCCGCAGCGATCTGAAAACACCGACACTGGTATACCCTCAAGTCCACACATCTTTTGCATACATTGAATGCCAAGACAATTGTCACAGTGTCATGAATTTTGAAAATAAATTTCAGTATACTATCCAACTCGGAAACCCATTGCCCAATCACATCACAATTTAATATAGTTTACTAATTGCATGACGGAGTTCCGTAAACGTGCCAAGACCTCAAGCCAAATCCGAGAGGCCGACTGAGAAACCTGCTTATTTGTTAGTGGCTCACTTCGTATTACTGATGCTTGAAACAATTAACTTTGTCGTGGCTTAAATATATATGGATCTCATTGCGTGCTACCCTAGCATCATCGGCACGCATGCCCCAACTCCCGCCCTATCCGCAAATTCCTGGCGAACGGATTGATGATAGAGAAGTGTCACGCGAGCTAGAATGTCGAATGTGCAACGTATGCGGGATCAGACCAGGAACTTTCATACCCTCACTACCTGCGAGTTTCACGCAAAAGTCATTCAAATCCATTCTAAATGAGGATTACTGGGTATGCGAGAAATCAGATGGCATTCGCGTTGTAGTATTCCTCACCAAACGACCCAATACACAAGAACAAGAGCTATATCTGATGGATCGCAAAAAAACATTCTTTCGCATTGACATGTACGCAAGCGGAGATTCCAGCAACCAAATCGGTATTTTCAGCGATACTGTTCTTGATGGTGAACTTATATTCGAGTCAAATAAAGACAAAATCAATACAACCGTATTGTTATTGTTTGATTGCCTTGCGATAAAGAATGAAAATGTGACCCGGCTCCCTTTCCAATGGCGTTATGCATGTCTCCAAAACCAAATACGTCCAAGCATTCACTCTTTCCTTGAAAAAAGGATACATACCGATGCAACATTAGGGTTTGAGTTTCGAATCAAACGCATGATGCGTGCATTTCAAATTAGAGACGTACTGCAAAGCATGCAACAATCACCTCGCTGCACAGACGGCTTAATTTTCACATGTCTCAGCAGTCGCTATTCGTTTGGGACGAACGTTAAGATCCTTAAGTGGAAACCCTCGCAGTCGCTCACGGTCGATTTTCTTATTCGAGTCAGACCGGAAGTATATGAAGGAATTGGTTCCAAGAGGAGAGCAGAAGCAGCTAATGAGAAGCCCGTGTTTGAACTATATGCTCGAACAAATGATGATTCACACGTATATTTCGATGATATGAGACTCAACGACGACGAATGGGCTCGTTGGATGCAATTTGGAAATGCCCTTGACGGACGGATTGTAGAATGCGCACCATTTCTCGTCTCTTCGGGCACGGGCATAAGCCATACATCTTGGAGACCCGTTCGTCTTAGGGACGACAAAATTGTCGCAAACCATCAGTCTGTGGTTACCTCGACCCTTGAAAGTATCCATCATGGCGTATCAGAGGAGAAGCTCTCGGATTCTGCTCCTAGTGTTGCTGAAAATTGGTTTAACCCCAACCGTTGGGCTCGTAGAGTCCAGTTCGAGAAGAACCAGTCACGCGTCTTCTCCGACTTGCATTTGTATAGTTAAACTTGCATTCTATTTATACAACATCGTGACTCTCGATGAAGTTTGGACATCTTCAAATAATGAATTTTTTGTAGTATAATAGTTATTTAAGCAGGGACGAAGGATATGAACAGTTTCAAATCGCAGGTAAGGAATAAGAAAAGATTTAAACATGCATGGTGCATTTAAACGCCATTTTTGACGATCATGAAAAATGGAAGGCCCTGAGAGAAATTTATATTTTTCTCATCCTAATAGATGTCGCATCAGGACTATTCCCGCCACCGTTACACTTCAGACCACACATGAGCGTATTGGACGCTCAAAATGCCATCGTAGTTATGGCAGCAGCAAATGAACGACAAATAAACGGGTTTGTATCTTCGTTAGTAGTGCATGGCAACAAGGTCACGTACTACTTTCATTATGAAGAGACTAAAATGACAATTCTAGTATCTGTGCTAAGATAGTAGACTCGGCATTAATCAAAGGCTGTATTGTTCTGGTACATACTTGTACATAGTGTAGGAGAGTTTATCCCTCGTTTCCCTTACGAGTCGCTGCCTTTCTGGAGATATGTGGGCTGCCTGTTGGCTAAGCATAATCTTGGGTGTAGACCATTAAACACCAAGGGTTATCCCACACATGAAGAACGATGCCCTCGCCTGGCCACCTACCAATAAGTCCAAATTTTCAACCGAGCACAGTTTAATCAATTCGCTAGACTCATTTCCATAGAATCACCCTAACTACATGTACAATAAAAGAATCCCAAAACAACCTATGCGTCCTCTGGAGCCACTCCATTTGCGTTTGAATCTTCAATTTTGTGGCCATGACTCTGCACGTAACCTTTCTTAATGCGACCTTTAGCATCGTACCGACGTGGGAAATCTCTCTCGACGCACACAACATCGAATGGATTCCAAATGCTGGCACGTGCAAATACTCGTCCATTTCCTCCAAACTGCGACCAGCCGTCTCAGGGAAAATCCACCACGATGCTGGAGCCATCAACAAGTTGATAACGCAGAAAATCAGGTAGGTATAGTTTCGAATGTTGTGGAATGCAACAGGAGTTATCATGACGACCATGAAATTGAAGAGCCAGTTAGCACTCGTTGAAATGCCATTGGCTTGAGCTCGAATACTGAGCGGAGTGCATTCTGCCGGGTACAGCCAAGTCATACCCAGCCAACCAATCCCAAAGAAGGTGTTAAACACAAACAGCATGACACAGGCACCGTACGCATATCCTTTATTCTGGGCCTCACCAGGTTTCATTTCACAGTAACCTGCTATGCCTGTCGTTGCGCAAAGTTCCGGATCAACTTGGACGTCTTGATATTGAAGGGCGCTCTTGCTCATCAAACCAGTCAGCACGGCCATCGTGAACGACATGCCAAGAGCACAAAAGATCATAAGCTTTCGCCGACCTATGCGTTCGACAGTGAAAATTGCAACGATGGATGCCAGGAAGTACTCTGTACCATTGCAAGCTGCAAGGATGCGAGACACAACGTCAGTCATACCGATATTGTTTTGGAAAATGGTCCCTGCGTAATACGTGATCAAGTTGATGCCGCTAATTTGTTGGAACATCTGGATCACGAATGCTAGTGCCGTTCGATGGAAGTTGTGACTTTTTCCTTGTTTGAACAAGTCGCTCAGCCTGGCCTTGCCTGAAATTTCTAGACCCTCACGGATCTCGTCCAACAGAGTGTCAATGATTGGATCACCGCGTGGGCGCTCGTTCAGCGCCGAAAGTACGCTCCGTGCTTCGTCTTCACGACCAACAAGCACAAGCCAACGCGGGCTTTCTGGAAGCCAAATCGTGATGAAGGTGGGAAGAATTAACAGCAGCTGAAATGCGATAGGGAAGCGCCAAGCAACAGAGTCTATGCTAGTGGCAGCTTTGAAGCCCGCCTGCGCAGGATGAATACCACTTGACTTGTCGGCCCAGAATAATGCGAAATCGACCCAGTAAGATACCATGATACCAAAGGCAATCAGCGACCCTTCGATCATGATAAGCATGCCACGAAGGTGTGGTGCGGAGCATTCGGATTGCCATACAGGAATGGTGGAAGTATGTTGACCATTACCGATTCCGGCGATGATACGTCCTACCCAGAGCATGGCTATGTGCTCGCCAATAACCTGGATGACTGCACCCACTGCCATCAACACGCTGCCAATCCAAATCATTGCACGACGACCGAGCAAGTTTCCCCAAAGCAAGCACGAGATGGAGCCAAGAAAACAGCCAATCTCGTATATGCCAATTACAGCGCCTTGCATTCTTGAGTGCGTGTCAGCGTTCATGTCGGGAAATTTTTGAAGAAACGATGGTAGAGTGAGAAGACTGCCCATGACACCTTGATCGTAACCGAACAAAACGAACCCCACACCTGCGGCAATAGCAATCAAGAAATTGAGCTTTGAACCCGAGAGACCGACGAATTTGACATGTTTATTTGGGTCAAGGATGGATTGGGTAGATGGAGTGATGGAACGCTCCACAACTTTGATGTCAGACGTGAGCTTTTCTTTGTCCTCAAGCTCTTGCATAGCGAATCCTTCTAAGGCGACAAGTTGTGCCTGAAGAAGCAGAAATAGTATGGAGAGGGGATCCAAACTTTTCTTCTTTATTTATGCTGCCACAAAGCACTCGTCGGTCTCGCGCCATAGTTTCCCCATTGCGAAGAGTATCCATATTAGACAGCTTTTGTGGGGAAACCCTTTGGCTTGCATATGCTAAAGCCATGAGTTAGCTACATATAGCCTATGAAACCCTCCATTTAACAAGTAATTCTTGGGCGAGCCCTTCAACAAGAAACAAGGACGAATGAGATTGGCCCCTATCGTATGCATATGCAATCCGTGCCGGAAAACGACGTGTCGAACCACGCCTGCGCACGTGAACAAAGATGCAATCACATCATTGGTCCAACCATCTCCCTATACACGTCAGAATCATCACAGGAAGAAGCTAATGGCAAATTGACTGGACAGCTATGATGTGCCGAAGCAACTCAATGCCATTTAAGAACTATAGACCACGTGCAAAGGTGGGGCGCCAAACCTAATGGACAACGAGTAGGCCAAGGCTTTGTGACTCCAGTTTTACATCGGCGCGGCAAGCATTTTTTTTTGCGCCATCCAACCGAGAGACGTATCACCTGTACGCCCACAAGAATGATGTAAATATTGATGGGCTTAATCAGACTCATTCCTGGTGAGATGTACGCTTGTAAACTGTTTCACAATATCACTCGCACAAATCCGATTGCTGTTCTTTGATAGATGCGGCGAGTGGTAGTATACTACAAAGTTTTGAGTTCAGTTTCATCTCTGTTCAATATCCCTTGTGTCGCTAATAACCATGCATGTTTTTTGGCATATCATTTACATGCTGTCGCGGATGGGGCAAACTAGAACCATGTTCGATCTTGCTCTATGATCCCCTGTGGCCGATCGATGATCATCACATGCGTTAATTATACAATGCATGTGCCTCGTTAAATGTACAGATATGCATGATACCGCAACGAAAAAAATATTACTAAAGAATATTGAGTCCTTTCAGGCAGATTATCTGATTCCAGACATGGACATTTTCGTTGACGCCCACATAACCAAGAAGACTCGGATGATTAGCTTGTAGGCCTTTAGACCACAGCATTCATTATGGACAGCATCTATGGCTTCATCAGTCATGTATGGCGGGTATACTATCCCGAATTTGAAAAGCCAACTGAGACTGGTGAATTAACGGACAAGCCGGAGGCCAGACTGCCTGATGAACATGAAATAGTTGAGTATGACGCAAAGCACAATTTGAGTGAAGATGATGTTAAGCAAGTCGGTGTTGCAATTGCAGAAGCGACATATGCTGTGACTGGGTATACATGGTACTTACTCGTGATTTTCCTATGGATCGCGTATTTCGTGTTTGCACTTGATAACCAAACGGCGCTCAATTTTGCATACAATGCAACAAGTCAACTGGAGAGTGATCAGGGGCGGGCGATGGAGACATACTCACAATCATATACGGCCCAGTCATTGTTTGTGGCTATTTCTAAGCTTTTTATCGCCAAACTTGCTGATATTTTTGGTCGGTCTGTCGCAATGATGGTTACGATTTTCTGTTATACACTAGGATTCTTGATTATGACTGTTTCACAGTCTGGTAACAATTACACTGGTGGATCTGTATTTTATGGTATCGGAAATTCCGGTCTCCAAATGGTTATTTGGATTATCTTGGCTGACATTTTGTCGGCAAGATTCCGTGTACTTGGCTACGGTTTTGTGACGCTCCCGATTTTTATAACTTTCGTGGTGGGTGCCAAGATATTGAAAGCTCTCATCGCTTCGAATTGGCGATGGGTGCCGGGGATGTTTTGCATATTGGCGCCCGCAGTATTGACGCCAATCTTGTGTATGCTGTTGTATCTGGAGCACAAGGCGAAGCGAAGTGGGATTGTACCTCGTCACCCGTATTTGAGGAAAGGCTTCCATCACGCACTTTGGGAATTTTTCCTGGATGTTGACCTGGTTGGCTTGGTGCTTCTTGTCGGAGGCTTTGCCATGATTGTTGTGGCTCTCATCCGTGCCAGTAGCCCGTCCATTGTTGAGTCTACTTGGTCGAGTGCCTGGGTGATTGGATGCTTGACGGTTGGTCCGATTATTCTGGTGATTCTTCTTCCGCTATATGAATGGTTTATCTCACCACGTCCTTTCCTGCGCCTATCTTGGATGAACTCTGATGTCTTGATTGCGTTTGTGGTGGGCTTTTTCGACAACATGGCATTTATGTGTGGCTTCCAAGTGGCATACAACTGGGTCTATATTTCTTATGGTTATAAGGCTTCGGATGTTGATCTGGCTAACTATTTCACGAATTCAGATAATCTTGCATTAACGTTCTTCGGTGTGGTGGCTGGCGTTATTATTCTGTTTACGCGACGATTCAAGTGGTTTTTGGTGGCTGGCGCTGCGATTCGAACGATCGGTTTTGGCCTTCAGATCAAATACCGCACGCTAGACACCTCCATGACCCAAGCTGTGTGGGCACAGATTGTTCAGGGTATTGGAGGTGCTTTCTTGGGTGAAGTAACAACATTACTAAGCCAAATAACTGTGCGGCACCAAGACGTGGCCATGGTCACTAGTGTATACCTTACGTTGTTTTCCCTGGGCAGTACGATCGGCCTTGCTATATACAATGCTCTTCTGGATTCTCATTTTCCCGCGGCTTTGGACAAGTATGCAACTCTACTTTCTCCGGTGCATAGAGCTTTTGTAGCGGCTAGTGGGCCGTACAGTGCACTTACCTCCGGACCAAATTTGGATCAGCATCCAGAGATGAAAAGGCAAGTTGGCATGGCATACAATGAATCAGCAAAGCACGTTTTGTACTTCTGTATTGGCATTTCAGCAGCACTCATTGTCATTACGCTCTTTGTTCGCGACTGGGTCCTCCCTCGCTCCCACAACGTCGTGAGTAACGAACTGCCAGAGAAGAACCCCTTGCATATGGCATCAGATACGACCTATGATCAGGCAATCCATGATGCAGAACAATCGAACATGGACTCGCCGACATGCTCATCCCCTACAGAAAAGACGACGGAAGAGCATGTACATGAGCATGATATGTCGCAACAGCGTGACATAGTCAACATGGGTGCTTCTACGCAGGATGTGGTCGTCACCGGGAATTAGGGGAATGTAAGCCCGATGAGAGGATAGTGTCGGCGCTTAGTACGATGCATTTGCACAACTCGAGCGCGTATGAAAAATGTGCCTATGGAACATCATGATTGACGTAAGAGATGCCACTCCGCTCGGGCGTAACAAGTATCTCACAACGCATGGGTCCACCAAATGACCATGGGCATTTGGCTTTTTTGTGGGCACGCAAAATGCAGCTGTTTTTCCCACCTCGATGTGGCAAACTTGGCAATGTCTACGAAGTATATGCTCATACGCGTACATTTTTCAGCTTGAGTTTGAGGTCGCAAGAGCCATTTCATAGTGTAGGGAATAGAGTGAAGCGTTAATACGGGTACGTTGGAATAGGAATTATGAAGAAGAGGACGAGGGCGCATGCTTTGCATTATCTGCTTTAGCCAGCTGAGCCCATGTACGCCGAGCCATGCTCAGCAGGGAAGCCTGAGCTGAGCCAGGCGCGTCGCTATGTGGACGAAGTACTTCAGGTATGCCCTGGTCACTACCGTAGCACATATGCATTTCGAGAGGGATGCGGCCAAGAACAGGAACATTGAGTCGATGCGCGAGAGCTTCAAAAGACTGTGCGGACCCAAAAATGGGATATGTTTTTCCTGTGTCGGGTGCAAGAAAATGCGCCATATTGAGGACAAGCCCCAAAATCGGGACTTGAACTTTTTGAAACATAGTGATGCCCTTACGCGCGTCGACAAGAGCAACTTCTTGCGGTGTGCTTACAATCACCGCGCCGTCGACCAGCACGAGTTGGCTCAAACTCAGTGCGACGTCGCCAGTGCCCGGCGGCATGTCGATCACAAGCACATCGAGCGACTCGTGTCCGGGTGCCATGGGATCTGAATCAGGCGTCATACCAGCGCGCCAATCGACGTCGAACAGCAGTTGCTGGACCGCCTTCATGACCATAAGTCCGCGCCACACGACCGGAGTATCAGCATTGGATCCTGATGACTGCGGTGGAAGGAGGAATCCCATTGACATGCACGGAATTGAGTAGTTCGTCAGAGGGAGAAGCGCATTTTCTGCAGTAAACGTCAGTCGATGCTAATTGTCCACAAGCAGAGACGTACGTTTGGTCAGCTCAGGCTCGCCGAGGTCTTCGAGGTGCATGAGTTTTGGCACGCTTGGGCCGAACAGATCCAAATCCAAAAGTCCAACGCGAGCGCGACGCCCTAGTACGTCATTTGATGTGGCTGCGAGTCCCAGTGCGAGGTTCGCTGCGATTGTACTTTTCCCTACACCACCTTTGCCACTTGCTACGGCAATCACCCGTTTTACGTGGGGGATAGGCCGTTTTGGTTGCGGACCGCTCCCACGACGAGGCATGATTGGCGGGTACTTAGCATCGTTTCGTGGAAGGCCCTGGCGCGATGAGTTAGCGAGCTTGGGTGCCAGCGTGTGCCTGTATGCTCACGTACCAGTGGATTTTCATGGGCGCTCCAAATGGACGTACCAAAACGCCGTTGCCACATACCTAAGGGTTGGGCGCAATGGTGTGCACGAAACGATTTGACATTGCCCCACCGACGAGGAGTGTGGCACTAATCATATCCATGTCGCATTATCGCCGGGCGTGACGCGTGTGGAGGAGATTCGCCTGGCCTTGTTGCCGCCCGGCTGGCGTCAAGAAAAGCGCTTCGATGTTCATGCCGACCAGGCCGGGGCATGCGCGAGATTCCGTAAGTTCGTATCATACGTCTGCATGGCTGCCATTTATACTTGTCTATATAGTTGATGGGATGTGGGGAGCATGAGCGGGTGTAGATGTGTATGGAAGGCCACCCATCCCATGTACATCGATACCTGGCTCAAACATGAATTGAGCGAAAACCCTGAAAAAAGGCCAAATTCTCGGATTTTATGGATTTTTAGTGTTTATCAGGGTTCCACATCCACTCATGCGTGCAGGCCGGCAACAACAAATATTCGCGTGACTTGGGCAGGTCATATTGTAGCTATCACACCACGCATCGCGCACGCACAGTCCTCTACGATACACACTCTATACTTAGTACGTACGCTTGAACGGCGGCACACTCTTGCACTCGCTTTCATCAAGTGTGTCGCTGATCACATTACGGTACTTGAGGCTCACCTTGCCCGACTCCTCATCGAACCATGATAGCGTGTGCCTCATCCAGTTCTCGTCATCACGCTCAGTGAAGTCTTCGCGTGCATGCGCACCTCGCGACTCCTTACGAGCCTCTGCCGAGTGCATTGTCTGGGCTGCACTGCTCAGCAGGTTGCGAAGCTCCAGCGTCTCGGTCAGATCCGTGTTCCAGATCATGCCACGGTCCTTCACAGCGACCTTCGGGAACTCGCTCACCACCTTGTCAATCTTCTCCACACCCTCCTCAAGCGTCTTTTGCGTACGGAACACGGCGGCATCTGACTGCATGACGCGCTGCATCTCCAGACGGATGTCGGCTGTCGTGCGGGGGCCGTCGGCCGTGCGGATCGCATCCAGATCATTAATGGCCTGTTGACCATTGTCTCCCTTAAGTTCCTTGTGCGGCTTACCAGGCTCGAGGTTCTCGCGGATGTGACTGGCACAAGCACGACCAAACACCACAATGTCCAGCAAAGAGTTCGCACCCAGGCGATTGGCGCCGTGCACCGATACACACGCTGTCTCACCAGCAGCGTACAGACCAGGAACAACCTTGTCGTTGCCGTTCTCGTCCTGTGTGAGTACCTCACCCGTGTAACGCGTCGGGATACCACCCATTGTGTAGTGTACGGTCGGCAACACTGGGATAGGCTCTTTTGTCACGTCGACACCCGCAAAGATACTGGCAGTCTCAGAAATACCTGGCAGGCGCTCATGCAGCACCGAAGCAGGCAAGTGGGAGAGCTGCAAGTAAATGTGGTCCTTCATAGGACCGACACCACGGCCATCGCGGATCTCCATTGTCATGGAACGCGACACGACGTCACGCGAGGCCAGGTCCTTCGCCGTTGGGGCGTATCGCTCCATGAACCGCTCCCCTTCTGAGTTGAGAAGATAGCCACCTTCACCGCGCGAGCCTTCCGTGATGAGACAGCCCGCACCATAAATGCCTGTTGGGTGGAACTGCACGAATTCGAGGTCCTGAAGGGGCAGACCGGCACGCGACACCATAGCAAGACCATCACCTGTGCAAGTGTGCGCACTTGTAGCACTGAAGTATGCCTTTCCATATCCACCCGTGGCAAGGACCGTGCGGTGAGCACGGAATCGGTGGATGGTGCCATCTTCCAGGTTGAGCGCCATCACACCCACACACTCGCCATCTTCCATGATCAGATCCTGGGCAAAGTACTCAATAAAGTATGTGGTATTGTGACGCAGCGACTGGCCGTACAGAGTGTGAAGCATAGCATGTCCCGTGCGGTCTGCAGCGGCAGCGCAACGGTAGGCCTGGCCACCCTTGCCGTAGTGGAGGGATTGACCACCGAAGGCACGCTGGTAAATCTTGCCCTCCTTAGTACGCGAGAATGGTAGACCGTAGTGTTCAAGCTCTAGCACCGTGTTCGGCGCTTCACGGCACATGTAATGAATGGCGTCCTGGTCACCAAGCCAGTCAGAACCCTTGACTGTGTCATACATGTGCCAGCGCCAGTCATCCTCTGTCATGTTACCCAGCGCAGCATTGATACCGCCCTGAGCAGCGACTGTGTGAGAGCGCGTGGGAAACAGCTTTGTAATACACGCCGTGTTCAGACCACCCTCGGCAAGACCGAAGGCAGCGCGCAAACCGGCACCACCAGCACCGACGACAATAGCATCGTACTCGTGCTCGATCACAGGGTAGCCTTTTGTCAAGTCCGGCATACCTGGTGTGTTCGACATGGCTTTCGCACGAAGGGGTTGTGTGCCAACGACACGCGAAGCCTGTGCTGATGCATGGAATGCATTCGCACGAACAGATAGACGCAACGAATGAGCGCGAGGCACGGACGTGCGCGACACAGTGCGCATCAACGCACTACCAGCAATCATCCTCGGGAGTCTCGTCGGCCTGTGTCAGAGAAGGAGAGTGGCTGGAGGTGACTGAGAAAAAAAGAGGGAATTACGTCGGCTCGCCGTGTGGCTTCAGGCGGACGAGATTGGGGGCTAAGAGGTGCGGTTGACTGTGTAATACCAATGTTGGCCGGACCCCTGCAGCCAATCATACACGCCGCATTGGATACCAAAAGGCCGCCCACCTATGCACCCGAAGTTGTCCGGTCCGCGGGCGATGGCTGTTCGGCCGATTGGGATAGCGTCAAACCGACTGTGTGCGACTGGCGTTGTGGGCGTGCGCGACGGCACTTCCAGCGTGTCGTCGTTGGTAAGACGACTTGCGCAAGTGTCCATGCACATGTAGGCGTGTCAACATCGCTATGGTTCATGTTTATTCGAGCCATGATGATGCCACAATCCAGGGTTTCTCTCACTCTCATCTTCTTTTCTACATGTATTATTACTTCCAAGCAGCCATCACGTTCTAGATAGATGAGTCTCTGGTACTTCGAGGCTTTCCATACACATACCTTTTCGGCAGTAGCAAAAGCTTTTTTGAATTCCTCGACTTCTCGATAGCAGTCGAGTGTCCGGGATGGGTTTTCTCTGGGACACTTGTTAGTACTTAATCTTGGCGTGCAAGTGAGGCAGGTGTGCAAGCATGCTTGTATGTGGACGCACGTACCGGTAGCATTGAACGACCGCTTCACGAGCTTTTTGCAAGTCTGGGAATGACGACATGTCACGCCGTTTGTACTTTTCGACTTGTGCTTTGATACGATCCAGCTCCTGCTGCATCACATGGCTGCTCTGACCTTTGTCTTTGCGACCAAACCATGGCTTGTCCTCACGGTCCAAGTTCTCCTTTTCCAGGGCCAAGTTAATTTGCATCTGCACCTCTTTCTCCTGCTTTCGCAATTTCGCGAGCTCCTCACTCAGTTTCTTTTGCACATTCTCATCCAGCACACTCTGTCGCGATGCTTCTGGCCCAGGCGCTGATGAATCCGGTTGTGCGGCCTCGAGCTTGTTCAACAAGGTGCGGCCAATCTACAGGGGAGAAAGCATCAGCCACCGGTCTGAATGAAAGCCTCGAATTCAGTACATACCTCGAACGTATCAACTGACTCGTCTTGTGCTTTTGAGGCATCAGTAAACGAAGAAAAGAAACCCATTTCGCCGCGGTAATGCACCAAAAGCACTCAAAAGCTCTAGTCAGGTAGCGTTGCGGACAGACGAACGGACCCGCGACGCTCCGCATATCATCACGTGACCATAATCTGGAGGAGCACCACGGCGCTCAGGCGGGCGCAGTCATGACACGACAATGTGTTTCTTGCTCCACACATTGGAGAACCCCAGTTGCCGAGCGCGTACATATCGAGCGCACTACTTACCAGGGCGCCGCCGACGTCCTGGCTTACCAGTCTTGCGCCCCTGACTACGGGAAAGAGCCTCGGCCGTGGCACTTTGCCTGTTCCGATGGCGTGAATCCGATGCACTTCCTGGCGGTCTGCGTTGAAGCAGTGAATCGAGCTCAGGCACCTCGGTCAATTCTTCAGTCTCAAATGTAGGTAAAGGCATGTCGCGTGTGTTTGAAGGCATATAGGTACATGTGATAGAGGAGGCAGGCACATCTGACCAGTGCCGGCCGAATGATTTGATCGCTTGATGAGACAAGGCGTTGCCAAAGCGGAACCTGAATCCATCGTCATCGAAATTGTAGATGAGTGGGGAGCCATCTTCGGCTGTCGAGGGCATATCTTCACTATGACCTTCGTTTCTTTTTGAAGTGTGGGTGCTAGACGTCTCTGATGCACTTGCACTTGACTTGGGTCGAGAGTTCGAGACGGTGACTTTGTGTGTTTTCAGATCAAGATGTAGCGTCCGACTGCGCGGCACCTTACCTTGCATCGTAGGTGTAGGTCTTGCTAGACTGGACGGACGTTCATTCAATGCAGGGAATGCCTGCTCTGGCAACTGTCCACTAAGTCGCTGAGCCGTCCACTCAGCATGTCGCCGCGATTCCTGCTCTGCTTGCTCTTGCGCCAAGTGCTCGCGTAGTCCAGCCATTTCACTCAGCAAGCGCATGCGATCCTTGGTAGAAACGATAGGACTGGTTTGACACGACGGGCATATAGATGTGGGTGCAATAGGGACGGGACGGAGCGCGTTGCACAGCACCAAGCCACATGCTACGCACAGTGGCGCCCATTTGGCCAATTCATGTTGCTGGCCTTGGCATAAACACATGTATCCTTGTGTCGGCGCATATGAAAATGCATTCGCTGAGGAAGGTTCCGTGGAAAGCATTGTCAATTCAGCATCCAGAGCCTTCATCTCCGGTGTAGGCTCCAAATGTCGTGGTTTCGCGCGCTGATCAGCTTCTGCAAGCGCGCTTTTCAATGTGCTTGGAGTTAAACGGATGGGTTTCGCATCACGACGAGACGCAGATTCTTCCTCTTTCGGAAAATGCAAGTGTACAAATCGCTCAGTCAATGACATAGCTTCAGGTGAAGATCCGATCAAGTCGCGAAGGTATGCATGCAAGGCTTTGGGAGTTTTGTGGGATGAAATGATTGGTAAGACTTGTTCAGACACTGTCGCATCATCGAGGCCCAGGAATTTACCGAGTTCTTTTTCGGGAGCAGCATTCATCGCTGTTTTTACAGATGCTGCGCAAATGGAGGGCACAGTGACAGGCTAAGGAATAAATGTATGCTTAGTGTATATAGCGAAGATGTTGATGTCAAGCATACGAGAGTGCGTCGAAGTGGAGGTCCGTTCCAACCACACGCATTGATGGAAGCGTTCTTTTCCCCACAGCATGAGGCATAGCAGGACTGAGGAGCTCGACACTCAGGCTACATGTGAGAGTCAGACGTGTCCAGCATGTTCTGAAGCTGACTTTGACACACCCAAGGTTGTTTGGGTTGCTTGCTCACATTGCAACACATGGTATCATGTAGCATGTATCCGCTTGAAAAATGTCGAGGACTATGAGAAATGGTACTGTGCTTCATGCCTTGCCAATACGCATTTAGGCCTTGCACCCAAAATGCGTCCACCACTCCGCAGGTCAAATCGAGAAAAGCCAGCAACTGATTATGCTGCGATCCAGGACGGCAAGCCATCGGATCCTCTGGCCCGATGGTCTTTGTTGCTCTCACAGTATGACGATTGGCCTGAACGTGTACGGCGTGTTTCAGGCGCGTGTTGGACGACAGATTGGCTAGCTAATACAAATAATGCCCTGGAATCACCAGTACTTGCGCCTGCGCATGCTGAAGATTGCATGAACCCAGGTTCTCATATTCCAGGCATGCGAATGCCACCGCGCCACACAACAATCCGTGATGTTGCTCGGCTTGTGGGGCCAAATACTCATGTGGAAGTAATTGATGTTGGAACACAGATGTCTTCACGCGCGTGGACATTGGCAATGTGGGCTGATTACTTCGAGACACCTGCATCGAAACGGGAAAAGCTATTGAATGTGATTAGTTTGGAAATCACCGGTACACCTCTCCAAGCGATGGTTGAAGCGCCATTGATGGTGCGAGAAAATGATTGGGTAGAAAGAGATTGGCCATTGAATCGACGACCTTGCCATGAAGATGCGAATAAATGGCCCAAAGTTCAACGGTATGTCTTGATGGGGGTTCAAGGGGCTTTTACCGATTTTCACATTGATTTTGCTGCCACACTCGTGTATTACCATGTTGTATGGGGCCATAAGCGTTTCTTGTTCGCGCCTCCCACATCAGCTAATCTTGCTGCATACAGAGCATGGACATCGTCAGCGCGACAGGAAAGTGAATGGCTCGGCTATGCGCTGCAGAACTTGACGAGAGTTGATATTCACACTGGTGAAACTATGCTCATTCCTGCCGGCTGGATCCATGCTGTTTCGACGCTAGAAGATACACTTGTAATAGGCGGCAACTTTCTCACTGACTATCAAGTCTCGATGCACTGGCGCATCGAGGAAATGGAAGTAGCTACTCATGTGCCTCGCAAGTTTCGATTCCCCCACCTGATGCGCCTCGCGTGGTATGTCGCTCATGGTTGGTATGAGCGTCTTGAGTCTGTCGTCGAGGACGAAGATCATCAGAAGGATGTGCATGATCACAAGCACACGTCGAATGCCTGTGCGATGGTGTTAACCCCACGTGTTATCGACGGCATTCAACAATTGTGTAAGCGACTGGGGGCGGAAATCCATAAGCTCGAGACACAAGCGCCATCTTCGAAGGCTTACAAGGCGGCTCACGAAGCCGTACCACGTGATGTCGTGAAGGACCCCAAAGCCTTGCTGGAGGCACTCCGTGCACAGCTCGAGGCACGTACAACGATGCGGAAACGCCGTCGCCGACGTTAACCTACGCGTCTAAGTCATGTGACCATCATGACCTGGGGCTGTCATGAAAGTGGCATCAGCATCCGCGTCAACGGATGACGAAAGTGGGGATGAAGATGAGGACGATAGTGAGGATGAGCGTTCGCGATGGTGGGAAGGCGGCGCATCGTCGCTATTGGTAGGGATCATGTCCTCGTGACTTTGTGATACTGGCGCGGCCTCGACGTAACTGGATATTGGCGTGTATCGGCTGAGTGATCAGCAGGCGGGGGCGACGATGGGGATTCGCGCCTAGCTTCAGGTGAACGAATGCTGGACACAGAAGACTTTGTCTGATTCTCAGTGTAAGAGTGTGGATAATTGTCGACGTTGCCTTGTGCTCGAAGTGGGCAATCTGCTCTGCAGAGTCGTCCACATCGATCGCGTCTACGTCGGCATGTTGGTGCTCATTATCGTCATCCTCTGTGCTCGGTTCCTCACCAATAATGCTAACCTCGTAAGGAATATCATTGTGCTCATCGTCGATGGCCTGCACTAGGCTGGGGATATCATCGAGCGCCCGCATGCGTGCAAATACATGCAGATGCTCAAGGCTCGCACATCGCAATGCACGCCATGACAAACTCTGAGCTTGATCGGGGTCTGTACAATGCTCTATCGCACGACACAGCGAGCGCAAAGACGGCGGTGCACGAGGAAATTTTAGCTCTTCCCAACCATCCGTGCGAATGGTCTTGTCATGGCCTTCTTCGTCATTCACATGCATTTCTGAAGGTTCAGCCACGTGGAATCCATCTTCCCACAGTCGCGAAAGTTCTGGTGTGCCGAGGGCATGCGGAAACCAGGGCTCTTGCTGGGCAAAGGTGGTGCGGATCTTGTCGGACCAGGCCTGCAGAGTGTCCGGATTCAGTGCATCCTTGTGGAAAGACGGCGCGCTAGCCGCCTTCCACCGGATCCAACTGCTTTCCCGGCGCAGTAGCATCAGCACAGCATCCAGAAACACTCTGCCTTCCTGGCTGGACTCCCGCAGAACAGTTTGGATTTGGCGCCACGTCTTACGGAGCCATTGCTCTTCCTCTTGTTTCAGGGTATGCATAGGAACGAGCAACTTGTTTTTCCATTCCTTCGATTGTTCGTGAGTTGCACTCGTTTGTCCAAGCAAGTACTGAAACGTGATGAGACATTGCACGAGATATTGTTGCTGAAATGCCAAGTTGTGAAGCTCGTATCCAAAAAGTGTTTGTGTGCAGCGGTATCGTGGATACGTGGGTGATGAAGCGCTCGTTTCGAAGCGGGCGCGCTTCGTCTTAGGTGGAGAATCACTCTTCTTGTTTAACCAGCGCATCACATCCAAGACACACTGGATTCCCGTCTGGAATGTGTGCATAGGCGTTGATGCCTGCCTCTCTTGCAGTCCAAGAGCTTCAGCCGCTTTGGCGCCTGGCGCGTCTGACTCACTAAATAATAGGGTAGGGTTGGTGAAGTAGCGTTGTAAGGACCAAAACAGCACGTAGAACTGGGGATGATGAATCAGAATCTCAGGCTTCGTCTCACTGGGCGGCTCACAATGTTCATTTACGGCCTCAATGTCAATGGTCTGATTCGTGTCAAATTCGCCTTTCAAGTTCACACCGCTCCGCTCACTGATAGCGAATGTCGACGAGAGAAGCAGAAAGATACGTCCTGCAAGCATAGTATGCTGTGGATGGGTTTTTGACAGACGTCGAAGAAGCTCATTGCACAGCCGCAAGAGCACTAGTCCTTTTCCAGATGTGGGAACCATGTTCTTTGCATTAGAAGTCATGTCATGGACGCATGCTTACCTCTTTCAAGAGCGGTAACCGAGCCTCTGCGTAAGTGAAGAGGTCCGTGCAAGTGATTATAGTGGATTGCTCCATTAGGTCTTCAAGCGCTGCTAATGGAAGGCTTGGGTCTGCTATATCTGCGGTTCGAGTTAGCTGGTGATTCGCAACATAGGAACCACTTACTGGATCGAACCAGGCACAAAGCCACGTCCAAGCGATCAAACGCATCGTCTACACTATCATGTGCCAGAATGTAGGAGTGTACAAGCGTCCAAATACTAGAGCTTAGAAGTTCGTCCCACAGACCAGGTTTCGTCACATTGGACCGTGCATTCGTGCATGCCGCGTTGGCCTCGTGGAAAGCGTGCGCAAGTTCGTCACGGATGTGTGGAACGAGCTCAGCCTGTGCAGTATGTGCATCAAGACGTCCGACATGCATCTGTTGTTTCCGTTGCTGAAGCGACGATAACATCAATGGCAAACGCGATTCCAAAAGGTGCGACACATGCCGAACGAGTTCACTCTGCTTGGTCATGTTGCTGGTCCATCCACGCACGTCGTCGACGCGAGCGTCGTCGTGATGAACGTGAAGGAGGCGCAGATGCACATCACGTGCGCACATGGCGGTCGGGTCGTCGATGGTCTTTTCAGGTAGGCGGCCAGAGAGTGGAGGCGACGTGTGTGCATGCATGTGTGTGTGTGTGTGCGCGTGCAAGACTGGGTTCGATGGAGCGTGCAGCAGCACTGACCCAAGATTCGTCCGCTGCATCCCAGATCATGGAGGACGATCGCATGGAGTTTGATCATGGTGCGTATATGGTATGGGCATCATCAACTGATATAAAAGATGCGAGAATCCGTCGGAGAGGACGAGGATTTGGTGCAAACGATTCAAGCGAACCGGATGGCGTCAAGTCGCAGGGATTCGAACAGCTGGATGTTGAGATGGACAAAGTTGATGACGATGATGGTGTGAAAGAGCGTTTTAACGAAACAAAGGCAGTGCGATGTATGTCATATTTCTTGTGTGAAAGCATGTACTGACGCAAAAAAGCTATGGAGGGATGGGTCCTTGTCGTCACCAATATCCACGAAGAAGCCTTAGAAGAGGACGTTATGGACTTATTCATGGAGTATGGCAAAGTCCAAGATTTGCACCTAAATTTGGACCGACGAACTGGATTTGTTAAGGTATGTGTATATCTTTACTTAGCTAGGCCTTTTCCTGGTTTGTACGGATTTCTGACAGAATCCAGGGGTATGCACTGATCCAATACAAGACACAGCAAGAAGCAGAGAATGCGATTGATGCGTGCAAGCGGGGTTTGACTCTCCTTGAGCAACCGCTGGATGCTGATTATGCATTTGTGCAACCACCGAAGCAGCCTCCGCACGCGCGCGGTGGAAGCCGTCGACCTGCGCGTGAACGCAGCTTATCGCCTATGCGCCATTGATTATGTTCCTACTTAGTGATTGATGTTCCACCTACCTTGACATGGCCCAAGTGAACGGACTGCTTTCGTCACGTGCCATGTGGATCAACCATCCGGCCCACCCTGTATCTGAAATGAATTAGTCGACCAAGTGCGCATGCATGGGTTCATATGTTTTTGTCGAGTGCACGTAACTTGATTTTTTTTCGCCCCGCGCAGACGACAACAACGAAAGATGGATGATAGTTGATGGAGGCTGACCTCCACATTTCGAGATAGTTTTCACGTGATATACAACTTTCCCACGGTGTCTCGACCCTCTCACATACACAAGGTGAGCAGGGCCGAAGATCTTGCTTCTTTACACTTGTCGTCGAGCTGCAAGGACGCCACACACTGTTTGGTTAGCTGTTCGCCATGCAAGTGTTCGTCAAGACCCTGACGGGCAAGACGATCACCCTCGAGGTGGAATCGTCGGACACGATTGAGAATGTCAAGGCGAAGATTCAGGACAAGGAGGGTATTCCTCCGGACCAACAGCGCCTGATCTTCGCTGGTAAGCAGCTCGAGGATGGCCGTACTCTGAGTGACTACAACATTCAGAAGGAGTCGACCTTGCACCTCGTGCTTCGTTTGCGTGGTGGTGCCAAGAAGCGCAAGAAGAAGACGTACACGACTCCCAAGAAGATCAAGCACAAACACCGCAAGGTCAAGATGGCCACGCTCAAGTACTACCGCATCAACGATGACGGCTCGGTGAAGCAGCTCCGCCGCGAGTGCCCATCGCCTGAGTGTGGTCCAGGCATCTTCATGGCCTGGCACCACAACCGCCAGTACTGTGGTAAGTGCCACCTGACCTACCTGTTCCAGGAGGGCACTACGAAGCCAGAGTAATGGGGTTCGTGTTTGTGTAGAGCCAGTTGGTAGCTGAGCTTAAAAAATGCAATCTTTTCATTGCCGCAGGTTTGTGAGCGACTATAGTGCATTGTGCGAGACAGAATAGGACAAGTGCGTCAGGCGTGCAAAACTGGGGTTGACCTACAAGAGTGCGTGGTATTGTGCTGACTACAGCGACGCTCCTAAAGGATCTTACGATACAATTGTGATAGGGATAAAATCTATCTATCTATATAAATATATAACAAGGTGTGAAAGGGACTGGAGGGAAGAAGGCGTTGAACGAACCCACATTCAGGAGGCGTATCATGGCGGCACTTCGTTGGGGTCCAATTGGAAGTAGGGGTGCTTAAGGGCATCTTCAACAGTTATGCGTTTGGCTGGATCGAATTCCAGGAGCCGACGAAGTAGCGAGACGAATTCGCGCTGGTGTTTAGCGTATGATGGGGGGCCGGAAATTATGTCTTGTAGCGGCTTCATACTTTGGACATAACGCCTACTTTGCTTCGTCGTTTCAGGACGCGGATAATCGAGATGGCCGTGATAGAAGTACTCTGGCTTGTACGTCTCGGCTTTGCGTCTGTAATCATCTGGTAATTTCCCGAGTACCATTTCCATCATTGCAAGATGCTCAAGATTATCATGGGTTTGGAATAGGGCCTCACCTGTGAAGAACTCGACTAGAATACATCCAATGGACCAAACATCACAAGGGAACGACCAACCCATGCCGAGGATGATTTCCGGCGCCCTGTAGTGTCGAGTCGACACGACGCCAGAGTGATACTCATTGCTAAATGTCGCACTGCCGAAGTCGATCAGGCGAATCTCTGCATTACGCAGAACACGTTTCTTGCGCGCGTTCGAGCGTCGTGATGTCGCGACAAGGTCGAAGGACGCATCGACCAAAAGAACGTTTTCCGGCTTCAGGTCCGTATGAATGAGGGATAGTCTGTGCAGGAATGCGACGCTATTCAGCAACTGCTTTGCAAATAGCCAAATATCGCGACACGGAAATGGTTGGAATTTATTGTCTTTGAGGAAGTCAAATACACTGCGATCTAGCAGGTCTGATACAATACACACATGGTTCCTAAAGTCGAACGTCTCAAGCAATTGGACGCACTGGTGCTCATTGGCCGGGTCATTTTGACGCAAGCATCGCAGAACACGAATTTCGATTTGGCTCGCATCTCGGTACTTCTGCACAGCTCGAATTACTTTGATGGCGACGAGTTTGTGCAGTTTGCGGTCATAACATTGCACGACTTTGCCGAACGTGCCTTGTCCCAACAGTTTTTGGATCTGGTACCGAGGAGTGATGAATTCACCCTCTCGGACAATAATGTGTCCGTCTCTGTCGTCTAGTGCGATGGGAGGTTCAGTGCGTGGCAAAGACGGAGGTGCTCCGTAGGATGAATGCCACGCATCTAATTGGTACGGCAGAGATGGCGCTGGAGCGGGAAATTTCGCTAGCGTTGACACATGGGAAAGATTCGGTGCAGCTGTTGTCGTTTGTTGTGGGCGCGGCGGTGCTGGAACACATGCTGAGGTGAGTGTGGACGTGGCGGGAGGAGGCGGCTCGACCGTGGAAGGCGCAAAGACCGAATCTACATATTCATTGGGACGTCGACGCTTCGATGGTATTTCGTTTAGCTGCCAGGGAGCGAGTGACTTGCGTTTCCCACCGTGTAAGTATGCTGAGCTGCTGGTGTTGGCATTTGAGAAGGTTGGGCGAGAAAGTGGTGAAGCAGGAGGGGCGTCGTAGTCATTCTCGTCTTCGTTCTCATGGCCGTCGCCACCATGATTCTTATCATCATCATCGTCATCATCATCACTCACGAGGAACACCTGCTGCTCGCGACCGTTGATCATCTCGTGCACACATGCACGAGACGATGGTGGGCGCATTAAAGGTGCACTAGATGTAGCGGTTGTAGATGTTGCAGCGGTTGGGGTCATCACCATCGAGGAGGACGATGTGGGGTCCAAAGCATGGGGTGATACAGGGTTCCAAGTCGTGGGATATGTGAACAGATTGGTGTGCACGTCTGAAGGAGCAGCCAAATATGTGTGTGCGGGAGCAGCGATGGATGCTGCGGGCATGTTCATAAACGGAGGAAGATCCATGCCAATCTGTGAGGTCGCGGTGTGTGGCGAGAGTCTCCGCTTTTTCAGCCGGGGAACAACAGTCGCCATATCCTCGGAATCTCTCTTCTCTCGACGACGAGGCTTGTCGCCGCACTAGGTCTTCTCACAGTTGTTTGAACGAAAGCCAAGGAGAGCGAGCGCGCGAGCGATCTCTTCCCGGTCAGTTGAACCCCCCTGCTACAAATGGCTTAGGTTAACGCTGGACTCACGGGCACGTCGCTGCTTGGGTCGAGTGGCTTCAATGTCCGCCTCCGCCTCCGCCGCCTTTGCCTCTGCCTGTGCCTCTGCCTGTGCCTCCGCCTCTGCCACTGTTTCTACCCATTCCCACGTCCCAGGTCCTATTCCCTTCCCCCCCTGCACAGCGGCATCCGTGGCCTCTGAGCGTTCGCGGGCATCAACTCGGGAGTGTGATTGGGCAAATAGCTGGATTTTCCTTGTTTCTTTTATGTTGCTGACTGCATGAATTCGACAGCTTGTGGAGGTATGTGGATTTACACACTGTTTGTGCCACGGTCCCCCTCGCATGGCAAGAACTGAATGGGGTGCGCGGCGTCGGCCGTCCTGTGTACTGGGCGAGTCGCTCGTGACTGACTGTGTGTGCTTGGCCAGTTAGGGGCCATTCCTTCAGTAGCTTCGGCGAACTCCTACGAATTGTTATTTGTGTATTAGTTCGTGTTACAGACGGCCTTTAGGACATGTTTCAGTAGCCTTCCCCCCCGCCGTTAAACCGATCCACTAATCGTTCTCCCTTTGCTCGCATTAACGTGCGCAAGTGCGTGCGGCGGCTAATTGCATTATCACGTGGCCATGTCTCTGCTTGCATGCACCTTTTGGGGCTTGGGTACGTGTGCGTGACTGCGTTGAGCGAGTGCGTCAGCGGTCTGTTTCATTGTGCGTCGTCACCTCGATTTTAGTGTGTCTTTGAGCTGTCTCCTTGGCGCACAAACACGTTCTCTGAACGAGCTTGTCGTTGCCTATTTCACGTCGCGTGTCACGATGCGGAAGAACGTCTTATCGCTCCGCATGACTCATGCACGCGCGGCCCTAAGCACGGCCGTGGCGCCGTTGGCGCCACGTTGTGCGCATCGGCAGAGGACGATGCTTGCCTCGACAACCGGTCATATCCACTTGGCATCGAAAGTAGGCGCCGTTCCTTCGGCGAATCCGCCACCTACGAGTGAACGCAGCTTGGGCTTACAGCGCTTGTATGCACAACATCGTCCTCTCCTGGAGCATGAACAATTGCCTGCTCGCTCGCTGCGCATAATGGAGGGTGATACCCTAATGATGGAATCAGAGCCGCTTGTTGTGCCTGAACGCAGTGTGTGGCGTCGTCGCGCACGCCGCGTCGATACCGATACGTTCGCCAATCTGCTCGACCATTTGTCTCAACTTCATGTTTCTTGTCCTTCAGTTCCTACGTCACGCAAGTCACGTATCGCCCGACGCACTCGCGCCCGCGGTGCAGTCGCGTCGCTTTTGCCGTCTCCCACTGTAGTCGCTGCATCGCAAAGGATCGAAAGGATGGAGCGCGATGCTGAGGAGCGCGAGCAGGTGATGGCAAACGCGAGAGAGCACGGCCTGGACTTGGAGCGAGCGTCACGACTCGGCGCAGAAGCTGAGCTTGTTGTTCTTGGCGAGCCAGCAGGGCCACACAAAGATTGGGCTCCTGGCGTCGCGACGCATCTCGGTTCTCACACGCAGCCATATGTGCCGCCAGCTGCGCGACACGTAGCACGACGACGTGTTCGCGCTCGCTCTATGGATGCCATTGATACTGCCGACGAAGATGCACATTTGTGGCTTACACACGGTCTTGTGCAGACGCGTGTGAAGGCGGATCATGCTTGGCGTGCCTTCGTTGCGACAACTATGGAAGCACCGCCTGTTTCCTCGCACCCCACTGTCTCGCTTGATAGCGTGCGAAGAAAACGCAGGAAGAAGATGAACAAGCACAAATACAAGAAGCTTCGTAAGCGCCAGCGTGCTGAACGCCAGCGCCTCAAGAAGTAAACGGTACAAACATCAAAGCCAGGAATCAAAATGCAAAATAACCCTCCCCCTGACGTCTCGTAGTGAGCAGCGCATAGTATTATGTCGTTATCGTGGTCTACGAAACAGGAGCGACCCAATCTACTTGCATACCGTCGTTATCTGACCCGCTAGTCAACTTTTTTTTTTTCTAAAAAAATCCACTCGTCATGTTTTAGCCAGTCCGCTTGCCGTTGCGACGCGGACGTGCACGAACCACCATACGGTTGCCACCACGTGTACCAGGGCGGCGAGTGCGCTGGAACTTGAGTGGGAATCCATAAATGGAACGTGGTGCCTTGTTCGACTTGGACTTGCCACGGCCACCACCATGAGGGTGGTCGCAAGGATTCATCGCCACACCACGGACCTTGGGCCGCCTGCCGAGCCAGCGACTGCGTCCAGCCTTGCCGAGGCGTATATGTTGATGGTCCTTGTTGCTCACAGCGCCAATTGTCGCGCAGCAGTCGATTGGCACGAGACGCACTTCGCCGCTAGAAAGACGCACTTGGGCATGCGTATGACGCGTCAGATCTTCTGATTCGCCCAGGTCGACATTCTTGCGGAGAGATGAGAACGTCACGAGCTGGCCAAATGTACCCGCAGCACGCACAAGCTTGGCTGGCCCTAGCGGCAGGAGCGAGATAGCGTGGATGGTTGTGCCGATGGGAATCATGCGCAATGGAAGCACATTTCCGGGGCGAATTGCTTGCGTACGGAAAATACCTAGGTTCAGGCTCGAATCTTCGTGCAGCTCGCGTTTCATAGTACGGTAGCTTTCGACGGTGTCGCCGACGACAAGCTCATCTGGCGCGAAGAAATTATAGCTCAAGCGACCCGTCTCTTGTTGTTGCTGGATCAGTGCTTATTGTTGCGCACTGCGGACTAGGATCGTACTCAAGCCGCACCACACGCTGCTCACCGGGCTCCCAACGATAAAAGTCCACGAGACGCAACCTACGGCGATGTCCACCACCACGTCCACGTACTGTTATGTGTCCATGGTGATTACGACCACCACTTCCACGCTTTGGAATTGTCAGTTCACGCACAGGTCTGCCGCGATGCAAGTTGGGACTCAACGGGTACCGCAACCAACGAATGGACTTGGTGATGGGCTTGAACATCTTGAATTGTTGGTCTGTCCGTACGTATGGCGAGAGCTTTTTATCCGCCACACCCAAGCGAGCTGCAATCGTATTGCGCTTGCGAGTCTCGCGCGTCATAATCCGTTGTTGCTTTTTCGCACCTCGTCGTTCACGTCGAGATGGGACAGTGGTGCGCTGCTGTTCATTGGTGCTCATAGCGTGTCCTAGTGAATGCAGCGGTGGCATGATAGGCGTCCCATCCGTATGTACAGCCACCGGCGCACCAGAGCCGAGCCGCTCGATCGGCTGCTGCACAGGCGCTTGTCGCGCACGCGCCGTCGAGATGGCACGCTGCCTCAGCGGCATTGGCATTGGCGCACGCAGCGACATGCGCAGCAGTGGCATGGACATACTGCGGATGTCGACTTGCGCTAAATCACCTTACAATGAAAGACGTCCGGGAAGGTGCTGCTTCTGAGCGCCTGTCAAACAACAGGTGTCTGTCAGCGACGGGGATGGCAGACAAGAGCAGTATGTAAAGAGAGACAGCGCGGTGTTCGAAGACTGCCAGGGCTCTCGCGTATCACGTGATGTAACTGGGCGCAGGCGTAGACAGTCATGGATGTTGTGACGGACCCCTTTGGCCGGCCTCTCACGCGCTGCGATCACACGACGGTCAGGGCCAACGCAAACTGCCGACCCTCGTGCGCACCTGGAGATTTCCTCCACACTCGATCTCACACCCGAGTAAGCCAGCGATGGTGCTGCTTACGACGTCGGACAATGAGCATTTCACCGTGGATCGCGATGTGGCAGAGCGGTCTGTTTTGATCAAGCAGATGATCGAAGACATTGGCGAGACAGACCAGCCTATTCCATTGCCCAATGTTAGCTCCAGTGTACTTACCAAAGTGCTTGAATACTGCAGTCACCACCGGCACGATCCACCTGTGCCCGCTGATGACACTGACGAAATGCGTCGTCGCGCCACAGACATATCCGAATGGGATGCCAAGTTTATTCAGGTTGACCAGGAAATGCTGTTCGAAATCATTTTAGCGGCCAACTATCTCGATATCAAGAGCCTTCTCGATATCGGGTGCAAGACAGTGTACGTATGACGACGTGTCCCAACTCATGCCAGTGCAAACATGATCAAAGGAAAGCAGCCTGAGGAAATCCGTAAACTATTCAATATTCAGAATGACTTTACGCCGGAAGAAGAGGCGCAGATTCGTCGCGAAAACGTACGTTGGCTGCATTTCCTGTACATTTTGTAGAAAGCTCACACCTACAGGAATGGGCCGAAGATCGCTAGAGTAATGGTAGCTTGTTACTATTTCTATATCATAGATCCCATTTGTACCATCAGAGTATATACTTTCGAAAGTATCTCCAAAAATGATCGGCTGCTCATCTGCGCGGCGGTGAGAGTCGCTGCCATATGCTTGCGCATAGCCACATATCTTGTGTGGGCTGACAAGGAAATATAGATTAGGGGTAATGGGTTGTGGGCGTTCGATGTCGGAAGAATCGGCCAACGTGGCCAGTGCAGATCGGGTCGTGGAATTAAGCCCGTCTGGTCTGCACCCCCTTCCGTTCGTAAGAGCGTGACCCTTGTACCTAAATAAATAAATATATATATAGAAAGAATTGGTGTGGTAGCTGCTCGCAAGCGAGCTTGCGGGGTGAGAGCAAGGCTGCGGGCATCCAGCATTGTATGATAGGTCGCAGGATCACAGCTTGCCTTATTGAACTGTAGGTATTGTCTCTGCTGTCAGTATTTTGTTCACTCGCGTGAACGTGCGCACAACCTGTATTTCGTGAAATGAGTCACAACACGCCAGCGACTCGGTTGGATCGCCTTGTGTCGCTGTTAGACATTGGCTCATCATCCCTGATCCGTACTACAGCAGCTACGCAGCTGGGTCAGATCGCTGCACTGCGTGTGCGTGGAGCAAGTACTTCGAACGAAAGCTTGTCGTCAACGTCTGCGCCCGATTCTGATACGTTCCGTACCGTGTACCGTGGGACGGATGGCGAATGGAACGAGGTGTTGACATTATTGGCACGTGTTGTGCCACTTCTTTTGTCGAAAAGCTGGGACACGCGTAGTGCTGCAGCGCAAGCTATTCACCATATCTGTCGTGCTGCGGGTATTTGGGATCCCGACACATTTTCGAGTCATACTACCACGGACACGTCAGTACAACCTCCGCTTAATACAGAAAGTGTCAAGACGGAGGGCAAGACACAAGATGACACATCGGGTGCAGACTCATTGCAGTCGGCGCCACCCGCTGCCCCTGACTCCTTAGCTACAACTTCGCCAGGTGATCGACTTCAATTTGCGAGCTTCTCCCTACCCAATGTCCTTACCACAGGCACCAAGCTACTAGCGTCGGCTGGCCGTGAATATGATGTACACTGAGCTATTGAGCCGCGAACGTCTGCAACATGCTAAGAAAGATGTACTTGGGAAGCTGGGTCTTGGATTTGGTGCCGATGATATCGACGTGGGCATCGACATGGATGCTGAACTAGGCACCAAGCTCAAGAGCGACCCTGGTTTTGATGCTGATACAGTCAAGTCCGAGCAGGCTCATCGACGACCGTCATCAGCTACCGTGAAGCCAGAGCCAGAACCAGAGCCAGAGCCAGAACCGGAGCCAAACCGTGTACTCAGTGCACGCGAGCGGAATCAGCTCAAGCGCAAGCGCAAGCTCGAAGCCAAGTCACAAGCGCGCACGCCTTCTGCGCGTATGGAGCCGGAGAAGCGCACAAAAATCGATGTACCTGTGGACCAAACGGTGGCACACACAGCAGCTGCTGCGATGTCGCTCCAGGTGCGCCGAGGCGAGTGGCCCTTTCGGGCGCTGGCCGAGCTCTTAAGTGTAGAACTCTTCAGTCCTACATGGGAAGCGCGCCATGGCGCAGCGCTTGGCCTGCGTGAACTTTTCCGCACACAAGGCAGTGGCGGTGGGCGGGTGATGGGTGTGTCGAAAAGCGAGAATGACAACTGCCATGCCCAATGGTGTGAAGATCTTGCCGTGCGTTTGCTCTGTGTATTTGCCCTTGATCGCCTGGGTGACTTTGTATTTGACCATGTCGTTGCGCCTGTGCGTGAGACTGCGTCACAAACCCTCGCACAGCTTCTTCCTCACATGACGAGTGAGCTCGTGCGCTCAACGCATCACGTCTTGCTAGAGATGGTGCGTCAGGACTCCGTGCGTGCAGCTGGGATTGTAGGGAAAGCCGGGCAACGGCCGTATATTTGGGAAGTTCGACATGCCGGCCTGCTTGGCATTAAGTACGAAGTCATGATGCGTGTAGATGTGCTGGGTGTCGAAGACGATATGCTGTCGGATGTACTCGATGTGGCGCAACTCGGCCTACATGACGATGACGATGACGTGCGCGCCGTTGCTGCAGCGATGCTGCTTCCCATCACGCATAACATCGTCACGTATCAGCTGCAGCGCGTGCCAGATCTGGTCGATCAACTCTTTTCATGTATTGGCGACAAGCGAGACGACTTATCGAGCAGTGCTGCGAGTGCGATGGATCTACTATCTGCACTCGTTGGGCATGCACAAGTTCTGAGCATTCTCGATTCGGTGTCGCTATCGCGGCAAGTCACGACGCTCTTCCGCTTCTTCCGCCACACCATCACGAATGTCCGTCTATCGATGCTGCATGCGATGCTTGCATTGCTTCAGTGTGAATCTTTGCCGCACGACTGGGTCAACGATGCTTTTATTCGTCTGCTGTTTCAGAACATGCTCGTCGAGGAACGGTCATCCATTCGTGACGCAACAACGCGCGTTTGGACACATACGCTCCAGGTGCTTGGTCCGCGCATTGCTGAGTTTGTGGCGCCTCACCTTCCGACACTCTTTTGTTTGGTCATGACACCTATCGGCACACCGATGGATACCTCACTCTTTTACGTGCCGCCACTCGCACGCACTGAACACAACATTGATCGAGGTATTCTTGCGCAGGATTTGACGTTGGTCGGTATGGACACTGTTTTACGTGGTCGCATAGGTGCTGCTTCTGCTCTTGGCGAAGTCCTCGCCCACATCCCATCAGCAATGCTGAAGGAGTCATGCGCACTGCTCCACGATGCTCTGTTGTCCACCTCGGCATTACAAAAAGCACTCGCAGCGGTTGTGGCGCAGCGCTGGGCTGAATGTGTTGCAGATCCGGCGGCTCTCCTTGCTGTGCCTGATAGCCCAGTGGCATCTTTGCATTCGTGCCTACTGCATCTATTGGATGCATCGATGCCATCCATGTACAATGAGATGCAGATTCTGCTACAGCGCATGCAGCATGAGTGTCACATGCTCATCCAGGCGCTTGTGCGTGATGCGCAGATTCCGCGCGAGCGCTTGCCGAGTCTGCCGGAACCGTGGTCAGTGACACATGCGCAGTCTATGATCGAGGCTGCTGCGTTGGCACCTGAGTGTTCGACGGCACAGGAACAAGTATGCAAGATCCAGCGTGTTAGGGAGCAGTATGAGTTGACCAAGGAGACACAGGACGTGCTTGTGCTCGCGGCGGTAGCGGGCGCTGTGGTCGCATGGGGCATCTTGCCACCGAAGTTGAACCCACTTATCCGAAGCTTGATGAACAGTATCAAGTACGAAGAAATCGCTGATCTGCAGATACGCGCTGCCGCTTCCATAGCGCGGCTCATTCGCCTGTGCACGATGCCACAGGCGAGCGCGAATCCCAGCTCGAAGATTATCAAAAATCTTTGCGCCTTCGTGTGCCAAGACACGGCCACTACACCCCTATTTGCCGAGACGCGTCAGACACGCGAAGGCATTGGCGCTCTGCTTGATTTGGATGCAAAACCTGCAGGACAGGGACCTGGCATGCCTGATGACAACACAACCATGTCGCCAGGCCGTCTCATCCGCCGTGGTGCAGAATTTGCTTTGCATCACATATGCGACGAGTTTGGCCCGCAGCTTTGGGATCGCGTGCCGATTCTCTCTACATGCTCGGCAGAGCCGCTGATCCACGCCATGAGTGTGGACGAGACTTCTACCCCGGGTGATGCGCCAATGGACGACTCAGTCGGCCAGGCAATCCTGGACGCTTGCACTGTGGTAGCGTGTATTGCGCCACACGTGCATGCAGAGCTGCACGGTTCTCTCGTGCGTCTACTTGATGCGCTCGTGCGTATAACACAGAACGAACACATGGTGCTTCGCAGTGCCGGCGCGTGCTGCTTCAGCGTGCTGACGAAGTGCATCACTGACGAGGCAATGCATGTCCTTGTTGAAAGGATTGTGCCGATGCTCGGAGATGCCACACTACTGCATCGACAGGGGGCCATGGAGGTGATCTCTCGTACGGTGCGTGTGCAAGATGAACGGCTTTTGCCGTATGTCCTATTCCTTGTTGTCCCAGTGCTGGGCCGTATGAATGATAGTGATGAATCCGTGCGATTGCTCGCAACGAACACATTTGCTGAGCTTGTGAAGCTTGTGCCATTGATTCATGGTCTACCAGACCCACCGAACTTCTCCGCGGCTCTTCTTGCTCGACGGGAGGAGGAGAAAGCATTCCTATCGCAGCTCCTTGACGGCTCCAAAGTTGAACCCTACAAAGTGCCCGTGGAAATGAAGGTCCAGCTGCGGCCTTATCAGCAAGATGGCGTAAGCTGGATGGCATTTCTTGCTCGGTACCAACTGCATGGCATCTTGTGCGATGACATGGGGCTAGGAAAAACATTGCAGTCAATCACACTCTTGTCCTGCAAGCACCATGAGCGAAGTCAGCGTTGGTCTCAGACACAAGCGGCAGATGCACGTCCTGTACCATCGCTTATTATTTGCCCACCAACGCTTACGGGTCACTGGGTGCACGAGATCCGACAGTTTTCGCCCAATCTCACTCCTTTGTTGTATGCGGGCCACCCCAGCGACCGAGCTCGGCTCAAGTCGCAGATCGACAAAGTTGATGTCGTCGTCATGTCGTACGATGTGGTGCGGAATGATGTACAAGATCTCGCACCGCGCTCATGGTTCTATTGTATTCTTGATGAAGGCCATGTTATCTGCAGTCCGAAGACTAAGACGACACGATCTGTCAAGCAAATCCAGGCGCAGCACAGGCTGATTCTGTCTGGAACCCCGATCCAAAACAACGTGCTAGAGTTGTGGAGCTTATTTGACTTTTTGATGCCGGGCTTCTTGGGCTCGGACCAGTCGTTCCATGAGCGCTTTGCGCGGCCTGTGCTGGCGTGTCGCTCAGGCAAGCCTAGTGCTTCGGACAAAGAAGCAGCGACGCTTGCGCTGGAAGCGCTGCATAAGCAGATTGTGCCTTTCCTTTTACGGCGTTTGAAGGAAGACGTATTGAATGATTTGCCACCGAAAATCATCCAAGACGTGGAGTGCGAGCTGAGTGATGTGCAAAAGAAGCTTTATGACGAGTTTATCAAGTCTAAGGACCGAGAATCTGTGGAAGATGCCCTCGTGGAGACGGCAAGGAAAGGAAAGAAGGACAACGGAGATGACGACGTCGGTAACGGTGGCGGCGATGATGATGACGACGACGACAAGGTGCCTCAGCAGCACGTGTTCCAGAAACTCCAGTACTTACGCAAGCTTGCGAATCATCCGTCACTGGTACTAGACCCTGCGGTACCAGCGCAAAAGAAACTGCTTGATCAGGTCAATGCAAGTCGCGGTACCCTCGCAGGTTTAACACATGCACCGAAGCTCCAAGCACTGCGGCAGCTGCTTCTGGATTGTGGCATTGGCGTCGAGTCGCAGAACAACGATGCCGCATTGATCGGCGCTGATACTGGCGCATCCGTTTCGCAGCATCGTGTGCTTATTTTCTGTCAAATGAAGCAGATGCTCGATGTGATTGAGCGCGACTTGTTCCGTGCGTTGATGCCCAGTGTGACATACCTGCGACTGGATGGCAGTGTGAGCAGTGATCGTCGGCATGGCATTGTTCAGTCGTTTAATGCGGACCCCAGTATTGATATCTTGCTACTTACGACGTCTGTCGGTGGTTTGGGTTTGACGCTGACCGGCGCTGACACTGTGATTTTCGTCGAGCATGATTGGAATCCCATGAAAGACTTGCAAGCCATGGATCGTGCGCACCGTCTGGGCCAGAAGAAAGTCGTGAACGTGTACCGACTCATCACGCGCGACACACTCGAAGCGAACATTATGGGTTTGCAGCAGTTTAAGATGAACATTGCCAACTCAGTTGTGACGCAGCAAAACAAGTCGATGGAGAACATGGACACAGACCGCATTCTCGACTTATTTGGACCGACAGCAGCTGAGCCTGCCATTGGCCAGGCCTCTGTGTCGGCGCAGAAGGCTAAAAGCAAAACGAAGGGCATCAGTCAGAAGGCTTTGCTTGCGAGTCTCCAGCAGACGCCGGACGTTCACAATGACGAGGAGTATGCGGATATGGAACAATGGCGACCTACCGCATCGTGACAAGGAAGAGAATCTATAGAAGGTTAGTAGCATCAACTGGGGAAGCCACAGCCCAAATGCCTGCAATGTCTAGATCAAACTGTACGGTGATATCGCGTTTGCTTCCACGGACAGACGTGCCATGCGAACCAGGAGGGGAAGAAGTGCGTCGAAGTGCACTGGGACCCTGTGTCGCAGGGGATGCAGGCTCTTCTTCTACTACATCCTGGCTATCCGGCAAGAGAGGCGGCTCAATTAGAGCGGATATGCCGACGGTGAGGATCTTCTCGCGCATCATCGATATCTGATCTTCTGCAACAACGCCCGTATTAGTTAGCACGAACGAGTCAAACGGGATAGTGATCGTCTGCCAAGCATTTCCCTGGCTGTCATCGAGGAAAAGTCGGTGCTGGTACAAATCTGTTGTAACGGGTCCATCCGTCTGAATGTTGACAAAGAACAACGGTAGATTTGATGCATGGCCTGTCATGCCAGCATGTGTGAGACCCAAAGCATCGATAGCGCGCGGGATCGCTGGACCTGTTGGATCACTAGCGTGCAACGCTGAGCGCAGAGAGTGCGTCCTAGAATGTGAGGGAGAAATCGATGGCCCTGTTCCTTTCACTGCTGCTGTGCGATTGCGTACGAGGAGAGCAAGATACGGGTGGAATGATGTGTCCCATGTTTCCGTACTGAACAATGTAGGTCGTGACTGTATGTTAGAGAGAGAGAGAGAGAGAGAGAGAGAGAGAAAGAGAGCGAGAAACGAGTAAAACGGCAGCGAAGCCGAGCCAACCTACCTTGTTTCGAAATGCGGCGTATCCACTGCGTTCCAAGGCGGATCCACGCGGGATCTGTGAGCTGAGAGTGCCATAGAAACGGCCAAAGGAAGCAGGCGTCTTTTCCTGCCCAGGGTCGTCATGTTCAAGGGACATGTGGCAGCGAGAGAGTCCACCAATATCGGAGTCAGATCCAGTCGCTATCTGTGAGAGATCAGCAGAGTTGTTTATTTTGTAGAAGAGCTGCGACTGCGTTGCGTTTTCAGTGGCTGACACTTCCATGCGCATGATGCGTGCTGCCTCACTTTGCCATCCTAGAAGAGAGCGCCGGAACGCCTGACTGAAGCGTGAAAGCAACGACATAGTCGTTTCAATCTGGATGGCAGATGAATCGTGATGAGAATCTGTGGGAACGTACGCCCTTTGAGCACACGGACCAGGATAAAAGTATCGTTCCTTGGGGGTTCCCTCAAAGCGCCACCCACCCACCCACTTGCACACCAACGGCGGCGGCGCATGGGCCCTTTGGCCGTGCGCGCGTCTGCCGATTGTGTGGAGGTAGGGGCAAGCAAGAACAGCAGGCAAGTCAATTGCTGGCCAGCAGTAGAAAGGGAGGGAGCGGCTGGATGGATGCACGTGCATGCCACGTGATATGAAGAAGAGGGCCCTCGTTGGTTGGTGGAGAGTCGTTCGTGTTCCATGGGCTAGGTGTGCATAAAGTGGCGAGTGGTGGCGCCTGACGTTCAGAGAAGAAGGAACAAATTACATACGCTTGTGTCTAAGGCTGGTGGTGTATGTCACTCGCTGCGAGGTCCAGCATGTCAACAATGGCGCGAAATTCGCTCGTACGGACGCTGCATACGACTGCGCGGCGTGCTGATATGCCGCGTTCGCCGTTCCAAGTATTCGTCGAGACGCTGCGTCAGGAACTGACAAAATCGCGCGAGTTCCAGGACAATATCAAGCAGCTGCAGGGCGAATCAGCCAAGTTCCAGGATACCGAGACCATGCGCAAAGCGCGCGAAGCGTACGAACGAGCACGCATTGTGTCGTCTATCAAGCACAACCCCCGTCTGCAAGCTGCCGCTGAGCAGTTGCGCAAGAGTGGGGGGCAAGTCAGCTCGGCCATCGGCACGACGCTCCGTCAGATGGAGGAAAGTGAATTGATGCGCTCGCTATCGGCCATGTCAAGTCGGCTGCGCCAGCAAATCGAAGACTCCACGGCGCCTGTGCGCAATACGGAGGTGTACAAGGCGTTTGCGGAGACGATCAACGAGGCGTTTGACGACGGCAGTTCTGCGATTGATATCCGTATCGCGCACGGAACCAGTGCTGCTGATGCACGGCGCTTAAAGCGAGAGACTCGGTTGCGCAAGATTGGCCGCCGTCCGCCTGTGCATGATGTGGACGCTGAGCCTGTGGATCCCATTGTTGCTGCCGCAGCCGCTGCAGGAGAAGCGGCCGGTCGTGAGACAGCCGATGATGCTGGGCTGGGTAGCGAAGGTACTTCATCGTCCTCGCCGTCACCGTCATCGTCAGCCAGCGCACAGCCACAGAAACAATTGGGCGGATATGCAGTGCGTCTAAATCGTGTCAGCGAGAATACTGAGGCGGGAGGCGACCTTGTTTTGGCGCCTGAGTCAGCCCAAGGATCGCGATGGAGCAGGTTTGCACAGGAAAGCCCCATCATGCGTCGTTTGCATGATTGGCACGAGCAGTACCAGGACTCGGAACATCCATTTATTGAACGACTGCGTGGTGTGACGAATCGCGTCGCTTCATGGTTCGAGGAGAATGAAACAGCGCAGGTCGTGCGGGCCATCAAGCAGCTGGATCCCTCGTTCACACTCTCAGGCTTCACGATTGATCTGCGTGAATACGTGGTTCCGGAAGTGCTGGACGCGTACCACACAGCGCAGCGGCACTTGCTGCGCCAATGGTGTGGTGAGGCCACGTACAACGTGCTGATGGCTACGCTCGATCCATACTTGCAGCGTGGCTACATCGCCGATGGCCGAATCCTCGATTTGTCCAATATTGAGATTGTGCAGGGCAAGATCCTCGAGACTGGTCCGATGCCTGTGCTTGTCATCAGTTTCCAGACACAGGAGCTCATGTACTTTACGGATCCCAAGACGCGCGAGATCATCGATGGCAGCGTTGAGCAAGCGATCCAGTGCCGATACGCGATGGTCCTGACTCGTTTGGAGGCAGAGTTGGAAAACGAGGTGACCGGTGGCTGGAAGATCATTGAGCTTGCTCGCCGGGGACAAACTGCATTCATGTAGAAGGGCAAGAGAGAAAGAGAAAGAGAGAGAGAGAGAGAACGAGAAAGAGAACACTTGTGGCACACCAGCTTACTAGCCTGTCTATCAGTCTATCTACTCATTCATTTATGTGTACATGGATCGCAGGCTAGAATGCCATCATAGTCGGCGTAGGGATATTCCCACTCGATCAAAAAGTCCCGTATACTTCCTGCTAGCTTGCCTCGCGAGCGCACGCTATGCTTGCCTGCTCCCACACACACATAGGCGAGACCTCGGAATCCCTCGGACTCTAGCGCGAGAAGAAACTGCTCGCATGTATCCAGAGCCTCGCTAACGTGCAAACCATGCAGGTCCAACACAGCCTCAGTCCGCTCGTCCATCGAGAGGGACGAGCCAGCGACCTGCGGCTTTGCCACACCCAAGCAGAGACCCAACGCAGAGCCTATCCATCGGCCACGCAGGCCGCGAGCACCTCGTTCCTGGCTCGCTTGTGCGCTTGCGCCCCAACCGCCGGCATCGCCGCCAGCACCGACCTGGAGCCGCTCGCGCAAGCGCTCATGACGCGCATGCAACACGGCCAGCGTGGTTTTCCAGGCATCTTGGTTCTTGGGTTGTGCCGCACGGATCTTGCCGGTATCGATGGCCAAAGCACTACCCGTCGACAAGGTCGGCAGAAGCGAAGGCGGTCGTAGCGGGATGCGGTGACTCTGTACAGGTCGCGGGGCCGTGGCCGCTCTTGCCTGCTTGGTGCTGGAGAAAGTGGGCGCCACGGCAGTTGAAATAGCCGACGTTGTCGACTTGGTCGGTGCATGTTTCGCAGCGACAGCCCACGGCGTTTGTGACGCATCGAGTTTCGGTCGCTCGATCCACGCGCCCTCCTGCTCCTGCTCCAAGTCCTGGAAGGGCGCGGGCGGGGTTGGTGCAATGACGAGGCTCTGAGCAAGCATGGACAATGCGTCATAGTCATGGAGGAAGTAGCATGGATCATTCAAGCACTGGCCACGGAGCCAGAAGCGGCACAGTGCCTTGTTGAGATCGTGTGAGAAGCGGCAGTCACTCCGGCGACACTCGCCTGCAAGGAAGAAGCGACACACACGCGTCGTTGTGTCGTCGATTCCTGAGGAGGTTGGCGGCTCCATGGCCATGAGATCCCGTCCCGCCTCATGCGCCTCTTTGACTACTTGCAGAGCTGCGCTCACATCGTAGTGACTGCACTCCAACGCATGCTGGATCAGGCGCGACGTCTGCTCAAGCCGGACCGCAGGATCAGCTTCGTTGATAAAGAGGCCTTGATTATGCGCAAGAAAGACGCTGCAAAATACCTCAAGTGGCGTCAGCATTGGTGCGCTCGCCTCAACCTGGAGCGACAACGTGCTTATGTCGGGGGGCGAGTCCAGTGGATGCAAGCCTGCATCTGCCGCAGCGACGCCCGCATAGATATCAGCAGCTGATGGGCCATACATCATCATATTACTCGTAGCATCGCCATTACCGCTGCGGGCAAATGGAGAAAACTCGTCATCATCATCGTCATGGAGTTCAGGCGCGACGACTGCGTCCGTGGTAGTCACGACAGGATGTGCTGTGGCAGCTGAAGACGAAGGCACAGCATATGCTACCGGAAGGGCGCCTCGTGGGCGAAATTCAGGCACATGTGCATGGATCTGAGGCGTTGCCGCCGTGGCCGTGCTTGTCGCCGCTGTCGACGCGGGGGTATAAAGCGACGAAGAACATGGGGACGATGGTGTAGAACACGATAGCACCTGCGACACTGGTGTAGACTGTGCTAGGGTATCGTCGCGGTGACGGAGCATGAGAGCGAGGGCAGCTGCATCGAGTTCTGAGTCAGACTACACTGTGTCAGAAAATGATTGCACGCACCATACGCTGATGAAGAACACGGTCAACCTGCACACGTAAAATATCGTGCAAGGCCGTGCATGCTTCATCGTCGGCATCGCGCGATTCTTCTAGCTGCGCGAGCAGAGCGTTTTCCGCTTCTTGGTATGTCGCCTTGTCGCAGTGCCGACCGAACAATGCATGCAGGTATGCACGCACGTGAACATGCTCACCCGTTGTCATAAGCCAAGGCGTGGGGCCAGATCCTAGGGGTGCTGTAGTGTGTCGCGCTGGTCGTACGTGTCGCCACCGCTGCCGTTGCTGCTGTCGCCGCCGACGCCGCCGACGCCGTCGTAATCGTCGTTCATCGGGCCAGGTGGCGTGTTTGAGCGATGGAGGCAGATTCAGTATCACGTGACATCTCATCGTCCCCCCTCCCTAGTCCCTCCCTGACACGCCGCAACGACCAGGCAGGTGATCTGAGCCGCTCCACGTCTTGATTGCATCTGGCCGTTCCTCTAGTAGGGGCTGCCCGCCGGGAGAGACCGCATCGACGCGTGGTAGCTCCATTCTTTCATCCCTCTTTCTTTCCTTCCTTTCCCCCTACACAAAATGGCGTCGCGGAAAAAGCGGTATGTTGGTGGCACATATGATCTGACGCTAACGCTGTAGTGATTTGATTGAGCGTGTTCGGTATCCGAACCCCCTGCCTGAACTGCCCTACCCACCCAAGCTTGTACAGATTCCCGCACCAGAGGCTAACTACGTATCGCCTATGTATTTGCAGCGCCTGTCAGACACACTGCAGCTGCCCGTGACTGTAGATGCAGAGGCTGGTATGCCGATGGATCTTGCGCGTCTCGAGTACTTGTGGCTTGGTGATAGCACACACCCTATTGAGAAGGAGGAAGAATCAACGTCCATCGTTGACGAAAAGCTAGATGAAGACGATGCTTTTCTGCTCACAGATTTGGCGGGATCGCAATCGAATGAAATGGAAGACATGGCACAGGATGACATACCTGTTCCGTCTGCGATGTCGTCGCAAGGGCTTCAGGCCGCGCAAGCACAAGCTGCGAGCGTGACATGGCTTCGACGGACAGAGTACTTGGGGGCTGAACAACAACGAAAACAACGATCGGATTCTAGACCTGAGCATGAAGTGGACGAGGGACATGGCGTCGGGGAGGAAGGCGCTGCGCGCCATTCCAACTCGTCCTCATCGTCAGTGCGCGCTGAGCAGATGGCGCGAATCGAGCAAGGATTTGTTGCAGCCAACACGCCTATTGAGTCGCTGGTGCATCCCAGCAAGCCTCATGTGCGTGCGACATCAGCGTACGAGCTGTTGCCTGACCCAGAGACGTGGGCCACGAGTTTCCAAGTTGTGCGCTTTGCTAGTGCCTTGGGACGTGTGGCGCAGGATCGCGCCGATCCGCGCCTTGATGCAGCGATACTGAGGCCCGTGACCGATCCGCTGACGGGGCAGCAGCGCGTGTCAATGTACCTGACATGTGCTGACACGCTGCCTCAGTATGGAGAAGACGCCGAGCCAGAGGCAGATGACATCGACTCGTCCACACAACAAGCACGTGAGGACGTGGCAGCTGCTCGTTTCAAGAAACGTCGTCGTCTTGGCGTCTTTCCCCGCGTGCCATGGCTCGAGGGCGACGCCTCGGCGTCCACTGCGGCCGATGCAAATGTCTATGGAACAGGTTTCCGGCATGTGCGTGATTTGGAGCCGATTGATCAGCCTGCCAGCACGGATCATTGGCTTGCTGTGGTCTTGGATGACCACCGGCCGGATCCAGCTCCCGAGCTTGCGTCCATCCAAGTCGATGCATCTATCTCTGCACAGGTAGCAGCCGCATCGACGAAGGGCGAGTCTGACGATCTATTTGGCGACGGCGATGGCGAACCTGAGTCTCATCCCGGCGGTCATGATGATAGCAAGCCGCATGCCGAGCCAGGATCTCGCGATGCAACGGACGACGTTTCATCGACCGTGCCGCCGCAGTCTGCGCAGGAACGCACCCGACAAGAACAAGTGGTGTCGCCTGCGAGTCAGGACCGCCAAGTTGCGTACTACCACCCGATTGATATGCGATATGGGCTTCGGATTCGTCGAACACGCAAGGCCGAGCAGCGTCTGCTTGTGCCGTATGAAGGCTTCTGGCATCGGCTCGTTGTTGGGCATCGTTCATTGACCGAGCGCGAAATGGCCGGGCGCTTACTTGTGCGTGAGGGAGTTGACCGGCTGGACATGGAGGGCGTCGAGTATGAAGACGAGCCAGAGGAAGCTACCCAGCAGGAGGCCGAGGGTCAAGGTGCGAACGATGATCATGAAGACGATGACGGCGTGCCGCATGAGCACGACACGGATGGTGAGGGAGGCAAGTCGCCTGATGCACATGACCGCATCTTTGACGAGGGGCACGAGAAGGATGAAGAGAGCGAGGCGAACCATGACCATGGCGGTGACGATGATAGTGGCGACTCGTCCGATGACGACTCGGATCTGCACGTGGCTGGTGATGAGCTCGCTGACTTGCAGGCTGAAGCGGACCTGCATCCAGACGACATGCCGACCGAAGGACGAAGACGACGACGGGGCGGTGCCGACTAATGCTGGAGCTAATGTCATGGGGGCCTGTGCCTCGTTCGACACCTCATCGTGTTTCCAATGATGAATCATCATCGATCGCCGAGCTCTATGGGGTATACGAGCCTGCACAGCTATGTTTTTTCTGGTGGCCGCCAGTTGACGCGAGGTCCAATCTCATACAAGTCCTCGAGCATGTCCTCTAAGCGACCATCGCGCACAAACTCCTCGTACTTCTGATACAGCTGCAATGCAGCCAGTGCATCCTCAATGGAGTCGTGTCCCTCGTGACTCTGCTCTGCCGACTCCGTGCGGATCTTAAGCCCCTGCTGGATATCCCGTTTAAGCAAGAACCACGACAGGAAACGCAGTGACAGGTTGCGTGGATGTGCCGCAGAGTGATAGAGCTGTACCGTATCAATCACCTGATGCGGCGGCACATAGATGTTAATGATGCGAAAGTCTTTCGCGAGTCCGTGTCCAATGAAGCGGCAGCCGAGATCCGTCAGCATTCGCAGTTTCTTGTACGCTGTCTTGTGCGACACAAGTGTTTTGCGTGTGCGGGCAGGATCAAGATCATCTGCATGGATGCCTGAAAATTGTGTGAGGTAGTCGACAACACGTTCCGTCGTGTGGATGTGATCGTCCAAGAACGGCTCGCCTTGCCGAGGTCCTTCGCCACGCAGCACGGACACACGTGCCAGTGCAAGGCGACTGGGCTGCAGCAGTGTGCGTGTCCCATCGGAAAACACATCGAGCTCTTCGTGCGCGAGCGCCACAAACTCTGCATCGATCGCAACGAGGGTCCCCGGTTGGGGCAGCTCCGTCTTGTCCAACACACGGTGTCGACAGAGCGACGCATCGCGGTGCTGCGACATGTGCACGTCGTGCAAGAGCAGCGAGGTATCCAGCTGCAGATGACTTCCGAGCTCAGCAAGATGCGCTGCATGGGATTGAGCTGCTGCATCGGTGCGTTCCCACATAAGTATGGCCGGCACCTTCCATGTCTCGCCAAAACGAAGAGCGTCTTCTGCGTCGATCGGGCGCACGAGAAAATCGTTGAATAGGTACCAAGCGTTCGGCTCATCATCATTTGGTGAACGCACAAGCGTACACAGATGAGGGGCATCAAAGCGACCTTGAGCCTGGATCACCATCGCACGCAACATGTAACAAGCAGCATGGGAGCGAAGCGCCTCTTTGTCGTCTTGTGAACGACTCTCGAGTAGCTCATCTTCCCACTCGCTCTGTACATGAACAAGCCCCATTTTGTCAACATACATCACGAGTCGCGGGGGCACGAAAGTGCGTCCGCTGCGAGTCGGTTCGGCCCAATGCGTGAGCTGTTCGGCATGCAGTGCGCTTGCATTGATACACAATACAGATGGGAGCGCATCTGTTGATGCCATTGCACGCCAAGACCGATGGTGCGAGAAGGGCGAGCGACACTGACGGCATGGGGTTTTGGACAGAGTCTCACGGAGGATCGAAGCGCTTACTAGGGATGCAAAGTCGTGCGTACCTCCAGGAGCCACTGTTGACGCGTGACCGGACGCAGGATATGTTGTGGTACTAGGAATACCACCTATATTCATACCGCCGATGGTGCTGGTGCTGGGGCTGGTGCTGGTGCCGGTGCCGGTGCCGGTACCACCGCCACTATTGTGCAGCCGGGAAGGTCTCCCTGGTGGGTACAATAGGTCCACGACATGAGACAGATGTGGGTGAACGGTGGTGTGGCCACACTCACCGCATGTGCTGTACGTCATCATGGACCACGCACATGGATTCGCACATAGCGTGAACATGGTAGAAGACAGGGACATGGAGGCGCCTGTTCTCAACGCACGCTGCGACGCTTGATCGAGGAAGAAGCCATTCAGCGTCTGGACCATGTGTGCGTACGACATATTGGCCACTTGGTCGTCGAGCAAGCCGAGAACAGCCACTTGCGGCGTGCGTGTCAGCACGCGAAGGACATTTGATGCCTGGCAGTTCGTGCCACGAGCATCCTCCAACATGCGGAACAAAAATCCGGCTTCACACAACAAGCAGTCATCAGCCGTGCACGGCATCATGATGTGGCGTTTCGCAAAGGCTCGGAAAGGCTTGGTATAATGCAGTGCTTGGAAATATGAATTGGCATACGCTGCGCTGATATTTGTTTCCAGGCCTGAGTACGGAGTTTGATTGTAGGAAGCGAAATCAAAGTCTTCGACGCCAAAGCGGCTGTACTGAATGGTCAGATATCTGAAATCATGTGGCATACTATCGGCGTGGTCGCTGCCTGGGGTTCGCAGGTGACGTCCGCTTCGCGCATCACTCTGCACATCAAGTTGGCTGCTGCCGTCAGAATGGGGCGGCTCTGGTGCAGCAACCGTTGACAAATCGGAGAACAACCCTGCCATTGGCACGTCGACGCGACGCGCTAATCCACTGCGTCTCCCTTGCATCATTTGAGTGCGTGCTGCAGGTGTCAGTTTCCCATGCCGATCGAAGCGCGAAAGCACGTGGTCACTTGGCACAAGTCGATTGCGTGTGCCCCGCAAATGAAGTGGCACGCGCGCAAACGTCACGCCCTGGACATGTCGTGCATGTTCGAGTGCGTGCTCGTTCACATGCTTGTGCATGGTAAAGAGCGGACTTGCATCTGTCCATAGTGAATCGTATTCGATACGAGAGAGCAATGGCGTTGTGTAATGCGGCATGCCAATGCACGAGAGTGGCGTGTCATCGGACCATTCAATGACCGGTGGCGGCGGCGCATAGTCAGGCCCCGTGACGGGCGCCGTCGTATACGCATTGAAGCGCACACTTGCTGGCGGATGCGGATGTGTATGGTTGCTTGTCCACAGCCGAACGGTGCCATCTGACTCACCAAATGCCAGAGCATCGGCAGAGGATGAAAACGTCAACGCAGTGATGTAAGCAGATGACCCGAGTGTGTAGAACTGGCCCAGTCCCGGCTGCTGGATGTCGACAAGCTGGAAATGTGATTGAGGCGTCGCGACGGCGAGAATGGACGATTTCTTGGGATGCACTGCAAGGTGCGCCGGCCCACCAGGCACGGTCAGTGGGATCGGCACAAGTGTGTGCATGGAACGCAGATCATGGGCCTTGATGAATGGCTCTGCCACTCGCCGGCCCTGCCGGAGTGTCCATCCAATACTGTAGATCATGTGTCCATCTGTCTGAATATCGATAAGACCGCCATGATGTGCAGAGAGCTTGTGCTCTGAACGCAGAGAGCGTGGATCGTGGAGTTGAATCGTGCCATGTTCCGTGCCTACACACACATACTTCTGACCCTTTCGTACCTGTGTGACTGCTGCATTGGAAGGTGCGCGACGAACGATGCGTCCTGAATTTGCGTGAACTGCTAGAAGCGCGTCACCCGGGTTAGGTTCAGGAGACGCTGGCGCGGCACTCGTCGTTGCGCCACCAACGATAATATCAGAAGATGAGCTCTGGGGTGACGCACAAACACCGGCAAGCAAGAAACCGGGCGCCTCCTTCGCAAGGTCAAGCATCCATCGATTGAGGCCGTTTCGTTGTGATGCACACACGCTACGCTCACTTACACTCATCACGTATTTATCGTCGCTGAGAATCCCACGCACACTTTGTCGGTGCGTTGGTGTGCCATGAGCAGCCAATGATGTATAGCGCGGTAGAGTAGGAAGTGTATTGGTGTGGGACGACAGCTGGCCAGACTCACTACCAGCCCACAAGAGCTCAGCAAATGGATCAAAGTGCAAGGATGTTACAGCTCCCAGCACACCTGATACTGCATGATCTGCAAACACGTGTGCTTGTTGCGTCCATTCCGTCATGAGACCAACACGCGAGCACACACACACACGCACAAGACCACGGCCAAGAACGAACGGACGTGGGGGAGTAAGAGGAAGAGGCGGCGACACGGGTGAGAACCTCCACTTGTATCGGCCGCGCGTGCGCGCGAGCTCGCGAAATGGACGAAAATTCGTCTAGCGAGAAACATGTGGATCACATGTAGGTGATTTCATATTGTCGCAGGGAGCGCTGTCATGTCATGTGTTGGAAGGAGTCCTGGTTGTATATGGCCAGCGGTGATCCAACCACCAAAAATGCCGCGGGTATAATGCGCCTGCATCCGCTGCACGCTACAGGACACAGCATCTTGTTGAACGCTGTTTCTTATTATTATATGTATTTTCGTTCACGTGTCTGTATTGGACTTTCACACACACACACACACACATAGTGCGATGTTGAGTGTCTACGGTGTGCATTTCTTATTCTACAAAGGCGAAAGGGGCTTCTCCTTGGCACGCGCGTCTGCCTTTTCCTGTATAGTGTGAGCAAATGGATCACAAAGCCTACTGTGTCCCGTTCACATACCTTGCGCCATTCGGCGATGGTATCATCCATAGTGCGCATAATCTCTTGTACACGCTGTCGCCGTTGATATGATTCTCGCTCGCCCTTTTTGCCTTTAAACATGCGTGCGGCCGAACGACCCGCATACGGCCCATGTGCTTCATATGTCCGTGCAATGCGACGTGCCTCGTTTGCATCTTCTTCGGCAGACAACGTCGGCCAAGTGACCGTGGGCCAGCCCACAAGCACTTCGTGCGTGGGCATGCTTTCCATCCGTTGCGCATACCGCGCAAACTTTGGACTCGATACGACCGAGTCCTCTGTGCCCATTTTGTAGGCAGCACGCACGAGTTGCGCCTGCCGACGCTGTGAGTACTTGGGTGGTTGCCAATGTCCTGTCTCTTCGTTTCGCCAGTGTCGGAATGTCTTTCGTGCCACATCAGCCATAGGCGCCTCTCCTGGTCGTGTTGAGATATCTGCAGCTCGCGCACGCACACTCTGCTTCCATCTAGTAAGCCCACGCATGAGTGCAGAGGGTGTGCCTTGCGGCTGCGCCTGAAGTTGGGCAAGGGTCGTGCGAAGCGCCATTGTGCGAGAGCTAGAAGAATGTCTCTGTTGTCGCCGACGACGACGCATTCTACTATGTGTGCGAGTGAGTGCATTTACGATGTCGGCCGAAAGTCCATATTCTCACCTCTCCACACCCAAGTTGGTGAACACTCGCACTCGCACGCGCGCCTGTCTGTGTGTATGCATGGCCGCCAAGTTCGGATCCAAACAAGTGTACACACCTCCATGAACAGGTCTGCCTCTGTGGATCGCCTTCGACGATGTGGGGGGGGGGTGGAGGGGGCAAGCGAGGCGCTCGTTGGTAACGTAGCCTGTGGCACAACCGAGCCATCAAGACTATCCTGTGACGCTGTTCGTCGCGACGGCTATGTCTCTCAAGCATGTGCGTGAGCAGTGTGCTCGCATAGCGGACCAAGCGCACATATCTATCGACGCGGATCAAGTCGATGCGTTCCTTCGCGGCCTTCGTGCTGACGAATTTGATGCGCTCAAACTGCAGCATGGACTACGATTTCCCCTTCGCTTCGCTTCGTTTCATCATAAGCTTAATTTTATAGCCGTTTTGTCTATGCTCAATGCATTCTCCGGCTACCGAGTCGACTTTCATCGTGTCACGGGGCATGGCGCATACGACTGTGTACGACGAATCGTGCTGGCTATGTATTTGACAACACACGACGAGGAAGGTCACACACCACTGGATGCTCACGCTTTGGAAACTGTGACGGTTGCTTCCCTCGCACAGGCACTCGGTGTTCCTACGCACACGGAGACACCGCATCCCACGATACCATTCATCACCGTGGGCACAGTTGGTGGGCCATTGCAGGAGCCCCTCCAGCTGGCGGCTCAGATGTGCACAGAGACGGCAGCCTTCCTTCGTGAGCATGGATACCAGGATCTTGCGTCGTATGTGCTCGATATTTGCGAGCAAGCGCTTGAGCAGGAGCACGTCGAAGCGTATATGGCTTCGCAACTCGCACGGATCCCTGCGTTTGACGACGCCATCAACATCGACGGGGTTCGCGTTTGTCTGTGGAAGAAGGCGTTGTTCTTTGTGCATGCTCTTTACAATATACTTATGGATGTCGATGAAGACAGCGTGGCTGATCTACCCGTGCCTTTGCTGGCACTTGCACGGCGTTGGCGCCATGGTCTTTGTGAGCCTCTCCCCATGTTCGTTGATAATGTTATTCCCACCATCCTGAGCTATCTTGGCATCCTCCGCTTCCATCACGAACATGTGTTAGCATCATGGCATCCAGCGCCACAAGGCGACAACAATAACGTGCCCGGCCCCACACTCGAGCGCCGCGACGCATACTGCGTTCGTGCGGCAGCTCTCATAGCTGGTTCGCGGATCATCGAGCGAGCTCATGATCTAGCTAACACAGATGCTTCAATGGCATGGATGGCATGCATAACAGAGGAACAGCTTGACGCATACATCTGGGCGTGGGCAAAATCTCCTGTTCTGCGATCCATTCCGCGCCTCGTCGAGCGTCTCACCGGCATGTACTAGGGTGGCCCGAACAACAGGCCATCCAGCTCATTTGCATGATGCATCACATCAGATCGCCCTCCGGCACCTAGCCCTGCTGCTCCAGCAGCTCCTGGTGAGGCGGTCTCCAGTGCACTGTGTGCTTGCTGCTCGCGCTGGTACGCCTCGACCTCGGCTCGTGCACGCTCAAAGAGACGTCGTTTCTCGTCTTCTTGAGGCACCACATTGGATACGGATCCTGAGGCCGCTGGTGCTGCCGTTGCCAGTGCTGCCGCAGTGTCTTGTTTGCTGGGCTCTGCGGATATCGGTGTAGAGACGTGCTGCTGGATTAGGTCGTCTAGCATCGATCGTGCACGAACGAACTTGTCGTTTAAAGATCGGAGCTCCTGCACCTTGGTGTGATAAGTCTCCATTAAGCGGATGATTTTTGGTCGAAGTGCAAGCGACCGTTGGTAAAGGTCCTGCAGCTCATCATCATCCACAAAGTTATCGGTGGGACGCAGTTGCTGAAGACGCGCATGAAGCACATGTATGTCAGATGCATTCGTAAAAACCAGACGCTCCAGCTCCTGCTCTTGATGGATCATGTCAGGCGTCGTGTCAGGCATAGCCTCCACGTAGTTGACAGGGAAAATGCCCACTTGATGCCGAAGCTCACCACGCCACCATTGCTCATAAACGCTGTCCAACACACGCACGACATCGCCACGTCGAAATGCGAGCTCACCAGGCTCATCAGGCTCAAAGTCGTACAAAGCTCGCACAAATGCAGGCCGTGCCGACGCCGTCCGTCGCGCTATTGTGGCGTAAGGCCCTGACGAAGCAGCTGATTGAGTCGTAGTCGTCTGGGCAACAGGCATCACAGACGATTCGCCCTGGTCAACAGATGCAGAATCCTGCGCCGCGTCGATGTCATACGGATTTGGCATACTAAATCGCGAGGTCGACGAACGATCTGTTGTTGCTGTAGGTAGAGGCGGGGAAACAGCACGCTGCGGTACAAAACTCGTCGATGGCCCCGACCCTGACGACGAGCTATGATTCGCATTCGTTCCACGACCACCTTGATCATGTAAAGACAATGCTAACACACGCTGAAGCTCATCTTCCTCTGATTGGTGTGCCTGTGTTCTGGGAGAAGGCTCTTCATCCAGGTCATAGTACTCTTCACGCAACTCGTGCACAGTTTCAGCGACGAGGCCAAGAGTGTCATCTTTGCTAAATTCATCACGCCATGACATGAGCGTGCGCAGAATTCGCTGCTTGACGAGCTTGTGCGTATTTGGATCTTGCACCACTTTGCTAAGAGTCTGCATAAATGCTCGCGATGCTATCTCGTGGTGCACGGCATCACCACAATTCTTCGACAATGTGTCTGTAAGCGTGATGGCGTACAATTGAACGTTTGCATTTCGATTCGAAATGCGCTTTTGTATCGCCGCCAAGCACTTTCGTGCATCACTCTCATCATTCGATGCAAGTCTGTCACATAGTGCCAGGTTTAGGTCCCAGTTTTCGGTCGTTAGATTCTCATCTGTCGCCTTGTTGACGAGCTCCTCAAACGGATTCGGTGTGCGGAACATGGTTGAAGGATAGTGTTAAGAAAAATCAAATCGAAGGTCACACACACACACACACACACAACACACAAACACACGCTCTTATTCACAAAGATCCCTCACTCTTTCTCTCTTACTTCCACCTTCTAGGGTCTTGATGTGATTGTGGTCTGTGATCGTGGAGGTTGGAGGTTGCCTGGACCCAGCAACACCGCGTTTTGTCTGTGCCACAGGTTGGTTCAGGTGTCAAGGGCCGACATGCGGAGATCTCCAGCGCAGCACGTGATGCTACTTCAACATGACGACGCGTTCGTTTCACACCAGGACATCCATCCGGTGCGCCGTGAACGTCATTGATTCAAGCTAGTATCTAGGCCATCTAGGCTAGATTGCGCACGAGCATCGTCATGGATGATCTAGTCGAGCTAGAATGGAGTGACAAACCTGAGCAGCAGAAAAACAACACGGCATCTTCTAGCTATAATTTCGACGCATTGCTTCGCTCTATGCCATCCTCGTCACACCAAGATGCGTCGTCGAAGCGCCAGTCTGCCTCTGTGTCTGCAAATCGGGCACCAACGGCTTCTAAGAATGAAAGTATGGATGCGTTTGCATCTCTCCTCCCATCATTTGGTCAAGCACAGAAGGAACAGAGGAAAACAACGCCGTCAGTGCCGCAGGCTAACTCGCATGTGAAGGAACAGAAATCGCAGGACATATGGGGCTTGGATGCTTTCGAAAGCATGTCGGCATCCACTGCTGGTGAGAGGCTGCATTCCAAGTCAGCCATGTTTATGCGTTCAATGCAGTCGATTTCGCCCTCAGCTGCGCCATCCTCAAAATATCCCACCGAGGACGATCTCCTCGCTGATTTCCGCACTCGTCCCTCTCCTCCTACGCCCTTACCGACTGCCCCTAATGATGGCGCCGATCTGTTGGGTGATCTTTTAAAGCCTGTTCAAAGCCAACCAGCTAAGGAATCGTCCACTTGCCCAGAAGAACGACCGTTAACAACGTCCTCTTCCAGCCCAACCAAACAACCTACAGGTCATATGGCTCCAAGCCCTTCAAGATCACCGCCGCCCCACATTGTTGGCCAATTGGTCGAGATGGGCTTCGGCCCTGTGGAAGCGCGCGAGGCTCTTGCGCAGACATCGTCAGGACAAGACGTTCAGCAGGCAGCTGACGCTCTGATTGCGTCCCAACCGCCACCTCCTACATTTGAATTCATATCTTCAAAATCCATGAAAGAAGATGGCGACGAACGCCGTCGGACTTCACGCATGGCACCAGCAGAGACACGCACTGGCCGTCCAACCCCAGCTCGGCCATCCTTCTCGAACCCATTCGATCCGGCAACCAAGTCTTTCCAACAACAGGCAGATCAGCTGTATTCACAAGCAAGCACTCTAGGCACGTCCATGCTGAAAAATGCAAACGCGTGGTGGGACTCCGCAAAGGCTCAGGCACGTAAGGCTATGGATGAGGCTCGTGGCGATGGTCAAGACGTAACGGCGATGTCAGTTGCGTCTGGTTTACGCCGGCATGCATTACGTCGTTGGGGCGGCAGGTCGTCTTCTCAACGCCCTGTCGATTACGACGCCACGCCTCGTTGGATGAGTACTGCGCCAGCGCCGGCCGAATCACCCTCAGCAAACGTCTCGTCTTCCAGCGCGGCACCCCGAGCAACGGCGACAGAGTGCAAAGCCAAAGCAGACATCCCCACCCAACCCGCATCTGTTGAGTCGAATGACGTGTTGCTGCTTGGCGATGAATGCGATACTGCATCATCCCGTCCAACACCTCCGGCAGCAGCGGGACGATCGACGAAGTATGATGAGCCTGCTGCGCGTGCAAGCTCTTCAGCCCCTTCTTCTACAGCATCACCTGCCCTTCAAAACTGCCGCCATGAGCGAACGATTGCGCCGGAGGATACCACTCTCGTTAACCGCGCTACTCATCACAAAGATCAGGGAAATATGCACTTTCTTCGCGGTGCTTATGCAGATGCGGAAGAGCAATACACAAAGGCACTGGACCTTCTTCCCCACACATCGTTGTGGCGTATTCCTCTTTTGAACAACCGCGCGAACGTGCGCTTGAAAAATGGTAACAGTGCCGGGGCAAGCGCGGATTGCACCGCCTCCATTAATTTGATTGTTCTTCCGACTATGCAAGGTGGCATCTACCGCCCTAGCCAGGATGCGTTACCTGCTTCGCATGCATCTCTCATTTTGCGCGAAGCGTATGCAAAAAGTGTATCTCAGAGAGCGCGTGCGTATGAAGCGGTGGAGAAATACGCGCTTGCCAAGCAGGACTGGGACAAACTGGCGCGTTACGAACGTGCCGAAGGAAGCGGCGTCAAAAGCGGCGACATTCATCGTCGAGCTGCAGTGGATGGCATTGCTCGCTGTGAGCGAATGCTAAATCCAACAAAGCCTAGCATTGCACGTTTTTCGCTGTCCACACATGGCCGTGCGCAAGCACCGAGTCGGTCTTCCCTGGCTACAGACTCAGATGGTATGGCACGCATGCGAGCGATTCGGCAAGCGCAAGATCAAGAAGATGCGCAACGTATCGCACATAAAGACTCAGTGGATGCTCGAATCCAAGCATGGACAAAAGGAAAAGAAAATAATGTTCGTGCTTTGCTGGCATCGATGGATGACCCCAAGTATGGTCTGATCTGGGAAGCACTTGATTGGAAGAAGATTGATCTGCACCAGCTCATCACTGATGCGCAGGTAAAGCGTGCGTATACGAAAGCCATCGCGCGTCTGCATCCCGACAAGCTTTCCTCAGCAAAGACCAGCGTTGAGCAGCGGATGCTAGCAGCAGGCATGTTTAACGCACTGAACGAAGCATTTCATAAATAGAGCGCTGTTTTGGCCAGGTTTAATTGAGAACCGACATCCATCGCTTCTTGTAAAGATGACGCAACGACATGAATGAAAACGTAACAATCTATCTTTGCTTTAGATTCGTGAACACATCCACGGACCAGTGGCTAAGTTGTGCTTACCACCTTGTACTAGCTTTTGTTGATTTTTTTGTCCAGACGAGCGAAGCCGCAGATTCGACTCGCGACGCTGTACAAGGAGCTGTAATTATTCAAAGATGCCATTACATACATAGGCTGGAATGGGCATAAACATCTATGTAGTCTATTCCATGTTACAACGCTGTTCGAGAGAGCTTTTGGAGTGAGTTGAGGAGTACATCCCCCTCCTTGATGATGCGGCCATACTGAGCATTTTTCTGGTCGGGCCGGCGATTTTCAATTATACCATCAACTTTGTCAATCACAGCTGGCAAGCGACCCGCGGAAATAAAGCGTGAGAGTTCTTGGTCCATATAGTCAGACGAAACACCAAAGGCAGCGGCCATGCTATCGAGTGCAACGCTCCGATAACTCTCGAGAAGTTGCGAGAACGAAATAATCCGCATCTCTCGAACATAGTACTGCGTGTGGCGCGATAACACACGCGAGGGAAGCAGGTACCTTTGTTCGATTTCGGCAAGTGTGCGGAAGAATAGGGCATACTCACTGTTGTAGAGTGCTGATGTGTATTCACGCATAAATGGCAAATCATCAATCGCCTGTAGGACCTCAGGTGACTCCATGAGTTTCTTCAGTTCACGGCGTGAACGTGACACCATACTTGTAAGAATCGTCAAAAGGACAAATTCAAGATACTCGATCAGTTCTGTAGCGGTAAACGTGCTAAGTGCTTCTGTGCATAGCTTGGAAGCAGTCTCAAAATCACGAATGGATGCTGCATAAACGCCGCGGTATGCGGTCAGTCGATTTCGGCGATCCCAGTCACCACCCTCTTCGATTAAAGACGCAGCAATGGTCATGCTAGCTTGTGTGAGGTCTGTGTCGCCATAGAAGAGGCCTAGGCGGATCTTGAGCAGGGTCAGGTCAATTCTGGATCCTGTTCCGGTGGCCTTTGCGAAAGCTTCATCAATAGCAGGGAGTGCACCATCTTTGTCTCCAATTCGCGCCAGATACATGGCGCGCTGCTTCAACACGGTATGCAATTCCACGTCGCCCTCGCTATCTTCTGCTTGTTTCTGCAAGGCTTCCAATCGCGCAAGTTCATTTTCATTTTTCGCGCGTAACTCCTGCAAACGATCTTCATTCTGTGGTAAATGTGCGGCTATGCGCGCGTCACTCAGCAAGAACGTTAAATACGGAGCCATTTCATCCTGGTCGATATTATGCAAGAGTTTCTCGAGCGCTTGTCTTTGCGTACTTTCTGAAGAGCCATCACGTTGCAAAAGAAATACCTGTTGCTGCACAACAGGATTAGGGATAGGTGTAATGGAATCGTCTTCCATGGTGATGTACAATGCAGCGCTGAAGCAGCCACAAGTGGCAACGTCGACTACGATAACAAAGGTTGATGCTAGCCGCACCCACAAGTCATCGACACACTGTCTGACGCAACGCGAGGACGCGTGGCCCTACGGCTGCACGGCCGAATGATGACTAAGCAAAAGGCCCACCAAAAGGCGTCAGAGGCCGCGCGTCGTTGGAACAAGACAGTCAAGCGGCAGCGGCTTGCGAGTTAGACCACCGCCAGACTTGCTCTCGACTTGGACGCACATTCATTCAACAAAATGGCGTCAGCACACAGAGCGATCAGCTCTGTTACCGATGCGAATCGAGAAATCGAAGCTGGTCGCATTGATGAGGCGAAAAACATACTTGTGACTATCTTGCACCAAAAAGCTAGTACGTACGAATCTACGCATGCCATCGGTGTTTGTGTGGTGTTTGTATGAGTCACGAGACTGACATGTGCTTGCAGCACCAGACGATGAAGCACTTTTGTCCGAGCAGGAGCAAGCGCTTTTGCGACTTGGACAGCTCCACCGTGACCAAAGAGATGCAGAAGGTCTTGCTCGCACGGTGATTGACTCACGGCAGTTCATGGCATCGATTGCTAAAGCCAAAACTGCAAAATTAGTGCGCATACTCATTGACTACTTTAATGACATTCCAAATAGTCGTGAGGTGCAGATTCGAGTGACGAAGGAAAACGCAGAGTGGGCGAGACAAGAAAAGCGCATTTTTTTGAAGCAGAACCTTGAGACCAAGCTAATTGCACAGTACTATGAAGCAAGGGCATATCGCGAGGCTCTGCCGCTTATTGCTCAGCTGCTGAAAGAACTCAAGACGCTCGATGACAAAATGATCCTTACTGAGGTCCACCTGCTCGAATCTAAGGTGAACCATGCCATTTCCAACTTCCCGAAAGCCAAGGCGGCGCTGACGGCTGGGCGCACCGCAGCGAACTCGATTTACTGTCCCCCATTAATGCAAGCCCAGCTCGACATGCAAAGCGGTATCTTACATGCCGAGGATAAGGACTTTCATACAGCCGCATCGTACTTTTACGAGACACTGGAAGGATTCGACTCAATGGATGACCCTCGCACATTACCTGCGCTCAAATACATGCTGCTGTGTAAAATCATGCTGACACAACCTGAAGAAGTGCACTCGATCCTCGAGGGCAAGGTCGCTAGCAAATATGCGGGACATCGGGAGATGGAAGTCATGAAAGCGGTCGCAGACGCACAAAGCGATCGTTCTCTTACAAAGTTTGAAAAAGCTCTACAACAGTACAAAGATGGTATGTGCTCAGTTATCGTTGAAATTGAATTACTGACGCTTTCAAAACAGAACTAGCAAGTGACCCAATTGTTCGGAATCACCTGTCGACTTTGTACGATAAGTTACTGGAACAAAATATTCTTCGCGTTATTGAACCATACTCGCGCATTGAACTACAACATATTGCCTCACTTGTTCATCAGCCTGTACGAGAAATTGAGCAGAAGTACGTGGATCCGCCTCCAAGTAGTACTGCAGACACTGACGCTTTTTTTTCAGACTAAGTCAAATGATCCTTGACAAAGAATTTAAAGGCATTCTGGATCAAGGCGCAGGATGCTTAGTTGTGTTTGAAGAGGCAGACGATGATGAGACCTACGAGATGGCTCTTGGCACTCTCAAGCAAATGTCCCATGTGGTTGACAGTCTATACCAGCAGGTACGTGTATTTGCGTGTGGAGCGATGATACGTGCGCGTCTGCGGATGTTGGCCCACAATTCGCATGAAACAGAAAACTTACACTCACCAGGCCAGTGAACTTACGTAGGAGCCACGTGGCTCATAGTTTCTCGAGAATTCCATGTCCCATACAATACGTGCGTAGCTGCTAGTGTGCACGGAGCGTGCGTGCAATGGAGATCATTTTATATGGAGGGACGCAGGAATTTCGTCTTCCTTGCGTCGACGCATCTTTGAATAAGTCAACCCTTCTTGCAACAATGTCGACATGGAATAAACATTACCACTGGAAGACGAAGGGATGCACCCCATGGGCAAAAGAATGGTTTACGGAACACCTTGTTGGTCAAAGCAAACCGTTGAATGACGGCACCAACGCGTCTGTCAAAGTAGACAAGTTGACAGGCTTTGAGGGAGACGTGGAGCTTGGCAACCGCAAGGGCAAGCTGATTACAATCTATGAATGTTCTGTCACTCTAGCTTGGTCAGGTGAGGCCGGTGATGGCACGAAGGCGAATGGAACGATCAAGTTCCCTGAAGTGTCACATGAAAATGAAGACAACGATGAGCCCTATCTTTATGAGACAGAACTACTGTCGGAGTCGACAGGCATGGCTCTTGACCTGTACCACGTGGTGCGCAAGGATCTTGTACCAGCGTTGCAAAATGAGTTCCACCAATTTCAAAAGGATCTCGTTGAGTCGCACGCAAGAGACCTTGGCCATGAAGATGGGGCTGCGTCGTCGACATCAACAACATCTAATGCAGCAGCTGCATCACCAGCTGCCGGCGCGTCTAATGCACAGAGCACTCAGAAAAATGCGTCCTCTGCTTCTGGTGCTGTCACGACAAGTACTGCGGATGTGCGAGTCTCGAGTCATCTGGCCATCAGTGAGGCTGACCTTTGGGACCTACTGACGAATCCTCATCGGATTCCAATGTGGAGCAAGGCACCAGCTCAGTTCTCCCCGAATGTGGGAGCCAACTTCTCGCTCTTTGGCGGCAACATTTCCGGCTCCATTGTCGAGGTGTCGGCGCCACGTAAGCTCACGCAGACATGGCGCATTCCACAATGGCCTGCCGGACATCATGGCACCTTGACAACGGAACTTACTCAAGGTGACGACTCGACGAAGCTTGAACTAATTCTGAGTGGCGTGCCTACAGGTGAGGAGGATCATGCGCAAGCTGGTCTTGAAGCCTATTATATTCGAGGGCTCAAATCACTCGGTCTAGGTACGATTTTGTAGATGAATATTCCCAGCCATGTACCGCTATTCTTGTGAGGGCACTTGAACAACATACATAGGTATCTGCGTAGCGCATGAAATGTTTTCATATCGATTTCGTTGGAGTAGTGGACAGATTTGAAATTGGGTGGAAAGGGAAGGTAAAGTTCGGGTGTGTTCAACAAGCATTCTAACCATGGGCATAGATAGAAAGGGAGGAAAAGACTACAACTCAGAATGGCGATATGTACCAAATGAAACGAAACTAGACTCGGGTTTCGACTCGCGCACAGACGATCGTACTCCACGCACCATGGTGTGGGGACTTGACGACACAGGCATGTGCTCAGATGAGCCAAAAGCAGTTGTCAATTGAGAACTTGACCCTGTAGGTACAAAGGATGCTTCTAAGCCGAGGGTGACATTTGGGGTCTCTTCCGATTCAGTATTGATCGAACTAGAAGAACGAAGCGACGCTTGCGTGGAGTCAGACACACTCGACAAGGGAACCGAGTCCTGAGAAACTCGATGAGATGGGATCAATCTCGTGGGTTCAGGGTTGATCGACGACGTCACGGAAAGATTCGTGTCAACAGATGACGCCGAAGCCTGATCCAAGGGGTCTACCGCTTGCGAGGGTGAGTTGGAAATGGATACGGTGTCCATGCTCGACGAGGATAGGTCGGAATGCGGTAGTATCTCCGTTGTTGGCACAGCAGCAGCGTTCGTCGACAGGACATTCGGGTCGGTCGAAGCGCTAACATTAGAAGCACTAATGCCAGAACCAGTTTCAGTATGAGACGCAGGTGTCGCTGCTTCTTCAATCGTGGCATCAGGGGACAAGATTGGCGTTGCACTGCTAGCCTCTTCCGAAGACGGAGGTAGGCCCTCGTCCACGACGTTAACCGAGATATCTCCCACTGGCAAAACCGAGGCCATTTGCTCGTCTGCTGCTGGCCAGGCCGAGGATGTATGATCTTCTGGCATTGACGATGTAGGACCTGTTGCTTGCGCCGGTTCACTTGCTGGCGTACTAATGCGACGACGCTGCAGCTCAGGAGGTACAGGCATATTAGCCACATCGCGCAGGAGGCCATCATCAGGTAGGCGTGGCATGCCCATAGACTCGCGTGCACGCACAATGTCATCACGAAGACGGAGCGTGGAGTTCACCAAGATTTCTCGACCAAAAGCGGAAAGATCATCCAAATGGCCATGCACCTGCAGCAAGAAAGTCGCATAGTGATTCTTATCTAACACGTAGCTTGGATTGTCCATCAACTGGCGTGCCAAGAGTTCAAAGCTCGTCTCGGCACGTTTGAACAATTCGATCACGCTTGGTTGTAGTTCGGCAACTTCCTCGTCAAGATCAGGACCAAGCATGTCTGGCTCGCCCGAGAGAGGTTCGCCATTCGACGAAAGAGCGCCTAGTTCTTTGTGTGTGTCAGCACGGAACTCTTGTCCACGACGCTTGATAGCCAAATCCCAGCCGAGGTAGTCATAGTACGTTCGCTGAAATTCAGCTTGTTCCATTAGGTCGTAGAATGCTGCCAAGGCATTGCGGCTTAGCTCACGGATTTTTTGGACGCCCTTCTCAACCAACTGTTGCTCAGTCCTGCTGCTCGCATAGATGACCTGTTCGATTCCAGTCCGCAATTCGTCATACACATCGATCATAGACTCGACACCCTCAGCAAGGCTTTCCTCCAAGAAGTTCTTCCATTCAGCAGCCGACGGCTGAATCGGCGCGGGTATCGATGCCGCATGTTTTTTCGCAGCACGCAGCATACGCAAAAACGACGCTGAAATGCCATGATCAATGGCAATTCCAAACACTTGTTCAAGCCGGGATGGAATGAGCATGAGAGCAAGCCGTCGGGATTCTACAGCTTCTTTCAGCACTTCATTCGTCTGGTTGTATGCGAGCCTGCCGATCTGACGTTCATGCTCTGACAATGTATCCTCTGCATATAAGAGCTCAGCATCAAGACGAGCCTGAAGCACCTTCACAGGCTCGCCCGACTCGGGATCAATTTCACTCTCTGACGAAGAATTGGCACTCTCAATTTCAGACTCAGCACGATCGCGTTGTCCGTTTACACTCGATACATCCTGTCAACAATAATGTATTAGATTCCGACTGCGCAAGAAAAGGGAAAGGGGGAAAGAAAGCGCTATCACGCAAATGCAGCGCACGCACCTAAGGCTTTTACATAGGCCCGCGCATCAACAGGTGGTGGTAGCACGCACGCTCACATACTTACAGCCTCTTCGACTTGTTCGTATGCATCCTGTACGGCATCAGCAACAGACTCGCCCATCGTCTTTTCCTTAATACCGTGGTCCTTCAGCGTCTGGTCGATGACCTCACTCGCTTGTTCATAAGCGTTCTGAGCAGCTTCGGGCACTTTGTTGACGACGGAACCGTCCTTCAGCCCAGACTTGCTAAGTGTCTCGTCGACGGCTGATGCTGCCTCTGAGACCTTCGCGCCTGCTTCGCTGTAAACATCCTGGACTTTATCCGTCACCTTGTTCACCAACGAGCCGTCCTTGATGCCGTACTTCTGAAGCACCTGGTCCACAGCCGCGCTCACGGAAGCATGCAGTTTCTTCACATGCGGGTGAGCATGCGTCACGTAATGATGATGCGCAAATGGGAAAGCTGTGTGGCGACCAAACTTGTACGCATTATAGATGTTGTTTTTGATACGTGGGTGCAGCTTTTCGACGTAGTACTTGGACGACGCATCGTGAGCATCAAATAAGCTGCGTCCGGCCTTGAGCACGTGTGGGTGCACGTCCTTATGATACGTGCGCATGTAAGGGTTCAACGCCTTGTTCATCTTCTTCACATAAGGGTACACGTGCTTCTTGTAGTACGAATGGAGCGTGCGCTGGTGTGGCAACGACCACGCATGCGCTTGCTTGTACAGGGCACGAGCACCAGGCACGACATGCATACGGTACGTGTCGTGCATCTGCTTGGACGACTTGTACAGGGCAGGCGAGTATCGCCTCCATGCATCGTGTGTGGCATCCATGTACTTGCCAGCATAAGGATGCAACAAGTCGTGTGTTTTCACACCAAGGTCATGAATCACAGGTGCTACATTTTCATGCACAGATGCCATCTCGCGACACACAAGAAGCTCGTGGTTCGGGTTGTAATTGAACGAGAACGGTTCGGACGAGCAACGGAACAGCGCCGCGTAGATCAAATAAAAGACACCCAGACGCATGATCCAGCGGGTCAAACAGCATCCTGAGCTTCCTTTAGACTTGGTGCACTTGGACTGCTACCAATGTCAGCAACACGGCTCAGATGGCATAGAAGCAACTGGTTGACGAGAGTGCATCACCCCATGCCCCCGTGAGAGACATGGACTTCATGTGAACATACCTTGGTCGTTGTCGACGTCATCTTCTTCTTGGCTTCGTCTTCCTGTTAATGCGTAAGAATAAACAGATGCGTATGATCTTGTACATACAGCAAAGCGGATAGGCGGGGTGCGCTGTGTCGTTGGCAAAGGCATGCTTTGACGAGTTTTGCGCGCCATGACGGTCAAAGAAAAGTTTGTTTCGATTTTGTGGCGTTCGCTTCAAGTTCGACACCCAGACGTTCAATTCACTGAAGCACATCCCCACTATTGACAAATATTGGCCAGTACATACCCGAGTGTCTACATAATCCCAAAAAAACCACCGAGGACACGCACGCATCCCGATCGATCACCGAACCCCGATCGGTGCACAGGCTTCATCAAGCCCATGGGCATTTGTCATTCTGCATGACACCAGATGCCCACAGACTTTTCGCATTCTGGAGAAACCGCGATCACTTGAGCGTCAGACATCTCACTGCCCACCACACGTATACCTGTTGGGTTGAAGTGACGTGTCCATTTCAATAATCTCAGCAAGTTATAGTAGATGTGAGAGAAAAAGGGTGAACAAAAGCTACGATGTGCGCGCATGTCGAATGAGTGTATTTACATGCTATCAAAAATATGATGGACAGATGATCAGACGTAGGAATGATGATGATTTAGCCCATGATCGCGAACACGGACAAGAAGAACCCGACCGTGAGCGCTAGAGTCGGAAAATTCGACATCCAAAACGGTATTTTCACGGACGAGACACCGCCACCAGTGTGGCTCACTGAGCTGGCAGACGACATGGCAGAGGACAGCATCGACCGGGCGGATTCCGTGGTGGCAGAGGCACCTTTGACGGCGTTGGCTTTCTCAGACGGCTGTGTCACAGTGGACAAAGTTTTCGAATGACGAGCATTCGATGAGCTTTCAGACTTCGTTTTCCTACTTTTGGTTAGATCTTCATCAAAACGAAAGTTGCATCAACACATACGAATGATGGGACTCATGTGATGACAAGTCCTTGCCCATGGATGAACGGTCCACAACTCCTGCTACACCAGACGTGCTCTCACTGACAGGGATACGAGCGAGAGCCACAGTCGCGATGGCCAGTAGGACAACGAGAAGATACGTGCGCATGTATCGAAATGACAGAGGTTGGAAGTGACGAAGCGCCAAGCTGGGCACCGGCTACTTGTATCGCCTCAGTGTCAGTGAGTCGCGCACCGTTGGATACTGTGGTAGATACGTGCATGCACTAGTATTGAGCAAGAAAAGCATGCTTATGTAAAAGTGCATATCCCCGACAGAGAGCACAGCCTTAGAGCTAGGGTTCTCATTTGAACGAATAGCGGCAGCGCATTAATAGGTGGGCCACTATTGTTAGGACGGTGCGTGGCGGCGCTTCTTGGAACGAGATGCTAATCGGGTATGATTATTCTCTAGTCGGGAAATCATATCATCGAATGACGAAGCGCGTTTAGCGGCCTTAGCTCGCATGGCTTCGCGTAGGCCCGCCACATCAACGTCTTCATCGTTGTTATTATCAGCTGCTGTTGATGCTGGAGGGTCATTCGTACTTCTGTCGGTCTCGCGACTGCTGCTCTTTTCGTTGACGCTGCGTTGGGTACCATCCGCATGGGCAGGAGCGCTTTCGGACGTAGATTGTTGCGAAGAATCAGACACCATGCCTGAATGACGACGACGCTGGCCAAATAGATCATCCCATACACCCAATTCCTTCGCGTACGCTTCGGCCTCGCTCGCCTCTGACCGTGCCTTGTCGCGCAGAGTCTTGCGAATTTTGGGACCCTTGGTTGATGATGACAATTGGGTCCACGCTCGGGTTTCATGTAGTTCGTTAGCTCGTAGAGCCGCATTAACAATTTCGACAAAGCGTTCTTCATCATCCAAGATGTTAGAGCATGGGACGGCAGAGAAAATGCCTTCAAGCGAGCCGCGATGATCGCGGTACGCTTGCAAAATGTCTTGGCGCTCTTCTTCCGAGCCTTGATACGCCGATTGAAATTCGGAGAGAGACTTGGCATTCACTTCGCCCGTCCACAGAGACTTGAAATACTCGTTCCAGTCGACTGGCTCGTCACTGTCCCAAACTGAATCGCTCGTAGAGCCTGTTCTTTCATACCGCTTACGGCGCTTGCTGTCAGACAAGACAGTATACGCGAATCCAATCTGCTGAAAACGGAGTGCAACTTTCTCGGCATTGTTGCCGTGCAAGGCCGCCTTATCTGGGTGGTACATAAGGGCTAGTCTGCGGTATGCCTTACGAATATGCTCGGGGCTAGGATTGTCGTCTCGATCCAGACCTAGTACCTTGAATAGGTCCACATCCTGCTCATGAGAGAAGAAAAGATGCATCGGATCGTCACTTGCGTCGCTGGGCATTCTGTTGATGGAATTCGTGCCTGCTCGCTGGGCGGCGACAAAGGTGATCGCAATCTTAGCAAACAACGCGCGGGGCTGAGATATTTTGTGCCTTGAGAAGCGAGACACGCCCGACGCCTCATGAAAAACGTGGAAATTCATACTAATCATTTGCAAGCGCGTCATCAATCTTGGGACCGACCGTACGAGTGTTGGTGAGCGAATGCCTAATAGGTCAAACACCTAACTCATGGATGAAACCATCGAGTTTCGCTTTGGTCACAAATCCAATTAGCGGTGTCCGCCATTGCAGCTGGCCATTCTTGTCAAAACGATCGGCGAGCTAGGGACTTGAGTGGCAAGAGTCGCTCGTGACAACAAATAGGTAGCGCTTTCATGACGCAGGCGCCTGATCATGCAACTGCGAAAGCGAAAGAGTCAGCGATGAAGCGAGGGAATGCGAAAACAGCCACCATGGTTGACACGATGTACTTTACACCGGCGCAGTGGGAGCGGCTTCAGGTGCGCACACTTGGAAACAGCATGTCAGCTGCAAAATGGGAGCAAATACAAATGGCCGCTTGTTCGTTCATTACTGCGGTTGGAGCAAAGCTTGGATGCCCCCAAAGCACGATAGGTACGGCCCAGTTGTTATACCAACGATTCCACCTATTTTACCGGCCGGCCGATTTCGTGATGCATGAGGTTGCACTGGCATGTCTTTTTACGTCTACCAAACTCAATGATACGCAGAAACGTCTGCACGAAGTATTGTTGGCAAGCTATGCGTTTCGTTACCCTGATCTTCTAGGCCGACCGCCAGCAACAAAGGACGGCACAAATGGCAGGCAGGCAGACTGGATTGCTCACACACATGTCTCAGAGAATGACATGGATGCGGATGTGCTGCATCGTGAACAGGTATGCTTGCTTACGCTTGAGCGAATGCTGCTGCAGTGCATGTGCTATAATTTCCAGCTTCGGTCAAGTCGTTTACTGAAATGGACGACGAAGCTCGCCCGGCTTTGGGACATGCCAAAACAACATGCAGCTCTTTCTTGGCGCATTGCTTGTGATAGCCATCGGACGAATGCACCGTGGCTCTATACCCCGTTGACCGTGGCCATCGGCTCTGTGTACGTGTGTGTAGCGTTGATGCATGCTGCTGGCCACTCCATACCCACGGCCCAACAGTTTGAACACGAGTCTTCTCGCTGGGAGTTGCGCTGGTCCACATGTATGGAGGATGTTGATGATGTGGCCATTCGTTTGCTCCAGCTGTATGCGCAGCACGCACTGTCTCTGATGAGTGAGCGCAAGAGCGAACGCCTCGTACCTCCACACGTGGCATATCCACCGCCGATGGGCCTGCTGCGCTGGCGTACCTTTGCACCTCAAGACTTATCCAGTTGCGTGACACAAGCTCTTATCTATGTACGCCAACGGGCACAAACTCGTGCACAATGGCCCACCGATGACCGGAGCGATTTGCTTGGACAACGGAAGCGTTTTGCTGCTGAAGCTCGCCATGACGACACGCTTGCCTCCACGATTTTCACGCCCACACCTGATGACGCAACACGTATTGTAGCGACACGATATTTATTGCCTATATAGACCTGGTGGTATCTTGGATTAAAAACGCGTAAACCCTACGTTCTATGTGAAATAGGGAGAAGGATGCGAGCTTTTCAGGGGCCTCCACAGGCGAAAAACGACCGAGACCAACTCCATGTACGCAGCTCGCAGAACAGTTTCAAAAATGTCGATCAAGCCTCTTGTACACTGGCATGCATAGTGCGATGCACTTGCTGCATAACCTTGTCCCAATCCATATAATACACATACCAGAGAGAAGTGATGGTCCCGTAAACAAGCGCAATGGTGAGACCCCACCAAAGTCCGGCAAGACCAAGATGCCAGGGACCAAAAGCAAGAAATAGACTCACTGGGAGTCCAGCCATGTAGTAAGCTGTCACGTTGATGAACGCACTCAGAGACTGCCGTCCACAGCCTCGCAAGATGCCACCGACAATGCCACATGTACAATCGGCACACTGGAAAAGGGCCATGATGGGCAAGACGGAGGCGACTAGTTCCACGACGGCATCGTCACTACTAAACAAGTATCCCAGGTGGTGTCGCGTGAAAAACACAATTGATGAATTCAGCAGCCCAATAAGGAGTGACAAGACAATAGCCGCATGACTCGCGATACGCGCGGACTGTGCATGCATAGCGCCTAACAGGTTACCAACACGCACAGACGAAGCGACGGCAGCACCATAGGGCAGTTGGTATGTCACAGATGACAGGACAAGAAGCACAGATTGAGATGCAAGGGCACGTGTGCCAAGAGCAGCGGTTACGAGCCCAACAATTTCCCAGGCCCACCACTCTGATGCGAGACTCAGCAAGCCGGCAAAACCGAGCGAAGCGCATGTCTTGAGAGCGGCAGGATCCCACGCCTTACGAGAAAAGCCTCCCCATGTCCCGTGTGAGAGCAAAGCACATTGCATGACGCACAGAATCGCCATGAGCCACATCGATATGGCACTGGCCATCGGTGCGCCCAGGAAACCAAAACGAAATTGTTCAGGACCCCAAACAAGGATGAAATTCGCAAGGGCATTGATGGGTGACACGATCAAAAGTACGACAGTCGGCGCATGCATGACGCCCTGGGCCTGAAGAAAGCGACGGCACAACTCGAACACGGCATGACCCGGAAGACCCAGAGCCAGGACAGCGAGAAATTGACGGGCCTTGTGCGCAATATCAGGTTCTTGACCAAGCAAAAGTAATCCACTCTCTGCATTGAGCCACAAAAGAACGATGGCGGGCAAAATAAACATGATAATGATGCCGACGCGCTGGGTCCATAGCCCCATTAGATGAGGCTGGCGTGTGTATGAAGCAGGGAGTAGCGTGTCCAATGCGGAAATGAGACCGCTAATTACACTAAACCCGGTTACGTTCGCGGTAATGCCTGCTAGTGAAACAGCAGCAAGTTCGACGGTGCCGAGATGCCCCAAGCTCAAGATCGACACGACAGACAAACTGAGCTCCAAAAGATGTGTCGCACAGACTGGTATCGTGAAATTCAGTAGGGTATAGAGTTCTGAGCGCAAGTGACTGTCGGGAGATATGCTCTGTGCAAGTGAGCTAGAAGGCCGTATAGCCCCGTAACCAGACGCATTGCCCATGCTGGAGATGTGTGGCTGGATCATGGATGTCGATGACGAGTCAGCGAGAAGCGGTGCATCTTCCCGCTGGATTGACGCAGGATGCTGACTCGCAACTAGAAAATCTCCTGCAATTATGCCAGAGAGATTGCCCGACCGTACCGAGCCTGCGTCATCCGGCTCGGCATCACGAGACGGCATCACGAGGATCGGTGGATGTGCTAGCGACTGTTGAGCAGGGGACACCCTTCGATGAGCGCGTGGCTCTTTTTGATGACGTAATGGCACTCGATGTTGGTCTGTCTTTCGCTTTTCTTTCTGGATGAGGTTTGGACCAACTGGGTCCTGGAGACAAGCTTGGTTTGGCAAGCCAACGAGTGCTTCCAGTTCATTATTTATTGCTAGCAAGAGCGTGAGGAGATGCTTTGTTGCCGCACTCCCCCCTCTCCTCAACCTGTTTCTGCCAGCTTAATGTTCCACAACATGCACACACGCACTTGTTGTTTCGAGATGCGAGTCCGCACCGCGATGCCCCCCTTGTAAATGTAGTCACGTGATATAACAAGTCAAGAACTGGGCGATCCCCTTAATCGGAGAGAACCGCATCCATCAGCGACGTGCAGGACTTTCTGTGAACCAAGAGACCAGGACAGGCCAAGCGCTGAGAAACCGGACCTTGGAAAAAAGCTCACCATGTCGCCAACGCCTGCTGGAAAGACCAAAGAATCTGCTAAGGCGCGCCTACTAGGATCAGCAACGTCTGGTATTGCTGAGCTCATGGTGTTCCACCCCGTGGACACTGTTGCAAAGCGGCTGATGAGCAACACGAACCGCCATGCATCCATCATGACAGTGTTGTTCAAGGAGAAGGCACACGCGCCCATGATGACACGGTTCCTCAGCCTGTTCCCAGGTCTTGGATATGCGGCAGGCTACAAGGTGCTGCAGCGCATCTACAAATACGGTGGCCAGCCATACTTTAATGACTACCTGACGAAGCATCACAAGCAACAGTTTGAGAGTGTGTTTGGAGAACGAACGGGCAAATTCATGATGAATGCAACAGCTGGTTCGCTGACGGGTATTGGTGAAATTGTGCTCTTGCCACTGGATGTGCTAAAGATCAAGCGGCAGACAAATCCAGAGGCATTCCGTTCGCGCGGCTTCGTGCGGATTCTGCTGGACGAAAATGTGAATTTGTACCGTGGCTGGGGCTGGACAGCTGCGCGAAATGCACCAGGTTCCTTTGCGCTCTTTGGTGGCAGTGCATTCACAAAGGAATACTTGTTTGGTCTTAAGAACTACTCGGATGCTACGTGGACACAGAATTTTGTTGCTAGTATCGCTGGAAGTATCGCCAGTATTACGGTGGCGGCGCCATTGGACGTTGTCAAGACACGTATCCAGAATGCCAACTTCGAGTCCAAGGTTGGAGGCGTTGCTATTATTCGCGATATGATCAAGAACGAAGGCTTCACAGCCTTCTTCAAAGGCCTCACGCCCAAAGTCCTTGTTACTGCGCCCAAGTTGGTGTTCTCTTTCACACTTGCACAGTCGCTGATCCCATGGTTTGGCAAGGTATGTTATATTAATATATGCTAACAGACAGTACGTCTAAGTGGCTGTACGAGGGTATGAATGCATTGATCGTTGGTTTGTTTCCTGTTCGATGTGAGCCTAGTCCTCATTTACACCATGTGCGACATGTCTCGAGCACACTGAGCTCGACAAGCAAAAGTTCTGAGCTCGTTCCAAGGGTCTTGCCCGATAATGTCCTCCTCCGCCCCCTCCTCTCTGTGCAGCCAACAACTCTCCTCTGCATATTAGAGAACGCAAAAAAAAATAAAAATAAAATAAACACGTGTGCACGACGTATAGAAATCAGTCAATGTAGTTGCAGCATACGACAACGCCAGGCATGCCGGCAAGCATGCCCTTGTGTAGCGATGCCGCTCAGGCGCAAATTACAGTACCATCATGTTACTGTCCACACGTGAAGCGTTCCTGAATTCAAAAAAGCGCGATGCACAAAAAGAAAGGGGAGGTGGAACATAGGAATGTCCGCTTGACACCAACACGTACCTGGTATATGTGGGAACGATTTATCACGCCTGAGCTCCCAACAAGCGCAAGGCAAGCTCTTCTTGCGAGGCAAGATCTGGTTCGGTCTTAGCACGTTTCCGCGGCTGAGAATCCTCTGGGTTATCGTCGTCCTCGTCGTCATCACCAGGCAACCTCAAATCTGGTATATGAGTGCCATCGTCGATTCCATCATCTTCATCATCATCACTTGGCAACATAGCCGTGCGTGGCGCGCGAGTCCCATGTTGTTCGGCCAGTAAACGCTCCATTTCTTTTCTATGCCGCCGCTGATCTTGCCGTTTCTTCTTGGCGCGCTCCTTGTCTAAAACATCCGCCTCGGCCATACGTGTCTTTTCAGCTTGTTCGTGCTCTTTGATCTGTGCACCCACGTCGCCCTGGGTTCGGAACGCATCTTCATCATGGATTTCATACACTGAGCGTGCATGCCCATCGTCATCGAACACTATGCGATCGCCTGCACCACGCAAACCAGCGGATGCCATGGCCTTCTTGCTCATGCCGCGCTGCAGTTGCCGCTTCGACAGGTGGTGCGACGGCATATCGTCGGTGGGCGGCTCGTCCAGCTCGTGATCTGCACGCGCCAATGTGAGGAAGTCGTCGTTCTCATCCGGGGTATCACCAAGTTCATGGTCGCGCTGTGCGTCAGAGTCATCCTCGCTGTCACTCGCCAGCATCGACGCATAGTGCTTGCTCAGAACCGTCTGATTCGTCCGACCAAACAAGCGATCGTGCTTTGTGCGCACACGAGCAGGTTCACTTGCGGTGCGTGAGTGTCCCTTGCCATCGTGTACGTCCTCGTCATCAACGGCATCGTGCTCATCACTACTGGCAGTGTGGGCTTCCTGTGCTTCTTTCGCTTCCTTCGCAGCTTGAGCTGCCGCTTTGGCTCGCGCTTCCTGAACAAATTTGATCTTCGGTGCACCAGGCAAGCCCAATGAAGACGCAAATTCATTCAACGGAAGAGCAGCAACCTGGAACATAGTCTTATCTTTGTGCAGGTGCACCGAACGTACGTAGGAGACGAATGCCTTTTGAGCCAGGTGCTTGAGTTCGACATCTTGGAACAAAAACGCCTGCAGCTGAGGCGAGATGCTTTGCAATTTGGCATCGCGTGCCTTAATGTCCGTGATCGGAACATGTACTCGCTCCAAGGCTGCCAGCATGCCGTTTTGCTCGGTGGGCAAAACAAAAAGCAGGGCTTTCCCATGAGCATGATACCGCGCGGTCCGACCCACACGATGAATGTAGGTATCTGCACTGTCAGGCACATCGACTTGCACGACCCAATCGACAGCGGGAAAATCCAATCCACGTGCAGCAATGTCGGTCGCGAACAAAGCTGCATGCTTACTGCGGCGGAACTCATCGAAGATTTTGAGGCGTCGCGGCTGCTTCTGTTTGCCATGCAGAGCAAGCAGAGGCAGTCCCGGACGAAGCTTACAAAACACCTCATGTGCAAATTGGACCTGGCGACAAGAACTCATGAACACCAGCACCTTGCACTGGGTATGCGAGCACAGGAAAGAGAAGAGCATGTCAAGTTTCCGTGGCAAGTCAACGAGCATGTAAAATTGCTCTAGATGCCTCGGCGTTGACGAGGACGAAGACGAGGATGATGTGGGATCGGTCGCATCTGGATCCTGTACAGTAATCAGCGCCGGATCCGACAGACTCAAGCGCGCCAGGTCTTTCACACGCCGCGTCTGGGTGGCCGAATACAACAATGTCTGCCGACTAGAGGGCAAGTGCTCCAAGATTGCGTTGAGTGTATTAGCAAAGCCCATATCAAGAATTCTGTCAGCCTCGTCCAGAACAAGAACTTGCAAATTTGATGCATCGAAGCCAACAGTCTGATCCAGGTGCTGTAAAAGGCGACCCGGAGTGGCTATAAGGATATTCATCTTGCGTAACCGATCCTGTTCATGCGTAAGGTCCTTGCCGCCGATTACCAAACCAGCTGAAAACGTATGAGACCCGCCAATGCTGCGCAGAACATCAAAGATCTGCATCGCCAGCTCACGCGTTGGCGACACAACAAGCGCACCGAGTCCATCCGTATGGGACCAGCGCTGACGGTAAAGTCGCTCCAGGACCGGGATCAAAAAAGCCAGTGTCTTGCCGGAACCTGTACGAGCGGAGCCTAATACATCGCGTCCACGGAGTGAGGCCGGTAAAGAGGCTTTTTGAATGGGTGTCATGTCAATAAACCCCGCACGCTTTAATCCTTGTCGTGTGCGCGACGACAATGGTATGACAGAAAACGTCTCATCTTCGGGCTTGAGTTCCAATATCTCACACGCGCGATTTAGGTCTTCAATATCGCGCTCATCCATAAGACGCTTCTTCTCTCGCGATGCACGCGTCCGCGCATTGAATATACGCGCACGCTGCGCACGCCCTGGAGTCATGTTGGCGACCCGCTACGAAAGAACTCAATAATGAGCGTGGCAAAGCGGCGCCAATGCGTGTGGTGACAAAGTTGGCTAAAGTTTGGCAAAAAAAAGTAGTAAAAGAAAAAGAAAAAAAAAAAGTAGGTGCATCAATTCACAAGCCACTGTTCTGAGTCAGCGAAGGGGCGGGGGAAACTGAGTCGTGCGAGCGAGAAGACTAGGGAACACGCTCAAGATACCTATTGGCCCAGGAGGGAAAGGGCGTCCGCAACAGATGGAGGTGTGTTCTCTAGTGCGTCTCTCTTTCTCCCACTTTGGCGTCCCCAGCCCCTTTGGTTTATACGCCAACATGGATTCGCTAGACAATTTTTTTTTTTGCTGCCTGAGCGCGCGCCTGTGGAACCGACACGGAGGGGCCGGTTCTCGAGCGATTTCATGACACTCGGCCGAAGAGACACAAAACCACACTAGATAGTCTCAAACGTCAGAAGCTCATCACGACGTGGAAGTGGGGACGATTCATGCACAGGTCGCTGAGGACCGGAGGCGTGCACCGGGTTCGGCGGTGCATGTCGATGGCCTCGGCATCGGCGTCGACGTCAACGTCGGGTTCGACGTCGGTTGTCACATCGGCAAGGATGCCGCTACATGAAGCCCGGCACATGCACATGGCCTGTCGATTGAGTGCGCCACGGTCAACAGCAGTCACGACGATACCAGCGATAACCACGGCGACTATGTTCCAACATCGAGAGACTCGAGTTTGGCGGCCAATGCATCGGTGCATCCATGAGCACGCTAGCGAAGCGCATCCGCTCATTGAGGCGTTGCACTGCGCGACGCTTTCAAATCGAGAAGCACGAAAAGTTTGTGAAGCAGCAGTGTGTGGTATTCAGGATACACCACACCTGCAAGCGTCCGGACGGTCTGATACGCTGATGCGCAAGGTCATCTGCACAAAAAACATTAGCACGACTCGGCGCGATCAGCTGTTGTCTGTGCTCATTCATGTGCTTTGGAGGCACAATGTACCCGTCGATACCCATGCTTGCTGGCAGGCACTGCGATGGACACATGCTCGATATATGCCCCTCACGCGGCGAATTCTGCATCTGTACCTACTGAAACATACCCCCATCATCGACGCACAGACCCAGTCCTTGTGGCGTGCCATGCTGCGTTCTCATGTCCAGACGACTGACTGGCACAGAGTTGATGAGGCTCTGCACGTGGGCGTGGCTTTGGGCGCATTGAATGAATTGGATGTATATCACTATACCCTACGTCGGCTCCGACACGAAACGTGCACACTTGACCCACACTCGAACGCTGCGCAAGTCCTCTCTCACATGCGGCAGAGTGGGACGAAACTCGATGACTCAACACTCGCTCAGCTCATGCACACACTGGTCGTACCTGTTCGTCGTGCTCACCGCATGCAAGTCTCTCCGGACGACATGCTCAGTGTCACGAGACCTGTGCGCCGTATTCTGCAGACTTCGTTCCTCTGGATCTGCGGCAGCGGAGCGAGCCGTGTACATAAAGACAGTCAAAGCGATGGCGTCGCTCTGCACACATCGCGGACCCCCTTGTTTCGATGTGCACTGTCCGAAATGCTAGAGCTTGAACTTTTTCTCGCGTACGCTAACCACATGGCGTTCGTGCGACACGCGCGTAAGCATCAGCAGCGGTTCTTGCGCCAGCCCGATCCACCCGTGCATGTGCGATATACTGAGCCAATTCGACGGAAAGTCGCAGCTATTCGTCTAGCGCTGGATCGAGATCGCCGTGCTACAATCGGCTCATGCGAGCGCTCGAAAGACGATCCAGATCACTCGACGGCCCCCTTTATTGCTATGGATATTCCCTTGGTCCGCCTGGATATCACATTGCAAGCTTCGCATGGCGCGTGGGCACAGGCCTGTGACGAACTGCGTGCTTGGGTCGCGCGGGACACCTCCGCACCAGCGGTGTATGAACAACGGCGTGCCATCGTCACACTGTTCTCGTTCGCATGCAAGCATGGGCGTTTGTGCAGACTCTATGAGATGCTTGATATCCTGATCATTAGCGAACAAGGGCATTTATGGCGTGATGGAGAGTCGATGGCGCCTGGTGCGACACTTGTCCGGCTGTGGCTGCGATTCGTCGGGGCTTGGACACACGGCGTGGGTGTGCGTTGCGGGATGCAGAGACGCGAAGAAGTGGCCTTGGGCCCCTACGGATGGACGCTCATGTCCCATGCACTTGATGTTCTCATGCGTACTGCAATGCGCGTGCCCGTATCATGGGCATGTGTGCTGGACCATCCTGAGCGTTGCCGTGCTTTGGTCCGTTCAGCCGTGACGGCAAACGGTGACGTGGATGTGATCTTTGCGAGCCTGAAAGCCATGAAAGCACCCTCGCGTGTATGGCGCTGGGCGGAGCATGCATTGGAGCAATCTTCATTCAGCACAACTCGTTCGCAACGGACATGCCCCAACATGGCCGGTCACCAGGCGCCCACACAGCCAGGCCATAACGACGGAGACCTCAGCCCCGTGTGCGAGCGTCGAAATGAATTACATAATCACACCTACCCACACGCCTCGCCTCTCATAGGACTTAGTGAAGGGCATCGCTAACTAACTGTTTTTGTTCTTGCTGCTGCTGCTACTGCTGCTGCCAGGCCACTGATTTCAGGAGAAAGATCAGAGAAAGGAAGACGCAGAGAAAGAGAGAGAGAGAGAGAGAGAGAGAGAGAAACGACGGCGCAGACCCCCCGTTTTTTACAGACGACGACGTATTTGGACAGCAGATCAGTCGGTGAACGTGCGTGTTTTCGTGCGGTACGAGTATGTTAAGCGCGACACGCAAAGCGCTGGGAATCAGTAACTCGTCACACCGCAGTACGCGCAGCGATGCCACGGTACTGTCAGATGCGCAGTCACGAGCGTCGTCGGTTCCACTTCTTATAGCGCTGTGCGTGCTCTGGTACTCTAGCTCGGCACTCACGTCCAACACGAGCAAGGACCTGTTATCTCGACGTAAAGTAGCAGCCACGCCGGATATTCGACTTCCACCGCTGTTTCCATACCCGGTAACGCTCACACTGGTGCAGTTCGTATTTGTGAATGTGCTGTGTTATCTAGGTACACGGAGGAATTTGCTGGGTGACTGGGTGCTAGCGCGGCGTCTTGTGCATATTTCGCTCCCACAATTGCGTGATATTGTGCAGATCAGCGTGTTCAACGTGTTGGGCCATGCGCTTGGCTCGTTGGCCGTCAGCCGTGTGGAAGTGAGTCTCGTCCACACAATCAAGGCTCTCTCACCCCTCTTCACTGTGCTATCTTATGCACTCTTCTTTGGCGTGCCGTACTCATCGCGCACATACCTGTCGCTTGTACCGTTGATCTTTGGCGTCGTCCTTGTGTGCACATCGTTGTCGAAAAGCAAACGTGACGACATCGTGGGATTCGTTGCTGCCCTGGGCAGCACTCTTATTGTCGTTGCGCAGAACATCTACTCGAAAAAACTGTTGAAGCCAGCTACAAGCGCTGCGACGAATGCACACGAGAAACTCGACAAAGTCAACATCCTCTTTTACTCCAGTGTATGCTCAGTCGTGCTTATGCTGCCGATGTGTCTATTTTATGATGCAAAGCCGATGCTAGCGCCTACATCGCCAAATGTCAGCATTCACACACTATACCTGCTGACTGTGAATGGGATCGTGCATTTTGCACAGAATATGCTCGCCTTCCAGGTGCTTGCACATGTGTCACCCGTTACGTACAGTGTTGCAAACCTATTTAAGCGTGTATTTGTGATTCTCGTGGCCATTGCATGGTTTGGCCAGGATGTCACCGTAACTCAATGGATTGGCATCTTGTTGACCTTTGTGGGCTTGTACATGTACAACAATGCGAAGAACGAGAGCCCTTCGCGAACCGATTCGAACATGCGCGCCGATGCGGCGTCTGAATCGCTCCCGATGCATGCCACGAAATCCGCCATTGCTATGGCAGACGCTAAGCCAAGTTGGCCGCCTCTTGCGGTCCAAGCGCTGAACCCGAACAGCGCAAGTGATCAAGTGCCTCTGCCACCCCGTAGTCCTGGTGAATCGGCGCCTCATTCGCATGTAGTTCTATTCCCCCCGCAAGCCGCAGGATCCAGCTAATTTGATGCTTGCTATCTTGAGCTTAGTGTAGAATACCTTGTCTTCCTTGCACAAACGCGCAACCCAGCATGCCAGCGCCGACGCTTCATGGCACATGGCTGGTCCTTGTCAGTACCACCATTCCTTCACTACACGTGGCGTACGTGTCGAGTGGCTGCGTCATGCGCTGGGCTGCGTGTGTGCCCTCCACTTTGTCGAGAAGTCGTAGCTCCTGCCACATGGCACATGTGCATCAAGATCGACAAGACACATTGCTGCCAACCGACCTCGCAGACGGCGTTCTCCTCCACTGGTCGCGACAGAACCTACTCTCCCTGCTGAACTTGATTGATTCGTCGACATGTCGTGGTTCTCGAGTCAGTGGAACCGATGGAATCAGGCAACACCGTCTGCATGGTCTGATGTAGAATGGCTTGAAGTAGTGCTGGGCCGACAGCGGTACGTATTTGTGAAGAGATCGACGCTCACCAACCACGCTAGGTACCAAGTGACACTGCCCAATATTGACGAGCCATTGACTCTCAAATACCTTCGACAAGAACTCGCATCTATCTTTAACGTACCTTCACAGGGTATTTCTATTGTATTCCAGGGCATGGTTCTCAAAGATGATCGTGTCTCGTTACAGGATTATGGCTTGACGACCGGCTCACGCATCCAGCTGCTGCTCAAAGATACGCAGCCACAGCAGCACAAAACTGCCCATACAATGCAACACACGAGTATGCCGCCAAATGACGTAAGCCCCGTGGAAGCTGCCCAAATGAGTGCGGATGCTGCACCATCAGGCCCAACCTGGCCTGGCTTTGGTTCATCTGACGCTGCTGCTCACGTAAATCAAAGCACGCAGGCCGCCCCAGGTGCACAAAACACAGTGCCTCCCATGTCCAAAGATCAAAAACACCTGCAACAAATCGAACAAGTGACTCAGCATTGTCGTGCGGAACTTGTGCCGGAACTTGAACGGTTTGAAAACAGCATCCAAAAGCTGCCAGACTCGCACCCAGGCTCATTACAGTCGGAACCTGAGGATTCTCTAGCACCTCTGTTCTCCGTTACGCCACACCGCTTGCCGTATGAGCAGCGAAAACTGTCAGAACTGCTCCTTCGTGAGCTCTTGAAACTTGATGACGTTCCTACAGACAAGGATGAAGTTCGCATGGCACGTAAATCAACTGTCAAGGAGGTCCAGAGCTACCTTGAACGCGTTGATACCGCATGGAACACAGCAACGAAGGAGAAGGGCATCGTCTCGGACGTGTAGTTATGAGGCATAGTTCCTTCTCCATTTCTTATTCTTTCGCAGTGCATGAGCTTCGTCCAGAGACAGATGGCCTGGCTTTTCATGGGCATGGCTGTTGTTGATTACTATAGGATGCTTCAGTTTGGGATATTGCTTAAAAATATGACCGAAATGATCGAGGACTTTCGGAGACTTGCGTTTAGGCAACAATTCAGTTACACAAGTGGAGAAACACACACTAAGCATAGACACACGTCCCAATTAAGTCCGTACTGGGTTTCGACAAATAAGACCTTGAAAACAGGGCAGGGGCTGTCGAACAACTTGTACATTACGCTTATGTCGAAGGTGGATGATAGACTACGAGTTATTCGTCTGAAATGAACTTTCATGCGTCGTGTATATCAAGCCTAGTATTGTCGACGGGACGAGCGTGTGGTCCTTACAGTTGTTTGGAATGGTCCGACGAGGGCCAACTGGTCATTGTAACGACTGATGCCATCCATGTCCTGACACCAAGAATAGGATATGATCTTGGTGAGCATTGTTTGAGCACAAAAACCCACACACATACCCAGCTAGATGCACGTCGCGAACTCGCACAATATGCGCCATTACCTGAGCCTACCGATGAAGAAACGACCTCGGCTGTTGTGCCGAGCATCGTGCTTGGTGAGGCTTGGTATGCCGCTGCATGGTCACCTGCAGGGATCGGTCCGTTGCACAGGTACGTATGTTGGGTCGGAATGCGTTGGTAAGCGCGTGCGCGCGCGCAACTACTACCGTTGGCTTGCGTATTTGTTCTTTGAACTTACAACCTCGCTTCTTTCTTGCAGCTGCGTGCTCGCAACGATCAATGCAAGGCGAACATTGAGCCTCTATGTCAACAAAAATGATGCGCGCAATACCCCATGGACATGTGCATTTGATGTGCAGGATGCTCCGTATGCTAAGGATCGATCGGGCCATGCCAAGACCATGGCGATGCAATTCACGTGTATTGATTGGTTATCATCAACAGCTGAAGGAGCATGGCTCCTCGCTGGCACACGCGGAGGAGATCTGGTTTTGTTCCACGCCAATGACGGTGCACGTCTGACCTACGTAACATATCTCTCATGCGTGGCATCTGTACGCTCGGTATGCTGGGGCCCCACAAGTGCTGCTGTCCGTGCAGGCGATAGCATCATGCATGTTCGCGTCGAACTCTCGCCCCCCTGCATGCATGCGCTCGCCGTTTGTCATGTCGGAATGGCCTGTAACGTCACTGGCCTTGCGTGGCATGAGGGTGCATGGCGTTGGACAACACCAGGTGGTTGTTATGCTTGGAATGGCGAGCCTAACACTCAGGCCAGTCGCATCACGGAGGGTTGCGATGCCATGACACATGCAGCCGGCTACGATTGGAACCACGAATGCTTGTTCACTGTGTTGGATGATGCACGTATGCTAAATATGGACCAGCGCGAGTCACCGAGAAAAATCGCTCGAGAGTCATTGGCAGGTGGACACTCGCCAGTGTGGGGCTACCGGCGCGACGCATGCGGACTTGTCGCGATGCTGATCGATGCAAATGAATGCAAGCCATGGCAGTATCACATCACACACAAACTGTCGTATGTACTGACCATGCCGAACGAAGAACCCATGTATGTGCGGGACCGACCACCTGTTGTGGCATGGCGTGCATGGATGCTATGGCTCAAGCAATATGGCGCAGCAGCATGTGCGCCATTGTGGCATACGCTACGTTCGCGTGCAATGCACCTACAAGAACACGTAGTCACACTTGCGCAGCAAAGACCAAAAAGTGTGCGAGTATGGAGCGACTTGCACAAAGAGGCTCAGGCTGTGTCGTGGTGGATGACGTATGCGCCTGATGAGGCCCTGACACAAGTCGGGTCCGACATGGCAAAGGCGACGTGGATCAGCGCCTGGGTCAGTGGCGTTCGCCGAGCCGTGGCGTATCTTGAAAGTGGTCCATCAGACACAGGCGTTAGCGTGCAGAATGGCGACATCCAAGACTATGTACAACGCCTTGCAGGTGCACTCTTTTGCATGGCACACGATGATGCGCACGCTACAAGTCACGAGAAATCATGCTTGGCTTATTATAGTCAAAGTCTAGTGGGTCAAGATACCTATGACGCTTGGAAGCGCGCAGGTGCGCCTCAGCTTGGAGAACAATGCCCGGCTTGTAAAGAGCCTATACCCTTCGATCTCGCACCCTATGCCAGGTGTGCTGCACGGCACGTCTTTGATCGTTGCATTGCAACATTTGCGCTGATACAAGGTATTGACACACTCACATGCACATGTTGCAAGCGACAAGCTTCTGCTACGGCTCTTCAACACATAAGCGTGTATGCGTATCCATCAACATCAAGTTGCATATCTTGCGGAAACCGGTGGTGCTCTTCATAAGCTCGGCCCATACCGGGCCGAGTTATCCCAGTAAATAGGGAACTAAATGAGTGAGGAAGAAGCATTGGAAACTAAAATGGGAAGCAAAGAGGAATCAAGACGAAAGGCGGACTATTGCTGCCGACCTAATCACGAATAGGGAGATGAGTATCGACAGCATAGCGACACGTAAAAGAGGAGAGTGTGCGTGCGGGTAAGCCCCTATACATCACAGCCAGCATGCAATGCGTTATTCACGATCGTGATGGTGCAAACGTAAGAATCCACGACGAGAGGACGAATCCTTGTGCTTCTTCTTTTTCTGCGCTGCACGAGCAACGAGACGCTCCAGCTCACGACGCTCCTCGTCTGATTCGTCTGGCACGACCTCACTGTAGATCGAACCAAGTAGGGCAAGAGCACGCGCACGTTGCATAAGAACCTTGTCACTCACACCCTTCTCATTCAACACATTGTCACACACTCGCCTAAGCACACCATTAACTTCCCAGCGCGTGCCTCGCCAAGTGGCCAAGAGCATTTTTCCATTCACATCCTGCTCCAACTGCTGCATTTCCGCTTCAGACAAGTCGCCCTTTTCCTGACGTCGTGCCAGTTCTTCCATGCTCATTTGTACATTGACGGCACTTCCCATGACGTTCCACGTTTCTTTGATCAGACCGCCACGCTCTTTCAGTCGATTCCAGAACCCTGGCATGCCCAAGAAGTTCCCGCGCTTCGTCTTGAGCCACGTATTGCTCTTCGTCAAATACACAGAGCCGATTGTGTGCAACAACTCAACACCAAATGATTCCAGCTTCAGATCTTCAGCCTCTTCGCGCATACGTTTCGTGAATATTTTTGTCTCATTGTCGTCTTCAGCGCCTGGATTCCGGGCATTGACGAACGGACGGATCCGATCCTTGAGCTTCTCCGTCAAGTCTGTAATGCGCTTCTGCTCCTTTTCAACCTTCTCTTTTTCGAATTCGTCAAGCTTTTTGCGCTGTTCAGGAGTCAGCTTGTGTTTCTGCCGCTCAGCTTTAGATGCACTGGACGACGCCACCTGCGATTGCGACTCTGACGCTGATGTGGCAGGATTGGCCTCGCCCGACTCGTCTGATGCGCCCGTCACTGTATCGGTAGTGGGGCTCTTTAGATGCTCGTTCATCTGGCGCTCCATCTCTTCACGCTCTTCGTCCGTCATCATAATCTCAGACGCACGCCCAAAGTCCTTGATCAAACTGATTTCGCCAATCAAATCAACAAAACGCTCGCCACCAAACAAGTTTCCAAACTGCAAAGAAAAAAGAATGAGTTAGCAAGAACGAAATGGCAGGAGATGACGATGCACGGCCCGCCAGTCGTTAGACTGGCTGTGCTCGTCCTGCTTCGGCGATGATGCCAGCTTCACATACCATTTCAGTTGCCTCCTTGAGCCCCACCTCATCGGTTGGTTTCCTGCACTGTCAGCACCGCCATGCGATTACATTCACATACTTCTTTCCGTATCGATCATAGACAGCACGCTCGTTCGAATCACTCAACACACGATACGCTTCACCAATCATCTTGAATCTGGCTGGAGTTAGTCACTCGAGATGTCCGCGCGACAAAAACACGTTGCTGAGGAATCGACACTTACTTTTCTTCATCACCACCTTTATCAGGATGGTTCCGAATGGCTGCTTTTCGGTACGCTTTCTTTAAATCAAGTTCCGTCGCATCGCCACGCACGCCCAAGAGCTCATAGTATTCCATGTCCTTGCCGGGTAAGTTCCGTGCACACGCAGGTACATATACATACAGCGATCTTCTCTCCATCGCGGCTAATATTTGCGGGCTGAGTCGGTTGGACTTCCTCGCTCATGACTGCAACAACTCAACACACGTCTTGAAGCGGTCCGTGATGACAAGCAGAACAAGTGCCTACTCTGTTGGAAAATCAAAATACGCCACGAAAATAAAGCGGTGAAATTTTGATGCTTACCACACAAACACCACGTGGTTCAATCAACACCCGGGCTGCAGGACCTCCGGGGCTGGACACCATTCTCCAGCCAGCCCGCGTCACTGTCTTCTTCGCACCACCTGGGCCCTCGAGACATCTTCCGGCCAATCCACCGGGCTTCCGTTAAACTATCGCACATATATCAAGCCATCTAGATTTGTTTTGAAGGACTAAGGACATACACATAGCCCAAGTATCAGGCGCCATAGAATGATAAGCGCGCTGCTTCCCGCACACACACTCCATCAGGGCATCACTATAAATAAAAAATGCCAGTAACTCATGTAACTGCATGTAGCAACTCACATAAAGCAGAGGCACAAAGCGGTGAGCGTGAGCAGGGCATGCGATAAAACAATGACAACATATGCCCCTATGCACAAACACCACATTCTCCATCCTCATCATGTCTAGTTAATGGAAAGATGGAGAAAAAGAAACAAGCACAAGTGACACGCTTAATCCTCGCGCTGCTTCTTGAGGCGCAAGTCACGCTCCTCTGTGATCGTGAGCTTGACACCACCGCCGCGAGGCATCGAGATCCAACGCTTCTCGTGGTCACCAATCACGAACACGTTGCTGAGACGAGTTGAGAACTCACGGCCAGCAGGGTCGCGGACATGGACGATATCGAAACCACCGTGGTGACGCTCGCGGTGAATCATTTGACCAGCACGACCAACGTTACGGCCACCAGTGATCATAACCTGCGCACCAGTGTCGAACTTGATAAAGTCAACCATCTTGTTGTTGATCAGGTCGAACTTGACCGTATCGTTAGCGCGAACGAGTGGGTCAGGGTAACGGAGTGTGCGACCGTCGTGTGTCACGATCAATGGCACACCCTTTGCGCCCAGCTGAACACGCTTCACCTTGAGAAGCTTGTACTGAGCCTCCTCAGCAGTGATGCGGTGCACGACAAATCGACCCTTCACATCGTAAAGAATGCGGAAGTGCTCACCAGACTTCTCAATCGACACAACGTCCATGAAGCCCGTTGGGAAGGTCGGGTCAGTGCGGACCTTGTTGTCAACCTTAATGATGCGCTGTTGAGTGATTGACAGCACTTCACGGCCAGTGAGCGCATACTTCAAGCGGTTGCGAAGCAAGATCTGTACCACGTCAGTATGAGCTGAAATTTCAAACAAACATTGTGCGAAGAGTAGCGATGATGTGGTCGTGAGCGAGCCGCCCGTTCTAGAATTCACGCTTGCTCTCGAGATCTGAGGATCAACAGTCCCACGCAATGCTCAGGGACCACAGATACCGCGTCAAGCAGCATACGGGAATGCCATAGAAAAGTGCATGCGCCAAAGACGAATGGTCAGACGCCTAAATAGAAAAATGTCCGCAACGCCAATAGAGCGCTAGGAAAGCCATGCATGTTTAGTTTGGGAATCATCGCTCCATGCACTTGCTGATACACGAACCCATATGACCACTGCCAACGCCAACACCAACGCTACTCCTTGTTCACAAATCAACTTTGCCAAACGAAGGCAAAGCTAAACCAAAAGGTATACATACCACAAGAGGAAGTGCTTCACGCAACTTGTGAGGACCCGTGCTGGGACGCGGCGCGTACGTGCCGGAAAGCTGAAATCATCAGAACACACTCAAAGGATCGCACGTACCTTGTCCAGCATCCATGAGCTTGGGGCAGCAAGGTGCTTGAGGTGGTGCTTGGGTCCGCGAACCATGGCTGTTGATACGCAAAAGGTGTGAGGACTGTAGGATGTGACCTACGTCACAGAAGAAAACGGTGAATGCCGCCGTCGCACGCATATTCGGCCGAACACGAATAGGAACTCTTGCAGTTTTGCATGCACGGTGGGAAAAAGAGGGCCAACCTTGTAACACGTGATTTGGTTTAGACATGGGCTTCTACGAGCTTTGAGCGCGAAGACTATGGATGACAGCGGATGCGCCTTAGTGTAGGCGCTGTGGGACAAGAGCACTAGCGAGTCCAATCGAACGCGTCCCAGGAGGCTTTAAACTGATCGACCAACTGTCTCATTCCCGCCACATGTTTGGGTTTGCGCCAACGTTGTGGCTCAAGCTGAAGCATATTCCCGATAATTTCATGCGCAAAATTGCTAAATAGAGAAGTAGGGAGCGTTAGTGTGTCTGTCCGTAGGAATGGTTTGTAGACGTACGCTGGAAATCCCGTGCCTCCAACATGGTCGCCATCGTCATACACGGGCTCATCACGGCCGGAGGGCGCAAAGCGTCCCCGTTCGTCCTGACGTGATTCAATCACATGTCCGTAACCACGTTGACCCTTGTAGTCCCACTGTATCATAAAGTACGGAAGTCGAGACACCATACTGCTTTGGAAAGGACGTTGCTCGGAAAAGCCAATGACTTGCTTGTGGTCGGACCATTCCGACTCAACCTCACTCAAAGCCACATAAAAATACGCAGGCACTTGCGGGAACACATCGTTGGGGATAGGAACTGCTTCAATAAATGTGTGCTTTTGCATGCGAAGCGAAAGAACTGTCTCAAAAAACACCATAGATTGGTTCTTTGATACAGCCATGCGAAGCAAACACTTCATAAAATTCTGTAAATGTCAGCTTGCCCAGCCAAGATGGGCGTCAACTTACGCGTATTTCAGTCCATCCCTCCTCATCAACATCCAACGAGCTCACATGGTGATGCATAGGTACGATCCAGCAGTGCCCCTCGATCAGCGGCTCTCGATCAGGCATCGCCAAATACACGCACGATCCACTGGACACAATCGTTGCACGAGGCGGCGTTCCGCCATCGTCCTGCCAACAAAACGGGCATTCGTCCAATGCTCGTTTCGTGCGAGCAAAGTCTAGCAAGTGTAAGCCCATTGCGAGAACACGACGTTTTCCAGTCCCGTTCTGTAGATACACGTACCTTGAATCGCAAACTGACGTTTCATGGCATCGTCTCGCATCCGCTTACGAGCAAACCGCTGCGCTTCATCATCTAGGTAGTCCGTGTCATTTACAAAGGCTCGATCACCCGCAATTTGCTGTGAGAGCATCATGTCGTAATCTTTTTGATCAGCTCGACCAGCAGTAAACCGCTCCTGTCGCACGAGATCTGAAAGTGACACGTCATCCGGTGCATCCGACTCGAACTTGGGTCTCTTACTAGAGCGCAAGCTTTCCGCTTGAATCGTCGCTTCCGATGACGACCGCGAGCCGATATCATACATGCGGCCAAATCCATCAATGACAGGTACAGGTTCTACACGCTCAGAGGGTGCAATAGACACAATTTTTTTGCGCGCACTTTCTAGTTCTCTCCGAAGTGCTTGAGCGTCTGGCCGATTGGCAAATTCGGCCCGTAAAACTTGTGCTTCTAATTTGTTGAGTTCGCTCGCACTTAGAACAGAATGCTCATGCGATACGGAGGAAGCGATGGGCATAGAGACGCTAGGAGCAATGACTTTTTCTTTAAAAGGTTGTACGTTTTTTGGCTCTGGCACTCGCTTTGATAAGTTGGGTCCAGATTTAGGCGCACATGCCAATGATGATGTTGTTCCAGGTCGACGAAAAGCAGAGTTACTGCACGATGTGTATGCGTCTTTCGATACAGATGAATACAAATGTTGATCTTCCAAGTATCTTCTTTCCGCGCGTGCATCATCAAATGCTTGGAGACTCCCATACCGGTCTAAAGCGACCTGTTCAACAGATACACCAAGTTGCTCAGCCCGTGTCGTACGTTCGTTCGAGCTTCATCATTCGCCATTTAAATCCAGGACCTCCAAAAGTCGCTGAAGATGAAGAGGGACGGGAGGAAGCAAGAGGCGTATATGGGGTGGATGGTTGTTCAAGGGCAAGCACAGGGTTCAATTCTCGAGTGCTTACAGGCGCTGAGGCATTTTCTGGGGGGACATTGCTTCTCGTCAACGAGAAAGATGTGTCTCTATGAATCGGGGGAAAGGCACCTTGACCACCATTCCCAGCAGAAAGCATCCAGGCATCGCGCTGAGGCAACGGGTCATCTGCCTTGCTAAGTTTATTAGACGAAGAGGAAGAAAAGTGGCGATGCTCGCGATGGCTTCTTCGGTGACGGTGTTTATGCTGATCTGGATCACTTTGATGCCGATGATGATGCCGATGATGGTGGCGATGATGACGCTGGTCACGTCCGTGCTCAGAGGAACCCTGTGAGACAGGATCTTGCTTGCTCCCAGGCTCTCGCTGATCTAAGGTCGACATGTCATTAGCACTGATTGTGGAGAAACAAGTAGCAAGACTTAGAACGAACAGGCATGAGTGAACCTTTTTCTCATCAACCCTCATTAGCACGTGTTTGCCAATCTCCAGATTGAACCGAACGCGGACACCATTGAGTTGGGAAAGTGACTTGAACAGTCACAAGCATGCTGTTCATCCTCCGTACATGCATGAAGCACGTCTACAAAACATCTGTATAGAAGCAGTGTGTTACTCTCTCTCGAATAGGTGAGGTCACTTTGAGTTCTGTGAATATAGAAACATGCGCATCATGGGCAGTCATGGGAGTGGAAAAAAGAAGAGAAATTATGAGATTGAACGCATCGGACAGAATTCCACTACCGCAAACGAAAAGCGTGCTCTCAGCATCACCCGAAAACCATGGCACACCATTATGGGTATAACTGGTCGCTTCCATCACGTATGAACATAATAGGGTACCACAACGGTTAAGATGCTTTCCGAATCAGGATCATTCCCTATTCGATCGGGTCAGTCAAAAAATAATGATAATGACAATAAAGTAGGACATCCAGCATCACGATAGTACTCCTACGATGCATTCAAGACACCCGATTTTCCCAGGTTCGTGTCTCACGTTCATAACTGGGACGGTCCTCACGTACGGTTGAGAAAACAATTCTGGTGAGAACACGCATGAGTAGCGGCCTCCACTGACCAATCATAAAATCTGTGTGCATCGTGCCAATCGGCATGATGCACTGTGAATAAACCAAACAGAGCAACGAGCGTCGAAGGCCGTCAGAAAGAGTGGATGAAAGTGAGTACCCTCCAGGTGTATGAACAATTAGTCAAACGATATGGAAAAAAGGTAGTAGCAGACAACGGCTCTTGACTGTGAGCATATTGAAAGGGCAGAAAGGGACACTCGAAAAACACCTTGCCGGTCTTGATTAGGCGCATTACAGAATCGTTGGAAAGCCATAAATCCTTGGTTCTACACTGTTACGAGCGCCGTTGCCACCACCACCACCACTTTCAAAACGCCCACACACGTTCAAAGGAACTTTGATACGTGCGCAGCATGGCTGAAGAGACGCCAAAATGCAGGGGCATCGTTCCAGATAACGACGATCATATGGGCACGCGTATTGGAGCACTTTTTGTCATTCTAGTTACATCAGCTCTCTTCACCATCTTTCCGATCATCACGAAGCGTGTCACATTCTTCCAGATCCCAGGTCCCATCTATGACTTTGCCAAATACTTTGGTAGTGGCGTAATCATTGCCACTGCATTTGTGCACCTACTTGAGCCAGCAACAGATGAGCTCGGGCAAGAGTGTCTTATCGAGAGTTTCCAAAAATACCCCATGGCATATGCATTTGCACTGATCTCGATGATGCTCATGTTCGTTAGTGAATTTTTCGCGTACCGCTTTGGTTCGCAGATCCTTGAGCGAAAAGGTCTGGGCGGATTGGCGCATAACCACCAACAGCACGCCATGGTTCCCGATGCAGCACATTCAGAGCATTCCATACCTTCGAACGAGTTGCAGCATCAAGCACATCGCGATGAAGAAGTGTTCCTAAGCGCAGATAAAGCAGATCTCGAAAGTGGCGAGGGCGATTCTGACTTGTTCATTATTCAGAAGCAAACTTCCAATGTGGCAGAAATTGTAGGAGTGTTGGTCCTGGAGTTGGGTGTCGTCTTTCATTCCGTGATTATTGGCCTTACGCTTGCTACAACGGAATGGGATGGAGACGACGACAAATTCTACATTCTCTTTCCAGTAATTGTCTTTCATCAGCTGTTTGAGGGTCTTGGTCTCGGTTCAAGACTCGCGTTTATGCCGCAAACATTCAGTACGACTTTTTTGTGTGTGCTTGGTTTGCTGTATGCGCTGTGTACGCCTGTAGGCATGGCCATCGGACTTGGCATCCGAAACACGTATTCACCAGACACTCCTACATACTACTACGTCTCAGGAGTATTTGATTCGGTGTCTGCCGGCATTCTCATTTATACTGGTCTCGTTGAATTGCTTGCGCATGACTTTATCTTCAACAAGGACATGCATACTGCGCCAACGTGGAAAGTCCTGCTCAATGTTTCAGAAGTATGTGCTGGTGTTGGTGTGATGGCCCTCTTGGGTCTCTGGGCGTGATTTCAGACCATTCTTGTACCTTTTTTTTGTTTAGCCAGCAAGAGTTGCGATGTCTTGCATATTCACACACTACCAAGTAATATGTTTTGATCTCAATGGGTTCATGAACACTCTTGTCCATCCATCGTGCGGAGCGTGACGGGCAAGAAGACATTCTAGACGTCATCATGATGTGCACCCTTTCATTGCTGACCACCCTGCTATGGCCACGTGCACATCTGATTCTATCTTTTATCATATCTTTGGTTCCATAGGTAATGCAATCTTATCAACGTGCACCGACCGCCGACCTGTCGAGCCGCGTGAGTATTTTCAGTATTTCCTAATAGACCTTGACGGTCCTTAGCTCAAGATTATGTGGTATCGTACTTTCAGAACCTTGGGTTATACCATATGCCGTCCCTACGCAACATGCGCAACTAAGGCTGAGCGTTTTGTTAAAACGATAGACCCGTCAACGCTCCCTCGAGGCTACCTGGTATCCAGCACGTACGCGGGCATCAAGAATGCCATTCGGCCTGTGACGTCTACAAATGAGCCCTCGGCGGCAACAACCAATGTTCCGCATCCACAGGAGGCGCCGAAACCAGACGTCGCCCTGATTGTATCGAGCGTTCCAGCAGCCATTGCTGGCACATTCACAACGAATGTATTCAAAGCTGCACCTGTCGTTCATGCGACCACCGCTTTGAAAGCAGCGGGGCCAAATGCACGTGTGAGGGCCATCTTAACGAACAGTGGATGTGCCAATGCGGTCACAGGACAGCAAGGCCTTGAAGACACGCAAACACTCGTAAATCGAGTCCAGGCACTCCTCTCCCCACGAAACCAAAATGCTATTCCAACGTACGAGCAAGATGCTCGTAGCTCTTCCACAGACGTCTTAATGATGTCGACAGGTGTGATTGGCGTGCGACTTCCCGTCGCCCATATCCAACGATGCCTTGAGCATCTTGCTGCACCAAGTATTCTTCAAAGCCATCCAGATGCTTGGCTTGAGGCTGCTCGTGCGTATATGACCACAGACACTTTTCCTAAGATACGGACGCGGCAGTTTATTCTGGGCAACCGGCGGTGCAGTATCGTAGGCATCGATAAGGGCGCAGGGATGATACATCCGCGCATGACTCGGAGCGGTGGACAGTTACATGCTACACTACTCGGTGTGTTTGCTACAGATGCTCCGATCTCTAGTGCGACGCTTCAACGCTGTCTAGATGAGGCAGTGCGAGTGTCTTTCAACTGCATCAGTGTTGACGGCGATATGAGCACGAACGATACAATCCTCGCATTGGCAAATGGACAAGCACCGTTTGTGGACCTGGACTGCACAGACACTCCTAACGAATGGACAGAGACTGAGCATCCTGACATGGTAAACAAGTTTGCAGAAGAGCTGAAGAGTTTGTGCATTGAAATGTCCCATTTGATTGTCCGGGATGGCGAGGGTGCTGAAAAGTTTGTGCAAGTGCATGTTCGGAACGCGGGCACGTATGAACAAGCACATGCCATTGCTTCATCTATTAGCACCTCGGCACTAGTCAAGTGTGCTATGCATGGGGAGGATGCCAACTGGGGACGGATTCTCTGCTCAGCAGGATATGCTTCTTTACCGGCATCTACGCCAGCATGGACTTTGGACCCAAGTAAGGTTAATGTAACGTTCCTGCCGCCTCCGCATCAGCCAGATGACTTGGCACCTCTACCTACATTGGTGAATGGCGTGCCACAAGCTGTGAACGAAACGCAAGCCAAAAAGCTGCTGAGCTATGAAGACATCTACGTGGATGTGGATCTACAGGGCGGTTCATGGGGCTCGCAAGGTCGTTCCGAGGCGACTTACTGGACGTGCGACTTTAGTAAAGAGTACATCACGGTACGTTGGTAGCGCCAGGTGCGCGAGATTATACATGGAATGAATACACTAACACCGGGACTCGGGGATTCATGGGGTGGTTGTTCCATGGTTTTGAAATTGCAGATCAACGGGGACTATCGCACTTGAGGCTTAGCCAGCAATAAGATGAGGAAGGCTGACTTGATCGCCCATTGTAATGCGCATGCACAAGTACAAGAGAACAACCACAGCAAGCACGAAAGACAATGGTGTGATGTACAAGATATCGACGAAGTTCATCGATGGTGATGGTTCACCTTTTAACCAAAGAGATAGTGTGTCCTTTGCGCGCGACGAGCGTAAGCGCGAGAGCCGAACATTGTGGTCGAGTATACGGCGTGTTGGAATATGGTAAGCAACGAGGGTAGGAGTGATTAGCACCTCAAATTTACTTGCCATGTACACCCGGCTGAGTGGGCGAACATACGATGTGCCGGCGGGGTCTGATTGGACGACGAATTCTTCGGTATCAGGGTCATCGGCTAGCAAAAAGTTTTCAGCAGGCACCTCTTGCGCAGATTCTTCCTTGTCTGGGTCAAGGGAGGACCCATCATTCCACTCCATAGATAGCCATGGGCGGTTTCGTGTGGCTGCCTCGTAATGCTTCACGTCTGTGTCGACACTTATGTACACAGTCTTGAGCTCATGTGGATATTCTCTGCACAAATCTGAAACAAGCCGCTGGCAGCCTCTGCTTTCGCTTGCATTCCACTGACTGCCAAAGTAAAATAATACAAGCTTGGCTTCACGAAACGTGCTTCGTAGATCAACTGGGTTTCCATATCCATCTCTTAGGCGCAACCTACGCAAAAGTGGATCTGGGTGCTGGTAATGGGATGGCGGCGGTATAGAGCCAGACTGTCGCTGCTTAAGCACGGACTTTCGCGGGCTCCTCAATGTTTCAGATGAAGAATCCACATTTCCATCTTCTGCACCGACAACTGGAGCAGATGGATCATTTTCATCAAGTTTGAACTTTACGTTTCGTACGCGTGGACCCGCAGCCTCTGAAGACATTCTCACACGAGAAAGAAGGTCGCTTGGCTCTGCGATCCAACAAAGGAAGTAGGGTCGGTCAGCTAATGAATTACTTTGCCACACCCACACAACGAAGCAGGCACTCACAACTGGGTTTTTGTCCAAAGCCCCATCCCTCCACCAACCCAGCCAGGGAACGCGACCGCCGGCGCTCCGGGCACTGCCACTACAGTCGTCCACTTCACGCGCGGAACACGACGCGCTCTGTATCACGTGCAATTTGGCCCTACAAGGACAGCGCCGACATGAGCGTTCACGGAACGAGTGAGCCGCGTGCCACAAGGCCGTCGAGCGCTCGCGCGCAAGACTTTGGAGCTGAACACATAACGAGACATGTCGGCAAAGGATTATTATAACGGTGGTGCCGGCGGTGGATACCAGCCACCGCCAGGTCCACCACCAGGTCAGGGCATGATGGGCGGTGGCTACCCGCCGCAAGGTGGATACCCGCCACAAGGTGGATACTATGTACGTTTTTTCTATTCATACCTGTGCAGAGATTGTTGGGACTTGATGCGAACAGAAAACAGCCACAGCAACCGCAACAAGCTTACGGTGGTGCCCAACCAGGCTATTATGGCGGTGGGCAGCCCCAGCCCGTACGTGATCATAAGTCGAAACTCACGCGTCACAGGTATACATTCAACGACCCCAACAGAGCGGCGGTGGCGGCGCGGAAGGCTGTTGCGCATGTATGGCCGCCATGTTGGCATGCTGCTGCTTGGAAGAAATTTGTTTGAGTACGTCTTTACCGCTAATATCTCTAGGTTTGATGTTTTAGTCCTGTGTTGTCCTGCATATAAAACGAGATTCTGTCCTAGATGTAATCGAACAACGACTTTTGATTCACAGACTCTCCTTAAGCCTGTCTCACATGTCGCGGGAAAATCACCGTCAGTCGCGCAGATTCTAATGGCTGTAGATTGCCAAGATTTGCACGAGTGGTGGTGTCGCACGATATGTCAATAACTCAATCTAGACGCGCTTAGTTCGCACCAAGCCTGTTAAACTAGATAAGAAGCAAACTATGAGAACTAAGTTCGAAGAGTGAATGAGCCTGCATCGAAGGACATTCAAGCTGCTAGGTATCACAGTCAGCATGCATCAGCAATGCGATGGTCGGTTATCAGGATTGCTGCACAGCAATGACCATGAAATGGCTATTTGAAGACATGCAAGTGCCAGCGCAATATGGACATTCGTAATGTTCCAACTAAATAACAGCAAGTTCTCTCAAGCATGTAGAGTCGTTCGAGCAAAAATAGAAGAAACATTAGGAATCTCGTCGAATTATGGAGCCAAAGAGCTTGGTCATATCTACGTGCAACTATTCACAACCAAACCGTCTTGACTCTACAAACATATCAGCCTCTCGCTCTCGCTAGCAAAACACTTAACGTCCAGACCATGTACAGACGGTCACGAGACAACGTCGCAAAAAAACGTGACAGCATTAGATCGGGAAGCCAAATATGGCCACGGAACATGACTATCATACCCAAACTCCCTACCAGCTAGAATCCATCGACATTATGCAGGAGCGACACAGTTACAACGACTCAAAGTCGACCTAAATGACACGTAAAGTATAAACAGCAACAAATATTCGACTCCCTACATCTTGAAGTAAAAGGAACTATGAACCAATAAATAATGAAACCATAAACCCGAAAAGATGATCGTGCCTAACCAGCACAACCCATAGCTGAAAAAGCCAGGAAAAGACCTTGAATTGAGCTATCTCAGTCCATCAAGTAAAATGCATGAAAAAAATAAAAAATCTGCAATATTTTCATGGGATTGAGCACTTATATCGCTTACATGAAACGGGCAACGTGACGACGAGACGAGCCCTTCGACGTGCTGCTTTCCTTCGCTGAGTGCGAATGGCCGTTGTTGCTGTTGCTGCTAGCATGGCCGTGTCCATGTCCATGAGCATGGTACTTAGCGTGAGCACTCTTATTATCAGAGCTGCTCTTGCTCGACGACGACGGTATGCTGTCTGGCTGTTTCTTCTCAGCCTTGCTCTCGCTCTTGTACTTCTTCGTAGCCTTCTTGCTTTCAGGCGACTTGTTACCGCCCTCACCAGGAGAGACGGTAGTCGACTTCAGAACATCGTTCCACACACCGCCCTTGTTAGGGTTCTTGCCAGACTTGATCATGTTGAGGATAATCGAGTCCTTCGGACCAATCTTCTTGCCAAGGATGTCGAGAACAGCCTCAAGGAGCTCCTTGAAACGCTCACCCAAGATACTGGTGTCAAAGAGAGGGTTGTTTGGCTCCACGTCAAACTGGCAGTTACCGCCATAAAAGTCTTTGTTACTGAAGCGATCACGCATGTATTGAACAAGGTAAGGCAAGTTCCACAGGTATGTCGTGACATGCACAAGGTCATTTGAGCTAAACGTAATGAAGTTGACATTGGCTCCATTGTTGCACCACTCAACAGCAGTTTTGTTGGCTTGGTGCCAAGCAATCTCCTCATCGTGAAGGGCATGGAACATACGGAAGGGCTTCTTAGGGGTGTATTGAGGGTAGCGACCCATGGTGTTCATATCCGTGAGGTGGGTAAGCTCAGGGAACGAGCTCAGCTTACGGCCATCCTTCATGTAACGTTCACTTTGGAACGTAGCGCCGAAGTATCGAATAACAGCCTCGTATACACATGAGTTCCTCATGACCTTCTCTGCAATCTTACCCTCATCTGTCAGGACATTATCGTGGAGGTAGTTGCCCACTTCATCCCTATAGGCATCGACGATACCAAGCGCACCGGCCAATACAAGAGAAGAGGTAGGGTTGCCATCGAGCGAGTCCAAAGTGTACAACGGGTCCGTCATAGAACCACCCATTGACCAGCCAACGACGTTCAGCTCAGGAGCATACCTCTCAAGCAAGCTTGCAGCCCAGCCAGTCGGCGTCGAACCGCCAGAGTACCCATGACCGATATGCATAGCATTGTCCGGAATGTTCAGAGGACCATACTTCTGGAGAGCACGCATGGAGTCAAGCATCATATGACCACCGAGACGACCCGCGGAGAAAGCGCTCTCTGGACCTTCATGGTCCGGTGCATTCACAACCCAGCCTTCGGCCAAGAACAACGTGTAAAGCATCTGCTCCCAACGAGGCTCAAAGTTAGCAATCTCCAAAACGCCGGTGTGACGGAAGGCATAACTTGGTGCGCATTGAATGAAGTTCGAGTTTTCGGGCGAAGCAATAGTAACGACATGGTCACGCTTAGCGTTGTAAGGAACGAGGACCGTTGTAACAGTGTACGAAGGAGTGTTTGGGCGAGCACCGGAAGTGCGGTAAAGGACCTGCCAAGCGTCCAGATTCCACTTCAGGATACCGAGAGTAGCAGCCTGGATCTTACGGTCCTTGAGGATGTCACCACGCTCTGTGTTTTGCCACCCGTCGGGGGGGTAATAGAACGCATCGTTTTGAGGATATGGCACAAAGCCGTATGCCGTAACGAGCGGCACCGCCGAAACGAGGGCAACAACTAGCCAACGCAACAGACTAGTTGAGTACATGACAATAAAAGAAGGTGTGGGGGAAGAAAACCTTAGTTTATGGCGCAGGGGATGAGGAGATTGGAACAGACGATGATGGGTTTAGTCTTTATAGAATCTCCGGAAAACTAAAACATGCACGCCACGAGTTTCGCATCCAACAACCTGACCCCCGAAGGGGCACATCCACGTTCAACTAATCGCTCGCGTGCATATACATGTATGGAGCGCCGGAGTGCATATGTGGATTCCAAAGAAACTTCGGGTTAGACGCCCAATCGGATCTAAATAGCAGTGAAAATGCATAGCTGGCATGCGCATATGCATGATAAGCAGCATGCAGACGCTCGAGAAATAAGCCAATTTGCCTATAATGATGCTGACTCATCTATGCCGCGTTTCACGGCGAATACGCACGGATATTCGGAGTTGCGATCGAGGTTTCGGACCTCTAGTACCATTCACTTGGTGACGGGTTAACGATTTGTCAAGTGACAGCACTTGTTGCGAAGAACAAAAACTTTTACTGACATGGCTCGACATCTAGGGTTTTAAGATTAACCACCTCTATTTGCGGACTGTCACTCACGATCCTAAATGAAAGATGCACGAAGACGCTGATTGTCCAAGATTTAGTGCATCGCTCGTAGCGCGTATTGCCGTTTATCAGAATCACGACTTGTGGTTCCATGTAGCTGTTCAGACTCCAGATTTATTCGTATGGCGTCATGTTCCACTGTGAACACATCAGTTCGAATGGATGGCCGTCCCAACCTGCTATGTGGAAAACAAATTTCAGTTTTTTTTTATTCGTGGCAGCCGTAAAAGAAATGATTCCCTTGATCACAGTAGCTGTCGCAATATGGGCCGATTAAGTCACGTTGGGAGGCTTCATAATGGGGACCTGTGCGGGTCAGAAATCGCGACATTGTCCAGGAAACGGGATTATGTCCCAGGACAAACGAGTGCTTGAAAAAAGAACGCCTCCATCATGCGCAAAGAAGTGAGCGGGTGAAGGGATGATTACAAAAAACCGCCCTGAAACGGATGAGATGTTTCCCAATTTTGAGACTCGTATGGCTCCACGGAGAGCCAGTTTTGTGGCAAGGGCAGCTGCCATTGGCCGTCACTCACTTTGTTCAGCGCTGAACCAGGCGAGTCCAGAGCCATGTGAGTAGTGAGCGCCTGTTGAGAGCCTATCCCTCCACAGGCTGTATTGGACACGCCTTGCAAATTAAATGGAACCTGGGTTTTGGGAGAGACAGGCGGTAGTAAAATGGGCGGAATAGGCATCTCAGTAGCTGGTAACATCGCAGAAGTAGACGAGTCCAAGGCAAGCAAAGGCGTACCTAGTGCGAAATTCTCTAGTTGTTCCAACGTTTTAGTGTGTTCACCGGCAGACTCTTCGGAAGAAAAATAACACGATGGCCAGCACGCGTCACAATTCGGCGTCATGGTGGCGGGTGACGACGTGAGTGCGGAAGGCGTGGACATGGATGCATCCTGAAGTATTGGGCTATTGCACGTGTCCACGGTTTGTCCAAAAAGCCAGTTCATAGTCTCGTCAAATGTCATTTGACGACCAGGAATATCAGGAATGGAGCCCTGTAGCACATTGTTTGTGCAGGGAGGTGCAGAGGAAGACCGGCGTTGTTCAGCAGGATGTCGATCTCTCGAAGCTATGTGTCTCAATAGCTCTGAGTGGTGTGGATGTGCGGGAGGGCTTTCACGAACTGAAGCCAGAGCGCGAGATGGCGGTTCAAGGCGAGGAACGTCCGACTGTGGAACAAGTGAGTCAGCAGTCGTGCCTGCGGACGTTGCGGTCGGAGCACTGGTTATAGTGGAAGTAGGGGTCATCCAATCAGGGGGCATGCAAGAGGTAAAGGGCGCAGGTCTCGCGAGCAAAGACATGTTGAAAGATATATCACGATGAGAGGCACGACGTCTAGTAGCTCTCCTAGGGGGGCGGTGTTTTTTTACGCCCTCGCGACCGCAAGACTTAAGAATGGCATCAGCAATATGTTCACACTGCTCCTCGGTGCTCGAAAGTCGCCGGATATTGCGACGGTGCACATTGCTACGACGCGAAGATGGTCGATACTTGTAATTCGGATGTTGTTGCCTGTGTCGCTGCTTCTCGAGGTCAGCTTGTTGTCCCAAAGCTTTCGCTCGCTATCACTCAAATTGTGCCACATGTGGGAAATAATGCGGCTGATATTCCGATGGTCACGCTCGATTTCTTTGGGTATCAAGTTGGTTGTAACGGCATGTGACCGGAAGAGAATAAACGCATTGCAAGGACGTTTGATGTGGTTCGTCGTAACACGTCGCGAGTGCGGAGAAGAGCCATTCTGAGAAGACGTAGATGATGCTGGTGTTTCACGTGTGCATGCTCCAAGAATCGTGTTGTCTGGTTCTGCATGGGACAAAGACGGCACTTGGGCTGGAGAATGAGACGATGAAGTCTGTTGTTCATGTTCTTTCAATGGCACGTTCTTCGGGGACAAAAGATCCAGCACAGAGCTAGGTGTAAGGATATTTGTAGAAGGTGTTGTTTGCGTTGTGCATTGCGAAATTTCCATGGTGCTTGACGATGAGGGAGACGGCGATAATGAGCTCTTGCGATGAGATACACCAGGCCAACAAGTCTTGCTTGGACTAGTTGGACTGGATTCACGTTTAGTCAGTGCGTGTGTGTGATCCGAATACGGCGTCAATGTGTCGCATAGGATGAATGGAGGTGCTGTATCAAGGGCTGGAAGGAACGACAAAGACTCGACATCATGAGGAACAGACAAAGATGGAGAACCCATGACCGAGCACCAGGATGCTCTACCAAGTGAAAAGAAGACGAAAAGAAATGGATGAAGAAAGGGTGTAGATTTATCCACCACGTATGGATCTGCCGGTTATTTTTAACAGACGCAAAACAATCGAGGGGAACATCTTGATCAGGCTAAGCTCTTTCAACGTGCACGCAAAATGCAGTTTTCAACAAAGAAACCCTCTCGAGGTTCAAGTTACAAACAATGCATTCACATGATGAACTTCGAATAAAACCAATCAACGAAAAGAATCAAGTTCCTAAGGAACAAGTGCGAGTAGAAGATCATCACAGTATTAGCTAATTTGACCAGCAGATCTGCGTTCATTGGCTTGAATACACAAAGGAAACGTTCCTGCATACTAAAATTAGGTACGTCGCAAAAAATGCTGTAGTCCCATGTGACGATCACCCAGTTCTCAAAACAATCCAGTAAGGCTGCAAGGCCTCGTATGAGAGTCACAAGTGAAACAGAACACTGCAAGGCAGTGATTGGCTCTATCAACACATGCCGGGTCGTATAGTGAGATCACTAACCAAATTAAGGGTATACATTAAGTGTGAGTTCTCATATGATCAGCACCCGTCGCCGCGGCAGCAATTCAACATGCCGGACAGGCGCATATAAATTGCGCACACGAGCATCTATGTGTTCGTTCATATACCTTTGTAAGGTGAACACGAAATCAAACCAAAAAAAATTGACAGGACGGCCCTTCAACCATGCGCCTGAGCGGCATCGCTGCCCGATTCCCTGCGTCTCTCTTCAGCAGCTTGGGGGAGTGGGCGCGCAACAGTTGAAGAAGCAGATCGATCGTGCGCATACGCCAAGAGTTGATCGCCATACTGCTGGATTTCCGAGACCGGAATCATCAAACGAAAATCTGTAAGGAGCAAGAAATGCAGCTCAAGCTGGTTCAATTCATGTACAGCCAAGCCGCCGACCTTGGCATAGCGCGCATTCGTGTAAAATACATCACTGAAAAACTTGCTGGCAACTGTGACACCTGCAATTACCAGGCGATGCACATTGTAACTGTCGATCGCGAACCCGCTAATGCCGGGAAAATGCCCAGCAGTGGCATTCGTTCGTTTCTCTTGGGATGAAGATTTGGTGTCTTTTGTCGCCCATGGAGTCGTCATTGGTGAAGGGGACGTAGAAGATGTTGAGGCGCCACAATCTTCTGGTCGAAGCGAGTCGCACGCATCTGAGCCATAGGAACTGGGGGGAGATTCACCAGGAAAATGACCCAAGGCACCTACTCGGCTCAGTCGGTCAAAGTATACGAGCAGACTTAGGAATATGTCATTTGTCATCGGGCAATACTTCAAAATGCGAAGCAAGTACGCTTCAATGCTGATGCTGGGGATGTGGCGTGCATGGAAACAGAGCGTACTGCTGGGTGCATTGAGCGTAGTGAGAGCAGCCGAGGTGATATTTGGTCGTTTCGGGTCATTGAGCGATAAATACATGGATGGTAGGGGTTCAGACGACTCGCTCGACAAGGAGGCCGACGGATTTGTGTGACTGCGCTGGAAGGGCCTCAACTGATCATTCGATGTTGCGATATGCTGCAACAAAGCAGCCAAAATTCGTAAAAGTTCTGTAGGCGGGAAATGCACAATGTCGAGATGCGGCCCTTTGGGTCGATTCGGGCTATTAGAACTCTTCCGCGAACTGCCCGAACGACCAGGTTCAAGTGAGTCAGTATGTTCGCTTTCTTGACCGACTAATGCAGCATGTGACTTCGTCGTGGGATCCAGCCCGTCTCGGTATGACGCAGATGGTCCCATGGCATCAGTCCCAAACTCATGCGCATGCGGCGGACCAAAGGATCGGGAAGGTGATGTTCGGCGCGCTTTGAATGCACGGCCCTCTTCTTCATGATTGTTTTCCGACATAGTAACATCTTGGTAATTACGTTGCATCGATTCGATAGCCATAACGGTTGAGTATGCGAAATAAAAAAATAATGCGTGAAATACCTCGAGGTATTGCGTGCGAGAGTGTCCGATGATAAATGAATCGTCCTTGCAACGTTAGGGGAGGCTGTTCCCAAGCGTTTCTGTTGCAAAAAGAAAATGAAATGAAGAAATCGTGGTCTTAGTTGCAAGTATGGAAATAACAGTGGCGGCAGATGCACGTTCAGGGCGTGTGATACTGTCGCGTTGTTCGACGCGACGATTATCCCTGCGTCGATGAAAAAAATAATAATAATAAAACTGGGAAACAGTTTGTTCCTGTAGTCGTGGAAAACCGATGTTCAATCGGCCTCCTACAAGCTACTCTTCAAAGACAATCACTCTCGATAATGCTCGTTATCAAAAGCAGATATACGAGGAGGCCCACTAATTAGGAGACAGACAAGTCGCTTAAGCGAACTCAAAGATGACAGTTCGTACTGTCTCGGCCCATATGCATGAATTGCTAAGCAAGCGCACGTGCGACTAAAGGTGACACCTTGAACGAAATGAAGGGTTTAAAGTGAATTCCACGTGCATTCTACCTACACGTCGTGGCATCATAGGCAGTTCCACGACCGTTCGGAGCGAAGCCAGGGAGGCTTGGTCAGGCACGCGCGCCCATGAAAGCCAACACGCATTAAAACACCTGCATGGATGCACAAGGCCTTCTTTGTAGCTCTCTATTTAAACAATTTACTGCTCGCTTACAATCAAAGAGGCCATACCCATACCGGTTCCAATGCACATCGAGGTGACGATCAGCTTAGCACCAGTGCGTTTCGCCTCACTTAGAGCTGTCGCAATCTGACGGGAACCAGTAGCACCGAGTGGATGTCCCATGGCGATGGCACCACCCACAGGGTTCACCTTTGAAAGAGGCAAGCCAACATGCTCAACAGAGAAAAGAGCCTGCGACGCGAAAGCCTCGTTAATCTCGTATATGTCGATATCGTCCTTGGAGATTTGAGCCTTTTCGAGTAGCTTGGGGATCGCGAATGCAGGTCCAACGCCCATAATGTTCGGCGGCACGCCCACAACGACGGCGCCGGCGAACTTGGCAACCACAGGCAGACCGAGCTTCTGAGCGACACTGCGGCGAGCAAGCAGCACAGCAGCAGCACCATCGCTGACCTGCGAGGCATTGCCAGCGTGCGTGCAGCCATCCTTAGCGAAGGCTGGCTTGAGCTTCGAAAGCGACTCCTTCGATACGCCAGGGCGAATACCGTCATCTTCACTGACAACGCGCTCGTTGCCGTCGTCATCAACATATTTGATCGGGATGATTTCATCCTTGAACTTGCCAGCCGCCTTGGCCTCGTGGGCACGCTTATACGACTCGGCTGCAAAGGCATCTTGCTTTTCACGAGTCACATTGTATTTTTTGGCGACGTTCTCCGATGTAATACCCATCGGCATCATGCAATCGGCTGCTTCCTCGTTGCTCATAACCTCGTCAGACATCTTCACAGGCATGACACCAGCGCCATAGTTCAAAGTCATCGACTCCACACCGGCACCAATCCCCACGTCGATCTGACCCGTAATGATTTCATTTGTAATCTGCGTTACAGAGGCGAGACCAGATGAACATTGGCGGTTCACTGTGTTGACGGCGGCTGTATTGGGGATACCGGCCCAGAGTGCAGCCTGACGAGCTCCCGTGGCACCACCACCGGGTGGAAGCACGTTTCCAACCGAAACGTCTTCAATGACCTTCGGGTCGACGCCCGTCTTAGCAATCAGGCCCTTGAACACCACACCAAGGCATTCTTCTGGTGTGCACTGGGCAAGGCCACCCTTGCGAGCACGCGTGACGGGTGATCGGTACGCGCCACAGATGACCACGTCATCGTCGTGCTTCTCGAGAATCTGCGTCTTTCCAGTGTACTTGGCAAAGCTCATTGTGGTGAATAGTAACGTCTCATTTAGGCGGGGCCACACACCATATGTATATTGACGCACATGGCCCCTATCGGCTTTCGCACCGGTACCCCAGGCCACGTCACCGGCCCGGTGCTCGGCCGAATCAAGATGAGGGGGCTTGCTAGTGGGCTGGTTGACCAGGCCACTGAGTTTTCACGCAACTTGCGGGGTACAGAGCTCTGCGCCCCGCACGCGGTGCGAGGTGGGCGACGCACATGGAGAGCTCGAGACCAGCGCAGGTGACTTTGAACGCGCTCAAAGGCGATAATTTTGCGAGGCTTTCAGCACGCGCGCATTCAGGCGTGAGAGCTCTTTAAAAGGAGAAGAGAATAATGCTATGCACGAAATGCAGGCAAAATCATTTTTATGAGACTGGTTCAGACTGGATTCATTTGGGTTCAGCTATACCATTCTAGAGCATGACGTTGCATAGCGCATAAGGACAATAATAATACAAGATTCAGGAGTTTGAGATTTAACGATTCACTTGGGCGTTGCTTATGCACCGAAACCGTAAAGTGTACGGCCCTGGCGCTTCAAAGCGTAGATCACGTCGAGCGACGTGACAGTCTTGCGCTTGGCGTGTTCAGTGTATGTAACCGAGTCACGGATCACACTCTCCAGGAATAGCTTGAGCACACCACGAGTCTCATCATAGATCAAACCGGAGATACGCTTCACACCACCACGACGGGCGAGGCGACGGATAGCGGGCTTCGTAATGCCCTGGATGTTGTCGCGCAAAATCTTACGGTGGCGCTTAGCACCACCCTTGCCGAGACCTTTGCCACCTTTTCCACGACCGGACATTGTTGAAAAAAAAAGAGTTGTAAGAGTTGTGAGGGAAAAGCAACGACCGATGGTGGCCCAGCTATTTGTACCACGGACTCGAGACTAGGAGCAGACTTTGAGCGCCGACATCACAATGATGCGACGCGTCGCATTGGAGTGATCTGAGTGGCGAGATCACAGTGTCGGTGTGTGACTGGGTGATCGGGAGTGATATTCTGGTAATCGGGGGTGATGTCACGTGTGGTGGGTGATTTGGATTGGGTTGATTTTGTACATTATGCGCGTGTGTGCGCGCGTGCTTCTAGCATCACGGGCGCGTAGGAGTGTGATCCTGCAAGTCGCGTTTGATCCGCCGCGCTCAGACGCGATCCGTTCCCATGCATGGCACTCCTTACCGCGCCTAAAATTTCCCTGAGGACGTGGTATAAATTATCCCACTACTCCGACATATCTCTTTTCATCATCCCAATTATCAAGTAAAGTATGGCGCGTACCAAGCAAACAGCCCGTAAGTCAACTGGTGGTAAGGCTCCCCGCAAGCAACTTGCCACGAAGGCAGCACGCAAGTCTGCCCCCACTGCTGGTGGTGTGAAGAAGCCTCACCGTTACCGCCCTGGTACTGTCGCCTTGCGTGAGATTCGTCGTTACCAGAAGAGCACAGAGCTTCTGATCCGCAAGCTGCCATTCCAGCGCCTTGTTCGTGAAATCGCGCAGGACTTCAAGACCGACTTGCGTTTCCAGTCATCGGCTGTCCTTGCCCTCCAGGAGTCAGCTGAGGCCTACCTTGTCTCGCTCTTTGAAGACACGAACCTAGCTGCCATTCACGCCAAGCGTGTGACTATCCAGCCCAAGGACATTGCGTTGGCGCGTCGTCTCCGTGGCGAGCGCAGTTAAGCTTGCTATTCTTTTCACATACGTGCATTGACGACTTCTCCTCCATTGTCGCTGGTATTGACATGCAGAAAGGTTGGTCCTATGTTTTGCATAGGTGACCTTTGCTGCACTCATCTGGTATTTATCTAGTGTATGTACTTTTAATTTCATAACGAACTCCGTTTTGGCTACCGAATTGGTGTGACTAGTTTGGTCTTGAGTTATGTGTGTGTCTGTGTGTGTGTCTCTCTTGAATGCCTTGTGGATGTGCACTGGTATGCTCGGGCGATCCGAGCAGGCCTAGAGGGGAGGTCAGAGTTCCATCGAGCATGTGGAGTATCCGCGAGACACAAAAGTCGGTCTGATAAATGACTACATAATACACGTGTGCTAGCCAAACGAAGTGTAGTAAGGCAGGGACTGTCATCTATAGACCCTGCTTGTTGCCAAACCGTCCAATCTAGTTTGTGTGCAATGACATCGGAAGAGTTCAAAGTCGAGATTGACGTGCCAAACCCGGGCATCACAAAGGAAGAATGGTACGATTTGCGTGGAGACGGAAAGAAACAGTATTACCTTAAGCACTGGTGCCCCACAGATTCAACGAACAAGTTGATTGCACCGAAAGCCACGATCGTATTTGTGCATGGGTTTGCTGACTATTGCGACCGATATACAGGCGTGTTCCCCGTGTTCACAGACCGCGGCTATCAGGTGTCGGGATTCGATCAGCTTGGCTTCGGAAGAACGTGGCATGAGTCACCAGACCGTGCCAAGACGCACGGATGGACAACGTGGCCAGACCAGTTTCACGATGTTGCGTGTATGTTAAAGATGATGCGCTCGCGATTGGATAAGCAATGGGGAACGGATCAGGTGCCCCTATTTCTCATGGGACATAGCATGGGAGGAGGTATTTCGTCGGGCTTCTTCACTCGAGAGCCGACTTCTCCGCCGGCCGAAGACGTGAAGCGACTGGTATCGGGTGTGCTTCTATTGTCGCCATGGCTTGATATTCACTTCCCCATTCCCACGTCTTTGTCGATCCCGATCGTACGCAACGTGCTGCATTGGCTGCCGCGCATCATGCTGCCGCTAGTGCCACCTGCGAACGATCTTAGCCGCAATCCAAATGTCGTGCGTGATGTGAAGATGAACCCGATGAGTAGCTGGTATGTGTACGTGCGGTGCTTGTATGGCCCTTTGAGCGGTGGCCCAAAGATTGTGACTGAAGACTACAAACGATGGCCGGAATGGCTCCCGTTGTTGATTTGTCATGGAACAGGTGACAAGGTCACTCGCTGGGACTGCAGCAAACAGCTGTACGAGAATTTGAAGGGTCTTGGTCGCTCTGTGAAATTGATGTCGTTCAAGGGTCTGTATCATGAGGCGCTGTTTGAGCCAGGTCAAGACAAGGTTCTGTTTGGTCGTGCATTGGTTGAGTACGTATTCCTTCTGTGTGCTGGTGGATTGGTTGGTGCTAACGTGCATTCAGTTGGGTAGACGAACAGATGGACATCAAGCAGCGTGGAGCACCGCTCGCTGCTGCATCGGAGGCGGTCGTACCAGCATAGACATATAGGTCAAGCATAGGACGAGTTTTGTTTGTGTGGAGAGCGTGGACCGAGCAAACATGTCGATCACGTCAGCGTATCCAAGGGATTTCGCGACAAGAGAAAATGGGCCCAATTCTACATTGGGCAGTGGCGACGTATGCCTACATGCCTCCACGTGTGGTGCGTCAACGTGACAGATATTTCCAACATAAGGGCGCGGAGGGCGAGATGCACGAGGCATCTCCGTGGACATGTCGGCTTGCCCGGTGACATGTACATGGAGAATGAAAAGGGCCCGCTGCTCTCGAGAGGGAACAGAGAGCGAGCGTGCTGGGCGACTCTGCTCACGCATGCACCGTTTTTGCCATGCTTGGCCGTGCTCGTTTACACGATGAAACGGTGCGAGACACAATATCCATTTGTTGTGATGGTCACACCCACAGTCGATACAAATACGCGGCAAGTACTTCAGCAAATGGGATGTATCGTACGTGATGTGGACGTGTGGCATGTAGACCGTCCTCACGAGATCATGGCGACGGAGCGATTCATACACGTGTGGACGAAGCTACGTGCATTCGAGCTCTATGAATATGACCGAGTGATTATGATTGACTCCGACATGCTCATGTGCCAGCAGATGGACGAGCTATTTGAACTAGAACTACCGCCCGACACTATAGCGAGCGGCTTGGCGTGTACTTGCAACCCAAATGCGATACCCACATACCCCCCGGATTGGACACCAGAGAACTGTGGCTATGCGCTTCGACCACATCCACCGCCAAGATCTGTGAGGAAACGATCAACCCACCATCTCATGAATAGTGGAACGGTGGTGCTGCGTCCAAGCATGAGACACTCTGAAGCCATTCACGGATTTATGCGAGAGCACGCCGAGCGTATCGCGCAGTACCGATTCCCTGATCAAGATCTACTCGCGGACATGTATCGTGAACATTGGGTTGTTCTTCCGTGGTACTATAACGCACTCAAGACACTTCGTAGATGTCATCGCGACCTTTGGAACGATCGACACGTACGCATGATCCACTATATTCTCGAGTAAGTCCGACCCATCCTTCTTCCACTCTCAGCTGGGTCAACCAAGTCAGCTTATCAGATTCGACTAACATTTTTTTTTCCCTCCAGTAAACCGTGGCAGACTGGCCCACAGAGCGCGGCTCGAGATGACCCTGACGCGCACCTCCATTCGACATGGTGGAGCACGTATCGGTCCTTAGCTGCTGATCCCACGCGCGTCGGACTGACGCGTGAGAGATGGACGTGCGATATAGCTGTCCATGTGAATGACAGCACACCCTCTAGGAACGTGGTTGCAGACAAGGCCAGAACATTGGAAGAAAACAACATGGCATTCATGGGTATACAGATGAAGTAGGAAACAACAGAAGCAGGTACATAAGGACCAAAAGTCTATATGGGGTCTGACGGGACTGATGGCATCTTCTTACTTCCCTTCCCCTCCCCTCCCACACACACACACACAAACATACACACAAACAGATCGACCCTAGTTAGTATGAAACGCAAAATACTCACCCGACCGGCCATGCTCACACACACACATATACGCGCGCGAGCGCAGGCGGCACAGAACGAATGGATCAAGATGTTTTAGGCCGCTTCGGAAGAGATACAGACGGGCTGCCGTTCTCAGGCACAGCAGATCTTTTTGAGTGAGGCTGACTTGCACCATGAATGGGCTCGTCGTCTTCGTACACTGCTTGGTCATACTCGTCGTACAATACCGACCCATTTGCATTAGAAGGATGTGCAGAGTACACGTCATGCTCATGCACAAGCTGTCCGTCATCATAGACTGATGTATGCTGTATATGGTGGCGCTGCTCGATTGACGACGAGGAGGTATGGCGAATGGATGTGTCATCGTATGTCACGCTTGTGAATGGAGAAGAAGCGGGACGATGCTGATCGACGCTCTCGGCTTTGCTGGGGGATGGAGACATGGGGGTGCTGGTATCATAGTTTGTCGACTCACCGGCACGACCACTGTCGTTCGCACGAGGGATAGGGCAGCTCACGACGGCATCGGCAAGCGTGTCTCGAGGTTTTTCGTCACAGGCCTTGTTGTTGTCAGTAACATTAGCATCATGCGAGTGGCGGGCGTTACATCCGTGATCGAGACCATTCTCGAAAGTACTGTGTTTGTCGTAGTTTGCATCGAGGTTCTCTCCAGTCCTGGTGTGCCCAACGGTGGTCTCCTCGATGTTGTCATCGACATGGCTAGGACTCTGTTCCACATCGATAGACTCGAGATCGTTTCTCACCGGGCCATTCGAGGGACGAGTCTCTGCATCAACAGCATGCCCAATGGTTTCTGCAAACGGCACATTGCTTGCAGTGGCATCGTGATTCACGCTGCCTGCGTCATTCTCGTCCGCGGCATTGGTTGTCTTGTCAGCATCCTCGGCTTCTTCACGGTGCACGGCTTCATCGCCACTATATGTCGCATGTACATCATCCGCTTCTTTGTGCAGTGACTCTTTAGTCTGCCCAACCATTTTGTTTTTGCCGGCCTCGCTGACATTATCTCCATCCACTTGGTCGTCCTCGGCCTGGTCAGCCTCGTCATTAGCATCGGGTTCACCCTCATCCACTTGTCCGTCCTCGGCCTGGTCAACCTCGTCATTAGCACCGGGGTCGTCCTCACCCACTTGGCCGTCCTCGGCCTGATCAGCCTCGTCATCATCGCCGGGGTCATCCTCGTCCACTTGGCTGTCGTCGGCCTGATCAGCCTCGTCATCATCGCCGGGGTCATCCTCGTCCACTTGGCTGTCGTCGGCCTGATCAGCCTCGTCATCATCGCCGGGGTCATCCTCGTCCACTTGGCTGTCGTCGGCCTGATCAGCCTCGTCATCATCGCCGGATTCATCCTCATCCACTTGGCCGTCCTCGGCCTTGTCATCCTCGTCTACATCTTCTTCCTCAGCCTCCACTTCATCCATCTGCCCATCTTTCCATTCGTCTTCGGCTGCTTCATTGTCATCGTCCGCGGCACCACTCATCATCATGGCCAGTGCATTGTATTGCGAAATAAACCGAGGAGTCTCTGTGACAAGCACGTGCAGACTGCCATGGTACCCGAATCCCAGTGCCAGCTGAGAGATATCATGGAGCGAGATTTCACGTGCATACACATTGTCTTCATGCAGGACGAGTTCGAGATCTGGAAATGCCAAACAGAGCTCTGTCCCTTCCTCGAGAAATTCGCCCAGTGCATCTGTCACACGCAATGCGGCAAACAGCGAATCCAGTGGCTCCCAGAATACACCTGGGTCTATGTGCAGCTCCGGCGCAGGTACGCCAACCAGTGCATCTTCAGCGCCGGTGTCTTTTGACGATGTGTCCATATACACGGTTGGTGTTTCATCGTGTGGCGATGGAAACACACAGAAATCCTGCTCTTGGAATGTCAAGCGCATCGTGGGAATTTCTTCTTCTGCATGCAAAGAATCATCCTGATCTGTTTGTTGTGTTGGTGTGCTGTGCTCAGAGGCCTCTTCTGTCATACAGGTGGCGTCTGCCTGGTGGCCCATGAACAGCGGGAAAGCAGAGCAAGGAAAAAAAAAAAATACGTAACTGGGCCGACGTTGGCGCTTCTCGCTCAGACGCCTCACGCATCCACACCGAGACCGTCGCGCTCGCACTGATGCGGCACATCACGTGATACCTTCGGTCGTACAGGCCCAACCGGGCTGGCGTGCGTGCGTTCGAAAGCAAATAGCCCCCATCCAAGATACTGACGGCACGACCTATCGTCGACATATGCCCAACGGGGGCCTACAAACGCGAAAAAAACCGGAGCGAGCTACAGAGATGGGTCATCATCTAGATCAGGGGCGACATGGGTCTCGTCCGTGTTGAGAGGCACTTTTGTATCGGTCGAGGAGCTGATCGGCGAGGTGGGAGAAGATGTGGAGGAAGACGACGATGACGACATCGTCGGGGATGGCGGCCATGGCGCAGAAGATACAGGAAGGGAAGGGGACGTAGCTGCAGGGAGAAAAGGAGGCGCAACCGGCGCTGGCGATCCAGGCGGTCCAGTTCGCCCAGGCGAGGCAGTATCGGTACACGAAGCAGCCGTCGAAGCCGTGGCAAGGGCCTGCTGCTGCTGCTTCTCCATGAGCCTGTCACGCGACGTGCTACCGATAGGACGTGTCGTGCGGCGACGGTAGAATAGCAAATATGCAGCGGACGACTTGACCATGTCAGGATCTGACACAGGACGAACGCACGAGTCGTCGAAATTGTACCAGTGGCCATCGGCTGGATTCTTGGCAAAGGCCGTATAGTGACCGCCACCTAAGCCGCCAAAATGGTTGTCGACGGCATACAAATCATACACAGGCTCGTCCGCCAACACATCATCGTCATGTGTGTCGTGAGAAACGATCAGACCCTCTTTCAGCTGCATCTGACTGGGCGCACGCTCCATGCGCAAACTGTGCCACAGCCGTGTGCCGACGACGCGATCGCGTAAATCCAAGTGCTCTAAGGGGAACTCGATCCAGTTGTCGAGCTTGTCGCGCGTCCCACGCCCGGCGCTGAAGCGTTTCAGGTGCACGACAAGAATATCGGGCACTTTCCACAGGTCGAATTTTTTCGTGGCTTGTCGAAAGTCGCGGCACGCAGGGCAATACCACAGATCGTTTTCGCCCAGCTGTTCTGCCCGAGTAAACTCGTCCAAACAGTCGTCGAGGCGCAATTTCGGCGCGCGCCGCTTGCCTTCAGCAAGCATGGCGGTGCCCTTTTGAAAGTCGGCGTCTTGTGCGAGCGAGATCGGACCCCATGTTTGATTCGCACGCACCTGCTCCAGCACCGCGTCGGCGACGGCGCCTTCCCACAGCGCATACAATGCACCGCCCGGGTATGTGACGGGCCATGCGGCATGCGACGCCTCGTCGCTGTTCGGTGGACATCCAAGACGAGCAGCACGCTGCGTCATGCACTCTGTTGTCTGGTCGTTCGCATCGTCGCCACGGTGCATGGCTTCGTCGGCACTTGGCACACTGAAACGCAAAGCGAAAGGGAACGCGGGCGGTGCGGCGCATTCTACCACGGAGGCCGAGGTGTGCGGCGGCACAGCATCCGGGCTGGTGCTAGGATCGGCGCTTGTCCGGGCGTCGGTCGCGCGCTTGGCGTCGGCTGCCTTGGCACACAAGTCCGTGGCGGAGGCCTCGGGACTGAAGCGCACGTACTGCTCGAGGACCTGGGCATAGATCCACGCGACATCGTGAGCTTTCTCACGAGGAATAGACACAAAGAACGGGAGGCCAAAAGGCTCGCCAAGGGAGCGGCGGAACGAGCCGAAGCGGTCGGGGCCGTCCGCTTTGCACGAGTACACAGGCAGGCAGATGGTTGCAGGCATGTCGGACGGTGGCGGATACGCGGCCTCGATGTCGGCGACTGTGCGCTCAGGACGAGAAAAGAACGAGAACCTGGACGTCGTGGGCTTCATCGGCTTCGGCATGGTAAAGGCGTCGGCCACTTCCCACAGGTAGATGTAGTCGCTGGCACTGATATCGCTCACGGGCTCAAAGGCCTCAAGCCAACGGTAGACATGATACGACCATACCTCGCCCATCAGGAGGCATGCAGGATCCATGCTCAACAGGTCGGCCACTTTGGTGCGGAGTTCTGCGACCGTCGCTGTCGCAGGCAGCTGGACGTCGACTTGGACGAGCGGCTGCGCTGCATGCTGCGGCACAACGTACACACGGCCGCGCCACTTGCGCGTGTTGGGAATCGGCAGCGTTAGATACATGAACGGATCGAACTTGACCGACACTTTGTGGCATGTGGGGCACACGAGCGTGCTGCGATACTGGCCCTGGAACAGGTCGACAATCACCGAGTCATTGCGCGCTTTGTACAGATCCCACTGCTGCTGCGCAAAGCGCACCATGTCCGCGTCGGAGCCGCCGATCCAATCGGGCGCTTCAATGTACGGTTTTTTGTGGATACGGTTCAGGTCTTCATGCAGTCCATCCAGCAAGAATGCCAACAGTTCCTGACTGTCTTGCTGGGCATATCCCATGAACTGCGGCGCAAAGCGTGCGAGTGTCGTCTTGAACTCGCGCGGAACCACAGCGCCTGATGCGCTCTCGCTCCAGAGAGCACTGACGAGACGGCCGTATGCCATTGCGAGTGTGCCGCCCATACCCAATGGGTTGTCGGTGTTGAGCTCGTCCATCTGCACACCGTTCAGGAAGTACTGCTGGAGCTCGTGGGTGTTGCTTAGGCACTGTAATGCGCTGTTCATGAAGCAGGTGTTGCCGAGGTTCGCCAAGCCACGCAGTCCGCATGGCCTCGCGGTAGACCCGTGCTGAGCCGGCGGCGCTAATGACGGCAGAAACGCCGGCGCGGGCGTAATGGCAGTCCGTGACGATGTATGGCTGGTGGGCAATGCGTCTGTGGTGCCAGTGTCGCTCGTTGTTGTGCTGACCTGCCACGTGAACGAGCGTGGGTCACTCGCTGTGCGCACACGCACGTCGATGCCTAGAAACACAGACGGCGCCGTGAGATCCAGCGACGCTAGCGTCGCATCGTCGGTGCCCTCGACAAGCTCAATGGGGGGATCGGCCTTTGCCAGCGCTTGCTTAGAGAGCATGCCATGCTCCGTGAGAGCCGTCAGCTTCAGCGACGGCGGCAAGCGGAAGAACCGCACATGTGCGTCTTCATGTCGCGGACACAAGTGCATAGCACGCACATGTGCTTTTAGTGTGCGAAGGGAGACACCACTGGATAACCGGACCGTCGGCAACAGGGACGTCGACGATGCGATGGATGCAGCCGCTGATCTGAATGGCTCTACCTCTGGCGACTCGCCACACACAGCAAGCTCGATGCAAGGCGGAAACAATTCAATGCGCGCTTGACCAGGCGCTTGACCAGGCACGACGGAGCGGCCCAGTGCAGGGCCATGGATTCTGTATCGGGACGCGAGAATGTCCCACGCCTGTGCTGGAACAAGCTCATAGTCGGCGTGCTCAACGAGATCCTGACGCAATGGACGGTATCGAGCCGTCACGTTGCCGTTATCGTTGGTGCAAAGAGCTTCGAGGTTCATCGCTGCGATCCCTTGCGGCTTGACTTTCCAGCGCTCGTACCAATCGGCTGGAATCACATACCAAGTGTCGCCGATGCGCGGCTGCGAAGCGCGCCACGTTTCAACTTCACGGACGAGCGTGGTATGAGGCACGCGTGCATCGTCGAGACTGAGAGACTCGTCCATGAGAGCATTCACACACTCATCACTCGAGCGCATTGCGCTTGAGCCAGGCATATCGTCTTTATCAGTGGCTCTCGTCGGTACAGCTGTCCCACTCTTATACTCAGCGTCAGGCGTGACGCTGCGGGCGGATCCGATGTCTGTGTCGGGGCTGGTCGTACGAGCGCGTTTGAATCGATCTAGTACAGAAGTGGGTAGTGCACCTTCCCCTTCTTCGAGCGTGTCTAAACAAGACGTGTGTGTTGGTGTGTTCGTTGGCGAGGAAGATCGGGTCATCCGACTTTGGACGCCACCCTTCCTATGTGTGCCGAGCGCCAGAAATGGCCGCTTCTTGGGAACGAAGTGCAAGTCTGATCATTTCCCATGTCTGTCCACACTCACCTGCGCCCCGGCTGCCATTTGTGGTCGAAGCCTTCATTCCTCTCCACTCCTCACCCCTCCACTCCTTTTCTTTTTCTCTTTCTCCTTTCACACACTCTCTATGCGGCGGCCGTCTCTGTCCTCCTTTATTTTTTTTTATTTTTTTGCCCCTTTTATGATTGGCCACATCTGCTTGTCGGACGACAGGCCACGCGTCGTCCTTGGCGACGTGGCCTTGCGCAAAAGAAGAGATCATCCTGTCTTGCTTTTTTCCTCCAACAGATGTGTGTTTGAAACGTCGTGGGAAGAGGACGGTCTGTGGGGTGTGATCGGCACGGACATCATGTCAATGTCGATATAGACAGTGCACTAGTCCAGTGCCGGAAGAATCATGCAGGTAATTCACAGTAGCTCATGAAAGTATGCCACACGAGACGGAATGGACATGGATTGTGGTGCAAGTCAGGCGATGTTGGAGGAGGTCTTATCATGACCGCACATCCCCTTCTAACACTCTGTTGACAACGGCCGCACATCAGTGAGGCACTCACATATCGTTGCCATCAATTTTTCATGAAGGGAAGATCATTTGTGTCCCATGCAGACACCGGTTGTGAGCGCCATCATGCGCGCTCGGATCGATTTGGTCAATTCGTAGGGATACATGCACAAATCGTGTCAAGTGGGCCATATTCATGTACGTCTGCATAGTTCGTAGCCGATTTGTAGTACACCAATATTTGCGACCATCCTACTACGCTTGCTTACAGCCTGGTCAGTAGCGTGCTCTGACTTTCGGTATTTTTCCGCCTCTTCTCCCCACCTTTTTGCCTGGCTCTCCATCAGATCGGATCAGATCTCCATCCTCCCACCCTCCCAACGTCTGTGTCAAGCAGAGGTGGGTACATTTGCAAATATCTGTTATGAACATCGAAAGCCTGCCTCGCTGCCTTCAGCTCCACCTGCGTACAAGGACGTTTCCCTCACCTATCGACCGGCCTCGCAGAACGAATCCGAACCACATTTATCTATCTATTTATCTATCGCTGGCCACTGGGAAAGTAACATCGCTCGGAAATTGTACATACTTGAACAAGAATGGAAGCGAATGGAAAGAATCTTGTCTCCATCACGTCGCCCGACATGTTTACGGGGCTGATGCAGCAGGACTTGGAGCGGGTCACGTTGCTCAACTTTTGGGCGTCTTGGGCACACCCATGCGAGCCTATGAAGGCTGCCGTGCGTACATGGGCGGAAAAGTATCCAAATGTCTTGTTTATGAACATTGAAGCTGAGGAGCAGCCAGATGTGGCTGAGTCTTTTGATGTCGAGGCTGTACCGACGATCGTCCTTCTGCGTGGCCACACACTATTATCAAAGCTGACTGGTGGCCAGCCACAGGCTGTCGAGCAGGCGCTCGAGCTGCATGCGAAGTCGACTTCTCGGGGGGGGATGCATGGAACAAGCATGTCCAACGCCGCGCGATCGACTGCTTCTGCCTCTGGTCAAGGCGAAATGCAAGAAGGTGATGATCCATCGAAGCCACATGCACTCCCATCTCATGTCGATATTAGCGGTGAGTCTCAGCAGGATATTGAGCAAAGGTGCCGCCAGCTCATGACACGTTCCACTGTGATGCTCTTTATGAAGGGCCAGCCAGGCTTGCCACGCTGTGGCTTTAGTCAAAAGACAGTGTCGTTGCTGCGAGAACAGAATGTTGATTTCGACTATTATGACATTCTTTCAGACGAGCATGTGCGACAAGCGCTCAAGGTTCTGAATGAGTGGCCAACATTCCCACAGATCATTGTGAAAGGCGAGCTAGTGGGTGGCTTGGACATCCTCAAGGTATGTGGTGCACATGTTTTGCTCATGACGCTAGGAACTTATTGCCTCTGGCGAATTCCAACAAATGATTGGTTCATAGGCTATCTCAGAGGTCGCACTACGGTACAGAGGCAGGGAGACAGGGAGGCTGATGACGTGGTCAGAGTTCGTAGCATGCGCATCCGCACCCGGCACCCGGCACCCGGCACCCTGCACCCGCTGATGACACATCCGTGGAAACGCGGTGGCTCTGCCTGTGGGGAGGAAAGAGTGTCATGTCACGTGCTCATACGCGCGCGTCAGAGCGATGGCTTACGCGTTGTGTGGATCGTTGGATGCGAGAGAGAGAAAGAGAGAACGACACGCAACACGCACCCACACTCGACACGCACAGTGCTTGGCTCGGAAGGAGCGTGTGCCAATAGGAGATCACGCACGTAAAAAACAACAACAAACCATGTCGCAGGGAGCAAGAGAAGGGGGTGATCAGAATTACACGTCTTTTCCAGCCGTCAGCACGGAAGAGCTATTGTCCGTCTTACATGAGCTGAATTTGTCTATCACAGCAGAGGATGTGGCGAGACCGCAAGGTGCGATGGTCCAGAAAGTGTACTTGGCTTTTCTAGACACACTCGCAGGTACGATGCAGGAGATGCTTGAGAAACAGCGCGACTCGTTATGTGAGCCATTGGAGTGCAAGGAGATTTATGAAGATGGCGTTGCCTGGCTGTTGTTTTTCCGCGAGGTCCGCACGATGATGGAAGCTGCTACAGTGCATGACTTTCATCTACAGGATCTCACACGACCAACGCCGAAGCGGTTCAAGAGACACATGTCGGCGCTTGTGAACTTTTTTCGTTTCCGGTCGGACCGACTCGCGGAATTTGACGAGCTTGTGCTGGAGACGGAGGACCTGGAGAATCGGCGCATCGAGCTTGAAGATGGGATTGAGCAGGCACGCAGTGCGATTGAAAAGATCGTGTCACAGCGCAAGAGCGATGAGCCGCGTGTCAAGCAGCTGCAGGAGGAGAATCTGGCACATTCAGACCGGCTGTTGGATATGAAGAAGGAGCAAAGTCGTTTGTTGGCTGAGGTCGATGCACTGAAGGGCGAGAAGACCGATGCGATCCAAAAACAGACCGACGTCCAGTATCAACTGCAAATTGTGTCGACGGAGCTGACGAAGCTGCAGGCACGGATCGTGACGCGTCCGGACGATATCAAGCGAGACGTACGAGACATGCAGGTGCAGGTGCAAGGTGAGCGTGTGTCGCTGGGTGAGAGTGAGCGCAAAGCTCGCGAGCTGAGTGCAAAAATGGACGTGCTCACCCAACTGGATGCTGATATCGCTGCGAGCATGGCAGTGATGGACCAGGTTGCTGCCGACATGGAGCGAACGGCACGAGAAGCGCGTGCATTGCAAGATACCAAGACCAACATGTCAGCACATACACACGAGCACTCGACGCAAATGCATCGGCTTGAGCAATTGGATCGCCAAGTCAAATTAGCATCTGAGCGCTTGGAGCGTGCACGGCGTGGCTTGGAAGCGTCGCGCGTCGATCGACAGGCCAAACTGGAAACACTTGGGGCACGGCTGACGGAAGTGTCGCGGCTTCGGAAGGAGAGGCATACCATGGCTGAGCTGAAGAATCATGAGGCTGCGGACATTGAGCGGCAGCTAGCGACAGTGCTACAAGAACACGAAGCACACTATGCAAAGATGCAATTAGAAAAGGAGGCTCTCTGTCGCACGGCCACGGCATATATGGACACTTTGGCACACGCACTTGTGCTTCCCTCCGCTACGACGGCGCAGACACCGACTTCAACATCGATGACACCAGGCTAGTGATACACGGCGGCGCCCTCTTCCGTCACCTCCAAGAACTTTGTGTCACACGTAATGTTTTCTTTGGCAAACTCTCCGCAGATGGTATCGGCGATATGCTGCAAATTGTCTGTGGCCAGTGCGAGGATCGTAGGGCCCGCACCCGAGAGGCAGATACCCAGCAGACCGGGATGGGTGGTTGGTGTGACCGAAGCCAGAATACGAGGCAGGCCTGGGATCAAGTGCTTCCGGTAAGGCTGGTGAACACGGTCTTGCATGGCTTGGAAGATTAGGTTGACATCTGGCGGCGAGCGAGCAAGCGACGTGGTGAGCACAGCGAGGCGCTGCAAGTTGAAGACGAGGTCCTTTTTCGAGTACATGTCAGGCAAGACGCGCCTTGCCTCTGCGGTCAGCACTTCAAAGTGCGGCACAATGACAATGACTTTGATTTCTTTCGCCCAGCCGAAGCGAATGTAGTGGCCAATGCCCTGGGGTGGCACTGGTGGGTCATAGCCCCAGGACTCGGATGCGTTCTCCGGGTATTCAGGCAGCACTTCGCTGAGTGGGACTTGCGTCGTAGCGGCTGCCTCGCCGGTCAATTCCAAGAGATACGAGCCGATGAAGCCACCAATCAGCGCCGCAGCAACATTGTCGGGGTGACGCTCAATCATGAGAGCATAATCAAGGAGCCGGTCGCGGCTGATGTTGAGCTCGCCCAGTTCATTTCCCAAGAGCAGACCGGCAATGACAGCTGCGCCTGAGCTGCCCAGACCGCGACCGAATGGAATGTCGTTGCGGACGTGGATCTGGACGCCAGTTGGGAATGACTTGATGTCATTCACTCGCATTACATAGAGTGCTACGCGGGTAATGAGATTCTTGTACGGGTTTAGGGGCGCATCGTCTGCGCCATGGCCGCTGTAGGAGAGAATAGGCTCTTTTTGATCGGTTTGGGTCGCATCGATCATGACATCCATGTGCAAGTACAGCGAAAGCGATAGGCCCACGACATCGAATCCAGGGCCAATGTTCGCTGACGTGCAAGGCACCTTGATGTGGAATGTGCGTTTAGAAGGAGTCGTCATAATCGCACAATTGTAGTACGCGCTCGTGCCTAGCGTGTTCTATCTGGGGCGAGCTGTTGGGACAGTTCGAGATGTCAAACGTTGCATCTCATATTTTTTCTTTTTTTTTTTTTTTTTCGCTCTTTGTTCAAGTTTAGCTCTTGGCGTCTTGAACTCGATTGGTTCTGTCGTCATCGACACACTTTCCTCCCCCCTACCCTCACGCACCACGGCGGGCTTGTTCCACCTCCACACCCTAAGACACACATTCATAGACAGCACCAGAAGGGGGAGGGATAAGGGAGCAGCATCGAACTCCACGTGGCGTTTCGATGGAACGATTTCCTTAGCGTGTTCATTCATCGGTCGTGGGAGGAACGAGGCATGACCAGCGGCGGAGATTGGCCGCCTGCACTGCGTGAGCTCGCCAGTCGAGCGTTTGGTGCCTGTACAGATGTGAATCGCGCAGCTGTGAGCACGGAGCTCAAAGCACTGATCTTTCAGGCTGTGCAGGAAGGCTCGTTACATACACGCGACTGGTCGCGAGTGCGTCTCGCGTCCCTGGAAGGTGGTGATGGGGCTGTAGCACCGAAGAAGCGTAGTGCTGAGTCGGGAATGACCAGTATGGGCCACAAAGACAACAAAAACAACAACAACAGCAGCAGCAGCAACACAACAAGCACGCGAACCAAGCAAGCTAAAATGCCACGCACGCGATTCGACGTTCGTGAAGATCCAGTGCGCCGAGAAATGCGACAAAGGCGCTTTGAGCAAGAGCAGGTAGCCTTTGAGCGCGAGCAACAGGCAGATATGGATTCGGCTATAGCGACGACAAGCTTGGCTGGCCGGCTCGGAGCGCCTTCTTCCTCGACAGCGTCGCCGGTAGCACACCACATACGCACGCCAATGAGCAGTTATGCTAACGATACAGGAGCGGAGCCTGATCCCAATGTGATTGACTGGGATGCACATACAGTGGTCGGCACGTCTACCAAGCTAGAGAAACCATACCTGCGATTGACATCTGCACCTGATCCCAAGACGGTGCGGCCACTTACGACACTGCGCAAGGCGTTCGAATTTCTCACACGGAAATGGGACACAGAGCGAAATTACGCATACATTTGCGACCAGTTCAAGAGCATGCGACAGGATTTGACCGTGCAGCGGATCAAAAACGAGTTCACTGTGCAAGTGTACGAAACGCATGCACGGATCGCCTTGGAAATGGGCGACTTGGGCGAGTACAACCAATGCCAGTCACAACTGCGCTCGCTGTATTCTTACGACCTACCGGGCTCTCACCTCGAGTTTCTCGCGTACCGGATTCTGTATTTGCTCCATACACGACAGCAACGCGATGTGAACACGCTCATGTCCGAGCTCGATTCCGCTGCGAAGACTGCGCCTGCCGTTGCGCATGCACTCGAGGTGCGGGCGGCAATGCGGTGTGGGAACTATCATCGCTTCTTTGCCTTGTACCATGATGCCCCGAACATGAATGCCTATATTATGGATCACTTTGTGGATCGAGAACGCGTGCAAGCGTTGCTGATCCTTGCGCGTGCACTACGTCCATCGTGCACGCTGCAATTCCTTGCGTCCGAACTTGGGTGGGCCCATGTCAAGGATGCACATTTGTTCCTTTCTTCGCTCGGTGCCGCTACCTACATGGATGGCGAGACAGATGATCCACGTGATGACTCGTTGTGGGATACCAAGAGTGCTAATGAACCGCTTCTGCGTGCAAGTGAGAGGTTCCGGAAAGTCGATGTATGTATGGAGCGTGTGTCTTGTGTTTATGAGACTAACGAGCAATTCCAGATCAAAGGTCAATTGTAGAGTAGCTAGCGAACTTGCTAGGTGATCGCGTGTATTCTTGCGCGTAGCGACACGTCAAGGCTTTATGCATGCACACCTGACTTGGTGAGAGCTTTTTTTTCTTTTTCTTTTCCCATGTCCCTTCATGAAATTGTTGGATGTGGAGCACGTCCATACCCACCAAGTGGCTTGGAATCCGACAATTGCACGATTTGGTTCATGAGCGATCATAGCGCAGCCGATCCAAAGGAAACAACCCAGGTCGTGCACCTCGTGGTATTCTGTGGTGTACGTGTGCCTCGAAAAAGAGAAAAAAAAAGTGAGAGAGAGAGAGAACTTATCATACTGATCACGGAGTAGTTCGTGGGCAGTGGCAAGACATCGTGTACGTACGTAGTATGAGTGACTGGAAACCTAATGTCAGTGGCAGTAGAAGCTGCCAAGACATGGCCAGGTGTATGTAAACAAAGATGCAAACAAACGGCGACACGCGTGCCTACGTGAACACGCTCTGACGTGACAGGAATGGGATCGATGCTGTCAGGATGAAATGAAGTCACGCCAAAGTGTTGAGCGGCGCGCACGTGCTTCCTTGCTGGATGGAAGGCATGTCTTGATTGACAGAACCAACATGGATCGACAGCAGCGGGCTATATGGCTCTCTCTTGCTGCAGATGTGCGTCAAGTGCGCTCCGTCGTGACTTCCTTGATCCATGTCGACGTGCCGCCAGAAGTACGTCTCAAGACGATCTGTTCTGTACTAACTGCGTCCAAGATATGCTATGAGCGTCTCTTGCACCGGCAAGGCCATCCAACGCTCCGCACGCCAGAGCAGGCTCACAGGTACGTGCACAGCACCATGAATTGATGCAGTGGTGGCTCATGCCAGAGTGCTGGCCATGTTTGAAAACATCTACGAGCGACCATCAGCAGAGGAGCCCGAGGGCTTTGACCGCATGTATCGACTCTCGAGCGTGCCATGGCCCCTAACTCCCGCGTACGTGAAGGAATTGTGGACTGCGATTGAGAAAGCACCAACGCTGCATCATGCTGGCCGTGTTGTGTTTGCCAACGAGCTTCATCGAGGACGTGGGCGGGGGCGGGGACGAGGGCGAGGGCGTGGGCATGGACGTGGACATGAAAGTGGGCGAGGTCGCGGATATGCGCGAGGACATGCGCAGCCATTTGGTCGTACGTGGCATCAGCCGACGCTCTTTGATGCAGTCCATGTACAAAAACAACGTGAGCCGGAAAAACAGGATGGTCAACTCATCCCATGGCCGCAAGTACCCGCTCCATCTCCGTCACATCAGCCTCACCACGCACCGTGATAAAAGCGTCAGGCACTTGGAACACATGCAAGCGGCCATCCATGCCTCCTGCGGCGAGCCGCGTCGCGCCTTGCGTGCCATGCTCGGGAAGTGTGCCGCGGCGTTCCCAGGCGACGCGATTGAGTCCGCGTCCTTGGGGTGTGGATGCACTAAGCACGGGACGGTCCACACTTTGACACAGATTGTACATATCGACATGACCGCTCGCATCGACCTGCGCAAATATTCCTGGATGCTGAGGATGCCAGCGAACATCCATTACATAGTCTTGCTGCTGGTCGAAGCGAGCGAGAGGAGCCACAGCGGACCAAGGGGGCGTGTCCGAGGCGGCGGTGCGGAAAGCAAGTGGATTTGTGCGTTGACTGGTGGCGATCCTCGGATTCGCATGTGGATAATAGTACATGGAAGAGGGTAAGGATGTATGCGATGATGACGAGACACGCAAGGGCGAAGGCACGGGCGATGCCGAAGACACCGAAAAATTCTTGGCCGGCGACACGATCGATGAAACTGACGCGCTAGCAGCGGCACTGGCAACATCCGTGGCAGTGCCTGCTGGTGATGTAGTGGAATTGGACGGACGCCACAGGGCAGTGGTCCAGTCCATGCTGGACGTGAGGAATAGCTCCGAAATACTGAGCGGCAGGCGCTCTTCGAACATGTGTGTGGGATGGCATTCCAGTCGCGTCACATGTGCTGTATGTCCCACATACGCATGAGACATGGAGAGGCCAGCCTTGATGCCAGCGCGGTCAAAACGCTGTGCATCAAACAGATTGCCTTCGTCCGTCGCGACGAAGAAATGCGAGGTATCATGGGGGGCCACATCAAGGGACGTGACACCGACTTTGGCACTGCGTGGATGCATGGGATTCGTGAGTGAAATAGACTCTTGCGGTCGCGCGAGCATATCGAGCGACCAAGTGCATACGACGCCATCAGACGACGCACTGATGAGCTGGTGCGCCTGCGCCGAGCCGACAAGGCGAACGGTATACACAGGTGCACTATGAGTGAGACCGGTGGCTGAGGCTGAAAATGCCCAAGGCGTCCGCTGTACTGGCAAGCCACGCTGCCGGGTATCCCACAGTAGCACTTGGCCACCAAAGGTACCGCCAATGAACAGGTTGGGATGGAATGGCGATGCCAGCACCGATACTACATCTGTCGGTGCGGTAAACACAAATTCCGGTCGCTCACGCATGTGCATATTCCAAACTGCAACAATACCATCGTGGTCGTCTTCATGCACAAGTACACGCTTCCGGTTGTAGGAAGCAACAACAAGCTCCGGATGCTTGGCGGACCAATCGACATCAGTGACGGAACGCGTCTCGAGAAGTGCGTCGTCCATGAATGTTCGCACCAGATGCATGCTTGTCTGCTTGGACTCTTGTGCATCCTCTGTCGGCACATGTGTGTAGTCTGTGAGGACATTGTAGCGCTCGTCGAGCATGCGTTCCATGACCGTGGCTTTCGCGTGCACAAAGTCAGTGAAATCTGCGTCTGGAAGTTGGTGTGTGTCTCGTTCCAACGGGGACAGAGAGATACTTGGCTCGACCAAGTCGACCGAGCCGTCTGCTGCTCCTTGACATGGCACACGTTCGTGTGGCGAATGGGAAGGTGGCTGTGGCGCTGGCGCAGACGGCGATGTTGGCGACGCAAGAGCGCTTTGGTGAACGATGCCCGCGTCTTTCGCTGCATCTTTTTCTGCATGTATTGGTGCCACATCGTCTGTCTCGATTGGATCTGTTTGGACCTGTTTTGTGTATAAGATACGCTGGGGAGCCTGCGCTGTGGGTATCATTGTAGAGTGTTTGCTGCTGGTCGATGGCTCATCATGAGGTTCCTCATGATGTGACGATTGCGAATCAGAACCTGGCTGTGTAGAAGGTGGCGTCAAAGGACGGACGGAAGGGGCGTCGGAAGGCACCGCGTGGGTTGAACCTTGGCTCGTGCTTGGGTCAGTGATGGTCGTCGAGGTTGATGCAGGTTGGGCGGAAGAAGACGGCGTTACAACCGTATCTGCTTTCGCAACATCTTTTGACGGAGATGCTGCAGTTGCAGGAGGCGCAGCGTGCTGTGAGGGATTGCTAGGCTTGGACGCGTCGTGTGCAGATCCGAGGAGCGAAGCAACTAATTCGTCGATGGAGGCGGCCGACACTGCACTGGCATGTGCGTGAGGATCCCCTGGTCCAGCCTTGAGCTTCCGTGCGCGCTCCTCACGCTCTTCTCGCGCACGCCGAAGCTCAGCGAGCTTGGCACGCTTCGCCTCAATTTCCGCGCGACGCCCTGACATGGTTCAGGGCGGAGGATGACGCGTCGTTCGTGGCCGAGCCACGTGACAGACCAAGGCTGCGACGCCCAACGCCCAACTAACCTAGCAACACAGTGGAGCCAACTAGGCCTGTGTCTCGCCACATTGGCGTGAAGGTTGCCCTTGTTCCAGGTGTATTGACAAGCAACGGATCGCAGCGTAGTATGAGTGTAGAGATTCGACGTGCGTCACTGGAGCGGAACACGAATGAAACGCAGATTCAGGTGTCTATCGCTCTCGATACGCACCCAGAGTATGCGCCGCAGGTCATCAAGATATCGACCGGCATTGGGTTTTTGGACCATGTACGTTGCTTTTGCGATGCGTGCAACGAGCGAGTGCGAACATGCTAACGAGAAAGATGCTGCATGCACTCGCAAAGCATGGTGGCATGTCACTAGAGATCGCGTGCAAAGGTGATCTGTGGATTGATGATCACCATACGGCCGAGGATTGTGCGATTGCGCTTGGCGTGGCATTCAAAAAAGCGCTCGGCGCCATCCGTGGCGTCAAGCGATTTGGAACGGGGCATGCGCCTCTGGACGAGGCACTTTCGCGAGCGGTCGTTGATCTGTCATCGCGGCCATACTGCCACACGGATCTGCAACTCCGGCGGGAAAAAATCGGTGACTTGAGTTGTGAAATGATCCCACATGTGTTTCACAGCTTTGCGACAGAAGCAGGAATCACTCTGCATGTAGACGTCTTGCATGGTATGAATGACCACCACAAGGCAGAGTCGGCCTTTAAGGCAACGGCTCTTGCGCTGAAAGAGGCCATCACACGAACGGGAATGAATGATGTGCCGAGTACAAAAGGTACGTGAATCGGTGAGGGACAATCTGCGGGGGGGACAGGGGTTGGGAATGAGAATTTGGCGTACTAATTCGCATATCAGGTGTCTTGTAAAGTCTCTTCATCTACAAACATACACACATACACACACATACACACCTTAGTTGAACATTGCTATCATCTACATGTATCTGTCGAACGAGTCTTTTCTTCTTGCTTTGCTGTTTACACCTTGCGTTCGCATGCACCTACGATGCCGCCTCCTTGCTGAAAGCTAGGTGCCTGGTATCCTGAAGCGTCACTCGCATTAGCGGTTGCAGAAGATACCTTTGCCTGCTTCTTGTCGCTACTGTGCAAACCACCCAGGAAGAAGCCAGAGGCGACGATGCCACCTAGCACCCAAAGTCCCTTTCGCTCGCCATCATTGAGCGCACGGCGTGTGGAGGGACGAGCCGTTGACTTGGATGGCATCACCGATGGATCCATGGGCATAGCGCGCGACACGTCCGTGACCAAATCGGAGAAGAAATTGCGTGTCGCTTGCTGTGTCGAGGCGACACTCTGCTGGACTTGGCGCTGGACCTTGTTTGGGAGATAGTCGCTCATGAGATCGGTCAGAATACCTCCTGACGCCACTGGTGCACCTTCTTGCTCTGAGATGGAGATGCTCGCATTGTGAGACACTTCCGCCATTTGTCCCACGTTGTGAACCCGCGGAACGTGCGGAATATGCCAGTCAGAGTGGAATGAATCCTTACTGTTGTAAGCAGGGTTTTCCAACATGTGGATCGAAGGGATGTATTGAGGCTCAGGCTGCATGGGTTCTTCAAATGGAATTGTCACATTGAAGACAGGCTCTGAACCGCGGGCGCTGGATGACTCAGGATTGCCAGGCACCGTAGCATGGCCCGAGTCCGCCTTCTTCGGTGAAGACACAGTCGCGCCGTCACTGTTCAACACCGTCGTGCCGCTCACAACCGTGCCGGGCTCAATGGACATCGACGGCATGGTCTTTTCAGCAGCATTAGCAGCATCAGACCCTTTCTTGCCTCGAGCGGTAGTCTTGGTCCGTGCGGAGATTGGCATCATCGACAAGGAATGCGCAGGTGGCGCAGCTGTGCGAGGCATTCGCGTAGAACGCCGTGTCTTCTCGGTGCTTGAGGTTGATGAAGCGAGCGTCGAGCCAGCGCGTACCATATCGTTTTGCTTCAGGCGCTGGACAAGTTCTGCTTTACGACCAGAAGTGGCAAGACCACGCTGGCGGAGCAAGGCACGCAGCTCGGTGACCTGTCGGCTTTCATAGCCCTCGGCTGTCAGTAGAACACTAGAGACCAGTGAACGAGATTGGCCGGATGGCGCAGGAACAAATGAGCCAGTTGCACATGCCGGAGGTGTGTTGAGACACACGGCTCGGAGGCTCGGTGATGACATGGTGTGCTTAATGCCTGGACGTCCAAGTGAACGCAGCATAACGTGTGAAGAAAGTATTGGAAGAAGGAACAATAACAGAAGCGCTAGAGGCGGGGGCAGAAAGTGTTGAGCAGATAACTTCTTTCTGCTATGTCGGGTTCCTTGGGTTAGTTGGCAAGCAGTTCGAATCCACCCAATTCAGCCAGGAGTTGGCGCGGGTGAGCGGATAAAAAGAGACTTGGTATGGGGTGTAACAGATGGTAGGCGAACAATTCTCTCTGCCTGCGCATACTAAAGGCCACGAGGCCGTTTCGGGGCCGCTTCATCATATAAACAAGCGCCAGAACTTGATTGGCTCGCATCTGTTGTCCAATGCGCGCAGCGCGTGAAGCGAAACGCGTGCGTGTGTTTGGGTGGCACGACTTGAGCTCATTGACCGATATGCTGACTAACTACATGGGGTTCAAGGGGCAGGCAGCGGCCAGGGGCGGTGTTGGTGCCCTCCACGGTCCTCATCTGCTCGAAGAGTGGATGGGTGGAGGTGTGGATGCGTATGTCGTTACCTGATCGGAATGGCTGATCAGAGTGGGGCGTTCGTCGTTTCTCTCTGCAGACGGATCAGACGCTGAAGTCAACTCGGTGTAGACGAGTGCGGCTTTAGAAGACGTGAAAATCTGAACCCTCCTCCCTAGAAGCTTTGTTTTAGCTAGCCAGGTAAGCTACAGAAGACAGACACCGAGAGAGAGAGAGAGAGAGCGATCGATTTGCATTGTCTCGACGCTAGGATGCCACCAAGGCCAAAGCAGGTACTGCCACCCAATCCACCGGCGGATCCTACGCGAGAATTGCCACTGGCCTACACTACCTTCCATCCACCGCCATTTTTGAATGCAAAGAGTATGTAACTTCAAGTGATGTTTGATACTTACGATTGCCTAGATGTATCGTCATCGTATCTCAAGACCGAGGCACAGACATGGGTATCACGTTCGGGACGGCCAACGAAGCGTGCAAAGCGTGATGGTGAAGAGGATGTGACCGGTGTGGATGACGAAGAAGACTCACGCAGTGACGACGACAAGGAACCTGCATCTCGTCGCTTGGTAATCCATGTTGGCTCAGACTTTATCCGTGTTGGCCGTGCGACGGATTTGTATCCTACGGCTGTGCCGAATGTTCTTGCACGCAAGTTGACCACAAGGAATGAAGAAGCGAGAGAAGCAGGCAGTGGTCCTGACGATGGCCGACAGGGCATGTCAGATCCACCTAGAGAACATGCTACAGACGCACAGCTTGACATGCTACGTGCGGAATTGCGCTCGATTATGCGACAGTACAAGCTGCGCCCTGTCAGCAACGGATGGCAATCAGCCAACAGCTACAATGCATCTGTGGAGCCTGAGCGTGTTGCTGAGCACAATGATGTGTACCACGTGGGCTTTCTTGATGATCTGCCGGGGCAAGTCGTTGTAGGACAAGAAGCATTGCGTCTCGCTGCATTGTCGAAGGACGACAACACATCCTGGCGTTTGTACCGACCGTGGAACCGAGGGATGTTGGATGTTGCCGGATATGCGCGCACGTACGGCGATGCGTGTGTTGAGGCGCTCCTGGGCGACCTGCAGCAGATTCTTACGCATGCCATCTCAGCACCGCCAGCCTCTGAGGCAGGGCCTAGCGCCATGAGTCCAGGTCTTGGTATCCCTGAGTCCTCTTTCGGGACGTATTCGGTACTGCTCCTTGTTCCCGACTCTTTTTCTAGGAGTGACCTTCGTGCATTAGGTCATGTGTTCTTGCGATACATGGGCTTTTCAGCTCTACATGTTCAGACAGAGGGTCTGTGTGCGACCTTTGGTGCGGGACTCAGTGCTGCGTGTGTGGTGGATATTGGGGCGACGAGCATAGGCATCTCGTGCGTCGAAGAGGGACTTGTTCTGCCTGAGACTCGTGTGGCGTTGTCTTATGGCGGACGCGATATGAGCCGCTTCTTTGGTGACGTGCTTCGCGGCTCTAGTTTTCCGTACAAGGACCTGAACGCGGAAAAGCGACTCGCTGATGCAGCGCTTCTTGCCGACTTGAAAGAACGCCTGGTGACGCTTCAACCAAGCCAGGTCAGTTTGAATCTGTACGATTTCATGGTCCGTTTGCCTGGACACACGGCGTCCAAGTACGCACTACGTGTATACGATGAGCCGATCCTCGCGGGGCTTATGCTCTTCCATCCATCAGTGGCATATCCCCCACCGATGCCGCGGCGTCCCTTGACATATGCGCCGCCCGAGACGAATCCGACCGATGAGCCAGAGCCCTCCACTGCACTTGCAGCAGCAGCAAATGCATCGTTGGGCGGTGACGAGGCTACAGAGCTGTCCGTTGCGTCCGTGCTGGACTTGGCGCCGACTCTTGCTATGTTTGGCTGCCTCGCAACACGCTTGTCAGAATCGGTCGCCGTGCTGGTTGACATGAATGGTGTTCGTCCGCCAGCGACGCCGACAACCTCGACATTCGCGAACGGCGATGCAACAGTGCCACTGAACCAGGATGCGCCTGAAGGAGCGACCGAATCAAGCCATGCTGCTGGTGCTACGGGCCCCGGTATGCCAACCACGACGCCATCATCCTCAACCTCACAAGCATCGGCGTCTGCGTCTGCGTCTGGCCGTTCTTCCTCTAGCACAAATGCTAAGGCTGCGGCTGCTGCCGTGCCACAGACGTCTGCTATGGCTACACAGGCGGCCAAGTGTGCGACAGCTGCCTCGCAGGCAGCATCAGAAGGGATGGACGTTGTACAAGCGTCATCGTTAACGCCCCTGGATCATGCGGTTTTCCGCAGCTTGCTTGCATCGACAGGCACGGCTGATGGCGTGTTGGCGAATGGCGGCGAGGAGCGCCTGCGCCGCTTGGCGAACAACATTGTGTGTACAGGCGGCGCAGCCCACATATCGGGGCTATCAGAGGCACTGGAAGCGCGTGTATCTATGCTGCTGGCCGAGCATTACACGCCATCCGACCCATCGCGCAAGCCAGCCGTGCCAGTGGGACCCAACTTTACTGCACCGCAAGCCACGGTCATTCCGCCGCCGCGCAACTTGGATCCAGCTTCGCTGGCATGGAAGGGGCTGGCTGTGCTAGCGAATCTGGATACGATGCAGGAACTGTGGGTGCAAGCATCCGACTGGGACACGTTTGGGTACCGGGCGTTGAAAGAAAAGTCGTTGTTTTTGTAGACACAAATCAAGGTGCAAAACTTGCAAAGACAGAGAAAGGGTATGAGTGCTGATGCTGTGGCATGCCATGTGGATTGGAGTTGAATCGTCTGCTATCTGTTTTACGGAATCCGTTGAGGGTATCTCCATACAGGATAGGGGAAAAGGCGACGGGGGGAGGGGGGGGAGAGGAGGGAAAGAGATAAAGGTAGGTCAGAAAAAAAAAGGTAGGGAGAGAAGATTGATAGCGAAGGTGGATATGATAATAACGAGAGCCATCATGAAATGTCCAACTACCTTGTCCCTTTCCCGCGAAGACTAGGTGCAAGACGTGAGATGCACAGGGCATGCTCTTTTTTAACGCGTGCCAAATGAGGCAGCGAGGAATGGCTCAAAGATGGCGTTGGGCTGCTTGAAGTCATTGTGGACGACATTCACAAGGAAATATGTGTCAAACACATGCTCCAGCAAGCGGCGTGTTGGCGACTCGGGCTCATAAAAGGCGGCCCAGCGCCGGCCAATCTCATACGCCTCATCTTTCCATGCAAGGAAGGACATACTCTCGACGATGGTCGGTTGCAGAATCTCGCAATGTGGGAAGCAGCCCCAAGTGACGGCGTTTGGCGCATCTGACGTCGTGTTTGTGCGCATGTCTCCCTGGGCATTCACGGCGTGATATGTGATTTGAGGGTGCGCGTCGAAGCGTGCGATCAGCTCGTCTAGCTGCTGCGGTGAGACGAAGAACTCAAGGTATGCTTTTTGGTACACGTATCCGTGCTTGGGGCCCCAGCCGTGTACGGGATCATCGCTACGCGCGCCATCGACGGCCGGCTGGGAGTTGATGGTGAAGAAACCGCGCTCATTGAGTGCACGAAGCGGCTCGTTGATCACTGATGTCTCTTTCGCAAGCGGTGCGTCGCTCCAAGGCAGACATGCGAGCTCACCCGTACAGAAGCGGGCAAAGAGAGACTGGAGGTCCTGGATCGTCGTTGGCGAGCCCCAGAGGTCTAGCGCCTCCTCCTTCGTCTGGCGGAGGTATGGCCCAAATACATCGGCATCGCCATACGCCGGTGAGCGCGCATCGCCCCAGCGGCCATTGGGGAACTCGTCCCACGCATCCGTGCGGTCGATGTAGCTCTTGGCCCGATTGGCCCAGAAGATCGGGCGGATGTTTTCTTCCCGGCGCTTGGGCGTCAGACTCGGGCGCCATGGAAGCGGGTGCAGCTGCTGCACACTGGGCGTGAGGCCTAGATACTCAAGCAGCATGCGGCTACCGCGTTCTAGGTTCATCGTGTAGATGTGCACACCATGGATATCGAGGTCTGGATGCTCGAGGATCTTCTTGCACATGTCGCCAACGAGGCGTGTGCCGACGATGCGCACCTGCTCGTCATCCTCCTTTACAGGGTCCAAAGCATCGTGGAAGAACTGCGGCACAAATGCACGGAAGCGGCGCGACCGCCCGCGAGAAGCCGCCGTAGTTCTGGATCGGCATCACACCAGGCACAATGGGAACGGTGATGCCCGCTGCACGCACGCGACGTGTCCAGTTGACAAAGGCATCCAAGTCGTAGAACATTTGCGTAAAGATGAAGTCGGCGCCTGCGTCGATCTTCTGTTTCAGATGTTGCATTTCCAGCTCAGGCCCGCCCACGGCTTCGGGGTGTCCTTCCGGAAAGCCAGCGACGGCAATCGAGAAGTAGTCGCCGTAGTGCTCGCGGATGTACTGGACAAGCTCAAAGGCATGCGAGAAGCCGGCTGCATGCGGTTCCCAGGGACTTCCTGCGGCCGGTGGATCACCACGCAGGGCCAGCACGTTGCGGCATCCGAATTCTTTGGCCTCACGTAGAGCCACTTCAATCTTGCTGCGTGGCATATTGGTGCATGTAAGGTGCATGCATGTCTCGACACCAAAGTAGGTTTGCACCGTCTTTACAAGCTGTGTCGTCATATCGGACGTACGTCCACCGGCGTTCCAAGTGATATCGACGAACTCTGGGCCCAGCTTGCTCATGCGCTCAATGCGGTCATACAGGTTCTGCATGCCCTGCGGTGTGCGAGGCGGGAAATACTCAAAGCTCCACCAAACGCGCCCTTCACTCTTCGCCTTGGCAATCTTACTCGTAACTAGCGATGTGCATCAGTCGTGGTGCGTGCGAGATTCAACGTACTCTTACAGCTTTCGTCCGCGCTCATTTGTGCTTCTTCTCGTGCTTTCTATGTCGGTTTCAGGTTCCTGCGCTCGCGCACTCTCACGCACTCGCTTCTTCTGGCCTTGGGTGCTTCTCTCTATCGGGCAGCACTAGCGCCCGCCAACTACAGGTTTCGGCGGCGAACGAAGAAACGTACGAAGCCTGCTGCTTTGCTGGAATGCCTAGCCGGTCCAAGCGCTCGACTTGTTCTGACGCAATGGCTGCACGTGTGGGATTGCACGACATACTTCGGCCGAAACAATGCCCTGTGTGGGGCTCAGGGGTTTGCGCCAGAAGATGGGATCCGCAGATAACGTAGGTACGTGTGAGTGTGTGAGTGTGGAGTGTGGAGTATCGCGGTCGTTGCTCCAGGCGCATGTGCGTTTCGTCTGGCCACCCAGCCGATGACGTAAGTCGACGGACGAATCACCGCTCTGGGCTGGGGAGGGAGGTGTATAGCACGTCGGTGGTGGGTTAAGGGCAGTTACTAGCGCAGAGTGACGAGGCCCCACTTCGGCACGACGTTGCGAAACGCGTCGAGAAATGCAGGAACGAAAGACACTGCAGCAAGCGCTCGTCCAGTGCTTGCTGTCGCACCGATGTATCCCATGCACCAAAGCACAGACCATGTACAGGCACTTGGCTGAACACTTGGGGCACGAAGACAAGTGGGACGAGGATCTCGAAGCCATGCAACACAGCTTGCAACCATTAGGATTTGAAGTGCGATCGTGCCATGATGAAAGAAGTGGCATAGTCTTTCTTGTGCTGATAAACACGAAATCCGACGCGCTTGCTCAAGTCGCTACGCCGTACACAGCCTCTGAGCTGCAATACATCAAGACCCTCGTACGTTGCTGATGTAACGAAGCAACGCTAACAACAATCCAGATCCACGCGATTTTTCATGCCAATGATAATCAGTATGCACTGTCTTCGACGCAGGCATTGCAGCTTGCAATGCAATCGCAACCTGTGCCACTGACGAAACATGCAGCCTCACAGCTGCTTGAGAATCTCGAACGACGCGGATGGCTCCACCTCTCGCGGACAATTGGTGCATATTCTCTAACTCTGCGTGCCTTGCATGAACTAGACACGTACATCCGAACTGAGTTGGAGGACTGTGTGCTGGAATGTCTCACATGTTACGCTATCGTAACCCAAGGCGAACGGTGTTCCACGCCGGCGTGCCGTGGTGCCGTGCATACATCATGTGTTGACGCGTATCGAGCCGGCCATGCGACGTGCACAGTCTGCGGCCAAGCGTGGCAGACCGTGCCAGTTGGCGTCATCAGCACCAGCACTAGGGACGAAACTACTCCAATACCAGAGGAACCAGTTGAATGATATTGTATATGGATGGGGCGGATTCTATGAAACTCTGAATCCCCCAAAATACCATCTCTCTACAAATTCGAACGCTCACGCACCACCTTGTCAATCCACATCGCAATGTATTCCACATTGGCTGGGTTGAAGCCTGACATGCTCACACGCCCAGTGCGCATGAGGTAAATATGACCCTCCTTGACGAGTCGGTCACATTGACTCTCGTTAAGGCCGAGGTACGAAAACATGCCGGTCTGCGTCTTGATGTGGTCCCAAGTCCCAGGGGTCTGGAACTTTTGTGTGAGCAGATCGTACAGCTTCTCACGCATGCCGATGATACGGTGGGACATGGTGGTAATGTTCCTGTCCCATTCAGCACGCAATTTGGGCTCTGTCAAGATCTTGGCGACAATGCGCGCACCAAAGGCAGGCATCGTACTGTTCTCGCGCCGGGTAATTATGTTGAGCTGGCTCTGTACGGCCTCAGCCTGCTTGGATGAGCCAGTCATCACGTGCAATGCACCGACACGCTCGCCGTACAGACCAGCGTTCTTGGCAAAGCTCTGGCACACGAGCATGGCAATGTCGCCACGAGATGCGAATAGACGCACAGCAAATGCGTCTTTGGCTGGATCGCCAGAAGCAAAGCCCTGGTATGCCGAATCAAAGAACGCAAACAACTTCTTCGACGCGAACAGTTCGGCAAGCTTGGTCCATTGCTCTTCGGTTGGGTCGACACCTGTCGGATTGTGGGCACATGCATGAAGGAGGACAACGGAGCCATCCTCCGCTTGCGAAAGTTCCTTGTACATACCGTCGAAGTCAAGCGAGCGTGTCTGTGGGTTGTAGTATGTGTACTTGACCGTCTCGAGATTCGCAGCGCCCAAAATAGCAAAGTGGTTCGGCCAAGACGGGTCCGACACGTAGATCTGCTTCTTACCGCTCGGGAACGGATAGAAATCGTGCAGAAATTCAGCACCCAGATGATTTGCGCCTGAGCCACTGATGGTTTGATTCGACACGACACGGTTCTCCTTAATACATGCGGCGTCATCGCCAAACATGAGTTTGGCAGCCGAGCTTACGAAAGGTGCAAAGCCCGGAATCGGGAGGTATTCATGATTCCAGTTAGGATCGTTGAGAAGCTCTTCTCTGGCCATTCGTACAGCAGGCAAGACCCACGGCTTGCCTTGCTCGTCTCGGTAGGCACCGACGCCCAGATTCGCCTTCTTTTCGGACGCGTCATTCGCATAGCCCGAGCTGAGAGCCAGGATCGAATCTCCAGGAGCTTTGGGAATTTCGCTCCACAGCTTGTCGAGGGATGGTGCACTAGATGACATGGTCATGATGTTTTCTCGCTATGGTAAACGAGGCAAGAAGAGGTGTGTCAGGCTCGACTTTCATCATATATAACCCACCCACCCCACCCCATCCCAGCCGAACCCCGCCTACGCCTCAATTTCCCACACCTATCTTTTGGTGAGTCAGACGAAACGCCAGCAAGAGAAATCATTACATAATCGAGTCTAGAACCGATGTAATCTTAGATTTGTCTTCACAGATGCAGGGCTCACAAGTGCTATTGGCCCAGGGCTATTTTGGTTGGTGCATGACTAGTCTCCACAACTAGCGCACGTACCCATCGCTGCCATATCACGAAAGTACATTCACACACACACAGGTTCTGATCTCCATTTCCTTATCGAGTGAATCAAATAGGAAAGAAACAGAATCAACTGTGCAATACATATTGGGTTAGACTGCAGAGCTAAATGACATGGAACTACTTGAGGCAATGAAGAAACTGGACTTTTATTATCGCGCAATAAACTGTACACAACTCAATCAATATAGCACAGGGTATGAAAATGATCGAAAACGACGACAGAAACATCCATATGACAAATGAAGAAGGAAAAAAATGTAAATCGTTAGTGCGCGAGGCCACGAGTTCCAGCGGTGCGCTCGCTCTCGAGTTTTTGCTTGTTGGCCGTAAAAGCAGCATTCCTGACTTGCTCTTGTTTGGCGCAATTGTGTGTTTCCGGCAGACGATGTCTTCCACAAAACTTCAGGGTGCAGTGTGGACATTCACCGACAATCTGAATAGCAGCATCCCGACAATGCTGCTCTGTACCAGAGCCAAACTGGCAGCGCTTCTTCGCGCCACCGCGTAGACGTAGCACCAAGTGAAGAGTGCTCTCTTTTTGAATATTATAGTCGCTTAGTGTGCGACCATCTTCAAGCTGTTTACCGGCGAAAATAAGGCGTTGTTGATCAGGCGGGATGCCTTCCTTGTCCTGAATTTTGGCCTTGACGTTGTCGATGGTGTCGCTACTTTCGACTTCGAGCGTGATGGTTTTCCCCGTGAGGGTTTTCACAAAAATCTGCATGAAGGAAAAAAATACGTTGGCTTGTGTGTAAGAAGCAGAACCAGTTGAAAATCCAGCGCGAGGTCTCTATCGAGTGCGATAGAGAGGATCAAGAACGAAGACTCAACGTCTACCGATTGCCAGTGCTGTCTATATAGTCGCCACGGGCGATTGTGGAGGTGGCGCAGTGCAGAAAAAAAAAAGGCCACGCAAGCGGGTGATCGAACATTTAAGAACTAGCTGGTGACGTGTATGCAGCTCGGCCATTGGCCGATAAATGGGCATCTGGCATGTTTCCCCATGTAGATTTATCCACATGATTGACTTCGTTCTGTGCCGCGCGCCAAGCATCACGGTTCTGGCAGAATAACACGCACGTAAGCATCTATCTCGTGGTGCACGTTGAAACTTCGCGAGTCATAGTATGACTCAATGAAGCGCAGACGGTCGCACGTACCTTGATACAGAAAGCTCGATGCATCCGAGCCATGTCGAGCATGAGTTGCTTTAGATCCTGGACTTTGAGGCGCTGGAACCTGTCTAGAGAAGCTTGGATCGTCCTGTTCACGTAGTCCAAGTCCTTTTTAGTTAGTTCAATAGCCTCCTGAAGCTGCAGAACAGTTAGTATCATATGCTCACGAGGCGAGTGAAGACGTACATGCACGACTTCTTCACGAAGACGAGAAATGGAATTTTGCCGTGATCTGTCGGAATCTAGGTCCATGACGCTCGCAAAGCGGCTCTTGAATGAACCAAATAACCCGTGGCGTTGTGTCGACGGCGCAGGCATTCGTTCCCGCCCTTCTGTGAACAAAGAGGCTGCGCTGCCCGTGCCAGGTGTTGCCTTTGGAGGAGAAGAAGAGAGGGAATTTTTTGCAAGCTCAGTCGTCCAAGGAGATGTGTCGAGATTCGCTGGCTGCTGAGGATGAGGATCGCGAGTTTCTGGACTAACATCAGCGTCCTGTTGGGTGTGATGCTGTTCCTCAGCCTGATCGTCGTTGTCATCGTCTTCGGACTCGGCAGCACGAGCAAAGACAGATTGCTGCTGAATCGATTTCTGCCGATTCGCCCGCGCGCCAGAAATGAGACCTGTGCCGCCGTTCTCAAGGGCCATATTCAGGCGTGCAGCTTGAGCTTCATCCCGCTCATGATCTGCTAGGCGTTGATGTTTGTCCGCCAACAAGTCCTGGGCGACCTCGAGTTGCTGGTGCTTGAGATGCCGCCACAAAAGACATTTGTTCAAGATGGCTGCAAACTGGGTATACTCATTCACAGGTTCGCTTACACGAGCTTCCCACTCGCGCATCATTTCTGACAACGACACATACATAGCATCAACGGCCTGACCCGTTCGTTCCATGGCATGTGCAAGCCCACTCGCTTCAGCGAGGCTCTGTGTATTGAGCAAAGCGCCCAAGTCGGCATAGTCCGTGGCGATGTCAGTCCAGCGATGAAGGAGTCGACGATTTGCAGGCTCAAGCGTCGACGACAAGAGTGTCTGAAAGCGATTGGTAAAGGCCTCGGCTTCTTGGAAGTGGGCGTTGGGTGCAGCAAGCTTCAATGGCGCAGACGGCGTCGGCAGATATGCATACGAGGCCGGCGCGTCGGGGTCGGCGGGATTTTGTGGGGGCGCATTCAGGTTGTTCCTAGGCAGCAAAGTCAAAGGCGGTGAATGAGCAATTTCGTGCCAAGTATAGCGAGCTTCGAGGAAGCGGCGGAACACCATGTCGATCCGCAAGACGGGATGCACGTCGAGACGCTGGAGAAAGCGTTCCAACATGCGCTTCCGACGAGCAATGAGCGCAGGGTCGTTCTTGGCACGCCCTTGCTTCGTTGCGTAGTCTATGATGGTATGTTTCGAAGGTAAAGGAGGGATCAGGAGTGTTGGATGGAGCTTGACAAGGGCTTCTCTAAGAGCCTCGAATTCTGAGTACCTGCGTTTGGCTTCATGGCCCTGTGAGTCGCGAGTGCGTAAGTAACGAGCGTGCCGAGAGCATCAGGGTATACGTACAGGTGACGAGATAATGTAAGCCATATAGGAAGACTTGGAGAATTCGGTCGATGATATAGCGTCGACAATCTGCGTCGTCAGCTCGGTCGCTGGTAACACGTACATGAATTTTGCTCTTTTCATGGAGAGGTTGTTCATGTGTCGAGTCATCGCCATCATGCAAGGTAAGCTTCATTCCTACGTCTGAGTCGGACTTCGTCATAGTAGGAAATCGAGCGGAAAACCAGTCAAGGATACGCGCTCGCTCACGGTCGGGAGGAGCGTTGGTTTTTTGAATTCAACACGCCACAGCCAAGTGAGAACGTGCCAAGCGCGCGTTTGGAGCTGGGGCTGGCGTTGAGCAGGAATGAATGTGGAGAATGTCTCTATACCTGGCTGAAAGAAAAAGAACGCGTGGTGAGGGGGTTGGTGAGTGGGGGAAAAAAACAAAGGTGTGTGTCTCCAACGAAAATGATTGCGTCGGCGACGCAAGAATCTCGGTAGTGGTGGAAATTGGTTGTTTTTCTTGTGTATCAGCAGGCGAAGGAAACGCAGGTCAATTGGCTTCTTCTGTTGCACACGCCACGGGTGGTCCTGTAGGTAGACATGTCGCAAGAAGATCACTCGCTCGAGTTTGAGCTCAGTGGCTTCAGCGCTGGCGCTGGCGCCTTGGGCGGCACACTCGCGGACGAACTAGACAGTGCATTTCCAGGCCCTAGCTTGGCATCTGAGTTTGGGGAAGAGGGTATTGAGGGTGAGCTTAAGACCCTCAAGGACGAGCAAGGTGTACGGACACCGACGGAATCGAGAGTTGTTGTTGCGCCGGCCGCGGCACACAAAGTGGAAGACCATCCACAGCCAGAGGAGCCGGAGCAACGGGCCCCACCACATGACGGACGCGCTCACATGCCTCCCTCTGATACGTTGCTGGACAAGTGCGGCTCGCTGTGTACGGACATGGACGTGGTAATCGATGCATCGATGCTATGCGCACATGTATGGGAGAAGGAGAGAGAGGGAGATACGGGTGATGCAGCCATGAATGCGCTGCTGATTCAGCTGCAAGACGATGCGCAGGAACGCGGCACACTCTTGCACGAGCTCCGGCGGCAGGTACGACAGCTCGAGTTTCTTTGGGAGCGGCGGCGGCAGGAACTATCCGTGTACGAGGACGCGGCTGCCACACAGCGACAGGGCTGTGATGGCATCAAGAACCACAGCACACATGCGCAGGTCTTGGATGACATACGGCGCGTCTTTTGGAACGAAGCTGCCTTTTATGCATGTCTAGAGACGCCAGCTTGCTGCTTATGAGGATGAAGAGGGAGGTGTGTGAGCAAGTTCGACGGCCGCCTTGACAGAGGCAAGGAGCGCCGACAACTGGACACGCTCAGACGCATTCGTGCTGAGTCTGTACTCGATCTGTGCCATATGATCCAGAAGAAATACGCGCGCATGTGGTGGCAGTTCAAGAGAGAGAACAAGTGCATGCATACCCGTCAGCAAGTCTGTGAGGGCGAGCCCCTTTTCAACACGCAGCGTTTGGATGGCTGCAGAGGTGGGTGAGTGTGCGGTACCATCGTACGTACTTTGGAAGGCCGTCGTGAATTCCTGCTCCAACATGGCTTGGAATGCTGTCTCGATATCTTGTGGATGAGGATGCCCAGTGCATAGGTATACCGAGTCTTCGTCAATCATGTCGTTCGCTGCATGGCATGCTTGAAGGATGTTGAGGGCACGGCGCATATCGCCCTGACAAAGCTGCAGAATGGCATGCTTGGCCTTTGCGTCAATTTGGCAACTGCGTTGGGTGTGAGCAGGAACACGAAAAACAGGAACAAAAAAGTGGTCATAATACGTACTGTTCAGCCGCGATGACAGAGTCGATCTGGCGCTCGACTTGCACTCGGTCCAATGGCGAGAATCGGAAGCGAGTACACCGACTCTGGATCGCAGGAATAATCTTGTTGACATAGTTGCAAATAATACAAAAGCGCACATTGCGTGTGTATTGCTCCATGACTCGGCGCAAAGCTGCCTGAGCTGCTTGAGTCATGGCATCTGCCTCGTCGAGAATGACGAGTTTGAACGTATCCTTTTGCGTGCTAAAGACATTGCGTGTGCTTGCAAAAGCTTTGATTTGGCCACGCACAACGTCAATCCCACGATCATCAGATGCATTCAGCTAAACGACGTTAGAACATGATCCATGCATCCCAAAAGAGCCGCCCGCACGAATAGCAACACATACCTCGAGTACATTATTCCGGAATGACGCACCATATAGACGCGCAGCAAGAGCCATGATGGTCGATGTCTTCCCTGTACCAGGAGGCCCATAGAATAGCAGGTGCGGCAGTTGGTTCGCTGTGATGAACTTTTCCACTGTCATGTCAGCTGTGCGTCGCACAATCAATCGCGCGAGATGGTGGTTCTGGACCACCGCGGCGGAATGAATACGTACACGTTGCTGTGATGTGCTGATGAGACATGATCTGATCCAGCGAAGACGGACGATACTTTTCGACCCTGCATAGTCAATACGAGTTCTCAACATACCATGGCAGCAGGTCATGACTCGACGAGGCATCAGACGCATCGTCCAGCGACTTTGCTTTTCCTTTCACGTCCATGAGCGGGCACGTATGTAAATGCAGCGAGCGCGGCAGGCGAAGGAGGCAAGTGTGTATAGACTTTGATGGTCCAGGGCTCAAGCAACAAGTCTGTACTCAATCCCAAGTCGAGGGGGGGGGGAGTGACCTTGCCCTGACTTGGCAGACGCGCGAATGCTATGTATGAAAAAGACCACCCACCCCTAACTACAACCCACACCGCCCGATGAACGCGTAGAAGCACCCCCGATGATACATCCACACGCACGTGGACTAGCCAATCGCGTGCACGTATGGCGCCCACGACGTTTCATCCTCCAATTCCAACCAACACAAGTTCATGAGCACGAGCGGAGACGAAAGCAAGTCGGAGCTCGAGTTGGTCCATGCCGTCGACGCAGCATCCGGTATGTGCCACGAACATGCTTACACATAGATGCCGATGAATGTGTCGTGGCCATACATGCTCTGACTGCACTGTGGCAGAGTACCCATCAGGTACGTCGACAGGTCTTGTGTGTGAGTGGCTGAACTGACCGACGTCCCTGAGCAGGTGCATGATGTCGATGTCGCTGTCATGTCGTTACATCCATGCATGTCTAGCCTGCATGTGGGTGTGACAAATGCTGTGTTTGAAGCGCTTGAATCGCTCATTCAGATGGCACAGCCGCTTTCAACACGGAATATGCAAACGATCATCAAGACGTGTGTGCCTTTGGCGCTGCAGCGACTAGCGGATGTGCCGATCGCACAAGCATGGCTCTTGCACCTGTCGCGTATTGTGTTCAAGGATGTGTTGGGCTCCGCACGCATGCGTGAGGGCGACGCACCTCATTCTATGTGGGAACACACGATCCGCGATGCCGGCCTCGGTGCAACGTCGCCTCATGTGCGTGAACATACCCTCCAGCTTCTCGTTTCCCTACAGGATTGTCCACTTCCTCTTCAGACGCTGCTCCCTTTTCTTGTGGATGGCGTGCAAGATCCCGATGCGAATGTGCGTGCAGCAGCGAAAACAGCCATCAGCTCACTGTATGCACCGGCCGATCCCACCCTTCGATCGGAGCTGAAACTGACCCTGATGGAGCGTCATGTTCATGCCTCGACTTTTGATGAGATCATGCAGTCTGTTGTGGGACATACGTCTACGGCCGCGGATGCAGCGGACGCGCCAGCCACGCCCACACCAAGACGGACGATGACGACGGCGACGACAGAGTCGTCAACGTCATCGTCGCCATCGTTGACATTGTCCTCCAAGATGCCTGAACTGCCAGCCGAACTGGTTTCGGTCCCATCCGACGATATTCGACCTGTGCATATATTATCACACTATGATATGGAACACGCATTTTCCTCCGCTGCACAAGCGCTCGATGGCAAAGAAACAGAAACCAACTGGCAGCCACGAGAAAAGGCAATCATAACCATGCGCGGCATGCTCAAAGGCACTGTGCCTGATGAACTATCACATGCATTTCTTATGCATATTCGCAGTCTGCAGGAAGGAATCCTCAAAGCACTCGCAAGTTTACGAACGACCCTCGCTATGCATGCCATCGGGCTGATCCGACAACTGGCACTGACATTTGGTGCACATCTCGAACATACCCTGGACGCATTTCTAACGTCACTGATGCGCATGGCTGGCTTTACAAAGAAGATCGTGGCGACAGCGAGTCAACTCGCCGTGTCGACGATCCTTGCTTGTGCGAGCGTGCGACATTCGTACTGGCAACTTCTTTCTGCTGGCTTGCAAGACAAAAGCGCTGCAACGCGTGTATACATGTGCAAGCACCTTGGCGTGATTCTGCATGTGCATGGACAGAGGCGAGCGGACTTGGAGGCGCATCATGGTCTTGAGATGATGATGCAGTGCTTAGGTCGCGCACTGGGTGATCCAAGCGCGGAAGTTCGCTCTGCTGCACGCGACGTGTTTTTTCCATTCCACAACATGTACCGCGCTGAAGCCGAGCAGGTCTTGATGTCGTGTGCGCCTGCGACTCGAAAGCAGGTAGCAGCGAGTCTTGAGCATGTGCCATCGCTGCGACGTACTCCAACACGAGCTGGCCCAACACGAGCCATCGTAGCTGCCAAGCGCGCAGCTATGCATCAGCAGCAGCAGCAGCAACAACAACAACAACAACAGCAGCAGCAGCAGCAGCAGCAGCAAGAAGAAGAAGAACAAGAAGAAAAAGATCAACAACAACCACAACAAATGCAGTTGCAACCACCCGACGCACTGCATCAACAGACACATGATGCGGCCATGGCGGAACGGATGCGCATGCCTCGCGAATCGTTGTGGCATCCAAGTCTGGTCGATGGACCTGACGCGTCTACAGACTTGTTGCATTCTGACGTGCCATGGAGCCGCAATACAGCAGATGATAGCGTAGCCCGCGACAGAGCGCAGGATGATGAAGGTGATATCACAGCCATGCTTCACGGACTTGGGATTCAGTCAGAGAACCATACACCGAAGCAAATGGGGATCCATTCGAACACGGACACTTTCAAGACAGCAACACCTTCGTCACCCTCTTCCTCCTCGTCAAACACGCCAAGAAAAGCGTCATTCTTGGCGAGTACGCCGACGATGTCTTCGCATGTGCCTGAAACACCGACGCCTGCAAAAGTGCCGGCATGCACGGCCTCACCATCAGCCACACCGACGCTCTCGACGCGCACGATGCCCTCGCTTGTTTCGAGTCTCACGCAGCCGCCTACGGCAACGCTATGGTTCCTGACAAGGTGCGCTAGCGCTTTGCAAATGTGGAGCAATGAATCCGTGGAGGCACTATCATGGGATGAGATGCTGGCACAATTTGTGGCGGGGCGCGCATCAACGGCTGTGTTATGCAGAATCGCGCACGATCTCGACGCGTCAGCGTCTATTTCGTCTGAGGATGTGGCAAAAATGCTCGCCGTTCTGTCGACCACATACGTGACAGAGACGACGAATGAGGTGCGATGGATCCTGGGACTTTGTATATTGCATCGCTTGGCTCGTGCTGCATGCGCCGAAGAAGTGCATGAAGGCACATGGCTTGCACTCGTGTTGCAAGTCCCGGCGACAGTGGTCCATGATCACGCTACATTGGCCATGGGTGCAGGCCGCTCTATGGTGGAAACGTGGAGCGAGCTGACACAGTCACGAAAGCCATGCGCCCGCATTCTGGAGACTGAGTGTGCGTCTGAGCGACATGACGAGGGCGAGAAAGGAAAGGATCTTAGGTCAAATATGGAACGTGGAGTCGGTGGGTCACAAAATCAGGCAAAGCTGGCATTGACTCTTTATGCCATCGAGCGCGCGCTTGCGCGTGTGGCGCCGCCAGTCCTGGAAGAAGAACTCCATGTGACGGTTCCGCTTGTACACAGCACGCTCCGCGATCCACATGCACCTGTGCGCCGTGCATGTGTTTGCATGCTTGTGCACGCATACGCAAGGTTGGCCGATAAAGACCAATTCCGCCGCATATATGCACCATTAAGTGCGGGAGAAGAGCGGCTTATTTTGGTACGTTGGACAGCCCAAAGCAGCTGCGAAGCCATAGCGCAGTGGTCGGACAATGGCAAACATAAGCCGGCAGGGACTAACATACGCGCAGCACTATGTGGAACGAGGGCAGCTTACGTAGACGCAGCAGCAGACATGAGCGAGAGAGGCCTGACTAGAGGCTTGGATGTATGATGAGAGGATCTATGTATGAGGAAACGTAGAGCGACAGTGCGGCCATAGGAAGCAGGGGAAGAGGGGCTCGAGGAAGACGTGGTGCCCTTCGATTCGAAGATTGAGTGTGGAGGTCGTTCTACGTCGTCGTAGACTGAACGTCTGGCTGGCCGGCCGTTGTGCGCAAGCTAATGAAAGATGGGCCTACCAGGCTGCCACAACTTGTGCGCACAGGGTGCCCTGTGTGTGGGGGGGGGGGTGGCGGCACATTTCTTTGGCATTGGCTGCTTCGCTGGCTGCTTTCCTTCTTAGGACGCCATAGGAGCGGCGTTGGGATTCTGTGGCTTGGGATCCAGCTTCGTTCGAGAGCGTCGATTTTGCAGGCAGATCGATGGAGCGACGCCCCCAACGTGTCGCCTGACAGATTGACGCCCGAGACACGCACATCTTCAACAGAAGCTAGCAATTCTTCCACACTCTCTAATAACAATAATAAGGCGTCCTCAGGGCGTGGCAAATCGACGTGGCCTGAGCACAAGAAACGAAGGAATAGTAGTAGTGGCAGCAGCACCAACAACAACAACAACAACAACAATACCGACAACGATAACCACACTCGTGAACCACATCACAAGCGAATTTATCGACGAGACAAACACCAACAGCCACGCGCCTTGATGCCGCCCAAAGAGTCAAACCGGCGTAAAAACGCTAGCCGAGAGCATCGGATCGAACATCACCAACAACCACATCACCATCATAACGATCTTGACGACTGGCTCGAAGACGAGGAAATGGATGAATCTGAGTCGATCAGCATGGATGATGTTGTTGACGACGAGGACGACGAAGAGAACGACGAAGAGTTGGATCCTGACATGCTTGGCGGCGAATTAGGTCTGAATCTTCAAAGTATGCGCGGGCTTTTCGATGGCGGTGCATCGCATCGATTTCGCGAGCTGCACAAAGCGGCTTCGGCGCTCTGCGCATGACGCGCCGACTCGATTGCTGGTGCTACAAGAGCTCTCTGAGGCACTCAGCGTTGCGACAGAGGATGTCTTTCTGGGTGCATTTCCTCTGGATGCGCTAGTCGTGGAATTACTCTGGACACTTGGTGGCCCTGAGCCAAAAGACCACCTTGTGTCGGACCGCCGTGCTCCCGACGACGACAATGATGATGACCTCGCAGCTGTCCTGGCGAGCACGGCACATGACGCTGGTGAGAGCGAGGAGGCACAGATTTATGCGTGTCGATGTATTGCGCACATGCTCGAAGCACTTCCCGAGTCTGCGCACTGCATAGTGCGTCGTGGCGCGGTGCGACTGCTTGTTGGGAAACTGCAGGAAATTGCATTTATTGACCTGGCCGAGCAGGTGCTCCAGACTCTCGAGAAGCTCTCGGCAACGCATGCCCCTGCGATTATCCGCGAGGGCGGCATGCTTGCTGTGTTGCAGTACCTAGACTTTTTCGGTATTTACGTGCAGCGTGTCGCCATGTCCACCGTGGCCAACTGCTGCCGTCACCTGACGCAGGCGACAGCAAAGCGCGCATTGGAGGTCGTGCCGATCGTCGGTCAGGTGCTGGGGTACTCGGACACGCGTCTCGTTGAGTCGGCTTGCCGCTGTGTGTGCTTGATGACACAAAAAATGGCCGAGGACGAACAAGCACTCGAGCAGCTCATGTCGCACTTGCTGCCAGCCGTGTGTGCGCTTCTCGAACGCGGCCTTGGCAACGAGACAAATAGCCTGCCGACCTTGCCGAACGACCTATACACGGATGTGCTTGACGCTCTGGGTCAGGCAGCACGCATCAGCACGTCGCTTGTACACAGTCTCGTGGAACACCATCTCGTCAGCACACTCTTCGTCCTGTTGACGGGAGCGCCGGACCCCACTGTTGTTGTGCCCCAATCGGCGCTTCTTCAGAACTTTGCGATGCACTCGCCGGTGCAGATCCAAGCGGCCGTGAGCCTTTTGCAAGATGTGCTCCCACCACTCCCGCAGGACGGCATCTTTGATGCTCGTGCTTACAGTGAGAAAGCATACATGCAGAAATGGCGCCGCGCTGAGCGTGCAGGATGTAAAATAGGCGAGCTCGACCCATCGCTCGACGATGCACCCGTTCGTCGACAGAGCGCATCAGCGTTGAAGCGGCAGCGAGCAGCAGAGACGCGAGCCGAGGCTCAGCGTGCTTGGCCACACTTTTTCGAGCGCTACATGGCACAATTGGTACCAGTGTTTCTCTGTCTGTACACAGCAAGTGGCTCGTTGCAATTGCGAGAAACCATCCTCACTGCGATCCTACGCGTACTATACTATGCTGATGCAGCGACCCTCGATGGTCAGCTTGACAAGCGCGCGTTTGCTAGCTTCTTGGCAGGTGTTCTGGCATCGCAGGAGCATGTGATCTGTGTGGATGCTGCTTTACAGGCCGTGGAGCTTCTCGTGTCTCGTATGCCGTTCTTGCCGCTTCTTCTGCGAGAAGGCGTCGTATGGCACGTCGAGCAACTGGCTAACGACGACGTGCGTGAACGCGACCGTCGCGCCGATAACCATGAAGAAGTTCCGTCCTCGTCGACGTCCTCGAACTCAGGATCCGCACCAGCGCCGCGATTCCGCTTCCGTGCTAAGCTCGTGCATGAACGTCTCAAGGCACTTCCGGAGGATGCAAACGTGGCTGCTGCACGGCGTATGGTGCATGATCTGGAGCAGCTAGCTGAGCGTGTGCTGTCCAGAAGCAACCTGTCAGGAGCGCTCCATGAGCTCGCCTCGATCATCCCACGCATCACGAGCTTCGAGCTGCACGTATCGGGACTCGTCGAGGCCCTGTATGAGTGTGTGACGGAGGATGCAGATGGCATCGACAGCGTGAACGGGCAGAGTAATGTCCAAGAACGTCGAGCCTTGCTTCGCTCCGCGCTTATGCCAGCGAAAGAGTCGCTCGTGGCGTGTTTGCATGCTAGTCTGAGCCGTCTCGAAGACCTGAATGTCAAGGCTCTTGGAGGCCCGTCATCGCTCACGAAGCATCTGAAATTGCGACTTGTGCCAGAAGAAACGACGGCGGAACGTCTTCCTCGGCCGTACCGCTCATTGACGGTTTCGATCCATGCCATCATGACTACACAGGCGCTACATGACTTCCTCAAGCCAAAGATCCAGCTGGCGCTATCGCCGAATAGTATGTCTGGCCTCTCGGGCATGTTGGCGGCGCTGGCTGCTGCTGCGGGGAGGCCAGATGACGTGCCTCGGAACGAGGACAACGCCGATGACGATGTGGATATGGCTGATGACCCGGCCGACGCTGCTGGTGACGACGTGGATGTGAGTGATGATGCAGACGTCATCACCGACAACGTCGCTGAGCACCACAATAATAACACGGCAGAAACGAGCCAGGAAAAGAATCTCGATGATGCTAGCGTAGACATGAGCGAAAGTGGCCATGGGGCGGACATTGAGCACACTGATGCACACGCCGCAAGCCAGAACAAGAACGAAAAATCCACTCATCAACGTGCAGGACCATCCTATGCATCAGCAGCTCAGTCGTCGAAAAGTGCTTGGCATTTGGCGTTCGAACTCAATGGGACACACCTACCACTTGATGCCACCCTTTACCGCTGTTTAGAGGAGCAGCGACTCAGCACCGGTGCTGCAGATATCCACACCGTCAAATACAAAATCGTGCCTGGTCCTCCTGCGGCACCAAGTCAGCGCTCAGAACATGTGCCGATGATCCTGCCTGCTCATGGCTTCCAACAGACGCTTCCAAATTGCATACCGAATGATGCGCCATACGCGCGCACGATGCAGCTGCTTGGAGCACTTCGGGATCTGTGGGAGAACGATCTAAGCGATGACGTATTCGTCAATACAAAACTCTCAGCAAAACTTGCTCAGCAGCTTGAGGAGCCTCTTGTACTCGCAAGTGGCTGCCTGCCCGCTTGGGCAGTGGAACTGCCACTGATGCAATCATTTCTTTTCACATTCGACAGCCGGCTCAGATACGTGCAGATGACTGCTATGGGATACGCACGTCTTCTGAGTCAGTGCGACAAGACCCATATGGACGACTTGCTTACGGCCATGTCTCGGCTGCCACGACAAAAAGTGCGTATTTCCCGCGCGAATCTACTTGCATCGGCCGTGAAAGTGCTTGAGTTGTACGCAAAAGGCTCTTCGATTCTCGAGATCGAGTATTTCGACGAAGTCGGCTCAGGCCTTGGCCCTACGCTCGAATTTTACGCCCTCGTGTCACGCGAGTTCCAACTCGCATCACTGCAAATGTGGCGCAACAGCAATGGCGCTAGTAAAGGGTACGTGCCTGCAGGCCAAGGCCTCTTCCCAGCGCCCATTGACGACACGGACCCACTCAAGAACAAGGTCGTGCCTCTCTTTTACACACTTGGCCAGTTTGTGGCAAAGTCGCTTCTCGACTCTCGCATCATCGACGTGCCATTCCACCCCTTGTTCTGGCGCGCGGTCCTGGCACGTCGTGTGCCTTGCACTCTCGAGATACTTGGTATAATCGACCCAACACTTAGTCGCTCTCTTCGTGCTCTGCTGAGCATGCCATCGGCCGACCTCGACGCCCTCGGCATGGATTTCTCTATGCCTGGAAATGAGCGGATCCTGCCTAGTGCATCAGACACTAATGATACTCGCGTGACTGCCAGCAATGTCAATACGTACGTTCAAGCAGTCTTGGACATGTCTCTACGCGATGGTATTAGCCAACAAATCACTGCGTTCCGACAAGGATTCGACAGTGTGATGCCGTTAAGGTCGCTTAACGTCTTTCATTCAAAGGAGCTCGTCGCCCTGTTTGGCCAGAGCAACGAAGATTGGGATGAGTCGACACTCTTCCGCACCATCGTGCCGGATCATGGTTTTTCCGGCGACTCGACACCGTTCCGAGACCTCGTCTGCATCCTATCCCAGCTGACGAAAGAAGAGCGCCGCACGTTCGTGCAGTGGCTTACAGGCTCGCCACGCCTTCCCTTAGGAGGTTTCGCTGCACTGCAGCCGCCGTTCACGGTCGTTCGTCGTCAGCACGAAGCGCCTCTGAAGCCAGACGACTATCTGCCGAGTGTTATGACATGCGTAAACTATCTTAAGCTCCCATGCTACTCGAACCGTGAAGTCATGAAGTCACGCTTGTTCACGGCCATGCATGAGGGACTGACAAGTTTCTATCTGTCATAGAAGAGAAAAAGCTTGAGTAGAAACGAATGAATAAACGAATAAATAGTGATGACCATACATGCAATGATCAAGCTGTCGGAATTGGCACGACATGGTGCCCCACTCCTACTAAAAGCACATCGTACGGGCCTACACGACGAGGAAGCCAATCAATACTTTGCACGCCATATGCGGTTGGCAACGTCGCCGAGTCGTCATGGCCTGTCGCGTCGAGCGACACGGAGCCACCACGCAACGGCGTCTGTCGGTGCACATCGACAGCCCGTGGACTTGAGGGAAAAGCTGAATCAAATATATACACCGCAGCAGTGCTTCCAGCAAGACCAGATGTGCTTGTCGAATAGCCGCTGTGTGCCAGTACATGATGTGAGAGTGTAGAGACAAACACTGCAAACAGGCGTGAATTCGTGGGACAGAATCGAAACCCTCCGTATCCTGTAGCACTCGTTTGGTGCAACTGACCACTGGCCACCGGCACATGGCCCATGCTCATATTCCATACACTCCAACGCGTGCCGAGCAACGCTCCTACAATATCCGCATCTTGTGATTGCCATGCAGCTGCTCCCTGTGCATCATATCCCTGTGTCGCATGGAGTCCCACAGTCATGGGTTCATGAAACGACGCTGTCGTGCGCAGTTCTTCTCTGGATGCGAGCCAGTCAATACAATAGCCTACCCCACCGCTCTCAAAAGCTAGCAGTAATTTGGGCATTTTTGTATGGAAGGCCACACTCAACACAGCACTGTCCAGATAGTGTGTTTGACATGTGGCCGAGTCAGAACTATTTTCTGGCTCCAAATTCCACACCTGCACTGCGCCGTCCGCACACGCTGTGGCGACGAACGATTCATATCCTGATGAGCCACACCATGCAACATCGAGGACACGCGCATGTAAGTCGGCCACTTTTTTATGTGATGTAGGAACGTCTTCATCAGAACTTGCTGTCAGCAGACGTAATTCGTCGACATCCGTTGCCACCAGGATCTCGATCTGCCACGAATCTGCATCATCTGAGTCACGAATACAGCGCGTGCTTGGACTCCATGCGGCGCTTGTGATGCGGCAGCCAAGAAAAAATGACGTTACTGGGCGGAACAACACGCTCGGTGGATCATGTTGACCATGTGTGTCGTAAACATGCACAGACGTGTCCGTCGCTAAAGGTGAGAACGTTTTGACATACCAAATAGGCATAGGGTGCGTCCAAGCGGTGAATAACAGCAGCGAACTAAAGAAATCGGTTCATCAAGCTGCACAGCAGGTTGCCACGCCCCATTTCGGCTCTGCAGAGGTACCGCCATAACGATGGACCGCTAAGCGTTAGTAGATGAGTTGTTGTTAAGTGGAGGCTACTGAATTTTCATTCTCTGGTACAGCCAGGCCATCCAAAATTGGTCTACTTTTTGTTAAACGGCAGGCGTCGACCACGGCGTGGGGGTCCAATCCCGGGCATAGCTATCCCATCTCGATTAGTGGACCCGCGGATCGATGGACCAGGATTGCGCTTAAATCGTTTCAACTCATTAGCTTCTTCGTCTGCAGCTCTCTGTCTGTCACGTTCAAACTCAGTCTCAATTTCAACAAGGCGACTAAGCTGTGTATCGCGACCACGACGACTAGAGGCTGCGAGTGCATTGGTTTCTCGGATAGAATAAAAGACGCTGCTTGTCAGTTTATAGATACGTACGCGCCGAGTTCTGCAAGCCAATATGGATCCACAGCGGTCACAATCCCCATGTACTCTTTTGAAGTGAGCGTCAGCTCATGGTATACGACATAATCTGGCGTGTATCCCAGCCCATACAATGCACTAGTCGGATGCAAGTGCATAGGCACTCCTGTGCGACAGTTGACATATTCTCCAACGCCCTTGACTCGTGCTGCTTGATGAAAATATCCCGACGTTATGCATTTGCGAATCACGTCCCAATCTGTCCCGCAACTCACAATAGGAAGCTTTTGAGCACGAAGAATGTCCTCTAACTGAGCGCGAACTTCGCGCGCTTTGCGAAGTAATTTGGCATGCAAGAAATGCCTGTTGCACCAGCCGTCGCGGAAACCATTGTTTCGCCATTGCGAGTAAACATGCAACAGCGTCAAGTGATCACTCTCTGCAACATAAAATCTTTCTCTCGCTGTATCACTCTCCTCCTGACGCTCCTTAGGCCGATAAAAAACTGTTGGAACGCTCAACATACTCACGATTGTAAGCATCTCTTCGGAGCACTTATACTCGGTGCTCATAATAAGAATTTTCGCCAGGCTTGGCTCCATAGGAAATTCGCTCATCTTGTGACCAAGCGGGGTCAGGTTGCCGACATTGTCTAACGCACCAAGGACCCACAACTGATACATGCTCGTGATGATATTGTCCTGTGGCGGGGGGTCCATGAAGTCAAATTCGAGCAAATTTTTGACGCCTAATGACTTAAGAAGTAGGACAGTGTTTGCCAAATTAGTTCGTTGGATTTCAGGGATCGTGCTGGGAAACATTTCATTGTGGAAAGCCACCTCCGTATAAAGACGGTATGCAATACCTGAGCCAGTGCGTCCCGCGCGACCTGAGCGCTGGGATGCATTAGCTTGACTGATAGGCATGATTTGGAGTGAATCCATGCCCACTTTCGGGTTGTATAATTTTAGTTTACTGAATCCTGAATCAACCACGTACATTATACCATCAACGGTCAAGGACGTCTCGGCAATGTTTGTGGCAACTACACATTTCCTCTCGCCATTTTCTGATGGCTCGAAAATCCGTGCTTGGAGGTCTGCCGGCATTTGTGAATAAATTGGCAGCATCAATAGAGGCTGAGCGCCTTCCAGCTGACTCAGGCGCTCAAGTGCCACTTCACATGTAACCTCAATGTCTTCTTGACCAGTCATGAACGCTAGAATATCGCCTTTTCCTTGGGAAAGATGAATGGTCAATATCTGTTTCACCGTACTCTCAACGTAATCTTCACAGGGCGTCTTGCTAAATAACACGTCGACTGGAAACGTTCGCCCGGGGATTGTGAAAATTGGCACCGAACCAAAAAACTTCGAAAAGCCTTCTGCATTCATCGTAGCAGATGTCACGATTAGTTTCAAGTCGCGCCGTCGCGTCAGGACTTTCTTCAACAGACCCATGAGTACGTCTGTACTGAGGCTTCTCTCGTGAGCCTCGTCAAGAATAATAGCAGAGTACCTGTCCAGATCATGTTCTGTCAAGGACTCTCTTAACATCACACCGTCTGTCATGTATTTGATCTTGGTGTCTTTCGATGTACAATCCTCAAAACGAATAGAATATCCCACAGTGCCACCCAGCGGGCATTCCATTTCTTCACTGACGCGCTTGGCCACACTCATAGCAGCCACACGTCGAGGTTGTGTGCATCCAACAATACCGTATTCTGTATAGCCGTCTTCGTGCAAAAATTGACAAAGCTGCGTCGTTTTCCCGCTACCTGTCTCGCCAATAACAACCACGACTTGGTTCTCGCCAATCACTCGCATTAATTCTTCACGACACGCAAATGCAGGAAGGTACTGTCTTTGCTCGCGAAGACTTTTGTTTCGACTGAAGGCACTTGCGCCTCGTCCTCTTTTAAGATGGGATGCAAACTTTGAATCACCTTTGCCATCGTCTTGCGATGGATCAATTTTGCTTTTGTCTTTGACGTCTTCATCATCATCATCCTTAACACCCATAATGTTACCAAGCTGTGTGCCTTTGAGGGAAGCTACGCGACCCGCCGCTTTTGCTCGCTCAGCTTGCTCCCGATGCTCTTTGACGAGGCGACTTCCCTTCATTGCAAATACAGCAAGGTCTGACGTTGGATCCCTCACCGGGTTCACCGGTGCGATCTGTTTCGTATAGACTGTCTTACCATCCAAAAACGGTGGTCGGAGATTATGCACTAGTAGATGAATGCGATTTTCATCATGATCGTCAAGATCATCTCGGACAGCTTGCCTGCCACCAACCCCACCTGATTGAAGACGACTCTTTTCCCATGCGTCCAAATCTACATTGTATTGAGCTTGACGCGCAGTCATACGTTGCTGACGTCTAGCAAGCACATTTGAAACTTGTCCGTGCATATCTTCATACTGTGCAAACGGATTGTGATCAGCGTCCCCCGCCACACCACCGTCGTCGTCCTGTAAATACCATTCACGATCGACCTCCAGGTCATCATCATCATCCCATCCTTCGTTATCCGACAAATCATCGTACTCTTGTTTACCCGATCTCTGAGCCGATTCATTCCCATATCTTTGGAATGGACCTCCCATCCTCGCTATGATTGTCTCAACTTCGCCCCACTTCGAATATAATATATGTTTTGAGATGGAGCATGAGCGCCTTCCACGTGGTATGAGTGCCTTGTGGAGAATGTTTAATACCTCCTGTATACGAAACGCGTCATCAGAGGGGTGAGCGCATTTCGTTTTCACCAATGCTGACAGTGCTTGACACGCAAGGTAATACTCTACCATTAGATGTAGATCCATCTATTGAGCTGGAGAACATCCAAGCTCTTCTTGAAGCGGACTTTGGAATTGCACCAGAGCATCAACTAATCTTGTTTCAGGGACGCGTTCTTTCTGATGTGTCCAAATCATTGTCTTCATTTGGAATCAAGGACGGTGATCTTTTGATCATCAAAGATAAACGATTAGAAAATCTCTCGGAAAAAACAAAGACTGAGGAGGATTCCGGTGTAGAAGGACCATCTTATATGGAAGAAATGCTTCGTCATCAAATTTTGCAATCTGCTTCTATTCAGAAAGATCTTCGTACTGTACGTTCAGCCGAATGAATCTAACCAAATACAGCGCAACCCTATGCTCCTGGAAGCTGCCTTCAAGTCATCACATGAGTTTTACCGAGTTCTAAGCGAACAACGCACTCAAATGGAACGGATGAATGCTGCTCATCAAGAACTCGTCAACTCTGACCCTTTCAACGTGGAGGCCCAGAAAAAGATCGAGGAGACTATACGCCAAGAGCGCGTAGCAGAAAACCTTGAACATGCAATTGAATACAGCCCTGAGAGTTTTGGAAATGTTTCGATGCTGTATGTAAACCTGAAGGTCAACGGCCATCCAATCAAGGCATTTGTCGATAGTGGCGCTCAAGCCACCATTATAAGTCCTGACTGTGCAACTCGCTGTGGGATCATGCGTCTTTTGGACACTCGTTTCGCCGGTGTTGCTTTAGGTGTTGGAACGGCCAAAATCTTGGGTCGTGTGCACAGCGCACAAATTCAGCTGGGTACTGATTTATTCTTACCTTGTTCATTTACTGTGCTTGAGGGCAAGAATGTTGACATGCTTTTTGGTCTAGACATGTTGAAACGCTACCAGGCCAGCATCGATTTGAAAAAAGGTGCTCTCATTATTCAAGATCGTGAAATCCCTTTCTTAGCTGAACATGAAATCCCGAAACAATTCCCTAGTCTGAACGAACTAACAGATGCTGGGAAGAAGACTATCGATGGAGATGGGCATGACAACACTGAACCTATCAGCTATGGAAACATGCAATCGGCGTATGGACATGCTTCAAGCCAAGAAATGAGTGGAGCAAAAGTTGAAGTCTCCAAGAACCAGCAGAACACAGAGAAAGGCATTTTCAACGAAACGGGAAAAAATCAGGAATTACGAGATATGCTCAATTTAGGAATTCCAGAACAAGAAGCGGAACAATTTTTAGAATTGAGCAACGGTAATTTAGATCTAGCAGTTAGCCTTTATTTTTCAAAATAACAATTTATTATTTTTTAAGCACGATAAAAATCATAGCAATTAAGTTTTTCTTATTACTATAATATTTAATTCATTTATATCACTAAAATTATTATATACGTATGATTTTGTTTTTAAAGTATTGTAACAATCGTACAAAATTTTATTACACGAGAATTAATTTTTATGTTTTGTTTTATCCCAAATTTCATTTTTAGAAATTTATACAACTTGTCTACATACTATAGTTCTTTTTAATCCAGCGCTTTCTGCTCGATTTATTTTCACTTTTTTAATTTCATCTTTTCTTGGCGGGTTTTTCCCATTCGGCCATTCACAATCGACTGGGAGTCCCCCTAATTGAGGCAGTGATATTCTCACAGTTGATTGGAGTGTTTCACTGTTGAAACGGACGTCCATGATATTTTGGGTTGCTGGAATTGGTTCGAGAAGAGCTTGTTCTTCCGGTGTGAAGAATGTAGTGTAGTCCGACCTTCCTTCGAAGTCATACTTTTGTTTCTTGCTCAAAGTCCTGTTGATGTATACCCACAACCAGTAGCGTGAAGAAGCACGTTCAATTTGCTTGACCCAATTGTCCATTTGGTCAAATTGTACCAAGAGCTGACTCATGGTCTCGAAATTGAATGGGTGATTTTCACCACTCAATTCAGCTTTCAATTGCCAATGGCAAGCTAAATCTGCGAATCTTCTCAAAGGGCTTGTCACTCGTACATACCCACCTCGGTAAAATGCATCCGAGTTTATATCGTTTTGCGGCATAGGACGTACTCCAAGCGCGTAGTGAATGCCCGGTTTGATGGATGAATTTCCTGTGGGCAAAAATACATCTTTAGATATTAATTTGCTCATTGCCATAGCGCCAGTTTCAGGGTTCTTAAGTTCATCGATAATAGCAAGCTCTGTATCACTGGGTTCAGGCTGAACGCGATATGGTAATGGTATATTGTGATCCAGACCGAAAGATCCAGCAACTCGCCCCGCCAAAATCATCATCTCACTAACCATAGTCTCTGAGGTAATTCCGCCTGGAATTTGATCGAATGTGCCCAGTCTTTCCGTATTTGTGTGGTCTGCGAAACGCAAACGAATTTCGGGAAAGCCTGTATAAAACTGCGGACGATCTAGCGTCTTGTCGGCAAGGATTGGGAGGGGTAGGGGGTAAATGCTCAAGTCACTGTGTGCATCAACTGCATTTAATGCCCGCCCAATATGGACACGACGTCTGTTAATGACAGATGCCAAAGAAGCAAGTAGGTGCAAATCGTCTTGAGCAGTAGCGTCTGAAACTTTGTGACGTCCAATATCTTCACGATCCAAAAACATCTCGTTGACTTGGTTATAGTTCAAAATTCTGATGTTGCCGACTTTGCCACGCCTAACATCATATGATGACACTTTACCAGAACTAGAGTCCACCAAAGCACTAAATGTCAGAACGTTTAAGGGAGTGTTTTTGCTTGAAAGACTCATTTTATGGTTTGTCACGTCCGTGGGAAGCATCGGCAACATGATTTCTGGAAAATAGACGCTAGAATACTTATGTCTAGCCGTTTGAGATAATGCGTGTTCAGGCCTCAACCAAGCAGTTGGATCAGCTATGTGTACATGAATCCAATACATTGCCGGGTCTTCAGTTGCTTCGACAGAGATACCATCGTCCAGTTCGAAAGAAGACGCAGAATCAATCACATAAACAGGTAAATTGTCAAAACAAAAACGAGGCTCATGTTCGTCGTGCAAATCCACGCCCTCGGTTTCACAGCTAGGCAATGCCCGTAAATTCTTGAGTTGGGTGTCGAGAGCGTTCGGATTTTCCCAGGGCGTCAGGGCTCCAACTCGAATTAGAAAATTAAACATCTGGGAATGCTGCAAATCGAATCCTGCCTGTGTTACATCAGTGTGCAATGTGGATATGTTTTTAGCACGTTGATCGGGAGCCATTATTCCTTCATTCTGCTTGGAATCAGCTGACACTACAATTGGGTGCAGTCTGACATTCACACCCAGCCGCTTAATTATATCCATGGCAATGCTGCCTGTAACATTTTCTTGAAGTTCCCGACGGTTTCCAAGACTAATTTTGAAAAACTCCAAGATCTCTTTGTCAGTATCGGACCAAATAAATTCACTAGCACCATCTAAGCCAGGCACACGTTCATCTGGTTCAGGTAGCGCATCGGCTTTAAGAGGGCGTTCATCGTGCCAAGCCATTACGTGGCGAGCTCTAGAGCAAAAGCCATTCAGCACTTGCTCAGCCTCATCAGCGAGCTCATTTGGTCGTTCAGATGTCAATGCGCGTACCCAACCAGATACGCGCTCTATGATCTTCTGATCTTGCGCCGGTCTGTACGTAAAGTGTTGACTGCGACGATGTGATATGGCATCGGCAAGGAATTGCACCGGATGACTCATTAGCAAGGTATGGATGGCAAACAACGTCGACACCCGTACATCGGCGAGCTGATTGTTTTCAGCGATGTACTGCTCGACAAGTTTCGTGGCCGTCAAGGTTCCAATCATGCCGGACTTCATTGCAGCAAGAGCAAGCTGTCGGATTTCTTGTTTACATGTATCGTGCGTTGTACAAGTATCCGTTGTATCGTAGGACGAAGGATCCTGAAGGAACAATGTGCGGAAAGTAGGATATACGCGTCTGGTTTCTCGGTCCATCCTGAGTTGCATATCACGGATCTTACGGCAAATGACTGCCCGTGCAGAGAAACGCGGCAAGTCAACTGGCTCTTCTTGAACAAAAGGTTCAGAATCCAACGTTGGTTTGTCTGAAGAAACCAGTGCGGACCGAGTGTGAGTTGCTGTAGCCAAGACGTAGTCCCATTTAAGTGGTGCGGCTGCCTCAGCTACAGATGCATCCACAAAATTTGGTACTTGAAACATGACATCGGTCGCACGAATTTGCTCAATTTGTCCAGTAGCTAAAACCATAATGTGAGATGCACCCTGACCTGCGCCAGACACTTCCTTGTCTTCAGGAATCGGAAGAATTACGCCAACATAAGTAATTGTAGACTTGCGTGCTTCAACGAAGTCTCCAGGTTGAACTTCGCTCGACACAGGCACATCCTTCCATGTATAGATTGGATCAATGTCCTTGGATAGTTTTTTTTCCTGTGTTTTTACAGCATCCCATTTTGTTGATGAAGCTAACGCGGGATAGCCTCTATTACGTCGATCCACAATAGGCGTGTGGTCTGCATTCTTCTTAGGTTCGCTCCGGCTTCTGAACAAATCATCCAAGAGTTGGGTCGAGTTCTTTCTCCCCCTTCTTAGCGTACTTTTCGAGGTACGAAGTGGGGACGTATGTAACCACACACGTAAACCAGGTACAAGAGTTATGCGCGCTGAGCCAGCGCGTCCGAATACGCGCCCTAACATCGTGGCGAACGTGTCTAATGACCACACAGGTGGAGTGGTTAGCACATTGGCACAACTTTTTGTTTCAGTACACGTGACAGACGGTTGAACGCTATGTAAGGGATTCGGGGGCCTATGTCAGGTTGAGTGAGCATACAGTGGATCAGTGTCAAATTTAATGCGCGCCAGCAGGTTTCTTAATGACACTCGTGTCAGGAACGCCGGGGAGAGGGAAGCTTGTGGCAAAGGCCTTGACATCATCAGCTAGCTGGAGGATCATCTTGCGGCCCTCACCTTCACCAGTTGTAGCCTTGGCAATGAAGTCTTTGAGCAACTTAGAACCAGCCTCTTTCTGAAGGACCTGGGCAATCTCAACAGCACGGTGGAGGAACTCGCCGATTTGGTCCATATCTTTTTCGGTCATGCTACGCGAAGTGAGGGCATTTGTACCGATACGAACACCACCAGGCACGACAGCCGACGTGTCGCCAGCGACGGCATTCTTGTTCAACGTAATGTGCACAAGGTCGCAAAGCTTTTCAATCTTAGAGCCCGTTAGACCGATGGGGCGAAGGTCCCAGAGCACCAGGTGGTTGTCAGTGCCTTCCGTCTGCAGGCGGTAACCGTAAGAAACCAGCTTCTTGGCAATGGCCTGCGCGTTGGCACGAACTTGCTTAGCATATTGCTTGAAAGCTGGGTCAGCGGCCTGCTTAAGAGCAACAGCAATGCCAGCAATGGTGTTGTTGTGTGGACCACCTTGGCAGGCAGGGAACACGGCGGCATTCACACGAGCCTCGAGGTCAGGTTCACGGTCCTTGCGGAAGAAAATAAGACCGGCACGTGGGCCACGGAGCGTCTTGTGCGTTGTCGTAGTGACAACATCACAGTACTCGAAGGGATTGTTCTGCTCCTTACCAGCCACCAGACCAGAGATGTGCGCCATATCACACAGGAGGTAAGCACCCTGCTCCTTGGCAATCTCAGCGATAGTGTTATATTCCCAGTCACGTGGGTATGCAGAACCACCACAAACAATAAGACGAGGCTTAAACAGGTTGGCATTCACACGGAGACGCTCGTAGTCAATGTACCCGTCGTCACGCTTCACCTGGTAAGGGAAAGACTGGAAGTAGATTGAAGAAGCAGTGATCTTCTTCTTAGCCGTGTAGTAACCGTGCGTAAGATGGCCACCATCTGGCAGGCCAAGACCCATAACACGGTCTTGTGGCTGAATCAAAGCTGTGAAGGCAGCGAAGTTGGCAGTGGAACCAGAGTATGGTTGCACGTTGACTCCCCACACGTTCGGGTCCAGGTCGAAAGCAGCAAGGGCGCGCTTTTGCGTAAGAGCCTCAAGCTGGTCAATGTACTCGTTACCACCGTAGTAACGCGAGCCTGGGAGACCTTCCGAGTACTTGTTCGTCAAGATCGAACCGTTGGCTTCCATCGTGGCCAGCGAAGTCAAGTTTTCAGACGCAATAAGCTCAAGGCCAGTGAACTGACGATACGTCTCATTGTTGATGATTTCCTGTACCTCTGGGTCGGCCTCAGAGAGGGGCTTGTACAGGACGCTGTTCTACCCGCGCGTTAATCATAGTTAGCACGTACAAAGTCGTTAGGAATCTGGACCGAGGACATGATTTGGGGTGTAACAGATATTAAACGTGCACCCAAAGGAATACTACGTCTAGCCTGCGAAAGAAGTGGTCGAATTAGCACCGGAGCTCGCGCGCGGACAACGAGGGCCAACATACTGTTTGGGGGAGAGGAACAGAGATTGAGGACTATTGTTTCGTGGCAAGAAAGTATCTATGCCTCGGCCGATGAAACCCGTATGTTCGCCCCTTGCGGTAAGGCAGCGTCAATGACGACTACCTCCACTTCGCTCAGGAGCGCCGTTCACTTGCCAGCAATATGGGTCGTGCTGAAGCAGGGACTCCGTACGTGGACACCGGATGGCCTTTTGGCGGTACCAATGACTAACGTTTTGATAGGAAAGCGATCAGTAATGCGATGAAGGCGCGAGGCCTGACTCGCTTGCGATGGTACTGCCAAATATGCTCCAAAGCTTGTCGCGATGCCAATGGCTACAAGTGTCATATCGAATCAGAAGCACATATGAGGCAATTAGCTGCAAGGACTGGCGAAGGAGGCCAGCGAGCGGGTAAGGTAATTCATGACTACAGCTCTCAGTTTCAACATGAATTTGTGACATTACTTAGCCGGAGGTATGTCGACTGCATAAAGTTGCGCTCTAATACGCAGGTTTGGCACCCGTCGCGTGCTTGCCAATACTGTTTACCAGGAATACATCCAGGATCGGCATCATATACATATGAACGCAACGCGGTGGGTCTCGCTCTCAGAGTTTGTCAAGTTTTTGGGCCGCGCAGGAATTGCGAAAGTGGAAGGAAGTGAGCTGGGCTGGTTCATATCTTGGATTGACACGTCGTCTACTGCTCGTGCGCGCCAAGATGCTATTAAGAAAATGGACCGTGCAAAAATAGACGATGAACAACGCTCGCGCAAAGAGCTCGATGAACAAATTCGACGAGCTCAAGAGCAATACGCCCAAAGTCACGAACCCGCTTCAGCTTCGATTCTTCCCGGAACAACAAGTGGCATTTTGCGACAAGACTCGCAACTTCCTGTCAAACTTTCTTTATCTCTCTCCAAAGAGTCAGCGTCAGGAGCAGAGGACCGGCCTTTACCATCGAAGGTCGAGTCTCGCACTTCACGGTCGATATCCGAGAGTCCGCCAACAATACTTCCGAAGCGCACGAATCCACTCAAGGCTGCATCAAAAGCTTCCGAGAGAAAAGCTACTACTCACGCTACGTCTGTGAACGATACTGGTGATGTACCTTTGAGGAAACGTCCACCACCAACACACTTGGGAGCTGCTGAGCGAATTATACTGGAGGAGCAAGCGAGCAAACGATCAAGTGGACCTACGATGCAGCCTGGCGTGAAGCGTTCACGGTTTTAAATCTATGTTGGAACAAATTTGGCCATGTGTGCCACAACCGTGCGAGCGGTCAGCTCGACAAGTTCATAATACCCAGTGGGGACATTTGCCGAGTCCCACTTAGTCACGTGTATCATAACCCCGGAACAACACGGGTGGTCAAGTAGGAAACGACCGATTTGGCCGGGACGAGCCTAGGAGGCACTTGTGTTTGTAAGCGACAGAGTTCTTCGCATTGGCTGGCACGGGCAGCACTGCTACCTTCCTCATTCTGCAGCGAGCAGGACTTTTACCATACCACATGTCCATGTCAAGGTCCTCGGCTAGCGTGCTGCGTTCTGTGCCTGCCCAGCTGCGTGCTGCTGGCTCGCGCTCGCTTTCTACGAGTGCCGCCTCGATTCCTCAGGTGGCCATGGTATGTCTAACTTTTGACATTGATGTCGAAGTGTGGGTCTAACAAACAGAACGAAGGCGCGCCTGTGGCGTCTGTCACGGTTGCTGTTCGCGCTGGTCCTCGCTTTGAGTCTGAGGCTGGAGTGGCACATGCATTGAAGAACTTTGCATTCAGGTCAACAAAAGACCGTTCGGCACTCCGTATTGTGCGTGAGACGGAGCTGAATGGTGGTGTCCTGTCTGCATCGCTTTCTCGTGAGCACCTACTTCTCACTGCTGAGTTCCTTAAGGGCGATGAGGCTCATTTTATTGAGCTTCTTGCAAATGTTGTCGGCAATGGCAAGTACTGCCGCCACGAGTTCAACGAGGATGTAATTCCCTCTATGGTCGCTGACAGCGAGCAAGCCTCCCAGGACCCTGTTGCTCTCGGTATGGACGCACTTTTCTCGTATGCATACCGCAGTCGTGGTGTCGGCAGCTCGCTCTTTGCAAGTCCATCGTCGCCTGTCACTGTCGAGGCCGTCCGCGCTTACGCAGCGCAGGCTATGAACAAGTCGAACTTGGCGATTGTGAGCTCGGGTCTGTCGGATGCCACACTACGCTCGCTTGTATCCAAGCACTTTGAGAATGTGCCGGCCGGCTCCGCTCTTAAAGCTGCTCCTTCGAAGTACTATGGCGGTGACTGCCGTGCAGCTATGACTGATGCTCACGGTCATGGTCTTCCCGTTGACCACTTCTTCCTGGCTTTCGAGGGTGCCTCGCGTGTCAATGCAGCTCCTTTGTTTGTGCTCGAGTCTCTGCTGGGTGGTAACTCGTCGGTCAAGTGGTCCGCTGGTCTAAGCCCTCTTTCTCAAATCACTGGCGCAAAAGCACACGCCTTCAACATCTCGTTGCAGGACACGGGTCTGTTTGGTATTCATGTCATTGCTCCTTCGGCCAAGGTGTCCGAAGCTGCGAAGGCTGCCTCTCAGACCCTGAAGGCCGCCGCTGATAGCGTGTCGTCTGAGGATGTTGCTCGTGCTGTGGCCAAGGCCAAGTTCCTTGCTGCGCAGGACTTCGAAGGCACTCGTGCATTGAGCCACGAGACAATTGCTACTGGCTTGCTTGATGACTCATCAGCCAGCCTTGATAGCGTACTGGACAAGTTTGAGTCTATCAAGGCCGCTGACGTGTCTTCTGCTGCACAGACTCTTCTGAAGAGCAAGCCATCGTCGGTGGCACTTGGTGATGTGAAGCAGCTCCCATACGCAGACGAGCTCTTTTAAATGCTCTTCACACAGTGACATCCATAGCGATTTATTTTTTTGCTTAGCTTCTGGTAGTGTCACGACTTAGATGTGCTACGGCTCCGACGTGCTTCAGACACGGGCTTGTGGAGGGCTCCACGCATCGGGTTCGTCGAGTCGAGTGGGTGGCCTGTGTGCTGCTAAGTTGACGCGTTTGTCGTCTAGTCTTCCATTACAGTAAAGCCACGAGACGTGCAGCAGAACAGCCATGTCAAAGCCCATCGTTGTACAGACATGCTGGATGCCAGAAGATATTCTTTCGCGTTATTGCGATGCTGGAAAAATTGAGCTGCGTCTTTGGAAGCCAGAGCCAGGCGACCACTCCAAGACAGCTTCTCGAGAGTGGATTATGGAACATGTACCGGGTGCAACAGCTTTGCTGTGCATACCAATGAATAAAGTTGACGAGGCCGTTATGGAGAGGGCTGGTGCTTCTTTGAAAGTTATTTCCACAATGAGCGTGGGATACGAGCACATCGACTGTGAAGCAGCGAAAAAACGAGGGATTCGGATCGGGTATACGCCTGATGTACTCTCGGGTGCTGTGGCAGATTTGGCATTGCTCCTTTCGTTGAACCTCATGCGAAATGTGATTGAAGGCTACTTTACAGTTAAAGATGGTGTCTGGGCGTCGAATCCGTGGTCGCCTCTCAGTTTCTGTGGGCCTGCGCTCGAGGGAAAGACAGTCGGTTTTTTGGGCTTTGGTAGCATTTCGCAAACGCTTGTGCGGAAGCTGATGCCATTCAGACCAGCCAAGATATTGTATCAAACGGCCCGTCCACGTCCTTTTGACATGCATGAGGATTACTTCCGTCACATTGCGAAAGATGACGTTCTTCAATGCTACTTCAAGTGTCATGGCCGACTGCCAGTACCGGTTGAGAACGAACCTGACACGAAACGTTTTGCGACACACTGCGATGTCATCTTGTACGTCTTGTGGTCAGAATTTATTAACTACGCAGTCTTATCTGTACGTTGAATGAAACAACAAAACACATTGTCAACGCGGATTTTTTGAATTCAATGAAGTATGTTCAAGACATGTCTTGTTTTGATACTGACCCTACGCAGGTCGTCTGCTTACCTTGTCAACGTTGGTCGCGGTCCCCTTGTAGATACAAATGCACTGGTTGATGCATTGAAGCGCAATCAGATCGCTGGGGCTGGTCTTGACGTACTGGAGGGCGAGCCAAATGTTCCTGCGAATCATCCTCTCCTAGCCGCTGATCTGCAAAACAAAGTCATGATCCTGCCTCACATTGCTAGTGCCACTTTTGAGGCACGCACGACCATGGCTCGATGGATGGCTTTGAATGCACTTGGTGCCATGGATTTGCGGGATGATGGCCCCTCAGGAGCTATGCCTAGTGAGCTCCGATAAATGCCTCGAGTGCATCAATCACTATCGCTCTCATAGGCTGCAATACCATCCAATGCCACTGAATTTGTCTTTTTGGGGGCTTCATTAACATTCGACGGTGTTCTGTCAACAATTGTCGCGCGATTGCGCAGCGCATGGAGGGATTGAAGTGCGTCATCACTTAGCAAGGAAGGCTTTGCTAACGAGGGATGTAGGGCCTGAGCATTTTGAGGTGTCAATGGGGATATTGTCTTTTTGGATGCATAATACTCGTCCCAGCCCCGTTCGTTTTCTTCGTCGAGCCGCTTCTTCTCTTCCTCAGACAAGTTGAGGCGTTGTCGTTTCGCCCGGGCGTACTCCTCCCAGTCAACATCAGAGTTCTTGAGCTCTTTGTAATCGTCCTGAAGCGCGAGACGCGTGTTCTCCACTTCCGAAATGCGTTTTTCAGCAAGTCCCCGCCTCTCATGCGCGTCACGAGCTTCGCCATCGCTTCGTGGATCTTCGGCAGCCCAGCGCACGTTCAAAACTTCGTCGTGATCAAGCGACTGGTGCATCATGGCTTCCTTTGCGAATTGGGCATTTGCTTCGTATTTGTATGTGACAAACGCGATACCACGTCCAATCATTACGCGCACTAGAAGTAAGTAGACCACACTTCACTCCCCATACAAGGTGTGCATACATACCATGATCTAATTCGCCCCATTCACTAAAATGACGGCGGACAATCTTGGACATAGGTGTGGCCCCCGCGTCATCTTGACTTTCTGCTGGATTCGCAGCGGCACGTCTGAAGCTTAGAGTTGTCTCTTCGTTTATGCGACCCACGTAAAGTGTCTTGTTTACTCTTAGCATTGAGCCAACACCGCCCATGTCATCTCGATAGCTTCCATACTTTTCGCGCCCAAACACATCGGTGCCTTGGTCAGCGACTTCGTATGGTCTCGGCAATCGGTGCAGATAATTGCATTCCTCCCTGTTGTTAGCTGTTTCATGGCATGTGGAAAGCATCTACCATTCAACATACCCTTTAGGGCAGCAACCACGTGCAAAAAACAGGCACACATAGGTCGTGTCAGAGACGCCTCCTGCGCTAGCTTGAATTCGCATGTCTGCTCGAGTATAGCCAGAGTCGCGCGCAATATCACACCGTGTTTTCGAGCGACTCTTCGATTCGAAACCATGTCCTGAATCACCTCCAGACATTTTGTTATACCAGACATTATAGATCATTCCTTCCCCCAAAAAACGTTCGGCATGGTTGCGAATCTCTTCCAATTCAGCGTATGATATCTGTTTCCTAGCAGGACGCGCGAGACGCGCATCGACAACGGCTTGTGACGATGCCATAACAATCTGTGGCTAAATAGATATGGACGGCCAATGTCGCAACGAAAGTGTGGCGTGTTGGACAAATAGCGCGTTCGGTAAATCGACGTGTTGCTCGAACTGAAGGCGGTGGAGGTCGGCAACGCCTTTAGTCCCGGCGCACGAAATGAGAGATGCACTGCATGTACTCACCAGGCGTTGATTCATAAGTAAGCATTGCTGGATGTCGTACAAGGCGCTTGTGGTGACGCTATTAGAACCACTAGACACCACAGCTGAACATAGATTCGCTGCCCTGCAAAATATTCGACATTCATACGATGCAGCCTACACTCGATGGCTACCGCACATTACGCTAATCCCACCGTTCATAATCAAACCACCGGCGTCTAAAGAACGCTCATTTTCAGCTTCTTCATCACCAGCAGTATCAACTGACCTACCAGCATGGCTATCTCAGACTCTTCAAGATTTATCTCAGCGTCTGGTGGATGTGTGCAAGCGGCATTCAGCTCACAACCTTCGTCTATGCGAAGTGCATTCATTTCGGTTGCGTGCCTATACGAACATGCACTTGCGGCCTGACAAAATCACGGCAGAGCCTCTTTTAGCACTGCAGCACGACTTGAGCAAAACAGCTGCACCAATTCTGCCGTCGAAACGGACGCGACAAGGATTTATTCCACACGCAAGTCTGGGCCAAGCTTTCTCTCCAGAAGACCGTGCGGACCTGGAAACAGAAGCGCGACAATTTCTTGCATGCAGTCGGCCATCTGATGCATTTGTTCCAGTTGAAGATAGCGGGCTGCTTGTGCGAATTTACAAAATCCAGGTCATGTACAAACATGGCCAACAAAAAGGACCTTATAAGATCTGGCGTGAACTTCGGCTGGGTCATTAAGTGTACGTGTCCCAAAGCCACACTCTCAGAGGGAAACCTACTGCTACAGCCACTTGGTACACATATTCGAATGATGCATTTACTCGGTATTGCATCGCACCAAGCTTGTTGGCAGGTGAAATGCGCACAATCAGCTGTTGTCGCACGAGTTCATTCAACTCAGCTAGAGCCGTCGACGAACGGCTCCAGAACTCTCCAGCGACGTGCTCCAAATTCAGCTCCGCTTTGTTGTCACTCGTTCGTGCTGCACGCTCGGCAGGTGCCAAGAGGCCGTCTTCGTTAAGATCTAGCTCAAAGTCTGCAAGGAGCGCATGATACATGGCCAAGACTCGCTCAAGTGTAAAAGGCCGAGGGCCCCAGAATTGCGTTCGATCGAAGATCTCTGTCATACCTTCCATTTCCATGAGTGCTTCTTGTGCCGCCTTTTGTGCCTTTCCGCGTCGCCTCTTCCTCGATACTTTAAGCTCGCGAACGAAATATTTAACATCGGTAATGGCGGGGTTGTAGGAGGCAAGGAACGCAGAAATGAGCAGAAAAGCTTGCATGACACCAAATCCTGTGCGGGACGGCAATGCCATCAAGGCACTTTCAGGTTTTGTCACATTGGAGTCCAAGGCCCATGCCGACGGCCCCACATGTCTTGGCGCGACGCGGGCCAGCGCATCTCGACAAAGCTCGCTGATGTGTGGCATGAGCGATGGCATATTGGGCCTGACACCTTTCGCATGCACGACACTCATTAGCTTACGCCATAAATGTGTATAGAGAATCCGTATCTCATACTCGTCGCGGATAGTGTCTTTGACAGTGTCGTAGAATACTTGACATACAACGCGATACAATCCAAAGTCGATTCCATCAGGCACGTGCGTGAGGGCGGTTTCTGCATCTTGATCCAGGAGGGCAAGCACATCATCTCGTGGGAGGCGCGGAATCCTGATGCACAAAGGACTTGTTGACATAGTCCGCCCACTCGTGCTTCGGAATGATGCCCATGATAACGGCGACACAAACACGACCATGACCTTGCCCTGACAGCCCATCATCTCGGCAAGAAGAGGCCACATCTCTGATATATGCTCAGGCCATATATCACGAATGCGCTCAGAATCATACACCGCAATAACCCATTTAGAAATTGGCTTTGCCAGCACACGTGCAGCCTTCAGGAATGAGCTTGCATCGGAACATGCCTCAGCGTCACTTTTCAGCTGTTGAAGCACATTCGTATATAAAAGTCGTGGTGTACATGAAACGAGAGGCGAGACATGTGTAATACGTACATGCGTCGGATCGCTGGCCTTGTATGATTCCAATGCATGACGCACAAGACTGTTGGCCGTTCGCACACTGTTAGGTGCATGGACCAGAACGGAGGGAGGACTTGGCTGTGATGTCTTGTATTAGAGCCTTTTCTTTATGCTTACCTCGCCTAAAAGCTGGCCGAACAGTTGCATGGGCGCTTTCCAAGCACCCACGCATGGTGGCGATTGTACCATGCCGTACGGCTCAAGTGGGAGGAGGTTGATGTCGTGCACCCAAGTGGAGGTGTGACAATCTCGGTTCGTCAGTGTCAGATCCTCATCTCAGAACGCGCATTTCACATGGGCTCGTGTTGTACACCGTACGGGAAAAAAAGAGGGCGATCCTCAAAGCTCCTGCTTTCAATACTATAATACTGTATCTATTTCCAATAGTGCAAATTGAGGAAGAAATCCTTCATGCTTGCTTTAGGATCCGTTGGCTTGCCGTGGGCAATCAAATGCAGTTGAGCTGAGTGCCACATGGTCGACCAGCCAAAACCAATCGCTGCGACTTTCGGCATGAAAGACGGTGGTGGCGGTGGCGTCCATGTTTCACCCTTCGCATCCTCATCTGAAATATTGTTGTCCAATAATTTGCGAGGAAGTGCTGGCTCAATGCTAGCTGGTCGTCCAATACCAACCGCATCTGCTACACCTGACTCAACCGCATTTCGAATCCCCACCCGGGAATGGAATCCACCAGTTACGAGAATCCGCATTTGCGAGCTGGGTGGAAGGATACCGTGAGCACGCTGCGCAAATCCAACAAAGAATCCTTCGCGCTGTTTCGTTCGTTCCGACGCATTCCCGGCCATAGCTGGCGACTCGTAGCTACCGCCACTCACCTCCACAAAGTCCACCATGTTGGTCTCTGCCAGCCACTTGACGTTCTGCAGTGCATCGTCCTCCGTCTGTCCACCATGAATGTAGTCACTGGAGTTTAGCTTGATGCCAACGACAAACTTTGGCGAGACCTTCTCTCGGATTCCCTCGATAATTTCCCGAATTATACGGAAGCGGCGCTCAGCATCGCCGCCATACTCGTCGTCTCGAAGGTTGGTCTTTGGACTCAGGAAACTCGAGAGTAGGTATCCATGAGCAGCGTGAAGCTCAATGCCATCGAAGCCCGCCTTTTCCATGAAGACGGCAGCACGGATGAAGCGCTGGATCACGTCCTGAACCTCATCGAAAGTCAATGCATGTGGTGTGCCGAACATAATGGCATCAATCATACCTGGTTTGTCTTTCGACACCTGGACTGGCACGGCCGACGGAGCAACAGATGGTTTCCATGGAAAACGGAATGAGCCACGCATCGATTGACGCCCACAGTGCACAAGCTGCACGACTGCCAATGGGCGGCGTCCGTCCGGTGGCGAGGAGTCAGCGCGTGCGTCACCGACATCAAAGCCCTTTGTGGCGCGTGCATATTTGATGAACTCCGTCAGATACTCGGCATCGACTTTTTCATTGCCTGCATCAGGCACAACCATATCAAAGAACATGCCGATGTAGCGGCGATCCACAGCGACATTTCCCGTGATAATCAAGCCCCAGCCACCGTCAGCCCATGCTTTGTAGAGACGGTACACGTCGTCATTTGGCTTACCCCCGCCCAAAGTCGACAGCATTTCCTCCATGGGGGCTTTGGTAAACCGATTTGGAATCACTGCGCCGCATGGCAAGGTTAGTTCTGATGCAAGAATGTTGATGTTGGAATTCATGATGGATGTCTGAGCCAAGACGCAGAAGCAATTAAAGCGCACATGAATTCTTCTCCACTACGCCTGGGCACTATGGGGACGCGTCATCTTGGGTTCGAATTGTTCTAGTTCTGCCATTTGCTTGCCAATAGCACCACGCATCGTGCTAGGGTGTGCAAGAATCTCATGAGTAAACGGATGCGCCGTATTTGAAATGAAAAGGAATAAAAGCTGTTCGCCATAAAGATCTAGTGTGTTGATACTTTGAGTGAGTGTGAGAGTGTGTGCGTGTTTTTCTCGCTGAAGCGCCGCGCTTGGCACATGCGCTAGCAGGACACAGTTAGCCCAGTTTGAAGTCGTGGCAGTCACCATCATATGCCAACGCTACTGTGAAATGCGACACATAATTTCTAGGTCTACAAGACAACAAACCGTTGTAGGCCATGACTAAGTAATCTCTCTCAGGTTCGTATTCTTTGCGGTCGATATACCATAAGTGTAAGGCGTGATACAAAACTTGATAGACAATTAAGTATTTTTACAAATAAGACTACTTCCAAAAGTGCAAGTTGTAGAAGAATGATCCCATACTTGCATGAGGATCCGTCGGATCTCCATGTGCGATCAAATGCAGTTGAGCAGAGTGCCACATGGTCGCCCAGCCGAATCCAGCAAGTGGCAACTTCGGAATAAATACGGGTGGTGCTGGGGGCTTCCACACAACCGCCTTGGCATCCTCATCTGAAACAGTCGAATCCATTAACTTGCGAGGCAAGTGTGGTTCGAGGCATGCTGGGCGTCCAATGCCAACAGAATCTGCCACACCAGATGCTAGGGTGTCATAGATGCCAGCGCGTGTTTGGAAGCCGCCCGTAACAATGATGCACATTCGACAGCCAGATGGAAGGATACTGTGTGCGCGCTGCGCAAATCCAACAAAGAATCCTTCGCGCTGTTTCGTTCGCTCTGAGGCACTCTCGGCGAATGCTGGCGACTCGTAGCTACCGCCACTCACCTCCACAAAGTCCACCATGTTGGTCTCTGCCAGCCACTTGACGTTCTGCAGTGCATCGTCCTCCGTCTGTCCACCATGAATGTAGTCACTGGAGTTTAGCTTGATGCCAACGACAAACTTTGGCGAGACCTTCTCTCGGATTCCCTCGATAATTTCCCGAATTATACGGAAGCGGCGCTCAGCATCGCCGCCATACTCGTCGTCTCGAAGGTTGGTCTTTGGACTCAGGAAACTCGAGAGTAGGTATCCATGAGCAGCGTGAAGCTCAATGCCATCGAAGCCCGCCTTTTCCATGAAGACGGCAGCACGGATGAAGCGATGAATCACATCCTGAACCTCATCGAAAGTCAATGCATGTGGTGTGCCAAACATGATGGCATCGAACCAGCTACGCTTATCTCTGAATGTCTGAACAGGCACAACAGAAGGTGCAACAGCTGGAACCCATGGCATTCTGTATGCGCAGCGCATCGATTGACGCCCACAGTGCACAAGCTGCACGACTGCCAATGGGCGGCGTCCGTCCGGTGGCGAGGAGTCAGCGCGTGCGTCACCGACATCAAAGCCCTTTGTGGCGCGTGCATATTTGATGAACTCCGTCAGATACTCGGCATCGACTTTTTCATTGCCTGCATCAGGCACAACCATATCAAAGAACATGCCGATGTAGCGGCGATCCACAGCGACATTTCCCGTGATAATCAAGCCCCAGCCACCGTCAGCCCATGCTTTGTAGAGACGGTACACGTCGTCATTTGGCTTACCCCCGCCCAAAGTCGACAGCATTTCCTCCATGGGGGCTTTGGTAAACCGATTTGGAATCACTGCGCCGCATGGCAAGGTTATGGTTGACCATAGCAGATCGGTCTTTGATCCCATTGTGGAACTGGAACGCAGGGTTTTGTGAAGAAATGGCCCAAGCTTCAGATCCTCCACACATGTGCATCATCACCTGGCTTGAATCTTGGGGTATCATCTAAATAGAATTCATGCAAAATAGGCTATGATAGGCATAACAACAAGTGTGACCAGGCAACAGCAAACCAGTCCAAATTAGCCATGCCAGCGATCTGGCCGAGGATGGAAATAGCCCATGTTGGGTGCAGATCGCATGGGCAAACGAGACGCCGGTGATGGCGCATACATCGAGTCATGAGGGGCATATTTGGGAGGCATGGGATAGTTATACATGCTCATCGGCGGTGGCATGGGCGCAGCACCATATGGCGCAGCATTAGGCTCTCGGTAGTACATGGACGAGGCTGGAGAGGGCGTGTGGGTGGGTCGTGGTGGCGCCGAGTAGTTGGGATATGAAAAGCCCATCATGGGTTGCGCCACTGGCGACCAATGAGTTTCGGCGCCTAGCGGCGGTGGTACTTGCTGGGGCTGCGATGCACCGGAAAAAGCTGTTTGTGGAGTCTGAGCATGGGGCAATGGTACCTGGATATGTGCATGTGCATGTTGCTGTGGATGAGAACGCGTAGAGGTTGCAAGCATGTTGGGAGGCGGCGATACCGTAGCGTTTGAGTACAGCATTCCTGGCGGTGGTACTGGGTGTGCATGCCCTGGGCCCTCAGTGCCCGCAGAGAATTGGTCTTCATCGTCCGTCTCGTCATCGATGGCAGCTGACATTTCTCTTGGCGGCGGAGATGGAGGCTTCATCCCGGGAGACGGCCAACCGAGAATCGAGGCCTTCGCTGAGCCCTCCGGCAAAGAATCGTACCAATGACGAACAAAAGCCGCAGCTGCATGGGCCTTGTCTTCCCACGACATGTGCGCATGCTTCTGAGCCAGACCAGCTGCCTCTTGGAAGTGGCTGCTCTCGCTAGCGTGCCGCGCAAAAAAATTGCGGGTCTGTGCTGGCGTTTTGGCGGGGAACGAGGCAGCTAGCGCATTCCAGTCTTTCCCATAGATGGCAAGGAGTCGCAAGAACTCGGCCCTCTCCGACATGGACCAATGCGGACCCCGTGAACGGCTTTTAGGTTCGTCGCTATCTTTCACTCTTGATGGCCGACGTTTCTTGGGTTCTGGTGCGAGAGTCGATGCTGTGGGAGGAGATGCAGTTGTGGCTGGAGCTGCCGATGGATCAGACACGGGCGTAGACGCCTGTGCTGGTGCTGGCGTCGACGACGATGGCATGACCGCGGCTGATTCTGGCATTGGCGCCGGTGCTGGTGCTGCTACAGGAGCAGCGAGGCTGGCCAGAGCTTCTAGCGCTTCTGCAGCCGCCAAGTCACGCTCCAACTCCGTTTCAGCACCCACACCCACAGATGACTTGTCCGTCTCCAATGGCGCATCCCGGCGTGGTTTGGACGCAGGCCTTGGCTTTTTGGACTTCGGTGCCGCTTCGTCCGAGCGCCGCTTCGATGTAGGTGCTGGCGCCGGCACAGCTGTTGAAACCGGATTGGTCGATCCCGTCGCTGAGCGTTTCTCTTCATCCTCGGCATCAAGCTGAGTTGCTGCTATGTCGGCCATCAGTGCACTGCCCTTGGATTTCTTTGGTCGTGATTTAGTCTTTTTGCGCCGCTCCCTGTGTCGTGCACTGAGCAGCGCCTTGTAACCCTCCAAATGTTTGTGCAAATAATAAAATGCGACGCATTGGTTCGGCGTCTTGTGGGGCAGCTTCTCAGCAATGCGACCGAATTGCTTTGGATACAAAACGTATCGGCGAGCAAAGGTCGCGCGTTCTTCCTCACTCCATACGTCTGGATCAAACCCACCAAAATAGAAACTCACCGGATCTGCCACATGCCCATTGTCACCATCAAAAAATGGTGTACCCTTTAGCTCCATGTCAGGAATGACAGCAGATGTACGTGCTGCACGGACGACGGGATCTTGCATCTCAGCATTCTCGAGTGAAGCGAGAATTTCCTGAAATTCTGCTTCCGACCGCACAGCGTCACCAAAACTACCTGAGCCAATGCCACCCCGTCGGAACGAGCGAGTGGTGGCCGACGATGACGTTGTCGACGTTGAAGGCAGGGCACTCGCGCTCAATGCTGGATCGTCCTGATGCATGGCACGCTGCTCATGCTCTTGATCAAGCCGCTCACAGTACTTGACCCATGCCTGGTGCTTTGCTCGGTATTCATTCCGAAGCCTTGTAAGTTTAGCTTCTTGGGACTGTTGACACTCATGAATTCGTTGCTTCAGGTAAGCATCGATCTCTCCGGCAGCGACTCCCGGTTCTTGCTCAGCACATTTCTGCAGACCCAAAGCAGCTGGTACTCGCAAGGATGCCACGATCCGATGGTTTTGTTCGAGCAAAGCATGCGATTCCTTTTCAGACCAGGGGTATTTGATCATAAGCTGTTTCACTAATGCTTGGATTGCGCGCTGCATCTCTTCTGTTTCATCACATGGCGTAACGTCCATGGCGTGACTTGTGTCAGATTTTCTGCGTGTGTCAGAAACAACAGACATATCCATGGGTTCGGCGTCCACGATAGGTTCAAGCATCGTAGGAGGCCTAAAAGATTCACTCTCTGAAATGCGCGATACGTCGTCAGGTCTCTCGACAGGTTGCAATGTCTCTGACTCAAGGGACCGAGGTATTGGACTCTTTCCCGGCCCTTCTCGCGCAGAAGTGTCCTGTGTTACATCCATCGAAACCATTTCTTTAGACATCTTTTCGAAAGAGGGGACTGAAGTTTTTTCGTCCTTGTCCGTCGTCGTTGGAGTCGCAGCCAACGGTTGCTTTGATGCACTTTCTGCCTGCTCCAGGGCGTCAGGATCGGGCTTTTCAACAGGGCGCCGCTTATCTTCTGGCTCCCCATACAAGTCTTCCGTTACATGCGCTTCTTCTTCTTGTAAAAAAGAACGCCTTGGGTGCATCTGATCAAGACCAGCTTGATCATAATCATAGTATGCGTACTCGCTACGCGACACACGATATGGGCGACCCCGTTTGTGCCTGGGCCACTCAGTCTCACCTGTTCGCGAATTCCACTCACGTCCCTTGGTAAATATGCGGTCATTGCCCCGAGACCGCCACCGCGGCGCAAGATGACCTACATCGCCTCGAGGGGATGCGGACGACGCTCCTGTCTTGCGCGCAGACTCACGCTCTCTCCCCGTGACACGCGCATGGTCTTGAGTAGCGCGCGATCCACCCTCACGGATTAATGGCACGCTTCCATTGCGTTCATGGCTAGCATGCAACGGCGACGGTGGCATTGAAACGCCACACACCCGTCACGATCGAATCGTTGTCGTCGCGAGTGCTAATGACGCCGTGGCGGCTAACGCCCGATCATCTTAATGTCTCGGCCGAATTATCGGAGCTTCTTGCACGGGTGTCCGACCCCCTTGGCCCCTGAGTGGATTAGTGGGGGGACCAGGTCGGACTGACAAGTGGCGGCCAAAGCAACGGCACTCAACGGTTCTTCTCTTTTCCGTCTCTCCAACTGGATTTGCAAAACTCACCTGCCACTTTCGTGTAGGTAAATTTGTTTCACATACCTCTTCCAACATGGCGATGAAACGTATTAGCAAGGTATGTATATGCAACCATAGCGCACTAACTTTGCACAGGAATTGGCCGACCTTGGTCGTGACCCGCCGTCGTCGTGCAGCGCCGGTCCTACAGGCGACAACATGTTCCAGGTACGTCTACCACTTGTCGAGTAGTATGCGTGTGGACTAACACCGACAGTGGCAAGCCACTATTATGGGTCCGGTATGTCAATAAAGAGCCGGCTTCATGTGCCGCTTCGAAGTATAGGACGTGTTCTAACTAATGGCAGAGCGACTCGCCATACTCGGGCGGTGTCTTTTTCTTGTCCATTACCTTCCCAACGGACTACCCATTCAAGCCACCGAAGGTGTCTTTCTCGACAAAGATCTACCACCCCAATATCAATGCGAACGGCAGCATTTGCTTGGACATTCTTAGGGATCAATGGAGCCCAGCACTTACGATTTCCAAAGGTATGTGTGTCGCGAGCTAAGGGACGTTCTAACGCTTTCCAGTGTTGCTTTCAATTTGTTCGATGCTGACGGGTATGTGTCCACATTGCGATATTTGTAGCTTCACGCAACGCTAACCATATCAGACCCGAACCCGGATGACCCGCTTGTGCCAGACATTGCGCACCTTTACAAGACTGATCGAGCTGCCTACGAAAACACTGCTCGTGAATGGACGAGGAAGTACGTATAAGAGTCATCTTTCTGACACGATCTAGATATGCTATGTAAAAAGTCGTACATGTGCTGCGTTGTTCCCATAGGTGTTTCCGTGATGCATCTACGATAGTGAGAAACGTACTCGTTTTTTCACGTATCTGTCCTACGTATGTGAGAGAAAATGCCCAATAGAGTGTGCCATCTGTAAATGGGGCCTGGCATCAATAAGAAATTTGGGGCATTGCGAAAGTCATTCTGATCCTAGTGATCCACGCGCCCTAGTATCTTCCACGAGCGCACTACTCAAGAAGTACACGTGATGTTGTGACACAAAAAAGAGCGCTACGCAAAGATACTGACTCAGGAGTTCCTCTGGTAAGCCAGGGCTGTTGATAAATGCTAGAGATCCGTGGAGCTCCGCATTGACAGACGCCCAAAGGTGTGTGAACGAGCAGACGATTGCGTACATTCTTGTCGCCGTCAAACTAGATCTGCAATGTATTCGAATTCTAGCAGCGTTGCCGCGGTGCCCATCATGGATCCTCAATAGTGAACCGCATCAGGATGACCAATTTGCGGGCTACATAGCACTACGTCAATTGTAAGCACGAGGTTATTCCTATCCAATGTGGTGTACCATACATGAATGTCTCATTTCATTTAGCGACACCTCTCGATCAAAGACAGACCTTATAATTATTTTCAAAGTTACAGATCGTTCTAATGCGCTATTTCGCAAATGAGGTCCAGAATTAGAACAGACTCGCCCCGGGAATCTCATAAGAAGGGGCCAAACGCTTTCATGTTGAGAAATTCGACAAATGACCTCGATTCCTTACACGCAACGATTCTTTCGACATTCACGGAGGGCGTGGGGTAACCGTGCGGTAGTTGCCCATCCCATTGCAAGACATACGTATTACCAATTCCCATTCAATCCCAGGCTCATGGCGGAGGGTTCACATCCCTCGGCTATTCCAGGTCCTGAAATACTAAAGCCCACTCTTTGAAATGTCAAGCCTCATACATGATCCTTCGCTGCTAATGAACTTGAGCACCACCGACATCGGGGCTTTTATTGTGGCTTAAGCACACCCAGACAGGGAGCCAACCTGTAGGAGCTGAAGCCAGAGTTTCCCGACACTTGCATTGTCTCTTACGACCGCTACATTTGGGTAAATGTGGACTACAAACGATTGACTGAAGAGAAAGTTTGTCCACTCAATTCTTTTTCTGCTTGATTTGTGGTTTTTTGTAGGTGTCGCGGTAGACTGAGTTAGGCTAACAACATTGGGACGTACAAAGAATGAACAAGAAAAGGTAGCTCGACAAGATGGCAAGACCTGAAAACGCAGCGGCAGGGCGGCCATAGCAGAAACCAACGTATGGAAGCCAAGGCGCGAACTGCGGCACGTAGTGATGATAGACTGATGTGAGTGAGACAGAGCACATTGCACGTACTTCCATAGGTACAGATGGCCACGTCGATCACAAATTGGATAATCTGACTCGATGTGACCATCTTCTTCCACGGGCATCGGATACCGATGGAGGTCATAGCATAGTATCCATACATAATGACATGAACGGTCAAGTTGAGGCAAATGATAACCCATGAAAGCGGGGTCTCATTCACGATCTGCGAGTAGCACAGTGCTGCCGTGGCCATGTGGTGGTACACGTGCAAAAACATCAGCTTTTTCTTCTTGATCACCAGGAAAAATGTGTCAAGGAATTCCCAGTACTTGAAATAGTAGTTGATGATATGGAACATCTCAACTTCAAAGTACAGCGACCGCAGGCAAAAGGCTTCGTGCAGGCCATACCTAGCCATAAGCTGAAACTCCCGCTCCAGGTATAAAAGCAGCAAGATCAGACTTCCTACACTCAGCAGCACGTTGTGCAAAAAAAACGGCACCTTCAGGTAGTGACCAGGCACAGCAGGGAAATGTCGCATAATAGCTTGCCCACCAAGCACGGCGACCACGTAGGAAAGTGACGCGACCGTTACCGAAGTCAACGTAGACATGGGCGTCACACCTGGCTGCCAATGTTGGATCGGTCCAGTGAGCTGCGCAACATTGGCAGGCACAAGCGAAGCCAGCGCTTCGTACAACATTATGAACGTGAAGTGCAAGAGAGAAGTGAAAGGACCTTTGCGGAATAATTCCGTGTTCTGCCGCGCCGCGTATGTCTTGCAAGGCTCTCATCATTTCTTATATAAGCATTTCGCCATGTTATCGTGGGCCACGAAGCATGCCGGGACAAAGGTGGGCGCTGTGGCCAAAGCTGTAAGGACTGTGAGCACAGTCGCTGAGCATGTATGGCTCTACGCAGGCCGGTGGAATACAGAGTCAATCTCGCACGGCCGGCTCGAGCGTGTACCGTTGGGGCCGCTGGGAACCGTGGCCGCTGCGTCTGTGTCTCATGCATTGATTGCGGATCCTACGGGCACGACGATCTTTGCGTCGGGTCAGAATGGGCATGGTCAGCTAGGAACACATTCCAAAAGTACACGAACGCTCAGTACTTCGTCTCTATGCGTCAATGAGCGCATCCACACTGTAGCTGCCGGCCTCGGCTTCTCGTTGGCTGCTTCGGAACGCACCTTGTACGCGTGTGGCACGAACGTACGTGGCCAAATTGGGCTTGGCCCTGCAACGCCAGACATATATCAGCTCAAACCTGTCCCGCTTCCCCGCGATGATGTCTATGTGGATGATGTATGCGCAGGACTGGATCACACACTCGTGCTTGCGTCGCAGCCAGCTCATGGGCCGCACGCATCAGCTGCACGAACCGAGACTCAGTATCTATGGGCCTGCGGTTTGCACACGGACAACCAGCTAGGATTGCAAACCAACGCCCCGTACTTGACACAATTTGAGCCTGTTCATCTAGACCTAGAGCATGGTGAACAAATTGCGCGTATTTCAGCTCAGGGCGACACTTCAGCTGTTCTGACCAGCCGGGGACGTGTATTCATGTGGGGTAACACGGAGTACGGCCAGTATGGATCTGACGCAGCTGCAGAGTCAAAGAGCTCCCTTGACAGATTGCCTATGCCCACCCTTCTTCCCGTGCCACCGGGAATCTGTGACCTTTGCTTGGGTGGCAGCTTTCTCTTGCTTTTAGACGGTACGTATGAGCCACACTGTTATGGCATGCTGGAAGGATGCACATGCAACAACATAAGCATCGGGACCATCTGAGCAAAAGCCATGACGATGAGGCCCTCTCTATCTTCACTCTCTTGTTGGAGCGTCGTTCGTGAGCATGCTTCATCTGGCCACAGGCACGCTGCACGATCGGCGCTCTCAGCACTCACTCGCTGAACAGCAGCAGCCAGCAGAATGCGCATCTACCTTTGCCCATCTAGCTGATCGTCGTTACTGACACATGGTTAAGAGCATGGCATACTGTACACAGCAGGATTTGGTGCTACGGGACACGCTTGCTCCATGCTGGCACCGCTATGGTTGCCGAGCGGTGAGCGAGTGCTGCGAATCAGTGCAAGTCTGCAGAATGCAGCGGCTGTCACACACCAAGGAAATATATGGACATGGGGTATCGACTCGGAGCACGGCCGTCTTGGCCATGCAAGGCACCATAGCGATCGTCGCGTGCCAAACCCACGGCAGGTGCAGCTACCAGAGTACCGAGCGCAGGATGTAGTATGTGGAGGGGAAGCGTTGTTAGTGCGTGTGGGCTAGTGGCAGTCTAGTCTTGACTGGTCTCTTTCTCCCCACTCTGGTATATACTTTGAGTCGGTGGCTTACATGCGTGTGGTATTTTGGCAAAGAGCGGCTCAAAAACGGCCTTGAGTTTCTTGCGCCGCTGCAGTGCATCTGGCAGGGTCTCAGCAAGCTGTGGTCGGACAGGCCCAGCCTCAGCATCGTGCTTGCGCTTTTTGCCTGCACTCGCTTTGATCTGCCGCATGCGCTTAGTCCAATTAGCTTCGATCTCTCGCTCGACGGCCTGTAGACATGCCTGATAGTCTTGGTAAGCCATCCGGTCTTTGGCCACCTTGAAGAGGCTCGCTTTGCGCTCCTCATTCATTTTACTCTGCCTTCGAAGCCGCTCCTGTGCAAGCCGCAGCATCGACGCAATGAGACTATCACCATGCTCTTCCCACTGAATCGGCACACCTGCCTCGACCAGGCCAATTGATTCACATGCGCGTCTAGTTCGACTCTCCATTTCAGCGAAGGACTGGTGCACATCAGGCGGGGGTCGCTCCTCTTCCATCGCAGCCGCTGATGACGCTTCAGCTGTAGGAGTCACTTCCGTGACAGATGATGCAGTAGCTGCTTTTGAAGTTGGGTTCTCTGGTACCATCAGTGAGGATACAAGTCGTTCCATCAGTGGACCACCGCGGGTAACACGGTCGTACATATTTGCATCTACCAGGTCCTCAATCGCTAGGGACGATGGTACTGTTGCAGCATCTGTCACAGAGGTCGAATCCTTTGACGTAGCCGCCGTGTTTCCAGCCTCAGTTGCATTTGTTGGTGGTGCATGCGGTGCTGGCGTCGATGAAGAAGACAGGCTATCATCCATAGCCTTGAGCACACTTTGCAGTTCAGCGTCTTCTTTTTCCCATACTTTTCGATAGTGTAGACCCAACTCCGGAAATACATAGGGTGATGGATCATCTGCGCGACTCGAGAGCCATGCAAGATCATCCTCTGTGATGGGTTTGAAAAATGCATCGACATAGTTGAAGAAAGTTGTGGCTGGCACTTGAGCAGCTTCCTTTGTGGACCGACTTCGATTGCTAGTATCCTTTACTGGTGGCTGCGGAGTGGACGCATCACCTGACAAGGTCATTGTCGAATTTTCTGCCGCTGCCATTGCTGCTGGCGTCCCTGCTGCTTTTCCTACCGAGTACATTGACTCACGATCATGCCAGTCCGTATTCGCAAAATCTTCATGTACATCGTACGGGTGCGTTGGATATGGACGAATTTCACGAATGGGCTCCCGCTTTGGCATTACACATGAGGCCATATCTGCTGGAGCATCCCAGCTAAACGTAGTTGGATCGTGGAATGTGTCGCCATGCATGTTCAAGATGGACTCGGTCCCTTCGCCAAACTCAGAGGCAGAACCAGTCATGGAAGCAGGCAGTGCTGCTGAGGAAGCATCAGCTCCTATTCCAGGAGTTGCTTTTAGCATTATTGCTCCCGTTGTAACTGCCGAATCTTTCTTTCCAATCGCATCTGGACTGGGGTCAGAAACAACGTCTGATCCATGCTTTGAAGCAGAAGTGTGTGTAGACCTGGACGAATCAGAGCGTAGTCGTAATGCATCTTCAGGATTGGTAAGCCGCAGCTTGATGCCTAGTGATGGTTGTTGCTGTGGTAGCGGATGTGACTGGGTATCAGATGGAAGAGCCTCTGTCTTGGGCTGAGAACGAGACTTGGCTTGCATTGCATTCAGAGGGATGTCGCTCTCAAGATCAGAATCAGCATCACTCCCACTAGCATCCTGTCGACCCAGGCCGTTTCTTCGCCGATGTCCGGCACGTCCGTACGTCCGATTAATATTTCCCCGAGCACGCATGTCACCAGCATTACTCCAATCGGTGCCCTCAGGTTCACTTTCTGTCTTGCGCGAGCCCGTGGCCCTCACATGATCCAGAGAAAAGTCTTCTTCGCGTTTGACTTGCGTTTCGCGCTGTTGTTTTTTAGGATTCGGTGGGCCTGAGGATCGCCGTTCTTCCGCCAATGTTCGTGCACGTGCCTCGACATCCTGACGAAGTGATTGAAGATGCTGCGAAAGCTCAATGAGCTCATCCAATGTAGGAATAGCGCCAGATCCTGTACCCGCTAAGCCGATATATCGCCGGTACAAGGGCGCCGTGCTCGTGCGAAATGTCGCTGGGACGCCCGCTGCCGGCATCAGTGGCGTCGTCGCCGCGTTCGAGATACGTCGTTGTGTCAAAGGTCGATCGTGCACGTGTGTGTCACGTGAAGATTCGTCTCGTGTGGGGTGAAAAGAGTTGGTTAAGAACAGACAGCTTGAGTATGAAACACATGCTTTGTCAGAGTGCTTAGAGTTGATCTACTAGAGTATTAAGTGGAGGCTTCAGGCTTTGCGCCCAGAAGCGGTTAATCACATGGGCATTGGCGGGAGCAGGCAAACAGTAGCCAATCAATTGGGATGGTGATACACCTAAAGCTCATTTTGGCAAGGGCACAAAATCGAGGTCTTTAAATACACATGCCTTAGTCGGCCGGTAGGTTTTGCACTCTTGGGCTGCTTTTATTTCAAACTTTGTTAAAATTCCCTCTTAATACCTGGCTTGACCTTCTTTCATTCGGTGAACAACCTGAGATACCCTTACTAGGATGGATCCCTCGACATTCCCCGCCCCATATGGTCGCCTGAACAAGACCCAAGGAGATGCACTTGTGTATTCGACGCTGTGTGGATTCATGCTAGTGGGTTTATGGGCCGGATTTAATACTCGCAGTAAGCGTGAATTTATTAGTGGCGTACGAACGCAGCCGGGTACGTCGGTCACTTGAAGCTCTGACAAATTCCAGCGTTGCCTTTGGCGTTAAATTGGATTGCTTCTGGTTAGTGTCGCGTTCGACACCTTGTGTGGATACGACAGGGATACGGTAATCGAAACTGGCATATTTTGCTACACAGAACGAAGCGACGAAGAGGGATGCCGTTAGTCCCTGGTTTAAACTCATACTCACCGTTCTCACACTGGCTTCGAGAGCCGTCCGTGTGTATTGCCCGAAATCGCTGGGCTTGCGCATGGATGTCTTAGGTGGTGACTTGGATACGGGTGCCTGTGTCTTGAGCTGGACTTGTTAGAGAGCCAGACGAAGTCCGTGCAATTCTTATCAGAATACATGGACTAGAGACTGTGGCTGAGATTATACCGTCTAAACAGGACATGAGAGAGCAAAAGAAGGATGCCCTGTTTTACACCTGACCGAGATCATGCTCGCGAAGGGAATTCTGTGTCACTGTCGTTCTCGCCGGTGTTGAATGTGGTGAGTCAGTACTAACGTCTGCAGCTATGTCATCGTCTCTTCTTCAAGCATATCCACAGATGACGCTTGTACCAGGCGCTGGTCTATTTGGACTTGGCGCATACGCGTTCTCGACAATTGCGCCTCTCTGGGCGTTTGCCTTCTTTGGTCCATTGATCCGACATTACTGTCCAGATGGATTCACCCTTGCGGAATTTGTTCGCCGTCGCTTTGGCTGGGTCATTGGCATTTTCAGTGCAATGGTGTTTATTGGGTTCATGTTTTGCTTCATGATTGTCGAATTGAACACTTACAGCGTCATTGTCCGCTCAATCCAACCCGACATTAGCAAAGTGATTCCACCACTTATCATTGCGCTCACGACGACGATCTACACGACATATGGTGGTTTCAAAGCGTCCCTGTGGACGGACAACTTTAATGCGATCGTTGTCATTGTGTTCATTATCATTGGTGCCGTCATGTTTGGCAAGCGTCTCGACATCGACAAAGATTTAATGCATGATAGTGGCATGCTTGGAGCGCATCGACTCGGTGGCGAGCTTTGGTACATTCTAACAATCTCGATTATTTTTTCGCAAATGTTCAACCAGGGCTTCTGGCAGCGTGCGTTTGCTTCCAAAACGAATACTGGTCTGTACCTGTCGGTGGCCATGGCGACCATACCGTTATTTGCTATCTGCTTCTTGGTGGGCATGGCTGGACCCCTCGCTTACTGGTCGCATGTCCAGCCGCCACTCAACACCAGCACTGAAGACACCTCCCTCTATGATGACGGCTCCAATGCTTTGTTCAGAGCCTTGCTATACATGCCAAAGTGGGTACATGGCCTGGTTCTCGTGTTGACGGGTGTGCTCTCCTCAAGTGCGTACGACACATTTCAGTCGGCCATGATCAGTGTGATCGAGAGTGATTTGCTGTTAAGTCGTGTCAACATCTGGTGGTGCAGATTGATCCTTATCATGTTCAATGTACCCTGCGTCGCGCTAGCTGTTATTGATATTGATATCCTGCAAGTGTTCCTGGTAGCTGACTTGGCTGGCTTGGCGGTGATTCCGTCGGTGTTTTTGGGCTTGGCGCCCCGCCTTGATGTGTTGAATGGCTTTGATCTCGTGGTCGGTGGTTGTGGCGGATTCCTCACTGTGTTTGTGTTTGGTACGATCTACTACAACGGCGATGCAATAGAGGGCGGGCAGTTGATTGGATTGCCGAACGGGTTGTATGGCGATCCTGATGACTACAGCGTCATTGGTGCCTTCCTTGCAGCCCCGCTCGGTGGCATGGGATTCACTCTTGCATCCTGTGGTACGCGGATCCTCTTAGGTTGGTTGTACGCCCGGATCACAAATACTCCTTTCACCATGCTTCGGAAGCGTGACTTTCATATCCAGGACTACGTCATTGAGTCGGATCGCCCCGAGTCGTTCTTCGACAAGATCAGGAATCCTCAAGACGGACATCGACTCGACGCGGACCCGCCAGAGCGCACTGCGAATGAGATCGAGTTCAATTCTAAACTGCATGCGGCTACGCCACACGTCATCCGGCATGTCTTGGGCCGCATGGGATTATTTCCTGAACGCGCCAATAACAGTCAGGGGCAAGTCGACGAGGCTCCTGCAGGCGGCCTTGATGAAAAGAATCTGGAGAAGGAATCGCCCTTCGACTCGGATGAGGAGGCATCCCTAGAGCACAAGCAGGTACTATCGAGATCACCAGAGTCGCCAGGGCAAATGCCGGCCTCGAATGAGACAACGGGGTCGAACCCTTCACCCACACAGGATGCGGCACAAAAGGTTGTGATCATGCCGCCACCAAACCGCTGGTAAGAGGAAGTACATACGTGTCGCGCTTGCACGCATAGGGTATCATGTTATGTAATAGTGCTATGATGAGCGTGGGCGTTTCTCTGGTATATCGGCTTGCGTCGTAGCTGAGAGTGGGTGCATTGTGCCTGAGACGGTGCCGTGCTGACTGGACGAGTCAAATTCGTCTACAAGACCAGCTGGTAACCCGGTGCTCTTGGCATCTGAGCTGGGTTTCGTGGGGGATGTGGGTGGCTCACTGTCGTGTGCAGGCAGTGGAAATGGGAGTGGGGCATACAACTGTGCATCTGAACCGGTGCGCATGCGAAATGGCGACTCATTAGAAGAGGGATTGGTCGTCGACGTTGCTGTGAGTGAATCGTTGGCAGGCAAATCACCGGGCTGGGAAGGACGAGCATCATCTTCGGCACATGCATATTGTGCACGTACAGAAGCCATACCTGTCACGCACAACACACGTCGTAGTGCTCCCAAGAATTTGGACCGAGTGTGGTAGTATCTAGCAGGGTCCAAGACGAGCTCGGCGAGTCGCTGAATTGTAAAAGGAGGTGCTTCGTCAAACTCGTCCAAAAATGCACATATGTGCTCACACACACGCTCCAAGTCCTGGCCATCGAGGACGACGTCCCATGATGGCCATGTCTCGGACGGTGGTGGCGTACGTGCAGGGTAGAAATCTTGCAAGTCCTCGGGCTGGATCTCATGTTCCGACATGACGAGATCAAAGGCGGCTGAGCGTGGTTCGTCGGTGCCTTGTGATTCGCGCATCATCTGAGCAAGTGGCGCAGCTTTGTGCAAGACCGGTAGTGTGCGGGTATCGTAGGCTTTGGCATGCGTCCGAATACACTGCTTGATAACAGGCCGCATTGTCGGCCATGCAGAGACAAGCTCTGCTGTCATAATCCCATTGGCATACTGTGAAAGAATAGTGTGATGCTCTTGACTCAGTCCTAAGTGATCAACTGATGGTGTAGGCCTCGACGGTTCCGCCGTAGGATTCGTTGAATCCATCCTTCGTCACAGGATGAACACAAATGAAATGTCCTTTAAGAAAAGCGCGTCGAGGAAATTTAGGGTTCTTTGCGGCAAGCCACACGGCCCCCGATTCTTTGATGGCTGCCGCCACTTGTAGGCTCGTTTCGTTTCATAGTCGGCCTCGATTTTCCTCCCAGCAAGCATAAGTGGAGAACCCCCCCCCCCCACCCCTCGAGTCGATTGACATCCGACCAGAGTAGGGAGTGCGCCGCACTGAGGCTTGGGACAGGGAAGAGATCCTCCATGTGAACAGCTACAAGTAGGAGAAAAAAATACAAAACTACCCCAGCGAAGAAGTGACTGGCATGTCGACACTCAAGCGGCAGAATTTACTGTGCCAAACCCTAACTCTGTAAGGGCTGCTGCTTATTTCCTCATCCCACACGTTTGAAACAATTGGCAAGCCAAGCGAAAAAGCAAGAAGCAACAACAAAAGAAAAACAGAACCGAGAGTAATTTAGATCCGATCAGCTGACGGACCTCCGCTGCATCATTTCTTCCGAGCCCTTCGAACTTTTTTCGACACGACACGAAACGTGCGCGCGACGTAAAGACTATGTCCGCCATGGCGTCGTCGCTAAATCAGGACAAGTGGATCGGGTTCATGCTCGCCGTAAGCTCAAGTGCCGCAATTGGTACGAGCTTCATCATCACGAAAAAGGGTCTTATGAGTGCCGCGGAAGATAGTGATGGCCTTGCATCGGACCGTCTGAGCTACCTAGGCAATCCGATTTGGTGGGCCGGCATGGCAACGATGGTTGTGGGAGAAGTAGCCAACTTCATTGCCTATACGTTCGCACCGCCCATTCTCGTAACGCCCCTAGGTGCGCTGAGTGTCCTTGTTGGCGCTGTGCTGGCGTCGTTTGTCCTGAAAGAGCGTCTCGGGCGCCTGGGCATCTTGGGATGTGCACTATGCCTGATCGGTACAATCGTCATCGTTGTAAATGCACCTGAAGACAAGGAAATCGAGACCGTCGACGAGATCCTTAGCTACGCGATGCGTGCGCCATTCCTCACGTACTGTGTCTTTGTCGCGGCCTTCTCAATTTTTCTGATAGTCCGTGTTGTACCGCGCTATGGCCATCAAACGCCCGTCATATACCTATCGATCTGCTCTCTTGTTGGATCCATCTCCGTCATGAGCGTCAAGGCATTCGGTGTGGCTCTTCGCCTCACGTTCAACGGACACAACCAGCTCACGCATCTGTCGACGTATTGCTTTGGCCTTATGGTTGTCTTGTGTATACTAATTCAGATGAACTACTTTAACCGCGCACTTGATCAGTTCTCGACGAACGTCGTCAACCCTATCTACTATGTTATGTTTACGACATCGACGATCTTTGCTTCTGTGCTGCTTTTTCAAGGCTTCAACACTAGCACAGCACCGGTGATATCTCTCCTGGGTGGCTTCCTTGTCACGTTCATTGGCGTGTATCTGCTGAACATCAACCAGCAGTCGGACGACCCCAGCATGAACCTGCCATCGTCTCTTGAAAGTGGTACGCGCGCGAATTACGAACGTCTGTCTCATTCACACGGTGCACACCAAGAAGCGCCCGACGCTTTCATCTTTGATCAAAGCGAACACGATCAGGACTTTGCACCTCACCAGCAGCAGCAGAGTTATCCTCTTGCCCAGTTCCACGACAAGCTCAATGCGAATCCGCCTGAACTTACTAGCAGTACCAACCATGCATAAACTATCGCAAATAAATGAACGCATCATTTTTTTTTCACCCAGCATGCGTCGAATCCTTGTCTCTTGCATACCATCCACATAACCTGGGTCCCTATCCAACTTGATTTCCAGACGTCAAAATGGAGAACGATGTTGCTGTTGTAGTATAGGAAATAGGCAAGTCTATCGTTTCTCCTAACAAAGTGTGCCAGCCTTGTTCTCCTTTCTTTGCACATACAACACGTCTTACCTCCACGCCCACGCTCGTGCCGCCAACCGCGATTGTAGCATTTGCCTCCACTTGTTTGCGTTCTTACCATGCCAGAATCAAAAGCAGCCACTGCCGCTGGAGTTGAAGCTGAAGCTGACGCTGCAAGCCAGATGCCGCGACCTGAGGCAGCGAAGAAGCACGAGGCTTCGAACATGAACAAGGAAAATAAAGACAGCCCCGCGCATGCTACGGACCATGTGCCTGAGCACGGCTTGCGAGTGGCCTTACCGACCTCGTCTGCGTTCGAGGACTATATTGTATATCCCATCCTGTTCGTTACTGTTCTCTATCATATCATACATTTCATTCCTTCTACACTTTTACCGGCGACATTTCGTCATGCTTGGTGGGGATACCCGAGTGATCTCTTCCTCCTCTCACAGGCACCTACATCTGTGCCTACACTGGTCTTGCGCGAGTCTTTGAAGCCCAATGGTCTGCTAGGACAGTCAACATGGATTGCGCAATGGCGCAACACATTCGGTAACGACATATTGGAACAGCTAATCACTCGGCTTTCGAGTGTGGAAGGTCGCGTACGTATGATACCCCGCTGCTTGCAATCTCACGCATGTCAGAAATTATACCTTGTATTGGGCACGGAACCATTCCTTGCGTGTGCGTTTTGCCATACCGTCCAGGATTTTCAGATGTACAAAATCTATGGTCTCTGGCGCATGTATATCGCACACGCATTTGTGTTGTCTATCGCTACCATCTCACCGCATGGCACTTTGCCGCGCGTCATGGAACACATGTCTCGGAGGGTACAGCAGAAGCGTGTCTTGAGTGCCGTTCGCACGCGCGTGCACTGGCGAATGTGGGCATGGATCGTTCTCGTGCTTGCTTTTGTTCTTGATGTGGCAGCTATTTTGTACGCTGAGGATCTACCCCTTCCAAGTGGCCGTTGGGAACATGTACGTCTACGTGACACAAACTCTCACACACGTTACTAATACCCCACGCAGTGGAATGCGAACGCCCATCTTGTGCGCCATATCCTTCTTCTTGGCCTGACACTGTTAGTTTGGTTTCTTCCGCAATATCAGCCGCCGTCAGTCTGGGTTATCCAAGCATTGCGCTCCCTGTCGTTGATAGGAGTCCAGGTCGAGGCCTGGGTACGTCAAGCGGCCTCCAATGAGTCTCCTTGTGTCGCAGAAGAACATGCGCCCACACCAAAACCTGAACAGAACTCTACCTAATTATTATTCTATTGCTTTGTAGACATGCGCCATGGCTGCCTCTTTGTGCTAGGAGTTTGAAACGCCAATCATTGTTGGGCCACGTGCTTCATGAAAAACGATCTGACGTATGTTCGGTACCCCTCTGCACGCCAACTTCTCCACACAAAACTATGAACTTGAATGTTTCACCTTGTAATACTGACATTCGTTCTCCATCCTCTTGGAGGCGCTTGGCTGGGGTGGACTCGTATGCCGCGGAGACCAGACCGTGTTGAGCTAGACTTTTTGGATGCAGGACCATTCGGACTTCCAAATGTGTATGAGAATCGACGGCCTGCCGGATGGCAAAAACAGCTAGGTTCTTTGTCCGCCGATAGGCTGATTCTTTTCGTTTCCTTCGCACTGTTTGTCGTGCTCAGCTGGTACTTTTACGTCCCATCCACCCTATACTTGTACATATCTGTGGTATGCGCAGCATGTCCCTTGCTATTTGCTTCTGCCTTGTATACTTCGAGTCACTCTCGGGATAGACGAGGTCGAACTATCACGCTTGGTGTTGTGACATGCTTCGTCATGCTTTGCTTTCTCCGCGGCTGGACACCACGTCACTTGACCATCCCAGCAACATGGAACACGCCGAACAGCAATGAGACATACTTTATCGTATCGCTTCTCCGCGACTCGGAAAAGATCTTACCACAATACACACAGTCGATTTTGTCATTCGCGCAGGATGTGGGACCGCAGAATGTATTTGTATCCATCTTTGAGAATGATTCCCGCGACAGAACACCCATCATGCTGAAAGATTTTCGCAGCAAGCTCTTGAGCCGCGGTATCCCGCATCACATTAACAGCACCCAGCTACCATCTTCGATTCGTTCGTACGAACGGATCCGTCGTCTTTCCACATTGCGGAATTTTGCCATGCGGCCGATGTATGAAGAAATGCGCAATGGGCTTCAGAAACGCCCTTTTACCAAGGTTGTATGGATCAACGATGTTTTTTTCAATAAAAACATGCTTCACCACCTTCTGCATACAGCCAATGGCACATACGACCAAGTATGTGCGCTCGACTACTTTTGGCTGGGCTTCTACGATACATGGGTCATGCGTGATCGCTATGGTATGACAGTTCGCCCCTTATGGCCATATTTTCGCCGAGGGCACGACAGAAGTGGTATTAATGCGCTGGAGCCTGTGCCTGTGAATTCATGCTGGAATGGAATGACAGTGTTCGATGCGCGCTGGTTCCTTCCAGCATCTGCCCCTCGCACTTCGATACCCAATGCACAGCATCCTACAAGTCCAGTCATTGTGTCCGTTCCACCGGCCCCGCTTGTTCGTGATGACGGCATCGATACGCCTGCGAAGCTTCCTCTTGAATTCCGCACTTGTCGCTCCTGTAATGTATCTGAGGCTCTGCTGACAAGTCTCGATATGCACCGCATTGCAGCACCTCGCCGACCGCGCATCTATGTGAATCCAGCTGTGAAAGTTGCATACGATTATCCCAGCTACTACTTGTACAACTACTTGCTCCGCTGGTACGTAGTCCAGCCGTGGCGATATGTGTGGGAGACATGGATTGAGCGTCGGCTCTTTAGTTGGCTTGCAGACCTTGGGAACCGCCACGATTCATGCGCATCCCTTCTCAACCAAATGTGGACCAATGAGCCTGTTATGACATAGCGCACCACTCTATAGCACACAATTCTAATGCTAGCGACGCACGTCGCGCGTCGATGCCCCGTGATCGAACCAACAACGTTGCATAGTGGGTGGCTGGGCAGAGACACGATCCGTGCAGAGTCCACGTGGACAGCACGTGGAGAGGCGGATGAGCAGCGTAGAGGGAACAGGACTGGACAAGACTGGACAGGGACTGGGGGCCGACGCCGGCCAGCTATCTGAGGCGAACGCTCGTGTACTTAGGGACAGCACTCAGTGCAGGTCGGAACTGTGCACGAAGAAACGGACGTGCTTTGCGCAGGACAGAGTGTATAAGACGAGCGACTACGCGACACTTAGGCTCACTCATTTTGTGTGTGACTGTCCTCCCTGATTCTTCGTCCGTGAAAGAAAGGTCGCACTCGTGGTTGGACCTGCAACGTTGAACAAAGACGTTATTCTACGATCGATGGGCGACTCGTCCTTTCTTTCGGTACGTGTGAGAGTTTTCTTCTTCTTTTGTTGAGTCGTGTGACACACATGACTGACGTGCTTTCTCGCTTGCAGACAGCTGATTCATCTGCTCCATCATTGAGCATGGCTGCAAGCAAAAGCAACAACTATGGATCTTTGTCTGCTGGTGGCACAACGACGTATCCGCCGAGTGGCAGTGGCAGTGGCAGTGGCGGCAACAGTAGCGCCCATGATGCGCCGTCTGACAGTATCAGATCGTCGGCTATTGACGAGGCGACAATGCGTGCATTGTCATCGATGGATGTATGTGTGCACACGAACGAAAGAATGAATGACATACGATACTAACTAGGAGCAGTGCGGCCTACAGCTCATGGATGAGCGGCTCAAACAGAGCATTGAGTCGGCGCGTGGCGCTGCCAACACACTTAAGAAGCGCGCAGCGTTGGAAGAAGAGTACGCGCACGGGTTAAAGAAGCTCGCCCGCTCGTCTATGTCAGACTATTCGGGCAATGACGTTCGTGCTGGGTATGTACATGGTCTTGGCTTTTTTTTTGACGCGTTCACCTGTACTGACGCGTATACATGTAGCTCGTATGGCACAAGTTGGATGACCATGCTCAGAAACCAAGACGTCGTTAGTGAAAACCACTATCGATTCGCCAGTAAGCTCACTGCCATCAGCGACGACATTTCCATGCTTGTGCGTGATGCTGAACAGAACCGACGGCAGAACCGCGACGTCGGTTTCCGCCTCGAAAAGAGTCTTTTAGATGCAGAGAACAGTGTCGAACGTGCCCGCAGTCGCTTCGACAGTGCAGCGGAAGACTTAGAGCGAGTGATGCTCTTCAAGCAAGGCGATGTTAGTCGTGCATCAGATACGTCCATTGGCACATCATCGAACAAGCGCACTCTTGGCATGCCGTTTGCCAAAGGAGGGCTGTTTAAGACGAAGAATCCTCAGCAAATGGTGCGCCATGAAAGCGAGTTCCGGATCAAGAAAGGGCACGCACACGAGACGCTCTGTGGCGAGGCTCAATCGGCTCAGACAAAGCGCCAGGAATACTTCCAACAGCAGCTCCCGCAAGTGCTACGTGGCTACAAAGAATCACTTGATGAGCTGGAGACAGGCGTCCAGTTCCAGCTCGTCCGCTATGCGTTCCTGTATGAAAACATTGCTCTGAGCGATGGAGTGTCGATCAATCCGCTCGGCGACAAGACAGCGCCGATGGGTCTGCGGGACGCTGCTGCGTCGATCAACAACCAAGCCGACTTTAAAGACTTTATGCAGAACTTTGAACTTGCTTTCAAGGGCAGCAGTAAAGAGACCAAGACACCACATCGTGAGAATCCCTATGATGAAGTGACGCTGGCGAATATCATGCACCAGTCAGTATTGCCAGCTCCGCAAGGAGGTACGAGCACCGGCACTGGCGCTGGTGTCACTGATGACCCATACGTACCCACACGACCTGTGTTTGGAGTCGACCTTGAAACACAGATGCTCCGCGACGGTGTAGAAGTGCCGCCGATTTTGGAGATCTGTGCAGATGCGATCGAACGCGTCAGGTATCCAAAAACACGGGTATCTACCGTCTTTCAGGCACCTCGTCGCGTGTGCAGAAGCTCAAAGCTCGGTTCGATACTGACTGGTCGACGGTGGATGTGATGGCAAACGAAGCGATCACAAGATATCAACATCGTTGCCGGCTGTCTGAAACAGTGGTTCCGCGAGCTGCCTGATCCCTTGTTGACGTACCAACTATACCCGGCCTTTATTGAGGCATCGAAGATTGAGAACGACTTTCTTCGCCAAGTCCGCCTGCATGAACAAGTGAACAATTTACCTGACGCCAATTACGCCACACTTCGCTTTCTGATGGCGCATTTGGACCGCATTCGTGCGCATGAGAGCATCAACCAAATGTCTGCACACAACCTCGCGATTGTGTTTGGTCCCACGTTGCTTCGCTCTCCCCATGAGGCTCAGATGGCCGGCGCTGGCGCTGCTGCGAGTCACGGAGGAGTTGGTCAGATGTACTTCCCCGATATGAGCCTGCAATGCAAGGCCATAGAGACGATCCTGCTCAAGTACCGAGACATTTTCGTCGAGTCCGACGAAGACGACTTGAGTTAAGTCATTGATCTACCACCTTCTGACATATACCTTCCTTCATGCTTTCCCTAGCGACGATATACCGCCCTCACTTATGTACCAGGATCACCGACCCTTGTCTTTCTTCCAGCTGCGTTCTATATTTCCCTCTTCAAACCCATCCCACTCCCACCTTCCATTATGTCTCTCGATTGTCTTCACATAGACCGCATCGCCTGTCCACAGCCATGCCCCATATGTGTGCATACCACGTACTCAATTCAACCCCTGCTATCAATCGAGTTTCTAATAAAGCAGGTAGATCTACGTGCTAGTATATATATGGACAGAGCGCCATATACATTTTTGGTCGGAACACGTGTGTTTTGCCTTGTGCACTTTCTCATATTCGTATTTGCTTCAGAGATGGCTTGCTTAACAGGGACTGAAGATGGTAATTGACATTCGCTGTGCATTGGGACAGCTTCTTCATGACCCAGCAGAGATTCCCACAGCTCTTGCTCATTCACAACACAAAATATCGAAAACGGCCGCAACAGCACTAGAACCAGCTTAGTCGAAGAGACCGAAGCCCATGTCCTCATCCGACTCTTCCTTCTCTTCCTCCTTCTTCTTCTCCTCCTCAGCCGGAGCAGCAGCGGCATCGCCACCAGCGCCAGCAGCGGGAGCAGCAGCAGCAACGGCACCACCCGATGGCACCGAGGCAAGCTTCTCCTTACCCTCAGAGATCAGCTCGCTGACGTCCTTGCCGTCGAGCTCCGAGATGAGCTTCTCCAGGCGCTCGTTGTCAGCCTCAATGCCGACAGTGCTGAGCAGCTTGGTCACATCCTCGGCGGTCGGCTTCGATTCCTTGCCAAGAGAGAGCAGCAGGTAAGCGGCGATAAGCTTCATATCGGTTGTTCTTGTTTGAAAGTCAAAGGTTCAAGTGTACCACAAATCCGCTTTAAGAAGCTTTGGTCCAGTAGGAAGACTTGAGGGTAAAGATCCAAGCAGGATTTTCTTGCGTCACGCAAAATGACCACACAGCGCTTCGCCCAGTCCACGCTAGCTGCAGCCAGTCATTTCACCCATTCACATGCGTACCTTTGCCTTCAGTATACTCTGTGATATATCACGTGCTAAACTAAAAAACTGTACTTGAGGCCTCCGCATGCACGTGCGTCGGAATCGCCGCACACCGACTCTTCCAAGGCTTAGCGTCGAGTACAGCGTCTCCTTCCCATCCACAAAGCTCGTCGAAGATGTGCGTATTGTTTTTCTAGCGCCGTTTGTCGTCGTCATAAGCCGACGTGTGATCGCCATGACGGGGACATGTGCGCGCGCTTGTCTATCAAAAGCAGGGAGACTAACATTAACTGCAGGGATGACTACGACGCTGCCGCTGCCGCTGAGCTGAAGCGCAAGAGGACCTTCCGCAAGTTTTCATACCGCGGTGTCGACCTCGATGACCTTCTTGACATGTCGAACGAAGACTTTGTGAAGCTGGTGCACGCTCGTGCACGCAGGCGCTTTTCGCGTGGTCTCAAGCGCAGGCCCATGGCGCTCATCAAGAAGCTGCGCAAGGCCAAGAAGGAGGCCCAGCCCAACGAGAAGCCAGCTGTTGTCCGCACACACATGCGTGACATGATTGTCGTGCCAGAGATGATCGGCTCTATGATTGGCGTCTACAACGGCAAGGTATGTTCACACACTGATCTCTTTTGATTGGCGTCGGCATTCGCTAACATTGTTTTTTAAGGTGTTCACGACTGTTGAAATTAAGCCGGAGATGACGGGTCACTACCTGGGTGAATTTGCTATCAGTTACATCCCTACTCGTCACGGAAAGGGCAGTCTCGGCAAGAACGCGTACGTATTTCCCTTACTCTCTGATGAATCACGCTGTACTAACGCAAATTCAGTGGCCGCTTCATTCCTCTGTACTAAATGTGGTGTGAAAACTTCCATCGATGCATACGCCTACCGAGGCATTGCTCCGTTCCTATAGCATACATTCTCTCCGTGTACGGACTTGCCGTAGTGCGCTTTGTCGATGGCATCCCCAAAAAAATATACAGCATGGCTTACGATTACCCTTGTTGAATCGATTGACCGCTTGCTAGCCTAGTCGCAGAGGTGGATGGGTGGATACAAGGTCACGTGTATGGAAACCGGGCGCATCAATGATACGTGAGAGTGATCGAGTGTTGGGTTCGCATGCACAACAAATGCATCAAGTCTGTAGTGGTGTCTTGACCTCATCAATCCCTTAGACTGCCATGACTTCAACCACAGCATGACCTGTGCTTCTGCCACCTCTTCGCACCCTATAGGTGTATGGCTTTCATTTCTAGAAACTTGGACCGAAGAAGCTCGGCTACGCGGAACGAAGTCGGCTGCCGCGTACTTAAAAGCGTATCAGTCTCTCTCAACATGCCAAGATACATTGACACACCCGTGTGAAACTGTTCGTCTTCGTGGGATTGGAGAATCGATTGCAAAACGTATTGAGGTCGAATATGAAAAGTGGTGCTCCGAGCACGGATACCCAGTGCCAGAGAAACCCCGCATGGCAGCGCTGTGCGCTTCATCGTCAGCAGCTGAGCTACCGCCGCCACAAAAGAAGTCAACTCGGCCACGAAAGACTAAGGCTTATGTACCAGAGCCACGCTCCGGTGCGCATGGCATACTCGTTGCTATGTATTTGAAGGCACATGAAGACCATGATAAAGACGCACAGCTAGGCAAATCGGAGCTTATTGCTCGTGCCCAACCGTATTGCGATAATGATTACTCGGTGCCTGGTTGCGGAACAAGTTCTGCTACACCAGCATCTTTACTGCGCCGGGGAATGCCCTCAGGCTCACAGTCACTGGCTGCGCCGCGCAAATCATTCGCAACAGCATGGAGCAGTATGAAAGTTCTTATCAACAAAGGCTACGTATATCGCTCGGGGAATCCTGCCCTCTATTCTCTAAGTGAGCAAGGCCTGGAAATCGCCTCAATCCTGGCAACGGCGGAGGGATTTTCCCCGACAATACAGTCGCGTGCGTCGCCGCCACGAGCAAGCAGCGAGCACGTAGCAGCACCTTTATCGTCATCGCCATCAACCTCATCGGCGCAGTTACCCTCGTCGCCTACACCGTCGCCTTTGCATCCAGCTGCGGTGATGCCTCTACATTCGCCCTCTCGCACAACCAATGTTGCACCACTACCGTTGCATCATGCAGCGCCCGTGCTGACTGCCTCAAGGCTCGACAGCTCGCCCTCGCCTGAAGTGATACAATGCGATCCTCAGCCATCCACACAACGTTCGTCTCGCGTCACGACGTGTGTGCCTCAGTTGTACTTACCACCGCGGACGAATCTATCGCAGGCTAGTATACCCGGTGCTGCTCGCGAGCCATCCCCTGGCGACACGATCAATCTGGTCGATTCGTCCGACAATACTAGTTTCGACGCGGGCTCTGATGGCATTCAAATCATCGACACGCCGCCAAGATCGCAGCGCCTTAATATCTCTCTCATCGAATCTTCGCCGATCGTCATTAGCTCGAGTCCTCATGCTATATCACAAGCGCATGATGCTGTTGTTGGATGCTACATCCTACCGCCCGAATCGTATACGATTCACATGGTCGTGGATCACCGCGAAGTTCGCTCTCGGACTTCGACATTCATGGATGCAGGGCAGCAACGTATCACATTTGAAGGAGCACTGACACAGCGAGGTGTGCCCTGTGAGCTACGGGCGTTGGAGCTCGGCGATATTCTTTGGGTTGCGCGGCCAAAAAGGGACTTGCCGCCGGACAAGAAGAAAGCATGGACGTACGTCCAGGAAGTTGTTCTCGATACAGTTGTGGAGCGCAAGCGGCTTGATGACCTCGCATCCAGCATCTTTGATGGGCGCTGGCACGACCAGAAGCAGCGTCTTCGACATGCAGGCATAGGGCAGGTTATCTACCTGATCGAAGACATTCACGTGCCGCACCTGATGCAACGACATGGTGCCCAAATTCAGACAGCCTTGAGCAGTACACAGGTCATTGACGGGTTCTTTGTGCACCGCACAGCCAATAATCAAGGCACTGTGGATTTCTTGGTCACATTGCATGAGGCTGTCATGGACATGTACAAAGACACGCCTCTTTACGTTCTGCGAGAGGAGACGATCGCTCGTGAGCATTATGACCAGCAGCAGCGCACCATGCGTGCAGAGTACCCAGGCATTCGTTTCCACACGTCGTTCCACACATACCAGCAGCTGCATGCCAAGACCAGTACGGCGAGCACCATCGAGGCCACGTGGATCCGCATGCTGTTGTGTGTTCGAGGTGTTTCTGCTGACAAGGCACAGGAGATTGTGCGGCATTTTCCGACGCCGCAACACTTGCTTCGTGCCTACAGCCGCTGTCCGTCGCAGCTCGATGCACAACGCTTGCTTAGCACGACGATTGACGCAACGACGCGTCTCACTCGTCGGCGTATTGGCCGTGTCCTAAGCGAGCGCATCTGGCACATTTTGGATGCTCCTACGTACTAAGGCACAAGTTCCACAGGGAACATGCCACGTACGGCATTGCAGAGCCACAAGCGCGTTTTTTGTGCATATATGTCGGTCACAGTAATGGTGCGTGGCTGCACGAGTCCTTGGCGCACAAGTTCTTGGACCAAGATGCCGGGTAACAGGTGCGAGAATGACGGTGTCACAAATCGTACAGGTTCGTTGGGCAACTCGAGCACAAGATTCGCGATACTCGACTCCGTCACGATCTGCTCGGCATGCGCTTCGCTGTTCTCTGACGCGTTGGCGTAGTGCCATAGGAGCACATCGAAGCAGGAAGGTGGGATTGTCGCATCACCTCCATGGGATGGTGGAGAAGAGGATGGTGAACCGATGCCCAAAGTACCCTTCACACGAGCCCGAGCGGCGTCGTACGTAGCACGCGCATCAGTTTTGTATGATACCAAACCATTGGGAAGAAGGACAGACTGCGTATCGAGACGGACGGTCAGAATGGACGATGACGGAGGGTGAAGTGGTGCGATCACGGCTCTAGTCGAGCCATCAGCGTGGATTCGAAGACTCGCACGCAGCTGATGGGTATCTGAGTGCTGGATGGATTGAATGTGTGACCACAGCTGCTGCATCGCATCACACTCCAAAACTTCATTCACGCTCCACGCCTTCGTCCACGTAGATGGATACGCTTGACAGAGGGCCTCTGTCGTATCTCGCAGGCGGCGTACGTGTGCTACGAACAAGGGGACATGCCGCGCCAGAGGATGTGCACAGATGACCTCGTCGTACATGTCGCTTGCCATATTATATGATACATGCTCAGGAACGAGCGTCCTTGCAAGCATCACACGTTCATGCTTTGGGCACGCATCTCGATAGCACCGAGCACTCGTGATAGCTTCGAGCGGAATCGCAGGAGCAGGCGAAGGCATGCTAGGACTGGCCATCCGTATGCAACGATTGCTGTGAATATTGTGATGGTGTGGAGGAATACATTCACGTGGCGTCCATGTGGGGTTCCGGGTGCTCCCGGTGCGCCGCGTGACTGGCAATGGCAGCGCGCCGATTGGTCCGACGTGTCGGGCCGATGGGAAATACACGCAGTCTGGACTGGCTAGTTGGCCTAGGGGCATTGAACGAGACGGCTGGCGAAGCAGCGGAAAAGTAGCCAACCCGTGTTTTAACTGGATCCCATTTCTTTTGAGGAGAAAGGCGACTTTGGGTGTCCTGCCTCTTTTCGTCTGAAATTCTGTCATGGCGCAGCTGATCTCCTCGTGCACAAGGGCCGTTGCCTCGCGCACCTCGGCCAAGGCAGGTCTGACGCAGTCGGTACGTTTGCCCGTATGTCAAGGTAAAGAGGCAGAGGAAGCAGCGGAGTGGGGGGCGAGGCGGAAAGGGAGCGATGCGAAGGACGCGGATCAGACGTTTGGGTGAGAGCCAAGAGCGAGCAAGCGAGCGAGCGAGCGAGTGACAAACTTGATGCGCGAATGCCATGCAGATGGGCGGGCACGTGTATTGAAGCTTGATGGTGACAAGATGACGGATATGTTCATGCTCGTCGCCGAGCACAAGAACGAAGAGCAAGCGAGTCGATGTTTTCGAGTGTCTTTCTGACTGATGTCTCCCCTCTCCCTGTTCCGCTGCTACTTGAAGTCCTCTGTATGACAAGGAGATGCTAACACTCACTAGGTTCGCTTTGCATCGACGCGCGCGCAGACGAAAGCGACGTCTCCACTAACGTCGCGCACCTCGGCTGTCGCAGCGACGGCCATCGCACTGGGCTCCGTGATGTGGTACCAGCAGATGTACGGTGAATGGCCATTCATGGAGTCGCTGAGTGCCAACTTGTCTGACGAGGGTCTGCACCCACCAGCGTACCCATGGGAGCACAACAAGTGGTTCAAGACATTTGACCATGCAGCGATCCGCCGTGGTTTCCAGGTGTACCAAGAGGTGTGCAGTACATGCCATTCGCTTGAGCGCATTGCGTGGCGCAACCTTGTGGGCGTGTCGCACACGGTTGATGAAGTGAAGGCTATGGCCCAGGACGTCGAATATGAAGACGGGCCAAATGACAATGGCGAGATGTTCCAGCGCCCAGGTAAGCTGGCCGACTACATGCCAAGCCCGTACCCGAATGAAGAAGCAGCACGCGCTGGTAACGCTGGTGCGCTCCCGCCGGATCTTAGCTTGATTGTTAAGGCGCGCCACGGAGGTGCCGACTACATCTTCTCGCTGCTGACGGGCTACTGCGACCCGCCAGCTGGTGTCACGGTGCAGGAAGGATTGAACTACAACCCCTTCTTCCCTGGTACACAGATTGCCATGGCACGTGTTCTATTTGACGACCTTGTTGAGTACGAAGACGGCACTCCTGCAACGACGAGCCAGATGGCCAAGGACGTCGTGACGTTCCTGTACGTATGATGAGTGAATGTGATCGAGAAAGAAAAGGAACCCTGTTACTGACATGCACACACACAGTCACTTTGCGGCTGAGCCGGAGCACGACCAACGGAAGCGCGCTGGCTTCAAGGCACTGATCCTGCTTTCGTCCCTGTTTGCCCTGTCGGTCTGGGCGAAGCGCTTCAAGTGGGCGCCGATTATGAGTATGTACATGGAGACGGCGAGCGTGCGCCGCTTGTGTTTTATGATTTCGACGTTGCTAACCATGTTCAGCCCGCAAGATTGTGTACGACCCACCGAAGGGCCACCACCACTAGATACTTCAGGCGCTCATAGTAACTCGAAAATGATCTACCTCCTGCCTTGTAGAGTCGTTGATCGCCCATGGGATGGCTGGCTTGTGGATGTGCAAGTTCACGGCATGGCGATAGAGAAGAGGTACAGCGCAAACGGCCGAGCTGCCGAGCTACAAGGCGCGTATGCAGGCCGTACAAGAAACGCGGAGGAGGAGCGGGAAAGGGAAAGGGGAAGGGGAAGGGGTGGGGTGGTGCGCTGCCGTTGAACGGCCAGGACAACTGACCACTGAGGTGGAATGAGCGGAAACCCGACGTGGGTAGACGGTCTGGCGTTGATGATGACATAAGCTGTCCACATGGGCGACGCACGCCTCGACCTGGCGGGCCTGTCGACGCCGCGGACGCCGCCACGGGCGTCGCTGGCGCCGCCTTGGGCATCGAGCGAGAGAAACGCGTATTACACGAACGGCGATCGTCGAGAAACGTGTGAGTGTGTGAGTGTGTGTGACCGCTGGTTGAGTGAGCTTAGTGCGGGAACAAGCCCACGATTCGCATGAGCAGATCACGTTCAAGAGTCGAGGAGCATTTCGTTGGCGCTGTATCGCCGGAGCATGCACAGTCGTCGGAGACAGGGAGACGGGTGGGCGACTTTGTGCGTGCTGCGGGAGGGCACAGTGTGATCACGAAGGTGCTTATATGCAACAATGGGATTGCGGCCGTGAAAGAGATCCGCTCTGTGCGGAAATGGGCGTATGATATGTTTGGTGATGAGCGGGCGATCCAGTTTACAGTGATGGCGACGCCCGATGACTTGCGGATCAATGCTGACTACATCCGCATGGCCGACAAGTATGTCGAGGTCCCTGGTGGACCGAATGCGAATAACTATGCAAATGTCGAGTTGATTGTGGATATAGCGGAACGAGCAGGCGTGCATGCCGTGTGGGCAGGCTGGGGGCATGCGTCGGAGAATCCGCGGCTGCCCGAGATGCTAGCGCGTCTGGAGCCACGGATCCTGTTCCTGGGGCCGCCGGGCACGGCGATGCGTGCGCTGGGCGACAAGATTTCGTCGACGATTGTGGCGCAGCACGCAGACGTGCCATGCCTGCCATGGTCTGGCACAGGCATCACGGAGACGATACAAAGCACGGAGGGATATGTGAGCGTGCCGGACGATGCGTACGAGCGAGCGTGTGTGCACTCGGCAGAAGAGGGGCTGGCGATTGCGCAGCGCATAGGCTTTCCCGTGATGATCAAGGCATCGGAAGGAGGCGGTGGCAAGGGCATCCGGAAATGCGTGTCGCCGGACATGTTCGTGCAGCTGTACCAAGCGGCTGTGGGCGAGGTGCCGGGGTCGCCGGTGTTTGTGATGAAGCTCGCGAGCGCAGCGCGGCACCTGGAGGTGCAGGTGCTGGCGGACCAGTACGGCCAGGCGATCAGTTTGTTCGGGCGCGACTGCTCGGTGCAGCGGCGGCACCAAAAGATCATTGAGGAGGCGCCCGTGAGCATAGCGCCGGCAGAGACGCGCCTGCGTATGGAGCAAGCGGCTGTGCGGCTCGCGAAGCTCGTTGGCTATGTGTCGGCCGGGACGGTCGAGTGGCTGTACTCGCCAGAGACGGATACGTTTGCGTTCCTGGAGCTGAACCCGCGGCTGCAGGTCGAGCACCCGACGACAGAGATGGTGACGGGCGTCAACATACCGGCGGCGCAGCTGCAGATTGCGATGGGGATTCCGCTGCAGCACATAGACGACGTGCGCGAGCTGTACGGGCTGGGGCGCGTGGACGAGCGGGGTCAACGCTGTGGCGCGCCGTCGGCACGAACGAGCATAGACTTTGACGCGCGGCACCAGAGCGTCGACACGAGTCCGAAGCCGCGTGGGCACGTTATCGCGTGTCGGATCACGGCAGAGAACCCGGACACGGGCTTCAAGCCGGGGATCGGCTCGTTGAGCGAGCTGAATTTCCGATCGTCGCCGTCGACGTGGGGGTACTTTAGTGTGAGCACGAGTGGCGCGCTGCACGAGTATGCGGACTCGCAGTTTGGGCATGTGTTTTCGTATGGCGCAGACCGCGAGGAGGCGCGGAAGAACATGGTGTTTGCGCTGAAGGAGCTGTCGATCCGCAGCGACTTTCACACGACGACCGAGTACCTCGTGATGCTGCTGGAGCAGGATGTGTTTGTGCAGAACCAAGTGACGACCGCGTGGCTCGATGGCCTCATAGAGAACAGCGTGACGGCGCGCCGGCCGCCGACGGAGCTCGCCGTGCTGTGCGGTGCTGCCGTCAAGGCGCATGCGCTCGCGAAGGAGTCGCGTGACGAATTCAAGCGTATCCTGCACCGTGGACAGGTGCCGCCGCGGAACACGGTGCGGACCAAGTTTTCCGTCGAGTTTATCTACGGCAATGTCAAGTACCAGTTTGTTGCGAAGCAGAGCGCGCCGACAAGCTGGACGCTGCACCTGCAGCAGCAGCAGCAGCAGGTGCACGTGTCGCTGCGGGACCTAAGTGACGGTGGCCTGCTCATTGGACTCTCAGGCGCATCCCACACCGTGTACTGGTTCGACGAGGTCGGGCAAACGCGGCTCGTGATCGACGGGCAGACGTGCCGCATGGAGGAGGAGCGCGATCCGACGCAGATCTGCTCGCCTTCGCCCGGGAAGCTCGTGCGCCTGCTCGTCGAG